GCCACTGCAAGGAAATCCGGCCTCCTTTCAAGTTAGGGCTTCTCGCTGTATATTCCCCTTGAGGCAGCAAACTCGGGGTCCCTACCACATAACTATTGCTGAGAGAAGCCTCCTCCTGAGGTGCTTCTGGAAAGTTGGCATACGTCTTGAGCCTAAGCCAGGGAATCAGCTCTCATCTCGAGACGATTTGGGGTACACGGAGCATTCCTCAAGTTGCTGTGCTGAAGTTGGTGTTCCTCTAGACTTGGGACAGTGTTCTCGGGGCATCTCTGGAGTTGCCTGAAGGAAGTCGAGCCACCGGTCGTGTTGAATGGGGAACGGGGAATGGCTCTGGAGTCAATGCAGGGGAATCGGGCCTATTCTCGAGTTGATTTGGGGCACATGGAGCTGCTTTGCGTTGCTGGGGTGACCTCAGGGTCCGTCTAGACTGGTGACAGTGTTCTTGGGGACTGTCTCGAGATCCATTAAGCAAGTCGAAACTCCTGACTTGTTTGAATGGGATCACAGAATAGCTCTGCATGCACTGCAGGGGAATGGGGCCTCATCTCTCCTCTAGGGGGAAATCTCATGGTTTTTCTCGAGTTGAGGCGGGGACCTGGGGTATGTTCTCGACTTACGGCGGGGATGGCCCTTCAAAACACGAGTTTCTTCAGTGACGTCAGGACTCCTGTCTAGTAAAGAGGGACACTTCAGGAATCTCTACGAGGCTTGGCAGGGCAAAAGGGACGCTTCTCGAGGTGAGGCAGGGTACCCAAGGAGCCTTTCCAGTAGCCACAGCGATTTTGGGATTCCTATCAGTATTCAAGAGGAGTCAGGCATCGTCACCTTTTGAAGCAATGAACTCCGCGTGCCTCTCGAGGTGTCAGCGGGATGTGAGGCATTCCGTCAAAATGAGGCAGGTACCTAGGGCTTTCTCTAAGGTCTCCACAGGGGATTCAGACATCCCTTCATGTTGTGAGATGAAAGACGAGCCTGTATTCAAGCCACTGCAAGGAAATCCAGCCTCCTTTCAAGTTAGGGCCTCTTGCTGTATATTCCCCTTGAGGCAGCAAACTCGGGTCCCACCCACATACCTATTGCTGAGAGAAGCCTCCTCCTGAGGTGCTTCTGGAAAGTTGGCATAAGTCCTGAGCCTAAGCCAGGGAATCAGCTCTCATCTCGAGACGATTTGGGGTACACAGAGCATTCCTCGAGTTGCTGTGCTGAAGTTGGTGTTCCTCTAGACTTGGGACAGTGTTCTCGGGGCATCTCTGGAGTTGCCTGAAGGAAGTCGAGCCACCGGTCGTGTTGAATGGGGAACGGGGAATGGCTCTGGAGTCAATGCAGGGGAATCGGGCCTCATCTCGAGTTGATTTGGGGCACATGGAGCTGCTTTCCGTTGCTGCGGTGACCTCAGGGTCCGTCTAGACTGGTGACAGTGTTCTTGGGGATTGTCTCGAGATCCATTAAGCAAGTCGAACCTCCTGACTTGTTTGAATTGGATCACGGGATAGCTCTGCATGCACTGCAGGGGAATGGGGCCTCATCTCGCCTCTAGGGGGAAGTCTCATGGTTTTTCTCGAGTTGAGGCGGGGACCTGGGTTATGTTCTCGACTTACGGCGTTGATGGCCCTTCAAAACACGAGTTTCTTCAGTGACGTCAGGACTCCTGTCTAGTAATGAGGAACACCTCAGGAATCTCATCGAGGCTTGGCAGGGCAAAAGGGACGCTTCTCGAGGTGAGGCAGGGCACCCAAGGACCCTTTCCAGTAGCCACAGGGATTTTGGGATTCCTATCAGTATTCAAGAGGAGTCAGGCATCGTCACCTTTTGAAGCAATGAACTCCGCGTGTCTCTCGAGGTGTCAGCGGGACGAGACGCATTCCGTCAAAATGAGGCAGGGACCTAAGGCTTTCTCTAAGGTCTCCAAAGGGGATTCAGACATCCCTTCATGTTGTGAGATGAAAGACGAGCCTGTATTCAAGCCACTGCAAGGAAATCCGGCCTCCTTTCAAGTTAGGGCTTCTCGCTGTATATTCCCCTTGAGGCAGCAAACTCGGGGTCCCTCCCACATAATTATTGCTGAGAGAAGCCTCCTCCTGAGGTGCTTCTGGAAAGTTGGCATACGTCTTGAGCCTAAGCCAGGGAATCAGCTCTCATCTCGAGACGATTTGGGTTACACGGAGCATTCCTCGAGTTGCTGTGCTGAAGTTGGTGTTCCTCTAGACTTGGGACAGTGTTCTCGGGGCATCTCTGGAGTTGCCTGAAGGAAGTCGAGCCACCGGTCGTGTTGAATGGGGAACGGGGAATGGCTCTGGAGTCAATGCAGGGGAATCGGGCCTCATCTCGAGTTGATTTGGGGCACATGGAGCTGCTTTGCGTTGCTGGGGTGACCTCAGGGTCCGTCTAGACTGGTGACAGTGTTCTTGGGGACTGTCTCGAGATCCATTAAGCAAGTCGAAGCTCCTGACTTGTTTGAATGGGATCACGGAATAGCTCTGCATGCACTGAAGGGGAATGGGGCCTCATCTCGCCTCTAGGGGGAAATCTCATTGTTTTTCTCGAGTTGCGGCGGGGACCTGGGGTATGTTCTCGACTTACGGCGGGGATGGCCCTTCAAAACACGAGTTTCTTTAGTGACGTCAGGACTCCTGTCTAGTAACGAGGGACACCTCAGGAATCTCTTCGAGGCTTGGCAGGGCAAAAGGGACGCTTCTCGAGGTGAGGCAGGGCACCCAAGGACCCTTTCCCCTAGCCACAGGGATTTTGGGATTCCTATCAGTATTCAAGAGGAGTCAGGCATCGTCACCTTTTGAAGCAATGAACTCCGCGTGCCTCTCGAGGTGTCAGCGGGATGTGAGGCATTCCGTCAAAATGAGGCAGGGACCTAGGGCTTTCTCTAAGGTCTCCACAGGGGATTCAGACATCCCTTCATGTTGTGAGATGAAAGACGAGCCTGTATTCAAGCCACTGCAAGGAAATGCGGCCTCCTTTCAAGTTAGGGCTTCTCGCTGTATATTCCCCTTGAGGCAGCAAACTCGGGGTCCCTTCCACATACCTATTGCTGAGAGAAGCCTCCTCCTGAAGTGCTTCTGGAAAGTTGGCATACGTCTTGAGCCTAATCCAGGGAATCAGCTCTCATCTTGAGACAATTTGGGGTACACGGAGCATTCCTCGAGTTGCTGTGCTGAAGTTGGTGTTCCTCTAGACTTGGGACAGTGTTCTCGGGGCATCTCTGGAGTTGCCTGAAGGAAGTCGAGCCACCGGTCGTGTTGAATGGGGAACGGGGAATGGCTCTGGAGTCAATGCAGGGGAATCGGGCCTCATCTCGAGTTGATTTGGGGCACATGGAGCTGCTTTGCGTTGCTGGGGTGACCTCAGGGTCCGTCTAGACTGGTGACAGTGTTCTTGGGGACTGTCTCGAGATCCATTAAGCAAGTCGAAGCTCCTGACTTGTTTGAATGGGATCACGGGATAGCTCTGCATGCACTGCAGGGGAATGGGGCCTCATCTCGCCTCTAGGGGGAAGTCTCATGGTTTTTCTCGAGTTGCGGCGGGGACCTGGGGTATGTTCTCGACTTACGGCGGGGATGGCCCTTCAAAACACGAGTTTCTTCAGTGACGTCAGGACTCGTGTCTAGTAACGAGGGACACCTCAGGAATCTCTTCGAGGCTTGGCAGGGCAAAAGGGACGCTTCTCGAGGTGAGGCAGGGCACCCAAGGACCCTTTCCCGTAGCCACAGGGATTTTGGGATTCCTATCAGTATTCAAGAGGAGTCAGGCATCGTCACCTTTTGAAGCAATAAACTCCGCGTGCCTCTCGAGGTGTCAGCGGGACGTTAGGCATTCCGTCAAAATGAGGCAGGGACCTAGGTCTTTCTCTAAGGTCTCCACAGGGGATTCAGACATCCCTTCATGTTGTGAGATGAAAGACCAGCCTGTATTCAAGCCACTGCAAGGAAATCCGGCCTCCTTTCAAGTTAGGGCTTCTCGCTGTATATTCCCCTTGAGGCATCAACTCGGAGTCCCTCCCACATAACTATTGCTGAGAGAAGCCTCCTCCTGAGGTGCTTCTGGAAAGTTGGCATACGTCTTGAGCCTAAGCCAGGGAATCAGCTCTCATCTCGAGACGATTTGGGGTACACGGAGCATTCCTCAAGTTGCTGTGCTGAAGTTGGTGTTCCTCTAGACTTGGGACAGTGTTCTCGGGGCATCTCTGGAGTTGCCTGAAGGAAGTCGAGCCACCGGTCGTGTTGAATGGGGAACGGGGAATGGCTCTGGAGTCAATGCAGGGGAATCGGGCCTCATCTCGAGTTGATTTGGGGCACATGGAGCTGCTTTGCGTTGCTGGGGTGACCTCAGGGTCCGTCTAGACTGGTGACAGTGTTCTTGGGGACTGTCTCGAGATCCATTAAGCAAGTCGAAGCTCCTGACTTGTTTGAATGGGATCACGGAATAGCTCTGCATGCACAGCAGGGGAATGGGGCCCCATCTCGCCTCTAGGGGGGAGTCTCATTGTTTTTCTCGAGTGGCGGCGGGGACCTGGGGTATGTTCTCGACTTACGGTGGGGATGGCCCTTCAAAACACGAGTTTCTTCAGTGACGTCAGGACTCCTGTCTTGTAACGAGGGACACCTCAGGAATCTCTACGAGGCTTGGCAGGGCAAAAGGGACGCTTCTCGAGGTGAGGCAGGGTACCCAAGGACCCTTTCCAGTAGCCACAGCGATTTTGGGATTCCTATCAGTATTCAAGAGGAGTCAGGCATCGTCACCTTTTGAAGCAATGAACTCCGCGTGCCTCTCGAGGTGTCAGTGGGATGTGAGGCATTCCGTCAAAATGAGGCAGGGACCTAGGGCTTTCTCTAAGGTCTCCACAGGGGATTCAGACATCCCTTCATGTTGTGAGATGAAAGACGAGCCTGTATTCAAGCCACTGCAAGGAAATGCGGCCTCCTTTCAAGTTAGGGCTTCTCGCTGTATATTCCCCTTGAGGCAGCAAACTCGGGGTCCCTTCCACATACCTATTGCTGAGAGAAGCCTCATCCTGAGGTGCTTCTGGAAAGTTGGCATACGTCTTGAGCCTAATCCAGGGAATCAGCTCTCATCTCGAGACAATTTGGGGTACACGGAGCATTCTTCAAGTTGCTGTGCTGAAGTTGGTGTTCCTCTAGACTTGGGACAGTGTTCTCGGGGCATCTCTGGAGTTGCCTGAAGGAAGTCGAGCCACCGGTCGTGTTGAATGGGGAACGGGGAATGGCTCTGGAGTCAATGCAGGGGAATCGGGCCTCATCTCGAGTTGATTTGGGGCACATGGAGCTGCTTTGCGTTGCTGGGGTGACCTCAGGGTCCGTCTAGACTGGTGACAGTGTTCTTGGGGTCTGTCTCGAGATCCATTAAGCAAGTCGAAGCTCCTGACTTGTTTGAATGGGATCACGGAATAGCTCTGCATGCACTGCAGGAGAATGGGGCCTCATCTCGCCTCTAGGGGGAAGTCTCATGGTTTTTCTCGAGTTGCGGCGGGGACCTGGGGTATGTTCTCGACTTACGGCGGGGATGGCCCTTCAAAACACGAGTTTCTTCAGTGACGTCAGGACTCCTGTCTAGTAACGAGGGACACCTCAGGAATCTCTAAGAGGCTTGGCAGGGCAAAAGGAACGCTTCTCGAGGTGAGGCAGGGCACCCAAGTACCCTTTCCCCTAGCCACAGGGATTTTGGGATTCCTATCAGTATTCAAGAGGAGTCAGGCATCGTCACCTTTTGAAGCAATGAACTCCGCGTGCCTCTCGAGGTGTCAGCGGGATGTGAGGCATTCCGTCAAAATGAGGCAGGGACCTAGGGCTTTCTCTAAGGTCTCCACAGGGGATTCAGACATCCCTTCATGTTGTGAGATGAAAGACGAACCTGTATTTAAGCCACTGCAAGGAAATCCGGCCTCCTTTCAAGTTAGGGCTTCTCGCTGTATATTCCCCTTGAGGCACAAACTCGGGGTCCCTCCCACATACTTATTGCTGAGAGAAGTCTCCTCCTGAGGTGCTTCTGGAAAGTTGGCATACGTCTTGAGCCTTGGCCAGGGAATCAGCTCCCATCTCGAGACGATTTGGGTTACACGAAGCATTCGTCGAGTTGCTGTGCTGAAGTTGGTGTTCCTCTAGACTTGGGACAGTGCTCTCGGGGCATCTCTGGAGTTGCCTGAAGGAAGTCGAGCCACCGGTCGTGTTGAATGGGGAACGGGGAATGGCTCTGGAGTCAATGCAGGGGAATCGGGCCTCATCTCGAGTTGATTTGGGGCACATGGAGCTGCTTTGCGTTGCTGGGGTGACCTCAGGGTCCGTCTAGACTGGTGACAGTGTTCTTGGGGACTGTCTCGAGATTTATTAAGCAAGTCGAAACTCCTGACTTGTTTGAATGGGATCACAGAATAGCTCTGCATGCACTGCAGGGCAATGGGGCCTCATCTCGCCTCTAGGGGGAAATCTCATGGTTTTGCTCGAGTTGAGGCGGGGACCTGGGGTATGTTCTCGACTTACGGCGGGGATGGCCCTTCAAAACACGAGTTTCTTCAGTGACGTCAGGACTCCTGTCTAGTAAAGAGGGACACTTCAGGAATCTCTACGAGGCTTGGCAGGGCAAAAGGGACGCTTCTCGAGGTGAGGCAGGGTACCCAAGGAGCCTTTCCAGTAGCCACAGCGATTTTGGGATTAATATCAGTATTCAAGAGGAGTCAGGCATCGTCACCTTTTGAAGCAATGAACTCCGCGTGCCTCTTGAGGTGTCAGCGGGATGTGAGGCATTCCGTCAAAATGATGCAGGGACCTAGGGCTTTCTCTAAGGTCTCCACAGGGGATTCAGACATCCCTTCATGTTGTGAGATGAAAGACGAGCCTGTATTCAAGCCACTGAAAGGAAATCCGGCCTCCTTTCAAGTTAGGGCTTCTCGCTGTATATTCCCCTTGAGGCAGCAAACTCGGGTCCCACCCACATACCTATTGCTGAGAGAAGCCTCCTCCTGAGGTGCTTCTGGAAAGTTGGCATAAGTCCTGAGCCTAAGCCAGGGAATCAGCTCTCATCTCGAGACGATTTGGGGTACACAGAGCATTCCTCGAGTTGCTGTGCTGAAGTTGGTGTTCCTCTAGATTTGGGACAGTGTTCTCAGGGCATCTCTGGAGTTGCCTGAAGGAAGTCGAGCCACCGGTCGTGTTGAATGGGGAACGGGGAATGGCTCTGGGTCAATGCAGGGGAATCGGGCCTCATCTGGAGTTGATTTGGGGCACACGGAGCTGCTTTCCGTTGCTGCGGTGACCTCAGGGTCCGTCTAGACTGGTGACAGTGTTCTTGGGGACTGTCTCGAGATCCATTAAGCAAGTCGAAGCTCCTGACTTGTTTGAATTGGATCACGGGATAGCTCTGCATGCACTGCAGGGGAATGGGGCCTCATCTCGCCTCTAGGGGGAAGTCTCATGGTTTTTCTCGAGTTGAGGCGGGGACCTGGGGTATGTTCTCGACTTACGGCGGGGATGGCCCTTCAAAACACGAGTTTCTTTAGTGACGTCAGGACTCCTGTCTAGTATCGAGGGACACCTCAGGAATCTCTAAGAGGCTTGGCAGGGCAAAAGGGACGCTTCTCGAGGTGAGGCAGGGCACCCAAGGACCCTTTCCCCTAGCCACAGGGATTTTGGGATTCCTATCAGTATTCAAGAGGAGTCAGGCATCGTCACCTTTTGAAGCAATGAACTCCGCGTGCCTCTCGAGGTGTCAGCCGGATGTGAGGCATTCCGTCAAAATGAGGCAGGGACCTAGGGCTTTCTCAAAGGTCTCCACAGGGGATTCAGACATCCCTTCATGTTGTGAGATGAAAGACGAGCCTGTATTCAAGCCACTGCTTGGAAATCCGGCCTCCTTTCAAGTTAGGGCTTCTCGCTGTATATTCGCCTTGAGGCACAAACACGGGGTCCCTCCCACATACTTATTGCTGAGAGAAGCCTCCTCCTGAGGTGCTTCTGGAAAGTTGGCATACGTCTTGAGCCTAATCCAGGGAATCAGCTCTCATCTCGAGACAATTTGGGGTACACGGAGCATTCCTCGAGTTGCTGTGCTGAAGTTGGTGTTCCTCTAGACTTGGGACAGTGTTCTCGGGGCATCTCTGGAGTTGCCTGAAGGAAGTCAAGCCACCGGTCGTGTTGAATGGGGAACGGGGAATGGCTCTGGAGTCAATGCAGGGGAATCGGGCCTCATCTCGAGTTGATTTGGGGCACATGGAGCTGCTTTGCGTTGCTGGGGTGACCTCAGGGTCCGTCTAGACTGGTGACAGTGTTCTTGGGGACTCTCTCGAGATCCATTAAGCAAGTCGAAGCTCCTGACTTGTTTGAATGGGATCACGGAATAGCTCTGCATGCACTGCAGGGGAATGGGGCCTCCTCCCGCCTCTAGGGGGAAGTCTCATGGTTTTTCTCGAGTTGCGGCGGGGACCTGGGGTATGTTCTCGACTTACGGCGGGGATGGCCCTTCAAAACACGAGTTTCTTCAGTGACGTCAGGACTCCTGTCTAGTAACGAGGGACACCTCAGGAATCTCTAAGAGGCTTGGCAGGGCAAAAGGGACGCTTCTCGAGGTGAGGCAGGGCACCCAAGGACCCTTTCCCCTAGCCACAGGGATTTTGGGATTCCTATCAGTATTCAAGGGGAGTCAGGCATCGTCACCTTTTGAAGCAATGAACTCCGCGTGCCTCTCGAGGTGTCAGCGGGATGTGAGGCATTCCGTCAAAATGAGGCAGGGACCTACGGCTTTCTCTAAGGTCTCCACAGGGGATTCAGACATCCCTTCATGTTGTGAGATGAAAGACGAACCTGTATTTAAGCCACTGCAAGGAAATCCGGCCTCCTTTCAAGTTAGGGCTTCTCGCTGTATATTCCCCTTGAGGCACAAACTCGGGGTCCCTCCCACATACTTATTCCTGAGAGAAGCCTCCTCCTGAGGTGCTTCTGGAAAGTTGGCATACGTCTTGAGCCTAAGCCAGGGAATCAGCTCTCATCTCGAGACAATTTGGGGTACACGGAGCATTCCTCGAGTTGCTGTGCTGAAGTTGGTGTTCCTCTAGACTTGGGACAGTGTTCTCGGGGCATCTCTGGAGTTGCCTGAAGGAAGTCGAGCCACAGGTCGTGTTGAATGGGGAACGGGGAATGGCTCTGGATTCAATGCAGGGGAATCGGGCCTCATCTCGAGTTGATTTGGGGCACATGGAGCTGCTTTGCGTTGCTGGGGTGACCTCAGGGTCCGTCTAGACTGGTGACAGTGTTCTTGGGGACTGTCTCGAGATCCATTAAGCAAGTCGAAGCTCCTGACTTGTTTGAATGGGATCACGGAATAGCTCTGCATGCACTGCAGGGGAATGGGGCCCCATCTCGCCTCTAGGGGGGAGTCTCATTGTTTTTCTCGAGTGGCGGCGGGGACCTGGGGTATGTTCTCGACTTACGGCGGGGATGGCCCTTCAAAACACGAGTTTCTTCAGTGACGTCAGGACTCCTGTCTTGTAACGAGGGACACCTCAGGAATCTCTACGAGGCTTGGCAGGGCAAAAGGGACGCTTCTCGAGGTGAGGCAGGGTACCCAAGGACCCTTTCCAGTAGCCACAGCGATTTTGGGATTCCTATCAGTATTCAAGAGGAGTCAGGCATCGTCACCTTTTGAAGCAATGAACTCCGCGTGCCTCTCGAGGTGTCAGCGGGATGTGAGGCATTCCGTCAAAATGAGGCAGGGACCTAGGGCTTTCTCTAAGGTCTCCACAGGGGATTCAGACATCCCTTCATGTTGTGAGATGAAAGACGAACCTGTATTTAAGCCACTGCAAGGAAATCCGGCCTCCTTTCAAGTTAGGGCTTCTCGCTGTATATTCCCCTTGAGGCACAAACTCGGGGTCCCTCCCACATACTTATTGCTGAGAGAAGCCTCCTCCTGAGGTGCTTCTGGAAAGTTGGCATATGTCTTGAGCCTTGGCCAGGGAATCAGCTCCCATCTCGAGACGATTTGGGTTACACGAAGCATTCGTCGAGTTGCTGTGCTGAAGTTGGTGTTCCTCTAGACTTGGGACAGTGTTCTCGGGGCATCTCTGGAGTTGCCTGAAGGAAGTCGAGCCACCGGTCGTGTTGAATGGGGAACGGGGAATGGCTCTGGAGTCAATGCAGGGGAATCGGGCCTCATCTCGAGTTGATTTGGGGCACATAGAGCTGCTTTGCGTTGCTGGGGTGACCTCAGGGTCCGTCTAGACTGGTGACAGTGTTCTTGGGGACTGTCTCGAGATCCATTAAGTAAGTCGAAGCTCCTGACTTGTTTGAATGGGATCACGGAATAGCTCTGCATGCACTGCAGGGGAATGGGGCCTCATCTCGCCTCTAGGGGGAAGTCTCATGGTTTTTCTCGAGTTGCGGTGTGGACTTGGGGTATGTTCTCGACTTACGGCGGGGATGGCCCTTCAAAACACGAGTTTCTTCAGTGACGTCAGGACTCGTGTCTAGTAACGAGGGACACCTCAGGAATCTCTTCGAGGCTTGGCAGGGCAAAAGGGACGCTTCTCGAGGTGAGGCAGGGCACCCAAGGACCCTTTCCCGTAGCCACAGGGATTTTGGGATTCCTATCAGTATTCAAGAGGAGTCAGGCATCGTCACCTTTTGAAGCAATGAACTCCGCGTGCCTCTCGAGGTGTCAGCGGGACGTGAGGCATTCCGTCAAAATGAGGCAGGGACCTAGGTCTTTCTCTAAGTTCTCCACAGGGGATTCAGACATCCCTTCATGTTGTGAGATGAAAGACCAGCCTGTATTCAAGCCACTGCAAGGAAATCCGGCCTCCTTTCAAGTTAGGGCTTCTCGCTGTATATTCCCCTTGAGGCAGCAAACTCGGGGTCCCTCCCACATAACTATTGCTGAGAGAAGCCTCCTCCTGAGGTGCTTCTGGAAAGTTGGCATACGTCTTGAGCCTAAGCCAGGGAATCAGCTCTCATCTCGAGACGATTTGGGGTACACGGAGCATTCCTCAAGTTGCTGTGCTGAAGTTGGTGTTCCTCTAGACTTGGGACAGTGTTCTCGGGGCATCTCTGGAGTTGCCTGAAGGAAGTCGAGCCACCGGTCGTGTTGAATGGGGAACGGGGAATGGCTCTGGAGTCAATGCAGGGGAATCGGGCCTCATCTGGAGTTGATTTGGGGCACATGGAGCTGCTTTGCGTTGCTGGGGTGACCTCAGGGTCCGTCTAGACTGGTGACAGTGTTCTTGGGGACTGTCTCGAGATCCATTAAGCAAGTCGAAGCTCCTGACTTGTTTGAATGGGATCACGGAATAGCTCTGCATGCACTGCAGGGGAATGGGGCCCCATCTCGCCTCTAGGGGGGAGTCTCATTGTTTTTCTCGAGTGACGGCGGGGACCTGGGGTATGTTCTCGACTTACGGCGGGGATGGCCCTTCAAAACACGAGTTTCTTCAGTGACGTCAGGACTCCTGTCTTGTAACGAGGGACACCTCAGGAATCTCTACGAGGCTTGGCAGGGCAAAAGGGACGCTTCTCGAGGTGAGACAGGGTACCCAAGGACCCTTTCCAGTAGCCACAGCGATTTTGGGATTCCTATCAGTATTCAAGAGGAGTCAGGCATCGTCACCTTTTGAAGCAATGAACTCCGCGTGCCTCTCGAGGTGTCAGCGGGATGTGAGGCATTCCGTCAAAATGTGGCAGGGACCTAGGGCTTTCTCTAAGGTCTCCACAGGGGATTCAGACATCCCTTCATGTTGTGAGATGAAAGACGAGCCTGTATTCAAGCCACTGCAAGGAAATGCGGCCTCCTTTCAAGTTAGGGCTTCTCGCTGTATATTCCCCTTGAGGCAGCAAACTCGGGGTCCCTTCCACATACCTATTGCTGAGAGAAGCCTCCTCCTGAGGTGCTTCTGGAAAGTTGGCATACGTCTTGAGCCTAATCCAGGGAATCAGCTCTCATCTCGAGACAATTTGGGGTACACGGAACATTCCTCGAGCTGCTGTGCTGAAGTTGGTGTTCCTCTAGACTTGGGACAGTGTTCTCGGGGCATCTCTGGAGTTGCCTGAAGGAAGTCGAGCCACCGGTCGTGTTGAATGGGGAACAGGGAATGGCTCTGGAGTCAATGCAGGGGAATCGGGCCTCATCTCGGGTTGATTTGGGGCACATAGAGCTGCTTTGTGTTGCTGGGGTGACCTCAGGGTCCGTCTAGACTGGTGACAGTGTTCTTGGGGACTGTCTCGAGATCCATTAAGCAAGTCGAAGCTCCTGACTTGTTTGAATGGGATCACGGAATAGCTCTGCATGCACTGCAGGGGAATGGGGCCTCATCTCGCCTCTAGGGGGAAGTCTCATGGTTTTTCTCGAGTTGCGTTGAGGACCTGGGGTATGTTCTCGACTTACGGCGGGGATGGCCCTTCAAAACACGAGTTTCTTCAGTGACCTCAGGACTCCTGTCTAGTAACGAGAGACACCTCAGGAATCTCTTCGAGGCTTGGCAGGGCAAAAGGGACGCTTCTCGAGGTGAGGCAGGGCACCCAAGGACCCTTTCCAGTAGCCACAGTGATTTTGGGATTCCTATCAGTATTCAAGAGGAGTCAGGCATCGTCACCTTTTGAAGCAATGAACTCCGCGTGCCTCTCGAGGTGTCAGCGGGATGTGAGGCATTCCGTCAAAATGAGGCAGGGACCTAGGGCTTTCTCTAAGGTCTCCACAGGGGATTCAGACATCCCTTCATGTTGTGAGATGAAAGACGAGCCTGTATTCAAGCCACTGCTAGGAAATCCGGCCTCCTTTCAAGTTAGGGCTTCTCGCTGTATATTCCCCTTGAGGCACAAACTCGGGGTCCCTCCCACATACTTATTGCTGAGAGAAGCCTCCTCCTGAGGTGCTTCTGGAAAGTTGGCATACGTCTTGAGCCTAATCCAGGGAATCAGCTCTCATCTCGAGACAATTTGGGGGACACGGAGCATTCCTCGAGTTGCTGTGCTGAAGTTGATGTTCCTCTAGACTTGGGACAGTGTTCTCGGGGCATCTCTGGAGTTGCCTGAAGGAAGTCGAGCCACCGGTCGTGTTGAATGGGGAACGGGGAATGGCTCTAGAGTCAATGCAGGGGAATCGGGCCTCATCTCGAGTTGATTTGGGGCACATGGAGCTGCTTTGCGTTGCTGGGGTGACCTCAGGGTCCGTCTAGACTGGTGACAGTGTTCTTGGGGACTGTCTCGAGATCCATTAAGCAAGTTGAAGCTCCTGACTTGTTTGAATGGGATCACGGAATAGCTCTGCATGCACTGCAGGGGAATGGGGCCTCATCTCGCCTCTAGGGGGAAGTCTCATGGTTTTTCTCGAGTTGCGTTGGGGACCTGGGGTATGTTCTCGACTTACGGCGGGGATGGCCCTTAAAACACGAGTTTCTTCAGTGACCTCAGGACTCCTGTCTAGTAACGAGGGACACCTCAGGAATCTCTTCGAGGCTTGGCAGGGCAAAAGGGACGCTTCTCGAGGTGAGGCAGGGCACCCAAGGACCCTTTCCCGTAGCCACAGGGATTTTGGGATTCCTATCAGTATTCAAAGGAGTCAGGCATCGTCACCTTTTGAAGCAATTTACTCCGCGTGCCTCTCGAGGTGTCAGCGGGATGTGAGGCATTCCATCAAATTGAGGCAGGGACCTAGGGCTTTCTCTAAGGTCTCCACAGGGGATTCAGACATCCCTTCATGTTGTGAGATGAAAGACGAGCCTGTATTCAAGCCACTGCAAGGAAATGCGGCCTCCTTTCAAGTTAGGGCTTCTCGCTGTATATTCCCCTTGAGGCAGCAAACTCGGGGTCCCTTCCACATACCTATTGCTGAGAGAAGCCTCCTCCTGAGGTGCTTCTGGAAAGTTGGCATACGTCTTGAGCCTAAGCCAGGGAATCAGCTCTCATCTCGAGACGATTTGGGCTACACGGAGCATTCGTCGAGTTGCTGTGCTGAAGTTGGTGTTCCTCTAGACTTGGGACAGTGTTCTCGGGGCATCTCTGGAGTTGCCTGAAGGAAGTCGAGCCACCGGTCGTGTTGAATGGGGAACGGGGAATGGCTGTGGAGTCAATGCAGGGGAATCGGGCCTCATCTCGAGTTGATTTGGGGCACATGGAGCTGCTTTGCGTTGCTGGGGTGACCTCAGGGTCCGTCTAGACTGGTGACAGTGTTCTTGGGGACTGTCTCGAGATCCATTAAGCAAGTCGAAGCTCCTGACTTGTTTGAATGGCATCACGGAATAGCTCTGCATGCACTGAAGGGGAATGGGGCCTCATCTCGCCTCTAGGGGGAAATCTCATGGTTTTTCTCGAGTTGTGGCGGGGACCTGGGGTATGTTCTCGACTTACGGCGGGGATGGCCCTTCAAAACACGAGTTACTTTAGTGACGTCAGGACTCCTGTCTAGTAACGAGGGACACCTCAGGAATCTCTAAGAGGCTTGGCAGGGCAAAAGGGACGCTTCTCGAGGTGAGGCAGGGCACCCAAGGACCCTTTCCAGTAGCCACAGTGATTTTGGGATTCCTATCAGTATTCAAGAGGAGTCAGGCATCGTCACCTTTTGAAGCAATGAACTCCGCGTGCCTCTCGAGGTGTCAGCGGGATGTGAGGCAATCCGTCAAAATGAGGCAGGGACCTAGGGCTTTCTCTAAGCTCTCCACAGGGGATTCAGACATCCCTTCATGTTTTGACATGAAAGACGAGCCTGTATTCAAGCCACTGCTAGGAAATCCGGCCTCCTTTCAAGTTAGGGCTTCTCGCTGTATATTCCCCTTGAGGCACAAACTCGGGGTCCCTCCCACATACTTATTGCTGAGAGAAGCCTCCTCCTGAGGTGCTTCTGGAAAGTTGGCATAAGACTTGAGCCTAATCCAGGGAATCAGCTCTCATCTCGAGACAATTTGGGGTACACGGAGCATTCCTCGAGTTGCTGTGCTGAAGTTGGTGTTCCTCTAGACTTGGGACAGTGTTCTCGGGGCATCTCTGGAGTTGCCTGAAGGAAGTCGAGCCACCGGTCGTGTTGAATGGGGAACGGGGAATGGCTCTGGAGTCAATGCAGGGGAATCGGGCCTCATCTGGAGTTGATTTGGGGCACATGGAGCTGCTTTGCGTTGCTGGGGTGACCTCAGGGTCCGTCTAGACTGGTGACAGTGTTCTTGGGGACTGTCTCGAGATCCATTAAGCAAGTCGAAGCTCCTGACTTGTTTGAATGGGATCACGGAATAGCTCTGCATGCACTGCAGGGGAATGGGGCCCCATCTCGCCTCTAGGGGGGAGTCTCCTTGTTTTTCTCGAGTGGCGGCGGGGACCTGGGGTATGTTCTCGACTTACGGCGGGGATGGCCCTTCAAAACACGAGTTTCTTCAGTGACGTCAGGACTCCTGTCTTGTAACGAGGGACACCTCAGGAATCTCTACGAGGCTTGGCAGGGCAAAAGGGACGCTTCTCGAGGTGAGGCAGGGCACCCAAGGACCCTTTCCCCTAGCCACAGGGATTTTGGGATTCCTATCAGTATTCAAGAGGAGTCAGGCATCGTCACCTTTTGAAGCAATGAACTCCGCGTGCCTCTCGAGGTGTCAGCGGGATGTGAGGCATTCCGTCAAAATGAGGCAGGGACCTAGGGCTTTCTCTAAGGTCTCCACAGGGGATTCAGACATCCCTTCATGTTGTGAGATGAAAGACGAGCCTGTATTCAAGCCACTGCAAGGAAATGCGGCCTCCTTTCAAGTTAGGGCTTCTCGTTGTATATTCCCCTGGAGGCAGCAAACTCGGGGTCCCATCCACATACCTATTGCTGAGAGAAGCCTCCTCCTGAGGTGCTTCTGGAAAGTTGGCATACGTCTTGAGCCTAATCCAGGGAATCAGCTCTCATTTCGAGACAATTTGGGGTACACGGAACATTCCTCGAGTTGCTGTGCTGAAGTTGGTGTTCCTCTAGACTTGGGACAGTGTTCTCGGGGCATCTCTGGAGTTGCCTGAAGGAAGTCGAGCCACCGGTCGTGTTGAATGGGGAACGGGGAATGGCTCTGGAGTCAATGCAGGGGAATCGGGCCTCATCTCGAGTTGATTTGGGGCACATAGAGCTGCTTTGCGTTGCTGGGGTGACCTCAGGGTCCGTCTAGACTGGTGACAGTGTTCTTGGGGACTGTCTCGAGATCCATTAAGCAAGTCGAAGCTCCTGACTTGTTTGAATGGGATCACGGAATATCTCTGCATGCACTGCAGGGGAATGGGGCCTCATCTCGCCTCTAGGGGGAAGTCTCATGGTTTTTCTCGAGTTGCGGTGTGGACTTGGGGTATGTTCTCGACTTACGGCGGGGATGGCCCTTCAAAACACGAGTTTCTTCAGTGACGTCAGGACTCGTGTCTAGTAACGAGGGACACCTCAGGAATCTCTTCGAGGCTTGGCAGGGCAAAAGGGACGCTTCTCGAGGTGAGGCAGGGCACCCAAGGACCCTTTCCCGTAGCCACAGGGATTTTGGGATTCCTATCAGTATTCAAGAGGAGTCAGGCATCGTCACCTTTTGAAGCAATGAACTCCGCGTGCCTCTCGAGGTGTCAGCGGGATGTGAGGCATTCCATCAAAATGAGGCAGGGACCTAGGGCTTTCTCTAAGGTCTCCACAGGGGATTCAGACATCCCTTCATGTTGTGAGATGAAAGACGAGCCTGTATTCAAGCCACTGCAAGGAAATGCGGCCTCCTTTCAAGTTAGGGCTTCTCGCTGTATATTCCCCTTGAGGCAGCAAACTCGGGGTCCCATCCACATACCTATTGCTGAGAGAAGCCTCCTCCTGAGGTGCTTCTGGAAAGCTGGCATACGTCTTGAGCCTAATCCAGGGAATCAGCTCTCATCTCGAGACAATTTGGGGTACACGGAACATTCCTCGAGTTGCTGTGCTGAAGTTGGTGTTCCTCTAGACTTGGGACAGTGTTCTCGGGGCATCTCTGGAGTTGCCTGAAGGAAGTCGAGCCACCCGTCGTGTTGAATGGGGAACGGGGAATGGCTCTGGAGTCAATGCAGGGGAATCGGGCCTCATCTCGAGTTGATTTGGGGAACATAGAGCTGCTTTGCGTTGCTGGGGTGACCTCAGGGTCCGTCTAGACTGGTGACAGTGTTCTTGGGGACTGTCTCGAGATCCATTAAGCAAGTCGAAGCTCCTGACTTGTTTGAATGGGATCACGGAATATCTCTGCATGCACTGCAGGCGAATGGGGCCTCATCTCGCCTCTAGGGGGAAGTCTCATGGTTTTTCTCGAGTTGCGGTGTGGACTTGGGGTATGTTCTCGACTTACGGCGGGGATGGCCCTTCAAAACACGAGTTTCTTCAGTGACGTCAGGACTCGTGTCTAGTAACGAGAGACACCTCAGGAATCTCTTCGAGGCTTGGCAGGGCAAAAGGGATGCTTCTCGAGGTGAGGCAGGGCACCCAAGGACCCTTTCCCCTAGCCACAGGGATTTGGGGATTCCTATCAGTATTCAAGAGGAGTCAGGCATCGTCACCTTTTGAAGCAATGAACTCCGCGTGCCTCTCGAGGTGTCAGCGGGACGTGAGGCATTCCGTCAAAATGAGGCAGGGACCTAGGTCTTTCTCTAAGGTCTCCACAGGGGATTCAGACATCCCTTCATGTTGTGAGATGAAAGACGAGCCTGTATTCAAGCCACTGCAAGGAAATCCGGCCTCCTTTCAAGTTAGGGCTTCTCGCTGTATATTCCCCTTGAGGCAGCAAACTCGGGGTCCCTCCCACATAATTATTGCTGAGAGAAGCCTCCTCCTGAGGTGCTTCTGGAAAGTTGGCATACGTCTTGAGCCTAAGCCAGGGAATCAGCTCTCATCTCGAGACGATTTGGGTTACACGGAGCATTCCTCGAGTTGCTGTGCTGAAGTTGGTGTTCCTCTAGACTTGGGACAGTGTTCTCGGGGCATCTCTGGAGTTGCCTGAAGGAAGTCGAGCCACCGGTCGTGTTGAATGGGGAACAGGGAATGTCTCTGGAGTCAATGAAGGGGAATCGGGCCTCATCTCGAGTTGATTTGGGGCACATGGAGCTGCTTTGCGTTGCTGGGGTGACCTCAGGGTCCGTCTAGACTGGTGACAGTGTTCTTGGGGACTGTCTCGAGATCCATTAAGCAAGTCGAAGCTCCTGACTTGTTTGAATGGGATCACGGAATAGCTCTGCATGCACTGAAGGGGAATGGGGCCTCATCTCGCCTCTAGGGGGAAATCTCATGGTTTTTCTCGAGTTGCGGCGGGGACCTGGGGTATGTTCTCGACTTACGGCGGGGATGGCCCTTCAAAACACGAGTTTCTTCAGTGACGTCAGGACTCCTGTCTTGTAACGAGGGACACCTCAGGAATCTCTACGAGGCTTGGCAGGGCAAAAGGGACGCTTCTCGATGTGAGGCAGGGTACCCAAGGACCCTTTCCAGTAGCCACAGCGATTTTGGGATTCCTATCAGTATTCAAGAGGAGTCAGGCATCGTCACGTTTTGAAGCAATGAACTCCGCGTGCCTCTCGAGGTGTCAGTGGGATGTGAGGCATTCCGTCAAAATGAGGCAGGGACCTAGGGCTTTCTCTAAGGTCTCCACAGGGGATTCAGACATCCCTTCATGTTGTGAGATGAAAGACGAGCCTGTATTCAAGCCACTGCAAGGAAATGCGGCCTCCTTTCAAGTTAGGGCTTCTCGCTGTATATTCCCCTTGAGGCAGCAAACTCGGGGTCCCTTCCACATACCTATTGCTGAGAGAAGCCTCCTCCTGAAGTGCTTCTGGAAAGTTGGCATACGTCTTGAGCCTAATCCAGGGAATCAGCTCTCATCTCGAGACAATTTGGGGTACACGGAGCATTCCTCGAGTTGCTGTGCTGAAGTTGGTGTTCCGCTAGACTTGGGACAGTGTTCTCGGGGCATCTCTGGAGTAAACTGAAGGAAGTCGAGCCACCGGTCGTGTTGAATGGGGAACGGGGAATGGCTCTGGAGTCAATGCAGGGGAATCGGGCCTCATCTCGAGTTGATTTGGGGCACATGGAGCTGCTTTGCGTTGCTGGGGTGACCTCAGGGTCCGTCTAGACTGGTGACAGTGTTCTTGGGGACTGTCTCGAGATCCATTAAGCAAGTCGAAGCTCCTGACTTGTTTGAATGGGATCACGGAATAGCTCTGCATGCACTGCAGGGGAATGGGGCCTCATCTCGCCTCTAGGGGGAAGTCTCATGGTTTTTCTCGAGTTGTGGCGGGGACCTGGGGTATGTTCTCGACTTACGGCGGGGATGGCCCTTCAAAACACGAGTTTCTTTAGTGACGTCAGGACTCCTGTCTAGTAACGAGGGACACCTCAGGAATCTCTAAGAGGCTTGGCAGGGCAAAAGGGACGCTTCTCGAGGTGAGGCAGGGCACCCAAGGACCCTTTCCAGTAGCCACAGGGATTTTGGGATTCCTATCTGTATTCAAGAGGAGTCAGGCATCGTCACCTTTTGAAGCAATGAACTCCGCGTGCCTCTCGAGGTGTCAGCGGGATGTGAGGCAATCCGTCAAAATGAGGCAGGGACCTAGGGCTTTCTCTAAGGTCTCCACAGGGGATTCAGACATCCCTTCATGTTGTGAGATGAAAGACGAGCCTGTATTCAAGCCACTGCTAGGAAATCCGGCCTCCTTTCAAGTTAGGGCTTCTCGCTGTATATTCCCCTTGAGGCACAAACTCGGGGTCCCTCCCACATACTTATTGCTGAGAGAAGCCTCCTCCTGAGGTGCTTCTGGAAAGTTGGCATACGTCTTGAGCCTAATCCAGGGAATCAGCTCTCATCTCGAGACAATTTGGGGTACACGGAGCATTCCTCGAGTTGCTGTGCTGAAGTTGGTGTTCCTCTAGACTTGGGACAGTGTTCTCGGGGCATCTCTGGAGTTGCCTGAAGGAAGTCGAGCCACCGGTCGTGTTGAATGGGGAACGGGGAATGGCTCTGGAGTCAATGCAGGGGAATCGGGCCTCATCTGGAGTTGATTTGGGGCACATGGAGCTGCTTTGCGTTGCTGGGGTGACCTCAGGGTCTGTCTAGACTGGTGACAGTGTTCTTGGGGACTGTCTCGAGATCCATTAAGCAAGTCGAAGCTCCTGACTTGTTTGAATGGGATCACGGAATATCTCTGCATGCACTGCAGGGGAATGGGGCCTCATCTCGCCTCTAGGGGGAAGTCTCATGGTTTTTCTCGAGTTGCGGTGTGGACTTGGGGTATGTTCTCGACTTACGGCGGGGATGGCCCTTCAAAACACGAGTTTCTTCAGTGACGTCAGGACTCGTGTCTAGTAACGAGGGACACCTCAGGAATCTCTTCGAGGCTTGGCAGGGCAAAAGGGACGCTTCTCGAGGTGAGGCAGGGCACCCAAGGACCCTTTCCCCTAGCCACAGGGATTTTGGGATTCCTATCAGTATTCAAGAGGAGTCAGGCATCGTCACCTTTTGAAGCAATGAACTCCGCGTGCCTCTCGAGGTGTCAGCGGGATGTGAGGCATTCCATCAAAATGAGGCAGGGACCTAGGGCTTTCTCTAAGGTCTCCACAGGGGATTCAGACATCCCTTCATGTTGTGAGATGAAAGACGAGCCTGTATTCAAGCCACTGCAAGGAAATGCGGCCTCCTTTCAAGTTAGGGCTTCTCGCTGTATATTCCCCTTGAGGCAGCAAACTCGGGGTCCCATCCACATACCTATTGCTGAGAGAAGCCTCCTCCTGAGGTGCTTCTGGAAAGTTGGCATACGTCTTGAACCTAATTCAGGGAATCAGCTCTCATCTCGAGACAATTTGGGGTACACGGAACATTCCACGAGTTGCTGTGCTGAAGTTGGTGTTCCTCTAGACTTGGGACAGTGTTCTCGGGGCATCTCTGGAGTTGCCTGAAGGAAGTCGAGCCACCGGTCGTGTTGAATGGGGAACGGGGAATGGCTCTGGAGTCAATGCAGGGGAATCGGGCCTCAGCTCGAGTTGATTTGGGGCACATAGAGCTGCTTTGTGTTGCTGGGGTGACCTCAGGGTCCGTCTAGACTGGTGACAGTGTTCTTGGGGACTGTCTCGAGATCCATTAAGCAAGTCGAAGCTCCTGACTTGTTTGAATGGGATCACGGAATATCTCTGCATGCACTGGAGGGGAATGGGGCCTCATCTCGCCTCTAGGGGGAAGTCTCATGGTTTTTCTCGAGTTGCGGTGTGGACTTGGGGTATGTTCTCGACTTACGGCGGGGATGGCCCTTCAAAACACGAGTTTCTTCAGTGACGTCAGGACTCGTGTCTAGTAACGAGGGACACCTCAGGAATCTCTTCGAGGCTTGGCAGGGCAAAAGGGACGCTTCTCGAGGTGAGGCAGGGCACCCAAGGACCCTTTCCCCTAGCCACAGGGATTTTGGGATTCCTATCAGTATTCAAGAGGAGTCAGGCATCGTCACCTTTTGAAGCAATGAACTCCGCGTGCCTCTCGAGGTGTCAGCGGGACGTGAGGCATTCCGTCAAAATGAGGCAGGGACCTAGGTCTTTCTCTAAGGTCTCCACAGGGGATTCAGACATCCCTTCATGTTGTGAGATGAAAGACGAGCCTGTATTCAAGCCACTGCAAGGAAATCCGGCCTCCTTTCAAGTTAGGGCTTCTCGCTGTATATTCCCCTTGAGGCAGCAAACTCGGGGTCCCTCCCACATAATTATTGCTGAGAGAAGCCTCCTCCTGAGGTGCTTCTGGAAAGTTGGCATACGTCTTGAGCCTAAATCAGGGAATCAGCTCTCATCTCGAGACAATTTGGGTTACACGGAGCATTCCTCGAGTTGCTGTGCTGAAGTTGGTGTTCCTCTAGACTTGGGACAGTGTTCTCGGGGCATCTCTGGAGTTGCCTGAAGGAAGTCGAGCCACCGGTCGTGTTGAATGGGGAACAGGGAATGTCTCTGGAGTCAATGAAGGGGAATCGGGCCTCATCTCGAGTTGATTTGGGGCACATGGAGCTGCTTTGCTTTGCTGGGGTGACCTCAGGGTCCATCTAGACTGGTGACAGTGTTCTTGGGGACTGTCTCGAGATCCATTAAGCAAGTCGAAGCTCCTGACTTGTTTGAATGGGATCACGGAATAGCTCTGCATGCACTGCAGGGGAATGGGGCCTCATCTCGCCTCTAGGGGGAAGTCTCATGGTTTTTCTCGAGTTGCGGCGGGGACCTGGGGTATGTTCTCGACTTACGGCGGGGATGGCCCTTCAAAACACGAGTTTCTTCAGTGACGTCAGGACTCGTGTCTAGTAACGAGGGACACCTCAGGAATCTCTTCGAGGCTTGGCAGGGCAAAAGGGACGCTTCTCGAGGTGAGGCAGGGCACCCAAGGACCCTTTCCCGTAGCCACAGGGATTTTGGGATTCCTATCAGTATTCAAGAGGAGTCAGGCATCGTCACCTTTTGAAGCAATAAACTCCGCGTGCCTCTCGAGGTGTCAGCGGGACGTGAGGCATTCCGTCAAAATGAGGCAGGGACCTAGGTCTTTCTCTAAGGTCTCCACAGGGGATTCAGACATCCCTTCATGTTGTGAGATGAAAGACGAGCCTGTATTCAAGCCACTGCAAGGAAATCCGGCCTCCTTTCAAGTTAGGGCTTCTCGCTGTATATTCCCCTTGAGGCAGCAAACTCGGGGTCCCTCCCACATAACTATTGCTGAGAGAAGCCTCCTCCTGAGGTGCTTCTGGAAAGTTGGCATACGTCTTGAGCCTAAGCCAGGGAATCAGCTCTCATCTCGAGACGATTTGGGGTACACGGAGCATTCCTCAAGTTGCTGTGCTGAAGTTAGTGTTCCTCTAGACTTGGGACAGTGTTCTCGGGGCATCTCTGGAGTTGCCTGAAGGAAGTCGAGCCACTGGTCGTGTTGAATGGGGAACGGGTAATGGCTCTGGAGTCAATGCAGGGGAATCGGGCCTCATCTCGAGTTGATTTGGGGCACATGGAGCTGCTTTGCGTTACTGGGGTGACCTCAGGGTCCGTCTAGACTGGTGACAGTGTTCTTGGGGACTGTCTCGAGATCCATTAAGCCAGTCGAATCTCCTGACTTGTTTGAATGGGATCACGGAATAGCTCTGCATGCACTGCAGGGGAATGGGGCCCCATCTCGCCTCTAGGGGGGAGTCTCATTGTTTTTCTCGAGTGGCGGCGGGGACCTGGGGTATGTTCTCGACTTACGGCGGGGATGGCCCTTCAAAACTCGAGTTTCTTCAGTGACGTCAGGACTCCTGTCTTGTAACGAGGGACACCTCAGGAATCTCTACGAGGCTTGGCAGGGCAAAAGGGACGCTTCTCGAGGTGAGGCAGGGTACCCAAGGACCCTTTCCAGTAGCCACAGCGATTTTGGGATTCCTATCAGTATTCAAGAGGAGTCAGACATCGTCAACTTTTGAAGCAATGAACTCCGCGTGCCTCTCGAGGTGTCAGTGGGATGTGAGGCATTCCGTCAAAATGAGGCAGGGACCTAGGGCTTTCTCTAAGGTCTCCACAGGGGATTCAGACATCCCTTCATGTTGTGAGATGAAAGACGAGCCTGTATTCAAGCCACTGCAAGGAAATGTGGCCTCCTTTCAAGTTAGGGCTTCTCGCTGTATATTCCCCTTGAGGCAGCAAACTCGGGGTCCCTTCCACATACCTATTGCTGAGAGAAGCCTCCTCCTGAGGTGCTTCTGGAAAGTTGGCATACGTCTTGAGCCTAATCCAGGGAATCAGCTCTCATCTCGAGACAATTTGGGGTACACGGAGCATTCCTCGAGTTGCTGTGCTGAAGTTGGTGTTCCTCTAGACTTGGGACAGTGTTCTCGGGGCATCTCTGGAGTTGCCTGAAGGAAGTCGAGCCACCGGTCGTGTTGAATGGGGAACGGGGAATGGCTCTGGAGTCAATGCAGGGGAATCGGGCCTCATCTGGAGTTGATTTGGGGCACATGGAGCTGCTTTGCGTTGCTGGGGTGACCTCAGGGTCCGTCTAGACTGGTGACAGTGTTCTTGGGGACTGTCTCGAGATCCATTAAGCAAGTCGAAGCTCCTGACTTGTTAGAATGGGATCACGGAATAGCTCTGCATGCACTGCAGGGGAATGGGGCCCCATCTCGCCTCTAGGGGGGAGTCTCATTGTTTTTCTCGAGTGGCGTCGGGGACCTGGGGTATGTTCTCGACTTACGGCGGGGATGGCCCTTCAAAACACGAGTTTCTTCAGTGACGTCAGGACTCCTGTCTTGTAACGAGGGACACCTCAGGAATCTCTACGAGGCTTGGCAGGGCAAAAGGGACGCTTCTCGAGGTGAGGCAGGGTACCCAAGGACCCTTTCCAGTAGCCACAGCGATTTTGGGATTCCTATCAGTATTCAAGAGGAGTCAGGCATCGTCACCTTTTGAAGCAATGAACTCCGCGTGCCTCTCGAGGTGTCAGCGGGATGTGAGGCATTCCGTCAAAATGTGGCAGGGACCTAGGGCTTTCTCTAAGGTCTCCACAGGGGATTCAGACATCCCTTCATGTTGTGAGATGAAAGACGAGCCTGTATTCAAGCCACTGCAAGGAAATGCGGCCTCCTTTCAAGTTAGGGCTTCTCGCTGTATATTCCCCTTGAGGCAGCAAACTCGGGGTCCCTTCCACATACCTATTGCTGAGAGAAGCCTCCTCCTGAGGTGCTTCTGGAAAGTTGGCATACGTCTTGAGCCTAATCCAGGGAATCAGCTCTCATCTCGAGACAACTTGGGGTACACGGAACATTCCTCGAGTTGCTGTGCTGAAGTTGGTGTTCCTCTAGACTTGGGACAGTGTTCTCGGGGCATCTCTGGAGTTGCCTGAAGGAAGTCGAGCCACCGGTCGTGTTGAATGGGGAACGGGGAATGGCTCTGGATTCAATGCAGGGGAATCGGGCCTCATCTCGAGTTGATTTGGGGCACATAGAGCTGCTTTGTGTTGCTGGGTTGACCTCAGGGTCCGTCTAGACTGGTGACAGTGTTCTTGGGGACTGTCTCGAGATCCATTAAGCAAGTCGAAGCTCCTGACTTGTTTGAATGGGATCACGGAATAGCTCTGCATGCACTGCAGGGGAATGGGGCCTCATCTCACCTCTAGGGGGAAGTCTCATGGTTTTTCTCGAGTTGCGGTGTGGACTTGGGGTATGTTCTCGACTTACGGCGGGGATGGCCCTTCAAAACACGAGTTTCTTCAGTGACGTCAGGACTCGTGTCTAGTAACGAGGGACACCTCAGGAATCTCTAAGAGGCTTGGCAGGGCAAAAGGGACGCTTCTCGAGGTGAGGCTGGGCACCCAAGGACCCTTTCCCCTAGCCACAGGGATTTTGGGATTCCTATCAATATTCAAGAGGAGTTAGGCATCGTCACCTTTTGAAGCAATAAACTCCGCCTGCCTCTCGAGGTGTCAGCGGGACGTGAGGCATTCCGTCAAAATGAGGCAGGGACCTAGGTCTTTCTCTAAGGTCTCCACAGGGGATTCAGACATCCCTTCATGTTGTGAGATGAAAGACGAGCCTGTATTCAAGCCACTGCCAGGAAATCCGGCCTCCTTTCAAGTTAGGGCTTCTCGCTGTATATTCCCCTTGAGGCAGCAAACTCGGGGTCCCTCCCACATAACTATTGCTGAAAGAAGCCTCCTCCTGAGGTGCTTCTGGAAAGTTGGCATACGTCTTGAGCCTAAGCCAGGGAATCAGCTCTCATCTCGAGACGATTTGGGGTACACGGAGCATTCCTCAAGTTGCTGTGCTGAAGTTGGTGTTCCTCTAGACTTGGGACAGTGTTCTCGGGGCATCTCTGGAGTTGCCTGAAGGAAGTCGAGCCACCGGTCGTGTTGAATGGGGAACGGGGAATGGCTCTGGAGTCAATGCAGGGGAATCGGGCCTCACCTGGAGTTGATTTGGGGCACATGGAGCTGCTTTGCGTTGCTGGGGTGACCTCAGGGTCCGTCTAGACTGGTGACAGTGTTCTTGGGGACTGTCTCGAGATCCATTAAGCAAGTCGAAGCTCCTGACTTGTTTGAATGGGATCACGGAATAGCTCTGCATGCACTGCAGGGGAATGGGGCCCCATCTCGCCTCTAGGGGGGAGTCTCATTGTTTTTCTCGAGTGGCGTCGGGGACCTGGGGTATGTTCTCGACTTACGGCAGGGATGGCCCTTCAAAACACGAGTTTCTTCAGTGACGTCAGGACTCCTGTCTTGTAACGAGGGACACCTCAGGAATCTCTACGAGGCTTGGCAGGGCAAAAGGGACGCTTCTCGAGGTGAGGCAGGGTACCCAAGGACCCTTTCCAGTAGCCACAGCGATTTTGGGATTCCTATCAGTATTCAAGAGGAGTCAGGCATCGTCACCTTTTGAAGCAATGAACTCCGCGTGCCTCTCGAGGTGTCAGCGGGATGTGAGGCATTCCGTCAAAATGAGGCAGGGACCTAGGGCTTTCTCTAAGGTCTCCACAGGGGATTCAGACATCCCTTCATGTTGTGAGATGAAAGACGAGCCTGTATTCAAGCCACTGCAAGGAAATGCGGCCTCCTTTCAAGTTAGGGCTTCTCGCTGTATATTCCCCTTGAGGCAGCAAACTCGGGGTCCCATCCACATACCTATTGCTAAGAGAAGCCTCCTCCTGAGGTGCTTCTGGAAAGTTGGCATACGTCTTGAGCCTAATCCAGGGAATCAGCTCTCATCTCGAGACAATTTGGGGTACACGGAACATTCCTCGAGTTGTTGTGCTGAAGTTGGTGTTCCTCTAGACTTGGGACAGTGTTCTCGGGGCATCTCTGGAGTTGCCTGAAGGAAGTCGAGCCACCGGTCATGTTGAATGGGGAACGGGGAATGGCTCTGGAGTCAATGCAGGGGAATCGGGCCTCATCTCGAGTTGATTTGGGGCACATAGAGCTGCTTTGCGTTGCTGGGGTGACCTCAGGGTCCGTCTAGACTGGTGACAGTGTTCTTGGGGACTGTCTCGAGATCCATTAAGCAAGTCGAAGCTCCTGACTTGTTTGAATGGGATCACGGAATAGCTCTGCATGCACTGCAGGGGAATGGGGCCTCATCTCGCCTCTAGGGGGAAGTCTCATGGTTTTTCTCGAGTTGCGGTGTGGACTTGGGGTATGTTCTCGACGTACGGCGGGGATGGCCCTTCAAAACACAAGTTTCTTCAGTGACGTCAGGACTCGTGTCTAGTAACGAGGGACACCTCAGGAATCTCTTCGAGGCTTGGCAGGGCAAAAGGGACGCTTCTCGAGGTGAGGCAGGGCACCCAAGGACCCTTTCCCGTAGCCACAGGGATTTTGGGATTCCTATCAGTATTCAAGAGGAGTCAGGCATCGTCACCTTTTGAAGCAATGAACTCCGCGTGCCTCTCGAGGTGTCAGCGGGACGTGAGGCATTCCGTCAAAATGAGGCAGGGACCTAGGTCTTTCTCTAAGGTCTCCACAGGGGATTCAGACATCCCTTCATGTTGTGAGATGAAAGACGAGCCTGTATTCAAGCCACTGCCAGGAAATCCGGCCTCCTTTCAAGTTAGGGCTTCTCGCTGTATATTCCCCTTGAGGCAGCAAACTCGGGGTCCCTCCCACATAACTATTGCTGAAAGAAGCCTCCTCCTGAGGTGCTTCTGGAAAGTTGGCATACGTCTTGAGCCTAAGCCAGGGAATCAGCTCTCATCTCGAGACGATTTGGGGTACACGGAGCATTCCTCGAGTTGCTGTGCTGAAGTTGGTGTTCCTCTAGACTTGGGACAGTGTTCTCGGGGCATCTCTGGAGTTGCCTGAAGGAAGTCGAGCCACCGGTCGTGTTGAATGGGGAACGGGGAATGGCTCTGGAGTCAATGCAGGGGAATCGGGCCTCATCTGGAGTTGATTTGGGGCACATGGAGCTGCTTTGCGTTGCTGGGGTGACCTCAGGGTCCGTCTAGACTGGTGACAGTGTTCTTGGGGACTGTCTCGAGATCCATTAAGCAAGTCGAAGCTCCTGACTTGTTTGAATGGGATCACGGAATAGCTCTGCATGCACTGCAGGGGAATGGGGCCCCATCTCGCCTCTAGGGGGGAGTCTCATTGTTTTTCTCGAGTGGCTGCGGGGACCTGGGGTATGTTCTCGACTTACGGCAGGGATGGCCCTTCAAAACACGAGTTTCTTCAGTGACGTCAGGACTCCTGTCTTGTAACGAGGGACACCTCAGGAATCTTTACGAGGCTTGGCAGGGCAAAAGGGACGCTTCTCGAGGTGAGGCAGGGTACCCAAGGACCCTTTCCAGTAGCCACAGCGATTTTGGGATTCCTATCAGTATTCAAGAGGAGTCAGGCATCGTCACCTTTTGAAGCAATGAACTCCGCGTGCCTCTCGAGGTGTCAGCGGGATGTGAGGCATTCCGTCAAAATGAGGCAGGGACCTAGGGCTTTCTCTAAGGTCTCCACAGGGGATTCAGACATCCCTTCATGTTGTGAGATGAAAGACGAGCCTGTATTCAAGCCACTGCAAGGAAATGCGGCCTCCTTTCAAGTTAGGGCTTCTCGCTGTATATTCCCCTTGAGGCAGCAAACTCGGGGTCCCATCCACATACCTATTGCTGAGAGAAGCCTCCTCCTGAGGTGCTTCTGGAAAGTTGGCATACGTCTTGAGCCTAATCCAGGGAATCAGCTCTCATCTCGAGACAATTTGGGGTACACGGAACATTCCTCGAGTTGTTGTGCTGAAGTTGGTGTTCCTCTAGACTTGGGACAGTGTTCTCGGGGCATCTCTGGAGTTGCCTGAAGGAAGTCGAGCCACCGGTCGTGTTGAATGGGGAACGGGGAATGGCTCTGGAGTCAATGCAGGGGAATCGGGCCTCATCTCGAGTTGATTTGGGGCACATAGAGCAGCTTTGCGTTGCTGGGGTGACCTCAGGGTCCGTCTAGACTGGTGACAGTGTTCTTGGGGACTGTCTCGAGATCCATTAAGCAAGTCGAAGCTCCTGACTTGTTTGAATGGGATCACGGAATAGCTCTGCATGCACTGCAGGGGAATGGGGCCTCATCTCGCCTCTAGGGGGAAGTCTCATGGTTTTTCTCGAGTTGCGGTGTGGACTTGGGGTATGTTCTCGACGTACGGCGGGGATGGCCCTTCAAAACACAAGTTTCTTCAGTGACGTCAGGACTCGTGTCTAGTAACGAGGGACACCTCAGGAATCTCTTCGAGGCTTGGCAGGGCAAAAGGGACGCTTCTCGAGGTGAGGCAGGGCACCCAAGGACCCTTTCCCGTAGCCAAAGGGATTTTGGGATTCCTATCAGTATTCAAGAGGAGTCAGGCATCGTCACCTTTTGAAGCAATGAACTCCGCGTGCCTCTCGAGGTGTCAGCGGGACGTGAGGCATTCCGTCAAAATGAGGCAGGGACCTAGGTCTTTCTCTAAGGTCTCCACAGGGGATTCATACATCCCTTCATGTTGTGAGATGAAAGACGAGCCTGTATTCAAGCCACTGCAAGGAAATCCGGCCTCCTTTCAAGTTAGGGCTTCTCGCTGTATATTCCCCTTGAGGCAGCAAACTCGGGGTCCCTCCCACATACCTATTGCTGAGAGAAGCCTCCTCCTGAGGTGCTTCTGGAAAGTTGGCATACGTCTTGAGCCTAAGCCAGGGAATCAGCTCTCATCTCGAGACGATTTGGGTTACACGGAGCATTCCTCGAGTTGCTGTGCTGAAGTTGGTGTTCCTCTAGACTTGGGACAGTGTTCTCGGGGCATCTCTGGAGTTGCCTGAAGGAAGTCGAGCCACCGGTCGTGTTGAATGGGGAACAGGGAATGTCTCTGGAGTCAATGAAGGGGAATCGGGCCTCATCTGGAGTTGATTTGGGGCACATGGAGCTGCTTTGCGTTGCTGGGGTGACCTCAGGGTCCGTCTAGACTGGTGACAGTGTTCTTGGGGACTGTCTCGAGATCCATTAAGCAAGTCGAAGCTCCTGACTTGTTTGAATGGGATCACGGAATAGCTCTGCATGCACTGAAGGGGAATGGGGCCTCATCTCGCCTCTAGGGGGAAATCTCATGGTTTTTCTCGAGTTGCGGCGGGGACCTGGGGTACGTTCTCGACTTACGGCGGGGATGGCCCTTCAAAACACGAGTTTCTTCAGTGACGTCAGGACTCCAGTCTTGTAACGAGGGACACCTCAGGAATCTCTACGAGGCTTGGCAGGGCAAAAGGGACGCTTCTCGAGGTGAGGCAGGGTACCCAAGGACCCTTTCCAGTAGCCACAGCGATTTTGGGATTCCTATCAGTATTCAAGAGGAGTCAGGCATCGTCACCTTTTGAAGCATTGAACTCCGCGTGCCTCTCGAGGTGTCAGTGGGATGTGAGGCTTTCCGTCAAAATGAGGCAGGGACCTAGGGCTTTCTCTAAGGTCTCCACAGGGGATTCAGACATCCCTTCATGTTGTGAGATGAAAGACGAGCCTGTATTCAAGCCACTGCAAGGAAATGCGGCCTCCTTTCAAGTTAGGGCTTCTCGCTGTATATTCCCCTTGAGGCAGCAAACTCGGGGTCCCTTCCACATACCTATTGCTGAGAGAAGCCTCCTCCTGAGGTGCTTCTGGAAAGTTGGCATACGTCTTGAGCCTAATCCAGGGAATCAGCTCTCATCTCGAGACAATTTGGGGTACACGGAGCATTCCTCGAGTTGCTGTGCTGAAGTTGGTGTTCCTCTAGACTTGGGACAGTGTTCTCGGGGCATCTCTGGAGTTGCCTGAAGAAAGTCGAGCCACCGGTCGTGTTGAATGGGGAACGGGGAATGGCTCTGGAGTCAATGCAGGGGAATCGGGCCTCATCTCGAGTTGATTTGGGGCACATGGAGCTGCTTTGCGTTGCTGGGGTGACCTCAGGGTCCGTCTAGACTGGTGACAGTATTCTTGGGGACTGTCTCGAGATCCATTAAGCAAGTCGAAGCTCCTGACTTGTTTGAATGGGATCACGGAATAGCTCTGCATGCACTGCAGGGGAATGGGGCCTCATCTCCCCTCTAGGGGGAAGTCTCATGGTTTTTCTCGAGTTGCGGCGGGGACCTGGGGTATGTTCTCGACTTACGGCGGGGATGGCCCTTCAAAACACGAGTTTCTTCAGTGACGTCAGGACTCCTGTCTAGTAACGAGGGACACCTCAGGAATCTCTTCGAGGCTTGGCAGGGCAAAAGGGACGCTTCTCGAGGTGAGGCAGGGCACCCAAGGACCCTTTCCCGTAGCCACAGGGATTTTGGGATTCCTATCAGTATTCAAGAGGAGTCAGGCATCGTCACCTTTTGAAGCAATGAACTCCGCGTGCCTCTTGAGGTGTCAGCGGGATGTGAGGCATTCCGTCAAAATGAGGCAGGGACCTAGGGCTTTCTCTAAGGTCTCCACAGGGGATTCAGACATCCCTTCATGTTGTGAGATGAAAGACGAGCCTGTATTCAAGCCACTGAAAGGAAATCCGGCCTCCTTTCACGTTAGGGCTTCTCGCTGTATATTCCCCTTGAGGCAGCACACTCGGGTCCCACCCAAATACCTATTGCTGAGAGAAGCCTCCTCCTGAGGTGCTTCTGGAAAGTTGGCAGAAGTCCTGAGCCTAAGCCAGGGAATCAGCTCTCATCTCGAGACGATTTGGGGTACACAGAGCATTCCTCGAGTTGCTGTGCTGAAGTTGGTGTTCCTCTAGACTTGGGACAGTGTTCTCGGGGCATCTCTGGAGTTGCCTGAAGGAAGTCGAGCCACCGGTCGTGTTGAATGGGGAACGGGGAATGGCTCTGGAGTCAATGCAGGGGAATCGGGCCTCATCTCGAGTTGATTTGGGGCACATGGAGCTGCTTTGCGTTGCTGGGGTGACCTCAGGGTCCGTCTAGACTGGTGACAGTGTTCTTGGGGACTGTCTCGAGATCCATTAAGCAAGTCGAAGCTCCTGACTTGTTTGAATGGGATCACGGAATAGCTCTGCATGCACTGCAGGGGAATGGGGCCTCATCTCCCCTCTAGGGGGAAGTCTCATGGTTTTTCTCGAGTTGCGGCGGGGACCTGGGGTATGTTCTCGACTTACGGCGGGGATGGCCCTTCAAAACACGAGTTTCTTCAGTGACGTCAGGACTCCTGTCTAGTAACGAGGGACACCTCAGGAATCTCTAAGAGGCTTGGCAGGGCAAAAGGAACGCTTCTCGAGGTGAGGCAGGGCACCCAAGTACCCTTTCCCCTAGCCACAGGGATTTTGGGATTCCTATCAGTATTCAAGAGGAGTCAGGCATCGTCACCTTTTGAAGCAATGAACTCCGCGTGCCTCTTGAGGTGTCAGCGGGATGTGAGGCATTCCGTCAAAATGAGGCAGGGACCTAGGGCTTTCTCTAAGGTCTCCACAGGGGATTCAGACATCCCTTCATGTTGTGAGATGAAAGACGAGCCTGTATTCAAGCCACTGAAAGGAAATCCGGCCTCCTTTCAAGTTAGGGCTTCTCGCTGTATATTCCCCTTGAGGCAGCACACTCGGGTCCCACCCAAATACCTATTGCTGAGAGAAGCCTCCTCCTGAGGTGCTTCTGGAAAGTTGGCATAAGTCCTGAGCCTAAGCCAGGGAATCAGCTCTCATCTCGAGACGATTTGGGGTACACAGAGCATTCCTCGAGTTGCTGTGCTGAAGTTGGTGTTCCTCTAGACTTGGGACAGTGTTCTCGGGGCATCTCTGGAGTTGCCTGAAGGAAGTCGAGCCACCGGTCGTGTTGAATGGGGAACGGGGAATGGCTCTGGAGTCAATGCAGGGGAATCGGGCCTCATCTCGAGTTGATTTGGGGCACATGGAGCTGCTTTCCGTTGCTGCGGTGACCTCAGGGTCCGTCTAGACTGGTGACAGTGTTCTTGGGGACTGTCTCGAGATCCATTAAGCAAGTCGAAGCTCCTGACTTGTTTGAATTGGATCACCGGATAGCTCTGCATGCACTGCAGGGGAATGGGGCCTCATCTCGCCTCTAGGGGGAAGTCTCATGGTTTTTCTCGAGTTGAGGCGGGGACCTGGGGTATGTTCTCGACTTACGGCGGGGATGGCCCTTCAAAACACGAGTTTCTTTAGTGACGTCAGGACTCCTGTCTAGTAACGAGGGACACCTCAGGAATCTCTAAGAGGCTTGGCAGGGCAAAAGGGACGCTTCTCGAGGTGAGGCAGGGCACCCAAGGACCCTTTCCCCTAGCCACAGGGATTTTGGGATTCCTATCAGTATTCAAGAGGAGTCAGGCATCGTCACCTTTTGAAGCAATGAACTCCGCGTGCCTCTCGAGGTGTCAGCGGGATGTGAGGCATTCCGTCAAAATGAGGCAGGGACCTAGGGCTTTCTCTAAGGTCTCCACAGGGGATTCAGACATCCCTTCATGTTGTGAGATGAAAGACGAACCTGTATTTAAGCCACTGCAAGGAAATCCGGCCTCCTTTCAAGTTAGGGCTTCTCGCTGTATATTCCCCTTGAGGCACAAACTCGGGGTCCCTCCCACATACTTATTGCTGAGAGAAGCCTCCTCCTGAGGTGCTTCTGGAAAGTTGGCATACGTCTTGAGCCTTGGCCAGGGAATCAGCTCCCATCTCGAGACGATTTGGGTTAAACGAAGCATTCGTCGAGTTGCTGTGCTGAAGTTGGTGTTCCTCTAGACTTGGGACAGTGTTCTCGGGGCATCTCTGGAGTTGCCTGAAGCAAGTCGAGCCACGGGTCGTGTTCAATGGGGAATGGGGAATGGCTCTGGAGTCAATGCAGGGGAATCGGGCCTCATCTCGAGTTGATTTGGGGCACATAGAGCTGCTTTGCGTTGCTGGGGTGACCTCAGGGTCCGTCTAGACTGGTGACAGTGTTCTTGGGGACTGTCTCCAGATCCATTAAGCAAGTCGAAGCTCCTGACTTGTTTGAATGGGATCACGGAATAGCTCTGCATGCACTGCAGGGGAATGGGGCCTCATCTCGCCTCAAGGGGGAAGTCTCATGGTTTTTCTCGAGTTGCGGTGTGGACTTGGGGTATGTTCTCGACTTACGGCGGGGATGGCCCTTCAAAACACGAGTTTCTTCAGTGACGTCAGGACTCCTGTCTAGTAACGAGGGACACCTCAGGAATCTCTTCGAGGCTTGGCAGGGCAAAAGGGACGCTTCTCGAAGTGAGGCAGGGCACCCAAGGACCCTTTCCCGTAGCCACAGGGATTTTGGGATTCCTATCAGTATTCAAGAGGAGTCAGGCATCGTCACCTTTTGAAGCAATGAACTCCGCGTGCCTCTCGAGGTGTCAGCGGGACGTGAGGCATTCCGTCAAAATGAGGCAGGGACCTAGGTCTTTCTCTAAGGTCTCCACAGGAGATTCAGACATCCCTTCATGTTGTGAGATGAAAGACGAGCCTGTATTCAAGCCACTGCAAGGAAATCCGGCCTCCTTTCAAGTTAGGGCTTCTCGCTGTATATTCCCCTTGAGGCAGCAAACTCGGGGTCCCTCCCACATAACTATTGCTGAGAGAAGCCTCCTCCTGAGGTGCTTCTGGAAAGTTGGCATACGTCTTGAGCCTAAGCCAGGGAATCAGCTCTCATCTCGAGACGATTTGGGGTACACGGAGCATTCCTCAAGTTGCTGTGCTGAAGTTGGTGTTCCTCTAGACTTGGGACAGTGTTCTCGGGGCATCTCTGGAGTTGCCTGAAGGAAGTCGAGCCACCGGTCGTGTTGAATGGGGAACGGGGAATGGCTCTGGAGTCAATGCAGGGGAATCGGGCCTCATCTGGAGTTGATTTGGGGCACATGGAGCTGCTTTGCGTTGCTGGGGAGACCTCAGGGTCCGTCTAGACTGGTGACAGTGTTCTTGGGGACTGTCTCGAGATCCATTAAGCAAGTCGAAGCTCCTGACTTGTTAGAATGGGATCACGGAATAGCTCTGCATGCACTGCAGGGGAATGGGGCCCCATCTCGCCTCTAGGGGGGAGTCTCATTGTTTTTCTCGAGTGGCGTCGGGGACCTGGGGTATGTTCTCGACTTACGGCGGGGATGGCCCTTCAAAACACGAGTTTCTTCAGTGACGTCAGGACTCCTCTCTTGTAACGAGGGACACCTCAGGAATATCTACGAGGCTTGGCAGGGCAAAAGGGACGCTTCTCGAGGTGAGGCAGGGTACCCAAGGACCCTTTCCAGTAGCCACAGCAATTTTGGGATTCCTATCAGTATTCAAGAGGAGTCAGGCATCGTCACCTTTTGAAGCAATGAACTCCGCGTGCCTCTCGAGGTGTCAGCGGGATGTGAGGCATTCCGTCAAAATGTGGCAGGGACCTAGGGCTTTCTCTAAGGTCTCCACAGGGGATTCAGACATCCCTTCATGTTGTGAGATGAAAGACGAGCCTGTATTCAAGCCACTGCAAGGAAATGCGGCCTCCTTTCAAGTTAGGGCTTCTCGCTGTATATTCCCCTTGAGGCAGCAAACTCGGGGTCCCTTCCACATACCTATTGCTGAGAGAAGCCTCCTCCTGAGGTGCTTCTGGAAAGTTGGCATAGGTCTTGAGCCTAATCCAGGGAATCAGCTCTCATCTCGAGACAACTTGGGGTACACGGAACATTCCTCGAGTTGCTGTGCTGAAGTTGGTGTTCCTCTAGACTTGGGACAGTGTTCTCAGGGCATCTCTGGAGTTGCCTGAAGGAAGTCGAGCCACCGGTCGTGTTGAATGGGGAACGGGGAATGGCTCTGGAGTCAATGCAGGGGAATCGGGCCTCATCTCGAGTTGATTTGGGGCACATAGAGCTGCTTTGTGTTGCTGGGGTGACCTCAGGGTCCGTCTAGACTGGTGACAGTGTTCTTGGGGACTGTCTCGAGATCCATTAAGCAAGTCGAAGCTCCTGACTTGTTTGAATGGGATCACGGAATAGCTCTGCATGCACTGCAGGGGAATGGGGCCTCATCTCGCCTCTAGGGGGAAGTCTCATGGTTTTTCTCGAGTTGCGGTGTGGACTTGGGGTATGTTCTCGACTTACGGCGGGGATGGCCCTTCAAAACACGAGTTTCTTCAGTGACGTCAGGACTCGTGTCTAGTAACGAGGGACACCTCAGGAATCTCTTCGAGGCTTGGCAGGGCAAAAGGGACGCTTCTCGAAGTGAGTCTGGGCACCCAAGGACCCTTTCCCCTAGCCACAGGGATTTTGGGATTCCTATCAATATTCAAGAGGAGTTAGGCATCGTCACCTTTTGAAGCAATAAACTCCGCCTGCCTCTCGAGGTGTCAGCGGGACGTGAGGCATTCCGTCAAAATGAGGCAGGGACCTAGGTCTTTCTCTAAGGTCTCCACAGGGGATTCAGACATCCCTTCATGTTGTGAGATGAAAGACGAGCCTGTATTCAAGCCACTGCCAGGAAATCCGGCCTCCTTTCAAGTTAGGGCTTCTCGCTGTATATTCCCCTTGAGGCAGCAAACTCGGGGTCCCTCCCACATAACTATTGCTGAAAGAAGCCTCCTCCTGAGGTGCTTCTGGAAAGTTGGCATACGTCTTGAGCCTAAGCCAGGGAATCAGCTCTCATCTCGAGACGATTTGGGGTACACGGAGCATTCCTCAAGTTGCTGTGCTGAAGTTGGTGTTCCTCTAGACTTGGGACAGTGTTCTCGGGGCATCTCTGGAGTTGCCTGAAGGAAGTCGAGCCACCGGTCGTGTTGAATGGGGAACGGGGAATGGCTCTGGAGTCAATGCAGGGGAATCGGGCCTCATCTGGAGTTGATTTGGGGCACATGGAGCTGCTTTGCGTTGCTGGGGTGACCTCAGGGTCCGTCTAGACTGGTGACAGTGTTCTTGGGGACTGTCTCGAGATCCATTAAGCAAGTCGAAGCTCCTGACTTGTTTGAATGGGATCACGGAATAGCTCTGCATGCACTGCAGGGGAATGGGGCCCCATCTCGCCTCTAGGGGGGAGTCTCATTGTTTTTCTCGAGTGGCGGCGGGGACCTGGGGTATGTTCTCGACTTACGGCGGGGATGGCCCTTCAAAACACGAGTTTCTTCAGTGACGTCAGGACTCCTGTCTTGTAACGAGGGACAACTCAGGAATCTCTACGAGGCTTGGCAGGGCAAAAGGGACGCTTCTCGAGGTGAGGCAGGGTACCCAAGGACCCTTACCAGTAGCCACAGCGATTTTGGGATTCCTATCAGTATTCAAGAGGAGTCAGGCATCGTCACCTTTTGAAGCAATGAACTCCGCGTGCCTCTCGAGGTGTCAGTGGGATGTGAGGCATTCCGTCAAAATGAGGCAGGGACCTAGGGCTTTCTCTAAGGTCTCCACAGGGGATTCAGACATCCCTTCATGTTGTGAGATGAAAGACGAGCCTGTATTCAAGCCACTGCAAGGAAATGCGGCCTCCTTTCAAGTTAGGGCTTCTCGCTGTATATTCCCCTTGAGGCAGCAAACTCGGGGTCCCTTCCACATACCTATTGCTAAGAGAAGCCTCCTCCTGAGGTGCTTCTGGAAAGTTGGCATACGTCTTGAGCCTAATCCAGGGAATCAGCTCTCATCTCGAGACAATTTGGGGTACACGGAGCATTCCTCGAGTTGCTGTGCTGAAGTTGGTGTTCCTCTAGACTTGGGACAGTGTTCTCGGGGCATCTCTGGAGTTGCCTGAAGGAAGTCGAGCCACCGATCGTGTTGAATGGGGAACGCGGAATGGCTCTGGAGTCAATGCAGGGGAATCGGGCCTCATCTCGAGTTGATTTGGGGCACATGGAGCTGCTTTGCGTTGCTGGGGTGACCTCAGGGTCCGTCTAGACTGGTGACAGTGTTCCTGGGGACTGTCTCGAGATCCATTAAGCAAGTCGAAGCTCCTGACTTGTTTGAATGGGATCACGGAATAGCTCTGCATGCACTGCAGGGGAATGGGGCCTCATCTCGCCTCTAGGGGGAAGTCTCATGGTTTTTCTCGAGTTGCGGCGGGGACTTGGGGTATGTTCTCGACTTAAGGCGGGGATGGCCCTTCAAAACACGAGTTTCTTCAGTGACGTCAGGACTCCTGTCTAGTAACGAGGGACACCTCAGGAATCTCTAAGAGGCTTGGCAGGGCAAAAGGAACGCTTCTCGAGGTGAGGCAGGGCACCCAAGTACCCTTTACCCTGGCCACAGCGATTTTGGGATTCCTATCAGTATTCAAGAGGAGTCAGGCATCGTCACCTTTTGAAGCAATGAACTCCGCGTGCCTCTCGAGGTGTCAGCGGGATGTGAGGCATTCCGTCAAAATGAGGCAGGGACCTAGGGCTTTCTCTAAGGTCTCCACAGGGGATTCAGACATCCCTTCATGTTGTGAGATGAAAGACGAACCTGTATTTAAGCCACTGCAAGGAAATCCGGTCTCCTTTCAAGTTAGGGCTTCTCGCTGTATATTCCCCTTGAGGCACAAACTCGGGGTCCCTCCCACATACTTATTGCTGAGAGAAGCCTCCTCCTGAGGTGCTTCTGGAAAGTTGGCATACGTCTTGAGCCTTGGCCAGGGAATCAGCTCCCATCTCGAGACGATTTGGGTTACACGAAGCATTCGTCGAGTTGCTGTGCTGAAGTTGGTGTTCCTCTAGACTTGGGACAGTGTTCTCGGGGCATCTCTGCAGTTGCCTGAAGGAAGTCGAGCCACCGGTCATGTTGAATGGGGAACGGGGAATGGCTCTGGAGTCAATGCAGGGGAATCGGGCCTCATCTCGAGTTGATTTGGGGCACATAGAGCTGCTTTGCGTTGCTGGGGTGACCTCAGGGTCCGTCTAGACTGGTGACAGTGTTCTTGGGGACTGTCTCGAGATCCATTAAGCAAGTCGAAGCTCCTGACTTGTTTGAATGGGATCACGGAATAGCTCTGCATGCACTGCAGGGGAATGGGGCCCCATCTCGCCTCTAGGGGGGAGTCTCATTGTTTTTCTCGAGTGGCGGCGGGGACCTGGGGTATGTTCTCGACTTACGGCGGGGATGGCCCTTCAAAACACGAGTTTCTTCAGTGACGTCAGGACTCGTGTCTAGTAACGAGGGACACCTCAGGAATCTCTATGAGGCTTGGCAGGGCAAAAGGGATGCTTCTCGAGGTGAGGCAGGGCACCCAAGGACCCTTTCCCGTAGCCACAGGGATTTTGGGATTCCTATCAGTATTCAAGAGGAGTCAGGCATCGTCACCTTTTGAAGCAATGAACTCCGCGTGCCTCTCGAGGTGTCAGCGGGACGTGAGGCATTCCGTCAAAATGAGGCAGGGACCTAGGTCTTTCTCTAAGGTCTCCACAGGGGATTCAGACATCCCTTCATGTTGTGAGATGAAAGACGAGCCTGTATTCAAGCCACTGCAAGGAAATCCGGCCTCCTTTCAAGTTAGGGCTTCTCGCTGTATATTCCCCTTGAGGCAGCAAACTCGGGGTCCCTCCCACATAACTATTGCTGAGAGAAGCCTCCTCCTGAGGTGCTTCTGGAAAGTTGGCATACGTCTTGAGCCTAAGCCAGGGAATCAGCTCTCATCTCGAGACGATTTGGGGTACACGGAGCATTCCTCAAGTTGCTGTGCTGAAGTTGGTGTTCCTCTAGACTTGGGACAGTGTTCTCGGGGCATCTCTGGAGTTGCCTGAAGGAAGTCGAGCCACCGGTCGTGTTGAATGGGGAACGGGGAATGGCTCTGGAGTCAATGCAGGGGAATCGGGCCTCATCTGGAGTTGATTTGGGGCACATGGAGCTGCTTTGCGTTGCTGGGGTGACCTCATGGTCGGTCTAGACTGGTGACAGTGTTCTTGGGGACTGTCTCGAGATCCATTAAGCAAGTCGAAGCTCCTGACTTGTTTGAATGGGATCACGGAATAGCTCTGCATGCACTGCAGGGGAATGGGGCCCCATCTCGCCTCTAGGGGGGAGTCTCATTGTATTTCTCGAGTGGCGGCGGGGACCTGGGGTATGTTCTCGACTTACAGCGGGGATGGCCCTTCAAAACACGAGTTTCTTCAGTGACGTCAGGACTCCTGTCTTGTAACGAGGGACACCTCAGGAATCTCTACGAGGCTTGGCAGGGCAAAAGGGACGCTTCTCGAGGTGAGGCAGGGTACCCAAGCACCCTTTCCAGTAGCCACAGCGATTTTGGGATTCCTATCAGTATTCAAGAGGAGTCAGGCATCGTCACCTTTTGAAGCAATGAACTCCGCGTGCCTCTCGAGGTGTCAGTGCGATGTGAGGCATTCCGTCAAAATGAGGCAGGGACCTAGGGCTTTCTCTAAGGTCTCGACAGGGGATTCAGACATCCCTTCATGTTGTGAGATGAAAGACGAGCCTGTATTCAAGCCACTGCAAGGAAATCCGGCCTCCTTTCAAGTTAGGGCTTCTCGCTGTATATTCCCCTTGAGGCAGCAAACTCGGGGTCCCTCCCACATAACTATTGCTGAGAGAAGCCTCCTCCTGAGGTGGTTCTGGAAAGTTGGCATACGTCTTGAGCCTAAGCCAGGGAATCAGCTCTCATCTCGAGATGATTTGGGGTACACGGAGCATTCCTCAAGTTGCTGTGCTGAAGTTGGTGTTCCTCTAGACTTGGGACAGTGTTCTCGGGGCATCTCTGGAGTTGCCTGAAGGAAGTCGAGCCACCGGTCGTGTTGAATGGGGAACGGGGAATGGCTCTGGAGTCAATGCAGGGGAATAGGGCCTCATGTGGAGTTGATTTGGGGCACATGGAGCTGCTTTGCGTTGCTGGGGTGACCTTAGGGTCCGTCTAGACTGGTGACAGTGTTCTTGGGGACTGTCTCGAGATCCATTAAGCAAGTCGAAGCTCCTGACTTGTTTGAATGGGATCACGGAATAGCTCTGCATGCACTGCAGGGGAATGGGGCCCCATCTTGCCTCTAGGGGGGAGTCTCATTGTTTTTCTCGAGTGGCGGCGGGGACCTGGGGTATGTTCCCGACATACGGCGGGGATGGCCCTTCAAAACACGAGTTTCTTCAGTGACGTCAGGACTCCTGTCTTGTAACGAGGGACACCTCAGGAATCTCTACGAGGCTTGGCAGGGCAAAAGGGACGCTTCTCGAGGTGAGGCAGGGTACCCAAGGACCCTTTCCAGTAGCCACAGCGATTTTGGGATTCCTATCAGTATTCAAGAGGAGTCAGGCATCGTCACCTTTTGAAGCAATGAACTCCGCGTGCCTCTCGAGGTGTCAGTGGGATGTGAGGCATTCCGTCAAAATGAGGCAGGGACCTAGGGCTTTCTCTAAGGTCTCCACAGGGGATTCAGACATCCCTTCATGTTGTGAGATGAAAGACGAGCCTGTATTCAAGCCACTGCAAGGAAATCCGGCCTCCTTTCAAGTTAGGGCTTCTCGCTGTATATTCCCCTTGAGGCAGCAAACTCGGGGTCCCTCCCACATAACTATTGCTGAGAGAAGCCTCCTCCTGAGGTGCTTCTGGAAAGTTGGCATACGTCTTGAGCCTAAGCCAGGGAATCAGCTCTTATCTCGAGACGATTTGGGGTACACGGAGCATTCCTCAAGTTGCTGTGCTGAAGTTGGTGTTCCTCTAGACTTGGGACAGTGTTCTCGGGGCATCTCTGGAGTTGCCTGAAGGAAGTCGAGCCACCGGTCGTGTTGAATGGGGAACGGGGAATGGCTCTGGAGTCAATGCAGGGGAATCGGGCCTCATCTGGAGTTGATTTGGGGCACATGGAGCTGCTTTGCGTTGCTGGGGTGACCTCATGGTCGGTCTAGACTGGTGACAGTGTTCTTGGGGACTGTCTCGAGATCCATTAAGCAAGTCGAAGCTCCTGACTTGTTTGAATGGGATCACGGAATAGCTCTGCATGCACTGCAGGGGAATGGGGCCCCATCTCGCCTCTAGGGGGGAGTCTCATTGTTTTTCTCGAGTGGCGGCGGGGACCTGGGGTATGTTCTCGACTTACGGCGGGGATGGCCCTTCAAAACACGAGTTTCTTCAGTGACGTCAGGACTCCTGTCTTGTAACGAGGGACACCTCAGGAATCTCTACGAGGCTTGGCAGGGCAAAAGGGACGCTTCTCGAGGTGAGGCAGGGTACCCAAGGACCCTTTCCAGTAGCCACAGCGATTTTGGGATTCCTATCAGTATTCAAGAGGAGTCAGGCATCGTCACCTTTTGAAGCAATGAACTCCGCGTGCCTCTCGAGGTGTCAGTGGGATGTGAGGCATTCCGTCAAAATGAGGCAGGGATCTAGGTCTTTCTCTAAGGTCTCCACAGGGGATTCAGACATCCCTTCATGTTGTGAGATGAAAGACGAGCCTGTATTCAAGCCACTGCAAGGAAATGCGGCCTCCTTTCAAGTTAGGGCTTCTCGCTGTATATTCCCCTTGAGGCAGCAAACTCGGGGTCCCTTCCACATACCTATTGCTGAGAGAAGCCTCCTCCTGAGGTGCTTCTGGAAAGTTGGCATACGTCTTGAGCCTTGGCCAGGGAATCAGCTCTCATCTCGAGACAATTTGGGGTACACGGAGCATTCCTCGAGTTGCTGTGCTTAAGTTGGTGTTCCTCTAGACTTGGGACAGTGTTCTCGGGGCATCTCTGGAGTTGCCTGAAGGAAGTCGAGCCACCGGTCGTGTTGAATGGGGAACGGGGAATGGCTCTGGAGTCAATGCAGGGGAATCGGGCCTCATCTCGAGTTGATTTGGGGCACATGGAGCTGCTTTGCGTTGCTGGGGTGACCTCAGGGTCCGTCTAGACTGGTGACAGTGTTCTTGGGGACTGTCTCGAGATCCATTAAGCAAGTCGAAGCTCCTGACTTGTTTGAATGGGATCACGGAATAGCTCTGCATGCACTGCAGGGGAATGGGGCCTCATCTCGCCTCTAGGGGGAAGTCTCATGGTTTTTCTCGAGTTGCGGCGGGGACTTGGGGTATGTTCTCGACTTAAGGCGGGGATGGCCCTTCAAAACACGAGTTTCTTCAGTGACGTCAGGACTCCTGTCTAGTAACGAGGGACACCTCAGGAATCTCTAAGAGGCTTGGCAGGGCAAAAGGAACGCTTCTCGAGGTGAGGCAGGGCACCCAAGTACCCTTTCCCCTGGCCACAGCGATTTTGGGATTCCTATCAGTATTCAAGAGGAGTCAGGCATCGTCACCTTTTGAAGCAATGAACTCCGCGTGCCTCTCGAGGTGTCAGCGGGATGTGAGGCATTCCGTCAAAATGAGGCAGGGACCTAGGGCTTTCTCTAAGGTCTCCACAGGGGATTCAGACATCCCTTCATGTTGTGAGATGAAAGACGAGCCTGTATTCAAGCCACTGCAAGGAAATCCGGCCTCCTTTCAAGTTAGGGCTTCTCGCTGTATATTCCCCTTGAGGCAGCAAACTCGGGGTCCCTCCCACATAACTATTGCTGAGAGAAGCCTCCTCCTGAGGTGCTTCTGGAAAGTTGGCATACGTCTTGAGCCTAAGCCAGGGAATCAGCTCTCATCTCGAGACGATTTGGGGTACACGGAGCATTCCTCAAGTTGCTGTGCTGAAGTTGGTGTTCCTCTAGACTTGGGACAGTGTTCTCGGGGCATCTCTGGAGTTGCCTGAAGGAAGTCGAGCCACCGGTCGTGTTGAATGGGGAACGGGGCATGGCTCTGGAGTCAATGCAGGGGAATCGGGCCTCATCTCGAGTTGATTTGGGGCACATGGAGCTGCTTTGCGTTGCTGGGGTGACCTCAGGGTCCGTCTAGACTGGTGACAGTGTTCTTGGGGACTGTCTCGAGATCCATTAAGCAAGTCGAAGCTCCTGACTTGTTTGAATGGGATCACGGAATAGCTCTGCATGCACTGCAGGGGAATGGGGCCCCATCTCGCCTCTAGGGGGGAGTCTCATTGTTTTTCTCGAGTGGCGGCGGGGACCTGGGGTATGTTCTCGACTTACGGCGGGGATGGCCCTTCAAAACACGAGTTTCTTCAGTGACGTCAGGACTCCTGTCTTGTAACGAGGGACACCTCAGGAATCTCTACGAGGCTTGGCAGGGCAAAAGGGACGCTTCTCGAGGTGAGGCAGGGTACCCAAGGACCCTTTCCAGTAGCCACAGCGATTTTGGGATTCCTATCAGTATTCAAGAGGAGTCAGGCATCGTCACCTTTTGAAGCAATGAACTGCGCGTGCCTCTCGAGGTGTCAGTGGGATGTGAGGCATTCCGTCAAAATGAGGCAGGGACCTAGGGCTTTCTCTAAGGTCTCCACAGGGGATTCAGACATCCCTTCATGTTGTGAGATGAAAGACGAGCCTGTATTCAAGCCACTGCAAGGAAATGCGGCCTCCTTTCAAGTTAGGGCTTCTCGCTGTATATTCCCCTTGAGGCAGCAAACTCGGGGTCCCTTCCACATACCTATTGCTGAGAGAAGCCTCCTCCTGAGGTGCTTCTGGAAAGTTGGCATACGTCTTGAGCCTAATCCAGGGAATCAGCTCTCATCTCGAGACAATTTGGGGTACACGGAGCAGTCCTCGAGTTGCTGTGCTGAAGTTGGTGTTCCTCTAGACTTGGGACAGTGTTCTCGGGGCATCTCTGGAGTTGCCTGAAGGAAGTCGAGCCACCGGTCGTGTTGAATGGGGAACGGGGCATGGCTCTGGAGTCAATGCAGGGGAATCGGGCCTCATCTCGATTTGATTTGGGGCACATGGAGCTGCTTTGCATTGCTGGGGTGACCTCAGGGTCCGTCTAGACTGGTGACAGTGTTCTTGGGGACTGTCTCGAGATCCATTAAGCAAGTCGAAGCTCCTGACTTGTTTGAATGGGATCACGGAATAGCTCTGCATGCACTGCAGGGGAATGGGGCCTCATCTCGCCTCTAGGGGGAAATCTCATGGTTTTTCTCGAGTGGCGGCGGGGACCTGGGGTATGTTCTCGACTTACGGCGGGGATGGCCCTTCAAAACACGAGTTTCTTCAGTGACGTCCGGACTCCTGTCTAGTAAAGAGGGACACTTCAGGAATCTCTACGAAGCTTGGCAGGGCAAAAGGGACGCTTCTCGAGGTGAGGCAGGGTACCCAAGGAGCCTTTACAGTAGCCACAGCGATTTTGGGATTCCTATCAGTATTCAAGAGGAGTCAGGCATCGTCACCTTTTGAAGCAATGAACTCCGCGTGCCTCTCTAGGTGTCAGCGGGATGTGAGGCATTCCGTCAAATGAGGCAGGGACCTAGGGCTTTCTCTAAGGTCTCCACAGGGGATTCAGACATCCCTTCATGTTGTGAGATGAAAGACGAGCCTGTATTCAAGCCACTGAAAGGAAATCCGGCCTCCTTTCAAGTTAGGGCTTCTCGCTGTATATTCCCCTTGAGGCAGCAAACTCGGGTCCCACCCACATATCTATTGCTGAGAGAAGCCTCCTCCTGAGGTGCTTCTGGAAAGTTGGCATAAGTCCTGAGCCTAAGCCAGGGAATCAGCTCTCATCTCGAGACGATTTGGGGTACACAGAGCACTCCTCGAGTTGCTGTGCTGAAGTTGGTGTTCCTCTAGACTTGGGACAGTGTTCTCGGGGCATCTCTGGAGTTGCCTGAAGGAAGTCGAGCCACCGGTCGTGTTGAATGGGGAACGGGCAATTGCTCTGGAGTCAATGCAGGGGAATCGGGCCTCATCTCGAGTTGATTTGGGGCACATAGAGCTGCTTTGTGTTGCTGGGGTGACCTCAGGGTCCGTCTAGACTGGTGACAGTGTTCTTGGGGACTGTCTCGAGATCCATTAAGCAAGTCGAAGCTCCTGACTTGTTTGAATGGGATCACGGAATAGCTCTGCATGCACTGCAGGGGAATGGGGCCTCATCTCGCCTCTAGGGGGAAGTCTCATGGTTTTTCTCGAGTTGCGGTGTGGACATGGGGTATGTAATCGACTTACGGCGGGGATGGCCCTTCAAAACACGAGTTTCTTCAGTGACGTCAGGACTCCTGTCTTGTAACGAGGGACACCTCAGGAATCTCTACGAGGCTTGGCAGGGCAAAAGGGACGCTTCTCGAGGTGAGGCAGGGTACCCAAGGACCCTTTCCAGTAGCCACAGCGATTTTGGGATTCCTATCATTATTCAAGAGGAGTCAGGCATCGTCACCTTTTGAAGCAATGAACTCCGCGTGCCTCTCGAGGTGTCAGTGGGATGTGAGGCATTCCGTCAAAATGAGGCAGGGACCTAGGTCTTTCTCTAAGGTCTCCACAGGGGATTCAGACATCCCTTCATGTTGTGAGATGAAAGACGAGCCTGTATTCAAGCCACTGCAAGGAAATCCGGCCTCCTTTCAAGTTAGGGCTTCTCGCTGTATATTCCCCTTGAGGCAGCAAACTCGGGGTCCCTCCCACATAACTATTGCTGAGAGAAGCCTCCTCCTGAGGTGCTTCTGGAAAGTTGGCATACGTCTTGAGCCTAAGCCAGGGAATCAGCTCTCATCTCGAGACGATTTGGGGTACACGGAGCATTCCTCAAGTTGCTGTGCTGAAGTTGGTGTTCCTCTAGACTTGGGACAGTGTTCTCGGGGCATCTCTGGAGTTGCCTGAAGGAAGTCGAGCCACCGGTCGTGTTGAATGGGGAACGGGGAATGGCTCTGGAGTCAATGCAGGGGAATAGGGCCTGATCTGGAGTTGATTTGGGGCACATGGAGCTGCTTTGCGTTGCTGGGGTGACCTCAGGGTCCGTCTAGACTGGTGACAGTGTTCTTGGGGACTGTCTCGAGATCCATTAAGCAAGTCGAAGCTCCTGACTTGTTTGAATGGGATCACGGAATAGCTCTGCATGCACTGCAGGGGAATGGGGCCCCATCTCGCCTCTAGGGGGGAGTCTCATTGTTTTTCTCGAGTGGCGGCGGGGACCTGGGGTATGTTCCCGACATACGGCGGGGATGGCCCTTCAAAACACGAGTTTCTTCAGTGACGTCAGGACTCCTGTCTTGTAACGAGGGACACCTCAGGAATCTCTACGAGGCTTGGCAGGGCAAAAGGGACGCTTCTCGAGGTGAGGCAGGGTACCCAAGGACCCTTTCCAGTAGCCACAGCGATTTTGGGATTCCTATCAGTATTCAAGAGGAGTCAGGCATCGTCACCTTTTGAAGCAATGAACTCCGCGTGCCTCTCGAGGTGTCAGTGGGATGTGAGGCATTCCGTCAAAATGAGGCAGGGACCTAGGGCTTTCTCTAAGGTCTCCACAGGGGATTCAGACATCCCTTCATGTTGTGAGATGAAAGACGAGCCTGTATTCAAGCCACTGCAAGGAAATCTGGCCTCCTTTCAAGTTAGGGCTTCTCGCTGTATATTCCCCTTGAGGCAGCAAACTCGGGGTCCCTCCCACATAACTATTGCTGAGAGAAGCCTCCTCCTGAGGTGCTTCTGGAAAGTTGGCATACGTCTTGAGCCTAAGCCAGGGAATCAGCTCTCATCTCGAGACGATTTGGGTTACACGGAGCATTCGTCGAGTTGCTGTGCTGAAGTTGGTGTTCCTCTAGACTTGGGACAGTGTTCTCGGGGCATCTATGGAGTTGCCTGAAGGAAGTCGAGCCACCGGTCGTGTTGAATGGGGAACGGGGAATGGCTCTGGAGTCAATGCAGGGGAATCGGGCCTCATCTCGAGTTGATTTGGGGCACATGGAGCGGCTTTGCGTTGCTGGGGTGACCTCAGGGTCCGTCTAGACTGGTGACAGTGTTCTTGGGGACTGTCTCGAGATCCATTAAGCAAGTCGAAGCTCCTGACTTGTTTGAATGGGATCACGGAATAGCTCTGCATGCACTGCAGGGGAATGGGGCCCCATCTCGCCTCTAGGGGGGAGTCTCATTGTTTTTCTCGAGTGGCGGCGGGGACCTGGGGTATGTTCTCGACTTACGGCGGGGATGGCCCTTCAAAACACGATTTTCTTCAGTGACGTCAGGACTCCTGTCTTGTAACGAGGGACACCTCAGGAATCTCTTCGAGGCTTGGCAGGGCAAAAGGGACGCTTCTCGAGGTGAGGCAGGGCACCCAAGGACCCTTTCCCGTAGCCACGGGGATTTTGGGATTCCTATCAGTATTCAAGAGGAGTCAGGCATCGTCACCTTTTGAAGCAATAAACTCCGCGTGCCTCTCGAGGTGTCAGCGGGACGTGAGGCATTCCGTCAAAATGAGGCAGGGACCTAGGTCTTTCTCTAAGGTCTCCACAGGGGATTCAGACATCCCTTCATGTTGTGAGATGAAAGACGAGCCTGTATTCAAGCCACTGCAAGGAAATCCGGCCCCCTTTCAAGTTAGGGCTTCTCGCTCTATATTCCCCTTGAGTCAGCAAACTCGGGGTCCCTCCCACATAACTATTGCTGAGAGAAGCCTCCTCCTGAGGTGCTTCTGGAAAGTTGGCATACGTCTTGAGCCTAAGCCAGGGAATCAGCTCTCATCTCGAGACGATTTGGGGTACACGGAGCATTCCTCAAGTTGCTGTGCTGAAGTTGGTGTTCCTCTAGACTTGGGACAGTGTTCTCGGGGCATCTCTGGAGTTGCCTGAAGGAAGTCGAGCCACCGGTCGTGTTGAATGGGGAACGGGGCATGGCTCTGGAGTCAATGCAGGGGAATCGGGCCTCATCTGGAGTTGATTTGGGGCACATGGAGCTGCTTTGCGTTGCTGGGGTGACCTCAGGGTCCGTCTAGATTGGTGACAGTGTTCTTGGGGACTGTCTCGAGATCCATTAAGCAAGTCGAAGCTCCTGACTTGTTTGAATGGGATCACGGAATAGCTCTGCATGCACTGCAGGGGAATGGGGCCCCATCTCGCCTCTAGGGGGGAGTCTCATTGTTTTTCTCGAGTGGCGGCGGGGACCTGGGGTATGTTCCCGACATACGGCGGGGATGGCCCTTCAAAACACGAGTTTCTTCAGTGACGTCAGGACTCCTGTCTTGTAACGAGGGACACCTCAGGAATCTCTACGAGGCTTGGCAGGGCAAAAGGGACGCTTCTCGAGGTGAGGCAGGGTACCCAAGGACCCTTTCCAGTAGCCACAGCGATTTTGGGATTCCTATCAGTATTCAAGAGGAGTCAGGCATCGTCACCTTTTGAAGCAATGAACTCCGCGTGCCTCTCGAGGTGTCAGTGGGATGTGAGGCATTCCGTCAAAATGAGGCAGGGACCTAGGGCTTTCTCTAAGGTCTCCACAGGGGATTCAGACATCCCTTCATGTTGTGAGATGAAAGACGAGCCTGTATTCAAGCCACTGCAGGGAAATCTGGCCTCCTTTCAAGTTAGGGCTTCTCGCTGTATATTCCCCTTGAGGCAGCAAACTCGGGGTCCCTCCCACATAACTATTGCTGAGAGAAGCCTCCTCCTGAGGTGCTTCTGGAAAGTTGGCATACGTCTTGAGCCTAAGCCAGGGAATCAGCTCTCATCTCGAGACGATTTGGGTTACACGGAGCATTCGTCGAGTTGCTGTGCTGAAGTTGGTGTTCCTCTAGACTTGGGACAGTGTTCTCGGGGCATCTATGGAGTTGCCTGAAGGAAGTCGAGCCACCGGTCGTGTTGAATGGGGAACGGGGAATGGCTCTGGAGTCAATGCAGGGGAATCGGGCCTCATCTCGAGTTGATTTGGGGCACATGGAGCGGCTTTGCGTTGCTGGGGTGACCTCAGGGTCCGTCTAGACTGGTGACAGTGTTCTTGGGGACTGTCTCGAGATCCATTAAGCAAGTCGAAGCTCCTGACTTGTTTGAATGGGATCACGGAATAGCTCTGCATTCACTGCAGGGGAATGGGGAGCCATCTCGCCTCTAGGGGGGAGTCTCATTGTTTTTCTCGAGTGGCGGCGGGGACCTGGGGTATGTTCTCGACTTACGACGGGGATGGCCCTTCAAAACACGATTTTCTTCAGTGACGTCAGGACTCCTGTCTTGTAACGAGGGACACCTCAGGAATCTCTTCGAGGCTTGGCAGGGCAAAAGGGACGCTTCTCGAGGTGAGGCAGGGCACCCAAGGACCCTTTCCCGTAGCCACAGGGATTTTGGGATTCCTATCAGTATTCAAGAGGAGTCAGGCATCGTCACCTTTTGAAGCAATAAACTCCGCGTGCCTCTCGAGGTGTCAGCGGGACGTGAGGCATTCCGTCAAAATGAGGCAGGGACCTAGGTCTTTCTCTAAGGTCTCCACAGGGGATTCAGACATCCCTTCATGTTGTGAGATGAAAGACGAGCCTGTATTCAAGCCACTGCAAGGAAATCCGGCCCCCTTTCAAGTTAGGGCTTCTCGCTCTATATTCCCCTTGAGTCAGCAAACTCGGGGTCCCTCCCACATAACTATTGCTGAGAGAAGCCTCCTCCTGAGGTGCTTCTGGAAAGTTGGCATACGTCTTGAGCCTAAGCCAGGGAATCAGCTCTCATCTCGAGACGATTTGGGGTACACGGAGCATTCCTCAAGTTGCTGTGCTGAAGTTGGTGTTCCTCTAGACTTGGGACAGTGTTCTCGGGGCATCTCTGGAGTTGCCTGAAGGAAGTCGAGCCACCGGTCGTGTTGAATGGGGAACGGGGCATGGCTCTGGAGTCAATGCAGGGGAATCGGGCCTCATCTGGAGTTGATTTGGGGCACATGGAGCTGCTTTGCGTTGCTGGGGTGACCTCAGGGTCCGTCTAGATTGGTGACAGTGTTCTTGGGGACTGTCTCGAGATCCATTAAGCAAGTCGAAGCTCCTGACTTGTTTGAATGGGATCACGGAATAGCTCTGCATGCACTGCAGGGGAATGGGGCCCCATCTTGCCTCTAGGGGGGAGTCTCATTGTTTTTCTCGAGTGGCGGCGGGGACCTGGGGTATGTTCTCGACTTACGGCGGGGATGGCCCTTCAAAACACGAGTTTCTTCAGTGACGTCAGGACTCCTGTCTTGTAACGAGGGACACCTCAGGAATCTCTACGAGGCTTGGCAGGGCAAAAGGGACGCTTCTCGAGGTGAGGCAGGGTACCCAAGGACCCTTTCCAGTAGCCACAGCGATTTTGGGATTCCTATCAGTATTCAAGAGGAGTCAGGCATCGTCACCTTTTGAAGCAATGAACTCCGCGTGCCTCTCGAGGTGTCAGTGGGATGTGAGGCATTCCGTCAAAATGAGGCAGGGACCTAGGGCTTTCTCTAAGGTCTCCACAGGGGATTCAGACATCCCTTCATGTTGTGAGATGAAAGACGAGCCTGTATTCAAGCCACTGCAAGGAAATGCGGCCTCCTTTCAAGTTAGGGCTTCTCGCTGTATATTCCCCTTGAGGCAGCAAACTCGGGGTCCCTTCCACATACCTATTGCTGAGAGAAGCCTCCTCCTGAGGTGCTTCTGGAAAGTTGGCATACGTCTTGAGCCTAATTCAGGGAATCAGCTCTCATCTCGAGACAATTTGGGGTACACGGAGCATTCCTCGAGTTGCTGTGCTGAAGTTGGTGTTCCTCTAGACTTGGGACAGTGTTCTCGGGGCATCTCTGGAGTTGCCTGAAGGAAGTCGAGCCACCGGTCGTGTTGAATGGGGAACGGGGAATGGCTCTGGAGTCAATGCAGGGGAATCGGGCCTCATCTCGAGTTGATTTGGGGCACATGGAGCTGCTTTGCATTGCTGGGGTGACCTCAGGGTCCGTCTAGACTGGTGACAGTGTTCTTGGGGACTGTCTCGAGATCCATTAAGCAAGTCGAAGCTCCTGACTTGTTTGAATGGGATCACGGAATAGCTCTGCATGCACTGCAGGGGAATGGGGCCTCATCTCGCCTCTAGGGGGAAGTCTCATGGTTTTTCTCGAGTTGCGGCGGGGACCTGGGGTATGTTCTCGACTTACGGCGGGGATGGCCCTTCAAAACACGAGTTTCTTCAGTGACGTCAGGACTCCTGTCTAGTAACGAGGGACACCTCAGGAATCTCTAAGAGGCTTGGCAGGGCAAAAGGAACGCTTCTCGAGGTGAGGCAGGGCACCCAAGTACCCTTTCCCCTAGCCACAGGGATTTTGGGATTCCTATCAGTATTCAAGAGGAGTCAGGCATCGTCACCTTTTGAAGCAATGAACTCCGCGTGCCTCTCGAGGTGTCAGCGGGATGTGAGGCATTCCGTCAAAATGAGGCAGGGACCTAGGGCTTTCTCTAAGGTCTCCACAGGGGATTCAGACATCCCTTCATGTTGTGAGAAGAAAGACGAGCCTGTATTCAAGCCACTGCAAGGAAATCCGGCCTCCTTTCAAGTTAGGGCTTCTCGCTGTATATTCCCCTTGAGGCACAAACTCGGGGTCCCTCCCACATACTTATTGCTGAGAGAAGCCTCCTCCTGAGGTGCTTCTGGAAAGTTGGCATACGTCTTGAGCCTTGGCCAGGGAATCAGCTCCCATCTCGAGACGATTTGGGTTACACGAAGCATTCGTCGAGTTGCTGTGCTGAAGTTGGTGTTCCTCTAGACTTGGGACAGTGTTCTCGGGGCATCTCTGGAGTTGCCTGAAGGAAGTCGAGCCACTGGTCGTATTGAATGGGGAACGGGGAATGGCTCTGGAGTCAATGCAGGGGAATCGGGCCTCATCTCGAGTTGATTTGGGGCACATGGAGCTGCTTGGCATTGCTGGGGTGACCTCAGGGTCCGTCTAGACTGGTGACAGTGTTCTTGGGGACTGTCTCGAGATCCATTAAGCAAGTCGAAACTCCTGACTTGTTTGAATGGGATCACAGAATAGCTCTGCATGCACTGCAGGGGAATGGGGCCTCATCTCGCCTCTAGGGGGAAATCTCATGGTTTTTCCCGAGTGGCGGCGGGGGCCTGGGATATGTTCTCGACTTACGGCGGGGATGGCCCTTCAAAACACGAGTTTCTTCAGTGACGTCAGGACTCCTGTCTAGTAAAGAGGGACACTTCAGGAATCTCTACGAGGCTTGGCAGGGCAAAAGGGACGCTTCTCGAGGTGAGGCAGGGTACCCAAGGACCCTTTCCAGTAGCCACAGCGATTTTGGGATTCCTATCAGTATTCAAGAGGAGTCAGGCATCGTCACCTTTTGAAGCAATGAACTCCGCGTGCCTCTCGAGGTGTCAGTGGGATGTGAGGCATTCCGTCAAAATGAGGCAGGGACCTAGGGCTTTCTCTAAGGTCTCCACAGGGGATTCAGACATCCCTTCATGTTGTGAGATGAAAGACGAGCCTGTATTCAAGCCACTGCAAGGAAATCTGGCCTCCTTTCAAGTTAGGGCTTCTCGCTGTATATTCCCCTTGAGGCAGCAAACTCGGGGTCCCTCCCACATAACTATTGCTGAGAGAAGCCTCCTCCTGAGGTGCTTCTGGAAAGTTGGCATACGTCTTGAGCCTAAGCCAGGGAATCAGCTCTCATCTCGAGACGATTTGGGTTACACGGAGCATTCGTCGAGTTGCTGTGCTGAAGTTGGTGTTCCTCTAGACTTGGGACAGTGTTCTCGGGGCATCTATGGAGTTGCCTGAAGGAAGTCGAGCCACCGGTCGTGTTGAATGGGGAACGGGGAATGGCTCTGGAGTCAATGCAGGGGAATCGGGCCTCATCTCGAGTTGATTTGGGGCACATGGAGCGGCTTTGCGTTGCTGGGGTGACCTCAGGGTCCGTCTAGACTGGTGACAGTGTTCTTGGGGACTGTCTCGAGATCCATTAAGCAAGTCGAAGCTCCTGACTTGTTTGAATGGGATCACGGAATAGCTCTGCATTCACTGCAGGGGAATGGGGAGCCATCTCGCCTCTAGGGGGGAGTCTCATTGTTTTTCTCGAGTGGCGGCGGGGACCTGGGGTATGTTCTCGACTTACGACGGGGATGGCCCTTCAAAACACGAGTTTCTTCAGTGACGTCAGGACTCCTGTCTTGTAACGAGGGACACCTCAGGAATCTCTACGAGGCTTGGCAGGGCAAAAGGGACGCTTCTCGAGGTGAGGCAGGGTACCCAAGGACCCTTTCCAGTAGCCACAGCGATTTTGGGATTCCTATCAGTATTCAAGAGGAGTCAGGCATCGTCACCTTTTGAAGCAATGAACTCCGCGTGCCTCTCGAGGTGTCAGTGGGATGTGAGGCATTCCGTCAAAATGAGGCAGGCACCTAGGGCTTTCTCTAAGGTCTCCACAGGGGATTCAGACATCCCTTCATGTTGTGAGATGAAAGACGAGCCTGTATTCAAGCCACTGCAAGGAAATGCGGCCTCCTTTCAAGTTAGGGCTTCTCGCTGTATATTCCCCTTGAGGCAGCAAACTCGGGGTCCCTTCCACATACCTATTGCTGAGAGAAGCCTCCTCCTGAGGTGCTTCTGGAAAGTTGGCATACGTCTTGAGCCTAATTCAGGGAATCAGCTCTCATCTCGAGACAATTTGGGGTACACGGAGCATTCCTCGAGTTGCTGTGCTGAAGTTGGTGTTCCTCTAGACTTGGGACAGTGTTCTCGGGGCATCTCTGGAGTTGCCTGAAGGAAGTCGAGCCACCGGTCGTGTTGAATGGGGAACGGGGAATGGCTCTGGAGTCAATGCAGGGGAATCGGGCCTCATCTCGAGTTGATTTGGGGCACATGGAGCTGCTTTGCATTGCTGGGGTGACCTCAGGGTCCGTCTAGACTGGTGACAGTGTTCTTGGGGACTGTCTCGAGATCCATTAAGCAAGTCGAAGCTCCTGACTTGTTTGAATGGGATCACGGAATAGCTCTGCATGCACTGCAGGGGAATGGGGCCTCATCTCGCCTCTAGGGGGAAATCTCACGGTTTTTCCCGAGTGGCGGCGGGGGCTTGGGGTATGTTCTCGACTTACGGCGGGGATGGCCCTTCAAAACACGAGTTTCTTCAGTGACGTCAGGACTCCTGTCTAGTAAAGAGGGACACTTCAGGAATCTCTACGAGGCTTGGCAGGGCAAAAGGGACGCTTCTCGAGGTGAGGCAGGGTACCCAAGGACCCTTTCCAGTAGCCACAGCGATTTTGGGATTCCTATCAGTATTCAAGAGGAGTCAGGCATCGTCACCTTTTGAAGCAATGAACTCCGCGTGCCTCTCGAGGTGTCAGTGGGATGTGAGGCATTCCGTCAAAATGAGGCAGGGACCTAGGGCTTTCTCTAAGGTCTCCACAGGGGATTCAGACATCCCTTCATGTTGTGAGATGAAAGACGAGCCTGTATTTAAGCCACTGAAAGGAAATCCGGCCTCCTTTCAAGTTAGGGCTTCTCGCTGTATATTCCCCTTGAGGCAGCAAACTCGGGTCCCACCCACATACCTATTGCTGAGAGAAGCCTCCTCCTGAGGTGCTTCTGGAAAGTTGGCATAAGTCCTGAGCCTAAGCCAGGGAATCAGCTCTCATCTCGAGACGATTTGGGGTACACAGAGCACTCCTCGAGTTGCTGTGCTGAAGTTCGTGTTCCTCTAGACTTGGGACAGTGTTCTCGGGGCATCTCTGGAGTTGCCTGAAGGAAGTCGAGCCACCGGTCGTGTTGAATGGGGAACGGGGAATGGCTCTGGAGTCAATGCAGGGGAATCGGGCCTCATCTCGAGTTGATTTGGGGCACATAGAGCTGCTTTGTGTTGCTGAGGTGACCTCAGGGTCCGTCTAGACTGGTGACAGTGTTCTTGGGGACTGTCTCGAGATCCATTAAGCAAGTCGAAGCTCCTGACTTGTTTGAATGGGATCACGGAATAGCTCTGCATGCACTGCAGGGGAATGGGGCCTCATCTCGCCTCTAGGGGGAAGTCTCATGGTTTTTCTCGAGTTGCGGTGTGGACATGGGGTATGTTCTCGACTTACGGCGGGGATGGCCCTTCAAAACACGAGTTTCTTCAGTGACGTCAGGACTCCTGTCTTGTAACGAGGGACACCTCAGGAATCTCTACGAGGCTTGGCAGGGCAAAAGGGACGCTTCTCGAGGTGAGGCAGGGTACCCAAGGACCCTTTCCAGTAGCCACAGCGATTTTGGGATTCCTATCAGTATTCAAGAGGAGTCAGGCATCGTCACCTTTTGAAGCAATGAACTCCGCGTGCCTCTCGAGGTGTCAGTGGGATGTGAGGCATTCCGTCAAAATGAGGCAGGGACCTAGGGCTTTCTCTAAGGTCTCCACAGGGGATTCAGACATCCCTTCATGTTGTGAGATGAAAGACGAGCCTGTATTCAAGCCACTGCAAGGAAATCCGGCCTCCTTTCAAGTTAGGGCTTCTCGCTGTATATTCCCCTTGAGGCAGCAAACTCGGGGTCCCTCCCACATAACTATTGCTGAGAGAAGCCTCCTCCTGAGGTGCTTCTGGAAAGTTGGCATACGTCTTGAGCCTTGGCCAGGGAATCAGCTCCCATCTCGAGACGATTTGCGTTACACGAAGCATTCGTCGAGTTGCTGTGCTGAAGTTGGTGTTCCTCTAGACTTGGGACAGTGTTCTCGGGGCATCTCTGGAGTTGCCTGAAGGAAGTCGAGCCACTGGTCGTGTTGAATGGGGAACGGGGAATGGCTCTGGAGTCAATGCAGGGGAATCGGGCCTCATCTCGAGTTGATTTGGGGCACATGGAGCTGCTTGGCATTGCTGGGGTGACCTCAGGGTCCGTCTAGACTGGTGACAGTGTTCTTGGGGACTGTCTCGAGATCCATTAAGCAAGTCGAAACTCCTGACTTGTTTGAATGGGATCACAGAATAGCTCTGCATGCACTGCAGGGGAATGGGGCCTCATCTCGCCTCAAGGGGAAATCTCATGGTTTTTCTCGAGTGGCGGCGGGGGCCTGGGGTATGTTCTCGACTTACGGCGGGGATGGCCCTTCAAAACACGAGTTTATTCAGTGACGTCAGGACTCCTGTCTTGTAACGAGGGACACCTCAGGAATCTCTACGAGCCTTGGCAGGGCAAAAGGGACGCTTCTCGAGGTGAGGCAGGGTACCCAAGGACCCTTTCCAGTAGCCACAGCGATTTTGGGATTCCTATCAGTATTCAAGAGGAGTCAGGCATCGTCACCTTTTGAAGCAATGAACTCCGCGTGCCTCTCGAGGTGTCAGTGGGATGTGAGGCATTCCGTCAAAATGAGGCAGGGACCTAGGGCTTTCTCTAAGGTCTCCACAGGGGATTCAGACATCCCTTCATGTTGTGAGATGAAAGACGAGCCTGTATTCAAGCCACTGAAAGGAAATCCGGCCTCCTTTCAAGTTAGGGCTTCTCTCTGTATATTCCCCTTGAGGCAGCAAACTCGGGTCCCACCCACATACCTATTGCTGAGAGAAGCCTCCTCCTGAGGTGCTTCTGGAAAGTTGGCATAAGTCCTGAGCCTAAGCCAGGGAATCAGCTCTCATCTCGAGACGATTTGGGGTACACAGAGCACTCCTCGAGTTGCTGTGCTGAAGTTGGTGTTCCTCTAGACTTGGGACAGTGTTCTCGGGGCATCTCTGGAGTTGCCTGAAGGAAGTCGAGCCACCGGTCGTGTTGAATGGGGAACGGGGAATGGCTCTGGAGTCAATGCAGGGGAATCGGGCCTCATCTCGAGTTGATTTGGGGCACATAGAGCTGCTTTGTGTTGCTGGGGTGACCTCAGGGTCCGTCTAGACTGGTGACAGTGTTCTTGGGGACTGTCTCGAGATCCATTAAGCAAGTCGAAGCTCCTGACTTGTTTGAATGGGATCACGGAATAGCTCTGCATGCACTGCAGGGGAATGGGGCCTCATCTCGCCTCTAGGGGGAAGTCTCATGGTTTTTCTCGAGTTGCGGTGTGGACATGGGGTATGTTCTCGACTTACGGCGGGGATGGCCCTTCAAAACACGAGTTTCTTCAGTGACGTCAGGACTCCTGTCTTGTAACGAGGGACACCTCAGGAATCTCTACGAGGCTTGGCAGGGCAAAAGGGACGCTTCTCGAGGTGAGGCAGGGTACCCAAGGACCCTTTCCAGTAGCCACAGCGATTTTGGGATTCCTATCAGTATTCAAGAGGAGTCAGGCATCGTCACCTTTTGAAGCAATGAACTCCGCGTGCCTCTCGAGGTGTCAGTGGGATGTGAGGCATTCCGTCAAAATGAGGCAGGGACCTAGGGCTTTCTCTAAGGTCTCCACAGGGGATTCAGACATCCCTTCATGTTGTGAGATGAAAGACGAGCCTGTATTCAAGCCACTGCAAGGAAATCCGGCCTCCTTTCAAGTTAGGGCTTCTCGCTGTATATTCCCCTTGAGGCAGCAAACTCGGGGTCCCTCCCACATAACTATTGCTGAGAGAAGCCTCCTCCTGAGGTGCTTCTGGAAAGTTGGCATACGTCTTGAGCCTAAGCCAGGGAATCAGCTCTCATCTCGAGACGATTTGGGGTACACGGAGCATTCCTCAAGTTGCTGTGCTGAAGTTGGTGTTCCTCTAGACTTGGGACAGTGTTCTCGGGGCATCTCTGGAGTTGCCTGAAGGAAGTCGAGCCACCGGTCGTGTTGAATGGGGAATGGGGAATGGCTCTGGAGTCAATGCAGGGGAATAGGGCCTCATCTGGAGTTGATTTGGGGCACATGGAGCTGCTTTGCGTTGCTGGGGTGACCTCAGGGTCCGTCTAGACTGGTGACAGTGTTCTTGGGGACTGTCTCGAGATCCATTAAGCAAGTCAAAGCTCCTGACTTGTTTGAATGGGATCACGGAATAGCTCTGCATGCACTGCAGGGGAATGGGGCCCCATCTCGCCTCTAGGGGGGAGTCTCATTGTTTTTCTCGAGTGGCTGCGGGGACCTGGGGTATGTTCTCGACTTACGGCGGGGATGGCCCTTCAAAACACGAGTTTCTTCAGTGACGTCAGGACTCCTGTCTTGTAACGAGGGACACCTCAGGAATCTCTACGAGGCTTGGCAGGGCAAAAGGGACGCTTCTCGAGGTGAGCAGGGTACCCAAGGACCCTTTCCAGTAGCCACAGCGATTTTGGGATTCCTATCAGTATTCAAGAGGAGTCAGGCATCGTCACCTTTTGAAGCAATGAACTCCGCGTGCCTCTCGAGGTGTCAGTGGGATGTGAGGCATTCCGTCAAAATGAGGCAGGGACCTAGGGCTTTCTCTAAGGTCTCCACAGGGGATTCAGACATCCCTTCATGTTGTGAGATGAAAGACGAGCCTGTATTCAAGCCACTGCAAGGAAATGCGGCCTCCTTTCAAGTTAGGGCTTCTCGCTGTATATTCCCCTTGAGGCAGCAAACTCGGGGTCCCTTCCACATACCTATTGCTGAGAGAAGCCTCCTCCTGAGGTGCTTCTGGAAAGTTGGCATACGTCTTGAGCCTTGGCCAGGGAATCAGCTCTCATCTCGAGACAATTTGGGGTACACGGAGCATTCCTCGAGTTGCTGTGCTTAAGTTGGTGTTCCTCTAGACTTGGGACAGTGTTCTCGGGGCATCTCTGGAGTTGCCTGAAGGAAGTCGAGCCACCGGTCGTGTTGAATGGGGAACGGGGAATGGCTCTGGAGTCAATGCAGGGGAATCGGGCCTCATCTCGAGTTGATTTGGGGCACATGGAGCTGCTTTGCGTTGCTGGGGTGACCTCAGGGTCCGTCTAGACTGGTGACAGTGTTCTTGGGGACTGTCTCGAGATCCATTAAGCAAGTCGAAGCTCCTGACTTGTTTGAATGGGATCACGGAATAGCTCTGCATGCACTGCAGGGGAATGGGGCCTCATCTCGCCTCTAGGGGGAAGTCTCATGTTTTTTCTCGAGTTGCGGCGGGGACCTGGGGTATGTTCTCGACTTACGGCGGGGATGGCCCTTCAAAACACGAGTTTCTTCAGTGACGTCAGGACTCGTGTCTAGTAACGAGGGACACGTCAGGAATCTCTTCGAGGCTTGGCAGGGCAAAAGGGACGCTTCTCGAGGTGAGGCAGGGCACCCAAGGACCCTTTCCCGTAGCCACAGGGATTTTGGGATTTCTATCAGTATTCAAGAGGAGTCAGGCATCGTCACCTTTTGAAGCAATAAACTCCGCGTGCCTCTCGAGGTGTCAGCGGGACGTGAGGCATTCCGTCAAAATGAGGCAGGGACCTAGGTCTTTCTCTAAGGTCTCCACAGGGGATTCAGACATCCCTTCATGTTGTGAGATGAAAGACGAGCCTGTATTCAAGCCACTGCAAGGAAATCCGGCCCCCTTTCAAGTTAGGGCTTCTCGCTCTATATTCCCCTTCAGTCAGCAAACTCGGGGTCCCTCCCACATAACTATTGCTGAGAGAAGCCTCCTCCTGAGGTGCTTCTGGAAAGTTGGCATACGTCTTGAGCCTAAGCCAGGGAATCAGCTCTCATCTCGAGACGATTTGAGGTACACGGAGCATTCCTCAAGTTGCTGTGCTGAAGTTGGTGTTCCTCTAGACTTGGGACAGTGTTCTCGGGGCATCTCTGGAGTTGCCTGAAGGAAGTCGAGCCACCGGTCGTGTTGAATGGGGAACGGGGAATGGCTCTGGAGTCAATGCAGGGGAATCGGGCCTCATCTCGAGTTGATTTGGGGCACATGGAGCTGCTTTGCGTTGCTGGGGTGACCTCAGGGTCCGTCTAGACTGGTGACAGTGTTCTTGGGGACTGTCTCGAGATCCATTAAGCAAGTCGAAGCTCCTGACTTGTTTGAATGGGATCACGGAATAGCTCTGCATGCACTGCAGGGGAATGGGGCCCCATCTCGCCTCTAGGGGGGAGTCTCATTGTTTTTCTCGAGTGGCGGCGGGGACCTGGGTTATGTTCTCGACTTACGGCGGGGATGGCCCTTCAAAACACGAGTTTCTTCAGTGACGTCAGGACTCCTGTCTTGTAACGAGGGACACCTCAGTAATCTCTACGAGGCTTGGCAGGGCAAAAGGGACGCTTCTCGAGGTGAGGCAGGGTACCCAAGGACCCTTTCCAGTAGCCACAGCGATTTTGGGATTCCTATCAGTATTCAAGAGGAGTCAGGCATCCTCACCTTTTGAAGCAATGAACTCCGCGTGCCTCTCGAGGTGTCAGCGGGACCAGAGGCATTCCGTCAAAATGAGGCAGGGACCTTAGGCTTTCTCTAAGGTCTCCACAGGGGATTCAGACATCCCTTCATGTTGTGAGATGAAAGACGAGCCTGTATTCAAGCCACTGCAAGGAAATCCGGCCTCCTTTCAAGTTAGGGCTTCTCGCTGTATATTCCCCTTGAGGCAGCAAATTCGGGGTCCCTCCCACATAACTATTGCTGAGAGAAGCCTCCTCCTGAGGTGCTTCTGGAAAGTTGGCATACGTCTTGAGCCTAAGCCAGGGAATCAGCTCTCATCTCGAGACGATTTGGGTTACACGGAGCATTCCTCGAGTTGCTGTGCTGAAGTTGGTGTTCCTCTAGACTTGGAACAGTGTTCTCGGGGCATCTCTGGAGTTGCCTGAAGGAAGTCGAGCCACCGGTCGTGTTGAATGGGGAACAGGGAATGTCTCTGGAGTCAATGAAGGGGAATCGGGCCTCATCTCGAGTTGATTTGGGGCACATGGAGCTGCTTTGCGTTGCTGGGGTGACCTCAGGGTCCGTCTAGACTGGTGACAGTGTTCTTGGGGACTGTCTCGAGATCCATTAAGCAAGTCGAAGCTCCTGACTTGTTTGAATGGGATTACGGAATAGCTCTGCATGCACTGAAGGGGAATGGGGCCTCATCTCGCCTCTAGGGGGAAGTCTCATGGTTTTTCTCGAGTTGAGGCGGGGACCTGGGGTATGTTCTCGACTTACGGCGGGGATGGCCCTTCAAAACACGAGTTTCTTCAGTGACGTCAGGACTCCTATCTAGTAACGAGGGACACCTCAGGAATCTCTTCGAGGCTTGGCAGGGCAAAAGGGACGCTTCTCGAGGTGAGGCAGGGCACCCAAGGACCCTTTCCCATAGCCACAGGAATTTTGGGATTCCTATCAGTATTCAAGAGGAGTCAGGCATCGTCACCTTTTGAAGCAATGAACTCCGCGTGCCTCTCGAGGTGTCAGCGGGATGTGAGGCATTCCGTCAAAATAAGGCAGGGACCTAGGGCTTTCTCTAAGGTCTCCACAGGGGATTCAGACATCCCTTCATGTTGTGAGATGAAAGACGAGCCTGTATTCAAGCCACTGCAAGGAAATCCGGCCTCCTTTCAAGTTAGGGCTTCTCGCTGTATATTCCCCTTGAGGCACAAACTCGGGGTCCCTCCCACATACTTATTGCTGAGAGAAGCCTCCTCCTGAGGTGCTTCTGGAAAGTTGGCATACGTCTTGAGCCTAATCCAGGGAATCAGCTCTCATCTCGAGACAATTTGGGGTACACGGAACATTCCTCGAGTTGCTGTGCTGAAGTTGGTGTTCCTCTAGACTTGGGACAGTGTTCTCGGGGCATCTCTGGAGTTGCCTGAAGGAAGTCGAGCCACCGGTCGTGTTGAATGGGGAACGGGGAATGGTTCTGGAGTCAATGCAGGGGAATCGGGCCTCATCTCGAGTTGATTTGGGGCACATGGAGCTGCTTTGCGTTGCTGGGGTGACCTCAGGGTCCGTCTAGACTGGTGACAGTGTTCTTGGGGACTGTCTCGAGATCCATTAAGCAAGTCGAAGCTCCTGACTTGTTTGAATGGGATCACGGAATAGCTCTGCATGCACTGCAGGGGAATGGGGCCTCATCTCGCCTCTAGGGGGAAGTCTCATGGTTTTTCTCGAGTTGCGGCGGGGACCTGGGGTATGTTCTCGACTTATGGCGGGGATGGCCCTTCAAAACACGAGTTTCTTCAGTGACGTCAGGACTCCTGTCTTGTAACGAGGGACACCTCAGGAATCTCTACGAGGCTTGGCAGGGCAAAAGGGACGCTTCTCGAGGTGAGGCAGGGTACCCAAGGACCCTTTCCAGTAGCCACAGGGATTTTGGGATTCCTATCAGTATTCAAGAGGAGTCAGGCATCGTCACCTTTTGAAGCAATGAACTCCGCGTGCCTCTCGAGGTGTCAGTGGGATGTGAGGCATTCCGTCAAAATGAGGCAGGGACCTATGGCTTTCTCTAAGGTCTCCACAGGGGATTCAGACATCCCTTCATGTTGTGAGATGAAAGACGAGCCTGTATTCAAGCCACTGCAAGGAAATCCGGCCTCCTTTCAAGTTAGGGCTTCTCGCTGTATATTCCCCTTGAGGCAGCAAACTCGGGGTCCCTTCCACATACCTATTGCTGAGAGAAGCCTCCTCCTGAGGTGCTTCTGGAAAGTTGGCATACGTCTTGAGCCTAATCCAGGGAATCAGCTCTCATCTCGAGACAATTTGGGGTACACGGAGCATTCCTCGAGTTGCTGTGCTGAAGTTGGTGTTCCTCTAGACTTGGGACAGTGTTCTCGGGGCATCTCTGGAGTTGCCTGAAGGAAGTCGAGCCACCGGTCGTGTTGAATGGGGAACGGGGAATGGCTCTGGAGTCAATGCAGGGGAATCGGGCCTCATCTCGAGTTGATTTGGGGCACATGGAGCTGCTTTGCGTTGCTGGGGTGACCTCAGGGTCCGTCTAGACTTGTGACAGTGTTCTTGGGGACTGTCTCGAGATCCATTAAGCAAGTCGAAGCTCCTGACTTGTTTGAATGGGATCACGGAATAGCTCTGCATGCACTGCAGGGGAATGGGGCCTCATCTCGCCTCTAGGGGGAAGTCTCATGGTTTTTCTCGAGTTGCGGCGGGGACCTGGGGTATGTTCTCGACTTACGGCGGGGATGGCCCTTCAAAACACGAGTTTCTTTAGTGACGTCAGGACTCCTGTCTAGTAACGAGGGACACCTCAGGAATCTCTAAGAGGCTTGGCAGGGCAAAAGGGACGCTTCTCGAGGTGAGGCAGGGCACCCAAGGACCCTTTCCGATAGCCACAGGGATTTTGGGATTCCTATCAGTATTCAAGAGGAGTCAGGCATCGTCACCTTTTGAAGCAATGAACTCCGCGTGCCTCTCGAGGTGTCAGCGGGATGTGAGGCATTCCGTCAAAATGAGGCAGGGACCTAGGGCTTTCTCTAAGGTCTCCACAGCGGATTCAGACATCCCTTCATGTTGTGAGATGAAAGACGAGCCTGTATTCAAGCCACTGCAAGGAAATTCGGCCTCCTTTCAAGTTAGGGCTTCTCGCTGTATATTCCCCTTGAGGCAGCAAACTCGGGGTCCCTCCCACATACTTATTGCTGAGAGAAGCCTCCTCCTGAGGTGCTTCTGGAAAGTTGGCATACGTCTTGAGCCTTGGCCAGGGAATCAGCTCTCATCTCGAGACGATTTGGGTTACACGAAGCATTCGTCGAGTAGCTGTGCTGAAGTTGGTGTTCCTCTAGACTTGGGACAGTGTTCTCGGGGCATCTCTGGCGTTGCCTGAAGGAAGTCGAGCCACCGGTCGTGTTGAATGGGGAACGGGGAATGGCTCTGGAGTCAATGCAGGGGAATCGGGCCTCATCTCGAGTTGATTTGGGGCACATGGAGCTGCTTTGCGTTGCTGGGGTGACCTCAGGGTCCGTCTAGACTGGTGACAGTGTTCTTGGGGACTGTCTCGAGATCCATTAAGGAAGTCGAAACTCCTGACTTGTTTGAATGGGATCACAGAATAGCTCTGCATGCACTGCAGGGGAGTGGGGCCTCATCTCGCCTCAAGGGGGAAGTCTCATGGTTTTTCTCGAGTTGCGTTGCGGACCTGGGGTATGTTCTCGACTTAGGGCGGGAATGGCCCTTCAAAACACGAGTTTCTTCAGTGACTTCAGGACTCCTGTCTAGTAACGAGGGACACTTCAGGAACCTCTACGAGGCTTGGCAGGTCAAAAGGGACGCTTCTCGAGGTGAGGCAGCGTACCCAAGGAGCCTTTCCAGTAGCCACAGCGATTTTGGGATTCCTATCAGTATTCAAGAGGAGTCAGGCATCGTCACCTTTTGAAGCAATGAACTCCGCGTGCCTCTCGAGGTGTCAGCGGGATGTGAGGCATTCCGTCAAAATGACTCAGGGACCTAGGTCTTTCTCTAAGGTCTCCACAGGGGATTCAGACATCCCTTCATGTTGTGAGATGAAAGACGAGCCTGTATTCAAGCCACTGCAAGGAAATCCGGCCTCCTTTCAAGTTAGGGCTTCTCACTGTATATTCCCCTTGAGGCAGCAAACTCGGGTCCCTCCCACATACCTATTGCTGAGAGAAGCCTCCTCCTGAGGTGCTTCTGGAAAGTTGGCATAAGTCTTGAGCCTAAGCCAGGGAATCAGCTCTCATCTCGAGACGATTTGGGTTACACGAAGCATTCGTCGAGTTGCTGTGCTGAAGTTGGTGTTCCTCTAGACTTGGGACAGTGTTCTCGGGGCATCTCTGGCGTTGCCTGAAGGAAGTCGAGCCACCGGTCGTGTTGAATGGGGAACGGGGAATGGCTCTGGAGTCAATTCAGGGGAATCGGGCCTCATCTCGAGTTGATTTGGGGCACATGGAGCTGCTTTGCGTTGCTGGGGTGACCTCAGGGTCCGTCTAGACTGGTGACAGTGTTCTTGGGGACTGTCTTGAGATCCATTAAGCAAGTCGAAACTCCTGACTTGTTTGAATGGGATCACAGAATAGCTCTGCATGCACTGCAGGGGAATGGGGCCTCATCTCGCCTAAAGGGGGAAGTCTCATGGTTTTTCTCGAGTTGCGTTGGGGACCTGGGGTATGTTCTCGACTTACGGCGGGGATGGCCCTTCAAAACACGAGTTTCTTCAGTGACCTCAGGACTCCTGTCTAGTAACGAGGGACACCTCAGGAATCTCTTCGAGGCTTGGCAGGGCAAAAGGGACGCTTCTCGAGGTGAGGCAGGGCACCCAAGGACCGTTTCCAGTAGCCACAGGGATTTTGGGATTCCTATCACTATTCAAAGGTGTCAGGCATCGTCACCTTTTGAAGCAATTTACTCCGCGTGCCTCTCGAGGTGTCAGCGGGATGTGAGGCATTCCGTCAAACTGAGGCAGGGACCTAGGGCTTTCTCTAAGGTCTCCACAGGGGATTCAGACATCCCTTCATGTTGTGAGATGAAAGACGAGCCTGTATTCAAGCCACTGCAAGGAAATCCGGCCTCCTTTCAAGTTAGGGCTTCTCGCTGTATATTCCCCTTGAGGCAGCAAACTCGGGGTCCCTTCCACATACCTATTGCTGAGAGAAGCCTCCTCCTGAGGTGCTTCTGGAAAGTTGGCATACGTCTTGAGCCTAAGCCAGGGAATCAGCTCTCATCTCGAGACGATTTGGGGTACACGGAGCATTCGTCGAGTTGCTGTGCTGAAGTTGGTGTTCCTCTAGACTTGGGACAGTGTTCTCCGGGCATCTCTGGAGTTGCCTGAAGGAAGTCGAGCCACCGGTCGTGTTGAATGGGGAACGGGCAATTGCTCTGGAGTCAATGCAGGGGAATCGGGCCTCATCTCGAGTTGATTTGGGGCACATAGAGCTGCTTTGCGTTGCTGGGGTGACCTCAGGGTCCGTCTAGACTGGTGACAGTGTTCTTGGGGACTGTCTCGAGATCCATTAAGCAAGTCGAAGCTCCTGACTTGTTTGAATGGGATCACGGAATAGCTCTGCATGCACTGCAGGGGAATGGGGCCTCATCTCGCCTCTAGGGGGAAGTCTCATGGTTTTTCTCGAGTTGCGGCGGGGTCCTGGGGTATGTTCTCGACTTAAGACGGGGATGGCCCTTCAAAACACGAGTTTCTTCAGTGACGTCAGGACTCTTGTCTAGTAACGAGGGACACCTCAGGAATCTCTTCAAGGCTTGGCAGGGCAAAAGAGACGCTTCTCGAGGTGAGGCAGGGCACCCAAGGACCGTTTCCCCTAGCCACAGGGATTTTGGGATTCCTATCAGTATTCAAGAGGAGTCAGGCATCGTCACCTTTTGAAGCAATGAACTCCGCGTGCCTCTCGAGGTGTCAGCGGGATGTGAGGCATTCCGTCAAAATGAGGCAGGGACCTAGGGCTTTCTCTAAGGTCTCCACAGGGGATTCAGACATCCCTTCATGTTGTGAGGTGAAAGACGAGCCTGTATTCAAGCTACTGCAAGGAAATCCGGCCTCCTTTCAAGTTAGGGCTTCTCGCTGTATATTCCCCTTGAGGCAGCAAACTCGGGGTCCCTCCCACATACTTATTGCTGAGAGAAGCCTCCTCCTGAGGTGCTTCTGGAAAGTTGGCATACGTCTTGAGCCTTGGCCAGGGAATCAGCTCTCATCTCGAGACGATTTGGGTTACACGAAGCATTCGTCGAGTAGCTGTGCTGAAGTTGGTGTTCCTCTAGACTTGGGACAGTGTTCTCGGGGCATCTCTGGAGTTGCCTGAAGGAAGTCGAGCCACCGGTCGTGTTGAATGGGGAACGGGGAATGGCTCTGGAGTCAATGCAGGGGAATCGGGCCTCATCTCGAGTTGATTTGGGGCACATGGAGCTGCTTTGCGTTGCTGGGGTGACCTCAGGGTCCGTCTAGACTGGTGACAGTGTTCTTGGGGACTGTCTCGAGATCCATTAAGGAAGTCGAAACTCCTGACTTGTTTGAATGGGATCACAGAATAGCTCTGCATGCACTGCAGGGGAATGGGGCCTCATCTCGCCTCAAGGGGGAAGTCTCATGGTTTTTCTCGAGTTGCGTTGGGGACCTGGGGTATGTTCTCGACTTAGGGCGGGAATGGCCCTTCAAAACACGAGTTTCTTCAGTGACTTCAGGACTCCTGTCTAGTAACGAGGGACACTTCAGGAACCTCTACGAGGCTTGGCAGGTCAAAAGGGACGCTTCTCGAGGTGAGGCAGCGTACCCAAGGAGCCTTTCCAGTAGCCACAGCGATTTTGGGATTCCTATCAGTATTCAAGAGGAGTCAGGCATCGTCACCTTTTGAAGCAATGAACTCCGCGTGCCTCTCGAGGTGTCAGCGGGATGTGAGGCATTCCGTCAAAATGACTCAGGGACCTAGGTCTTTCTCTAAGGTCTCCACAGGGGATTCAGACATCCCTTCATGTTGTGAGATGAAAGACGAGCCTGTATTCAAGCCACTGCAAGGAAATCCGGCCTCCTTTCAAGTTAGGGCTTCTCGCTGTATATTCCCCTTGAGGCAGCAAACTCGGGGTCCCTTCCACATACCTATTGCTGAGAGAAGCCTCCTCCTGAGGTGCTTCTGGAAAGTTGGCATACATCTTGAGCCTAATCCAGGGAATCAGCTCTCATCTCGAGACAATTTGGGGTACACGGAGCATTCCTCGAGTTGCTGTGCTGAAGTTGGTGTTCCTCTAGACTTGGGACAGTGTTCTCGGGGCATCTCTGGAGTTGCCTGAAGGAAGTCGAGCCACCGGTCGTGTTGAATGGGGAACGGGGAATGGCTCTGGAGTCAATGCAGGGGAATCGGGCCTCATCTCGAGTTGATTTGGGGCACATGGAGCTGCTTTGCGTTGCTGGGGTGACCTCAGGGTCCGTCTAGACTTGTGACAGTGTTCTTGGGGACTGTCTCGAGATCCATTAAGCAAGTCGAAGCTCCTGACTTGTTTGAATGGGATCACGGAATAGCTCTGCATGCACTGCAGGGGAATGGGGCCTCATCTCGCCTCTAGGGGGAAGTCTCATGGTTTTTCTCGAGTTGCGGCGGGGACCTGGGGTATGTTCTCGACTTACGGCGGGGATGGCCCTTCAAAACACGAGTTTCTTTAGTGACGTCAGGACTCCTGTCTAGTAACGAGGGACACCTCAGGAATCTCTAAGAGGCTTGGCAGGGCAAAAGGGACGCTTCTCGAGGTGAGGCAGGGCACCCAAGGACCCTTTCCGATAGCCACAGGGATTTTGGGATTCCTATCAGTATTCAAGAGGAGTCAGGCATCGTCACCTTTTGAAGCAATGAACTCCGCGTGCCTCTCGAGGTGTCAGCGGGATGTGAGGCATTCCGTCAAAATGAGGCAGGGACCTAGGGCTTTCTCTAAGGTCTCCACAGCGGATTCAGACATCCCTTCATGTTGTGAGATGAAAGACGAGCCTGTATTCAAGCCACTGCAAGGAAATTCGGCCTCCTTTCAAGTTAGGGCTTCTCGCTGTATATTCCCCTTGAGGCAGCAAACTCGGGGTCCCTCCCACATACTTATTGCTGAGAGAAGCCTCCTCCTGAGGTGCTTCTGGAAAGTTGGCATACGTCTTGAGCCTTGGCCAGGGAATCAGCTCTCATCTCGAGACGATTTGGGTTACACGAAGCATTCGTCGAGTAGCTGTGCTGAAGTTGGTGTTCCTCTAGACTTGGGACAGTGTTCTCGGGGCATCTCTGGAGTTGCCTGAAGGAAGTCGAGCCACCGGTCGTGTTGAATGGGGAACGGGGAATGGCTCTGGAGTCAATGCAGGGGAATCGGGCCTCATCTCGAGTTGATTTGGGGCACATGGAGCTGCTTTGCGTTGCTGGGGTGACCTCAGGGTCCGTCTAGACTGGTGACAGTGTTCTTGGGGACTGTCTCGAGATCCATTAAGGAAGTCGAAACTCCTGACTTGTTTGAATGGGATCACAGAATAGCTCTGCATGCACTGCAGGGGAGTGGGGCCTCATCTCGCCTCAAGGGGGAAGTCTCATGGTTTTTCTCGAGTTGCGTTGGGGACCTGGGGTATGTTCTCGACTTAGGGCGGGAATGGCCCTTCAAAACACGAGTTTCTTCAGTGACTTCAGGACTCCTGTCTAGTAACGAGGGACACTTCAGGAACCTCTACGAGGCTTGGCAGGTCAAAAGGGACGCTTCTCGAGGTGAGGCAGCGTACCCAAGGAGCCTTTCCAGTAGCCACAGCGATTTTGGGATTCCTATCAGTATTCAAGAGGAGTCAGGCATCGTCACCTTTTGAAGCAATGAACTCCGCGTGCCTCTCGAGGTGTCAGCGGGATGTGAGGCATTCCGTCAAAATGACTCAGGGACCTAGGTCTTTCTCTAAGGTCTCCACAGGGGATTCAGACATCCCTTCATGTTGTGAGATGAAAGACGAGCCTGTATTCAAGCCACTGCAAGGAAATCCGGCCTCCTTTCAAGTTAGGGCTTCTCACTGTATATTCCCCTTGAGGCAGCAAACTCGGGTCCCTCCCACATACCTATTGCTGAGAGAAGCCTCCTCCTGAGGTGCTTCTGGAAAGTTGGCATAAGTCTTGAGCCTAAGCCAGGGAATCAGCTCTCATCTCGAGACGATTTGGGTTACACGAAGCATTCGTCGAGTTGCTGTGCTGAAGTTGGTGTTCCTCTAGACTTGGGACAGTGTTCTCGGGGCATCTCTGGCGTTGCCTGAAGGAAGTCGAGCCACCGGTCGTGTTGAATGGGGAACGGGGAATGGCTCTGGAGTCAATTCAGGGGAATCGGGCCTCATCTCGAGTTGATTTGGGGCACATGGAGCTGCTTTGCGTTGCTGGGGTGACCTCAGGGTCCGTCTAGACTGGTGACAGTGTTCTTGGGGACTGTCTCGAGATCCATTAAGCAAGTCGAAACTCCTGACTTGTTTGAATGGGATCACAGAATAGCTCTGCATGCACTGCAGGGGAATGGGGCCTCATCTCGCCTAAAGGGGGAAGTCTCATGGTTTTTCTCGAGTTGCGTTGGGGACCTGGGGTATGTTCTCGACTTACGGCGGGGATGGCCCTTCAAAACACGAGTTTCTTCAGTGACCTCAGGACTCCTGTCTAGTAACGAGGGACACCTCAGGAATCTCTTCGAGGCTTGGCAGGGCAAAAGGGACGCTTCTCGAGGTGAGGCAGGGCACCCAAGGACCGTTTCCAGTAGCCACAGGGATTTTGGGATTCCTATCACTATTCAAAGGTGTCAGGCATCGTCACCTTTTGAAGCAATTTACTCCGCGTGCCTCTCGAGGTGTCAGCGGGATGTGAGGCATTCCGTCAAACTGAGGCAGGGACCTAGGGCTTTCTCTAAGGTCTCCACAGGGGATTCAGACATCCCTTCATGTTGTGAGATGAAAGACGAGCCTGTATTCAAGCCACTGCAAGGAAATCCGGCCTCCTTTCAAGTTAGGGCTTCTCGCTGTATATTCCCCTTGAGGCAGCAAACTCGGGGTCCCTTCCACATACCTATTGCTGAGAGAAGCCTCCTCCTGAGGTGCTTCTGGAAAGTTGGCATACGTCTTGAGCCTAAGCCAGGGAATCAGCTCTCATCTCGAGACGATTTGGGGTACACGGAGCATTCGTCGAGTTGCTGTGCTGAAGTTGGTGTTCCTCTAGACTTGGGACAGTGTTCTCCGGGCATCTCTGGAGTTGCCTGAAGGAAGTCGAGCCACCGGTCGTGTTGAATGGGGAACGGGCAATTGCTCTGGAGTCAATGCAGGGGAATCGGGCCTCATCTCGAGTTGATTTGGGGCACATAGAGCTGCTTTGCGTTGCTGGGGTGACCTCAGGGTCCGTCTAGACTGGTGACAGTGTTCTTGGGGACTGTCTCGAGATCCATTAAGCAAGTCGAAGCTCCTGACTTGTTTGAATGGGATCACGGAATAGCTCTGCATGCACTGCAGGGGAATGGGGCCTCATCTCGCCTCTAGGGGGAAGTCTCATGGTTTTTCTCGAGTTGCGGCGGGGACCTGGGGTATGTTCTCGACTTAAGACGGGGATGGCCCTTCAAAACACGAGTTTCTTCAGTGACGTCAGGACTCTTGTCTAGTAACGAGGGACACCTCAGGAATCTCTTCAAGGCTTGGCAGGGCAAAAGAGACGCTTCTCGAGGTGAGGCAGGGCACCCAAGGACCGTTTCCCCTAGCCACAGGGATTTTGGGATTCCTATCAGTATTCAAGAGGAGTCAGGCATCGTCACCTTTTGAAGCAATGAACTCCGCGTGCCTCTCGAGGTGTCAGCGGGATGTGAGGCATTCCGTCAAAATGAGGCAGGGACCTAGGGCTTTCTCTAAGGTCTCCACAGGGGATTCAGACATCCCTTCATGTTGTGAGGTGAAAGACGAGCCTGTATTCAAGCTACTGCAAGGAAATCCGGCCTCCTTTCAAGTTAGGGCTTCTCGCTGTATATTCCCCTTGAGGCAGCAAACTCGGGGTCCCTCCCACATACTTATTGCTGAGAGAAGCCTCCTCCTGAGGTGCTTCTGGAAAGTTGGCATACGTCTTGAGCCTTGGCCAGGGAATCAGCTCTCATCTCGAGACGATTTGGGTTACACGAAGCATTCGTCGAGTAGCTGTGCTGAAGTTGGTGTTCCTCTAGACTTGGGACAGTGTTCTCGGGGCATCTCTGGAGTTGCCTGAAGGAAGTCGAGCCACCGGTCGTGTTGAATGGGGAACGGGGAATGGCTCTGGAGTCAATGCAGGGGAATCGGGCCTCATCTCGAGTTGATTTGGGGCACATGGAGCTGCTTTGCGTTGCTGGGGTGACCTCAGGGTCCGTCTAGACTGGTGACAGTGTTCTTGGGGACTGTCTCGAGATCCATTAAGGAAGTCGAAACTCCTGACTTGTTTGAATGGGATCACAGAATAGCTCTGCATGCACTGCAGGGGAATGGGGCCTCATCTCGCCTCAAGGGGGAAGTCTCATGGTTTTTCTCGAGTTGCGTTGGGGACCTGGGGTATGTTCTCGACTTAGGGCGGGAATGGCCCTTCAAAACACGAGTTTCTTCAGTGACTTCAGGACTCCTGTCTAGTAACGAGGGACACTTCAGGAACCTCTACGAGGCTTGGCAGGTCAAAAGGGACGCTTCTCGAGGTGAGGCAGCGTACCCAAGGAGCCTTTCCAGTAGCCACAGCGATTTTGGGATTCCTATCAGTATTCAAGAGGAGTCAGGCATCGTCACCTTTTGAAGCAATGAACTCCGCGTGCCTCTCGAGGTGTCAGCGGGATGTGAGGCATTCCGTCAAAATGACTCAGGGACCTAGGTCTTTCTCTAAGGTCTCCACAGGGGATTCAGACATCCCTTCATGTTGTGAGATGAAAGACGAGCCTGTATTCAAGCCACTGCAAGGAAATCCGGCCTCCTTTCAAGTTAGGGCTTCTCACTGTATATTCCCCTTGAGGCAGCAAACTCAGGTCCCTCCCACATACCTATTGCTGAGAGAAGCCTCCTCCTGAGGTGCTTCTGGAAAGTTGGCATAAGTCTTGAGCCTAAGCCAGGGAATCAGCTCTCATCTCGAGACGATTTGGGTTACACGAAGCATTCGTCGAGTTGCTGTGCTGAAGTTGGTGTTCCTCTAGACTTGGGACAGTGTTCTCGGGGCATCTCTGGCGTTGCCTGAAGGAAGTCGAGCCACCGGTCGTGTTGAATGGGGAACGGGGAATGGCTCTGGAGTCAATTCAGGGGAATCGGGCCTCATCTCGAGTTGATTTGGGGCACATGGAGCTGCTTTGCGTTGCTGGGGTGACCTCAGGGTCCGTCTAGACTGGTGACAGTGTTCTTGGGGACTGTCTCGAGATCCATTAAGCAAGTCGAAACTTCTGACTTGTTTGAATGGGATCACAGAATAGCTCTGCATGCACTGCAGGGGAATGGGGCCTCATCTCGCCTCTAGGGGGAAGTCTCATGGTTTTTCTCGAGTTGAGGCGGGGACCTGGGGTATGTTCTCGACTTACGGCGGGGATGGCCCTTCAAAACACGAGTTTCTTCAGTGACCTCAGGACTCCTGTCTAGTAACGAGGGACACCTCAGGAATCTCTTCGAGGCTTGGCAGGGCAAAAGGGACGCTTCTCGAGGTGAGGCAGGGCACCCAAGGACCGTTTCCAGTAGCCACAGGGATTTTGGGATTCCTATCACTATTCAAAGGTGTCAGGCATCGTCACCTTTTGAAGCAATTTACTCCGCGTGCCTCTCGAGGTGTCAGCGGGATGTGAGGCATTCAGTCAAACTGAGGCAGGGACCTAGGGCTTTCTCTAAGGTCTCCACAGGGGATTCAGACATCCCTTCATGTTGTGAGATGAAAGACGAGCCTGTATTCAAGCCACTGCAAGGAAATCCGGCCTCCTTTCAAGTTAGGGCTTCTCGCTGTATATTCCCCTTGAGGCAGCAAACTCGGGGTCCCTTCCACATACCTATTGCTGAGAGAAGCCTCCTCCTGAGGTGCTTCTGGAAAGTTGGCATACGTCTTGAGCCTAAGCCAGGGAATCAGCTCTCATCTCGAGACGATTTGGGGTACACGGAGCATTCGTCGAGTTGCTGTGCTGAAGTTGGTGTTCCTCTAGACTTGGGACACTGTTCTCGGGGCATCTCTGGAGTTGCCTGAAGGAAGTCGAGCCACCGGTCGTGTTGAATGGGGAACGGGCAATTGCTCTGGAGTCAATGCAGGGGAATCGGGCCTCATCTCGAGTTGATTTGGGGCACATAGAGCTGCTTTGCGTTGCTGGGGTGACCTCAGGGTCCGTCTAGACTGGTGACAGTGTTCTTGGGGACTGTCTCGAGATTCATTAAGCAAGTCGAAGCTCCTGACTTGTTTGAATGGGATCACGGAATAGCTCTGCGTGCACTGCAGGGGAATGGGGCCTCATCTCGTCTCTAGGGGGAAGTCTCATGGTTTTTCTCGAGTTGCGGCGGGGACCTGGGGTATGTTCTCGACTTAAGACGGGGATGGCCCTTCAAAACACGAGTTTCTTCAGTGACGTCAGGACTCTTGTCTAGTAACGAGGGACACCTCAGGAATCTCTTCAAGGCTTGGCAGGGCAAAAGAGACGCTTCTCGAGGTGAGGCAGGGCACCCAAGGACCGTTTCCCCTAGCCACAGGGATTTTGGGATTCCTATCTGTATTGAAGAGGAGTCAGGCATCGTCACCTTTTGAAGCAATGAACTCCGCGTGCCTCTCGAGGTGTCAGCGGGATGTGAGTCATTCCGTCAAAATGAGGCAGGGACCTAGGGCTTGCTCTGAGGTCTCCACAGGGGATTCAGACATCCCTTCATGTTGTGAGATGAAAGCCGAGCCTGTATTCAAGCCACTGCAAGGAAATCCGGCCTCCTTTCAAGTTAGGGCTTCTCGCTGTATATTCCCCTTGAGGCACAAACTCGGGGTCCCTCCCACATACTTATTGCTGAGAGAAGCCTCCTCCTGAGGTGCTTCTGTAAAGTTGGCATACGTCTTGAGCCTTGACCAGGGAATCAGCTCTCATCTCGAGACGATTTGGCTTACACGAAGCATTCGTCGAGTTGCTGTGCTGAAGTTCGTGTTCCTCTAGACTTGGGACAGTGTTCTCGGGGCATCTGTGGAGTTGCCTGAAGGAAGTCGAGCCACCGGTCGTGTTGAATGGGGAACGGGGAATGGCTCTGGAGTCAATGCAGGGGAATCGGGCCTCATCTCGAGTAGATTTGGGGCACATGGAGCTGCTTTGCGTTGCTGGGGTGACCTCAGGGTCCGTCTAGACTGGTGACAGTGTTCTTGGGGACTGTCTCGAGATCCATTAAGCAAGTCGAAACTCCTGACTTGTTTGAATGGGATCACAGAATAGCTCTGCATGCAGTGCAGGGGAATGGGGCCTCATCTCGCCTCTAGGGGGAAGTCTCATGGTTTTTCTCGAGTTCCGTTGGGGACCTGGGGTATGTTCTCGACTTACGGCGGGGATGGCCCTTCAAAACACGAGTTTCTTCAGTGACATCAGGACTCCTGTCTAGTAACGAGGGACACTTCAGGAATCTCTACGAGGCTTGGCAGGGCAAAAGGGACGCTTCTCGAGGTGAGGCAGGGTACCCAAAAGCCTTTCCAGTAGCCACAGCGATTTTGGGATTCCTATCAGTATTCAAGAGGAGTCAGGCATCGTCACCTTTTGAAGCAATGAACTCCGCGTGCCTTTCGAGGTGTCAACGGGATGTGAGGCCTTCAGTCAAAATGAGGCAGGGACCTAGGTCTTTCTGTAAGGTCTCCACAGGGGATTCAGACATCCCTTCATGTTGTGAGATGAAAGACGAGCCTGTATTCAAGCCACTGCAAGGAAATCCGGCCTCCTTTCAAGTTATGGCTTCTCGCTGTATATTCCCCTTGAGGCAGCACCCTCGGGTCCCTCCCACATACCTATTGCTGAGAGAAGCCTCCTCCTGAGGTGCTTCTGGAAAGTTGGCATAAGACTTGAGCCTAAGCCAGGGAATCAGCTCTCATCTCAAGACGATTTGGGGTACACGGAGCATTCCTCAAGTTGCTGTGCTGAAGTTGGTGTTCCTCTAGACTTGGGACAGTGTTCTCGGTGCATCTCTGGAGTTGCCTGAAGGAAGTCGAGCCACCGGTCGTGTTGAATGGGGAACGGGGAATGGCTCTGGAGTCAATGCAGGGGAATCGGGCCTCATCTCGAGTTGATTTGGGGCACATGGAGCTGCTTTGCGTTGCTGGCGTGACCTCAGGGTCCGTCTAGACTGGTGACAGTGTTCTTGGGGACTGTCTCGAGATCCATTAAGCAAGTCGAAGCTCCTGACTTGTTTGAATGGGATCACGGGATAGCTCTGCATGCACTGCAGGGGAATGGGGCCTCATCTCGCCTCAAGGGGGAAGTCTCATGGTTTTTCTCGAGTTGAGGCGGGGACCTGGGGTATGTTCTCGACTTACGGCGGGGATGGCACTTCAAAACACGAGTTTCTTCAGTGACGTCAGGACTCCTGTCTAGTAACGAGGGACACCTCAGGAATCTCTTCGAGGCTTGGCAGGGCAAAAGGGACGCTTCTCGAGGTGAGGCAGGGCACCCAAGGACCCTTTCCCCTAGCCACAGGGATTTTGGGATTCCTATCAGTATTCAAGAGGAGTCAGGCATCGTCACCTTTTGAAGCAATGAACTCCGCGTGCCTCTCGAGGTGTCAGCGGGATGTGAGGCATTCCGTCAAAATGAGGCAGGGACCTAGGGCTTTCTCTAAGGTCTCCACAGGGGATTCAGACATCCCTTCATGTTGTGAGATGAAAGACGAGCCTGTATTCAAGCCACTGCAAGGAAATCCGGCCTCCTTTCAAGTTAGGGCTTCTCGGTGTATATTCCACTTGAGGCAGCAAACTTGGGGTCCCTCCCACATACCTATTGCTGAGAGAAGCCTCCTCCTGAGGTGCTTCTGGAAAGTTGGCATACGTCTTGAGCCTAAGCCAGGGAATCAGCTCTCATCTCGAGACGATTTGGGGTACACGGAGCATTCGTCGAGTTGCTGTGCTGAAGTTGGTGTTCCTCTAGACTTGGGACCGTGTTCTCGGGGCTTCTCTGGAGTTGCCTGAAGGAAGTCGAGCCACCGGTCGTGTTGAATGGGGAACGGGGAATGGCTCTGTAGTCAATGCAGGGGAATCGGGCCTCATCTCGAGTTGATTTGGGGCACATGGAGCTGCTTTGCGTTGCTGGGGTGACCTCAGGGTCCGTCTAGACTGGTGACAGTGTTCTTGGGGACTGTCTCGAGATCCATTAAGCAAGTCGAAGCTCCTGACTTGTTTGAATGGGATCACGGAATAGCTCTGCATGCACTGCAGGGGAATGGGGCCTCATCTCGCCTCTAGGGGGAAGTCTCATGGTTTTTCTCGAGTTGCGTTGGGGACCTGGGGTATGTTCTCGACTTACGGCGGGGATGGCCCTTCAAAACACGAGTTTCTTCAGTGACATCAGGACTCCTGTCTAGTAACGAGGGACACCTCAGGAATCTATTCGAGGCTTGGCAGGGCAAAAGGGACGCTTCTCGAGGTGAGGCAGGGTACCGAAGGAGCCTTTCCAGTAGCCACAGCGATTTTGGGATTCCTATCAGTATTCAAGAGGAGTCAGGCATCGTCACCTGTTGAAGCAATGAACTCCGCGTGCCTCTCGAGGTGTCAGCGGGATGTGAGGCATTCCGTCAAAATGAGGCAGGGACCTAGGTCTTTCTCTAAGGTCTCCACAGGGGATTCAGACATCCCTTCATGTTGTGAGATGAAAGACGAGCCTGTATTCAAGCCACTGCAAGGAAATCCAGCCTCCTTTCAAGTTAGGGCTTCTCGCTGTATATTCCCCTTGAGGCAGCAAACTCGGGTCCCTCCCACATACCTATTTCTGAGAGAAGCCTCCTCCTGAGGTGCTTCTGGAAAGTTGGCATAAGACTTGAGCCTAAGCCAGGGAATCAGCTCTCATCTCGAGACGATTAGGGGTACACGGAGCATTCCTCAAGTTGCTGTGCTGAAGTTGGTGTTCCTCTAGACTTGGGACAGTGTTCTCGGGGCATCTCTGGAGTTGCCTGAAGGAAGTCGAGCCACCGGTCGTGTTGAATGGGGAACGGGGAATGGCTCTGGAGTCAATGCAGGGGAATCGGGCCTCATCTCGAGTTGATTTGGGGCACATGGAGCTGCTTTGCGTTGCTGGGGTGACCTCAGGGTCCGTCTAGACTGGTGACAGTGTTCTTGGGGACTGTCTCGAGATCCATTAAGCAAGTCGAAGTTCCTGACTTGTTTGAATGGGATCACGGAATAGCTCTGCATGCACTGCAGGGGAATGGGGCCTCATCTCGCCTCAAGGGGGAAGTCTCATGGTTTTTCTCGAGTTGAGGCGGGGACCTGGGTTATGTTCTCGACTCACGGCGGGGATGGCCCTTCAAAACACGAGTTTCTTCAGTGACGTCAGGACTCCTGTCTAGTAACGAGGGACACCTCAGAAATCTCTTCGAGGCTTGGCAGGGCAAAAGGGACGCTTCTCGAGGTGAGGCAGGGTACCCAAAGAGCCTTTCCAGTAGCCACAGCGATTTTGGGATTCCTATCAGTATTCAAGAGGAGTCAGGCATCGTCACCTTTTGAAGCAATGAACTCCGCGTGCCTCTCGAGGTGTCAGCGGGATGTGAGGCATTCCATCAAAATGAGGCAGGGACCTAGGTCTTTCTCTAAGGTCTCCACAGGGGATTCAGACATCCCTTCATGTTGTGAGATGAAAGACGAGCCTGTATTCAAGCCACTGCAAGGAAATCCGGCCTCCTTTCAAGTTAGGGCTTCTCGCTGTATATTCCCCTTGAGGCAGCACCCTCGGGTCCTCCCACATACCTATTGCTGAGAGAAGCCTCCTCCTGAGGTGCTTCTGGAAAGTTGGCATAAGACTTGAGCCTAAGCCAGGGAATCAGCTCTCATCTCGAGACGATTTGGGTTACACGGAGCATTCCTCAAGTTGCTGTGCTGAAGTTGGTGTTCCTCTAGACTTGGGACCGTGTTCTCGGGGCATCTCTGGAGTTGCCTGAAGGAAGTCGAGCCACCGGTCGTGTTGAATGGGGAACGGGGAATGGCTCTGGAGTCAATGCAGGGGAATCGGGCCTCATCTCGAGTTGATTTGGGGCACATGGAGCTGCTTTGCGTTGCTGGCGTGACCTCAGGGTCCGTCTAGACTGGTGAGTGTTCTTGGGGACTGTCTCGAGATCCATTAAGCAAGTCGAAGCTCCTGACTTGTTTGAATGGGATCACGGGATAGCTCTGCATGCACTGCAGGGGAATGGGGCCTCATCTCGCCTCAAGGGGGAAGTCTCATGGTTTTTCTCGAGTTGAGGCGGGGACCTGGGGTATGTTCTCGACTCACGGCGGGGATGGCCCTTCAAAACACAAGTTTCTTCAGTGACGTCAGGACTCCTGTCTAGTAACGAGGGACACCTCAGGAATCTCTTCGAGGCTTGGCAGGGCAAAAGGGACGCTTCTCGAGGTGAGGCAGGGCACCCAAGGACCCTTTCCCGTAGCCACAGGGATTTTGGGATTCCTATTAGTATTCAAGAGGAGTCAGGCATCGTCACCTTTTGAAGCAATGAACTCCGCGTGCCTCTCGAGGTGTCAGCGGGATGTGAGGCATTCCGTCAACATGAGGCAGGGACCTAGGGCTTTCTCTAAGGTCTCCACAGGGGATTCAGACATCCCTTCATGTTGTGAGATGAAAGACGAGCCTGTATTCAAGCCACTGCAAGGAAATCCGGCCTCCTTTCAAGTTATGGCTTCTCGCTGTATATTCCCCTTGAGGCAGCAAACTCGGGGTCCCTCCCACATACCTATTGCTGAGAGAAGCCTCCTCCTGAGGTGCTTCTGGAAAGTTGGCATACGTCTTGAGCCTAATCCAGGGAATCAGCTCTCATCTCGAGACGATTTGGGTTACACGGAGCATTCGTCGAGTTGCTGTGCTGAAGTTGCTGTTCCTCTAGACTTGGGACAGTGTTCTCGGGGCATCTCTGGAGTTGCCTGAAGGAAGTCGAGCCACCGGTCGTGTTGAATGGGGAACGGGGAATGGCTCTGTAGTCAATGCAGGGGAATCGGGCCTCATCTCGAGTTGATTTGGGGCACATGGAGCTGCTTTGCGTTGCTGGGGTGACCTCAGGGTCCGTCTAGACTGGTGACAGTGTTCTTGGGGACTGTCTCGAGATCCATTAAGCAAGTCGAAGCTCCTGACTTGTTTGAATGGGATCACGGAATAGCTCTGCATGCACTGCAGGGGAATGGGGCCTCATCTCGCCTCTAGGGGGAAGTCTCATGGTTTTTCTCGAGTTGCGGCGGGGACCTGGGGTATGTTCTCGACTTACGGCAGGGATGGCCCTTCAAAACACGAGTTTCTTCAGTGACGTAAGGACTCCTGTCTAGTAACGAGGGACACCTCAGGAAACTCTTCGAGGCTTGGCAGGGCAAAAGGGACGCTTCTCGAGGTGAGGCAGGGCACCCAAGGACCCATTCCCCTAGCCACAGGGATTTTGGGATTCCTATCAGTATTCAAGAGGAGTCAGGCATCCTCACCTTTTGAAGCAATGAACTCCGCGTGCCTCTCGAGGTGTCAGCGGGATGTGAGGCATTTCGTCAAAATGAGGCAGGGACCTAGGGCTTTCTCTAAGGTCTCCACAGGGGATTCAGACATCCCTTCATGTTGTGAGATGAAAGACGAGCCTGTATTCAAGCCACTGCAAGGAAATCAGGCCTCCTTTCAAGTTAGGGCTTCTCGCTGTATATTCCCCTTGAGGCACAAACTCGGGGTCCCTCCCACATACTTATTGCTGAGAGAAGCCTCCTCCTGAGGTGCTTCTGTAAAGTTGGCATACGTCTTGAGCCTTGACCAGGGAATCAGCTCTCATCTCGAGACGATTTGGCTTACACGAAGCATTCGTCGAGTTGCTGTGCTGAAGTTGGTGTTCCTCTAGACTTGGGACAGTGTTCTCGGGGCATCTGTGGAGTTGCCTGAAGGAAGTCGAGCCACCGGTCGTGTTGAATGGGGAACGGGGAATGGCTCTGGAGTCAATGCAGGGGAATCGGGCCTCATCTCGAGTAGATTTGGGGCACATGGAGCTGCTTTGCGTTGCTGGGGTGACCTCAGGGTCCGTCTAGACTGGTGACAGTGTTCTTGGGGACTGTCTCGAGATCCATTAAGCAAGTCGAAACTCCTGACTTGTTTGAATGGGATCACAGAATAGCTCTGCATGCAGTGCAGGGGAATGGGGCCTCATCTCGCCTCTAGGGGGAAGTCTCATGGTTTTTCTCGAGTTGCGTTGGGGACCTGGGGTATGTTCTCGACTTAGGGCGGGGATGGCCCTTCAAAACACAAGTTTCGTCAGTGACATCAGGACTCCTGTCTAGTAACGAGGGACACCTCAGGAATCTATTCGAGGCTTGGCAGGGCAAAAGGGACGCTTCTCCAGGTGAGGCAGGGTACCCAAGGAGCCTTTCCAGTAGCCACAGCGATTTTGGGATTCCTATCAGTATTCAAGAGGAGTCAGGCATCGTAACCTTTTGAAGCAATGAACTCCGCGTGCCTCTCGAGGTGTCAGCGGGATGTGAGGCATTCCATCAAAATGAGGCAGGGACCTAGGTCTTTCTCTAAGGTCTCCACAGGGGATTCAGACATCCCTTCATGTTGTGAGATGAAAGACGAGCCTGTATTCAAGCCACTGCAAGGAAATCCGGCCTCCTTTCAAGTTAGGGCTTCTCGCTGTATATTCCCCTTGAGGCAGCAAACTCGGGTCCCTCCCACATACCTATTGCTGAGAGAAGCCTCCTCCTGAGGTGCTTCTGGAAAGTTGGCATAAGACTTGAGCCTAAGCCAGGGAATCAGCTCTCATCTCGAGACGATTAGGGGTACACGGAGCATTCCTCAAGTTGCTGTGCTGAAGTTGGTGTTCCTCTAGACTTGGGACAGTGTTCTCGGGGCATCTCTGGAGTTGCCTGAAGGAAGTCGAGCCACCGGTCGTGTTGAATGGGGAACGGGGAATGGCTCTGGATTCAATGCAGGGGAATCGGGCCTCATCTCGAGTTGATTTGGGGCACATGGAGCTGCTTTGCGTTGCTGCGGTGACCTCAGGGTCCGTCTAGACTGGTGACAGTGTTCTTGGGGACTGTCTCGAGATCCATTAAGCAAGTCGAAACTCCTGACTTGTTTGAATGGGATCACAGAATAGCTCTGCATGCACTGCAGGGGAATGGGGCCTCATCTCGCCTCAAGGGGGAAGTCTCATGGTTTTTCTCGAGTTGCGTTGGGGACCTGGGGTATGTTCTCGACTTACGGCGGGGATGGCCCTTCAAAACACGAGTTTCTTCAGTGACATCAGGACTCCTGTCTAGTAACGAGGGACACTTCAGGAATCTCTACGAGGCTTGGCAGGGCAAAAGGGACGCTTCTCGAGGTGAGGCAGGGTACCCAAAGAGCCTTTCCAGTAGCCACAGCGATTTTGGGATTCCTATCAGTATTGAAGAGGAGTCAGGCATCGTCACCTTTTGAAGCAATGAACTCCGCGTGCCTCTCGAGGTGTCAGCGGGATGTGAGGCATTCCGTCAAAATGAGGCAGGGACCTAGGTCTTTCTCTAAGGTCTCCACAGGGGATTCAGACATCCCTTCATGTTGTGAGATGAAAGACGAGCCTGTATTCAAGCCACTGCAAGGAAATCCGGCCTCCTTTCAAGTTAGGGCTTCTCGCTGTATATTCCCCTTGAGGCAGCACCCTCGGGTCCTCCCACATACCTATTGCTGAGAGAAGCCTCCTCCTGAGGTGCTTCTGGAAAGTTGGCATAAGACTTGAGCCTAAGCCAGGGAATCAGCTCTCATCTCAAGACGATTTGGGGTACACGGAGCATTCCTCAAGTTGCTGTGCTAAAGTTGGTGTTCCTCTAGACTTGGGACCGTGTTCTCGGGGCATCTCTGGAGTTGCCTGAAGGAAGTCGAGCCACCGGTCGTGTTGAATGGGGAACGGGGAATGGCTCTGGATTCAATGCAGGGGAATCGGGCCTCATCTCGAGTTGATTTGGGGCACATGGAGCTGCTTTGCGTTGCTGGCGTGACCTCAGGGTCCGTCTAGACTGGTGAGTGTTCTTGGGGACTGTCTCGAGATCCATTAAGCAAGTCGAAGCTCCTGACTTGTTTGAATGGGATCACGGGATAGCTCTGCATGCACTGCAGGGGAATGGGGCCTCATCTCGCCTCAAGGGGGAAGTCTCATGGTTTTTCTCGAGTTGAGGCGGGGACCTGGGGTATGTTCTCGACTTACGGCGGGGATGGCCCTTCAAAACACGAGTTTCTTCTGTGACTTCAGGACTCCTGTCTAGTAACGAGGGACACCTCAGGAATCCCTTCGAGGCTTGGCAGGGCAAAAGGGACGCTTCTCGAGGTGAGGCAGGGCACCCAAGGACCCTTTTCCGTAGCCACAGGTATTTTGGGATTCCTATCAGTATTCAAGAGGAGTCAGGCATCGTCACCTTTTGAAGCAATGAACTCCGCGTGCCTCTCGAGGTGTCAGCGGGATGTGAGGCATTCCGTCAAAATGAGGCAGGGACCTAGGGCTTTCTCTAAGGTCTCCACAGGGGATTCAGACATCCCTTCATGTTGTGAGATGAAAGACGAGCCTGTATTCAAGCCACTGCAAGGAAATCTGGCCTCCTTTCTAGTTATGGCTTCTCGCTGTATATTCCCCTTGAGGCAGCAAACTCGGGGTCCCTCCCACATACCTATTGCTGAGAGAAGCCTCCTCCTGAGGTGCTTCTGGAAAGTTGGCATACGTCTTGAGCCTAAGCCAGGGAATCAGCTCTCATCTCGAGACGATTTGGGTTACACGGAGCATTCGTCGAGTTGCTGTGCTGAAGTTGGTGTTCCTCTAGACTTGGGACAGTGTTCTCGGGGCATCTCTGGAGTTGCCTGAAGGAAGTCGAGCCACCGGTCGTGTTGAATGGGGAACGGGGAATGGCTCTGGAGTCAATGCAGGGGAATCGGGCCTCATCTCGAGTTGATTTGGGGCACATGGAGCGGCTTTGCGTTGCTGGGGTGACCTCAGGGTCCGTCTAGACTGGTGACAGTGTTCTTGGGGACTGTCTCGAGATCCATTAAGCAAGTCGAAGCTCCTGACTTGTTTCAATGGGATCACGGAATAGCTCTGCATGCACTGCAGGGGAATGGGGCCTCATCTCGCCTCTAGGGGGAAGTCTCATGGTTTTTCTCGAGTTGCGGCGGGGACCTGGGGTATGTTCTCGACTTACGGCGGGGATGGCCCTTCAAAACACGAGTTTCTTCAGTGACGTCAGGACTCCTGTCTAGTAACGAGGGACACCTCAGGAATCTCTTCGAGGCTTGGCAGGGCAAAAGGGACGCTTCTCGAGGTGAGGCAGGGCACCCAAGCACCCTTTCCCCTAGCCACAGGGATTTTGGGATTCCTATCAGTATTCAAGAGGAGTCAGGCATCGTCACCTTTTGAAGCAATGAACTCCGCGTGCCTCTCGAGGTGTCAGCGGGATGTGAGGCATTCCGTCAAAATGAGGCAGGGACCTAGGTCTTACTCTAAGATCTCCACAGGGGATTCAGACATCCCTTCATGTTGTGAGATGAAAGACGAGCCTGTATTCAAGCCACTGCAAGGAAATCCGGCCTCCTTTCAAGTTAGGGCTTCTCGCTGTATATTCCCCTTGAGGCAGCAAACTCGGGGTCCCTCCCACATACCTATTGCTGAGAGAAGCCTCCTCCTGAGGTGCTTCTGGAAAGTTGGCATACATCTTGAGCCTAAGCCAGGGAATCAGCTCTCATCTCGAGACGATTTGGGGTACACAGAGCATTCCTCTAGTTGCTGTGCTGAAGTTGGTGTTCCTCTAGACTTGGGACAGTGTTCTCGGGGCATCTCTGGAAATGCCTGAAGGAAGTCGAGCCACCGGTCGTGTTGAATGGGGAATGGGTAATGGCTCTGGAGTCAATGCAGGGGAATCGGGCCTCATCTCGAGTTGATTTGGGGCACATGCAGCTGCTTTGCATTGCTGGGGTGACCTCAGGGTCCGTCTAGACTGGTGACAGTGTTCTTGGGGCTGTCTCGAGATCCAATAAGCAAGTCGAAGCTCCTGACTTGTTTGAATGGGACCACGGAATAGCTCTGCATGCACTGCAGTTGAATGGGGCCTCATCTCGCCTCTAGGGGGAAATCTCATGGTTTTTCTCGAGTTGCGGCGTGGATCTGGTGTATATTCTGGACTTACCGGGGGGATGGCCCTTCAAAACACGAGTTTCTTCAGTGACCTCAGGACTCCTGACTAGTAACGAGGGACACTTCAGGAATCTCTTCGAGGCTTGGCAGGGCAAAAGGGACGCTTCTCGAGGTGAGGCAGGGCACCCAAGGACCCTTTCCCGTAGCCACAGGGATTTTGGGATTCCTATCAGTATTCAAGAGGAGTCAGGCATCGTCACCTTTTGAAGCAATGAACTCCGCGTGCCTCTCGAGGTGTCAGCGGGATGTGAGGCATTCCGTCAAAATGAGGCAGGGACCTAGGGCTTTCCCTAAGGTCTCCACAGGGGATTCAGACATCCCTTCATGTTGTGAGATGAAAGACGAGCCTGTATTCAAGCCACTGCAAGGAAATCCCGCCTCCTTTCAAGTTAGGGCTTCTCACTGTATATTCCCCTTGAGGCAGCAAACTCGGGGTCCCTCCCACATACCTATTGCTGAGAGAAGCCTACTCCTGAGGTGCTTCCGGAAAGTTGGCATACGTCTTGAGCCTAAGCCAGGGAATCAGCTCTCATCTCGAGAGGATTTAGGGTACACGGAGCATTCCTCGAGTTGCTGTGCTGAAGTTGGTGTTCCTCTAGACTTGGGACCGTGTTCTCGGGGCATCTCTGGAGTTGCCTGAAGGAAGTCGAGCCACCGGTCGTGTTGAATGGGGAACGGGGAATCGCTCTGGAGTCAATGCAGGGGTATCGGGCCTCATCTCGAGTTGATTAGCGGCACATGGAGCTGCTTTGCTTTGCTGGGGTGACCTCAGTGTCCGTCTAGACTGGTGACAGTGTTCTTGGGGACTGTCTCGAGATCCATTAAGCAAGTCGAAGCTCCTGACTTGTTTCAATGGGATCACGGAATAGCTCTGCATGCACTGCAGGGGAATGGGGACTCATCTTGCCTCTAGGGGGAAGTCTCATGGTTTTTCTCGAGTTGCGGCGGGGACCTGGGTTATGTTTTCGACTTACGGCGGGGATGGCCCTTCAAAACACGAGTTTCTTCATTGACGTCAGGACTCCTGTCTAGTAACGAGGGACACCTCAGGAATCTCTTCGAGGCTTGGCAGGGCAAAAGGGACGCTTCTCGAGGTGAGGCAGGGCACCAAAGGACCCTTTCCAGTAGCCACAGGGATTTTGGGATTCCTATCAGTATTCAAGAGTAGTCAGGAATCGTCACCTTTTGAAGCAATGAACTCCGCGTGCCTCTCGAGGTGTCAGCGGGATGTGAGGCATTTGTCAAAATGAGGCAGGGACCTAGGGCTTTCTCTAAGGTCTCCACAGGGGATTCAGACATCCCTTCATGTTGTAAGATGAAAGACGAGCCTGTATTCAAGCCACTGCAAGGAAATCCGTCCTCCTTTCAAGTTAGGGCTTCTCGCTGTATATTCCCCTTGAGGCAGCAAACTCGGGGTCCCTCCCACATACCTATTGCTGAGACAAGCCTCCTCCTGAGGTGCTTCTGGAAAGTTGACATACGTCTTGAGGCTAAGCCAGGGAATCACCTCTCATCTCGAGACGATTTGGTGTACACGGATCATTCCTCGATTTGCTTTCCGGAAGTTGGTGTTCCTCTAGACTTGGGACAGGGTTCTCGGGGCATCTCTGGAGTTGCCTGAAGGAAGTCGAGCCACCGGTCGTGTTGAATGGGGAACGGGGAATCGCTCTGGAGTCAATGCAGGGGTATCGGTCCTCATCTCGAGTTGACTTGCGGCACATGGAGCTGCTTTGCGTTGCTGGGGTGACCTCAGGGTCCGTCTAGACTGGTGACAGTGTTCTTGGGGACTGTCTCGAGATCCATTAAGCAAGTCGAATCTCCTGACTTGTTTGAATGGGATCACGGAATAGCTCTGCATGCACTGCAGGGGAATGGGGCCTCATCTCGCCTCTAGGGGGAAGTCTCATGGTTTTTCTCGAGTTGCGGCGGGGACCTGGGGTATGTTCTCGACTTATGGCGGGGATGGCCCTTCAAAATACGAGTTTCTTCAGTGACGTCAGGACTCCTGTCTAGTAACGAGAGACACCTCAGGAATCTCTTCGAGGCTTGGCAGGGCAAAAGGGACGCTTCTCGAGATGAGGCTGGGCACCCAAGGACCCTTTCCAGTAGCCACAGGGATTTTGGGATTCCTATCAGTATTCAAGAGGAGGCAGGCATCGTCACCTTTTGAAGCAATGAACTCCGCGTGCCTCTCGAGGTGTCAGCAGGATGTGAGGCATTTGTCATAATGAGGCATGGACCTAGGGCTTTCTCTAAAGTCTCCACTGGGGATTCAGACATCCCTTCATGTTGTGAGATGAAAGACGAGCCTGTATTCAAGTCACTGTAAGGAAATCCGGCCTCCTTTCAAGTTAGGCCTTCTCGCTGTATATTCCCCTTGAGGCAGCAAACTCGGGGTCCCTCCCACATAGCTATTGCTGAGAGAATCCTCCTCCTGAGGTGCTTCTGGAAAGTTGGAATACGTCTTGAGCCTAAGCCAGGGAATCAGCTCTCATCTCGAGACGATTTGGGGTACACGGAGCATTCCTCGAGTTGCTGTGCTGAAGTTGGTGTTCCTCTAGACTTGGGACCGTGTTCTCGGGGCATCTCTGGAGTTGCCTGAAGGAAGTCGAGCCACCGGTCGTGTTGAATGGGGAACGGGGAATGGCTCTGGAGTCAATGCAGGGGAATCGGGCCTCATCTCGAGTTGATTTGGGGCACATGCAGCTGCTTTGCATTGCTGGGGTGACCTCAGGGTCCGTCTAGACTGGTGACAGTGTTCTTGGGGCTGTCTCGAGATCCATTAAGCAAGTCGAAGCTCCTGACTTGTTTGAATGGGACCACGGAATAGCTCTGCATGCACTGCAGGGGAATGGGGCCTCATCTCGCCTCTAGGGGGAAATCTCATGGTTTTTCTCGAGTTGCGGCGGGGACCTGGGGTATGTTCTGGACTTACCGGGGGGATGGCCCTTCAAAACACGAGTTTCTTCAGTGACGTCAGGACTCCTGTCTAGTAACGAGGGACACCTCAGGAATCTCTAAGAGGCTTGGCAGGGCAAAAGGGACGCTTCTCGAGGAGAGGCAGGGCATCCAAGGACCCTTTCCCCTAGCCACAGAGATTTTGGGATTCCTATCAGTATTCAAGAGGAGTCAGGCATCGTCACCTTTTGAAGCAATGAACTCCGCGTGCCTCTCGAGGTGTCAGCGGGATGTGAGGCATTCCGTCAAAATGAGGCAGGGACCTAGGTCTTTCTCTAAGATCTCCACAGGGGATTCAGACATCCCTTCATGTTGTGAGATGAAAGACGAGCCTGTATTCAAGCCACTGCAAGGAAATCCGGCCTCCTTTCAAGTTAGGGCTTCTCGCTGTATATTCCCCTTGAGGCAGCAAACTCGGGGTCCCTCCCACATACCTATTGCTGAGAGAAGCCTCCTCCTGAGGTGCTTCTGGAAAGTTGGCATACGTCTTGAGCCTAAGCCAGGGAATCAGCTCTCATCTCGAGACGATTTGGGTTACACGGAGCATTCGTCGAGTTGCTGTGCTGAAGTTGGTGTTCCTCTAGACTTGGGACAGTGTTCTCGGGGCATCTCTGGAGTTGCCTGAAGGAAGCCGAGCCACCGGTCGTGTTGAATGGGGAACGGGGAATGGCTCTGTAGTCAATGCAGGGGAATCGGGCCTCATCTCGAGTTGATTTGGGGCACATGGAGCTGCTTTGCGTTGCTGGGGTGACCTCAGGGTCCGTCTAGACTGGTGACAGTGTTCTTGGGGACTGTCTCGAGATCCATTAAGCAAGTCGAAGCTCCTGACTTGTTTGAATGGGATCACGGAATAGCTCTGCATGCACTGCAGGGGAATGGGGCCTCATCTCGCCTCTAGGGGGAAGTCTCATGGTTTTTCTCGAGTTGCGGCGGGGACCTGGGGTATGTTCTCGACTTACGGCGGGGATGGCCCTTCAAAACACGAGTTTCTTCAGTGACGTAAGGACTCCTGTCTAGTAACGAGGGACACCTCAGGAAACTCTTCGAGGCTTGGCAGGGCAAAAGGGACGCTTCTCGAGGTGAGGCAGGGCACCCAAGGACCCATTCCCCTAGCCACAGGGATTTTGGGATTCCTATCAGTATTCAAGAGGAGTCAGGCATCCTCACCTTTTGAAGCAATGAACTCCGCGTGCCTCTCGAGGTGTCAGCGGGATGTGAGGCATTTCGTCAAAATGAGGCAGGGACCTAGGGCTTTCTCTAAGGTCTCCACAGGGGATTCAGACATCCCTTCATGTTGTGAGATGAAAGCCGAGCCTGTATTCAAGCCACTGCAAGGAAATCCGGCCTCCTTTCAAGTTAGGGCTTCTCGCTGTATATTCCCCTTGAGGCACAAACTCGGGGTCCCTCCCACATACTTATTGCTGAGAGAAGCCTCCTCCTGAGGTGCTTCTGTAAAGTTGGCATACGTCTTGAGCCTTGACCAGGGAATCAGCTCTCATCTCGAGACGATTTGGCTTACACGAAGCATTCGTCGAGTTGCTGTGCTGAAGTTGGTGTTCCTCTAGACTTGGGACAGTGTTCTCGGGGCATCTGTGGAGTTGCCTGAAGGAAGTCGAGCCACCGGTCGTGTTGAATGGGGAAAGGGGAATGGCTCTGGAGTCAATGCAGGGGAATCGGGCCTCATCTCGAGTAGATTTGGGGCACATGGAGCTGCTTTGCGTTGCTGGGGTGACCTCAGGGTCCGTCTAGACTGGTGACAGTGTTCTTGGGGACTGTCTCGAGATCCATTAAGCAAGTCGAAACTCCTGACTTGTTTGAATGGGATCACAGAATAGCTCTGCATGCAGTGCAGGGGAATGGGGCCTCATCTCGCCTCTAGGGGGAAGTCTCATGGTTTTTCTCGAGTTGCGTTGGGGACCTGGGGTATGTTCACGACTTAGGGCGGGGATGGCCCTTCAAAACACAAGTTTCGTCAGTGACATCAGGACTCCTGTCTAGTATCGAGGGACACCTCAGGAATCTATTCGAGGCTTGGCAGGGCAAAAGGGACGCTTCTCGAGGTGAGGCAGGGTACCCAAGGAGCCTTTCCAGTAGCCACAGCGATTTTGGGATTCCTATCAGTATTCAAGAGGAGTCAGGCATCGTCACCTTTTGAAGCAATGAACTCCGCGTGCCTCTCGAGGTGTCAGCGGGATGTGAGGCATTCCATCAAAATGAGGCAGGGACCTAGGTCTTTCTCTAAGGTCTCCACAGGGTATTCAGACATCCCTTCATGTTGTGAGATGAAAGACGAGCCTGTATTCAAGCCACTGCAAGGAAATCCGGCCTCCTTTCATGTTAGGGCTTCTCGCTGTATTTTCCCCTTGAGGCAGCAAACTCGGGTCCCTCCCACATACCTATTGCTGAGAGAAGCCTCCTCCTGAGGTGCTTCTGGAAAGTTGGCATAAGACTTGAGCCTAAGCCAGGGAATCAGCTCTCATCTCGAGACGATTAGGGGTACACGGAGCATTCCTCAAGTTGCTGTGCTGAAGTTGGTGTTCCTCTAGACTTGGGACAGTGTTCTCGGGGCATCTCTGGAGTTGCCTGAAGGAAGTCGAGCCACCGGTCGTGTTGAATGGGGAACGGGGAATGGCTCTGGATTCAATGCAGGGGAATCGGGCCTCATCTCGAGTTGATTTGGGGCACATGGAGCTGCTTTGCGTTGCTGCGGTGACCTCAGGGTCCGTCTAGACTGGTGACAGTGTTCTTGGGGACTGTCTCGAGATCCATTAAGCAAGTCGAAACTCCTGACTTGTTTGAATGGGATCACAGAATAGCTCTGCATGCACTGCAGGGGAAAGGGGCCTCATCTCGCCTCAAGGGGGAAGTCTCATGGTTTTTCTCGAGTTGCGTTGGGGACCTGGGGTATTTTCTCGACTTACGGCGGGGATGGCCCTTCAAAACACGAGTTTCTTCAGTGACATCAGGACTCCTGTCTAGTAACGAGGGACACTTCAGGAATCTCTACGAGGCTTGGCAGGGCAAAAGGGACGCTTCTCGAGGTGAGGCAGGGTACCCAAAGAGCCTTTCCAGTAGCCACAGCGATTTTGGGATTCCTATCAGTATTGAAGAGGAGTCAGGCATCGTCACCTTTTGAATCAATGAACTCCGCGTGCCTCTCGAGGTGTCAGCGGGATGTGAGGCATTCCGTCAAAATGAGGCAGGGACCTAGGTCTTTCTCTAAGGTCTCCACAGGGGATTCAGACATCCCTTCATGTTGTGAGATGAAAGACGAGCCTGTATTCAAGCCACTGCAAGGAAATCCGGCCTCCTTTCAAGTTAGGGCTTCTCGCTGTATATTCCCCTTGAGGCACAAACTCGGGGTCCCTCCCACATACTTATTGCTGAGAGAAGCCTCCTCCTGAGGTGCTTCTGTAAAGTTGGCATACGTCTTGAGCCTTGACCAGGGAATCAGCTCTCATCTCGAGACGATTTGGCTTACACGAAGCATTCGTCGAGTTGCTGTGCTGAAGTTCGTGTTCCTCTAGACTTGGGACAGTGTTCTCGGGGCATCTGTGGAGTTGCCTGAAGGAAGTCGAGCCACCGGTCGTGTTGAATGGGGAACGGGGAATGGCTCTGGAGTCAATGCAGGGGAATCGGGCCTCATCTCGAGTAGATTTGGGGCACATGGAGCTGCTTTGCGTTGCTGGCGTGACCTCAGGGTCCGTCTAGACTGGTGACAGTGTTCTTGGGGACTGTCTCGAGATCCATTAAGCAAGTCGAAGCTCCTGACTTGTTTGAATGGGATCACGGGATAGCTCTGCATGCACTGCAGGGGAATGGGGCCTCATCTCGCCTCAAGGGGGAAGTCTCATGGTTTTTCTCGAGTTGAGGCGGGGACCTGGGGTATGTTCTCGACTTACGGCGGGGATGGCCCTTCAAAACACGAGTTTCTTCTGTGACCTCAGGACTCCTGTCTAGTAACGAGGGACACCTCAGGAATCCCTTCGAGGCTTGGCAGGGCAAAAGGGACGCTTCTCGAGGTGAGGCAGGGCACCCAAGGACCCTTTCCCGTAGCCACAGTGATTTTGGGATTCCTATCAGTATTAAAGAGGAGTCAGGCATCGTCACCTTTTGAAGCAATGAACTCCGCGTGCCTCTCGAGGTGTCAGCGGGATGTGAGGCATTCCGTCAAAATGAGGCAGGGACCTAGGGCTTTCTCTAAGGTCTCCACAGGGGATTCAGACATCCCTTCATGTTGTGAGATGAAAGACGAGCCTGTATTCAAGCCACTGCAAGGAAATCTGGCCTCCTTTCTAGTTATGGCTTCTCGCTGTATATTCCCCTTGAGGCAGCAAACTCGGGGTCCCTCCCACATACCTATTGCTGAGAGAAGCCTCCTCCTGAGGTGCTTCTGGAAAGTTGGCATACGTCTTGAGCCTAAGCCAGGGAATCAGCTCTCATCTCGAGACGATTTTGGTTACACGGAGCATTCGTCGAGTTGCTGTGCTGAAGTTGGTGTTCCTCTAGACTTGGGACAGTGTTCTCGGGGCATCTCTGGAGTTGCCTGAAGGAAGTCGAGCCACCGGTCGTGTTGAATGGGGAACGGAGAATGGCTCTGTAGTCAATGCAGGGGAATCGGGCCTCATCTCGAGTTGAAATGGGGCACATGGAGCTGCTTTGCGTTGCTGGGGTGACCTCAGGGTCCGTCTAGACTGGTGACAGTGTTCTTGGGTACTGTCTCGAGATCCATTAAGCAAGTCGAAGCTCCTGACTTGTTTGAATGGGATCACGGAATAGCTCTGCATGCACTGCAGGGGAATGGGGCCTCATCTCGCCTCTAGGGGGAAGTCTCATGGTTTTTCTCGAGTTGCGGCAGGGACCTGGGGTATGTTCTCGACTTACGGCGGGGATGGCCCTTCAAAACACGAGTTTCTTCAGTGACGTCAGGACTCCTCTCTAGTAACGAGGGACACCTCAGGAATCTCTAAGAGGCTTGGCAGGGCAAAAGGGACGCTTCTCGAGGTGAGGCAGGGTACCCAAGTAGCCTTTCCAGTAGCCACAGCGATTTTGGGATTCCTATCAGTATTCAAGAGGAGTCAGGCATCGTCACCTTTTGAAGCAATGAACTCCGCGTGCCTCTCGAGGTGTCAGCAGGATGTGAGGCATTCCGTCAAAATGAGGCAGGGACCTAGGTCTTTCTCTAAGGTCTCCACAGGGGATTCAGACATCCCTTCATGTTGTGAGATGAAAGACAAGCCTGTATTCAAGCCACTGCAAGGAAATCTGGCCTCCTTTCAAGTTAGGGCTTCTCGCTTTATATTCCCCTTGAGGCAGCAAACTCGGGTCCCTCCCACATACCTATTGCTGAGAGAAGCCTCCTCCTGAGGTGCTTCTGGAAAGTTGGCATACGTCTTGAGCCTAAGCCAGGGAATCAGCTCTCATCTCGAGACGATTTGGGTTACACGGAGCATTCGTCGAGTTGCTGTGCTGAAGTTGGTGTTCCTCTAGACTTGGGACAGTGTTCTCGGGGCATCTCTGGAGTTGCCTGAAGGAAGTCGAGCCACTGGTCGTGTTGAATGGGGAACGGGGAATGGCTCTGGAGTCAATGCAGGGGAATCGGGCCTCATCTCGAGTTGATTTGGGGCACATGGAGCGGCTTTGCGTTGCTGGGGTGACCTCAGGGTCCGTCTAGACTGGTGACAGTGTTCTTGGGGACTGTCTCGAGATCCATTAAGCAAGTCGAAGCTCCTGACTTGTTTCAATGGGATCACGGAATAGCTCTGCATGCACTGCAGGGGAATGGGGCCTCATCTCGCCTCTAGGGGGAAGTCTCATGGTTTTTCTCGAGTTGCGGCGGGGATCTGGGGTATGTTCTCGACTTAAGGCGGGGATGGCCCTTCAAAACACGAGTTTCTTCAGTGACGTCAGGACTCCTGTCTAGTAACGAGGGACACCTCAGGAATCTCTTCGAGGCTTGGCAGGGCAAAAGGGACGCTTCTCGAGGTGAGGCAGGGCACCCAAGCACCCTTTCCCCTAGCCACAGGGATTTTGGGATTCCTATCAGTATTCAAGAGGAGTCAGGCATCGTCACCTTTTGAAGCAATGAACTCCGCGTGCCTCTCGAGGTGTCAGCGGGATGTGAGGCATTCCGTCAAAATGAGGCAGGGACCTAGGTCTTTCTCTAAGATCTCCACAGGGGATTCAGACAACCCTTCATGTTGTGAGATGAAAGACGAGCCTGTATTCAAGCCACTGCAAGGAAATCCGGCCTCCTTTCAAGTTAGGGCTTCTCGCTGTATATTCCCCTTGAGGCAGCAAACTCGGGGTCCCTCCCACATACATATTGCTGAGAGAAGCCTCCTCCTGAGGTGCTTCTGTAAAGTTGGCATACATCTTGAGCCTAAGCCAGGGAATCAGCTCTCATCTCGAGACGATTTGGGGTACACAGAGCATTCCTCTAGTTGCTGTGCTGAAGTTGGTGTTCCTCTAGACTTGGGACAGTGTTCTCGGGGCATCTCTGGAAATGCCTGAAGGAAGTCGAGCCACCGGTCGTGTTGAATGGGGAATGGGTAATGGCTTTGGAGTCAATGCAGGGGAATCGGGCCTCATCTCGAGTTGATTTGGGGCACATGCAGCTGCTTTGCATTGCTGGGGTGACCTCAGGGTCCGTCTAGACTGGTGACAGTGTTCTTGGGGCTGTCTCGAGATCCATTAAGCAAGTCGAAGCTCCTGACTTGTTTGAATGGGACCACGGAATAGCTCTGCATGCACTGCAGGGGAATGGGGCCTCATCTCGCCTCTAGGGGGAAATCTCATGGTTTTTCTCGAGTTGCGGCGTGGACCTGGTGTATATTCTGGACTTACCGGGGGATGGCCCTTCAAAACACGAGTTTCTTCAGTGACCTCAGGACTCCTGACTAGTAACGTGGGACACCTCAGGAATCTCTTCGAGGCTTGGCAGGGCAAAAGGGACGCTTCTCGAGGTGAGGCAGGGCACCCAAGGACCCTTTCCCGTAGCCACAGGGATTTTGGGATTCCTATCAGTATTCAAGAGGAGTCAGGCATCGTCACCTTTTGAAGCAATGAACTCCTCGTGCCTCTCGAGGTGTCAGCGGGATGTGAGGCATTCCGTCAAAATGAGGCAGGGACATAGGGCTTTCCCTAAGGTCTCCACAGGGGATTCAGACATCCCTTCATGTTGTGAGACGAAAGACGAGCCTGTATTCAAGCCACTGCAAGGAAATCCCTCCTCCTTTCAAGTTAGGGCTTCTCACTGTATATTCCCCTTGAGGCAGCAAACTCGGGGTCCCTCCCACATACCTATTGCTGAGAGAAGCCTCCTCCTGAGGTGCTTCCGGAAAGTTGGCATACGTCTTGAGCCTAAGCCAGGGAATCAGCTCTCATCTCGAGAGGATTTAGGGTACACGGAGCATTCCTCGAGTTGCTGTGCTGAAGTTGGTGTTCCTCTAGACTTGGGACCGTGTTCTCGGGGCATCTCTGGAGTTGCCTGAAGGAAGTCGAGCCAACGGTCGTGTTGAATGTGGAACGGGGAATCGCTCTGGAGTCAATGCAGGGGTATCGGGCCTCATCTCGAGTTGATTAGCGGCACATGGAGCTGCTTTGCTTTGCTGGGGTGACCTCAGTGTCCGTCTAGACTGGTGACAGTGTTCTTGGGGACTGTCTCGAGATCCATTAAGCAAGTCGAAGCTCCTGACTTGTTTCAATGGGATCACGGAATAGCTCTGCATGCACTGCAGGGGAATGGGGCCTCATCTTGCCTCTAGGGGGAAGTCTCATGGTTTTTCTCGAGTTGCGGCGGGGACCTGGGGTATGTTTTCGACTTACGGCGGGGATGGCCCTTCAAAACACGAGTTTCTTCATTGACGTCAGGACTCCTGTCTAGTAACGAGGGACACCTCAGGAATCTCTTCGAGGCTTGGCAGGGCAAAAGGGACGCTTCTCGAGGTGAGGCAGGGCACCAAAGGACCCTTTCCAGTAGCCACAGGGATTTTGGGATTCCTATCAGTATTCAAGAGTAGTCAGGAATCGTCACCTTTTGAAGCAATGAACTACGCGTGCCTCTCGAGGTGTCAGCGGGATGTGAGGCATTTGTCAAAATGAGGCAGGGACCTAGGGCTTTCTCTAAGGTCTCCACAGGGGATTCAGACATCCCTTCATGTTGTAAGATGAAAGACGAGCCTGTATTCAAGCCACTGCAAGGAAATCCGTCCTCCTTTCAAGTTAGGGCTTCTCGCTGTATATTCCCCTTGAGGCAGCAAACTCGGGGTCCCTCCCACATACCTATTGCTGAGACAAGCCTCCTCCTGAGGTGCTTCTGGAAAGTTGACATACGTCTTGAGGCTAAGCCAGGGAATCACCTCTCATCTCGAGACGATTTGGTGTACACGGATCATTCCTCGATTTGCTTTCCGGAAGTTGGTGTTCCTCTAGACTTGGGACAGGGTTCTCGGGGCATCTCTGGAGTTGCCTGAAGGAAGTCGAGCCACCGGTCGTGTTGAATGGGGAACGGGGAATCGCTCTGGAGTCAATGCAGGGGTATCGGTCCTCATCTCGAGTTGATTTGCGGCACATGGAGCTGCTTTGCGTTGCTGGGGTGACCTCAGGGTCCGTCTAGACTGGTGACAGTGTTCTTGGGGACTGTCTCGAGATCCATTAAGCAAGTCGAATCTCCTGACTTGTTTGAATGGGATCACGGAATAGCTCTGCATGCACTGCAGGGGAATGGGGCCTCATCTCGCCTCTAGGGGGAAGTCTCATGGTTTTTCTCGAGTTGCGGCGGGGACCTGGGGTATGTTCTCGACTTATGGCGGGGATGGCCCTTCAAAACACGAGTTTCTTCAGTGACGTCAGGACTCCTGTCTAGTAACGAGAGACACCTCAGGAATCTCTTCGAGGCTTGGCAGGGCAAAAGGGACGCTTCTCGAGATGAGGCTGGGCACCCAAGGACCCTTTCCAGTAGCCACAGGGATTTTGGGATTCCTATCAGTATTCAAGAGGAGGCAGGCATCGTCACCTTTTGAAGCAATGAACTCCGCGTGCCTCTCGAGGTGTCAGCAGGATGTGAGGCATTTGTCATAATGAGGCATGGACCTAGGGCTTTCTCTAAAGTCTCCACTGGGGATTCAGACATCCCTTCATGTTGTGAGATGAAAGACGAGCCTGTATTCAAGTCACTGTAAGGAAATCCGGCCTCCTTTCAAGTTAGGCCTTCTCGCTGTATATTCCCCTTGAGGCAGCAAACTCGGGGTCCCTCCCACATAGCTATTGCTGAGAGAATCCTCCTCCTGAGGTGCTTCTGGAAAGTTGGAATACGTCTTGAGCCTAAGCCAGGGAATCAGCTCTCATCTCGAGACGATTTGGGGTACACGGAGCATTCCTCGAGTTGCTGTGCTAAAGTTGGTGTTCCTCTAGACTTGGGACCGTGTTCTCGGGGCATCTCTGGAGTTGCCTGAAGGAAGTCGAGCCACCGGTCGTGTTGAATGGGGAACGGGGAATGGCTCTGGAGTCAATGCAGGGGAATCGGGCCTCATCTCGAGTTGATTTGGGGCACATGCAGCTGCTTTGCATTGCTGGGGTGACCTCAGGGTCCGTCTAGACTGGTGACAGTGTTCTTGGGGACTGTCTCGAGATCCATTAAGCAAGTCGAAGCTCCTGACTTGTTTGAATGGGACCACGGAATAGCTCTGCATGCACTGCAGGGGAATGGGGCCTCATCTCGCCTCTAGGGGGAAATCTCATGGTTTTTCTCGAGTTGCGGCGGGGACCAGGGGTATGTTCTGGACTTACCGGGGGGATGGCCCTTCAAAACACGAGTTTCTTCAGTGACGTCAGGACTCCTGTCTAGTAACGAGGGACACCTCAGGAATCTCTAAGAGGCTTGGCAGGGCAAAAGGGACGCTTCTCGAGGAGAGGCAGGGCACCCAAGGACCCTTTCCCCTAGCCACAGGGATTTTGGGATTCCTATCAGTATTCAAGAGGAGTCAGGCATCGTCACCTTTTGAAGCAATGAACTCCGCGTGCCTCTCGAGGTGTCAGCGGGATGTGAGGCATTCCGTCAAAATGAGGCAGGGACCTAGGTCTTTCTCTAAGATCTCCACAGGGGATTCAGACATCCCTTCATGTTGTGAGATGAAAGACGAGCCTGTATTCAAACCACTGCAAGGAAATCCGGGCTCCTTTCAAGTTAGGGCTTCTCACTGTATATTCCCCTTGAGGCAGCAAACTCGGGGTCCCTCCCACATACCTATTGCTGAGAGTAGCCTCCTCCTGAGGTGCTTCTGGAAAGTTGGCATAAGTCTTGAGCCTAAGCCAGGGAATCAGCTCTCATCTCGAGACGATTTGGGGTATACAGAGCATTCCTCTAGTTGCTGTGCTGAAGTTGGTGTTCCTCTAGACTTGGGACAGTGTTCTCGGGGCATCTCTGGAGATGCCTGAAGGAAGTCGAGCCACCGGTCGTGTTGAATGGGGAATGGGTAATGGCTCTGGAGTCAATGCAGGGGAATCGGGCCTCATCTCGAGTTGATTTGGGGCACATGCAGCTGCTTTGCATTGCTGGGGTGACCTCAGGGTCCGTCTAGACTGGTGACAGTGTTCTTGGGGACTGTCTCGAGATCCATTAAGCAAGTCGAAGCTCCTGACTTGTTTGAATGGGACGACGGAATAGCTCTGCATGCACTGCAGGGGAATGGGGCCTCATCTCGCCTCTAGGGGGAAATCTCATGGTTTTTCTCGAGTTGCGGCGGGGACCTGGGGTATGTTCTGGACTTACCGGGGGGATGGCCCTTCAAAACACGAGTTTCTTCAGTGACCTCAGGACTCCTGTCTAGTAACGAGGTACACCTCAGGAATCTCTTCGAGGCTTGGCAGGGCAAAAGGGACGCTTCTCGAGGTGAGGCAGGGCACCCAAGGACCCTTTCCCGTAGCCACAGGGATTTTGGGATTCCTATCAGTATTCAAGAGGAGTCAGGCATCGTCACCTTTTGAAGCAATGAACTCCGCGTGCCTCTCGAGGTGTCAGCGGGATGTGAGGCATTCCGTCAAAATGAGGCAGTGACCTAGGTCTTTCCCTACGGTCTCCACAGGGGATTCAGACATCCCTTCATGTTGTGAGATGAAAGACGAGCCTGTATTCAAGCCACTGCAAGGAAATCCGGCCTCCTTTCAAGTTAGGGCTTCTCGCTGTATATTCCCCTTGAGGCAGCAAACTCGGGGTCCCTCCCACATACCTATTGCTGAGAGAAGCCTCCTCCTGAGGTGCTTCTGGAAAGTTGGCATAAGTCTTGCGCCTAAGCCAGGGAATCAGCTCTCATCTCGAGACGATTTGGGGTACACAGAGCATTCCTCTAGTTTCTGTGCTGAAGTTGGTGTTCCTCTAGACTTGGGACAGTGTTCTCGGGGCATCTCTGGAGATGCCTGAAGGAAGTCGAGCCACCGGTCGTGTTGAATGGGGAATGGGTAATGGCTCTGGAGTCAATGCAGGGGAATCGGGCCTCATCTGGAGTTGATTTGGGGCACATGCAGCTGCTTTGCATTGCTGGGGTGACCTCAGGGTCCGTCTAGACTGGTGACAGTGTTCTTGGGGCTGTCTCGAGATCCATTAAGCAAGTCGAAGCTCCTGACTTGTTTGAATGGGACCACGGAATAGCTCTGCATGCACTGCAGGGGAATGGGGCCTCATCTCGCCTCTAGGGGGAAATCTCATGGTTTTTCTCGAGTTGCGGCGGGGACCTGGTGTATGTTCTGGACTTACCGGGGGGATGGCCCTTCAAAACACGAGTTTCTTCAGTGACCTCAGGACTCCTGTCTAGTAACGAGGGACACCTCAGGAATCTCTTCGAGGCTTGGCAGGGCAAAAGGGACGCTTCTCGAGGTGAGGCAGGGCACCCAAGGACCCTTTCCCGTAGCCACAGGGATTTTGGGATTCCTATCAGTATTCAAGAGGAGTCAGGCATCGTCACCTTTTGAAGCAATGAATTCCGCGTGCCTCTTGAGGTGTCAGCGGGATGTGAGGCATTCCGTCAAAATGAGGCAGGGACCTAGGGCTTTCCCTAAGGTCTCCACAGGGTATTCAGACATCCCTTCATGTTGTGAGATGAAAGACGAGCCTGTATTCAAGCCACTGCAAGGAAATCCGGCCTCCTTTCAAGTTAGGGCTTCTCGCTGTATATTCCCCTTGAGGCAGCAAACTCGGGGTCCCTCCCACATAGCTATTGCTGAGAGAAGCCTCCTCCTGAGGTGCTTCTGGAAAGTTGGCATGCGTCTTGAGCCTAAGCCAGGGAATCAGCTCTCATCTCGAGACGATTTGGGGTACACGGAGCATTCCTCGAGTTGCTGTGCTGAAGTTGGTGTTCCTCTAGACTTGGGAGAGTGTTCTCGGGGCATCTCTGGAGTTGCCTGAAGGAAGTCGAGCCACCGGTCGTGTTGAATGGGGAACGGGGATGGCTCTGGAGTCAATGCAGGGGAATCGGGCCTCATCTCGAGTTGATTTGGGGCACATGGAGCTGCTTTGCGTTTCTGGGGTGACCTCAGGGTCCGTCTAGACTGGTGACAGTGTTCTTGGGGACTGTCTCGAGATCCATTAAGCAAGTCGAAGCTCCTGACTTGTTTGAATGGGATCACGGAATAGCTCTGCATGCACTGCAGGGGACTGGGGCCTCATCTCGCCTCTAGGGGGAAGTCTCATGGTTTTTCTCGAGTTGCGGCGGGGACCTGGGGTATGTTCTCGACTTACGGCGGGGATGGCCCTTCAAAACACGAGTTTCTTCAGTGACGTCAGGACTCCTGACTAGTAACGAGGGACACCTCAGGAATATCTACGAGGCTTGGCAGGGCAAAAGGGACGCTTCTCGAGTTGAGGCAGGGTACCCAAGGACCCTTTCCATTAGCCACAGCGATTTTGGGATTCCTATCAGTATTCAAGAGGAGTCAGGCATCGTCACCTTTTGAAGCAGTGAACTCCGCGTGCCTCTCGAGGTGTCAGCCTGATGTGAGGCATTCCGTCAAAATGAGGCAGGGACCTAGGGCTTTCTCTAAGGTCTCCACAGGGGATTCAGACATCCCTTCATGTTGTGAGATGAAAGACGAGCCTGTATTCAAGCCACTGCAAGGAAATCCGGCCTCCTTTCAAGTTAGGGCTTCTCGCTGTATATTCCCCTTGAGGCAGCAAACTCGGGGTCCCTTCCACATACCTATTGCTGAGAGAAGCCTCCTCCTGAGGTGCTTCTGGAAAGTTGGCATACGTCTTGAGCCTAAGCCAGGGAATCAGCTCTCATCTCGAGACGATTTAGGGTACACAGAGCATTCCTCGAGTTGCTGTTCTGAAGTTGGTGTTCCTCTAGACTTGGGACCGTGTTCTCGGGGCATCTCTGGAGTTGCCTGAAGGAAGTCGAGAAACCGGTCGTGTTGAATGGGGAACGGGGAATGGCTCTGGAGTCAATGCAGAGGAATCGGGCCTCATCTCGAGTTGATTTGGGGCACATGGAGCTGCTTTGCGTTCCTGGGGTGACCTCAGGGTCCGTCTAGACTGGTGACAGTGTTCTTGGGGACTGTCTCGAGATCCATTAAGCAAGTCGAAGCTCCTGACTTTTTTGAATGGGATCACGGAATAGCTCTGCATGCACTGCAGGGGAATGGGGCCTCATCTCGCCTCTAGGGGGAAGTCTCATGGTTTTTCTCGAGTTGCGGCGGGGACCTGGGGTATGTTCTCCACTTACAGCGGGGATGGCCCTTCAAAACACGAGTTTCTTCAGTGACGTCAGGACTCCTGTCTAGTAACGAGTGACACCTCAGGAATCTCTAAGAGGCTTGGCAGGGCAAAAGGGACGCTTCTCGAGGTGAGGCAGGGCACCCAAGGACCCTTTCCCCTAGCCACAGGGATTTTGGGATTCCTATCAGTATTCAAGAGGAGTCAGGCATCGTCACCTTTTGAAGCAATGAACTCCGCGTGCCTCTCGAGGTGTCAGCGGGATGTGAGGCATTCCGTCAAAATGAGGCAGGGACCTAGGTCTTTCTCTAAGATCTCCACAGGGGATTCAGACATCCCTTCATGTTGTGAGATGAAAGACGAGCCTGTATTCAAGCCACTGCAAGGAAATCCGGCCTCCTTTCAAGTTAGGGCTTCTCGCTGTATATTCCCCTTGAGGCAGCAAACTCGGGGTCCCTTCCACATACCTATTGCTGAGAGAAGCCTCCTCCTGAGGTGCTTCTGGAAAGTTGGCATACGTCTTGAGCCTAAGCCAGGGAATCAGCTCTCATCTCGAGACGATTTGGGGTACACGGAGCATTCCTCGAGTTGCTGTGCTGAAGTTGGTGTTCCTCTAGACTTGGGAGAGTGTTCTCGGGGCATCTCTGGAGTTGCCTGAAGGAAGTCGAGAAACCGGTCGTGTTGAATGGGGAACGGGGATGGCTCTGGAGTCAATGCAGGGGAATCGGGCCTCATCTCGAGTTGATTTGGGGCACATGGAGCTGCTTTGCGTTGCTGGGGTGACCTCAGGGTCCGTCTAGACTGGTGACAGTGTTCTTGGGGACTGTCTCGAGATCCATTAAGCAAGTCGAAGCTCCTGACTTGTTTGAATGGGATCACGGAATAGCTCTGCATGCACTGCAGGGGACTGGGGCCTCATCTCGCCTCTAGGGGGAAGTCTCATGGTTTTTCTCGAGTTGCGGCGGGGACCTGGGGTATGTTCTCGACTTACGGCGGGGATGGCCCTTCAAAACACGAGTTTCTTCAGTGACGTCAGGACTCCTGACTAGTAACGAGGGACACCTCAGGAATATCTACGAGGCTTGGCAGGGCAAAAGGGACGCTTCTCGAGTTGAGGCAGGGTACCCAAGGACCCTTTCCATTAGCCACAGCGATTTTGGGATTCCTATCAGTATTCAAGAGGAGTCAGGCATCGTCACCTTTTGAAGCAGTGAACTCCGCGTGCCTCTCGAGGTGTCAGCCTGATGTGAGGCATTCCGTCAAAATGAGGCAGGGACCTAGGGCTTTCTCTAAGGTCTCCACAGGGGATTCAGACATCCCTTCATGTTGTGAGATGAAAGACGAGCCTGTATTCAAGCCACTGCAAGGAAATCCGGCCTCCTTTCAAGTTAGGGCTTCTCGCTGTATATTCCCCTTGAGGCAGCAAACTCGGGGTCCCTTCCACATACCTATTGCTGAGAGAAGCCTCCTCCTGAGGTGCTTCTGGAAAGTTGGCATACGTCTTGAGCCTAAGCCAGGGAATCAGCTCTCATCTCGAGACGATTTAGGGTACACAGAGCATTCCTCGAGTTGCTGTTCTGAAGTTGGTGTTCCTCTAGACTTGGGACCGTGTTCTCGGGGCATCTCTGGAGTTGCCTGAAGGAAGTCGAGAAACCGGTCGTGTTGAATGGGGAACGGGGAATGGCTCTGGAGTCAATGCAGAGGAATCGGGCCTCATCTCGAGTTGATTTGGGGCACATGGAGCTGCTTTGCGTTCCTGGGGTGACCTCAGGGTCCGTCTAGACTGGTGACAGTGTTCTTGGGGACTGTCTCGAGATCCATTAAGCAAGTCGAAGCTCCTGACTTGTTTGAATGGGATCACGGAATAGCTCTGCATGCACTGCAGGGGAATGGGGCCTCATCTCGCCTCTAGGGGGAAGTCTCATGGTTTTTCTCGAGTTGCGGCGGGGACCTGGGGTATGTTCTCGACTTACGGCGGGGATGGCCCTTCAAAACACGAGTTTCTTCAGTGATGTCAGGACTCCTGTCTAGTAACGAGTGACACCTCAGGAATCTCTAAGAGGCTTGGCAGGGCAAAAGGGACGCTTCTCGAGGTGAGGCAGGGCACCCAAGGACCCTTTCCCCTAGCCACAGGGATTTTGGGATTCCTATCAGTATTCAAGAGGAGTCAGGCATCGTCACCTTTTGAAGCAATGAACTCCGCGTGCCTCTCGAGGTGTCAGCGGGATGTGAGGCATTCCGTCAAAATGAGGCAGGGACCTAGGTCTTTCTCTAAGATCTCCACAGGGGATTCAGACATCCCTTCATGTTGTGAGATGAAAGACGAGCCTGTATTCAAGCCACTGCAAGGAAATCCGGCCTCCTTTCAAGTTAGGGCTTCTCGCTGTATATTCCCCTTGAGGCAGCAAACTCGGGGTCCCTTCCACATACCTATTGCTGAGAGAAGCCTCCTCCTGAGGTGCTTCTGGAAAGTTGGCATACGTCTTGAGCCTAAGCCAGGGAATCAGCTCTCATCTCGAGACGATTTGGGGTACACGGAGCATTCCTCGAGTTGCTGTGCTGAAGTTGGTGTTCCTCTAGACTTGGGAGAGTGTTCTCGGGGCATCTCTGGAGTTGCCTGAAGGAAGTCGAGCCACCGGTCGTGTTGAATGGGGAACGGGGATGGCTCTGGAGTCAATGCAGGGGAATCGGGCCTCATCTCGAGTTGATTTGGGGCACATGGAGCTGCTTTGCGTTGCTGGGGTGACCTCAGGGTCCGTCTAGACTGGTGACAGTGTTCTTGGGGACTGTCTCGAGATCCATTAAGCAAGTCGAAGCTCCTGACTTGTTTGAATGGGATCACGGAATAGCTCTGCATGCACTGCAGGGGACTGGGGCCTCATCTCGCCTCTAGGGGGAAGTCTCATGGTTTTTCTCGAGTTGCGGCGGGGACCTGGGGTATGTTCTCGACTTACGGCGGGGATGGCCCTTCAAAACACGAGTTTCTTCAGTGACGTCAGGACTCCTGACTAGTAACGAGGGACACCTCAGGAATATCTACGAGGCTTGGCAGGGCAAAAGGGACGCTTCTCGAGTTGAGGCAGGGTACCCAAGGACCCTTTCCATTAGCCACAGGGATTTTGGGATTCCTATCAGTATTCAAGAGGAGTCAGGCATCGTCACCTTTTGAAGCAGTGAACTCCGCGTGCCTCTCGAGGTGTCAGCCTGATGTGAGGCATTCCGTCAAAATGAGGCAGGGACCTAGGGCTTTCTCTAAGGTCTCCACAGGGGATTCAGACATCCCTTCATGTTGTGAGATGAAAGACGAGCCTGTATTCAAGCCACTGCAAGGAAATCCGGCCTCCTTTCAAGTTAGGGCTTCTCGCTGTATATTCCCCTTGAGGCAGCAAACTCGGGGTCCCTTCCACATACCTATTGCTGAGAGAAGCCTCCTCCTGAGGTGCTTCTGGAAAGTTGGCATACGTCTTGAGCCTAAGCCAGGGAATCAGCTCTCATCTCGAGACGATTTAGGGTACACAGAGCATTCCTCGAGTTGCTGTTCTGAAGTTGGTGTTCCTCTAGACTTGGGACCGTGTTCTCGGGGCATCTCTGGAGTTGCCTGAAGGAAGTCGAGAAACCGGTCGTGTTGAATGGGGAACGGGGAATGGCTCTGGAGTCAATGCAGAGGAATCGGGCCTCATCTCGAGTTGATTTGGGGCACATGGAGCTGCTTTGCGTTCCTGGGGTGACCTCAGGGTCCGTCTAGACTGGTGACAGTGTTCTTGGGGACTGTCTCGAGATCCATTAAGCAAGTCGAAGCTCCTGACTTGTTTGAATGGGATCACGGAATAGCTCTGCATGCACTGCAGGGGAATGGGGCCTCATCTCGCCTCTAGGGGGAAGTCTCATGGTTTTTCTCGAGTTGCGGCGGAGACCTGGGGTATGTTCTCGACTTACGGCGGGGATGGCCCTTCAAAACACGAGTTTCTTCAGTGACGTCAGGACTCCTGTCTAGTAACGAGTGACACCTCAGGAATCTCTAAGAGGCTTGGCAGGGCAAAAGGGACGCTTCTCGAGGTGAGGCAGGGCACCCAAGGACCCTTTCCCCTAGCCACAGGGATTTTGGGATTCCTATCAGTATTCAAGAGGAGTCAGGCATCGTCACCTTTTGAAGCAATGAACTCCGCGTGCCTCTCGAGGTGTCAGCGGGATGTGAGGCATTCCGTCAAAATGAGGCAGGGACCTAGGTCTTTCTCTAAGATCTCCACAGGGGATTCAGACATCCCTTCATGTTGTGAGATTAAAGATGAGCCTGTATTCAAGCCACTGCAAGGAAATCCGGCCTCCTTTCAAGTTAGGGCTTCTCGCTGTATATTCCCTTTGAGGCAGCAAACTCGGGGTCCCTTCCACATACCTATTGCTGAGAGAAGCCTCCTCCTGAGGTGCTTCTGGAAAGTTGGCATACATCTTGAGCCTAATCCAGGGAATCAGCTCTCATCTCGAGACGATTTGGGGTACACAGAGCATTCCTCGAGTTGCTGTGCTAAAGTTGGTGTTCCTCTAGACTTGGGACAGTGTTCTCGGGGCATCTCTGGAGATGCCTGAAGGAAGTCGAGCCACCGGTCGTGTTGAATGGGGAATGGGTAATGGCTCTGGATTCAATGCAGGGGAATCGGGCCTCATCTCGAGTTGATTTGGGGCACATGCAGCTGCTTTGCATTGCTGGGGTGACCTCAGGGTCCGTCTAGACTGGTGACAGTGTTCTTGGGGCTGTCTCGAGATCCATTAAGCAAGTCGAAGCTCCTGACTTGTTTGAATGGGACCACGGAATAGCTCTGCATGCACTGCAGGGGAATGGGGCCTCATCTCGCCTCTAGGGGGAAATCTCATGGTTTTTCTCGAGTTGCGGCGGGGACCTGGTGTATGTTCTGGACTTACCGGGGGGATGGCCCTTCAAAACACGAGTTTCTTCAGTGACCTCAGGACTCCTGTCTAGTAACGAGGGACACCTCAGGAATCTCTTCGAGGCTTGGCAGGGCAAAAGGGACGCTTCTCGAGGTGAGGCAGGGCACCCAAGGACCCTTTCCCGTAGCCACAGGGATTTTGGGATTCCTATCAGTATTCAAGAGGAGTCAGGCATCCTCACCTTTTGAAGCAATGAACTCCGCGTGCCTCTCGAGGTGTCAGCGGGATGTGAGGCATTCCGTCAAAATGAGGCAGGGACCTAGGGCTTTCCCTAAGGTCTCCACAGGGGATTCAGACATCCCTTCATGTTGTGAGATGAAAGACGAGCCTGTATTCAAGCCACTGCAAGGAAATCCGGCCTCCTTTCAAGTTAGGGCTTCTCGCTGTATATTCCCCTTGAGGCAGCAAACTCGGGGTCCCTTCCACATACCTATTGCTGAGAGAAGCCTCCTCCTGAGGTGCTTCTGGAAAGTTGGCATACGTCTTGAGCCTAAGCCAGGGAATCAGCTCTCATCTCGAGACGATTTGGGGTACACGGAGCATTCCTCGAGTTGCTGTGCTGAAGTTGGTGTTCCTCTAGACTTGGGAGAGTGTTCTCGGGGCATCTCTGGAGTTGCCTGAAGGAAGTCGAGCCACCGGTCGTGTTGAATGGGGAACGGGGATGGCTCTGGAGTCAATAAAGGGGAATCGGGCCTCATCTCGAGTTGATTTGGGGCACATGGAGCTGCTTTGCGTTGCTGGGGTGACCTCAGGGTCCGTCTAGACTGGTGACAGTGTTCTTGGGGACTGTCTCGAGATCCATTAAGCAAGTCGAAGCTCCTGACTTGTTTGAATGGGATCACGGAATAGCTCTGCATGCACTGCAGGGGACTGGGGCCTCATCTCGCCTCTAGGGGGAAGTCTCATGTTTTTTCTCGAGTTGCGGCGGGGACCTGGGGTATGTTCTCGACTTACGGCAGGGATGGCCCTTCAAAACACGAGTTTCTTCAGTGACGTCAGGACTCCTGACTAGTAACGAGGGACACCTCAGGAATATCTACGAGGCTTGGCAGGGCAAAAGGGACGCTTCTCGAGTTGAGGCAGGGTACCCAAGGACCCTTTCCATTAGCCACAGCGATTTTGGGATTCCTATCAGTATTCAAGAGGAGTCAGGCATCGTCACCTTTTGAAGCAGTGAACTCCGCGTGCCTCTCGAGGTGTCAGCCTGATGTGAGGCATTCCGTCAAAATGAGGCAGGGACCTAGGGCTTTCTCTAAGGTCTCCACAGGGGATTCAGACATCCCTTCATGTTGTGAGATGAAAGACGAGCCTGTATTCAAGCCACTGCAAGGAAATCCGGCCTCCTTTCAAGTTAGGGCTTCTCGCTGTATATTCCCCTTGAGGCAGCAAACTCGGGGTCCCTTCCACATACCTATTGCTGAGAGAAGCCTCCTCCTGAGGTGCTTCTGGAAAGTTGGCATACGTCTTGAGCCTAAGCCAGGGAATCAGCTCTCATCTCGAGACGATTTAGGGTACACAGAGCATTCCTCGAGTTGCTGTTCTGAAGTTGGTGTTCCTCTAGACTTGGGACCGTGTTCTCGGGGCATCTCTGGAGTTGCCTGAAGGAAGTCGAGAAACCGGTCGTGTTGAATGGGGAACGGGGAATGGCTCTGGAGTCAATGCAGAGGAATCGGGCCTCATCTCGAGTTGATTTGGGGCACATGGAGCTGCTTTGCGTTCCTGGGGTGACCTCAGGGTCCGTCTAGACTGGTGACAGTGTTCTTGGGGACTGTCTCGAGATCCATTAAGCAAGTCGAAGCTCCTGACTTGTTTGAATGGGATCACGGAATAGCTCTGCATGCACTGCAGGGGAATGGGGCCTCATCTCGCCTCTAGGGGGAAGTCTCATGGTTTTTCTCGAGTTGCGGCGGGGACCTGGGGTATGTTCTCGACTTACGGCGGGGATGGCCCTTCAAAACACGAGTTTCTTCAGTGACGTCAGGACTCCTGTCTAGTAACGAGTGACACCTCAGGAATCTCTAAGAGGCTTGGCAGGGCAAAAGGGACGCTTCTCGAGGTGAGGCAGGGCACCCAAGGACCCTTTCCCCTAGCCACAGGGATTTTGGGATTCCTATCAGTATTCAAGAGGAGTCAGGCATCGTCACCTTTTGAAGCAATGAACTCCGCGTGCCTCTCGAGGTGTCAGCGGGATGTGAGGCATTCCGTCAAAATGAGGCAGGGACCTAGGTCTTTCTCTAAGATCTCCACAGGGGATTCAGACATCCCTTCATGTTGTGAGATTAAAGACGAGCCTGTATTCAAGCCACTGCAAGGAAATCCGGCCTCCTTTCAAGTTAGGGCTTCTCGCTGTATATTCCCCTTGAGGCAGCAAACTCGGGGTCCCTTCCACATACCTATTGCTGAGAGAAGCCTCCTCCTGAGGTGCTTCTGGAAAGTTGGCATACGTCTTGAGCCTAAGCCAGGGAATCAGCTCTCATCTCGAGACGATTTGGGGTACACGGAGCATTCCTCGAGTTGCTGTGCTGAAGTTGGTGTTCCTCTAGACTTGGGAGAGTGTTCTCGGGGCATCTCTGGAGTTGCCTGAAGGAAGTCGAGCCACCGGTCGTGTTGAATGGGGAACGGGGATGGCTCTGGAGTCAATGCAGGGGAATCGGGCCTCATCTCGAGTTGATTTGGGGCACATGGAGCTGCTTTGCGTTGCTGGGGTTACCTCAGGGTCCGTCTAGACTGGTGACAGTGTTCTTGGGGACTGTCTCGAGATCCATTAAGCAAGTCGAAGCTCCTGACTTGTTTGAATGGGATCACGGAATAGCTCTGCATGCACTGCAGGGGACTGGGGCCTCATCTCGCCTCTAGGGGGAAGTCTCATGGTTTTTCTCGAGTTGCGGCGGGGACCTGAGGTATGTTCTCGACTTACGGCGGGGATGGCCCTTCAAAACACGAGTTTCTTCAGTGACGTCAGGACTCCTGACTAGTAACGAGGGACACCTCAGGAATATCTACGAGGCTTGGCAGGGCAAAAGGGACGCTTCTCGAGTTGAGGCAGGGTACCCAAGGACCCTTTCCATTAGCCACAGCGATTTTGGGATTCCTATCAGTATTCAAGAGGAGTCAGGCATCGTCACCTTTTGAAGCAGTGAACTCCGCGTGCCTCTCGAGGTGTCAGCCTGATGTGAGGCATTCCGTCAAAATGAGGCAGGGACCTAGGGCTTTCTCTAAGGTCTCCACAGGGGATTCAGACATCCCTTCATGTTGTGAGATGAAAGACGAGCCTGTATTCAAGCCACTGCAAGGAAATCCGGCCTCCTTTCAAGTTAGGGCTTCTCGCTGTATATTCCCCTTGAGGCAGCAAACTCGGGGTCCCTTCCACATACCTATTGCTGAGAGAAGCCTCCTCCTGAGGTGCTTCTGGAAAGTTGGCATACGTCTTGAGCCTAAGCCAGGGAATCAGCTCTCATCTCGAGACGATTTAGGGTACACAGAGCATTCCTCGAGTTGCTGTTCTGAAGTTGGTGTTCCTCTAGACTTGGGACCGTGTTCTCGGGGCATCTCTGGAGTTGCCTGAAGGAAGTCGAGAAACCGGTCGTGTTGAATGGGGAACGGGGAATGGCTCTGGAGTCAATGCAGAGGAATCGGGCCTCATCTCGAGTTGATTTGGGGCACATGGAGCTGCTTTGCGTTCCTGGGGTGACCTCAGGGTCCGTCTAGACTGGTGACAGTGTTCTTGGGGACTGTCTCGAGATCCATTAAGCAAGTCGAAGCTCCTGACTTGTTTGAATGGGATCACGGAATAGCTCTGCATGCACTGCAGGGGAATGGGGCCTCATCTCGCCTCTAGGGGGAAGTCTCATGGTTTTTCTCGAGTTGCGGCGGGGACCTGGGGTATGTTCTCGACTTACGGCGGGGATGGCCCTTCAAAACACGAGTTTCTTCAGTGACGTCAGGACTCCTGTCTAGTAACGAGTGACACCTCAGGAATCTCTAAGAGGCTTGGCAGGGCAAAAGGGACGCTTCTCGAGGTGAGGCAGGGCACCCAAGGACCCTTTCCCCTAGCCACAGGGATTTTGGGATTCCTATCAGTATTCAAGAGGAGTCAGGCATCGTCACCTTTTGAAGCAATGAACTCCGCGTGCCTCTCGAGGTGTCAGCGGGATGTGAGGCATTCCGTGAAAATGAGGCAGGGACCTAGGTCTTTCTCTAAGATCTCCACAGGGGATTCAGACATCCCTTCATGTTGTGAGATTAAAGACGAGCCTGTATTCAAGCCACTGCAAGGAAATCCGGCCTCCTTTCATGTTAGGGCTTCTCGCTGTATATTCCCCTTGAGGCAGCAAACTCGGGGTCCCTTCCACATACCTATTGCTGAGAGAAGCCTCCTCCTGAGGTGCTTCTGGAAAGTTGGCATACGTCTTGAGCCTAAGCCAGGGAATCAGCTCTCATCTCGAGACGATTTGGGGTACACGGAGCATTCCTCGAGTTGCTGTGCTGAAGTTGGTGTTCCTCTAGACTTGGGAGAGTGTTCTCGGGGCATCTCTGGAGTTGCCTGAAGGAAGTCGAGCCACCGGTCGTGTTGAATGGGGAACGGGGATGGCTCTGGAGTCAATGCAGGGGAATCGGGCCTCATCTCGAGTTGATTTGGGGCACATGGAGCTGCTTTGCGTTGCTGGGGTTACCTCAGGGTCCGTCTAGACTGGTGACAGTGTTCTTGGGGACTGTCTCGAGATCCATTAAGCAAGTCGAAGCTCCTGACTTGTTTGAATGGGATCACGGAATAGCTCTGCATGCACTGCAGGGGACTGGGGCCTCATCTCGCCTCTAGGGGGAAGTCTCATGGTTTTTCTCGAGTTGCGGCGGGGACCTGAGGTATGTTCTCGACTTACGGCGGGGATGGCCCTTCAAAACACGAGTTTCTTCAGTGACGTCAGGACTCCTGACTAGTAACGAGGGACACCTCAGGAATATCTACGAGGCTTGGCAGGGCAAAAGGGACGCTTCTCGAGTTGAGGCAGGGTACCCAAGGACCCTTTCCATTAGCCACAGCGATTTTGGGATTCCTATCAGTATTCAAGAGGAGTCAGGCATCGTCACCTTTTGAAGCAGTGAACTCCGCGTGCCTCTCGAGGTGTCAGCCTGATGTGAGGCATTCCGTCAAAATGAGGCAGGGACCTAGGGCTTTCTCTAAGGTCTCCACAGGGGATTCAGACATCCCTTCATGTTGTGAGATGAAAGACGAGCCTGTATTCAAGCCACTGCAAGGAAATCCGGCCTCCTTTCAAGTTAAGGCTTCTCGCTGTATATTCCCCTTGAGGCAGCAAACTCGGGGTCCCTTCCACATACCTATTGCTGAGAGAAGCCTCCTCCTGAGGTGCTTCTGGAAAGTTGGCATACGTCTTGAGCCTAAGCCAGGGAATCAGCTCTCATCTCGAGACGATTTAGGGTACACAGAGCATTCCTCGAGTTGCTGTTCTGAAGTTGGTGTTCCTCTAGACTTGGGACCGTGTTCTCGGGGCATCTCTGGAGTTGCCTGAAGGAAGTCGAGAAACCGGTCGTGTTGAATGGGGAACGGGGAATGGCTCTGGAGTCAATGCAGAGGAATCGGGCCTCATCTCGAGTTGATTTGGGGCACATGGAGCTGCTTTGCGTTCCTGGGGTGACCTCAGGGTCCGTCTAGACTGGTGACAGTGTTCTTGGGGACTGTCTCGAGATCCATTAAGCAAGTCGAAGCTCCTGACTTGTTTGAATGGGATCACGGAATAGCTCTGCATGCACTGCAGGGGAATGGGGCCTCATCTCGCCTCTAGGGGGAAGTCTCATGGTTTTTCTCGAGTTGCGGCGGGGACCTGGGGTATGTTCTCGACTTACGGCGGGGATGGCCCTTCAAAACACGAGTTTCTTCAGTGACTTCAGGACTCCTGTCTAGTAACGAGTGACACCTCAGGAATCTCTAAGAGGCTTGGCAGGGCAAAAGGGACGCTTCTCGAGGTGAGGCAGGGCACCCAAGGACCCTTTCCCCTAGCCACAGGGATTTTGGGATTCCTATCAGTATTCAAGAGGAGTCAGGCATCGTCACCTTTTGAAGCAATGAACTCCGCGTGCCTCTCGAGGTGTCAGCGGGATGTGAGGCATTCCGTCAAAATGAGGCAGGGACCTAGGTCTTTCTCTAAGATCTCCACAGGGGATTCAGACATCCCTTCATGTTGTGAGATTAAAGACGAGCCTGTATTCAAGCCACTGCAAGGAAATCCGGCCTCCTTTCAAGTTAGGGCTTCTCGCTGTATATTCCCCTTGAGGCAGCAAACTCGGGGTCCCTTCCACATACCTATTGCTGAGAGAAGCCTCCTCCTGAGGTGCTTCTGGAAAGTTGGCATACGTCTTGAGCCTAAGCCAGGGAATCAGCTCTCATCTCGAGACGATTTGGGGTACACGGAGCATTCCTCGAGTTGCTGTGCTGAAGTTGGTGTTCCTCTAGACTTGGGAGAGTGTTCTCGGGGCATCTCTGGAGTTGCCTGAAGGAAGTCGAGCCACCGGTCGTGTTGAATGGGGAACGGGGATGGCTCTGGAGTCAATGCAGGGGAATCGGGCCTCATCTCGAGTTGATTTGGGGCACATGGAGCTGCTTTGCGTTGCTGGGGTTACCTCAGGGTCCGTCTAGACTGGTGACAGTGTTCTTGGGGACTGTCTCGAGATCCATTAAGCAAGTCGAAGCTCCTGACTTGTTTGAATGGGATCACGGAATAGCTCTGCATGCACTGCAGGGGACTGGGGCCTCATCTCGCCTCTAGGGGGAAGTCTCATGGTTTTTCTCGAGTTGCGGCGGGGACCTGAGGTATGTTCTCGACTTACGGCGGGGATGGCCCTTCAAAACACGAGTTTCTTCAGTGACGTCAGGACTCCTGACTAGTAACGAGGGACACCTCAGGAATATCTACGAGGCTTGGCAGGGCAAAAGGGACGCTTCTCGAGTTGAGGCAGGGTACCCAAGGACCCTTTCCATTAGCCACAGCGATTTTGGGATTCCTATCAGTATTCAAGAGGAGTCAGGCATCGTCACCTTTTGAAGCAGTGAACTCCGCGTGCCTCTCGAGGTGTCAGCCTGATGTGAGGCATTCCGTCAAAATGAGGCAGGGACCTAGGGCTTTCTCTAAGGTCTCCACAGGGGATTCAGACATCCCTTCATGTTGTGAGATGAAAGACGAGCCTGTATTCAAGCCACTGCAAGGAAATGCGGCCTCCTTTCAAGTTAGGGCTTCTCGCTGTATATTCCCCTTGAGGCAGCAAACTCGGGGTCCCTTCCACATACCTATTGCTGAGAGAAGCCTCCTCCTGAGGTGCTTCTGGAAAGTTGGCATACGTCTTGAGCCTAAGCCAGGGAATCAGCTCTCATCTCGAGACGATTTAGGGTACACAGAGCATTCCTCGAGTTGCTGTTCTGAAGTTGGTGTTCCTCTAGACTTGGGACCGTGTTCTCGGGGCATCTCTGGAGTTGCCTGAAGGAAGTCGAGAAACCGGTCGTGTTGAATGGGGAACGGGGAATGGCTCTGGAGTCAATGCAGAGGAATCGGGCCTCATCTCGAGTTGATTTGGGGCACATGGAGCTGCTTTGCGTTGCTGGGGTGACCTCAGGGTCCGTCTAGACTGGTGACAGTGTTCTTGGGGACTGTCTCGAGATCCATTAAGCAAGTCGAAGCTCCTGACTTGTTTGAATGGGATCACGGAATAGCTCTGCATGCACTGCAGGGGAATGGGGCCTCATCTCGCCTCTAGGGGGAAGTCTCATGGTTTTTCTCGAGTTGCGGCGGGGACCTGGGGTATGTTCTCGACTTACGGCGGGGATGGCCCTTCAAAACACGAGTTTCTTCAGTGACGTCAGGACTCCTGTCTAGTAACGAGTGACACCTCAGGAATCTCTAAGAGGCTTGGCAGGGCAAAAGGGACGCTTCTCGAGGTGAGGCAGGCACCCAAGGACCCTTTCCCCTAGCCACAGGGATTTTGGGATTCCTATCAGTATTCAAGAGGAGTCAGGCATCGTCACCTTTTGAAGCAATGAATTCCGCGTGCCTCTCGAGGTGTCAGCGGGATGTGAGGCATTCCGTCAAAATGAGGCAGGGACCTAGGTTTTTCTCTAAGATCTCCACAGGGGATTCAGACATCCCTTCATGTTGTGAGATGAAAGACGAGCCTGTATTCAAGCCACTGCAAGGAAATCCGGCCTCCTTTCAAGTTAGGGCTTCTCGCTGTATATTCCCCTTGAGGCAGCAAACTCGGGGTCCCTCCCACATACCTATTGCTGAGAGAAGCCTCCTCCTGATGTGCTTCTGGAAAGTTGGCATACATCTTGAGCCTAATCCAGGGAATCAGCTCTCATCTCGAGACGATTTGGGGTACACAGAGCATTCCTCGAGTTGCTGTGCTAAAGTTGGTGTTCCTCTAGACTTGGGACAGTGTTCTCAGGGCATCTCTGGAGATGCCTGAAGGAAGTCGAGCCACCGGTCGTGTTGAATGGGGAATGGGTAATGGCTCTGGATTCAATGCAGGGGAATCGGGCCTCATCTCGAGTTGATTTGGGGCACATGCAGCTGCTTTGCATTGCTGGGGTGACCTCAGGGTCCGTCTAGACTGGTGACAGTGTTCTTGGGGCTGTCTCGAGATCCATTAAGCAAGTCGAAGCTCCTGACTTGTTTGAATGGGACCACGGAATAGCTCTGCATGCACTGCAGGGGAATGGGGCCTCATCTCGCCTCTAGGGGGAAATCTCATGGTTTTTCTCGAGTTGCGGCGGGGACCTGGTGTATGTTCTGGACTTACCGGGGGGATGGCCCTTCAAAACACGAGTTTCTTCAGTGACCTCAGGACTCCTGTCTAGTAACGAGGGACACCTCAGGAATCTCTTCGAGGCTTGGCAGGGCAAAAGGGACGCTTCTCGAGGTGAGGCAGGGCACCCAAGGACCCTTTCCCGTAGCCACAGGGATTTTGGGATTCCTATCAGTATTCAAGAGGAGTCAGGCATCCTCACCTTTTGAAGCAATGAACTCCGCGTGCCTCTCGAGGTGTCAGCGGGATGTGAGGCATTCCGTCAAAATGAGGCAGGGACCTAAGGCTTTCCCTAAGGTCTCCACAGGGGATTCAGACATCCCTTCATGTTGTGAGATGAAAGACGAGCCTGTATTCAAGCCACTGCAAGGAAATCCGGCCTCCTTTCAAGTTAGGGCTTCTCGCTGTATATTCCCCTTGAGGCAGCAAACTCGGGGTCCCTCCCACATAGCTATTGCTGAGAGAATGCTCCTCCTGAGGTGCTTCTGGAAAGTTGGCATAAGTCTTGAGGCTAAGTCAGGGAATCAGCTCTCATCTCGAGAGGATTTAGGGTACACGGAGCATTCCTCGAGTTGCTGTGCTGAAGTTGGTGTTCCTCTAGACTTGGGACCGTGTTCTCGGGGCATCTCTGGAGTTGCCTGAAGGAAGTCGAGCCACCGGTCGTGATGAATGGGGAACGGGTAATCGCTCTGGAGTCAATGCAGGTGTATCGGGCCTCATCTCGAGTTGATTTGCGGCACATGGAGCTGCTTTGCGTTGCTGGGGTGACCTCAGGGTCCGTCTAGACTGGTGACAGTGTTCTTGGGGACTGTCTCGAGATCCATTAAGCAAGTCGAAGTTCCTGACTTGTTTGAATGGGATCACGGAATAGCTCTGCATGCACTGCAGGGGAATGGGGCCTCATCTCGCCTCTAGGGGGAAGTCTCATGGTTTTTCTCGAGTTGCGGCGGGGACCTGGGGTATGTTCTCGACTTATGGCGGGGATGGCCCTTCAAAACACGAGTTTCTTCAGTGACGTCAGGACTCCTGTCTAGTAACGAGAGACACCTCAGGAATCTCTTCGAGGCTTGGCAGGGCAAAAGGGACGCTTCTCGAGATGAGACAGGGCACCCAAGGACCCTTTCCAGTAGCCACGGGGATTTTGGGATTCCTATCAGTATTTAAGAGGAGTCAGGCATCGTCACCTTTTGAAGCAATGAACTCCGCGTGCCTCTCGATGTATCAGCGGGATGTGAGGCATTCCGTCAAAATGAGGCAGGGACCTAGGGCTTTCTCTAAGGTCTCCACAGGTGATTCAGACATCCCTTCATGTTGTGAGATGAAAGACAAGCCTGTATTCAAGCCACTGCAAGGAAATCCGGCCTCCTTTCATGTTAGGGCTTCTCGCTGTATATTCCCCTTGAGGCAGCAAACTCGGGGTCCTTCCCACATACCTATTGCTGAGAGAAGCCTCCTCCTGAGATGCTTCTGGAAAGTTGGCATACGTCTTGAGCCTAAGCCAGGGAATCAGCTCTCATCTCGAGACGATTTGGGGTACACGGAGCATTCCTCGAGTTGCTGTGCTGAAGTTGGTGTTCCTCTAGACTTGGGACCGTGTTCTCGGGGCATCTCTGGAGTTGCCTGAAGGAAGTCGAGCCACCGGTCTTGTTGAATGGGGAATGGGGAATGGCTCTGGAGTCAATGCAGGGGAATCGGGCCTCATCTCGAGTTGATTTGGGGCACATGGAGCTGCTTTGCGTTGCTAGGGTGACCTCAGGTTCCGTCTAGACTGGTGACAGTGTTCTTGGGGACTGTCTCGAGATCCATTAAGCAAGTCGAAGCTCCTGACTTGTTTGAATGGGATCACGGAATAGCTCTGCATGCACTGCAGGGGAATGGGGCCTCATCTCGCCTCTAGGGGGATGTCTCATGGTTTTTCTCGAGTTGCGGCGGGGACCTGGGGTATGTTCTCGACTTAGGGCGGGGATGGCCCTTCAAAACACGAGTTTCTTCAGTGACGTCAGGACTCCTGTCTAGTAACGAGGGACACCTCAGGAATCTCTTCGAGGCTTGGCAGGGCAAAAGGGACGCTTCTCGAGATGAGGCTGGGCACCCAAGGACCCTTTCCAGTAGCCACAGCGATTTTGGGATTCCTATCAGTATTCAAGAGGAGGCAGGCATCGTCACCTTTTGAAGCAATGAACTCCGCGTGCCTCTCGAGGTGTCAGCAGGATGTGAGGCATTTGTCAAAATGAGGCATGGACCTAGGGCTTTCTCTAAAGTCTCCACTGGGGATTCAGACATCCCTTCATGTTGTGAGATGAAAGACGAGCCTGTATTCAAGTCACTGTAAGTAAATCCGGCCTCTTTTCAAGTTAGGGCTTCTCGCTGTATATTCCCCTTGAGGCAGCAAACTCGGGGTCCTTCCCACATATCTATTGCTGAGAGAATCCTCCTCCTGAGGTGCTTCTGGAAAGTTGGAATACGTCTTGAGCCTAAGCCAGGGAATCAGCTCTCATCTCGAGACGATTTGGGGTACACGGAGCATTCCTCGAGTTGCTGTGCTGAAGTTGGTGTTCCTCTAGACTTGGGACCGTGTTCTCGGGGCATCTCTGGAGTTTCCTGAAGGAAGTCGAGCCACCGGTCGTGTTGAATGTGGAACGGCGAATGGCTCTGGAGTCAATGCAGGGGAATCGGGCCTCATCTCGAGTTGATTTGGGGCACAGGGAGCTGCTTTGCATTGCTGGGGTGACCTCAGGGTCCGTCTAGACTGGTGACAGTGTTCTTGGGGACTGTCTCGAGATCCATTAAGCAAGTCGAAGCTCCTGTCTTGTTTGAATGGGATCCCGGAATAGCTCTGCATGCACTGCAGGGGACTGGGGCCTCATCTCGCCTCTAGGGGGAAGTCTCATGGTTTTTCTCGAGTTGCGGCGGGGACCTGGGGTATGTTCTCGACTTACGGCGGGGATGGCCCTTCAAAACACGAGTTTCTTCAGTGACGTCAGGACTCCTGACAAGTAACGAGGGACACCTCAGGAATCTCTTCGAGGCTTGGCAGGGCAAAAGGGACGCTTCTCGAGTTGAGGCAGGGTACCCAAGGACCCTTTCCATTAGCCACAGCGATTTTGGGATTCCTATCAGTATTCAAGGTGAGTCAGGCATCGTCACCTTTTGAAGCAATGAACTCCGCGTGCCTCTCGAGGTGTCAGCGGGATGTGAGGCATTCCGTCAAAATGAGGCAGGGACCTAGGGTTTTCTCTAAGGTCTCCACAGGGGATTCAGACATCCCTTCATGTTGTGAGATGAAAGACGAGCCTGTATTCAAGCCACTGCAAGGAAATCCGGCCTCCTTTCAAGTTAGGGCTTCTCGCTGTATATTCCCCTTGAGGCAGCAAACTCGGGGTCCCTTCCACATACCTATTGCTGAGAGAAGCCTCCTCCTGAGGTGCTTCTGGAAAGTTGGCATACGTCTTGAGCGTAAGCCAGGGAATCAGCTCTCATCTCGAGACGATTTGGGGTACACGGAGCATTCCTCGAGTTGCTGTGCTGAAGTTGGTGTTCCTCTAGACTTGGGAGAGTGTTCTCGGGGCATCTCTGGAGTTGCCTGAAGGAAGTCGAGCCACCGGTCGTGTTGAATGGGGAACGGGGATGGCTCTGGAGTCAATGCAGGGGAATCGGGCCTCATCTCGAGTTGATTTCGGGCACATGGAGCTGCTTTGCGTTGCTGGGGTGACCTCAGGGTCCGTCTAGACTGGTGACAGTGTTCTTGGGGACTGTCTCGAGATCCATTAAGCAAGTCGAAGCTCCTGACTTGTTTGAATGGGATCACGGAATAGCTCTGCATGCACTGCAGGGGAATGGGGCCTCATCTCGCCTCTAGGGGGAAGTCTCATGGTTTTTCTCGAGTTGCGGTGTGGACCTGGGGTATGTTCTCGACTTACGGTGGGGATGGCCCTTCAAAACACGAGTTTCTTCAGTGACGTCAGGACTCCTGTCTAGTAACGAGGGACACCTCAGGAATCTCTTCGAGGCTTGGCAGGGCAAAAGGAACGCTTCTCGAGGTGAGGCAGGGCACCCAAGGACCCTTTCCCCTAGCCACAGGGATTTTGGGATTCCTATCAGTATTCAAGGTGAGTCAGGCATCGTCACCTTTTGAAGCAATGAACTCCGCGTGCCTCTCGAGGTGTCAGCGGGATGTGAGGCATTCCGTCAAAATGAGGCAGGGACCTAGGGTTTTCTCTAAGGTCTCCACAGGGGATTCAGACATCCCTTCATGTTGTGAGATGAAAGACGAGCCTGTATTCAAGCCACTGCAAGGAAATCCGGCCTCCTTTCAAGTTAGGGCTTCTCGCTGTATATTCCCCTTGAGGCAGCAAACTCGGGGTCCCGCCCACATAGCTATTGCTGAGAGAAGCCTCCTCCTGAGGTGCTTCTGGAAAGTTGGCATACGTCTTGAGCCTAAGCCAGGGAATCAGCTCTCATCTCGAGACGATTTGGGGTACACGGAGCATTCCTCGAGTTGCTGTGCTGAAGTTGGTGTTCCTCTAGACTTGGGACAGTGTTCTCGGGGCATCTCGGGAGTTGCCTGAAGGAAGTCAAGCCACCGGTCGTGTTGAATGGGGAACGGGGAATGGCTCTGGAGTCAATGCAGGGGAATCGGGCCTCATCTCGAGTTGATTTGGGGCACATGGAGCTGCTTTGCGTTGCTGGGGTGACCTCAGTGTCCGTCTAGACTGGTGACAGTGTTCTTGGGGACTGTCTCGAGATCCATTAAGCAAGTCGAAGCTCCTGACTTGTTTGAATGGGATCACGGAATAGCTCTGCATGCACTGCAGGGGAATGGGGCCTCATCTCGCCTCTAGGGGGAAGTCTCATGGTTTTTCTCGAGTTGCGGCGGGGACCTGGGGCATGTTCTCGACTTACGGCGGGGATGGCCCTTCAAAACACGAGTTTCTTCAGTGACGTCAGGACTCCTGTCTAGTAACGAGGGACACCTCAGGAATCTCTTCGAGGCTTGGCAGGGCAAAAGGGACACTTCTCGAGGTGAGGCAGGGCACCCAAGGACCCTTTCCCGTAGCCACAGGGATTTTGGGATTCCTATCAGTATTCAAGAGGAGTCAGGCATCGTCACCTTTTGAAGCAATGAACTCCGCGTGCCTCTCGAGGTGTCAGCGGGATGTGAGGCATTCCGTCAAAATGAGGCAGGGACCTAGGGCTTTCTCTAAGGTCTCCACAGGGGATTCAGACATCCCTTCATGTTGTGAGATGAAAGACGAGCCTGTATTCAAGCCACTGCAAGGAAATCCGGCCTCCTTTCAAGTTAGGGCTTCTCGCTGTATATTCCCCTTGAGGCAGCAAACTCGGGGTCCCTCCCACATACCTATTGCTGAGAGAAGCCTCCTCCTGAGGTGCTTCTGGAAAGTTGGCATACGTCTTGAGCCTAAGCCAGGGAATCACCTCTCATCTCGAGACGATTTGGTGTACACGGATCATTCCTAGATTTGCTGTGCTGAAGTTGGTGTTCCTCTAGACTTGGGACAGTGTTCTCGGGCATCTCTGGAGTTGCCTGAAGTAAGTCGAGCCACCGTTCGTGTTGAATGGGGAACGGGGAATGGCTCTGGAGTCAATGCAGGGGAATCGGGCCTCATCTCGAGTTGATTTGGGGCACATGGAGCTGCTTTGCGTTGCTGGGGTGACCTCAGGGTCCGTCTAGACTGGTGACAGTGTTCTTGGGGACTGTCTCGAGATCCATTAAGCAAGTCGAAGCTCCTGACTTGTTTGAATGGGATCACGGAATAGCTCTGCATGCACTGCAGGGGAATGGGGCCTCATCTCGCCTCTAGGGGGAAGTCTCATGGTTTTTCTCGAGTTGCGGCGGGGACCTGGGGTATGTTCTCGACTTACGGCGCGGATGGCCCTTCAAAACACGAGTTTCTTCAGTGACGTCAGGACTCCTGTCTAGTAAGGAGGGACACCTCAGGAATCTCTTCGAGGCTTGGCAGGGCAAAAGGGACGCTTCTCGAGATGAGGCACGGCACCCAAGGACCCTTTCCAGTAGCCACAGGGATTTTGGGATTCCTATCAGTATTCAAGAGGAGGCAGGCATCGTCACCTTTTGAAGCAATGAACTCCGCGTGCCTCTCGAGGTGTCAGCGGGATGTGAGGTAATTGTCAAAATGAGGCATGGACCTAGGGCTTTCTCTAAAGTCTCCACTGGGGATTCAGACATCCCTTCATGTTGTGAGATGAAAGACGAGCCTGTATTCAAGTCACTGTAAGGAAATCCGGCCTCCTTTCAAGTTAGGGCTTCTCGCTATATATTCCCCTTGAGGCAGCAAACTTGGGGTCCCTCCCACATAGATATTGCTGAGAGAAGCCTCCTCTTGAGGTGCTTCTGGAAAGTTGGGATACGTCTTGAGCCTAAGCCAGGGAATCAGCTCTCATCTCGAGACGATTTGAGGTACACGGAGCATTCCTCGAGTTGCTGTGCTGAAGTTGGTGTTCCTCTAGACTTGGGAGAGTGTTCTCGGGGCATCTCTGGAGTTGCCTGAAGGAAGTCGAGCCACCGGTCGTGTTGAATGGGGAACGGGGAATGTCTCTGGAGTCAATGAAGGGGAATCGGGCCTCATCTCGAGTTGATTTGGGGCACATGGAGCTGCTTTGCGTTGCTGGGGTGACCTCAGGGTCCGTCTAGACTGATGAAAGTGTTCTTGGGGACTGTCTCGAGATCCATTAAGCAAGTCGAAGCTCCTGACTTGTTTGAATGGGATCACGGAATAGCTCTGCATGCACTGCAGTGGAATGGGGCCTCATCTCGCCTCTAGGGGGATGTCTCATGATTTTTCTCGAGTTGCGTTGGGAACCTCGGGTATATCCTCGACTTACGGCGGGGATGGCCCTTCAAAACACGAGTTTCTTCACTGACGTCAGGACTCCTGTCTAGTAACGAGGGACACCTCAGGAATCTCTTCGAGGCTTGGCAGGTCAAAAGGGACGCTTCTCGAGGTGAGGCAGGGCACCCAAGGACCCTTTCCAGTAGCCAAAGGGATTTTGGGATTCCTATCAGTATTCAGGAAAAGTCAGGCATCGTCACCTTTTGAAGCAATGAACTCTGCGTGCCTCTCGAGGTGTCAGCGGGATGTGAGGCATTCCGTCAAAATGAGGCAGGGACCTAGGGCTTTCTCTAAGGTCTCCACAGGGGATTCAGACATCCCTTCATGTTGTGAGAGGAAAGACGAGCCTGTATTCAAGCCACTGCAAGGAAATCTGTCCTCCTTTCAAGTTAGGGCTTCACGTTGTATATTCCCCTTGAGGCAGCAAACTCAGGGTCCCTCCCACATGCCTAATGCTGAGAGAAGCCTCCTCCTGAGGTGCTTCTGGAAAGTTGGCATACGTCTTGAGCCTAAGCCAGGGAATCAGCTCTCATCTCGAGACGATTTTGTGTACACGGTGCATTCCTCGAGTTTCTGTGCTGAAGTTGGTGTTCCTCTAGACTTGGGACAGTGTTCTCGGGGCATTTCTGGAGTTGCCTGAAGGAAGTCGAGCCACCGGTCGCCTGGAATGGGGAACGGGGAATGGCTCTGGAGTCAATGCAGGGGAATCGGGCCTCATCTCGAGTTGATTTGGGGTACATGGAGCTGCTTTGCGTTGCTGGGGTGACCTCAGGGTCCATCTAGACTGGTGACAGTGTTCTTGGGGACTCTCTCATGATCCATTAAGCAAGTCGAAGCTCCTGACTTGTTTGAATGGGATCACGGAATACCTCTGCATGCACTGCAGGGGAATGGGGCCTCATCTCGCCTCTAGGGGGGAGTCTCATGGTTTTTCTCGAGTTGCGGCGGGGACCTGGGGTATGTTCTCGACTTACGGCGGGGATGGCCCTTCAAAACACGAGCTTCTTCAGTGACGTCAGGACTCCTGTCTAGTAACGAGGGACCCCTCAGGAATCTCTTCGAGGCTTGGCAGGGCAAAAGGGACGCCTCTCGAGGTGAGGCAGGGCACCCAAGGACCCTTTCCCGTAGCCACAGGGATTTTGGGATTCCTATCAGTATTCAAGAGGAGTCAGGCATCGTCACCTTTTGAAGCAATGAACTCCGCGTGCCTCTCGAGGTGTCAGCGGGATGTGAGGCATTCCGTCAAACTGAGGCAGGGAACAAGGGCTTTCTCTAAGGTCTCCACAGGGGATTCAGACATCCCTTCAGGTTGTGAGATGAAAGACGAGCCTGTATTCAAGCCACTGCAAGGAAATCCGGCCTCCTTTCAAGTTAGGGCTTCTCGCTGTATATTCCCCTTGAGGCAGCAAACTCGGGGTCCCTCCCACATACCTATTGCTGAGAGAAGCCTCCTCCTGAGGTGCTTCTGGAAAGTTGGCATACGTCTTGAGCCTAAGCCAGGGAATCAGCTCTCATCTCGAGACGATTTGGGGTACACGGGGCTTCCTCGAGTTGCTGTGCTGAAGTTGGTGTTCCTCTAGACTTGGGACAGTGTTCTCGGGGCATCTCTGTAGTTGCCTGAAGGAAGTCGAGCCACCGGTCGTGTTGAATGGGGAACGGGGAATTGCTCTGGCATCAATGCAGGGGAATCGGGCCTCATCTCGAGTTGATTTGGGGCACATGGAGCTGCTTTGCGTTGCTGGGGTGACCTCAGGGTCCGTCTAGACTTCTGACAGTGTTCTTGGGGACTGTCTCCAGATCCATTAAGCAAGTCGAAGCTCCTGACTTGTTTGAATGGGATCACGGGATAGCTCTGCATGCACTGCAGGGGAATGGGGCCTCATCTCGCCTCTAGGGGGAAGTCTCATGGTTTTTCTCGAGTTGCGGCGGGGACCTGGGGTATGTTCTCGACTTACGGCGGGGATGGCCCTTCAAAACACGAGTTTCTTCAGTGAAGTCAGGACTCCGGTCTAGTAACGAGGGACAACTCAGGAATCTCTTCGAGGCTTGGCAAGGCAAAAGGGACGCTTCTCGAGGTGAGGCAGGGCACCCAAGGACCCTTTCCCGTACCCACAGGGATTTTGGGATTCCTATCAGTATTCAAGAGGAGTCAGGCATCGTCACCTTTTGAAGCAATGAACTCCGCGTGCCTCTCGAGGTGTCAGCGGGATGTGAGGCATTCCGTCAAAATGAGGCAGGGACCTAGGGCTTTCTCTAAGGTCTCCACAGGGGATTCAGACATCCCTTCATGTTGTGAGATGAAAGACGAGCCTGTATTCAAGCCACTGCAAGGAAATCCGGCCTCCTTTCAAGTTAGGGCTTCTCGCTGTATATTCCCCTTGAGGCAGCAAACTCGGGGTCCCTCCCACATACCTATTGCTGAGAGAAGCCTCCTCCTGAGGTGCTTCTGGAAAGTTGGCATACGTCTTGAGCCTAAGCCAGGGAATCACCTCTCATCTCGAGACGATTTGGTGTACACGGATCATTCCTAGATTTGCTGTGCTGAAGTTGGTGTTCCTCTAGACTTGGGACAGTGTTCTCGGGCATCTCTGGAGTTGCCTGAAGTAAGTCGAGCCACCGTTCGTGTTGAATGGGGAACGGGGAATGGCTCTGGAGTCAATGCAGGGGAATCGGGCCTCATCTCGAGTTGATTTGGGGCACATGGAGCTGCTTTGCGTTGCTGGGGTGACCTCAGGGTCCGTCTAGACTGGTGACAGTGTTCTTGGGGACTGTCTCGAGATCCATTAAGCAAGTCGAAGCTCCTGACTTGTTTGAATGGGATCACGGAATAGCTCTGCATGCACTGCAGGGGAATGGGGCCTCATCTCGCCTCTAGGGGGAAGTCTCATGGTTTTTCTCGAGTTGCGGCGGGGACCTGGGGTATGTTCTCGACTTACGGCGCGGATGGCCCTTCAAAACACGAGTTTCTTCAGTGACGTCAGGACTCCTGTCTAGTAAGGAGGGACACCTCAGGAATCTCTTCGAGGCTTGGCAGGGCAAAAGGGACGCTTCTCGAGATGAGGCACGGCACCCAAGGACCCTTTCCAGTAGCCACAGGGATTTTGGGATTCCTATCAGTATTCAAGAGGAGGCAGGCATCGTCACCTTTTGAAGCAATGAACTCCGCGTGCCTCTCGAGGTGTCAGCGGGATGTGAGGTAATTGTCAAAATGAGGCATGGACCTAGGGCTTTCTCTAAAGTCTCCACTGGGGATTCAGACATCCCTTCATGTTGTGAGATGAAAGACGAGCCTGTATTCAAGTCACTGTAAGGAAATCCGGCCTCCTTTCAAGTTAGGGCTTCTCGCTATATATTCCCCTTGAGGCAGCAAACTTGGGGTCCCTCCCACATAGATATTGCTGAGAGAAGCCTCCTCTTGAGGTGCTTCTGGAAAGTTGGGATACGTCTTGAGCCTAAGCCAGGGAATCAGCTCTCATCTCGAGACGATTTGAGGTACACGGAGCATTCCTCGAGTTGCTGTGCTGAAGTTGGTGTTCCTCTAGACTTGGGAGAGTGTTCTCGGGGCATCTCTGGAGTTGCCTGAAGGAAGTCGAGCCACCGGTCGTGTTGAATGGGGAACGGGGAATGTCTCTGGAGTCAATGAAGGGGAATCGGGCCTCATCTCGAGTTGATTTGGGGCACATGGAGCTGCTTTGCGTTGCTGGGGTGACCTCAGGGTCCGTCTAGACTGATGAAAGTGTTCTTGGGGACTGTCTCGAGATCCATTAAGCAAGTCGAAGCTCCTGACTTGTTTGAATGGGATCACGGAATAGCTCTGCATGCACTGCAGTGGAATGGGGCCTCATCTCGCCTCTAGGGGGATGTCTCATGATTTTTCTCGAGTTGCGTTGGGAACCTCGGGTATATCCTCGACTTACGGCGGGGATGGCCCTTCAAAACACGAGTTTCTTCACTGACGTCAGGACTCCTGTCTAGTAACGAGGGACACCTCAGGAATCTCTTCGAGGCTTGGCAGGTCAAAAGGGACGCTTCTCGAGGTGAGGCAGGGCACCCAAGGACCCTTTCCAGTAGCCAAAGGGATTTTGGGATTCCTATCAGTATTCAGGAAAAGTCAGGCATCGTCACCTTTTGAAGCAATGAACTCTGCGTGCCTCTCGAGGTGTCAGCGGGATGTGAGGCATTCCGTCAAAATGAGGCAGGGACCTAGGGCTTTCTCTAAGGTCTCCACAGGGGATTCAGACATCCCTTCATGTTGTGAGAGGAAAGACGAGCCTGTATTCAAGCCACTGCAAGGAAATCTGTCCTCCTTTCAAGTTAGGGCTTCACGTTGTATATTCCCCTTGAGGCAGCAAACTCAGGGTCCCTCCCACATGCCTAATGCTGAGAGAAGCCTCCTCCTGAGGTGCTTCTGGAAAGTTGGCATACGTCTTGAGCCTAAGCCAGGGAATCAGCTCTCATCTCGAGACGATTTTGTGTACACGGTGCATTCCTCGAGTTTCTGTGCTGAAGTTGGTGTTCCTCTAGACTTGGGACAGTGTTCTCGGGGCATTTCTGGAGTTGCCTGAAGGAAGTCGAGCCACCGGTCGCCTGGAATGGGGAACGGGGAATGGCTCTGGAGTCAATGCAGGGGAATCGGGCCTCATCTCGAGTTGATTTGGGGTACATGGAGCTGCTTTGCGTTGCTGGGGTGACCTCAGGGTCCATCTAGACTGGTGACAGTGTTCTTGGGGACTCTCTCATGATCCATTAAGCAAGTCGAAGCTCCTGACTTGTTTGAATGGGATCACGGAATACCTCTGCATGCACTGCAGGGGAATGGGGCCTCATCTCGCCTCTAGGGGGGAGTCTCATGGTTTTTCTCGAGTTGCGGCGGGGACCTGGGGTATGTTCTCGACTTACGGCGGGGATGGCCCTTCAAAACACGAGCTTCTTCAGTGACGTCAGGACTCCTGTCTAGTAACGAGGGACCCCTCAGGAATCTCTTCGAGGCTTGGCAGGGCAAAAGGGACGCCTCTCGAGGTGAGGCAGGGCACCCAAGGACCCTTTCCCGTAGCCACAGGGATTTTGGGATTCCTATCAGTATTCAAGAGGAGTCAGGCATCGTCACCTTTTGAAGCAATGAACTCCGCGTGCCTCTCGAGGTGTCAGCGGGATGTGAGGCATTCCGTCAAACTGAGGCAGGGAACAAGGGCTTTCTCTAAGGTCTCCACAGGGGATTCAGACATCCCTTCAGGTTGTGAGATGAAAGACGAGCCTGTATTCAAGCCACTGCAAGGAAATCCGGCCTCCTTTCAAGTTAGGGCTTCTCGCTGTATATTCCCCTTGAGGCAGCAAACTCGGGGTCCCTCCCACATACCTATTGCTGAGAGAAGCCTCCTCCTGAGGTGCTTCTGGAAAGTTGGCATACGTCTTGAGCCTAAGCCAGGGAATCAGCTCTCATCTCGAGACGATTTGGGGTACACGGGGCTTCCTCGAGTTGCTGTGCTGAAGTTGGTGTTCCTCTAGACTTGGGACAGTGTTCTCGGGGCATCTCTGTAGTTGCCTGAAGGAAGTCGAGCCACCGGTCGTGTTGAATGGGGAACGGGGAATTGCTCTGGCATCAATGCAGGGGAATCGGGCCTCATCTCGAGTTGATTTGGGGCACATGGAGCTGCTTTGCGTTGCTGGGGTGACCTCAGGGTCCGTCTAGACTTCTGACAGTGTTCTTGGGGACTGTCTCCAGATCCATTAAGCAAGTCGAAGCTCCTGACTTGTTTGAATGGGATCACGGGATAGCTCTGCATGCACTGCAGGGGAATGGGGCCTCATCTCGCCTCTAGGGGGAAGTCTCATGGTTTTTCTCGAGTTGCGGCGGGGACCTGGGGTATGTTCTCGACTTACGGCGGGGATGGCCCTTCAAAACACGAGTTTCTTCAGTGAAGTCAGGACTCCGGTCTAGTAACGAGGGACAACTCAGGAATCTCTTCGAGGCTTGGCAAGGCAAAAGGGACGCTTCTCGAGGTGAGGCAGGGCACCCAAGGACCCTTTCCCGTACCCACAGGGATTTTGGGATTCCTATCAGTATTCAAGAGGAGTCAGGCATCGTCACCTTTTGAAGCAATGAACTCCGCGTGCCTCTCGAGGTGTCAGCGGGATGTGAGGTACTCGGTCAAAATGAGGCAGGGACCTAGGGCTTTCTCTAAGGTCTCCACAGGGGATTCAGACATCCCTTCAGGTTGTGAGAAGAAAGACGAGCCTGTATTCAAGCCACTGCAAGGAAATCCGGCCTCCTTTCAAGTTAGGGCTTCTCGCTGTATATTCCCCTTGAGGCAGCAAACTCGGGTCCTACCCACATACCTATTGCTGAGAGAAGCCTCCCCCTGAGGTGCTTCTGGAAAGTTGGCATATGTCTTGAGCCTAAGCCAGGGAATCAGCTCTCATCTCGGGACGATTTGGGGTACAAGGAGCATTCCTCGAGTTGCTGTGCTGAAGTTGGTGTTCCTCTAGACTTGGGACAGTGTTCTCGGGGCATCTCTGGAGTTGCCTGAAGGAAGTCGAGCCACCGGTCCTGTTGAATGGGAACGGGGAATGGCTCTGGAGTCAATGCAGGGGAATCGGACCTCATCTCGAGTTGATTTGGGGCACATGGAGCTGCTTTGCGTTGCTGGGGTGACCTCAGGGTCCGTCTAGACTGGTGACAGTGTTCTTGGGGACTGTCTCGAGATCCACTAAGCAAGTCGAAGCTCCTGACTTGTTTGAATGGGATCACGGAATAGCTCTGCATGCACTGCAGGGGAATGGGGCCTCATCTCGCCTTTATGGGGAAGTCTCATGGTTTTTCTCGAGTTGCGGCGGGGACCTGGGGTATGTTCTCGACTTACGGCGGGGATGCCCCTTCAAAACACGAGTTTCTTCAGTGACGTAAGGACTCCTGTCTAGTAACGAGGGACACCTCAGGAATCTCTACGAGGCGTGGCAGGGCAAAAGGGACGCTTCTCGAGGTGAGGCAGGGCACCCAAGGACCCTTACTAGTAGCCACAGGGACTTCGGGATTCCTATCAATATTCACGAGGAGTCAGGCATCGTCACCTTTTGAAGCAATGAACTCCGCGTGCCTCTCGAGGTGTCAGCGGGATGTGAGGCATTCCGTCAAAATGAAGCATGGACCAAGGGCTTTCTCTAAGGTCTCCACAGGGGATTCAGACATCCCTTAAGGTTGTGAGATGAAAGACGAGCCTGAATTCAAGCCACTGCAAGGAAATCCGGCCTCCTTTCAAGTTAGGGCTTCTCGCTGTATATTCCCCTTGAGGCAGCAAACTCGGTGTCCCTCCCACATACCTATTGCTGAGAGAAGCCTCCTCCTGAGGTGCTTCTGGAAAGTTGGCATACGCCTTGAGCCTAAGCCAGGGAATCAGCTCTCATCTCGAGACGATTTGGGGTACACGGAGCATTCCTCGAGTTGCTGTGCTGAAGTTGGTGTTCCTCTAGACTTGGGACAGTGTTCTCGGGGCATCTCTGGAGTTGCCTGAAGGAAGTCGAGCCACCGGTCGTGTTGAATGGGGAACGGGGAATGGCTCTGGCATCAATGCAGGGGAATCGGGCCTCATCTCGAGTTGATTTGGGGCACATGGAGCTGCTTTGCGTTGCTGGGCTGACCTCAGGGTCCGTCTAGACTGGTGACAGTGTTCTTGGGGACTGTCTCGAGATCCATTAAGCAAGTCGAAGCTCCTGACTTGTTTGAATGGGATCACGGGATAGCTCTTCATGCACTGCAGGGGAATGGGGCCTCATCTCGCCTCTAGGGGGAAGTCTCATGGTTTTTCTCGAGTTGCGGCGGGGACCTGGGGTATGTTCTCGACTTACGGCGGGGATGGCCCTTCAAAACACGAGTTTCTTCAGTGACGTCAGGACTCCTGTCTAGTAAGGAGGGACACCTCAGGAATCTCTTCGAGGCTTGGCAGGGCAAAAGGGACGCTTCTCGAGGTGAGGCAGGGCACCCAAGGACCGTTTCCCGTAGCCACAGGGATTTTGGGATTCCTATCAGTATTCACGAGGAGTCAGGCATCGTCACCTTTTGAAGCAATGAACTCCGCGTGCCTCTCGAGGTGTCAGTAGGATGTGAGGCATTCCGTCAAAATGAGGCAGGGACCTAGGGCTTTCTCTAAGGTCTCCACAGGGGATTCAGACATCCCTTCATGTTGTGAGATGAAAGACGAGCCTGTATTCAAGCCACTGCAAGGAAATCCGGCCTCCTTTCATGTTAGGGCTTCTCGCTGTATATTCCCCTTGAGGCAGCAAACTCGGGGTCCCTCCCACATAACTATTGCTGAGAGAAGCCTCCTCCTGAGGTGCTTCTGGAAAGTTGGCATAAGTCTTGAGCCTAAGCCAGGGAATCAGCTCTCATCTCGAGACGATTTGGGGTACACGGAGCATTCCTCGAGTTGCTTTGCTGAAGTTGGTGTTCCTCTAGACTTGGGACAGTGTCCTCGGGGCATCTCTGGAATTGCCTGAAAGAAGTCGAGCCACCGATCGTGTTGAATGGGAACTGGGAATGGCTCTGGAGTCAATGCAGGGGAATCGGGCCTCATCTCGAGTTGATTTGGGGCACATGGAGCTGCTTTGCGTTGCTGGGGTGACCTCAGGGTCCGTCTAGACTGGTGACAGTGTTCTTGGGGACTGTCTCGAGATCCATTTAGCAAGTCGAAGCTCCTGATTTGTTTGAATGGGATCATGGAATAGCTCTGCATGCACTGCAGGGGAATGGGGCCTCATCTCGCCTCTAGGGGGAAGTCTCATGGTTTTTCTCGAGTTGCGGCGGGGACCTGGGGTATGTTCTCGACTTACGGCGGGGATGGCCCTTCAAAACACGTGTTTCTTCAGTGACGTCAGGACTCCTGTCTAGTAACGAGGGACACCTCAGGAATCTCTACGAGGCTTGGCAGGGCAAAAGGGACGCTTCTCGAGGTGAGGCCGGGCACCCAAGGACCCTTTCCAGTAGCCACAGCGATTTTGGGATTCCTATCAGTATTCAAGAGGAGTCAGGCATCGTCAACTTTTGAAGCAATGAACTCCGCGTGCCTCTCGAGGTGTCAGCGGGATGTGAGGCATTCCGTCAAAATGAGGCAGGGACCTAGGGCTTTCTCTAAGGTCTCCACAGGGGATTCAGACATCCCTTCATGTTGTGAGATGAAAGACGAGCCTGTATTCAAGCCACTGCAAGGAAATGCGGCCTCCTTTCAAGTTAGGGCTTCTCGCTGTATATTCCCCTTGAGGCAGCAAACTCGGGGTCCCTCCCACATAACTATTGCTGAGAGAAGCCTCCTCCTGAGGTGCTTCTGGAAAGTTGGCATACGTCTTGAGCCTAAGCCAGGGAATCAGCTCTCATCTCGAGAGGATTTAGGGTACACGGAGCATTTCTCGAGTTGCTGTGCTGAAGTTGGTGTTCCTCTAGACTTGGGACAGTGTTCTCGGGGAATCTCTGGAGTTGCCTGAAGGAAGTCGAGAAACCGGTCGTGTTGAATGGCGAACGGGGAATGGCTCTGGAGTCAATGCAGGGGAATCGGGCCTCATCTCGAGTTAATTTGGGGCACATGGAGCTGCTTTGCGTTGCTGGGGTGACCTCAGGGTCCGTCTAGATGGGTGACAGTGTTCTTGGGGACTGTCTCGAGATCCATTAAGCAAGTCGAAGCTCCTGACTTGTTTGATGGGATCACGGAATAGCTCTGCATGCACTGCAGGGGAATGGGGCCTCATCTCGCCTCTAGGGGGATGTCTCATGATTTTTCTCGAGTTGCGTAGGGGACCTGGGGTATGTCCTCGAATTACGGCGGGGATGGCCCTTCAAAACACGAGTTTCTTCAATGAGGTCAGGACTCCTGTCTAGTAACGAGGGACATCTCAGGAATCTCTTCGAGGCTTGGCAGGGCAAAAGGGACGCTTCTCGAGGTGAGGCAGGGCACCCAAGGACCCTTTCCAATAGCGACAGGGATTTTCGGATTCCTATGAGTATTCAAGAGGAGTCAGGCATCGTCACCTTTTGAAGCAATGAACTCCGGGTGACTCTCGAGGTGTCAGCGGGATGTGAGGCATTTGTCATAATGAGGCAGGGACCTAGGGCTTTCTCTAAGGTCTCCACAGGGGATTCAGACATCCCTTCATGTTGTGAGATGAAAGACGAGCCTGTATTGAAGCCACTGCAAGAAAATCCGTCCTCCTTTCAATTTAGGGCTTCTCGCTGTATATTCCCCTTGAGGCAGCAAACTCGGGGTCCCTCCCACATACCTATTGCTAAGAGAAGCCTCCTCCTGACGTGCTTCTGGAAAGTTGGCATACGTCTTGAGACTAAGCCAGGGAATCACCTCTCATCTCGAGACGATTTGGGGTACACGGATCATTCCTCGACTTGCTGTGCTGAAGTTGGTGTTCCTCTAGACTTGGGACAGCCTTCTCGGGGTAACTCTGGAGTTGCCTGAAGGAAGTCGAGCCACCGGTCGTGTTGAATGGGGAACGGGGAATGGCTCTGGAGTCAATGCAGGGGAATCGGGCCTCATCTCGAGTTGATTTGGGGCACATGGAGCTGCTTTCCGTTGCTGGGGTGACCTCAGGGTCCGTCTAGACTGGTGACAGTGTTCTTGGGGACTGTCTTGAGGTCCATTAAGCAAGTCGAAGCTCCTGATTTGTTTGAATGGGATCACGGAATAGCTCTGCATGCACTGCAGGGGAATGGGGCCTCATCTGGCATCTAGGGGGAAGTCTCATGGTTTTTCTCGAGTTGCGGCGGGGACCTGGGGTATGTTCTCGACTTACGGCGGGGATGGCCCTTCAAAACACGAGTTTCTTCAGTGACGTCAGGACTCCTGTCTAGTAACGAGGGACACCTCAGGAATCTCTTCGAGGCTTGGCAGGGCAAAAGGGACGCTTCCCGAGGTGAGGCAGGGTACCCACGGACCCTTTCCAGTAGCCACAGCGATTTTGGGATTCCTATCAGTATTCAAGAGGAGTCAGGCATCGTCACCTTTTGAAGCAGTGAACTCCGCGTGCCTCTCGAGGTGTCAGCGGGATGTGAGGCATTCCGTCAAAATGATGCAGGGACGTAGGGTTTTCTCTAAGGTCTCCACAGGGGATTCAGACATCCCTTCATGTTGTGAGATGAAAGACGGGCCTGTATTCAAGCCATTGCAAGGAAATCCGGCCTCCTTTCATGTCAGGGCTTCTCGCGGTATATTCCCCTTGAGGCAGCAAACTCGGGGTCCCTCCCACATACCTATTGCTGAGAGAAGCCTCCTCCTGAGGTGCTTCTGGAAAGTTGGCATACGTCTTGAGCCTACGCCAGGGAATCAGCTCTCATCTCGAGACGATTTGGGGTGCACGGAGCATTCCTCGAGTGGCTGTGCTGAAGTTTGTGTTCCTCTAGACTTGGGACAGTGTTCTCGGGGCATCTCTGGAGTTGCCTGAAGGAAGTCGAGCCACCGGTTGTGTTGAATGTGGAACAGGGAATGGCTCTGGAGTCAATGCAGGGCAATCGGGCCTCATCTCGAGTTGATTTGGGGCACATGGAGCTGCTTTGCGTTGCTGGCGTGACCTCAGGTTCCGTCTAGACTGGTGACAGTGTTCTTGGGGACTGTCTCGAGATCCATTAAGTAAGTCGAAGCTCCTGACTAGTTTGAATGGGATCACGGAATAGCTCTGCATGCACTGCTGGGGAATGGGGCCTCATCTCGCCTCTAGGGGGAAGTCTCATGGTTTTTCTCTAGTTGCGGCGGGGACCTGGGGTATGTTCTCGACTTACGGCGGGGATGGCCCTTCAAAACACGAGTTTCTTCAGTGACGTCAGGACTCCTGTCTAGTAACGAGGGACACCTCAGGAATCTCTTCGAGGCTTGGCAGGGGAAAAGGGACGCTTCTCGAGTTGAGGCAGGGCAGCCAAGGACCCTTTCCCATAGCCACAGGGATTTTGGTATTCCTATCAGTATTCAAGAGGAGTCAGGCATCGTCACCTTTTGAAGCAATGAACTCCGCGTGCCTCTCGAGGTGTCAGCGGGATGTGAGGCATTTGTCAAAATGAGGCAGGGACCTAGGGCTTTCTCTAAGGTCTCCACAGGGGATTCAGACATCCCTTCAGGTTGTGAGATGAAAGACGAGCCTGTATTCAAGCCACTGCAAGGAAATCCGGCCTCCTTTCAAGTTAGGGCTTCTCGCTGTGTATTCCCCTTGAGGCAGCAAACTCGGGGTCCCTCCCACATATCTATTACTGAGAGAAGCCTCCTCCGGAGGTGCTTTTGGAAAGTTGGCATACGTCTTGAGCCTAAGCCAGGGAATCAGCTCTCATCTCGAGAGGATTTAGGGTACACGGATCATTCCTCTAGTTGCTGTGCTGAACTTGGTGTTCCTCTAGACTTGGGACCGTGTTCTCGGGGCATCTCTGGAGTTGCCTGAAGGAAGTCGAGAAACCGGTCGTGTTGAATGGGGAACGGGGAATGGCTCTGGAGTCAATGCAGCGGAATCGGGCCTCATCTCGAGTTGATTTGTGGGACATGGAGCTGCTTTGCGTTGCTGGGGTGACCTCAGGGTCCGTCTAGACTGGTGACAGTGTTCTTGGGGACTGTCTCGAGATCCATTAAGCCTGTCGAAGCTCCTGACTTGTTTGAATGGGATCACGGAATAGCTCTGCATGCACTGCAGGGGAATGGGGCCTCATCTCGCCACTTGGGGGATGTCTCATGATTTTTCTCGAGTTGCGGCGGGGACCTGGGGTATGTCCTCGACTTACGGCGGGGATGGCCCTTCAAAACACGAGTTTCTTCAATGAGGTCAGGACTCCTGTCTAGTAACGAGGGACACCTCAGGAATCCCTTCGAGGCTTGGCAGGGCAAAAGGGACGCTTCTCGAGGTGAGGCAGGGCACCAAAGGACCCTTTCCAGTAGCCACAGTGATTTTGGGATTCCTATCAGTATTCAAGAGGAGTCAGGCATCTTCACCTTTTGAAGCAATGAACTCCGCGTGCCTCTCGAGATGTCTGCAGGATGTGAGGCATTTGTCAAAATGAGGCAGGGACCTAGGGCTTTCTCTAAGGTCTCCACAGGGGATTCAGACATCCCTTCATGTTGTGAGATGAAAGACAAATCTGTATTCAAGCCACTGCAAGGAAATCCGTCCTCCTTTCAATTTAGGGCTTCTCGCGGTATATTCCCCTTGAGGCAGCAAACTCGGGGTCCCTCCCACATAACTATTGCTGAGAGAAGCCTCCTCCTGAGATGCTTCTGGAAAATTGGCATACGTCTTGAGCCTAAGCCAGGGAATCAGCTCTCATCTCGAGACGATTTGGGGTACACGGAGCATTCTTCGAGTTACTGTGCTGAAGTTGGTGTTCCTGTAGACTTGGGACACTGTTCTCGGGGCATCTCTGGAGTTGCCTGAAGGAAGTCGAGCCACCGGTCGTGTTGAATGGGGAACGGGGAATGGCTCTGGCGTCAATGCAGGGGAATCGGGCCTCATCTCGAGTTGATTTGGGGCACATGGAGCTGCTTTGCGTTGCTGGGGTGAACTCAGGGTCCGTCTAGACTGTTGACAGTGTTCTTGGGGACTGTCCCGAGATCCATTAAGCAAGTCGAAGCTCCTGACTTGTTTGAATGGGATCACGGAATAGCTCTGCATGCACTGCAGGGGAATGGGGCCTCATCTCGCCTCTAGGGGGAAGTCTCATGGTTTTTCTTGAGTTGCGGCGGGGACCTGGGGTATGTTCTCGACTTACGGCGGGGATGGCCCTTCAAAACACGAGTTTCTTCAGTGACGTCAGGACTCCTGTCTAGTAACGAGGGACACCTCAGGAATCTCTACGAGGCTTGGCAGGGCAAAAGGGACGCTTCTCGAGGTGAGGCCGGGCACCCAAGGACCCTTTCCAGTAGCCACAGGGATTTTGGGATTCCTATCAGTATTCAAGAGGAGTCAGGCATCGTCACCTTTAGAAGCAATGAACTCCGCGTGACTCTCGCGGTGTCAGCGTGATGTGAGGCATTTGTCAAAATGAGGCAGGGACCTAGGGCTTTCTCTAAGGTCTCCACAGGGGATTCAGACATCCCTTCATGTTGTGAGATGAAAGACGAGCCTGTATTCAAGCCACTGCAAGGAAATCCGTCCTCCTTTCTAGTTAGGGCTTCTCGCTGTATATTCCCCTTGAGGCAGCAAACTCGGGGTCCCTCCCACATACCTATTGCTAAGAGAAGCCTCCTCCTGAGGTGCTTCTGGAAAGTTGGCATACGTCTTGAGACTAAGCCAGGGAATCACCTCTCATCTCGAGACGATTTGGGGTACACGGATCATTCCTCGACTTGCTGTGCTGAAGTTGGTGTTCCTCTAGACTTGGGACAGCCTTCTCGGGGTAACTCTGGAGTTGCCTGAAGGAAGTCGAGCCACCGGTCGTGTTGAATGGGGAACGGGGAATGGCTCTGGAGTCAATGCAGGGGAATCGGGCCTCATCTCGAGTTGATTTGGGGCACATGGAGCTGCTTTCCGTTGCTGGGGTGACCTCAGGTTCCGTCTAGACTGGTGACAGTGTTCTTGGGGACTGTCTTGAGGTCCATTAAGCAAGTCGAAGCTCCTGATTTGTTTGAATGGGATCACGGAATAGCTCTGCATGCTCTGCAGGGGAATGGGGCCTCATCTGGCATCTAGGGGGAAGTCTCATGGTTTTTCTCGAGTTGCGGCGGGGACCTGGGGTATGTTCTCGACTTACGGCGGGGATGGCCCTTCAAAACACGAGTTTCTTCAGTGACGTCAGGACTCCTGTCTAGTAACGAGGGACACCTCAGGAATCTCTTCGAGGCTTGGCAGGGCAAAAGGGAAGCTTCCCGAGGTGAGGCAGGGTACCCACGGACCCTTTCCAGTAGCCACAGCGATTTTGGGATTCCTATCAGTATTCAAGAGGAGTCAGGCATCGTCACCTTTTGAAGCAATGAACTCCGCGTGCCTCTCGAGGTGTCAGCGGGATGTGAGGCATTCCGTCAAAATGAGGCAGGGACCTAGGGCTTTCCCTAAGGTCTCCACAGGGGATTCAGACATCCCTTCATGTTGTGAGATGAAAGACGAGCCTGTATTCAAGCCACTGCAAGGAAATCCCTCCTCCTTTCAAGTTAGGGCTTCTCACTGTATATTCCCCTTGAGGCAGCAAACTCGGGGTCCCTCCCACATACCTATTGCTGAGAGAAGCCTCCTCCTGAGGTGCTTCCGGAAAGTTGGCATACGTCTTGAGCCTAAGCCAGGGAATCAGCTCTCATCTCGAGAGGATTTAGGGTACACGGAGCATTCCTCGAGTTGCTGTGCTGAAGTTGGTGTTCCTCTAGACTTGGGACCGTGTTCTCGGGGCATCTCTGGAGTTGCCTGAAGGAAGTCGAGCCACCGGTCGTGTTGAATGTGGAACGGGGAATCGCTCTGGAGTCAATGCAGGGGTATCGGGCCTCATCTCGAGTTGATTAGCGGCACATGGAGCTGCTTTGCTTTGCTGGGGTGACCTCAGTGTCCGTCTAGACTGGTGACAGTGTTCTTGGGGACTGTCTCGAGATCCATTAAGCAAGTCGAAGCTCCTGACTTGTTTCAATGGGATCACGGAATAGCTCTGCATGCACTGCAGGGGAATGGGGCCTCATCTTGCCTCTAGGGGGAAGTCTCATGGTTTTTCTCGAGTTGCGGCGGGGACCTGGGGTATGTTTTCGACTTACGGCGGGGATGGCCCTTCAAAACACGAGTTTCTTCATTGACGTCAGGACTCCTGTCTAGTAACGAGGGACACCTCAGGAATCTCTTCGAGGCTTGGCAGGGCAAAAGGGACGCTTCTCGAGGTGAGGCAGGGCACCCAAGGACCCTTTCCCCTAGCCACAGGGATTTTGGGATTCCTATCAGTATTCAAGAGTAGTCAGGAATCGTCACCTTTTGAAGCAATGAACTCCGCGTGCCTCTCGAGGTGTCAGCGGGATGTGAGGCATTTGTCAAAATGAGGCAGGGACCTAGGGCTTTCTCTAAGGTCTCCACAGGGGATTCAGACATCCCTTCATGTTGTAAGATGAAAGACGAGCCTGTATTCAAGCCACTGCAAGGAAATCCGTCCTCCTTTCAAGTTAGGGCTTCTCGCTGTATATTCCCCTTGAGGCAGCAAACTCGGGGTCCCTCCCACATACCTATTGCTGAGACAAGCCTCCTCCTGAGGTGCTTCTGGAAAGTTGACATACGTCTTGAGGCTAAGCCAGGGAATCACCTCTCATCTCGAGACGATTTGGTGTACACGGATCATTCCTCGATTTGCTTTCCGGAAGTTGGTGTTCCTCTAGACTTGGGACAGGGTTCTCGGGGCATCTCTGGAGTTGCCTGAAGGAAGTCGAGCCACCGGTCGTGTTGAATGGGGAACGGGGAATCGCTCTGGAGTCAATGCAGGGGTATCGGTCCTCATCTCGAGTTGATTTGCGGCACATGGAGCTGCTTTGCGTTGCTGGGGTGACCTCAGGGTCCGTCTAGACTGGTGACAGTGTTCTTGGGGACTGTCTCGAGATCCATTAAGCAAGTCGAATCTCCTGACTTGTTTGAATGGGATCACGGAATAGCTCTGCATGCACTGCAGGGGAATGGGGCCTCATCTCGCCTCTAGGGGGAAGTCTCATGGTTTTTCTCGAGTTGCGGCGGGGACCTGGGGTATGTTCTCGACTTATGGCGGGGATGGCCCTTCAAAACACGAGTTTCTTCAGTGACGGCAGGACTACTGTCTAGTAACGAGAGACACCTCAGGAATCTCTTCGAGGCTTGGCAGGGCAAAAGGGACGCTTCTCGAGATGAGGCTGGGCACCCAAGGACCCTTTCCAGTAGCCACAGGGATTTTGGGATTCCTATCAGTATTCAAGAGGAGGCAGGCATCGTCACCTTTTGAAGCAATGAACTCCGCGTGCCTCTCGAGGTGTCAGCAGGATGTGAGGCATTTGTCATAATGAGGCATGGACCTAGGGCTTTCTCTAAAGTCTCCACTGGGGATTCAGACATCCCTTCATGTTGTGAGATGAAAGACGAGCCTGTATTCAAGTCACTGTAAGGAAATCCGGCCTCCTTTCAAGTTAGGCCTTCTCGCTGTATATTCCCCTTGAGGCAGCAAACTCGGGGTCCCTCCCACATAGCTATTGCTGAGAGAATCCTCCTCCTGAGGTGCTTCTGGAAAGTTGGAATACGTCTTGAGCCTAAGCCAGGGAATCAGCTCTCATCTCGAGACGATTTGGGGTACACGGAGCATTCCTCGAGTTGCTGTGCTAAAGTTGGTGTTCCTCTAGACTTGGGACCGTGTTCTCGGGGCATCTCTGGAGTTGCCTGAAGGAAGTCGAGCCACCGGTCGTGTTGAATGGGGAACGGGGAATGGCTCTGGTGTCAATGCAGGGGAATCGGGCCTCATCTCGAGTTGATTTGGGGCACATGCAGCTGCTTTGCATTGCTGGGGTGACCTCAGGGTCCGTCTAGACTGGTGACAGTGTTCTTGGGGCTGTCTCGAGATCCATTAAGCAAGTCGAAGCTCCTGACTTGTTTGAATGGGACCACGGAATAGCTCTGCATGCACTGCAGGGGAATGGGGCCTCATCTCGCCTCTAGGGGGAAATCTCATGGTTTTTCTCGAGTTGCGGCGGGGACCTGGGGTATGTTCTGGACTTACCGGGGGGATGGCCCTTCAAAACACGAGTTTCTTCAGTGACGTCAGGACTCCTGTCTAGTAACGAGGAACACCTCAGGAATCTCTAAGAGGCTTGGCAGGGCAAAAGGGACGCTTCTCGAAGAGAGGCAGGGCACCCAAGGACCCTCTCCCCTAGCCACAGGGATTTTGGGATTCCTATCAGTATTCAAGAGGAGTCAGGCATCGTCACCTTTTGAAGCAATGAACTCCGCGTGCCTCTCGAGGTGTCAGCGGGATGTGAGGCATTCTGTCAAAATGAGGCAGGGACCTAGGTCTTTCTCTAAGATCTCCACAGGGGATTCAGACATCCCTTCATGTTGTGAGATGAAAGACGAGCCTGTATTCAAGCCACTGCAAGGAAATCCGGCCTCCTTTCAAGTTAGGGCTTCTCGCTGTATATTCCCCTTGAGGCAGCAAACTCGGGGTCCCTCCCACATACCTATTGCTGAGAGTAGCCTCCTCCTGAGGTGCTTCTGGAAAGTTGGCATAAGTCTTGAGCCTAAGCCAGGGAATCAGCTCTCATCTCGAGACGATTTGGGGTATACAGAGCATTCCTCTAGTTGCTGTGCTGAAGTTGGTGTTCCTCTAGACTTGGGACAGTGTTCTCGGGGCATCTCTGGAGATGCCTGAAGGAAGTCGAGCCACCGGTCGTGTTGAATGGGGAATGGGTAATGGCTCTGGAGTCAATGCAGGGGAATCGGGCCTCATCTCGAGTTGATTTGGGGCACATGCAGCTGCTTTGCATTGCTGGGGTGACCTCAGGGTCCGTCTAGACTGGTGACAGTGTTCTTGGGGACTGTCTCGAGATCCATTAAGCAAGTCGAAGCTCCTGACTTGTTTGAATGGGACGACGGAATAGCTCTGCATGCACTGCAGGGGAATGGGGCCTCATCTCGCCTCTAGGGGGAAATCTCATGGTTTTTCTCGAGTTGCGGCGGGGACCTGGGGTATGTTCTGGACTTACCGGGGGGATGGCCCTTCAAAACACGAGTTTCTTCAGTGACCTCAGGACTCCTGTCTAGTAACGAGGTACACCTCAGGAATCTCTTCGAGGCTTGGCAGGGCAAAAGGGACGCTTCTCGAGGTGAGGCAGGGCACCCAAGGACCCTTTCCCGTAGCCACAGGGATTTTGGGATTCCTATCAGTATTCAAGAGGAGTCAGGCATCGTCACCTTTTGAAGCAATGAACTCCGCGTGCCTCTAGAGGTGTCAGCGGGATGTGAGGCATTCCGTCAAAATGAGGCAGTGACCTAGGTCTTTCCCTACGGTCTCCACAGGGGATTCAGAAATCCCTTCATGTTGTGAGATGAAAGACGAGCCTGTATTCAAGCCACTGCAAGGAAATCCGGCCTCCTTTCAAGTTAGGGCTTCTCGCTGTATATTCCCCTTGAGGCAGCAAACTCGGGGTCCCTCCCACATAGCTATTGCTGAGAGAAGCCTCCTCCTGAGGTGCTTCTGGAAAGTTGGCATACGTCTTGAGCCTAAGCCAGGGAATCAGCTCTCATCTCGAGAGGATTTAGGGTACACGGAGCATTCCTCGAGTTGCTGTGCTGAAGTTGGTGTTCCTCTAGACTTGGGACCGTGTTCTCGGGGCATCTCTGGAGTTGCCTGAAGGAAGTCGAGCCACCGGTCGTGTTGAATGGGGAATGGGGAATCGCTCTGGAGTCAATGCAGGGGTATCGGGCCTCATCTCGAATTGATTTGCGGCACATGGAGCTGCTTTGCTTTGCTGGGGTGACCTCAGTGTCCGTCTAGACTGGTGACAGTGTTCTTGGGGACTGTCTCGAGATCCATTAAGCAAGTCGAAGCTCCTGACTTGTTTGAATGGGATCACGGAATAGCTCTGCATGCACTGCAGGGGAATGGGGCCTCATCTTGCCTCTAGGGGGAAGTCTCATGGTTTTTCTCGAGTTGCGGCGGGGACCTGGGGTATGTTCTCGACTTACGGCGGGGATGGCCCTTCAAAACACGAGTTTCTTCAGTGACGTCAGGACTCCTGTCTAGTAATGAGGGACACCTCAGGAATCTCTAAGAGGCTTGGCAGGGCAAAAGGGACGCTTCTCGAGGTGAGGCAGGGCACCCAAGGACCCTTTCCCCTAGCCACAGGGATTTTGGGATTCCTATCAGTATTCAAGAGGAGTCAGGCATCGTCACCTTTTGAAGCAATGAACTCCGCGTGCCTCTCGAGGTGTCAGCGGGATGTGAGGCATTCCGTCAAAATGAGGCAGGGACCTAGGTCTTTCTCTAAGATCTCCACAGGGGATTCAGACATCCCTTCATGTTGTGAGATGAAAGACGAGCCTGTATTCAAGCCACTGCAAGGAAATCCGGCCTCCTTTCAAGTTAGGGCTTCTCGCTGTATATTCCCCTTGAGGCAGCAAACACGGGGTCCCTCCAACATACCTATTGCTGAGAGAAGCCTCCTCCTGAGGTGCTTCTGGAAAGTTGGCATAAGTCTTGCGCCTAAGCCAGGGAATCAGCTCTCATCTCGAGACGATTTGGGGTACAGAGAGCATTCCTCTAGTTTCTGTGCTGAAGTTGGTGTTCCTCTAGACTTGGGACAGTGTTCTCGGGGCATCTCTGGAGATGCCTGAAGGAAGTCGAGCCACCGGTCGTGTTGAATGGGGAATGGGTAATGGCTCTGGAGTCAATGCAGGGGAATCGGGCCTCATCTCGAGTTGATTTGGGGCACATGCAGCTGCTTTGCATTGCTGGGGTGCCCTCAGGGTCCGTCTAGACTGGTGACAGTGTTCTTGGGGCTGTCTCGAGATCCATTAAGCAAGTCGAAGCTCCTGACTTGTTTGAATGGGACCACGGAATAGCTCTGCATGCACTGCAGGGGAATTGGGCCTCATCTCGCCTCTAGGGGGAAATCTCATGGTTTTTCTCGAGTTGCGGCGGGGACCTGGTGTATGTTCTGGACTTACCGGGGGGATGGCCCTTCAAAACACGAGTTTCTTCAGTGACCTCAGGACTCCTGTCTAGTAACGAGGGACACCTCAGGAATCTCTTCGAGGCTTGGCAGGGCAAAAGGGACGCTTCTCGAGGTGAGGCAGGGCACCCAAGGACCCTTTCCCGTAGCCACAGGGATTTTGGGATTCCTATCAGTATTCAAGAGGAGTCAGGCATCGTCACCTTTTGAAGCAATGAACTCCGCGTGCCTCTCGAGGTGTCAGCGGGATGTGAGGCATTCCGTCAAAATGAGGCAGGGACCTAGGGCTTTCCCTAAGGTCTCCACAGGGTATTCAGACATCCCTTCATGTTGTGAGATGAAAGACGAGCCTGTATTCAAGCCACTGCAAGGAAATCCGGCCTCCTTTCAAGTTAGGGCTTCTCGCTGTATATTCCCCTTGAGGCAGCAAACTCGGGGTCCCTCCCACATAGCTATTGCTGAGAGAATCCTCCTCCTGAGGTGCTTCTGGAAAGTTGGCATAAGTCTTGAGGCTAAGTCAGGGAATCAGCTCTCATCTCGAGAGGATTTAGGGTACACGGAGCATTCCTCGAGTTGCTGTGCTGAAGTTGGTGTTCCTCTAGACTTGGGACCGTGTTCTCGGGCCATCTCTGGAGTTGCCTGAAGGAAGTCGAGCCACCGGTCGTGTTGAATGGGGAACGGGGAATGGCTCTGGAGTCAATGCAGGGGAATCGGGCCTCATCTCGAGTTGATTTGGGGCACATGGAGCTGCTTTGCATTGCTGGGGTGACCTCAGGGTCCGTCTAGACTGGTGACAGTGTTCTTGGGGACTGTCTCGAGATCCATTAAGCAAGTCGAAGCTCCTGACTTGTTTGAATGGGATCACGGAATAGCTCTGCATGCACTGCAGGGGACTGGGGCCTCATCTCGCCTCTAGGGGGAAGTCTCATGGTTTTTCTCGAGTTTCGTTGGGGACCTGGGGTATGTTCTCGACTTACGGCGCGGATGGCCGTTCAAAACACGAGTTTCTTCAGTGACGTCAGGACTCCTGACTAGTAACGAGGGACACCTCAGGAATATCTACGAGGCTTGGCAGGGCAAAAGGGACGCTTCTCGAGTTGAGGCAGGGTACCCAAGGACCCTTTCCATTAGCCACAGCGATTTTGGGATTCCTATCAGTATTCAAGAGGAGTCAGGCATCGTCACCTTTTGAAGCAGTGAACTCCGCGTGCCTCTCGAGGTGTCAGCCTGATGTGAGGCATTCCGTCAAAATGAGGCAGGGACCTAGGGCTTTCTCTATGGTCTCCACAGGGGATTCAGACATCCCTTCATGTTGTGAGATGAAAGACGAGCCTGTATTCAAGCCACTGCAAGGAAATCCGGCCTCCTTTCAAGTTAGGGCTTCTCGCTGTATATTCCCCTTGAGGCAGCAAACTCGGGGTCCCTTCCACATACCTATTGCTGAGAGAAGCCTCCTCCTGAGGTGCTTCTGGAAAGTTGGCATACGTCTTGAGCCTAAGCCAGGGAATCAGCTCTCATCTCGAGAGGATTTAGGGTACACAGAGCATTCCTCGAGTTGCTGTTCTGAAGTTGGTGTTCCTCTAGACTTGGGACCGTGTTCTCGGGGCATCTCTGGAGTTGCCTGAAGGAAGTCGAGAAACCGGTCGTGTTGAATGGGGAACGGGGAATGGCTCTGGAGTCAATGCAGAGGAATCGGGCCTCATCTCGAGTTGATTTGGGGCACATGGAGCTGCTTTGCGGTCCTGGGGTGACCTCAGGGTCCGTCTAGACTGGTGACAGTGTTCTTGGGGACTGTCTCGAGATCCATTAAGCAAGTCGAAGCTCCTGACTTGTTTGAATGGGATCACGGAATAGCTCTGCATGCACTGCAGGGGAATGGGGCCTCATCTTGCCTCTAGGGGGAAGTCTCATGGTTTTTCTCGAGTTGCGGCGGGGACCTGGGGTATGTTCTCGACTTACGGCGAGGATGGCCCTTCAAAACACGAGTTTCTTCAGTGACGTCAGGACTCCTGTCTAGTAACGAGTGACACCTCAGGAATCTCTAAGAGGCTTGGCAGGGCAAAAGGGACGCTTCTCGAGATGAGGCAGGGCACCCAAGGACCCTTTCCAGTAGCCACGGGGATTTTGGGATTCCTATCAGTATTTAAGAGGAGTCAGGCATCGTCACCTTTTGAAGCAATGAACTCCGCGTGCCTCTCGAGGTATCAGCGGGATGTGAGGCATTCCGTCAAAATGAGGCAGGGACCTAGGGCTTTCTCTAAGGTCTCCACAGGTGATTCAGACATCCCTTCATGTTGTGAGATGAAAGACGAGCCTGTATTCAAGCCACTGCAAGGAAATCCGGCCTCCTTTCATGTTAGGGCTTCTCGCTGTATATTCCCCTTGAGGCAGCAAACTCGGGGTCCTTCCCACATACCTATTGCTGAGAGAAGCCTCCTCCTGAGATGCTTCTGGAAAGTTGGCATACGTCTTGAGCCTAAGCCAGGGAATCAGCTCTCATCTCGAGACGATTTGGGGTACACGGAGCATTCCTCGAGTTGCTGTGCTGAAGTTGGTGTTCCTCTAGACTTGGGACCGTGTTCTCGGGGCATCTCTGGAGTTGCCTGAAGGAAGTCGAGCCACCGGTCGTGTTGAATGGGGAATGGGAATGGCTCTGGAGTCAATGCAGGGGAATCGGGCCTCATCTCGAGTTGATTTGGGGCACATGGAGCTGCTTTGCGTTGCTAGGGTGACCTCAGGTTCCGTCTAGACTGGTGACAGTGTTCTTGGGGACTGTCTCGAGATCCATTAAGCAAGTCGAAGCTCCTGACTTGTTTGAATGGGATCACGGAATAGCTCTGCATGCACTGCAGGGGAATGGGGCCTCATCTCGCCTCTAGGGGGATGTCTCATGGTTTTTCTCGAGTTGCGGCGGGGACCTGGGGTATGTTCTCGACTTAGGGCGGGGATGGCCCTTCAAAACACGAGTTTCTTCAGTGACGTCAGGACTCCTGTCTAGTAACGAGGGACACCTCAGGAATCTCTTCGAGGCTTGGCAGGGCAAAAGGGACGCTTCTCGAGATGAGGCTGGGCACCCAAGGACCCTTTCCAGTAGCCACAGGGATTTTGGGATTCCTATCAGTATTCAAGAGGAGGCAGGCATCGTCACCTTTTGAAGCAATGAACTCCGCGTGCCTCTCGAGGTGTCAGCGGGATGTGAGGTAATTGTCAAAATGAGGCATGGACCTAGGGCTTTCTCTAAAGTCTCCACTGGGGATTCAGACATCCCTTCATGTTGTGAGATGAAAGACGAGCCTGTATTCAAGTCACTGTAAGGAAATCCGGCCTCCTTTCAAGTTAGGGCTTCTCGCTATATATTCCCCTTGAGGCAGCAAACTTGGGGTCCCTCCCACAAAGATATTGCTGAGAGAAGCCTCCTCTTGAGGTGCTTCTGGAAAGTTGGGATACGTCTTGAGCCTAAGCCAGGGAATCAGCTCTCATCTCGAGACGATTTGAGGTACACGGAGCATTCCTCGAGTTGCTGTGCTGAAGTTGGTGTTCCTCTAGACTTGGGAGAGTGTTCTCGGGGCATCTCTGGAGTTGCCTGAAGGAAGTCGAGCCACCGGTCGTGTTGAATGGGGAACGGGGAATGTCTCTGGAGTCAATGAAGGGGAATCGGGCCTCATCTCGAGTTGATTTGGGGCACATGGAGCTGCTTTGCGTTGCTGGGGTGACCTCAGGGTCCGTCTAGACTGATGAAAGTGTTCTTGGGGACTGTCTCGAGATCCATTAAGCAAGTCGAAGATCCTGACTTGTTTGAATGGGATCACGGAATAGCTCTGCATGCACTGCAGTGGAATGGGGCCTCATCTCGCCTCTAGGGGGATGTCTCATGATTTTTCTCGAGTTGCGTTGGGGACCTCGGGTATATCCTCGACTTACGGCGGGGATGGCCCTTCAAAACACGAGTTTCTTCACTGACGTCAGGACTCCTGTCTAGTAACGAGGGACACCTCAGGAATCTCTTCGAGGCTTGGCAGGTCAAAAGGGACGCTTCTCGAGGTGAGGCAGGGCACCCAAGGACCCTTTCCAGTAGCCAAAGGGATTTTGGGATTCCTATCAGTATTCAGGAAAAGTCAGGCATCGTCACCTTTTGAAGCAATGAACTCTGCGTGCCTCTCGAGGTGTCAGCGGGATGTGAGGCATTCCGTCAAAATGAGGCAGGGACCTAGGGCTTTCTCTAAGGTCTCCACAGGGGATTCAGACATCCCTTCATGTTGTGAGAGGAAAGACGAGCCTGTATTCAAGCCACTGCAAGGAAATCTGGCCTCCTTTCAAGTTAGGGCTTCACGTTGTATATTCCCCTTGAGGCAGCAAACTCAGGGTCCCTCCCACATGCCTATTGCTGAGAGAAGCCTCCTCCTGAGGTGCTTCTGGAAAGTTGGCATACGTCTTGAGCCTAAGCCAGGGAATCAGCTCTCATCTCGAGACGATTTTGTGTACACGGTGCATTCCTCGAGTTTCTGTGCTGAAGTTGGTGTTCCTCTAGACTTGGGACAGTGTTCTCGGGGCATTTCTGGAGTTGCCTGAAGGAAGTCGAGCCACCGGTCGCCTGGAATGGGGAACGGGGAATGGCTCTGGAGTCAATGCAGGGGAATCGGGCCTCATCTCGAGTTGATTTGGGGTACATGGAGCTGCTTTGCGTTGCTGGGGTGACCTCAGGGTCCATCTAGACTGGTGACAGTGTTCTTGGGGACTCTCTCATGATCCATTAAGCAAGTCGAAGCTCCTGACTTGTTTGAATGGGATCACGGAATAGCTCTGCATGCACTGCAGGGGAATGGGGCCTCATCTCGCCTCTAGGGGGGAGTCTCATGGTTTTTCTCGAGTTGCGGCGGGGACCTGGGGTATGTTCTCGACTTACGGCGGGGATGGCCCTTCAAAACACGAGCTTCTTCAGTGACGTCAGGAGTCCTGTCTAGTAACGAGGGACCCCTCAGGAATCTCTTCGAGGCTTGGCAGGGCAAAAGGGACGCCTCTCGAGGTGAGGCAGGGCACCCAAGGACCCTTTCCCGTAGCCACAGGGATTTTGGGATTCCTATCAGTATTCAAGAGGAGTCAGGCATCGTCACCTTTTGAAGCAATGAACTCCGCGTGCCTCTCGAGGTGTCAGCGGGATGTGAGGCATTCCGTCAAACTGAGGCAGGGAACAAGGGCTTTCTCTAAGGTCTCCACAGGGGATTCAGACATCCCTTCAGGTTGTGAGATGAAAGACGAGCCTGTATTCAAGCCACTGCAAGGAAATCCGGCCTCCTTTCAAGTTAGGGCTTCTCGCTGTATATTCCCCTTGAGGCAGCAAACTCGGGGTCCCTCCCACATACCTATTGCTGAGAGAAGCCTCCTCCTGAGGTGCTTCTGGAAAGTTGGCATACGTCTTGAGCCTAAGCCAGGGAATCAGCTCTCATCTCGAGACGATTTGGGGTACACGGGGCATTCCTCGAGTTGCTGTGCTGAAGTTGGTGTTCCTCTAGACTTGGGACAGTGTTCTCGGGGCATCTCTGTAGTTGCCTGAAGGAAGTCGAGCCACCGGTCGTGTTGAATGGGGAACGGGGAATTGCTCTGGCATCAATGCAGGGGAATCGGGCCTCATCTCGAGTTGATTTGGGGCACATGGAGCTGCTTTGCGTTGCTGGGGTGACCTCAGGGTCCGTCTAGACTGGTGACAGTGTTCTTGGGGACTGTCTCCAGATCCATTAAGCAAGTCGAAGCTCCTGACTTGTTTGAATGGGATCACGGGATAGCTCTGCATGCACTGCAGGGGAATGGGGCCTCATCTCGCCTCTAGGGGGAAGTCTCATGGTTTTTCTCGAGTTGCGGCGGGGACCTGGGGTATGTTCTCGACTTACGGCGGGGATGGCCCTTCAAAACACGAGTTTCTTCAGTGACGTCAGGACTCCGGTCTAGTAACGAGGGACAACTCAGGAATCTCTTCGAGGCTTGGCAAGGCAAAAGGGACGCTTCTCGAGGTGAGGCAGGGCACCCAAGGACCCTTTCCCGTAGCCACAGGGATTTTGGGATTCCTATCAGTATTCAAGAGGAGTCAGGCATCGTCACCTTTTGAAGCAATGAACTCCGCGTGCCTCTCGAGGTGTCAGCGGGATGTGAGGCACTCGGTCAAAATGAGGCAGGGACCTAGGGCTTTCTCTAAGGTCTCCACAGGGGATTCAGACATCCCTTCAGGTTGTGAGAAGAAAGACGAGCCTGTATTCAAGCCACTGCAAGGAAATCCGGCCTCCTTTCAAGTTAGGGCTTCTCGCTGTATATTCCCCTTGAGGCAGCAAACTCGGGTCCTACCCACATACCTATTGCTGAGAGAAGCCTCCCCCTGAGGTGCTTCTGGAAAGTTGGCATATGTCTTGAGCCTAAGCCAGGGAATCAGCTCTCATCTCGGGACGATTTGGGGTACAAGGAGCATTCCTCGAGTTGCTGTGCTGAAGTTGGTGTTCCTCTAGACTTGGGACAGTGTTCTCGGGGCATCTCTGGAGTTGCCTGAAGGAAGTCGAGCCACCGGTCCTGTTGAATGGGAACGGGGAATGGCTCTGGAGTCAATGCAGGGGAATCGGACCTCATCTCGAGTTGATTTGGGGCACATGGAGCTGCTTTGCGTTGCTGGGGTGACCTCAGGGTCCGTCTAGACTGGTGACAGTGTTCTTGGGGACTGTCTCGAGATCCATTAAGCAAGTCGAAGCTCCTGACTTGTTTGAATGGGATCACGGAATAGCTCTGCATGCACTGCAGGGGAATGGGGCCTCATCTCGCCTTTATGGGGAAGTCTCATGGTTTTTCTCGAGTTGCGGCGGGGACCTGGGGTATGTTCTCGACTTACGGCGGGGATGCCCCTTCAAAACACGAGTTTCTTCAGTGACGTAAGGACTCCTGTCTAGTAACGAGGGACACCTCAGGAATCTCTACGAGGCGTGGCAGGGCAAAAGGGACGCTTCTCGAGGTGAGGCAGGGCACCCAAGGACCCTTTCTAGTAGCCACAGGGACTTCGGGATTCCTATCAATATTCACGAGGAGTCAGGCATCGTCACCTTTTGAAGCAATGAACTCCGCGTGCCTCTCGAGGTGTCAGCGGGATGTGAGGCATTCCGTCAAAATGAAGCATGGACCAAGGGCTTTCTCTAAGGTCTCCACAGGGGATTCAGACATCCCTTAAGGTTGTGAGATGAAAGACGAGCCTGAATTCAAGCCACTGCAAGGAAATCCGGCCTCCTTTCAAGTTAGGGCTTCTCGCTGTATATTCCCCTTGAGGCAGCAAACTCGGTGTCCCTCCCACATACCTATTGCTGAGAGAAGCCTCCTCCTGAGGTGCTTCTGGAAAGTTGGCATACGCCTTGAGCCTAAGCCAGGGAATCAGCTCTCATCTCGAGACGATTTGGGGTACACGGAGCATTCCTCGAGTTGCTGTGCTGAAGTTGGTGTTCCTCTAGACTTGGGACAGTGTTCTCGGGGCATCTCTGGAGTTGCCTGAAGGAAGTCGAGCCACCGGTCGTGTTGAATGGGGAACGGGGAATGGCTCTGGCATCAATGCAGGGGAATCGGGCCTCATCTCGAGTTGATTTGGGGCACATGGAGCTGCTTTGCGTTGCTGGGCTGACCTCAGGGTCCGTCTAGACTGGTGACAGTGTTCTTGGGGACTGTCTCGAGATCCATTAAGCAAGTCGAAGCTCCTGACTTGTTTGAATGGGATCACGGGATAGCTCTTCATGCACTGCAGGGGAATGGGGCCTCATCTCGCCTCTAGGGGGAAGTCTCATGGTTTTTCTCGAGTTGCGGCGGGGACCTGGGGTATGTTCTCGACTTACGGCGGGGATGGCCCTTCAAAACACGAGTTTCTTCAGTGACGTCAGGACTCCTGTCTAGTAACGAGGGACACCTCAGGAATCTCTTCGAGGCTTGGCAGGGCAAAAGGGACGCTTCTCGAGGTGAGGCAGGGCACCCAAGGACCGTTTCCCGTAGCCACAGGGATTTTGGGATTCCTATCAGTATTCACGAGGAGTCAGGCATCGTCACCTTTTGAAGCAATGAACTCCGCGTGCCTCTCGAGGTGTCAGCAGGATGTGAGGCATTCCGTCAAAATGAGGCAGGGACCTAGGGCTTTCTCTAAGGTCTCCACAGGGGATTCAGACATCCCTTCATGTTGTGAGATGAAAGACGAGCCTGTATTCAAGCCACTGCAAGGAAATCCGGCCTCCTTTCATGTTAGGGCTTCTCGCTGTATATTCCCCTTGAGGCAGCAAACTCGGGGTCCCTCCCACATAACTATTGCTGAGAGAAGCCTCCTCCTGAGGTGCTTCTGGAAAGTTGGCATAAGTCTTGAGCCTAAGCCAGGGAATCAGCTCTCATCTCGAGACGATTTCGGGTACACGGAGCATTCCTCGAGTTGCTTTGCTGAAGTTGGTGTTCCTCTAGACTTGGGACAGTGTCCTCGGGGCATCTCTGGAATTGCCTGAAGGAAGTCGAGCCACCGGTCGTGTTGAATGGGAACTGATAATGGCTCTGGAGTCAATGCAGGGGAATCGGGCCTCATCTCGAGTTGATTTGGGGCACATGGAGCTGCTTTGCGTTGCTGGGGTGACCTCAGGGTCCGTCTAGACTGGTGACAGTGTTCTTGGGGACTGTCTCGAGATCCATTTAGCAAGTCGAAGCTCCTGATTTGTTTGAATGGGATCATGGAATAGCTCTGCATGCACTGCAGGGGAATGGGGCCTCATCTCGCCTCTAGGGGGAAGTCTCATGGTTTTTCTCGAGTTGCGGCGGGGACCTGGGGTATGTTCTCGACTTACGGCGGGGATGGCCCTTCAAAACACGTGTTTCTTCAGTGACGTCAGGACTCCTGTCTAGTAACGAGGGACACCTCAGGAATCTCTACGAGGCTTGGCAGGGCAAAAGGGACGCTTCTCGAGGTGAGGCCGGGCACCCAAGGACCCTTTCCAGTAGCCACAGGGATTTTGGGATTCCTATCAGTATTCAAGAGTAGTCAGGCATCGTCAACTTTTGAAGCAATGAACTCCGCGTGCCTCTCGAGGTGTCAGCGGGATGTGAGGCATTCCGTCAAAATGAGGCAGGGACCTAGGGCTTTCTCTAAGGTCTCCACAGGGGATTCAGACATCCCTTCATGTTGTGAGATGAAAGACGAGCCTGTATTCAAGCCACTGCAAGGAAATGCGGCCTCCTTTCAAGTTAGGGCTTCTCGCTGTATATTCCCCTTGAGGCAGCAAACTCGGGGTCCCTCCCACATAACTATTGCTGAGAGAAGCCTCCTCCTGAGGTGCTTCTGGAAAGTTGGCATAAGTCTTGAGCCTAAGCCAGGGAATCAGCTCTCATCTTGAGACGATTTGGGGCACACGGAGCATTCCTCGAGTTGCTGTGCTGAAGTTGGTGTTCCTGTAGACTTGGGACCGTGTTCTCGGGGCATCTCTGCAGTTCCCTGAAGGAAGTCGAGCCACCGGTCGTGTTGAATGGGGAACGGGGAATGGCTCTGGAGTCAATGCAGGGGAATCGGGCCTCATCTCGAGTTGATTTGGGGCACATGGAGCTGCTTTGCGTTGCTGGGGTGACCTCAGGTTCCGTCTAGACTGGTGAAAGTGTTCTTGGGGACTGTCTCGAGATCCATTAAGCAAGTCGAAGCTCCTGACTTGTTTGAATGGGATCACGGAATAGCTCTGCATGCACTGCAGGGGAATGGGGCCTCATTTCGCCTCTAGGGGGAAGTCTCATGGTTTTTCTCGAGTTGCGGCGGTGACCTGGGGTATGTTCTCGACTTACTGCGGGGATGGCCCTTCAAAACACGAGTTTCTTCAGTGACGTCAGGACTCCTGTCTAGTAACGAGGGACACCTCAGGAATCTCTGCGAGGCTTGGCAGGGCAAAAGGGACGCTTCTCGAGATGAGGCAGGGCACCCAAGGACCCTTTCCAGTAGCCACAGGGATTTTGGGATTCCTATCAGTATTCAAGAGGAGTCAGGCATTGTCACCTTTTGAAGCAATGAACTCCGCGTGCCTCTCAAGGTGTCAGCGGGATGTGAGGCATTTGTCAAAATGAGGCAGGGACCTAGGGCTTTCTCTAAGATCTCCACAGGGGATTCAGACATCCCTTCATGTTGTGAGATGAAAGACGAGCCTGTATTCAAGCCACTGCAAGGAAATCCGTCCTCCTTTCAAGTTAGGGCTTCTCGCTGTATATTCCCCTTGAGGCAGCAAACTCGGGGACCCTCCCACATACCAATTGCTGAGAGAAGCCTCTTCCTGAGGTGCTTCTGGAAAGTTGGCATACGTCTTGAGCCTAAGCCAGGGAATCAGCTCTCATCTCGAGAGGATTTAGGGTACACGGAGCATTCCTCGAGTTGCTGTGCTGAAGTTGGTGTTCCTCTAGACTTGGGACAGTGTTCTCGGGGAATCTCTGGAGTTGCCTGAAGGAAGTCGAGAAACCGGTCGTGTTGAATGGCGAACGGGGAATGGCTCTGGAGTCAATGCAGGGGAATCGGGCCTCATCTCGAGTTAATTTGGGGCACATGGAGCTGCTTTGCGTTGCTGGGGTGACCTCAGGGTCCGTCTAGACGGGTGACAGTGTTCTTGGGGACTGTCTCGAGATCCATTAAGCAAGTCGAAGCTCCTGACTTGTTTGATGGGATCACGGAATAGCTCTGCATGCACTGCAGGGGAATGGGGCCTCATCTCGCCTCTAGGGGGATGTCTCATGATTTTTCTCGAGTTGCGTTGGGGACCTGGGGTATGTCCTCGAATTACGGCGGGGATGGCCCTTCAAAACACGAGTTTCTTCAATGAGGTCAGGACTCCTGTCTAGTAACGAGGGACATCTCAGGAATCTCTTCGAGGCTTGGCAGGGCAAAAGGGACGCTTCTCGAGGTGAGGCAGGGCACCCAAGGACCCTTTCCAATAGCGACAGGGATTTTCGGATTCCTATGAGTATTCAAGAGGAGTCAGGCATCGTCACCTTTTGAAGCAATGAACTCCGGGTGACTCTCGAGGTGTCAGCGGGATGTGAGGCATTTGTCATAATGAGGCAGGGACCTAGGGCTTTCTCTAAGGTCTCCACAGGGGATTCAGACATCCCTTCATGTTGTGAGATGAAAGACGAGCCTGTATTGAAGCCACTGCAAGGAAATCCGTCCTCCTTTCAATTTAGGGCTTCTCGCTGTATATTCCCCTTGAGGCAGCAAACTCGGGGTCCCTCCCACATACCTATTGCTAAGAGAAGCCTCCTCCTGACGTGCTTCTGGAAAGTTGGCATACGTCTTGAGACTAAGCCAGGGAATCACCTCTCATCTCGAGACGATTTGGGGTACACGGATCATTCCTCGACTTGCTGTGCTGAAGTTGGTGTTCCTCTAGACTTGGGACAGCCTTCTCGGGGTAACTCTGGAGTTGCCTGAAGGAAGTCGAGCCACCGGTCGTGTTGAATGGGGAACGGGGAATGGCTCTGGAGTCAATGCAGGGGAATCGGGCCTCATCTCGAGTTGATTTGGGGCACATGGAGCTGCTTTCCGTTGCTGGGGTGACCTCAGGGTCCGTCTAGACTGGTGACAGTGTTCTTGGGGACTGTCTTGAGGTCCATTAAGCAAGTCGAAGCTCCTGATTTGTTTGAATGGGATCACGGAATAGCTCTGCATGCACTGCAGGGGAATGGGGCCTCATCTGGCATCTAGGGGGAAGTCTCATGGTTTTTCTCGAGTTGCGGCGGGGACCTGGGGTATGTTCTCGACTTACGGCGGGGATGGCCCTTCAAAACACGAGTTTCTTCAGTGACGTCAGGACTCCTGTCTAGTAACGAGGGACACCTCAGGAATCTCTTCGAGGCTTGGCAGGGCAAAAGGGACGCTTCCCGAGGTGAGGCAGGGTACCCACGGACCCTTTCCAGTAGCCACAGCGATTTTGGGATTCCTATCAGTATTCAAGAGGAGTCAGGCATCGTCACCTTTTGAAGCAGTGAACTCCGCGTGCCTCTCGAGGTGTCAGCGGGATGTGAGGCATTCCGTCAAAATGATGCAGGGACGTAGGGTTTTCTCTAAGGTCTCCACAGGGGATTCAGACATCCCTTCATGTTGTGAGATGAAAGACGGGCCTGTATTCAAGCCATTGCAAGGAAATCCGGCCTCCTTTCATGTCAGGGCTTCTCGCGGTATATTCCCCTTGAGGCAGCAAACTCGGGGTCCCTCCCACATACCTATTGCTGAGAGAAGCCTCCTCCTGAGGTGCTTCTGGAAAGTTGGCATACGTCTTGAGCCTACGCCAGGGAATCAGCTCTCATCTCGAGACGATTTGGGGTGCACGGAGCATTCCTCGAGTGGCTGTGCTGAAGTTTGTGTTCCTCTAGACTTGGGACAGTGTTCTCGGGGCATCTCTGGAGTTGCCTGAAGGAAGTCGAGCCACCGGTTGTGTTGAATGTGGAACAGGGAATGGCTCTGGAGTCAATGCAGGGCAATCGGGCCTCATCTCGAGTTGATTTGGGGCACATGGAGCTGCTTTGCGTTGCTGGCGTGACCTCAGGTTCCGTGTAGACTGGTGACAGTGTTCTTGGGGACTGTCTCGAGATCCATTAAGTAAGTCGAAGCTCCTGACTAGTTTGAATGGGATCACGGAATAGCTCTGCATGCACTGCTGGGGAATGGGGCCTCATCTCGCCTCTAGGGGGAAGTCTCATGGTTTTTCTCTAGTTGCGGCGGGGACCTGGGGTATGTTCTCGACTTACGGCGGGGATGGCCCTTCAAAACACGAGTTTCTTCAGTGACGTCAGGACTCCTGTCTAGTAACGAGGGACACCTCAGGAATCTCTTCGAGGCTTGGCAGGGGAAAAGGGACGCTTCTCGAGTTGAGGCAGGGCAGCCAAGGACCCTTTCCCATAGCCACAGGGATTTTGGTATTCCTATCAGTATTCAAGAGGAGTCAGGCATCGTCACCTTTTGAAGCAATGAACTCCGCGTGCCTCTCGAGGTGTCAGCGGGATGTGAGGCATTTGTCAAAATGAGGCAGGGACCTAGGGCTTTCTCTAAGGTCTCCACAGGGGATTCAGACATCCCTTCAGGTTGTGAAATGAAAGACGAGCCTGTATTCAAGCCACTGCAAGGAAATCCGGCCTCCTTTCAAGTTAGGGCTTCTCGCTGTGTATTCCCCTTGAGGCAGCAAACTCGGGGTCCCTCCCACATATCTATTACTGAGAGAAGCCTCCTCCGGAGGTGCTTTTGGAAAGTTGGCATACGTCTTGAGCCTAAGCCAGGGAATCAGCTCTCATCTCGAGAGGATTTAGGGTACACGGATCATTCCTCTAGTTGCTGTGCTGAAGTTGGTGTTCCTCTAGACTTGGGACCGTGTTCTCGGGGCATCTCTGGAGTTGCCTGAAGGAAGTCGAGAAACCGGTCGTGTTGAATGGGGAACGGGGAATGGCTCTGGAGTCAATGCAGCGGAATCGGGCCTCATCTCGAGTTGATTTGGGGGACATGGAGCTGCTTTGCGTTGCTGGGGTGACCTCAGGGTCCGTCTAGACTGGTGACAGTGTTCTTGGGGACTGTCTCGAGATCCATTAAGCCTGTCGAAGCTCCTGACTTGTTTGAATGGGATCACGGAATAGCTCTGCATGCACTGCAGGGGAATGGGGCCTCATCTCGCCACTTGGGGGATGTCTCATGATTTTTCTCGAGTTGCGGCGGGGACCTGGGGTATGTCCTCGACTTACGGCGGGGATGGCCCTTCAAAACACGAGTTTCTTAAATGAGGTCAGGACTCCTGTCTAGTAACGAGGGACACCTCAGGAATCCCTTCGAGGCTTGGCAGGGCAAAAGGGACGCTTCTCGAGGTGAGGCAGGGCACCAAAGGACCCTTTCCAGTAGCCACAGTGATTTTGGGATTCCTATCAGTATTCAAGAGGAGTCAGGCATCTTCACCTTTTGAAGCAATGAACTCCGCGTGCCTCTCGAGATGTCTCCAGGATGTGAGGCATTTGTCAAAATGAGGCAGGGACCTAGGGCTTTCTCTAAGGTCTCCACAGGGGATTCAGACATCCCTTCATGTTGTGAGATGAAAGACAAGTCTGTATTCAAGCCACTGCAAGGAAATCCGTCCTCCTTTCAATTTAGGGCTTCTCGCGGTATATTCCCCTTGAGGCAGCAAACTCTGGGTCCCTCCCACATAACTATTGCTGAGAGAAGCCTCCTCCTGAGGTGCTTCTGGAAAATTGGCATACGTCTTGAGCCTAAGCCAGGGAATCAGCTCTCATCTCGAGACGATTTGGGGTACACGGAGCATTCTTCGAGTTACTGTGCTGAAGTTGGTGTTCCTGTAGACTTGGGACACTGTTCTCGGGGCATCTCTGGAGTTGCCTGAAGGAAGTCGAGCCACCGGTCGTGTTGAATGGGGAACGGGGAATGGCTCTGGCGTCAATGCAGGGGAATCGGGCCTCATCTCGAGTTGATTTGGGGCACATGGAGCTGCTTTGCGTTGCTGGGGTGAACTCAGGGTCCGTCTAGACTGTTGACAGTGTTCTTGGGGACTGTCCCGAGATCCATTAAGCAAGTCGAAGCTCCTGACTTGTTTGAATGGGATCACGGAATAGCTCTGCATGCTCTGCAGGGGAATGGGGCCTCATCTGGCATCTAGGGGGAAGTCTCATGGTTTTTCTCGAGTTGCGGCGGGGACCTGGGGTATGTTCTCGACTTACGTCGGGGATGGCCCTTCAAAACACGAGTTTCTTCAGTGACGTCAGGACTCCTGTCTAGTAACGAGGGACACCTCAGGAATCTCTTCGAGGCTTGGCAGGGCAAAAGGGACGCTTCCCGAGGTGAGGCAGGGTACCCACGGACCCTTTCCAGTAGCCACAGGGATTTTGGGATTCCTATCAGTATTCAAGAGGAGTCAGGCATCGTCACCTTTAGAAGCAATGAACTCCGCGTGACTCTCGCGGTGTCAGCGGGATGTGAGGCATTTGTCAAAATGAGGCAGGGACCTAGGGCTTTCTCTAAGGTCTCCACAGGGGATTCAGACATCCCTTCATGTTGTGAGATGAAAGACGAGCCTGTATTCAAGCCACTGCAAGGAAATCCGTCCTCCTTTCTAGTTAGGGCTTCTCGCTGTATATTCCCCTTGAGGCAGCAAACTCGGGGTCCCTCCCACATACCTATTGCTGAGAGAAGCCTCCTCCTGAGGTGCTTCTGGAAAGTTGGCATACGTCTTGAGCCTACGCCAGGGAATCAGCTCTCATCTCGAGACGATTTGGGGTGCACGGAGCATTCCTCGAGTGGCTGTGCTGAAGTTTGTGTTCCTCTAGACTTGGGACAGTGTTCTCGGGGCATCTCTGGAGTTGCCTGAAGGAAGTCGAGCCACCGGTTGTGTTGAATGTGGAACAGGGAATGGCTCTGGAGTCAATGCAGGGCAATCGGGCCTCATCTCGAGTTGATTTGGGGCACATGGAGCTGCTTTGCGTTGCTGGCGTGACCTCAGGTTCCGTCTAGACTGGTGACAGTGTTCTTGGGGACTGTCTCGAGATCCATTAAGTAAGTCGAAGCTCCTGACTAGTTTGAATGGGATCACGGAATAGCTCTGCATGCACTGCTGGGGAATGGGGCCTCATCTCGCCTCTAGGGGGAAGTCTCATGGTTTTTCTCTAGTTGCGGCGGGGACCTGGGGTATGTTCTCGACTTACGGCGGGGATGGCCCTTCAAAACACGAGTTTCTTCAGTGACGTCAGGACTCCTGTCTAGTAACGAGGGACACCTCAGGAATCTCTTCGAGGCTTGGCAGGGGAAAAGGGACGCTTCTCGAGTTGAGGCAGGGCAGCCAAGGACCCTTTCCCATAGCCACAGGGATTTTGGGATTCCTATCAGTATTCAAGAGGAGTCAGGCATCGTCACCTTTTGAAGCAATGAACTCCGCGTGCCTCTCGAGGTGTCAGCGGGATGTGAGGCATTTGTCAAAATGAGGCAGGGACCTAGGGCTTTCTCTAAGGTCTCCACAGGGGATTCAGACATCCCTTCAGGTTGTGAGATGAAAGACGAGCCTGTATTCAAGCCACTGCAAGGAAATCCGGCCTCCTTTCAAGTTAGGGCTTCTCGCTGTGTATTCCCCTTGAGGCAGCAAACTCGGGGTCCCTCCCACATACCTATTACTGAGAGAAGCCTCCTCCGGAGGTGCTTTTGGAAAGTTGGCATACGTCTTGAGCCTAAGCCAGGGAATCAGCTCTCATCTCGAGAGGATTTAGGGTACACGGATCATTCCTCTAGTTGCTGTGCTGAAGTTGGTGTTCCTCTAGACTTGGGACCGTGTTCTCGGGGCATCTCTGGAGTTGCCTGAAGGAAGTCGAGAAACCGGTCGTGTTGAATGGCGAACGGGGAATGGCTCTGGAGTCAATGCAGCGGAATCGGGCCTCATCTCGAGTTGATTTGGGGGACATGGAGCTGCTTTGCGTTGCTGGGGTGACCTCAGGGTCCGTCTAGACTGGTGACAGTGTTCTTGGGGACTGTCTCGAGATCCATTAAGCCTGTCGAAGCTCCTGACTTGTTTGAATGGGATCACGGAATAGCTCTGCATGCACTGCAGGGGAATGGGGCCTCATCTCGCCACTTGGGGGATGTCTCATGATTTTTCTCGAGTTGCGGCGGGGACCTGGGGTATGTCCTCGACTTACGGCGGGGATGGCCCTTCAAAACACGAGTTTCTTCAATGAGGTCAGGACTCCTGTCTAGTAACGAGGGACACCTCAGGAATCCCTTCGAGGCTTGGCAGGGCAAAAGGGACGCTTCTCGAGGTGAGGCAGGGCACCAAAGGACCCTTTCCAGTAGCCACAGTGATTTTGGGATTCCTATCAGTATTCAAGAGGAGTCAGGCATCTTCACCTTTTGAAGCAATGAACTCCGCGTGCCTCTCGAGATGTCTGCAGGATGTGAGGCATTTGTCAAAATGAGGCAGGGACCTAGGGCTTTCTCTAAGGTCTCCACAGGGGATTCAGACATCCCTTCATGTTGTGAGATGAAAGACAAGTCTGTATTCAAGCCACTGCAAGGAAATCCGTCCTCCTTTCAATTTAGGGCTTCTCGCGGTATATTCCCCTTGAGGCAGCAAACTCGGGGTCCCTCCCACATAACTATTGCTGAGAGAAGCCTCCTCCTGAGGTGCTTCTGGAAAATTGGCATACGTCTTGAGCCTAAGCCAGGGAATCAGCTCTCATCTCGAGACGATTTGGGGTACACGGAGCATTCTTCGAGTTACTGTGCTGAAGTTGGTGTTCCTGTAGACTTGGGACACTGTTCTCGGGGCATCTCTGGAGTTGCCTGAAGGAAGTCGAGCCACCGGTCGTGTTGAATGGGGAACGGGGAATGGCTCTGGCGTCAATGCAGGGGAATCGGGCCTCATCTCGAGTTGATTTGGGGCACATGGAGCTGCTTTGCGTTGCTGGGGTGAACTCAGGGTCCGTCTAGACTGTTGACAGTGTTCTTGGGGACTGTCCCGAGATCCATTAAGCAAGTCGAAGCTCCTGACTTGTTTGAATGGGATCACGGAATAGCTCTGCATGCACTGCAGGGGAATGGGGCCTCATCTCGCCTCTAGGGGGAAGTCTCATGGTTTTTCTCGAGTTGCGGCGGGGACCTGGGGTATGTTCTCGACTTACGGCGGGGATGGCCCTTCAAAACACGCTTTTCTTCAGTGACGTCAGGACTCCTGTCTAGTAACGAGGGACACCTCAGGAATCTCTACGAGGCTTGGCAGGGCAAAAGGGACGCTTCTCGAGGTGAGGCCGGGCACCCAAGGACCCTTTCCAGTAGCCACAGGGATTTTGGGATTCCTATCAGTATTCAAGAGGAGTCAGGCATCGTCACCTTTAGAAGCAATGAACTCCGCGTGACTCTCGCGGTGTCAGCGGGATGTGAGGCATTTGTCAAAATGAGGCAGGGACCTAGGGCTTTCTCTAAGGTCTCCACAGGGGATTCAGACATCCCTTCATGTTGTGAGATGAAAGACGAGCCTGTATTCAAGCCATTGCAAGGAATTCCGTCCTCCTTTCTAGTTAGGGCTTCTCGCTGTATATTCCCCTTGAGGCAGCAAACTCGGGGTCCCTCCCACATACCTATTGCTAAGAGAAGCCTCCTCCTGAGGTGCTTCTGGAAAGTTGGCATACGTCTTGAGACTAAGCCAGGGAATCACCTCTCATCTCGAGACGATTTGGGGTACACGGATCATTCCTCGACTTGCTGTGCTGAAGTTGGTGTTCCTCTAGACTTGGGACAGCCTTCTCGGGGTAACTCTGGAGTTGCCTGAAGGTAGTCGAGCCACCGGTCGTGTTGAATGGGGAACGGGGAATCGCTCTGGAGTCAATGCAGGGGTATCGGGCCTCATCTCGAGTTGATTTGGGGCACATGGAGCTGCTTTGCGTTGCTGGGGTGACCTCAGGGTCCGTCTAGACTGGTGACAGTGTTCTTGGGGACTGTCTTGAGGTCCATTAAGCAAGTCGAAGCTCCTGATTTGTTTGAATGGGATCACGGAATAGCTCTGCATGCCCTGCAGGGGAATGGGGCCTCATCTGGCATCTAGGGGGAAGTCTCATGGTTTTTCTCGAGTTGCGGCGGGGACCTGGGGTATGTTCTCGACTTACGGCGGGGATGGCCCTTCAAAACACGAGTGTCTTCAGTGACGTCAGGACTCCTGTCTAGTAACGAGGGCCACCTCAGGAATCTCTAAGAGGCTTGGCAGGGCAAAAGGGACGCTTCCCGAGGTGAGGCAGGGTTCCCACGGACCCTTTCCAGTAGCCACAGCGATTTTGGGATTCCTATCAGTATTCAAGAGGAGTCAGGCATCGTCACCTTTTGAAGCAGTGAACTCCGCGTGCCTCTCGAGGTGTCAGCGGGATGTGAGGCATTCCGTCAAAATGCTGCAGGGACGTAGGGTTTTCTCTAAGGTCTCCACAGGGGATTCAGACATCCCTTCATGTTGTGAGATGAAAGACGGGCCTGTATTCAAGCCACTGCAAGGAAATCCGGCCTCCTTTCATGTCAGGGCTTCTCGCGGTATATTCCCCTTGAGGCAGCAAACTCGGGGTCCCTCCCACATACCTATTGCTGAGAGAAGCCTCCTCCTGAGATGCTTCTGGAAAGTTGGCATACGTCTTGAGCCTACGCCAGGGAATCAGCTCTCATCTCGAGACGATTTGGGGTGCACGGAGCATTCCTCGAGTGGCTGTGCTGAAGTTGGTGTTCCTCTAGACTTGGGACAGTGTTCTCGGGGCAACTCTGGAGTTGCCTGAAGGAAGTCGAGCCACCGGTTGTGTTGAATGTGGAACGGGGAATGGCTCTGGAGTCAATGCAGGGCAATCGGGCCTCATCTCGAGTTGATTTGGGGCACATGGAGCTGCTTTGCGTTGCTGGCGTGACCTCAGGTTCCGTCTAGACTGGTGACAGTGTTCTTGGGGACTGTCTCGAGATCCATTAAGCAAGTCGAAGCTCCTGACTTGTTTGAATGGGATCACGGAATAGCTCTGCATGCACTGCTGGGGAATGGGGCCTCATCTCGCCTCTAGGGGGAAGTCTCATGGTTTTTCTCGAGTTGCGGCGGGGACCTGGGGTATGTTCTCGACTTAGGGCGGGGATGGCCCTTCAAAACACGAGTTTCTTCAGTGACGTCAGGACTCCTGTCTAGTAACGAGGGACACCTCAGGAATCTCTTCGAGGCTTGGCAGGGGAAAAGGGACGCTTCTCGAGTTGAGGCAGGGCAGCCAAGGACCCTTTCCCATAGCCACAGGGATTTTGGGATTCCTATCAGTATTCAAGAGGAGTCAGGCATCGTCACCTTTTGAAGCAATGAACTCCGCGTGCCTCTCGATGTGTCAGCGGGATGTGAGGCATTTGTCAAAATGAGGCAGGGACCTAGGGCTTTCTCTAAGGTCTCCACAGGGGATTCAGACATCCCTTCAGGTTGTGAGATGAAAGACGAGCCTGTATTCAAGCCACTGCAAGGAAATCCGGCCTCCTTTCAAGTTAGGGCTTCTCGCTGTGTATTCCCCTTGAGGCAGCAAACTCGGGGTCCCTCCCACATACCTATTACTGAGAGAAGCCTCCTCCGGAGGTGCTTTTGGAAAGTTGGCATACGTCTTGAGCCTAAGCCAGGGAATCAGCTCTCATCTCGAGAGGATTTAGGGTACACGGATCATTCCTCTAGTTGCTGTGCTGAAGTTGGTGTTCCTCTAGACTTGGGACCGTGTTCTCGGGGCATCTCTGGAGTTGCCTGAAGGAAGTCGAGAAACCGGTCGTGTTGAATGGGGAACGGGGAATGGCTCTGGAGTCAATGCAGCGGAATCGGGCCTCATCTCGAGTTGATTTGGGGGACATGGAGCTGCTTTGCGTTGCTGGGGTGACCTCAGGGTCCGTCTAGACTGGTGACAGTGTTCTTGGGGACTGTCTCGAGATCCATTAAGCCTGTCGAAGCTCCTGACTTGTTTGAATGGGATCACGGAATAGCTCTGCATGCACTGCAGGGGAATGGGGCCTCATCTCGCCACTTGGGGGATGTCTCATGATTTTTCTCGAGTTGCGGCGGGGACCTGGGGTATGTCCTCGACTTACGGCGGGCATGGCCCTTCAAAACACGAGTTTCTTCAATGAGGTCAGGACTCCTGTCTAGTAACGAGGGACACCTCAGGAATCCCTTCGAGGCTTGACAGGGCAAAAGGGGCGCTTCTCGAGGTGAGGCAGGGCACCAAAGGACCCTTTCCAGTAGCCACAGTGATTTTGGGATTCCTATCAGTATTCAAGAGGAGTCAGGCATCTTCACCTTTTGAAGCAATGAACTCCGCGTGCCTCTCGAGATGTCAGCAGGATGTGAGGCATTTGTCAAAATGAGGCAGGGACCTAGGGCTTTCTCTAAGGTCTCCACAGGGGATTCAGACATCCCTTCATGTTGTGAGATGAAAGACAAGTCTGTATTCAAGCCACTGCAAGGAAATCCGTCCTCCTTTCAATTTAGGGCTTCTCGCGGTATATTCCCCTTGAGGCAGCAAACTCGGGGTCCCTCCCACATAACTATTGCTGAGAGAAGCCTCCTCCTGAGGTGCTTCTGGAAAATTGGCATACGTCTTGAGCCTAAGCCAGGGAATCAGCTCTCATCTCGAGACGATTTGGGGTACACGGAGCATTCTTCGAGTTGCTGTGCTGAAGTTGGTGTTCCTGTAGACTTGGGACACTGTTCTCGGGGCATCTCTGGAGTTGCCTGAAGGAAGTCGAGCCACCGGTCATGTTGAATGGTGAACGGGGAATGGCTCTGGCGTCAATGCAGGGGAATCGGGCCTCATCTTGAGTTGATTTGGGGCACATGGAGCTGCTTTGCGTTGCTGGGGTGAACTCAGGGTCCGTCTAGACTGTTGACAGTGTTCTTGGGGACTGTCCCGAGATCCATTAAGCAAGTCGAAGCTCCTGACTTGTTTGAATGGGATCACGGAATAGCTCTGCATGCACTGCAGGGGAATGGGGCCTCATCTCGCCTCTAGGGGGAAGTCTCATGGTTTTTCTCGAGTTGCGGCGGGGACCTGGGGTATGTTCTCGACTTACGGCGGGGATGGCCCTTCAAAACACGAGTTTCTTCAGTGACGTCAGGACTCCTGTCTAGTAACGAGGGACACCTCAGGAATCTCTACGAGGCTTGGCAGGGCAAAAGGGACGCTTCTCGAGGTGAGGCCGGGCACCCAAGGACCCTTTCCAGTAGCCACAGGGATTTTGGGATTCCTATCAGTATTCAAGAGGAGTCAGGCATCGTCACCTTTAGAAGCAATGAACTCCGCGTGACTCTCGCGGTGTCAGCGGGATGTGAGGCATTTGTCAAAATGAGGCAGGGACCTAGGGCTTTCTCTAAGGTCTCCACAGGGGATTCAGACATCCCTTCATGTTGTGAGATGAAAGACGAGCCTGTATTCAAGCCACTGCAAGGAAATCCGTCCTCCTTTCTAGTTAGGGGTTCTCGCTGTATATTCCCCTTGAGGCAGCAAACTCGGGGTCCCTCCCACATACCTATTGCTAAGAGAAGCCTCCTCCTGAGGTGCTTCTGGAAAGTTGGCATACGTCTTGAGCCTAAGCCAGGGAATCACCTCTCATCTCGAGACGATATGGTGTACACGGATCATTCCTCGATTTACTGTGCTGAAGTTGGTGTTCCTCTACACTTGGGACAGTGTTCTCGGGGCAACTCTGAAGTTGCCTGAAGGAAGTCGAGTCACCGGTCGTGTTGAATGGGGTACGGGGAATCGCTCTGGAGTCAATGCAGGGGTATCGGGCCTCATCTCGAGTTGATTTGCGGCACATGGAGCTGCTTTGCATTGCTGGGGTGACCTCAGGGTCCGTCTAGCCTGGTGACAGTGTTCTTGGGGACTGTCTTGAGGTCCATTAAGCAAGTCGAATCTCCTGACTTGTTTCAATGGGATCACGGAATAGCTCTGCATGCACTGCAGGGGAATGGGGCCTCATCTCGCCTATAGGGGGAAGTCTCATGGTTTTTCTCGAGTTGCGGCGGGGACCTGGGGTATGTTCTCGACTTACGGCGGGGATGGCCCTTCAAAACACGAGTTTCTTCAGTGACGTCAGGACTCCTGTCTAGTAACGAGGGACACCTCAGGAATCTCTTCGAGGCTTGGCAGGGCAAAAGGGGCGCTTCTCGAGGTGAGGCAGGGCACCAAAGGACCCTTTCCAGTAGCCACAGTGATTTTGGGATTCCTATCAGTATTCAAGAGGAGTCAGGCATCGTCACCTTTAGAAGCAATGAACTCCGCGTGACTCTCGCGGTGTCAGCGGGATGTGAGGCATTTGTCAAAATGAGGCAGGGACCTAGGGCTTTCTCTAAGGTCTCCACAGGGGATTCAGACATCCCTTCATGTTGTGAGATGAAAGACAAGTCTGTATTCAAGCCACTGCAAGGAAATCCGTCCTCCTTTCAATTTAGGGCTTCTCGCTGTATATTCCCCTTGAGGCAGCAAACTCGGGGTCCCTTCCACATACCTATTGCTGAGAGAAGCCTCCTCCTGAGGTGCTTCTGGAAAGTTGGCATACGTCTTGAGCCTAAGCCAGGGAATCAGCTCTCATCTCGAGACGATTTAGGGTACACAGAGCATTCCTCGAGTTGCTGTTCTGAAGTTGGTGTTCCTCTAGACTTGGGACCGTGTTCTCGGGGCATCTCTGGAGTTGCCTGAAGGAAGTCGAGAAACCGGTCGTGTTGAATGGGGAACGGGGAATGGCTCTGGAGTCAATGCAGAGGAATCGGGCCTCATCTCGAGTTGATTTGGGGCACATGGAGCTGCTTTGCGTTGCTGGGGTGACCTCAGGGTCCGTCTAGACTGGTGACAGTGTTCTTGGGGACTGTCTCGAGATCCATTAAGCAAGTCGAAGCTCCTGACTTGTTTGAATGGGATCACGGAATAGCTCTGCATGCACTGCAGGGGAATGGGGCCTCATCTCGCCTCTAGGGGGAAGTCTCATGGTTTTTCTCGAGTTGCGGCGGGGACCTGGGGTATGTTCTCGACTTACGGCGGGGATGGCCCTTCAAAACACGAGTTTCTTCAGTGACGTCAGGACTCCTGTCTAGTAACGAGTGACACCTCAGGAATCTCTAAGAGGCTTGGCAGGGCAAAAGGGACGCTTCTCGAGGTGAGGCAGGCACCCAAGGACCCTTTCCCCTAGCCACAGGGATTTTGGGATTCCTATCAGTATTCAAGAGGAGTCAGGCATCGTCACCTTTTGAAGCAATGAATTCCGCGTGCCTCTCGAGGTGTCAGCGGGATGTGAGGCATTCCGTCAAAATGAGGCAGGGACCTAGGTTTTTCTCTAAGATCTCCACAGGGGATTCAGACATCCCTTCATGTTGTGAGATGAAAGACGAGCCTGTATTCAAGCCACTGCAAGGAAATCCGTCCTCCTTTCTAGTTAGGGCTTCTCGCTGTATATTCCCCTTGAGGCAGCAAACTCGGGGTCCCTCCCACATACCTATTGCTAAGAGAAGCCTCCTCCTGACGTGCTTCTGGAAAGTTGGCATACGTCTTGAGACTAAGCCAGGGAATCACCTCTCATCTCGAGACGATTTGGGGTACACGGATCATTCCTCGACTTGCTGTGCTGAAGTTGGTGTTCCTCTAGACTTGGGACAGCCTTCTCGGGGTAACTCTGGAGTTGCCTGAAGGAAGTCGAGCCACCGGTCGTGTTGAATGGGGAACGGGGAATGGCTCTGGAGTCAATGCAGGGGAATCGGGCCTCATCTCGAGTTGATTTGGGGCACATGGAGCTGCTTTCCGTTGCTGGGGTGACCTCAGGGTCCGTCTAGACTGGTGACAGTGTTCTTGGGGACTGTCTTGAGGTCCATTAAGCAAGTCGAAGCTCCTGAATTGTTTGAATGGGATCACGGAATAGCTCTGCATGCTCTGCAGGGGAATGGGGCCTCATCTGGCATCTAGGGGGAAGTCTCATGGTTTTTCTCGAGTTGCGGCGGGGACCTGGGGTATGTTCTCGACTTACGTCGGGGATGGCCCTTCAAAACACGAGTTTCTTCAGTGACGTCAGGACTCCTGTCTAGTAACGAGGGACACCTCAGGAATCTCTTCGAGGCTTGGCAGGGCAAAAGGGACGCTACCCGAGGTGAGGCAGGGTACCCACGGACCCTTTCCAGTAGCCACAGCGATTTTGGGATTCCTATCAGTATTCAAGAGGAGTCAGGCATCGTCACCTTTTGAAGCAGTGAACTCCGCGTGCCTCTCGAGGTGTCAGCGGGATGTGAGGCATTCCGTCAAAATGATGCAGGGACTTAGGGTTTTCTCTAAGGTCTCCACAGGGGATTCAGACATCCCTTCATGTTGTGAGATGAAAGACGGGCCTGTATTCAAGCCATTGCAAGGAAATCCGGCCTCCTTTCATGTCAGGGCTTCTCGCGGTATATTCCCCTTGAGGCAGCAAACTCGGGGTCCCTCCCACATACCTATTGCTGAGAGAAGCCTCCTCCTGAGGTGCTTCTGGAAAGTTGGCATACGTCTTGAGCCTACGCCAGGGAATCAGCTCTCATCTCGAGACGATTTGGGGTGCACGGAGCATTCCTCGAGTGGCTGTGCTGAAGTTTGTGTTCCTCTAGACTTGGGACAGTGTTCTCGGGGCATCTCTGGAGTTGCCTGAAGGAAGTCGAGCCACCGGTTGTGTTGAATGTGGAACAGGGAATGGCTCTGGAGTCAATGCAGGGCAATCGGGCCTCATCTCGAGTTGATTTGGGGCACATGGAGCTGCTTTGCGTTGCTGGCGTGACCTCAGGTTCCGTCTAGACTGGTGACAGTGTTCTTGGGGACTGTCTCGAGATCCATTAAGTAAGTCGAAGCTCCTGACTAGTTTGAATGGGATCACGGAATAGCTCTGCATGCACTGCTGGGGAATGGGGCCTCATCTCGCCTCTAGGGGGAAGTCTCATGGTTTTTCTCTAGTTGCTGCGGGGACCTGGGGTATGTTCTCGACTTACGGCGGGGATGGCCCTTCAAAACACGAGTTTCTTCAGTGACGTCAGGACTCCTGTCTAGTAACGAGGGACACCTCAGGAATCTCTTCGAGGCTTGGCAGGGGAAAAGGGACGCTTCTCGAGTTGAGGCAGGGCAGCCAAGGACCCTTTCCCATAGCCACAGGGATTTTGGGATTCCTATCAGTATTCAAGAGGAGTCAGGCATCGTCACCTTTTGAAGCAATGAACTCCGCGTGCCTCTCGAGGTGTCAGCGGGATGTGAGGCATTTGTCAAAATGAGGCAGGGACCTAGGGCTTTCTCTAAGGTCTCCACAGGGGATTCAGACATCCCTTCAGGTTGTGAGATGAAAGACGAGCCTGTATTCAAGCCACTGCAAGGAAATCCGGCCTCCTTTCAAGTTAGGGCTTCTCGCTGTGTATTCCCCTTGAGGCAGCAAACTCGGGGTCCCTCCCACATACCTATTACTGAGAGAAGCCTCCTCCGGAGGTGCTTTTGGAAAGTTGGCATACGTCTTGAGCCTAAGCCAGGGAATCAGCTCTCATCTCGAGAGGATTTAGGGTACACGGATCATTCCTCTAGTTGCTGTGCTGAAGTTGGTGTTCCTCTAGACTTGGGACCGTGTTCTCGGGGCATCTCTGGAGTTGCCTGAAGGAAGTCGAGAAACCGGTCGTGTTGAATGGCGAACGGGGAATGGCTCTGGAGTCAATGCAGCGGAATCGGGCCTCATCTCGAGTTGATTTGGGGGACATGGAGCTGCTTTGCGTTGCTGGGGTGACCTCAGGGTCCGTCTAGACTGGTGACAGTGTTCTTGGGGACTGTCTCGAGATCCATTAAGCCTGTCGAAGCTCCTGACTTGTTTGAATGGGATCACGGAATAGCTCTGCATGCACTGCAGGGGAATGGGGCCTCATCTCGCCACTTGGGGGATGTCTCATGATTTTTCTCGAGTTGCGGCGGGGACCTGGGGTATGTCCTCGACTTACGGCGGGGATGGCCCTTCAAAACACGAGTTTCTTCAATGAGGTCAGGACTCCTGTCTAGTAACGAGGGACACCTCAGGAATCCCTTCGAGGCTTGGCAGGGCAAAAGGGACGCTTCTCGAGGTGAGGCAGGGCACCAAAGGACCCTTTCCAGTAGCCACAGTGATTTTGGGATTCCTATCAGTATTCAAGAGGAGTCAGGCATCTTCACCTTTTGAAGCAATGAACTCCGCGTGCCTCTCGAGATGTCTGCAGGATGTGAGGCATTTGTCAAAATGAGGCAGGGACCTAGGGCTTTCTCTAAGGTCTCCACAGGGGATTCAGACATCCCTTCATGTTGTGAGATGAAAGACAAGTCTGTATTCAAGCCACTGCAAGGAAATCCGTCCTCCTTTCAATTTAGGGCTTCTCGCGGTATATTCCCCTTGAGGCAGCAAACTCGGGGTCCCTCCCACATAACTATTGCTGAGAGAAGCCTCCTCCTGAGGTGCTTCTGGAAAATTGGCATACGTCTTGAGCCTAAGCCAGGGAATCAGCTCTCATCTCGAGACGATTTGGGGTACACGGAGCATTCTTCGAGTTACTGTGCTGAAGTTGGTGTTCCTGTAGACTTGGGACACTGTTCTCGGGGCATCTCTGGAGTTGCCTGAAGGAAGTCGAGCCACCGGTCGTGTTGAATGGGGAACGGGGAATGGCTCTGGCGTCAATGCAGGGGAATCGGGCCTCATCTCGAGTTGATTTGGGGCACATGGAGCTGCTTTGCGTTGCTGGGGTGAACTCAGGGTCCGTCTAGACTGTTGACAGTGTTCTTGGGGACTGTCCCGAGATCCATTAAGCAAGTCGAAGCTCCTGACTTGTTTGAATGGGATCACGGAATAGCTCTGCATGCACTGCAGGGGAATGGGGCCTCATCTCGCCTCTAGGGGGAAGTCTCATGGTTTTTCTCGAGTTGCGGCGGGGACCTGGGGTATGTTCTCGACTTACGGCGGGGATGGCCCTTCAAAACACGCTTTTCTTCAGTGACGTCAGGACTCCTGTCTAGTAACGAGGGACACCTCAGGAATCTCTACGAGGCTTGGCAGGGCAAAAGGGACGCTTCTCGAGGTGAGGCCGGGCACCCAAGGACCCTTTCCAGTAGCCACAGGGATTTTGGGATTCCTATCAGTATTCAAGAGGAGTCAGGCATCGTCACCTTTAGAAGCAATGAACTCCGCGTGACTCTCGCGGTGTCAGCGGGATGTGAGGCATTTGTCAAAATGAGGCAGGGACCTAGGGCTTTCTCTAAGGTCTCCACAGGGGATTCAGACATCCCTTCATGTTGTGAGATGAAAGACGAGCCTGTATTCAAGCCATTGCAAGGAATTCCGTCCTCCTTTCTAGTTAGGGCTTCTCGCTGTATATTCCCCTTGAGGCAGCAAACTCGGGGTCCCTCCCACATACCTATTGCTAAGAGAAGCCTCCTCCTGAGGTGCTTCTGGAAAGTTGGCATACGTCTTGAGACTAAGCCAGGGAATCACCTCTCATCTCGAGACGATTTGGGGTACACGGATCATTCCTCGACTTGCTCTGCTGAAGTTGGTGTTCCTCTAGACTTGGGACAGCCTTCTCGGGGTAACTCTGGAGTTGCCTGAAGGTAGTCGAGCCACCGGTCGTGTTGAATGGGGAACGGGGAATCGCTCTGGAGTCAATGCAGGGGTATCGGGCCTCATCTCGAGTTGATTTGGGGCACATGGAGCTGCTTTGCGTTGCTGGGGTGACCTCAGGGTCCGTCTAGACTGGTGACAGTGTTCTTGGGGACTGTCTTGAGGTCCATTAAGCAAGTCGAAGCTCCTGATTTGTTTGAATGGGATCACGGAATAGCTCTGCATGCCCTGCAGGGGAATGGGGCCTCATCTGGCATCTAGGGGGAAGTCTCATGGTTTTTCTCGAGTTGCGGCGGGGACCTGGGGTATGTTCTCGACTTACGGCGGGGATGGCCCTTCAAAACACGAGTGTCTTCAGTGACGTCAGGACTCCTGTCTAGTAACGAGGGCCACCTCAGGAATCTCTAAGAGGCTTGGCAGGGCAAAAGGGACGCTTCCCGAGGTGAGGCAGGGTTCCCACGGACCCTTTCCAGTAGCCACAGCGATTTTGGGATTCCTATCAGTATTCAAGAGGAGTCAGGCATCGTCACCTTTTGAAGCAGTGAACTCCGCGTGCCTCTCGAGGTGTCAGCGGGATGTGAGGCATTCCGTCAAAATGCTGCAGGGACGTAGGGTTTTCTCTAAGGTCTCCACAGGGGATTCAGACATCCCTTCATGTTGTGAGATGAAAGACGGGCCTGTATTCAAGCCACTGCAAGGAAATCCGGCCTCCTTTCATGTCAGGGCTTCTCGCGGTATATTCCCCTTGAGGCAGCAAACTCGGGGTCCCTCCCACATACCTATTGCTGAGAGAAGCCTCCTCCTGAGATGCTTCTGGAAAGTTGGCATACGTCTTGAGCCTACGCCAGGGAATCAGCTCTCATCTCGAGACGATTTGGGGTGCACGGAGCATTCCTCGAGTGGCTGTGCTGAAGTTGGTGTTCCTCTAGACTTGGGACAGTGTTCTCGGGGCAACTCTGGAGTTGCCTGAAGGAAGTCGAGCCACCGGTTGTGTTGAATGTGGAACGGGGAATGGCTCTGGAGTCAATGCAGGGCAATCGGGCCTCATCTCGAGTTGATTTGGGGCACATGGAGCTGCTTTGCGTTGCTGGCGTGACCTCAGGTTCCGTCTAGACTGGTGACAGTGTTCTTGGGGACTGTCTCGAGATCCATTAAGCAAGTCGAAGCTCCTGACTTGTTTGAATGGGATCACGGAATAGCTCTGCATGCACTGCTGGGGAATGGGGCCTCATCTCGCCTCTAGGGGGAAGTCTCATGGTTTTTCTCGAGTTGCGGCGGGGACCTGGGGTATGTTCTCGACTTAGGGCGGGGATGGCCCTTCAAAACACGAGTTTCTTCAGTGACGTCAGGACTCCTGTCTAGTAACGAGGGACACCTCAGGAATCTCTTCGAGGCTTGGCAGGGGAAAAGGGACGCTTCTCGAGTTGAGGCAGGGCAGCCAAGGACCCTTTCCCATAGCCACAGGGATTTTGGGATTCCTATCAGTATTCAAGAGGAGTCAGGCATCGTCACCTTTTGAAGCAATGAACTCCGCGTGCCTCTCGAGGTGTCAGCGGGATGTGAGGCATTTGTCAAAATGAGGCAGGGACCTAGGGCTTTCTCTAAGGTCTCCACAGGGGATTCAGACATCCCTTCAGGTTGTGAGATGAAAGACGAGCCTGTATTCAAGCCACTGCAAGGAAATCCGGCCTCCTTTCAAGTTAGGGCTTCTCGCTGTGTATTCCCCTTGAGGCAGCAAACTCGGGGTCCCTCCCACATACCTATTACTGAGAGAAGCCTCCTCCGGAGGTGCTTTTGGAAAGTTGGCATACGTCTTGAGCCTAAGCCAGGGAATCAGCTCTCATCTCGAGAGGATTTAGGGTACACGGATCATTCCTCTAGTTGCTGTGCTGAAGTTGGTGTTCCTCTAGACTTGGGACCGTGTTCTCGGGGCATCTCTGGAGTTGCCTGAAGGAAGTCGAGAAACCGGTCGTGTTGAATGGGGAACGGGGAATGGCTCTGGAGTCAATGCAGCGGAATCGGGCCTCATCTCGAGTTGATTTGGGGGACATGGAGCTGCTTTGCGTTGCTGGGGTGACCTCAGGGTCCGTCTAGACTGGTGACAGTGTTCTTGGGGACTGTCTCGAGATCCATTAAGCCTGTCGAAGCTCCTGACTTGTTTGAATGGGATCACGGAATAGCTCTGCATGCACTGCAGGGGAATGGGGCCTCATCTCGCCACTTGGGGGATGTCTCATGATTTTTCTCGAGTTGCGGCGGGGACCTGGGGTATGTCCTCGACTTACGGCGAGGATGGCCCTTCAAAACACGAGTTTCTTCAATGAGGTCAGGACTCCTGTCTAGTAACGAGGGACACCTCAGGAATCCCTTCGAGGCTTGGCAGGGCAAAAGGGGCGCTTCTCGAGGTGAGGCAGGGCACCAAAGGACCCTTTCCAGTAGCCACAGTGATTTTGGGATTCCTATCAGTATTCAAGAGGAGTCAGGCATCTTCACCTTTTGAAGCAATGAACTCCGCGTGCCTCTCGAGATGTCAGCAGGATGTGAGGCATTTGTCAAAATGAGGCAGGGACCTAGGGCTTTCTCTAAGGTCTCCACAGGGGATTCAGACATCCCTTCATGTTGTGAGATGAAAGACAAGTCTGTATTCAAGCCACTGCAAGGAAATCCGTCCTCCTTTCAATTTAGGGCTTCTCGCGGTATATTCCCCTTGAGGCAGCAAACTCGGGGTCCCTCCCACATAACTATTGCTGAGAGAAGCCTCCTCCTGAGGTGCTTCTGGAAAATTGGCATACGTCTTGAGCCTAAGCCACGGAATCAGCTCTCATCTCGAGACGATTTGGGGTACACGGAGCATTCTTCGAGTTGCTGTGCTGAAGTTGGTGTTCCTGTAGACTTGGGACACTGTTCTCGGGGCATCTCTGGAGTTGCCTGAAGGAAGTCGAGCCACCGGTCATGTTGAATGGTGAACGGGGAATGGCTCTGGCGTCAATGCAGGGGAATCGGGCCTCATCTCGAGTTGATTTGGGGCACATGGAGCTGCTTTGCGTTGCTGGGGTGAACTCAGGGTCCGTCTAGACTGTTGACAGTGTTCTTGGGGACTGTCCCGAGATCCATTAAGCAAGTCGAAGCTCCTGACTTGTTTGAATGGGATCACGGAATAGCTCTGCATGCACTGCAGGGGAATGGGGCCTCATCTCGCCTCTAGGGGGAAGTCTCATGGTTTTTCTCGAGTTGCGGCGGGGACCTGGGGTATGTTCTCGACTTACGGCGGGGATGGCCCTTCAAAACACGAGTTTCTTCAGTGACGTCAGGACTCCTGTCTAGTAACGAGGGACACCTCAGGAATCTCTACGAGGCTTGGCAGGGCAAAAGGGACGCTTCTCGAGGTGAGGCCGGGCACCCAAGGACCCTTTCCAGTAGCCACAGGGATTTTGGGATTCCTATCAGTATTCAAGAGGAGTCAGGCATCGTCACCTTTAGAAGCAATGAACTCCGCGTGACTCTCGCGGTGTCAGCGGGATGTGAGGCATTTGTCAAAATGAGGCAGGGACCTAGGGCTTTCTCTAAGGTCTCCACAGGGGATTCAGACATCCCTTCATGTTGTGAGATGAAAGACGAGCCTGTATTCAAGCCACTGCAAGGAAATCCGTCCTCCTTTCTAGTTAGGGGTTCTCGCTGTATATTCCCCTTGAGGCAGCAAACTCGGGGTCCCTCCCACATACCTATTGCTAAGAGAAGCCTCCTCCTGAGGTGCTTCTGGAAAGTTGGCATACGTCTTGAGCCTAAGCCAGGGAATCACCTCTCATCTCGAGACGATATGGTGTACACGGATCATTCCTCGATTTACTGTGCTGAAGTTGGTGTTCCTCTACACTTGGGACAGTGTTCTCGGGGCAACTCTGAAGTTGCCTGAAGGAAGTCGAGTCACCGGTCGTGTTGAATGGGGTACGGGGAATCGCTCTGGAGTCAATGCAGGGGTATCGGGCCTCATCTCGAGTTGATTTGCGGCACATGGAGCTGCTTTGCATTGCTGGGGTGACCTCAGGGTCCGTCTAGCCTGGTGACAGTGTTCTTGGGGACTGTCTTGAGGTCCATTAAGCAAGTCGAATCTCCTGACTTGTTTCAATGGGATCACGGAATAGCTCTGCATGCACTGCAGGGGAATGGGGCCTCATCTCGCCTATAGGGGGAAGTCTCATGGTTTTTCTCGAGTTGCGGCGGGGACCTGGGGTATGTTCTCGACTTACGGCGGGGATGGCCCTTCAAAACACGAGTTTCTTCAGTGACGTCAGGACTCCTGTCTAGTAACGAGGGACACCTCAGGAATCTCTTCGAGGCTTGGCAGGGCAAAAGGGGCGCTTCTCGAGGTGAGGCAGGGCACCAAAGGACCCTTTCCAGTAGCCACAGTGATTTTGGGATTCCTATCAGTATTCAAGAGGAGTCAGGCATCGTCACCTTTAGAAGCAATGAACTCCGCGTGACTCTCGCGGTGTCAGCGGGATGTGAGGCATTTGTCAAAATGAGGCAGGGACCTAGGGCTTTCTCTAAGGTCTCCACAGGGGATTCAGACATCCCTTCATGTTGTGAGATGAAAGACAAGTCTGTATTCAAGCCACTGCAAGGAAATCCGTCCTCCTTTCAATTTAGGGCTTCTCGCTGTATATTCCCCTTGAGGCAGCAAACTCGGGGTCCCTTCCACATACCTATTGCTGAGAGAAGCCTCCTCCTGAGGTGCTTCTGGAAAGTTGGCATACGTCTTGAGCCTAAGCCAGGGAATCAGCTCTCATCTCGAGACGATTTAGGGTACACAGAGCATTCCTCGAGTTGCTGTTCTGAAGTTGGTGTTCCTCTAGACTTGGGACCGTGTTCTCGGGGCATCTCTGGAGTTGCCTGAAGGAAGTCGAGAAACCGGTCGTGTTGAATGGGGAACGGGGAATGGCTCTGGAGTCAATGCAGAGGAATCGGGCCTCATCTCGAGTTGATTTGGGGCACATGGAGCTGCTTTGCGTTGCTGGGGTGACCTCAGGGTCCGTCTAGACTGGTGACAGTGTTCTTGGGGACTGTCTCGAGATCCATTAAGCAAGTCGAAGCTCCTGACTTGTTTGAATGGGATCACGGAATAGCTCTGCATGCACTGCAGGGGAATGGGGCCTCATCTCGCCTCTAGGGGGAAGTCTCATGGTTTTTCTCGAGTTGCGGCGGGGACCTGGGGTATGTTCTCGACTTACGGCGGGGATGGCCCTTCAAAACACGAGTTTCTTCAGTGACGTCAGGACTCCTGTCTAGTAACGAGTGACACCTCAGGAATCTCTAAGAGGCTTGGCAGGGCAAAAGGGACGCTTCTCGAGGTGAGGCAGGCACCCAAGGACCCTTTCCCCTAGCCACAGGGATTTTGGGATTCCTATCAGTATTCAAGAGGAGTCAGGCATCGTCACCTTTTGAAGCAATGAATTCCGCGTGCCTCTCGAGGTGTCAGCGGGATGTGAGGCATTCCGTCAAAATGAGGCAGGGACCTAGGTTTTTCTCTAAGATCTCCACAGGGGATTCAGACATCCCTTCATGTTGTGAGATGAAAGCCGAGCCTGTATTCAAGCCACTGCAAGGAAATCCGGCCTCCTTTCAAGTTAGGGCTTCTCGCTGTATATTCCCCTTGAGGCAGCAAACTCGGGGTCCCTCCCACATACCTATTGCTGAGAGAAGCCTCCTCCTGATGTGCTTCTGGAAAGTTGGCATACATCTTGAGCCTAATCCAGGGAATCAGCTCTCATCTCGAGACGATTTGGGGTACACAGAGCATTCCTCGAGTTGCTGTGCTAAAGTTGGTGTTCCTCTAGACTTGGGACAGTGTTCTCGGGGCATCTCTGGAGATGCCTGAAGGAAGTCGAGCCACCGGTCGTGTTGAATGGGGAATGGGTAATGGCTCTGGATTCAATGCAGGGGAATCGGGCCTCATCTCGAGTTGATTTGGGGCACATGCAGCTGCTTTGCATTGCTGGGGTGACCTCAGGGTCCGTCTAGACTGGTGACAGTGTTCTTGGGGCTGTCTCGAGATCCATTAAGCAAGTCGAAGCTCCTGACTTGTTTGAATGGGACCACGGAATAGCTCTGCATGCACTGCAGGGGAATGGGGCCTCATCTCGCCTCTAGGGGGAAATCTCATGGTTTTTCTCGAGTTGCGGCGGGGACCTGGTGTATGTTCTGGACTTACCGGGGGGATGGCCCTTCAAAACACGAGTTTCTTCAGTGACCTCAGGACTCCTGTCTAGTAACGAGGGACACCTCAGGAATCTCTTCGAGGCTTGGCAGGGCAAAAGGGACGCTTCTCGAGGTGAGGCAGGGCACCCAAGGACCCTTTCCCGTAGCCACAGGGATTTTGGGATTCCTATCAGTATTCAAGAGGAGTCAGGCATCCTCACCTTTTGAAGCAATGAACTCCGCGTGCCTCTCGAGGTGTCAGCGGGATGTGAGGCATTCCGTCAAAATGAGGCAGGGACCTAGGGCTTTCCCTAAGGTCTCCACAGGGGATTCAGACATCCCTTCATGTTGTGAGATGAAAGACGAGCCTGTATTCAAGCCACTGCAAGGAAATCCGGCCTCCTTTCAAGTTAGGGCTTCTCGCTGTATATTCCCCTTGAGGCAGCAAACTCGGGGTCCCTCCCACATAGCTATTGCTGAGAGAATGCTCCTCCTGAGGTGCTTCTGGAAAGTTGGCATAAGTCTTGAGGCTAAGTCAGGGAATCAGCTCTCATCTCGAGAGGATTTAGGGTACACGGAGCATTCCTCGAGTTGCTGTGCTGAAGTTGGTGTTCCTCTAGACTTGGGACCGTGTTCTCGGGGCATCTCTGGAGTTGCCTGAAGGAAGTCGAGCCACCGGTCGTGATGAATGGGGAACGGGTAATCGCTCTGGAGTCAATGCAGGTGTATCGGGCCTCATCTCGAGTTGATTTGCGGCACATGGAGCTGCTTTGCGTTGCTGGGGTGACCTCAGGGTCCGTCTAGACTGGTGACAGTGTTCTTGGGGACTGTCTCGAGATCCATTAAGCAAGTCGAAGTTCCTGACTTGTTTGAATGGGATCACGGAATAGCTCTGCATGAACTGCAGGGGAATGGGGCCTCATCTCGCCTCTAGGGGGAAGTCTCATGGTTTTTCTCGAGTTGCGGCGGGGACCTGGGGTATGTTCTCGACTTATGGCGGGGATGGCCCTTCAAAACACGAGTTTGTTCAGTGACGTCAGGACTCCTGTCTAGTAACGAGAGACACCTCAGGAATCTCTTCGAGGCTTGGCAGGGCAAAAGGGACGCTTCTCGAGATGAGACAGGGCACCCAAGGACCCTTTCCAGTAGCCACGGGGATTTTGGGATTCCTATCAGTATTTAAGAGGAGTCAGGCATCGTCACCTTTTGAAGCAATGAACTCCGCGTGCCTCTCGATGTATCAGCGGGATGTGAGGCATTCCGTCAAAATGAGGCAGGGACCTAGGGCTTTCTCTAAGGTCTCCACAGGTGATTCAGACATCCCTTCATGTTGTGAGATGAAAGACAAGCCTGTATTCAATCCACTGCAAGGAAATCCGGCCTCCTTTCATGTTAGGGCTTCTCGCTGTATATTCCCCTTGAGGCAGCAAACTCGGGGTCCTTCCCACATACCTATTGCTGAGAGAAGCCTCCTCCTGAGATGCTTCTGGAAAGTTGGCATACGTCTTGAGCCTAAGCCAGGGAATCAGCTCTCATCTCGAGACGATTTGGGGTACACGGAGCATTCCTCGAGTTGCTGTGCTGAAGTTGGTGTTCCTCTAGACTTGGGACCGTGTTCTCGGGGCATCTCTGGAGTTGCCTGAAGGAAGTCGAGCCACCGGTCTTGTTGAATGGGGAATGGGGAATGGCTCTCGAGTCAATGCAGGGGAATCGGGCCTCATCTCGAGTTGATTTGGGGCACATGGAGCTGCTTTGCGTTGCTAGGGTGACCTCAGGTTCCGTCTAGACTGGTGACAGTGTTCTTGGGGACTGTCTCGAGATCCATTAAGCAAGTCGAAGCTCCTGACTTGTTTGAATGGGATCACGGAATAGCTCTGCATGCACTGCAGGGGAATGGGGCCTCATCTCGCCTCTAGGGGGATGTCTCATGGTTTTTCTCGAGTTGCGGCGGGGACCTGGGGTATGTTCTCGACTTAGGGCGGGGATGGCCCTTCAAAACACGAGTTTCTTCAGTGACGTCAGGACTCCTGTCTAGTAACGAGGGACACCTCAGGAATCTCTTCGAGGCTTGGCAGGGCAAAAGGGACGCTTCTCGAGATGAGTCTGGGCACCCAAGGACCCTTTCCAGTAGCCACAGGGATTTTGGGATTCCTATCAGTATTCAAGAGGAGGCAGGCATCGTCACCTTTTGAAGCAATGAACTCCGCGTGCCTCTCGAGGTGTCAGCAGGATGTGAGGCATTTGTCAAAATGAGGCATGGACCTAGGGCTTTCTCTAAAGTCTCCACTGGGGATTCAGACATCCCTTCATGTTGTGAGATGAAAGACGAGCCTGTATTCAAGTCACTGTAAGGAAATCCGGCCTCTTTTCAAGTTAGGGCTTCTCGCTGTATATTCCCCTTGAGGCAGCAAACTCGGGGTCCTTCCCACATATCTATTGCTGAGAGAATCCTCCTCCTGAGGTGTTTCTGGAAAGTTGGAATACGTCTTGAGCCTAAGCCAGGGAATCAGCTCTCATCTCGAGACGATTTGGGGTACACGGAGCATTCCTCGAGTTGCTGTGCTGAAGTTGGTGTTCCTCTAGACTTGGGACCGTGTTCTCGGGGCATCTCTGGAGTTGCCAGAAGGAAGTCGAGCCACCGGTCGTGTTGAATGTGGAACGGCGAATGGCTCTGGAGTCAATGCAGGGGAATCGGGCGTCATCTCGAGTTGATTTGGGGCACATGGAGCTGCTTTGCATTGCTGGGTTACCTCAGGGTCCGTCTAGACTGGTGACAGTGTTCTTGGGGACTGTCTCGAGATCCATTAAGCAAGTCGAAGCTCCTGACTTGTTTGAATGGGATCCCGGAATAGCTCTGCATGCACTGCAGGGGACTGGGGCCTCATCTCGCCTCTAGGGGGAAGTCTCATGGTTTTTCTCGAGTTGCGGCGGGGACCTGGGGTATGTTCTCGACTTACGGCGGGGATGGCCCTTCAAAACACGAGTTTCTTCAGTGACGTCAGGACTCCTGACAAGTAACGAGGGACACCTCAGGAATCTCTTCGAGGCTTGGCAGGGCAAAAGGGACGCTTCTCGAGTTGAGGCAGGGTACCCAAGGACCCTTTCCATTAGCCACAGCGATTTTGGGATTCCTATCAGTATTCAAGAGGAGTCAGGCATCGTCACCTTTTGAAGCAGTGAACTCCGCGTGCCTCTCGAGGTGTCAGCCTGATGTGAGGCATTCCGTCAAAATGAGGCAGGGACCTAGGGCTTTCTCTAAGGTCTCCACAGGGGATTCAGACATCCCTTCATGTTGTGAGATGAAAGACGAGCCTGTATTCAAGCCACTGCAAGGAAATCCGGCCTCCTTTCAAGTTAGGGCTTCTCGCTGTATATTCCCCTTGAGGCAGCAAACTCGGGGTCCCTTCCACATACCTATTGCTGAGAGAAGCCTCCTCCTGAGGTGCTTCTGGAAAGTTGGCATACGTCTTGAGCCTAAGCCAGGGAATCAGCTCTCATCTCGAGACGATTTGGGGTACACGGAGCATTCCTCGAGTTGCTGTGCTGAAGTTGGTGTTCCTCTAGACTTGGGAGAGTGTTCTCGGGGCATCTCTGGAGTTGCCTGAAGGAAGTCGAGCCACCGGTCGTGTTGAATGGGGAACGGGGATGGCTCTGGAGTCAATGCAGGGGAATCGGGCCTCATCTCGAGTTGATTTCGGGCACATGGAGCTGCTTTGCGTTGCTGGGGTGACCTCAGGGTCCGTCTAGACTGGTGACAGTGTTCTTGGGGACTGTCTCGAGATCCATTAAGCAAGTCGAAGCTCCTGACTTGTTTGAATGGGATCACGGAATAGCTCTGCATGCACTGCAGGGGAATGGGGCCTCATCTCGCCTCTAGGGGGAAGTCTCATGGTTTTTCTCGAGTTGCGGTGTGGACCTGGGGTATGTTCTCGACTTACGGTGGGGATGGCCCTTCAAAACACGAGTTTCTTCAGTGACGTCAGGACTCCTGTCTAGTAACGAGGGACACCTCAGGAATCTCTTCGAGGCTTGGCAGGGCAAAAGGAACGCTTCTCGAGGTGAGGCAGGGCACCCAAGGACCCTTTCCCCTAGCCACAGGGATTTTGGGATTCCTATCAGTATTCAAGGTGAGTCAGGCATCGTCACCTTTTGAAGCAATGAACTCCGCGTGCCTCTTGAGGTGTCAGCGGGATGTGAGGCATTCCATCAAAATGAGGCAGGGACCTAGGGTTTTCTCTAAGGTCTCCACAGGGGATTCAGACATCCCTTCATGTTGTGAGATGAAAGACGAGCCTGTATTCAAGCCACTGCAAGGAAATCCGGCCTCCTTTCAAGTTAGGGCTTCTCGCTGTATATTCCCCTTGAGGCAGCAAACTCGGGGTCCCGCCCACATAGCTATTGCTGAGAGAAGCCTCCTCCTGAGGTGCTTCTGGAAAGTTGGCATACGTCTTGAGCCTAAGCCAGGGAATCAGCTCTCATCTCGAGACGATTTGGGGTACACGGAGCATTCCTCGAGTTGCTGTGCTGAAGTTGGTGTTCCTCTAGACTTGGGACAGTGTTCTCGGGGCATCTCGGGAGTTGCCTGAAGGAAGTCAAGCCACCGGTCGTGTTGAATGGGGAACGGGGAATGGCTCTGGAGTCAATGCAGGGGAATCGGGCCTCATCTCGAGTTGATTTGGGGCACATGGAGCTGCTTTGCGTTGCTGGGGTGACCTCAGTGTCCGTCTAGACTGGTGACAGTGTTCTTGGGGACTGTCTCGAGATCCATTAAGCAAGTCGAAGCTCCTGACTTGTTTGAATGGGATCACGGAATAGCTCTGCATGCACTGCAGGGGAATGGGGCCTCATCTCGCCTCTAGGGGGAAGTCTCATGGTTTTTCTCGAGTTGCGGCGGGGACCTGGGGCATGTTCTCGACTTACGGCGGGGATGGCCCTTCAAAACACGAGTTTCTTCAGTGACGTCAGGACTCCTGTCTAGTAACGAGGGACACCTCAGGAATCTCTTCGAGGCTTGGCAGGGCAAAAGGGACACTTCTCGAGGTGAGGCAGGGCACCCAAGGACCCTTTCCCGTAGCCACAGGGATTTTGGGATTCCTATCAGTATTCAAGAGGAGTCAGGCATCGTCACCTTTTGAAGCAATGAACTCCGCGTGCCTCTCGAGGTGTCAGCGGGATGTGAGGCATTCCGTCAAAATGAGGCAGGGACCTAGGGCTTTCTCTAAGGTCTCCACAGGGGATTCAGACATCCCTTCATGTTGTGAGATGAAAGACGAGCCTGTATTCAAGCCACTGCAAGGAAATCCGGCCTCCTTTCAAGTTAGGGCTTCTCGCTGTATATTCACCTTGAGGCAGCAAACTCGGGGTCCCTCCCACATACCTATTGCTGAGAGAAGCCTCCTCCTGAGGTGCTTCTGGAAAGTTGGCATACGTCTTGAGACTAAGCCAGGGAATCAGCTCTCATCTCGAGACGATTTGGGGTACACGGAGCATTCCTCGAGTTGCTGTGCTGAAGTTGGTGTTCCTCTAGACTTGGGAGAGTGTTCTCGGGGCATCTCTGGAGTTGCCTGAAGGAAGTCGAGCCACCGGTCGTGTTGAATGGGGAACGGGGATGGCTCTGGAGTCAATGCAGGGGAATCGGGCCTCATCTCGAGTTGATTTGGCGCACATGGAGCTGCTTTGCGTTGCTGCGGTGACCTCAGGGTCGGTCTAGACTGGTGACAGTGTTCTTGGGGACTGTCTCGAGATCCATTAAGCAAGTCGAAGCTCCTGACTTGTTTGAATGGGATCATGGGATAGCTCTGCATGCACTGCAGGGGAATGGGGCCTCATCTCGCCTCAAGGGGGAAGTCTCATGGTTTTTCTCGAGTTGAGGCGGGGACCTGGGGTATGTTCGCGCCTTACGGCGGGGATGGCCCTTCAAAACACGAGTTTCTGCAGTGACGTCAGGTCTCCTGTCTAGTAACGAGGGACACCTCAGGAATCTCTTCGAGGCTTGGCAGGGCAAAAGGGACGCTTCTCGAGGTGAGGCAGGGAACCCAAGGACCCTTTCCCGTAGCCACAGGGATTTTGGGATTCCTATCAGTATTCAAGAGGAGTCAGGCATCGTCACCTTTTGAAGCAATGAACTCCGCGTGCCTCTCGAGGTGTCAGCGGGATGTGAGGCATTCCGTCAAAATGAGGCAGGGACCTAGGTTTTTCTCTAAGATCTCCACAGGGGATTCAGACATCCCTTCATGTTGTGAGATGAAAGACGAGCCTGTATTCAAGCCACTGCAAGGAAATCCGGCCTCCTTTCAAGTTAGGGCTTCTCGCTGTATATTCCCCTTGAGGCAGCAAACTCGGGGTCCCTCCCACATACCTATTGCTGAGAGAAGCCTCCTCCTGATGTGCTTCTGGAAAGTTGGCATACATCTTGAGCCTAATCCAGGGAATCAGCTCTCATCTCGAGACGATTTGGGGTACACAGAGCATTCCTCGAGTTGCTGTGCTAAAGTTGGTGTTCCTCTAGACTTGGGACAGTGTTCTCGGGGCATCTCTGGAGATGCCTGAAGGAAGTCGAGCCACCGGTCGTGTTGAATGGGGAATGGGTAATGGCTCTGGATTCAATGCAGGGGAATCGGGCCTCATCTCGAGTTGATTTGGGGCACATGCAGCTGCTTTGCATTGCTGGGGTGACCTCAGGGTCCGTCTAGACTGGTGACAGTGTTCTTGGGGCTGTCTCGAGATCCATTAAGCAAGTCGAAGCTCCTGACTTGTTTGAATGGGACCACGGAATAGCTCTGCATGCACTGCAGGGGAATGGGGCCTCATCTCGCCTCTAGGGGGAAATCTCATGGTTTTTCTCGAGTTGCGGCGGGGACCTGGTGTATGTTCTGGACTTACCGGGGGGATGGCCCTTCAAAACACGAGTTTCTTCAGTGACCTCAGGACTCCTGTCTAGTAACGAGGGACACCTCAGGAATCTCTTCGAGGCTTGGCAGGGCAAAAGGGACGCTTCTCGAGGTGAGGCAGGGCACCCAAGGACCCTTTCCCGTAGCCACAGGGATTTTGGGATTCCTATCAGTATTCAAGAGGAGTCAGGCATCCTCACCTTTTGAAGCAATGAACTCCGCGTGCCTCTCGAGGTGTCAGCGGGATGTGAGGCATTCCGTCAAAATGAGGCAGGGACCTAGGGCTTTCCCTAAGGTCTCCACAGGGGATTCAGACATCCCTTCATGTTGTGAGATGAAAGACGAGCCTGTATTCAAGCCACTGCAAGGAAATCCGGCCTCCTTTCAAGTTAGGGCTTCTCGCTGTATATTCCCCTTGAGGCAGCAAACTCGGGGTCCCTCCCACATAGCTATTGCTGAGAGAATGCTCCTCCTGAGGTGCTTCTGGAAAGTTGGCATAAGTCTTGAGGCTAAGTCAGGGAATCAGCTCTCATCTCGAGAGGATTTAGGGTACACGGAGCATTCCTCGAGTTGCTGTGCTGAAGTTGGTGTTCCTCTAGACTTGGGACCGTGTTCTCGGGGCATCTCTGGAGTTGCCTGAAGGAAGTCGAGCCACCGGTCGTGATGAATGGGGAACGGGTAATCGCTCTGGAGTCAATGCAGGTGTATCGGGCCTCATCTCGAGTTGATTTGCGGCACATGGAGCTGCTTTGCGTTGCTGGGGTGACCTCAGGGTCCGTCTAGACTGGTGACAGTGTTCTTGGGGACTGTCTCGAGATCCATTAAGCAAGTCGAAGTTCCTGACTTGTTTGAATGGGATCACGGAATAGCTCTGCATGAACTGCAGGGGAATGGGGCCTCATCTCGCCTCTAGGGGGAAGTCTCATGGTTTTTCTCGAGTTGCGGCGGGGACCTGGGGTATGTTCTCGACTTATGGCGGGGATGGCCCTTCAAAACACGAGTTTGTTCAGTGACGTCAGGACTCCTGTCTAGTAACGAGAGACACCTCAGGAATCTCTTCGAGGCTTGGCAGGGCAAAAGGGACGCTTCTCGAGATGAGACAGGGCACCCAAGGACCCTTTCCAGTAGCCACGGGGATTTTGGGATTCCTATCAGTATTTAAGAGGAGTCAGGCATCGTCACCTTTTGAAGCAATGAACTCCGCGTGCCTCTCGATGTATCAGCGGGATGTGAGGCATTCCGTCAAAATGAGGCAGGGACCTAGGGCTTTCTCTAAGGTCTCCACAGGTGATTCAGACATCCCTTCATGTTGTGAGATGAAAGACAAGCCTGTATTCAATCCACTGCAAGGAAATCCGGCCTCCTTTCATGTTAGGGCTTCTCGCTGTATATTCCCCTTGAGGCAGCAAACTCGGGGTCGTCCCACATACCTATTGCTGAGAGAAGCCTCCTCCTGAGATGCTTCTGGAAAGTTGGCATACGTCTTGAGCCTAAGCCAGGGAATCAGCTCTCATCTCGAGACGATTTGGGGTACACGGAGCATTCCTCGAGTTGCTGTGCTGAAGTTGGTGTTCCTCTAGACTTGGGACCGTGTTCTCGGGGCATCTCTGGAGTTGCCTGAAGGAAGTCGAGCCACCGGTCGTGTTGAATGGGGAACGGGGAATGGCTCTGGAGTCAAGGCAGGGGAATCGGGCCTCATCTAGAGTTGATTTGGGGCACATGGAGCAGCTTTGCGTTGCTGGGGTGACCTCAGGGTCCGTCTAGACTGGTGACAGTGTTCTTGGGGACTGTCTCGAGATCCATTAAGCAAGTCGAAGCTCCTGACTTGTTTGAATGGGATCACGGAATAGCTCTGCATGCACTGCAGGGGAATGGGGCCTCATCTCGCCTCTAGGGGGAAGTCTCATGGTTTTTCTCGAGTTGCGGCGGGGACCTGGGGTATGTTCTCGACTTACGGCGGGGATGGCCCTTCAAAACACGAGTTTCTTCATTGACGTCAGGACTCCTGTCTAGTAACGAGGGACACCTCAGGAATCTCTACGAGGCTTGGCATTGCAAAAGGGACGCTTCTCGTGGTGAGGCAGGGTACCCAAGGACCCTTTCCAGTAGCCACAGCGATTTTGGGATTCCTATCAGTATTCAAGAGGAGTCAGGCATCGTCACCTTTTGAAGCAATGAACTCCGCGTGCCTCTCGAGGTGTCAGCGGGATGTGAGGCATTCCGTCAAAATGAGGCAGGGACCTAGGGCTTTCTCTAAGGTCTCCACAGGGGATTCAGACATCCCTTCATGTTGTGAGATGAAAGACGAGCCTGTATTCAAGCCACTGCAAGGAAATCCGGCCTCCTTTCAATTTAGGGCTTCTCGCTGTATATTCCCCTTGAGGCAGCAAACTCGGGTCCCTCCCACATACCTATTGCTGAGAGAAGCCTCCTCCTGAGGTGCTTCTGGAAAGTTGGCATACGTCTTGAGCCTAAGCCAGGGAATCAGCTCTCATCTCGAGACGATTTGCGGTACACGGAGCATTCGTCGAGTTGCTGTGCTGAAGTTGGTGTTCCTCTAGACTTGGGACAGTGTTCTCGGGGCATCTCTGGAGTTGCCTGAAGGAAGTCGAGCCACCGGTCGTGTTGAATGGGTAACGGGGAATGGCTCTGGAGTCAATGCAGGGGAATCGGGCCACATCTCGAGTTGATTTGGGGCACATGGAGCAGCTTTGCGTTGCTGGGGTGACCTCAGGGTCCGTCTAGACTGGTGACAGTGTTCTTGGGGACTGTCTCGAGATCCATTAAGCAAGTCGAAGCTCCTGACTTGTTTGAATGGGATCACGGGATAGCTCTGCATGGACTGCAGGGGAATGGGGCTTCACCTCGCCTCTAGGCGGAAGTCTCATTGTTTTTCTCGAGTTGCGGCGGGGACCTGGGGTATGTTCTCGACTTACGGCGGGGATGGCCCTTCAAAACACGAGTTTCTTCATTGACGTCAGGACTCCTGTCTAGTAACGAGGGACACCTCAGGAATCTCTTCGAGGCTTGGCAGGGCAAAAGGGACGCTTCTCGAGGTGAGGCAGGGCACCCAAGGACCCTTTCCAGTAGCCACAGCGATTTTGGGATTCCTATCAGTATTCAAGACTAGTCAGGCATCGTCACCTTTTGAAGCAATTAACTCCGCGTGCCTCTCGAGGTGTCAGCGGGATGTGAGGCATTTGTCAAAATGAGGCAGGTACCTAGGGCTTTCTCTAAGGTCTCCACACGGGATTCAGACATCCCTTCATGTTGTGAGAGGAAAGACGAGTCTGTATTCAAGCCACTGCAAGGAAATCCGTCCTCCTTTCAAGTTAGGGCTTCTCGCTGTATATTCCCCTTGAGGCAGCAAACTCGGGGTCCCTCCCACATACCTATTGCTGAGAGAAGCCTCCTCCTGAGGTGCTTCTGGAAAGTTGGCATACGTCTTGAGCCTAAGCCAGGGAATCACCTCTCATCTCGAGACGATTTGGTGTACACGGATCATTCCTAGATTTGCTGTGCTGAAGTTGGTGTTCCTCTAGACTTGGGACAGTGTTCTCGGGGCATCTCTGGAGTTGCCTAAAGTAAGTCGAGCCACCGGTCGTGTTGAATGGGGAACGGGGAATGGCTCTGGAGTCAATGCAGGGGAATCGGGCCTCATCTCGAGTTGATTTGGGGCACATGGAGCTGCTTTGCGTTGCTGGGGTGACCTCAGGGTCCGTCTAGACTGGTGACAGTGTTCTTGGGGACTGTCTCGAGATCCATTAAGCCTGTCGAAGCTCCTGACTTGTTTGAATGGGATCACGGAATAGCTCTGCATGCACTGCAGGGGAATGGGGCCTCATCTCGCCACTTGGGGGATGTCTCATGATTTTTCTCGAGTTGCGGCGGGGACCTGGGGTATGTCCTCGACTTACGGCGGGGATGGCCCTTCAAAACACGAGTTTCTTAAATGAGGTCAGGACTCCTGTCTAGTAACGAGGGACACCTCAGGAATCCCTTCGAGGCTTGGCAGGGCAAAAGGGACGCTTCTCGAGGTGAGGCAGGGCACCAAAGGACCCTTTCCAGTAGCCACAGTGATTTTGGGATTCCTATCAGTATTCAAGAGGAGTCAGGCATCTTCACCTTTTGAAGCAATGAACTCCGCGTGCCTCTCGAGATGTCTGCAGGATGTGAGGCATTTGTCAAAATGAGGCAGGGACCTAGGGCTTTCTCTAAGGTCTCCACAGGGGATTCAGACATCCCTTCATGTTGTGAGATGAAAGACAAGTCTGTATTCAAGCCACTGCAAGGAAATCCGTCCTCCTTTCAATTTAGGGCTTCTCGCGGTATATTCCCCTTGAGGCAGCAAACTCGGGGTCCCTCCCACATAACTATTGCTGAGAGAAGCCTCCTCCTGAGGTGCTTCTGGAAAATTGGCATACGTCTTGAGCCTAAGCCAGGGAATCAGCTCTCATCTCGAGACGATTTGGGGTACACGGAGCATTCTTCGAGTTACTGTGCTGAAGTTGGTGTTCCTGTAGACTTGGGACACTGTTCTCGGGGCATCTCTGGAGTTGCCTGAAGGAAGTCGAGCCACCGGTCGTGTTGAATGGGGAACGGGGAATGGCTCTGGCGTCAATGCAGGGGAATCGGGCCTCATCTCGAGTTGATTTGGGGCACATGGAGCTGCTTTGCGTTGCTGGGGTGAACTCAGGGTCCGTCTAGACTGTTGACAGTGTTCTTGGGGACTGTCCCGAGATCCATTAAGCAAGTCGAAGCTCCTGACTTGTTTGAATGGGATCACGGAATAGCTCTGCATGCACTGCAGGGGAATGGGGCCTCATCTCGCCTCTAGGGGGAAGTCTCATGGTTTTTCTTGAGTTGCGGCGGGGACCTGGGGTATGTTCTCGACTTACGGCGGGGATGGCCCTTCAAAACACGAGTTTCTTCAGTGACGTCAGGACTCCTGTCTAGTAACGAGGGACACCTCAGGAATCTCTACGAGGCTTGGCAGGGCAAAAGGGACGCTTCTCGAGGTGAGGCCGGGCACCCAAGGACCCTTTCCAGTAGCCACAGGGATTTTGGGATTCCTATCAGTATTCAAGAGGAGTCAGGCATCGTCACCTTTAGAAGCAATGAACTCCGCGTGACTCTCGCGGTGTCAGCGGGATGTGAGGCATTTGTCAAAATGAGGCAGGGACCTAGGGCTTTCTCTAAGGTCTCCACAGGGGATTCAGACATCCCTTCATGTTGTGAGATGAAAGACGAGCCTGTATTCAAGCCACTGCAAGGAAATCCGTCCTCCTTTCTAGTTAGGGCTTCTCGCTGTATATTCCCCTTGAGGCAGCAAACTCGGGGTCCCTCCCACATACCTATTGCTAAGAGAAGCCTCCTCCTGACGTGCTTCTGGAAAGTTGGCATACGTCTTGAGACTAAGCCAGGGAATCACCTCTCATCTCGAGACGATTTGGGGTACACGGATCATTCCTCGACTTGCTGTGCTGAAGTTGGTGTTCCTCTAGACTTGGGACAGCCTTCTCGGGGTAACTCTGGAGTTGCCTGAAGGAAGTCGAGCCACCGGTCGTGTTGAATGGGGAACGGGGAATGGCTCTGGAGTCAATGCAGGGGAATCGGGCCTCATCTCGAGTTGATTTGGGGCACATGGAGCTGCTTTCCGTTGCTGGGGTGACCTCAGGGTCCGTCTAGACTGGTGACAGTGTTCTTGGGGACTGTCTTGAGGTCCATTAAGCAAGTCGAAGCTCCTGAATTGTTTGAATGGGATCACGGAATAGCTCTGCATGCTCTGCAGGGGAATGGGGCCTCATCTGGCATCTAGGGGGAAGTCTCATGGTTTTTCTCGAGATGCGGCGGGGACCTGGGGTATGTTCTCGACTTACGGCGGGGATGGCCCTTCAAAACACGAGTTTCTTCAGTGACGTCAGGACTCCTGTCTAGTAACGAGGGACACCTCAGGAATCTCTTCGAGGCTTGGCAGGGCAAAAGGGACGCTTCCCGAGGTGAGGCAGGGTACCCACGGACCCTTTCCAGTAGCCACAGCGATTTTGGGATTCCTATCAGTATTCAAGAGGAGTCAGGCATCGTCACCTTTTGAAGCAGTGAACTCCGCGTGCCTCTCGAGGTGTCAGCGGGATGTGAGGCATTCCGTCAAAATGATGCAGGGACGTAGGGTTTTCTCTAAGGTCTCCACAGGGGATTCAGACATCCCTTCATGTTGTGAGATGAAAGACGGGCCTGTATTCAAGCCATTGCAAGGAAATCCGGCCTCCTTTCATGTCAGGGCTTCTCGCGGTATATTCCCCTTGAGGCAGCAAACTCGGGGTCCCTCCCACATACCTATTGCTGAGAGAAGCCTCCTCCTGAGGTGCTTCTGGAAAGTTGGCATACGTCTTGAGCCTACGCCAGGGAATCAGCTCTCATCTCGAGACGATTTGGGGTGCACGGAGCATTCCTCGAGTGGCTGTGCTGAAGTTTGTGTTCCTCTAGACTTGGGACAGTGTTCTCGGGGCATCTCTGGAGTTGCCTGAAGGAAGTCGAGCCACCGGTTGTGTTGAATGTGGAACAGGGAATGGCTCTGGAGTCAATGCAGGGGAATCGGGCCTCATCTCGAGTTGATTTGGGGCACATGGAGCTGCTTTGCGTTGCTGGCGTGACCTCAGGTTCCGTCTAGACTGGTGACAGTGTTCTTGGGGACTGTCTCGAGATCCATTAAGTAAGTCGAAGCTCCTGACTAGTTTGAATGGGATCACGGAATAGCTCTGCATGCACTGCTGGGGAATGGGGCCTCATCTCGCCTCTAGGGGGAAGTCTCATGGTTTTTCTCTAGTTGCGGCGGGGACCTGGGGTATGTTCTCGACTTACGGCGGGGATGGCCCTTCAAAACACGAGTTTCTTCAGTGACGTCAGGACTCCTGTCTAGTAACGAGGGACACCTCAGGAATCTCTTCGAGGCTTGGCAGGGGAAAAGGGACGCTTCTCGAGTTGAGGCAGGGCAGCCAAGGACCCTTTCCCATAGCCACAGGGATTTTGGGATTCCTATCAGTATTCAAGAGGAGTCAGGCATCGTCACCTTTTGAAGCAATGAACTCCGCGTGCCTCTCGAGGTGTCAGCGGGATGTGAGGCATTTGTCAAAATGAGGCAGGGACCTAGGGCTTTCTCTAAGGTCTCCACAGGGGATTCAGACATCCCTTCAGGTTGTGAGATGAAAGACGAGCCTGTATTCAAGCCACTGCAAGGAAATCCGGCCTCCTTTCAAGTTAGGGCTTCTCGCTGTGTATTCCCCTTGAGGCAGCAAACTCGGGGTCCCTCCCACATACCTATTACTGAGAGAAGCCTCCTCCGGAGGTGCTTTTGGAAAGTTGGCATACGTCTTGAGCCTAAGCCAGGGAATCAGCTCTCATCTCGAGAGGATTTAGGGTACACGGATCATTCCTCTAGTTGCTGTGCTGAAGTTGGTGTTCCTCTAGACTTGGGACCGTGTTCTCGGGGCATCTCTGGAGTTGCCTGAAGGAAGTCGAGAAACCGGTCGTGTTGAATGGCGAACGGGGAATGGCTCTGGAGTCAATGCAGCGGAATCGGGCCTCATCTCGAGTTGATTTGGGGGACATGGAGCTGCTTTGCGTTGCTGGGGTGACCTCAGGGTCCGTCTAGACTGGTGACAGTGTTCTTGGGGACTGTCTTGAGATCCATTAAGCCTGTCGAAGCTCCTGACTTGTTTGAATGGGATCACGGAATAGCTCTGCATGCACTGCAGGGGAATGGGGCCTCATCTCGCCACTTGGGGGATGTCTCATGATTTTTCTCGAGTTGCGGCGGGGACCTGGGGTATGTCCTCGACTTACGGCGGGGATGGCCCTTCAAAACACGAGTTTCTTCAATGAGGTCAGGACTCCTGTCTAGTAACGAGGGACACCTCAGGAATCCCTTCGAGGCTTGGCAGGGCAAAAGGGACGCTTCTCGAGGTGAGGCAGGGCACCAAAGGACCCTTTCCAGTAGCCACAGTGATTTTGGGATTCCTATCAGTATTCAAGAGGAGTCAGGCATCTTCACCTTTTGAAGCAATGAACTCCGCGTGCCTCTCGAGATGTCTGCAGGATGTGAGGCATTTGTCAAAATGAGGCAGGGACCTAGGGCTTTCTCTAAGGTCTCCACAGGGGATTCAGACATCCCTTCATGTTGTGAGATGAAAGACAAGTCTGTATTCAAGCCACTGCAAGGAAATCCGTCCTCCTTTCAATTTAGGGCTTCTCGCTGTATATTCCCCTTGAGGCAGCAAACTCGGGGTCCCTCCCACATAACTATTGCTGAGAGAAGCCTCCTCCTGAGGTGCTTCTGGAAAATTGGCATACGTCTTGAGCCTAAGCCAGGGAATCAGCTCTCATCTCGAGACGATTTGGGGTACACGGAGCATTCTTCGAGTTACTGTGCTGAAGTTGGTGTTCCTGTAGACTTGGGACACTGTTCTCGGGGCATCTCTGGAGTTGCCTGAAGGAAGTCGAGCCACCGGTCGTGTTGAATGGGGAACGGGGAATGGCTCTGGCGTCAATGCAGGGGAATCGGGCCTCATCTCGAGTTGATTTGGGGCACATGGAGCTGCTTTGCGTTGCTGGGGTGAACTCAGGGTCCGTCTAGACTGTTGACAGTGTTCTTGGGGACTGTCCCGAGATCCATTAAGCAAGTCGAAGCTCCTGACTTGTTTGAATGGGATCACGGAATAGCTCTGCATGCACTGCAGGGGAATGGGGCCTCATCTCGCCTCTAGGGGGAAGTCTCATGGTTTTTCTCGAGTTGCGGCGGGGACCTGGGGTATGTTCTCGACTTACGGCGGGGATGGCCCTTCAAAACACGCTTTTCTTCAGTGACGTCAGGACTCCTGTCTAGTAACGAGGGACACCTCAGGAATCTCTACGAGGCTTGGCAGGGCAAAAGGGACGCTTCTCGAGGTGAGGCCGGGCACCCAAGGACCCTTTCCAGTAGCCACAGGGATTTTGGGATTCCTATCAGTATTCAAGAGGAGTCAGGCATCGTCACCTTTAGAAGCAATGAACTCCGCGTGACTCTCGCGGTGTCAGCGGGATGTGAGGCATTTGTCAAAATGAGGCAGGGACCTAGGGCTTTCTCTAAGGTCTCCACAGGGGATTCAGACATCCCTTCATGTTGTGAGATGAAAGACGAGCCTGTATTCAAGCCATTGCAAGGAATTCCGTCCTCCTTTCTAGTTAGGGCTTCTCGCTGTATATTCCCCTTGAGGCAGCAAACTCGGGGTCCCTCCCACATACCTATTGCTAAGAGAAGCCTCCTCCTGAGGTGCTTCTGGAAAGTTGGCATACGTCTTGAGACTAAGCCAGGGAATCACCTCTCATCTTGAGACGATTTGGGGTACACGGATCATTCCTCGACTTGCTGTGCTGAAGTTGGTGTTCCTCTAGACTTGGGACAGCCTTCTCGGGGTAACTCTGGAGTTGCCTGAAGGTAGTCGAGCCACCGGTCGTGTTGAATGGGGAACGGGGAATCGCTCTGGAGTCAATGCAGGGGTATCGGGCCTCATCTCGAGTTGATTTGGGGCACATGGAGCTGCTTTGCGTTGCTGGGGTGACCTCAGGGTCCGTCTAGACTGGTGACAGTGTTCTTGGGGACTGTCTTGAGGTCCATTAAGCAAGTCGAAGCTCCTGATTTGTTTGAATGGGATCACGGAATAGCTCTGCATGCCCTGCAGGGGAATGGGGCCTCATCTGGCATCTAGGGGGAAGTCTCATGGTTTTTCTCGAGTTGCGGCGGGGACCTGGGGTATGTTCTCGACTTACGGCGGGGATGGCCCTTCAAAACACGAGTGTCTTCAGTGACGTCAGGACTCCTGTCTAGTAACGAGGGCCACCTCAGGAATCTCTAAGAGGCTTGGCAGGGCAAAAGGGACGCTTCCCGAGGTGAGGCAGGGTTCCCACGGACCCTTTCCAGTAGCCACAGCGATTTTGGGATTCCTATCAGTATTCAAGAGGAGTCAGGCATCGTCACCTTTTGAAGCAGTGAACTCCGCGTGCCTCTCGAGGTGTCAGCGGGATGTGAGGCATTCCGTCAAAATGCTGCAGGGACGTAGGGTTTTCTCTAAGGTCTCCACAGGGGATTCAGACATCCCTTCATGTTGTGAGATGAAAGACGGGCCTGTATTCAAGCCACTGCAAGGAAATCCGGCCTCCTTTCATGTCAGGGCTTCTCGCGGTATATTCCCCTTGAGGCAGCAAACTCGGGGTCCCTCCCACATACCTATTGCTGAGAGAAGCCTCCTCCTGAGATGCTTCTGGAAAGTTGGCATACGTCTTGAGCCTACGCCAGGGAATCAGCTCTCATCTCGAGACGATTTGGGGTGCACGGAGCATTCCTCGAGTGGCTGTGCTGAAGTTGGTGTTCCTCTAGACTTGGGACAGTGTTCTCGGGACAACTCTGGAGTTGCCTGAAGGAAGTCGAGCCACCGGTTGTGTTGAATGTGGAACGGGGAATGGCTCTGGAGTCAATGCAGGGCAATCGGGCCTCATCTCGAGTTGATTTGGGGCAAATGGAGCTGCTTTGCGTTGCTGGGGTGACCTCAGGGTCCGTCTAGACTGGTGACAGTGTTCTTGGGGACTGTCTCGAGATCCACTAAGCAAGTTGAAGCTCCTGACTTCCTTGAATGGGATCACGGAATAGCTCTGCATGCACTGCAGGGGAATGGGGCCTCATCTCGCCTCTAGGGGGAAGTCTCATGGTTTTTCTCGAGTTGCGGCGGGGACCTGGGGTATGTTCTCGACTTACGGCGAGGATGGCCCTTCAAAACACGAGTTTCTTCAATGAATTCAGGACTCCTGTCTAGTACCGAGGGACACCTCAGGAAACTCTTCGAGGCTTGGCAAGGCAAAAGGGACGCTTCTCGAAGTGGGGCAAGGCACCCAAGGACCCTTTCCCGTAGCCACAGGGTTTTTGGGATTCCTATCAGTATTCAAGAGGAGTCAGGCATCGTCACCTTTTGAAGCAATGAACTCCGCGTGCCTCTCGAGGTGTCAGCGGGATGTGAGGCATTCCGTCAAAATGAGACAGGGACCTAGGGTTTCTCTAAGGTCTCCACAGGGGATTCAGACATCCCTTCATGTTGTGAGATGAAAGACGAGCCTGTATTCAAGTCACTGCAAGGAAATCCGGCCTCCTTTCAAGTTAGGGCTTCTCGCTGTATATTCCCCTTGAGGCAGCAAACTCGGGGTACCTCCCACATACCTATTGCTGAGAGAAGCCTCCTCCTGAGGTGCTTCTGGAAAGTTGGCATACGTCTTGAGCCTAAGCCAGGGAATCAGCTCTCATCTCGAGACTATTTGGGGAACACGGAGCATCCCTCGAGTTGCTGTGCTGAAGTTGGAGTTCCTCTAGACTTGGGACAGTGTTCTCGGGGCATCTCTGGATTTGCCTGAAGGAAGTTGAGCCACCGGTCGTGTTGAATGGGGAACGGGGAATGGCTCTGGAGTCAATGCAGGGGAATCGGGCCTCATCTCGAGTTGATTTGGGGCACATGGAGCTGATTTGCATTGCCTGGGTGACCTCAGGGTGCGTCTAGACTGGTGACAGTGTTCTTGGGGACTCTCTCGAGATCCATTAAGCAAGTCGAAGCTCCTGACTTGTTTGAATGGGATCACGGAATAGCTCTGCATGCACTGCAGGGGAATGGGGTCTCATCTCGCCTCTAGGGAGAAGTCACATGGTTTTTCTCGAGTTGCGGTGGGGACCTGGGGTATGTTCTTGACTTACGGCGGGGATGGCCCTTCAAAACACGAGTTTCTTCGGTGACGTCTGGACTCCTCTCTAGTAACGAGGGACACCTCAGGAATCTCTTCGAGGTTTGGCAGGGCAAAAGGGACGCTTCTCGAGGTGAGGCAGGGCACCCAAGCACACTTTCCAGTAGCCACAGGGATTTTGGGATTCCTATCAGTATTCAAGAGGAGTCAGGCATCGTCACCTTTTGAAGCAATGAACTCCGCGTGCCTCTCGAGGTGTCAGCGGGTTGTGAGGCATTCCGTCAAAATGAGGCAGGGACCTAGGGCTTTCTCTAAGGTCTCCACAGGGGATTCAGACATCCCTTCATGTTGTGAGATGAAAGACGAGCCTGTATTCAAGCCACTGCAAGGAAATTCGGCCTCCTTTCAAGTTAGGGCTTTTCGCTGTATATTCCCTTTGAGGCAGCAAACTCGGGGTCCCTGCCACATACCTATTGCTGACAGAAGCCTCCTCCTGAGGTGCTTCTGGAAAGTTGGCTTACGTCTTGATCCTAAGCCAGGGAATCAGCTCTCATCTCGAGACGATTTGGGGTACACGGAGCATTCCTCGAGTTGCTGTGCTGAAGTTGGTGTTCCTCTAGACTTGGGACAGTGTTCTCCGGGTATCTCTGGAGTTGCCTGAAGGAAGTCGAGCCACCGGTCCTGTTGAATGGGGAACGGGGAATGGCTCTGGAGTCAATGCAGGGGAATCGGGCCTCATCTCGAGTTGATTTGGGGCACATGGAGCTGCTTTGCGTTGCTGGCTTGACCTCAGGGTGCGTCTAGACTGGTGACAGTGTTCTCGGGGACTGTCTCGAGATCCATTAAGCAAGTCGAAGCTCCTGACTTGTTTGAATAGGATCACGGAATAGCTCTGCATGCAGTGCAGGGGAATGGGGCCTCATCTCGCTTCTAGGGGGAAGTCTCATGGTTTTTCTCGAGTTGCGGCGGGGACCTGAGGTATGTTCTCGACTTACGGCGGGGATGGCCCTTCAAACCCGAGTTTCTTCCGTGACGTCAGGACTCCTGTCTACTAACGAGGGACACCTCAGGAATCTCTTCGAGGCTTGGCAGGGCAAAAGGGACGCTTCTCGAGGTGAGGCAGGGCACCCAAGGACCCTTTCCCGTAGCCACAGGGATTTAGGAATTCCTACCAGTATTCAAGAGAGGTCAGGCATCGTCACCTTTTGAAGCAATGAACTCCGCGTGCCTCTCGAGGTGTCAGCGGGATGTGAGGCATTCCATCAAAATGAGGCAGGGACCTAGGGCTTTCTCTAAGGTCTACTCAGGGGATTCAGACATCCCTTCATGTTGTGAGGTGAAAGACGAGCCTGTATTCTAGCCACAGCAAGGAAATCCGGCCTCCTTTCAAGTTAGGGCTTCTCGCTGTATATTCCCCTTGAGGCAGCAAACTCGGGGTCCCTCCCACATACCTATTGCTGAGAGAAGCCTCCTCCTGAGGTGCTTCTGGAAAGTTGGCATAAGTCTTGATCCTAAGCCAGGGAATCAGCTGTCATCTCGAGACGATTTGGCATACACGGAGCATTCCTCGAGTTGCTGTGCTGAAGATGGTGTTCCTCTACACTTGGGACAGTGTTCTCGGGGCATCTCTGGAGTTGCCTGAAGGAAGTCGAGCCACCTGTCGTGTTGAATGGGGAACGGGGAATGGCTCTGGAGTCAATGCAGGGAATCGGGCCTCATCTCGAGTTGATTTGGGGCACATGGAGCTGATTTGCGTTGCTGGCGTGACCTTATGGGCCGTCTAGACTGGTGACAGTGTTCTTGGGGACTGTCTCGAGATCCATTAAGCAAGTCGAAGCTCCTGACTTGTTTGAATGGGATCACGGAATAGCTCTGCATGCACTGCAGGGGAATGGGGCCTCATCTCGCCTCTAGGGGGAAGTCTCATGGTTTTTCTCGAGTTGCGGCGGGGACCTGGGTATGTTCTCGACTTACGGCGGGTATGGCCCTTCAAACCTGAGTTTCTTCCGTGAGGTCAGGACTCCTGTCTACTAACGAGGGACACCTCAGGAATCTCTTCGAGGCTTGGCAGGGCAAAAGGGACGCTTCTCGAGGTGAGGCAGGGCACCCAAGGACCCTTTCCAGTAGCCACATGGATTTTGGGATTCCTATCAGTATTCAAGAGGAGTCAGGCTTCGTCACCTTTTGAAGCAATGAACTCCGCGAGCCTCTCGAGGTGTCAGCGGGATGTGAGGCATTCCGTCAAAATGAGGCAGGGAACTAGGGCTTTCTCTAAGGTCTCCACAGGGGATTCAGACATCCCTTCATGTTGTGAGATGAAAGACGAACCTGTATTCAAACCACTGCAAGGAAATCCGGCCTCCTTTCAAGTTAGGGTTTCTCGCTGTATATTCCCGTTGAGGCAGCAAACTCGGGGTCCCTCCCACATACCTATTGCTGAGAGAAGCCTCCTCCTGAGGTGCTTCTGGAAAGTTGGCATACGTCTTGATCCTAAGCCAGGGAATCAGCTGTCATCTCGAGACGATTTGGCATACACGGAGCATTCCTCGAGTTGCTGTGCTGAAGTTGGTGTTTCTCTACACTTGGGACAGTGTTCTCGGGGCATCTCTGGAGTTGCCTGAAGGAAGTCGAGCCACCGGTCGTGTTGAATGGGGAACGGGGAATGGCTCTGGAGTCAATGCAGGGGAATCGGGTCTCATCTCGAGGTGATTTGGGGCACATGGAGCTGCTTTGCGTTGCTGGGGTGACCTCAGGGTCCGTCTAGACTGGTGACAGTGTTCTTGGGGACTGTCTCGAGATCCATTAAGCAAGTCGAAGATCCTGACTTGTTTGAATGGGATCACGGAATAGCTCTGCATGCACTGCAGGGGAATGGGGCCTCATCTCGCCTCTAGGGGGAAGTCTCATGTTTTTCTCGAGTTTCGGCGGGGACCTGGGGTATGTTCTCGACTTACAGCGGGGATGGCCCTTCAAACCTAGTTTCTTCCGTGACGTCAGGACTCCTGTCTACTAACGAGGGACACCTCAGGAATCTCTTCGAGGCTTGGCAGGGCAAAAGGGACGCTTCTCGAGGTGAGGCAGGGCACCCAAGGACCCTTTCCAGTAGCCACAGGGATTTTGGGATTCCTATCAGTATTCAAGAGGAGTCAGGCATCGTCACCTTTTGAAGCAATGAACTCCGCGTGCCTCTCGAGGTGTCAGCGGGATGTGAGCCATTCCGACAAAATTAGGCAGGGACCTAGGGCTTTCTCTAAGGTCTCCACAGGGGATTCAGACATCCCTTCATGTTGTGAGATGAAAGACGAGCCTGTATTCAAGCCACTGCAAGGAAATCCGGCCTCCTTTCAAGTTAGGGCTTCTCGCTGTATATTCCCCTTGAGGCAGCAAACTCGGGGTCCCTCCCACATACCTATTGCTGAGAGAAGCCTCCTCCTGAGGTGCTTCTGCAAAGCTGTCATACGTCTTGAGCCTAAGCCAGGGAATCAGCTCTCATCTCGAGACGATTTGGGGTACACGGAGCATTCCTCGAGTTGCTGTGCTGAAGTTGGTGTTCCTCTAGACTTGGGACAGTGTTCTCAGGGCATCTCTGGAGTTGCCTGAAGGAAGTCGAGCCACCGGTCGTGTTGAATGGGGAACGGGGAATGGCTCTGGAATCAACGCAGGGGAATCGGGCCTCATCTCGATTTGATTTGGGGCAAATGGAGCTGCTTTGCGTTGCTGGGGTGACCTCAGTGTCCGTCTAGACTGGTGACAGTGTTCTTTGGGACTGTCTCGAGATCCACTAAGCAAGTTGAAGCTCCTGACTTCCTTGAATGGGATCACGGAATAGCTCTGCATGCACTGCAGGGGAATGGGGCCTCATCTCGCCTCTAGGGGGAAGTCTCATGGTTTTTCTCGAGTTGCGGCGGGGACCTGGGGTATGTTCTCGACTTACGGCGGGGATGGCCCTTCAAAACACGAGTTTCTTCAATGAATTCAGGACTCCTGTCTAGTACCGAGGGACACCTCAGGAAACTCTTCGAGGCTTGGCAAGGCAAAAGGGACGCTTCTCGAAGTGGGGCAATTCACCCAAGGACCCTTTCCCGTAGCCACAGGGTTTTTGGGATTCCTATCAGTATTCAAGAGGAGTCAGGCATCGTCACCTTTTGAAGCAATGAACTCCGCGTGCCTCTCGAGGTGTCAGCGGGATGTGAGGCATTCCGTCAAAATGAGACAGGGACCTAGGGCTTTCTCTAAGGTCTCCACAGGTGATTCAGACATCCCTTCATGTTGTGAGATGAAAGACGAGCCTGTATTCAAGTCATTGCAAGGAAATCCGGCCTCCTTTCAAGTTAGGGCTTCTCGCTGTATATTCCCCTTGAGGCAGCAAACTCGGGGTACCTCCCACATACCTATTGCTGAGAGAAGCCTCCTCCTGAGGTGCTTCTGGAAAGTTGGCATACGTCTTGAGCCTAAGCCAGGGAATCAGCTCTCATCTCGAGACTATTTGGGGAACACGGAGCATCCCTCGAGTTGCTGTGCTGAAGTTGGAGTTCCTCTAGACTTGGGACAGTGTTCTCGGGGCATCTCTGGATTTGCCTGAAGGAAGTTGAGCCACCGGTCGTGTTGAATGGGGAACGGGGAATGGCTCTGGAGTCAATGCAGGGGAATCGGGCCTCATCTCGAGTTGATTTGGGGCACATGGAGCTGATTTGCATTGCCTGGGTGACCTCAGGGTCCGTCTAGACTGGTGACAGTGTTCTTGGGGACTCTCTCGAGATCCATTAAGCAAGTCGAAGCTCCTGACTTGTTTGAATGGGATCACGGAATAGCTCTGCATGCACTGCAGGGGAATGGGGCCTCATCTCGCCTCTAGGGAGAAGTCACATGGTTTTTCTCGAGTTGCGGTGGGGACCTGGGGTATGTTCTTGACTTACGGCGGGGATGGCCCTTCAAAACACGAGTTTCTTCGGTGACGTCTGGACTCCTCTCTAGTAACGAGGGACACCTCAGGAATCTCTTCGTGGTTTGGCAGGGCAAAAGGGATGCTTCTCGAGGTGAGGCAGGGCACCCAAGCACCCTTTCCAGTAGCCACAGGGATTTTGGGATTCCTATCAGTATTCAAGAGGAGTCAGGCATCGTCACCTTTTGAAGCAATGAACTCCGCGTGCCTCTCGAGGTGTCAGCGGGTTGTGAGGCATTCCGTCAAAATGAGGCAGGGACCTAGGGCTTTCTCTAAGGTCTCCACAGGGGATTCAGACATCCCTTCATGTTGTGAGATGAAAGACGAGCCTGTATTCAAGCCACTGCAAGGAAATGTGGCCTCCTTTCAAGTTAGGGCTTCTCGCTGTATATTCCCTTTGAGGCAGCAAACTCGGGGTCCCTCCCACATACCTATTGCTGACAGAAGCCTCCTCCTGAGGTGCTTCTGGAAAGTTGGCTTACGTCTTGATCCTAAGCCAGGGAATCAGCTCTCATCTCGAGACGATTTGGGGTACACGGAGCATTCCTCGAGTTGCTGTGCTGAAGTTGGTGTTCCTCTAGACTTGGGACAGTGTTCTCCGGGCATCTCTGGAGTTGCCTGAAGGAAGTCGAGCCACCGGTCCTGTTGAATGGGGAACGGGGAATGGCTCTGGAGTCAATGCAGGGGAATCGGGCCTCATCTCGAGTTGATTTGGGGCACATGGAGCTGCTTTGCGTTGCTGGGTTGACCTCAGGGTGCGTCTAGACTGGTGACAGTGTTCTCGGGGACTGTCTCGAGATCCATTAAGCAAGTCGAAGCTCCTGACTTGTTTGAATAGGATCACGGAATAGCTCTGCATGCACTGCAGGGGAATGGGGCCTCATCTCGCTTCTAGGGGGAAGTCTCATGGTTATTCTCTAGTTGCGGCGGGGACCTGAGGTATGTTCTCGACTTACGGCGGGGATGGCCCTTCAAACCCGAGTTTCTTCCGTGACGTCAGGACTCCTGTCTACTAACGAGGGACACCTCAGGAATCTCTTCGAGGCTTGGCAGGGCAAAAGGGATGCTTCTCGAGGTGAGGCAGGGCACCCAAGGACCCTTTCCCGTAGCCACAGGGATTTAGGAATTCCTACCAGTATTCAAGAGAGGTCAGGCATCGTCACCTTTTGAAGCAATGAACTCCGCGTGCCTCTCGAGGTGTCAGCGGGATGTGAGGCATTCCATCAAAATGAGGCAGGGACCTAGGGCTTTCTCTAAGGTCTACTCAGGGGATTCAGACATCCCTTCATGTTGTGAGGTGAAAGACGAGCCTGTATTCTAGCCACAGCAAGGAAATCCGGCCTCCTTTCAAGTTAAGGCTTCTCGCTGTATATTCCCCTTGAGGCAGCAAACTCGGGGTCCCTCCCACATACCTATTGCTGAGAGAAGCCTCCTCCTGAGGTGCTTCTGGAAAGTTGGCATACGTCTTGACCCTAAGCCAGGGAATCAGCTGTCATCTCGAGACGATTTTCCATACACGGAGCATTCCTCGAGTTGCTGTGCTGAAGTTGGTGTTTCTCTACACTTGGGACAGTGTTCTCGGGGCATCTCTGGAGTTGCCTGAAGGAAGTCGAGCCACCGGTCGTGTTGAATGGGGATCGGGGAATGGCTCTGGAGTCAATGCAGGGGAATCGGGCCTCATCTCGAGTTGATTTGGGGCACATGGAGCTGATTTGCGTTGCTGGCGTGACCTTATGGGCCGTCTAGACTGGTGACAGTGTTCTTGGGGACTGTCTCGAGATCCATTAAGCAAGTCGAAGCTCCTGACTTGTTTGAATGGGATCACGGAATAGCTCTGCATGCACTGCAGGGGAATGGGGCCTCATCTCGCCTCTAGGGGGAAGTCTCATGGTTTTTCTCGAGTTGCGGCGGGGACCGGGGTATGTTCTCGACTTACGGCGGGTATGGCCCTTCAAACCTGAGTTTCTTCCGTGAGGTGAGGACTCCTGTCTACTAACGAGGGACACCTCAGGAATCTCTTCGAGGCTTGGCAAGGCAAAAGGGACGCTTCTCGAGGTGAGGCAGGGCACCCAAGGACCCTTTCCAGTAGCCACAGGGATTTTGGGATTCCTATCAGTATTCAAGAGGAGTCAGGCTTCGTCACCTTTTGAAGCAATGAACTCCGCGAGCCTCTCGAGGTGTCAGCGGGATGTGAGGCATTCCGTCAAAATGAGGCAGGGAACTAGGGCTTTCTCTAAGGTCTCCACAGGGGATTCAGACATCCCTTCATGTTGTGAGATGAAAGACGAACCTGTATTCAAACCACTGCAAGGAAATCCGGCCTCCTTTCAAGTTAGGGCTTCTCGCTGTATATTCCCCTTGAGGCAGCAAACTCGGGGTCCCTCCCACATACCTATTGCTGAGAGAAGCCTCTGTATGAGGTGCTTCTGGAAAGTTGGCATACGTCTTGAGCCTAAGCCAGGGAGTCAGCTCTCATCTCGAGACGATTTGGGGTACACGGGGCATTCCTCGAGTTGCTGTGCTGAAGTTGGTGTTCCTCTAGACTTGGGACAGTGCTCTCGGGGCATCTCTGGAGTTGCCTGAAGGAAGTCGAGCCACCGGTCGTGTTGAATGGGGAACGGGGAATGGCTCTGGAGTCAATGCAGGGGAATCGGGTCTCATCTCGAGGTGATTTGGGGCACATGGAGCTGCTTTGCGTTGCTGGGGTGACCTCAGGGTCCGTCTAGACTGGTGACAGTGTTCTTGGGGACTGTCTCGAGATCCATTAAGCAAGTCGAAGATCCTGACTTGTTTGAATGGGATCACGGAATAGCTCTGCATGCACTGCAGGGGAATGGGGCCTCATCTCGCCTCTAGGGGGAAGTCTCATGTTTTTCTCGAGTTTCGGCGGGGACCTGGGGTATGTTCTCGACTTACAGCGGGGATGGCCCTTCAAACCTAGTTTCTTCCGTGACGTCAGGACCCCTGTCTACTAACGAGGGACACCTCAGGAATCTCTTCGAGGCTTGGCAGGGCAAAAGGGACGCTTCTCGAGGTGAGGCAGGGCACCCAAGGACCCTTTCCAGTAGCCACAGGGATTTTGGGATTCCTATCAGTATTCAAGAGGAGTCAGGCATCGTCACCTTTTGAAGCAATGAACTCCGCGTGCCTCTCGAGGTGTCAGCGGGATGTGAGCCATTCCGACAAAATTAGGCAGGGACCTAGGGCTTTCTCTAAGGTCTCCACAGGGGATTCAGACATCCCTTCATGTTGTGAGATGAAAGACGAGCCTGTATTCAAGCCACTGCAAGGAAATCCGGCCTCCTTTCAAGTTAGGGCTTCTCGCTGTATATTCCCCTTGAGGCAGCAAACTCGGGGTCCCTCCCACATACCTATTGCTGAGAGAAGCCTCCTCCTGAGGTGCTTCTGCAAAGCTGTCATACGTCTTGAGCCTAAGCCAGGGAATCAGCTCTCATCTCGAGACGATTTGGGGTACACGGAGCATTCCTCGAGTTGCTGTGCTGAAGTTGGTGTTCCTCTAGACTTGGGACAGTGTTCTCAGGGCATCTCTGGAGTTGCCTGAAGGAAGTCGAGCCACCGGTCGTGTTGAATGGGGAACGGGGAATGGCTCTGGAATCAACGCAGGGGAATCGGGCCTCATCTCGATTTGATTTGGGGCAAATGGAGCTGCTTTGCGTTGCTGGGGTGACCTCAGTGTCCGTCTAGACTGGTGACAGTGTTCTTTGGGACTGTCTCGAGATCCACTAAGCAAGTTGAAGCTCCTGACTTCCTTGAATGGGATCACGGAATAGCTCTGCATGCACTGCAGGGGAATGGGGCCTCATCTCGCCTCTAGGGGGAAGTCTCATGGTTTTTCTCGAGTTGCGGCGGGGACCTGGGGTATGTTCTCGACTTACGGCGGGGATGGCCCTTCAAAACACGAGTTTCTTCAATGAATTCAGGACTCCTGTCTAGTACCGAGGGACACCTCAGGAAACTCTTCGAGGCTTGGCAAGGCAAAAGGGACGCTTCTCGAAGTGGGGCAATTCACCCAAGGACCCTTTCCCGTAGCCACAGGGTTTTTGGGATTCCTATCAGTATTCAAGAGGAGTCAGGCATCGTCACCTTTTGAAGCAATGAACTCCGCGTGCCTCTCGAGGTGTCAGCGGGATGTGAGGCATTCCGTCAAAATGAGACAGGGACCTAGGGCTTTCTCTAAGGTCTCCACAGGTGATTCAGACATCCCTTCATGTTGTGAGATGAAAGACGAGCCTGTATTCAAGTCATTGCAAGGAAATCCGGCCTCCTTTCAAGTTAGGGCTTCTCGCTGTATATTCCCCTTGAGGCAGCAAACTCGGGGTACCTCCCACATACCTATTGCTGAGAGAAGCCTCCTCCTGAGGTGCTTCTGGAAAGTTGGCATACGTCTTGAGCCTAAGCCAGGGAATCAGCTCTCATCTCGAGACTATTTGGGGAACACGGAGCATCCCTCGAGTTGCTGTGCTGAAGTTGGAGTTCCTCTAGACTTGGGACAGTGTTCTCGGGGCATCTCTGGATTTGCCTGAAGGAAGTTGAGCCACCGGTCGTGTTGAATGGGGAACGGGGAATGGCTCTGGAGTCAATGCAGGGGAATCGGGCCTCATCTCGAGTTGATTTGGGGCACATGGAGCTGATTTGCATTGCCTGGGTGACCTCAGGGTCCGTCTAGACTGGTGACAGTGTTCTTGGGGACTCTCTCGAGATCCATTAAGCAAGTCGAAGCTCCTGACTTGTTTGAATGGGATCACGGAATAGCTCTGCATGCACTGCAGGGGAATGGGGCCTCATCTCGCCTCTAGGGAGAAGTCACATGGTTTTTCTCGAGTTGCGGTGGGGACCTGGGGTATGTTCTTGACTTACGGCGGGGATGGCCCTTCAAAACACGAGTTTCTTCGGTGACGTCTGGACTCCTCTCTAGTAACGAGGGACACCTCAGGAATCTCTTCGTGGTTTGGCAGGGCAAAAGGGATGCTTCTCGAGGTGAGGCAGGGCACCCAAGCACCCTTTCCAGTAGCCACAGGGATTTTGGGATTCCTATCAGTATTCAAGAGGAGTCAGGCATCGTCACCTTTTGAAGCAATGAACTCCGCGTGCCTCTCGAGGTGTCAGCGGGTTGTGAGGCATTCCGTCAAAATGAGGCAGGGACCTAGGGCTTTCTCTAAGGTCTCCACAGGGGATTCAGACATCCCTTCATGTTGTGAGATGAAAGACGAGCCTGTATTCAAGCCACTGCAAGGAAATGTGGCCTCCTTTCAAGTTAGGGCTTCTCGCTGTATATTCCCTTTGAGGCAGCAAACTCGGGGTCCCTCCCACATACCTATTGCTGACAGAAGCCTCCTCCTGAGGTGCTTCTGGAAAGTTGGCTTACGTCTTGATCCTAAGCCAGGGAATCAGCTCTCATCTCGAGACGATTTGGGGTACACGGAGCATTCCTCGAGTTGCTGTGCTGAAGTTGGTGTTCCTCTAGACTTGGGACAGTGTTCTCCGGGTATCTCTGGAGTTGCCTGAAGGAAGTCGAGCCACCGGTCCTGTTGAATGGGGAACGGGGAATGGCTCTGGAGTCAATGCAGGGGAATCGGGCCTCATCTCGAGTTGATTTGGGGCACATGGAGCTGCTTTGCGTTGCTGGGTTGACCTCAGGGTGCGTCTAGACTGGTGACAGTGTTCTCGGGGACTGTCTCGAGATCCATTAAGCAAGTCGAAGCTCCTGACTTGTTTGAATAGGATCACGGAATAGCTCTGCATGCACTGCAGGGGAATGGGGCCTCATCTCGCTTCTAGGGGGAAGTCTCATGGTTTTTCTCGAGTTGCGGCGGGGACCTGAGGTATGTTCTCGACTTACGGCGGGGATGGCCCTTCAAACCCGAGTTTCTTCCGTGACGTCAGGACTCCTGTCTACTAACGAGGGACACCTCAGGAATCTCTTCGAGGCTTGGCAGGGCAAAAGGGATGCTTCTCGAGGTGAGGCAGGGCACCCAAGTACCCTTTCCCGTAGCCACAGGGATTTAGGAATTCCTACCAGTATTCAAGAGAGGTCAGGCATCGTCACCTTTTGAAGCAATGAACTCCGCGTGCCTCTCGAGGTGTCAGCGGGATGTGAGGCATTCCATCAAAATGAGGCAGGGACCTAGGGCTTTCTCTAAGGTCTACTCAGGGGATTCAGACATCCCTTCATGTTGTGAGGTGAAAGACGAGCCTGTATTCTAGCCACAGCAAGGAAATCCGGCCTCCTTTCAAGTTAAGGCTTCTCGCTGTATATTCCCCTTGAGGCAGCAAACTCGGGGTCCCTCCCACATACCTATTGCTGAGAGAAGCCTCCTCCTGAGGTGCTTCTGGAAAGTGGCATACGTCTTGATCCTAAGCCAGGGAATCAGCTGTCATCTCGAGACGATTTTCCATACACGGAGCATTCCTCGAGTTGCTGTGCTGAAGTTGGTGTTTCTCTACACTTGGGACAGTGTTCTCGGGGCATCTCTGGAGTTGCCTGAAGGAAGTCGAGCCACCGGTCGTGTTGAATGGGGATCGGGGAATGGCTCTGGAGTCAATGCAGGGGAATCGGGCCTCATCTCGAGTTGATTTGGGGCACATGGAGCTGATTTGCGTTGCTGGCGTGACCTTATGGGCCGTCTAGACTGGTGACAGTGTTCTTGGGGACTGTCTCGAGATCCATTAAGCAAGTCGAAGCTCCTGACTTGTTTGAATGGGATCACGGAATAGCTCTGCATGCACTGCAGGGGAATGGGGCCTCATCTCGCCTCTAGGGGGAAGTCTCATGGTTTTTCTCGAGTTGCGGCGGGGACCTGGGTATGTTCTCGACTTACGGCGGGTATGGCCCTTCAAACCTGAGTTTCTTCCGTGAGGTGAGGACTCCTGTCTACTAACGAGGGACACCTCAGGAATCTCTTCGAGGCTTGGCAAGGCAAAAGGGACGCTTCTCGAGGTGAGGCAGGGCACCCAAGGACCCTTTCCAGTAGCCACAGGGATTTTGGGATTCCTATCAGTATTCAAGAGGAGTCAGGCTTCGTCACCTTTTGAAGCAATGAACTCCGCGAGCCTCTCGAGGTGTCAGCGGGATGTGAGGCATTCCGTCAAAATGAGGCAGGGAACTAGGGCTTTCTCTAAGGTCTCCACAGGGGATTCAGACATCCCTTCATGTTGTGAGATGAAAGACGAACCTGTATTCAAACCACTGCAAGGAAATCCGGCCTCCTTTCAAGTTAGGGCTTCTCGCTGTATATTCCCCTTGAGGCAGCTAACTCGGGGTCCCTCCCACATACCTATTGCTGAGAGAAGCCTCTGTATGAGGTGCTTCTGGAAAGTTGGCATACGTCTTGAGCCTAAGCCAGGGAGTCAGCTCTCATCTCGAGATGATTTGGGGTACACGGGGCATTCCTCGAGTTGCTGTGCTGAAGTTGGTGTTCCTCTAGACTTGGGACAGTGCTCTCGGGGCATCTCTGGAGTTGCCTGAAGGAAGTCGAGCCACCGGTCGTGTTGAATGGGGAACGGGGAATGGCTCTGACGTCAATGCAGAGGAATCGGGTCTCATCTCGAGGTGATTTGGGGCACATGGAGATGCTTTGCGTTGCTGGGGTGACCTCAGGGTCCGTCTAGACTGGTGACAGTGTTCTTGGGGACTGTCTCGAGATCCATTAAGCAAGTCGAAGATCCTGACTTGTTTGAATGGGATCACGGAATAGCTCTGCATGCACTACAGGGGAATGGGGCCTCATCTCGCCTCTAGGGGGAAGTCTCATGTTTTTCTCGAGTTTCGGCGGGGATCTGGGGTATGTTCTCGACTTACAGCGGGGATGGCCCTTCAAACCTAGTTTCTTCCGTGACGTCAGGACTCCTGTCTACTAACGAGGGACACCTCAGGAATCTCTTCGAGGCTTGGCAGGGCAAAAGGGACGCTTCTCCAGGTGAGGCAGGGCACCCAAGCACCCTTTCCAGTAGCCACAGGGATTTTGGGATTCCTATCAGTATTCAAGAGGAGTCAGGCATCGTCACCTTTTGAAGCAATGAACTCCGCGTGCCTCTCGAGGTGTCAGCGGGATGTGAGGCATTCCGTCAAAATGAGGCAGGGACCTAGGGCTTTCTCTAAGGTCTCCACAGGGGATTCAGACATCCCTTCATGTTGTGCGATGAAAGACGAGCCTGTATTCAAGTCACTGCAAGGAAATGCGGCCTCCTTTCAAGTTAGGGCTTCTCGCTGTATATTCCCTTTGAGGCAGCAAACTCGGGGTCCCTCCCACATACCTATTGCTGACAGAAGCCTCCTCCTGAGGTGCTTCTGGAAAGTTGGCATACGTCTTGAGCCTAAGCCAGGGAATCAGCTCTCATCTCGAGACGATTTGGGGTACACGGAGCATTCCTCGAGTTGCTGTGCTGAAGTTGGTGTTCCTCTAGACTTGGGACAGTGTTCTCCGGGCATCTCTGGAGTTGCCTGAAGGAAGTCGAGCCACCGGTCCTGTTGAATGGGGAACGGGGAATGGCTCTGGAGTCAATGCAGGGGAATCGGGCCTCATCTCGAGTTGATTTGGGGCACATGGAGCTGCTTTGCGTTGCTGGGGTGACCTCAGGGTCCGTCTAGACTGGTGACAGTGTTCTCGGGGACTGTCTCGAGATCCATTAAGCAAGTCGAAGCTCCTGACTTGTTTGAATAGGATCACGGAATAGCTCTGCATGCACTGCAGGGGAATGGGGCCTCATCTCGCCTCTAGGGGGAAGTCTCATAGTTTTTCTCGAGTTGCGGCGGGGACCTGAGGTATGTTCTCGACTTACGGCGGGGATGGCCCTTCAAACCCGAGTTTCTTCCGTGACGTCAGGACTCCTGTCTACTAACGAGGGACACCTCAGGAATCTCTTCGAGGCTTGGCAGGGAAAAAGGGACGCTTCTCGAGGTGAGGCAGGGCACCAAAGGACCCTTTCCCGTAGCCACAGGGATTTAGGAATTCCTACCAGTATTCAAGAGGAGTCAGGCATGGTCACCTTTTGAAGCAATGAACTCCGCGTGCCTCTCGAGGTGTCAGCGGGATGTGAGGCATTCCATCAAAATGAGGCAGGGACCTAGGGCTTTCTCTAAGGTCTACTCAGGGGATTCAGACATCCCTTCATGTTGTGAGGTGAAAGACGAGCCTGTATTCTAGCCACAGCAAGGAAATCCGGCCTCCTTTCAAGTTAGGGCTTCTCGCTGTATATTCCCCTTGAGGCAGCAAACTCGGGGTCCCTCCCACATACCTATTGCTGAGAGAAGCCTCCTCCTGAGGTGCTTCTGGAAAGTTGGCATACGTCTTGATCCTAAGCCAGGGAATCAGCTGTCATCTCGAGACGATTTGGCATACACGGAGCATTCCTCGTGTTGCTGTGCTGAAGTTGGTGTTTCTCTACACTTGGGACAGTGTTCTCGGGGCATCTCTGGAGTTGCCTGAAGGAAGTCGAGCCACCGGTCGTGTTGAATGGGGAACGGGGAATGGCTCTGGAGTCAATGCAGGGGAATCGGGCCTCATCTCGAGTTGATTTGGGGCACATGGAGCTGATTTGCGTTGCTGGCGTGACCTTATGGGCCGTCTAGACTGGTGACAGTGTTCTTGGGGACTGTCTCGAGATCCATTAAGCAAGTCGAAGTTCCTGACTTGTTTGAATGGGATCACGGAATAGCTCTGCATGCACTGCAGGGGAATGGGTCCTCATCTCGCCTCTAGGGGGAAGTCTCATGGTTTTTCTTGAGTTGCGGCGGGGACCTGGGGTATGTTCCCGACTTACGGCGGGGATGGCCCTTCAAAACACGAGTTTCTTCAGTGACGTCAGGACTCCTGTCTAGTAAAGAAGGACACCTCAGGAATCTCTTCGAGGCTTGGCAGGGCAAAAGGGACGCTTCTCTGGGTGAGGCAGGGCAACCAAGGACCCTTTCCAGTAGCCACAGGGATTTTTGGATTCCTATCAGTATTCAAGAGGAGTCAGGCATCATCACCTTTTGAAGCAATGAACTCCGCGTGCCTCTCGAAGTGTCAGCGGGATGTGAGGCATTCTGTCAAAACGAGGCAGGGACCTAGGGCTTTCTCTAAGGTCTCCACAGGGGATTCAGACATCCCTTCATGTTGTGAGATGAAAGACGAACCTGTATTCAAGCCACTGCAAGGAAATCCGGCCTCCTTTCAAGTTAGGGCTTCTCGCTGTATATTCCCCTTGAGGCAGCAAACTCGGGGTCCCTCCCACATACCTATTGCTGAGAGAAGCCTCCTCCTGAGTTGTTTCTGGAAAGTTGGCATACGTCTTGAGCCTAAGCCAGGGAATCAGCTCTCATCTCGAGACGATTTGGGGTACACGGGGCATTCCTCGAGTTGCTGTGCTGAAGTTGGTGTTCCTCTAGACTTGGGACAGTGCTCTCGGGGCATCTCTGGATTTGCCTGAAGGAAGTCGAGCCACCGGTCGTGTTGAATGGGGAACGGGGAATGGCTCTGGAGTCAATGCAGGGGAATCGGGCCTCATCTCGAGTTGATTTGGGGCACATGGAGCTGCTTTGCTTTGCTGGGGTGACCTCAGGGTCCGTCTAGACTGGTGACAGTGTTCTTGGGGACTGTCTCGAGATCCATTAAGCAAGTCGAAGCTCCTGACTTGTTTGAATGGGATCACGGAATAGCTCTGCATGCACTGCAGGGGAATGGGGCCTCATCTCGCCTCTAGGGGGAAGTCTCATTGTTTTTCTCGAGTTGCGGCGGGGACCTGGGGTATGTTCTCGATTAACGGCGGGGATGGCCCTTCAAACCCGAGTTTCTTCTGTGACGTCAGGACTCCAGTCTACTAACGAGGGACACCTCAGGAATCTCTTCGAGGCTTGGCAGGGCAAAAGGGACGCTTCTCGAGGTTAGGCAGGGCACCCAAGGACCCTTTCCAGTAGCCACAGGAATTTGGGATTCCTATCAGTATTCAAGAGGAGTCAGGCATCGTCACCTTTTGAAGCAATGAACTCCGCGTGCCTCTCAAGGTGTCAGCAGGATGTGAGGCATTCCGTCAAAAAGAGGCAGGGACGTAGGGCTTTCTCTAAGGTCTCCACAGGGGATTCAGACATCCCTTCATGTTGTGAGATGAAAGACGAGCCTGTATTCAAGCCACTGCAAGGAAATCCGGCCTCCTTTCAAGTTAGGGCTTCTCGCTGTATATTCCCCTTGAGGCAGGAAACTCGGGGTCCCTCCCACATACCTACTGCTGACAGAAGCCTCCTCCTGAGGTGCTTCTGGAAAGTTGGCATACGCCTTGAGCCTAAGCCAGGTAATCAGCTCTCATCTCGAGACTATTTGTGGAACACGGAGCATCCCTCGAGTTGCTGTGCTGAAGTTGGTGTTCCTCTAGACTTGGGACAGTGTTCTCGGGGCATCTCTGGAGTTGCCTGAAGGAAGTAGAGCCTCCGGTCGTGTTGAATGGGGAACGGGGAATGGCTCTGGAGCCAATGCAGGGAAATGGGGCCTCAACTCGAGTTGATTTGGGGCACATGGAGCTGCTTTGCGTTGCTGGGGTGACCTCAGGGTCCGTCTAGACTGGTGACAGTGTTCTTCGGGACTGTCTCGAGATCCATTAAGCAAGTTGAAGCTCCTGCCTTGTTTGAATGGGATCACGGAATAGCTCTGCATGCACTGCAGGGGAATGGGTCCTCATCTCGCCTCTAGGGGGAAGTCTCATGGTTTTTCTCGAGTTGCGGCGGGAACCTGGGGTATGTTCTCGACTTACGGCGGGGATGGCCCTTCAAAACATGAGTTTCTTCAGTGACTTCAGGACTCCTGTCTAGTAACGAGGGACACCTCAGGAATCTCTTCGAGGCTTGGCAAGTCAAAAGGGACGCTTCTCGAGGTGAGGCAGGGCACCCAAGGCCCCTTTCCCGTAGCCACAGGGATTTAGGAATTCCTATCAGTATTCAAGAGGAGTCAGGCATCGTCACCTTTTGAAGCAATGAAATCCGCGTGCCTATCAAGGTGTCAGCGGGATGTGAGGCATTCCGTCAAAATGAGGCAGGGACCTAGGGCTTTCTCTAAGGTCTCCACAGGGGATTCAGACATCCCGTCATGTTGTGAGGTGAAAGACGAGCCTGTATTCTAGCCACTGCAAGGAAATCCGGCCTCCTTTCAAGTTAGGGCTTCTCGCTGTATATTCCCCTTGAGGCAGCAAACTCGGGGTCCCTCCCACATACCTATTGCTGAGAGAAGCCTCCTCCTGAGGTGCTTCTGGAAAGTTGGCATACGTCTTGAGCCTAAGCCAGGGAATCAGCTGTCATCTCGAGACGATTTGGCCTACACGGAGCATTCCTCGAGTTGCTGTGCTGAAGTTGGTGTTCCTCTAGACTTGGGACAGTGTTCTCGGGGCATCTCTGGATTTGCCTGAAGGAAGTCGAGCCACCGGTCCTGTTGAATGGGGAACGGGGAATGGCTCTGGAGTCAATGCAGGGGAATCGGGCCTCATCTCGAGTTGATTTGGGGCACATGGAGCTGCTTTGCGTTGCTGGGGTGACCTCAGGGTCCGTCTAGACTGGTGACAGTGTTCTTGGGGACTGTCTCGAGATCCATCAAGCAAGTCGAAGCTCCTGACTTGTTTGATTGGGATCACGGAATAGCTCTGTATGCACTGCAGGTGAATGGGGCCTCATCTCGCCTCTAGGGGTATGTCACATGGTTTTTCTCGACTTGCGACGGGGACCTGGGGTATGTTCTCGACTTATGGCGGGGATGGCCCTTCAAAACACGAGTTTCTTCGGTGACGTCTGGTCTCCTCTCTAGTTACGAGGGACACCTCAGGAATCTCTTCGAGGCTTGGCAGGGCAAAAGGGACGCTTCTCGAGGTGAGGCAGGGCACCCAAGGACCCTTTCCAGTAGCCACAGGGATTTTGGGATTCCTATCAGTATTCAAGAGGAGTCAGGCATCGTCACCTTTTGAAGCAATGAATTCCGCGTGCCTCTCGAGCTGTCAGGGGGATGTGAGGCATTCCGTCAAAATGAGGCAGGGACCTAGGGCTTTCTCTAAGGCCTCCACAGGGGATTCAGACATCCCTTCATGTTGTGAGATGAAAGACGAGCCTGTATTCAAGCCACTGCAAGGAAATCCGGCCTCCTTTCAAGTTAGGGCTTCTCGCTGTATATTCCCCTTGAGGCAGCAAACTCGGGTCCCTCCCACATACCTATTGCTGATAGAAGCCTCTTCCTGAGGTGCTTCTGGAAAGTTGGCATACGTCTTGAGCCTAAGCCAGGGAATCAGCTCTCATCTCGAGACGATTTGGGGTACATGGGGCATTCCTCGAGTTGCTGTGCTGAAGTTGGTGTTCCTCTAGACTTGGGACAGTGTTCTCGGGGCATCTCTGGAGTTGCCTGAAGGAAGTCGAGCCACCGGTCCTGTTGAATGGGGAACGGGGAATGGCTCTGGAGTCAATGCAGGGGAATCGGGCCTCATCTCGAGTTGATTTGGGGCACATGGAGCTCCTTTGCGTTGCTGGGGTGACCTCAGGGTCCGTCTAGACTGGTGACAGTGTTCTCGGGGACTGTCTCGAGACCCATTAAGCAAGTCGAAGCTCCTGACTTGTTTGAATGGGATCACGGAATAGCTCTGCATGCACTGCAGGGGAATGGGGCCTCATCTCGCCTCTAGGGGGAAGTCTAATGGTTTTTCTCGAGTTGCGGCGGGGACCTGAGGTATGTTCTCGACTTACGGCGGGGATGTCCCTTCAAACCCGAGTTTCTTCCGTAACGTCAGGACTCCTGTCTACTAACTAGGGACACCTCAGGAATCTCTTCAAGGCTTGGCAGGGCAAAAGGAACGCTTCTCGAGGTGAGGCAGGGCACCCAAGCACCCTTTCCAGTAGCCACAGGGATTTTGGGATTCCTATCAGTATTCAAGAGGAGTCAGGCATCGTCACCTTTTGAAGCAATGAACTCCGCGTGCCTCTCGAGGAGTCAGCGGGATATGAGGCATTCCGTCAAAAAGAGGCAGGGACCTAGGGCTTTCTCTAAGGTCTCCACAGGGGATTCAGACATCCCTTCATGTTGTGAGATGAAAGACGAGCCTGTATTCAAGCCACTGCAAGGAAATCCGGCCTCCTTTCAAGTTAGGTCTCTCTCTGTATATTCCCCTTCAGGCAACAAACTCGGGGTCCCTCCCACATACCTATTCCTGAGAGAAGCCTCTTCCTGAGGTGCTTCTGGAAAGTTGGCATACGTCTTGAGCCTAAGCCAGGGAATCAGCTCTCATCTCGAGACGATTTGGGGTACATGGGGCATTCCTCGAGTTGCTGTGCTGAAGTTGGTGTTCCTCTAGTCTTGGGACAGTGTTCTCGGGGCATCTCTGGAGTTGCCTGAAGGAAGTCGAGCCACGGTCGTGTTGAATGGGGAACGGGGAATGGCTCTGGAGCCAATGCAGGGGAATGGGGCCTCAACTCGAGTTGATTTGGGGCACATGGAGCTGCTTTGCGTTGCTGGGGTGACCTCAGGGTCCGTCTAGACTGGTGACAGTGTTCTTCGGGACTGTCTCGAGATCCATTAAGCAAGTTGAAGCTCCTGCCTTGTTTGAATGGGATCACGGAATAGCTCTGCATGCACTGCAGTGGAATGGGTCCTCATCTCGCCTCTAGGCGGAAGTCTCATGGTTTTTCTCGAGTTGCGGCGGGAACCTGGGGTATGTTCTCGACTTACGGCGGGGATGGCCTTTCAAAACATGAGTTTCTTCAGTGACTTCAGGACTCCTGTCTAGTAACGAGGGACACCTCAGGAATCTCTTCGAGGCTTGGCAAGGCAAAAGGGACACTTCTCGAGGTGAGGCAGGGCACCCAAGGCCCCTTTCCCGAAGCCACAGGGATTTAGGAATTCCTATCAGTATTCAAGAGGAGTCAGGCATCGTCATCTTTTGAAGCAATGAAATCCGCGTGCCTATCAAGGTGTCAGCGGGATGTGAGGCATTCCGTCAAAATGAGGCAGGGACCTAGGGCTTTCTCTAAGGTCTCCTCAGGGGATTCAGACATCCCGTCATGTTGTGAGGTGAAAGACGAGCCTGTAATCAAGCCACTGCAAGGAAATCCGGCCTCCTTTCAAGTTAGGGGTTCTCGCTGTATATTCCCCTTGAGGCAGCAAACTCGGGGTCCCTCCCACATACCTATTGCTGAGAGAAGCCTCCTCCTGAGGTGCTTCTGGAAAGTTGGCATACGTCTTGAGCCTAAGCCAGGGAATCAGCTGTCATCTCGAGACGATTTGGCGTACACGGAGCATTCCTCGAGTTGCTGTGCTGAAGTTGGTGTTTCTCTAGACTTGGGACAGTGTTCTCGGGGCATCTCTGGAGTTGCCTGAAGGAAGTCGAGCCACCGGTCGTGTTGAATGGGGAACGGGGAATGGCTCTGGCGTCAATGCAGGGGAATCGGGCCTCATCTCGAGTTGATTTGGGGCACATGGAGCTGCTTTGCATTGCTGGGGTGACCTCAGGGTCCGTCTAGACTGGTGACAGTGTTCTTGGGAACTGTCTTGAGATCCATTAAGCAAGTCGAAGCTCCTGACTTGTTTGAATGGGATCACGGAATAGCTCTGCATGCACTGCAGGGGAATGGGGCCTCATCTCGCCAATAGGGGGAAGTCTCATGGTTTTTCTCGAGTTGCGGCGGGGACCTGGGGTATGTTCTCGACTTACTGCAGGGATGGCCCTACAAAACACGCGTTTCTTCACTGACGTCAGGACTCCTGTCTAGTAAAGAAGGACACCTCAGGAATCTCTTCGAGGCTTGGCAGGGCAAAGGGACGCTTCTCTGGGTGAGGCAGGGCACCCAAGGACCCATTCCTGTAGCCACAGGGATTTTGGGATTCCTATCAGTATTCAAGAGGAGTCAGGCACGATCACCTTTTGAAGCAATGAACTCCGCGTGCCTCTCGAGGTGTCAGCGGGATGTGAGGCATTCAGTCAAAATGAGGCAGGGACCTAGGGCTTTCTCTAAGGTCTCCACAGGGGATTCAGACATCCCTTCATGTTGTGAGATGAAAGACGAGCCTGTATTCAAGCCACTGCAAGGAAATGCGGCCTCCTTTCAAGTTAGGGCTTCTCGCTGTATATTCCCCTTGAGGCAGCAAACTCGGGTCCCTCCCACATACCTGTTGCTGAGAGAAGCCTCCTCCTGAGGTGCTTCTGGAAAGTTGGTATACGTCTTGAGTCTAAGCCAGGGAATCAGCTCTCATCTCGAGACGATTTGGGGTACACGGAGCATTCCTCAAGTTGCTGTGCTGAAGTTGGTGTTATTCTAGACTTGGGACAGTGTTCTCGGGGCATTGCTGGAGTTGCCTGAAGGAAGTCGAGCCACCGGTCGTGTTGAATGGGGAACGGGGAATGGCTCTGGAGTGAATGCAGGGGAATCGGGCCTCATCTCGAGTTGATTTGGGGCACATGAAGCTGCTTTGCGTTGCTGGGGTGACCTCAGGGTCCGTCTAGACTGGTGACAGTGTTCTTGGGGACTGTCTCGAGATCCATTAAGCAAGTCGAAGCTCCTGACTTGTTTGAATGGGATCACGGAATAGCTCTGCATGCACTGCAGGGGAATGGGGCCTCATCTCGCCTCTAGGGGGAAGTCTCATGGTTTTTCTCGAGTTGCGGCGGGGACCTGGGGTACGTTCTCGACTTACCGCGGGGATGGCCCTTCAAAACACGAGTTTCTTCAGTGACGTCAGGACTCCTGTCTAGTAACGAGGGACACCTCAGGAATCTCTTCGAGGCTTGGCAGGGCAAAAGGGACGATTCTCGAGGTGAGGCAGGGCACCCAAGGACCCTTTCCCGTAGCCACAGGGATTTTGGGATTCCTATCAGTATTCAAGAGGAGTCAGGCATCGTCACCTTTTGAAGCAATGAACTCCGCGTGCCTCTCGAGGTGTCAGCGGGATGTGAGGCATTCCGTCAAAATGAGGCAGGGACCTAGGTCTTTCTCTAAGGTCTCCACAGGGGATTCAGACATCCCTTCATGTTGTGAGATGAAAGACGAGCCTGTATTCAAGCCACTGCAAGGAAATGCGGCCTCCTTTCAAGTTAGGGCTTCTCGCTGTATATTCCCCTTGAGGCAGCAAACTCGGGTCCCTCCCACATACCTATTGCTGTGAGAAGCCTCCTCCTGAGGTGCTTCTGGAAAGTTGGCATACGTCTTGAGCCTAAGCCAGGGAATCAGCTCTCATCTCGAGACGATTTGGGGTACACGGAGCATTCCTCGAGTTGCTGTGCTGAAGTTGGTGTTTCTCTAGACTTGGGACAGTGTTCTCGGGGCATCTCTGGAGGTGCCTGAAGGAAGTTGAGCCACCGGTCGTGTTGAATGGGGAACGGGGAATGGCTCTGGAGTCAATGCAGGGGAATCGGGCCTCATCTCGAGTTGATTTGGGGCACATGGAGCTGCTTTGCGTTGCTGGGGTGAACTCAGGGTCCGTCTAGACTGGTGACAGTGTTCTTGGGGACTGTCTCGAGATCCATTAAGAAGTCGAAGCTCCTGACTTGTTTGAATGGGATCACGGGATAGCTCTGCATGCACTGCAGGGGAATTGGGCCTCATCTCGCCTCTAGGGGGAAGTCTCATGGTTTTTCTCGAGTTGAGGCGGGGACCTGCGGTATGTTCTCCACTTACGGCGGGGATGGCCCTTCAAAACACGAGTTTCTTCAGTGACGTCAGGACTCCTGTCTAGTAATGAGGGACACCTCAGGAATCTCTTCGAGGGTTGACAGGGCAAAAGGGACGCTTCTCGAGGTGAGGCAGGGTACCCAAGGACCCTTTCCAGTAGCCACAGCGATTTTGGGATTCCTATCAGTATTCAAGAGCAGTCAGGCATCGTCACCTTTTGAAGCAATGAACTCCGCGTGCCTCTCGAGGTGTCAGCGGGATGTGAGGCATTCCGTCAAAATGAGGCAGGGACCTAGGGCTTTCTCTAAGGTCTCCACAGGGGATTCAGACATCCCTTCATGTTGTGAGATGAAAGACGAGCCTGTATTCAAGCCGCTGCAAGGAAATCCGGCCTCCTTTCAAGTTAGGGCTTCTCGCTGTATATTCCCCTTGAGGCAGCAAACTCGGGTCCCACCCACATACCTATTGCTGAGAGAAGCCTCCTCCTGAGGTGCTTCTGGAAAGTTGGCATAAGTCTTGAGCCTAAGCCAGGGATTCAGCTCTCATCTCGAGACGATTTGGGGTACAGAGAGCATTCTTCGAGTTGCTGTACTGAGTTGGTGTTCCTCTAGACTTGGGACAGTGTTCTCGGGGCATCTCTGGAGTTGCCTGAAGGAAGTCGAGCCACCGGTCGTGTTGAATGGGGAACGGGGAATGGCTCTGGCGTCAATGCAGGGGAATCGGGCCTCATCTCGAGTTGATTTGGGGCACATGGAGCTGCTTTGCTTTGCTGGGGTGACCTCAGGGTCCGCCTAGACTGGTGACAGTGTTCTTGGGGACTCTCTCGAGATCCATTAAGCAAGTCGAAGCTCTTGAGTTGTTTGAATGGGATCACGGGATAGCTCTGCATGCACTGCAGGGGAATGGGGCCTCATCTCGCCTAAAGGGTTAAGTCTCATGGTTTTTCTTAAGTTGAGGCGGGGACCTGGGGTATGTTCCGACTTACGGCGGGGATGGCCCTTCAAAACACGAGTTTCTTCAATGAAGTCAGGAGTCCTGTCTACTAATGAGGGACACCTCAGGAATCTCTTCGAGGCTTCGCAGGGCAAAAGGGACGCTTCTCGAGGTGAGGCAGGGCAACCAAGGACACTTTCCAGTAGCCACAGGGATTTTGGGATTCCTATCAGTATTCAAGAGGAGTCAGGCATCGTCACCTTTTGAAGCAATGAACTCCGCGTGCCTCTCGAGGTGTCAGCGGGATGTGAGGCATTCCGTCAAAATGAGGCAGGGACCTAGGGCTTTCTCTAAGGTCTCCACAGGGGATTCAGACATCCCTTCATGTTGTGAGATGAAAGACGAGCCTGTATTCAAGCCACTGCAAGGAAATCCGGCCTCCTTTCAAGTTAGGGCTTCTCGCTGTATATTCCCCTTGAGGCAGCAAACTCGGGGTCCCTTCCACATACCTATTGCTGAGAGAAGCCTCCTCCTGAGGTGCTTCTGGAAAGTTGGCATACGTCTTGAGCCTAAGCCAGGGAATCAGCTCTCATCTCGAGACGATTTGGGGTACACGGAGCATTCCTCGAGTTGCTGTGCTGAAGTTGGTGTTCCTCTAGACTTGGGACAGTGTTCTCCGGGCATCTCTGGAGTTGCCTGAAGGAAGTCGAGCCACCGGTCCTGTTGAATGGGGAACGGGGAATGGCTCTGGAGTCAATGCAGGGGAATCGGGCCTCATCTCGAGTTGATTTGGGGCACATGGAGCTGCTTTGCGTTGCTGGGGTGACCTCAGGGTCCGTCTAGACTGGTGACAGTGTTCTCGGGGACTGTCTCGAGATCCATTAAGCAAGTCGAAGCTCCTGACTTGTTTGAATAGGATCACGGAATAGCTCTGCATGCACTGCAGGGGAATGGGGCCTCATCTCGCCTCTAGGGGGAAGTCTCATAGTTTTTCTCGAGTTGCGGCGGGGACCTGAGGTATGTTCTCGACTTACGGCGGGGATGGCCCTTCAAACCCGAGTTTCTTCCGTGACGTCAGGACTCCTGTCTACTAACGAGGGACACCTCAGGAATCTCTTCGAGGCTTGGCAGGGCAAAAGGGACGCTTCTCGAGGTGAGGCAGGGCACCAAAGGACCCTTTCCCGTAGCCACAGGGATTTAGGAATTCCTACCAGTATTCAAGAGGAGTCAGGCATGGTCACCTTTTGAAGCAATGAACTCCGCGTGCCTCTCGAGGTGTCAGCGGGATGTGAGGCATTCCATCAAAATGAGGCAGGGACCTAGGGCTTTCTCTAAGGTCTACTCAGGGGATTCAGACATCCCTTCATGTTGTGAGGTGAAAGACGAGCCTGTATTCTAGCCACAGCAAGGAAATCCGGCCTCCTTTCAAGTTAGGGCTTCTCGCTGTATATTCCCCTTGAGGCAGCAAACTCGGGGTCCCTCCCACATACCTATTGCTGAGAGAAGCCTCCTCCTGAGGTGCTTCTGGAAAGTTGGCATACGTCTTGATCCTAAGCCAGGGAATCAGCTGTCATCTCGAGACGATTTGGCATACACGGAGCATTCCTCGTGTTGCTGTGCTGAAGTTGGTGTTTCTCTACACTTGGGACAGTGTTCTCGGGGCATCTCTGGAGTTGCCTGAAGGAAGTCGAGCCACCGGTCGTGTTGAATGGGGAACGGGGAATGGCTCTGGAGTCAATGCAGGGGAATCGGGCCTCATCTCGAGTTGATTTGGGGCACATGGAGCTGATTTGCGTTGCTGGCGTGACCTTATGGGCCGTCTAGACTGGTGACAGTGTTCTTGGGGACTGTCTCGAGATCCATTAAGCAAGTCGAAGTTCCTGACTTGTTTGAATGGGATCACGGAATAGCTCTGCATGCACTGCAGGGGAATGGGTCCTCATCTCGCCTCTAGGGGGAAGTCTCATGGTTTTTCTTGAGTTGCGGCGGGGACCTGGGGTATGTTCCCGACTTACGGCGGGGATGGCCCTTCAAAACACGAGTTTCTTCAGTGACGTCAGGACTCATGTCTAGTAAAGAAGGACACCTCAGGAATCTCTTCGAGGCTTGGCAGGGCAAAAGGGACGCTTCTCTGGGTGAGGCAGGGCAACCAAGGACCCTTTCCAGTAGCCACAGGGATTTTTGGATTCCTATCAGTATTCAAGAGGAGTCAGGCATCATCACCTTTTGAAGCAATGAACTCCGCGTGCCTCTCGAGGTGTCAGCGGGATGTGAGGCATTCTGTCAAAACGAGGCAGGGACCTAGGGCTTTCTCTAAGGTCTCCACAGGGGATTCAGACATCCCTTCATGTTGTGAGATGAAAGACGAACCTGTATTCAAGCCACTGCAAGGAAATCCGGCCTCCTTTCAAGTTAGGGCTTCTCGCTGTATATTCCCCTTGAGGCAGCAAACTCGGGGTCCCTCCCACATACCTATTGCTGAGAGAAGCCTCCTCCTGAGTTGTTTCTGGAAAGTTGGCATACGTCTTGAGCCTAAGCCAGGGAATCAGCTCTCATCTCGAGACGATTTGGGGTACACGGGGCATTCCTCGAGTTGCTGTGCTGAAGTTGGTGTTCCTCTAGACTTGGGACAGTGCTCTCGGGGCATCTCTGGATTTGCCTGAAGGAAGTCGAGCCACCGGTCGTGTTGAATGGGGAACGGGGAATGGCTCTGGAGTCAATGCAGGGGAATCGGGCCTCATCTCGAGTTGATTTGGGGCACATGGAGCTGCTTTGCTTTGCTGGGGTGACCTCAGGGTCCGTCTAGACTGGTGACAGTGTTCTTGGGGACTGTCTCGAGATCCATTAAGCAAGTCGAAGCTCCTGACTTGTTTGAATGGGATCACGGAATAGCTCTGCATGCACTGCAGGGGAATGGGGCCTCATCTCGCCTCTAGGGGGAAGTCTCATTGTTTTTCTCGAGTTGCGGCGGGGACCTGGGGTATGTTCTCGATTAACGGCGGGGATGGCCCTTCAAACCCGAGTTTCTTCTGTGACGTCAGGACTCCAGTCTACTAACGAGGGACACCTCAGGAATCTCTTCGAGGCTTGGCAGGGCAAAAGGGACGCTTCTCGAGGTTAGGCAGGGCACCCAAGGACCCTTTCCAGTAGCCACAGGAATTTGGGATTCCTATCAGTATTCAAGAGGAGTCAGGCATCGTCACCTTTTGAAGCAATGAACTCCGCGTGCCTCTCAAGGTGTCAGCAGGATGTGAGGCATTCCGTCAAAAAGAGGCAGGGACGTAGGGCTTTCTCTAAGGTCTCCACAGGGGATTCAGACATCCCTTCATGTTGTGAGATGAAAGACGAGCCTGTATTCAAGCCACTGCAAGGAAATCCGGCCTCCTTTCAAGTTAGGGCTTCTCGCTGTATATTCCCCTTGAGGCAGGAAACTCGGGGTCCCTCCCACATACCTACTGCTGACAGAAGCCTCCTCCTGAGGTGCTTCTGGAAAGTTGGCATACGCCTTGAGCCTAAGCCAGGTAATCAGCTCTCATCTCGAGACTATTTGTGGAACACGGAGCATCCCTCGAGTTGCTGTGCTGAAGTTGGTGTTCCTCTAGACTTGGGACAGTGTTCTCGGGGCATCTCTGGAGTTGCCTGAAGGAAGTAGAGCCTCCGGTCGTGTTGAATGGGGAACGGGGAATGGCTCTGGAGCCAATGCAGGGGAATGGGGCCTCAACTCGAGTTGATTTGGGGCACATGGAGCTGCTTTGCGTTGCTGGGGTGACCTCAGGGTCCGTCTAGACTGGTGACAGTGTTCTTCGGGACTGTCTCGAGATCCATTAAGCAAGTTGAAGCTCCTGCCTTGTTTGAATGGGATCACGGAATAGCTCTGCATGCACTGCAGGGGAATGGGTCCTCATCTCGCCTCTAGGGGGAAGTCTCATGGTTTTTCTCGAGTTGCGGCGGGAACCTGGGGTATGTTCTCGACTTACGGCGGGGATGGCCCTTCAAAACATGAGTTTCTTCAGTGACTTCAGGACTCCTGTCTAGTAACGAGGGACACCTCAGGAATCTCTTCGAGGCTTGGCAAGTCAAAAGGGACGCTTCTCGAGGTGAGGCAGGGCACCCAAGGCCCCTTTCCCGTAGCCACAGGGATTTAGGAATTCCTATCAGTATTCAAGAGGAGTCAGGCATCGTCACCTTTTGAAGCAATGAAATCCGCGTGCCTATCAAGGTGTCAGCGGGATGTGAGGCATTCCGTCAAAATGAGGCAGGGACCTAGGGCTTTCTCTAAGGTCTCCACAGGGGATTCAGACATCCCGTCATGTTGTGAGGTGAAAGACGAGCCTGTATTCTAGCCACTGCAAGGAAATCCGGCCTCCTTTCAAGTTAGGGCTTCTCGCTGTATATTCCCCTTGAGGCAGCAAACTCGGGGTCCTTCCCACATACCTATTGCTGAGAGAAGCCTCCTCCTGAGGTGCTTCTGGAAAGTTGGCATACGTCTTGAGCCTAAGCCAGGGAATCAGCTGTCATCTCGAGACGATTTGGCCTACACGGAGCATTCCTCGAGTTGCTGTGCTGAAGTTGGTGTTCCTCTAGACTTGGGACAGTGTTCTCGGGGCATCTCTGGATTTGCCTGAAGGAAGTCGAGCCACCGGTCCTGTTGAATGGGGAACGGGGAATGGCTCTGGAGTCAATGCAGGGGAATCGGGCCTCATCTCGAGTTGATTTGGGGCACATGGAGCTGCTTTGCGTTGCTGGGGTGACCTCAGGGTCCGTCTAGACTGGTGACAGTGTTCTTGGGGACTGTCTCGAGATCCATCAAGCAAGTCGAAGCTCCTGACTTGTTTGATTGGGATCACGGAATAGCTCTGTATGCACTGCAGGTGAATGGGGCCTCATCTCGCCTCTAGGGGTATGTCACATGGTTTTTCTCGACTTGCGACGGGGACCTGGGGTATGTTCTCGACTTATGGCGGGGATGGCCCTTCAAAACACGAGTTTCTTCGGTGACGTCTGGTCTCCTCTCTAGTTACGAGGGACACCTCAGGAATCTCTTCGAGGCTTGGCAGGGCAAAAGGGACGCTTCTCGAGGTGAGGCAGGGCACCCAAGGACCCTTTCCAGTAGCCACAGGGATTTTGGGATTCCTATCAGTATTCAAGAGGAGTCAGGCATCGTCACCTTTTGAAGCAATGAATTCCGCGTGCCTCTCGAGCTGTCAGGGGGATGTGAGGCATTCCGTCAAAATGAGGCAGGGACCTAGGGCTTTCTCTAAGGCCTCCACAGGGGATTCAGACATCCCTTCATGTTGTGAGATGAAAGACGAGCCTGTATTCAAGCCACTGCAAGGAAATCCGGCCTCCTTTCAAGTTAGGGCTTCTCGCTGTATATTCCCCTTGAGGCAGCAAACTCGGGTCCCTCCCACATACCTATTGCTGATAGAAGCCTCTTCCTGAGGTGCTTCTGGAAAGTTGGCATACGTCTTGAGCCTAAGCCAGGGAATCAGCTCTCATCTCGAGACGATTTGGGGTACATGGGGCATTCCTCGAGTTGCTGTGCTGAAGTTGGTGTTCCTCTAGACTTGGGACAGTGTTCTCGGGGCATCTCTGGAGTTGCCTGAAGGAAGTCGAGCCACCGGTCCTGTTGAATGGGGAACGGGGAATGGCTCTGGAGTCAATGCAGGGGAATCGGGCCTCATCTCGAGTTGATTTGGGGCACATGGAGCTCCTTTGCGTTGCTGGGGTGACCTCAGGGTCCGTCTAGACTTGTGACAGTGTTCTCGGGGACTGTCTCGAGACCCATTAAGCAAGTCGAAGCTCCTGACTTGTTTGAATGGGATCACGGAATAGCTCTGCATGCACTGCAGGGGAATGGGGCCTCATCTCGCCTCTAGGGGGAAGTCTAATGGTTTTTCTCGAGTTGCGGCGGGGACCTGAGGTATGTTCTCGACTTACGGCGGGGATGTCCCTTCAAACCCGAGTTTCTTCCGTAACGTCAGGACTCCTGTCTACTAACTAGGGACACCTCAGGAATCTCTTCAAGGCTTGGCAGGGCAAAAGGAACGCTTCTCGAGGTGAGGCAGGGCACCCAAGCACCCTTTCCAGTAGCCACAGGGATTTTGGGATTCCTATCAGTATTCAAGAGGAGTCAGGCATCGTCACCTTTTGAAGCAATGAACTCCGCGTGCCTCTCGAGGAGTCAGCGGGATATGAGGCATTCCGTCAAAAAGAGGCAGGGACCTAGGGCTTTCTCTAAGGTCTCCACAGGGGATTCAGACATCCCTTCATGTTGTGAGATGAAAGACGAGCCTGTATTCAAGCCACTGCAAGGAAATCCGGCCTCCTTTCAAGTTAGGTCTCTCTCTGTATATTCCCCTTCAGGCAACAAACTCGGGGTCCCTCCCACATACCTATTCCTGAGAGAAGCCTCCTCCTGAGGTGCTTCTGGAAAGTTGGCATACGTCTTGAGCCTAAGCCAGGGAATCAGCTCTCATCTCGAGACGATTTGGGGTACATGGGGCATTCCTCGAGTTGCTGTGCTGAAGTTGGTGTTCCTCTAGTCTTGGGACAGTGTTCTCGGGGCATCTCTGGAGTTGCCTGAAGGAAGTCGAGCCACGGTCGTGTTGAATGGGGAACGGGGAATGGCTCTGGAGCCAATGCAGGGGAATGGGGCCTCAACTCGAGTTGATTTGGGGCACATGGAGCTGCTTTGCGTTGCTGGGGTGACCTTAGGGTCCGTCTAGACTGGTGACAGTGTTCTTGGGGACTGTCTCGAGATCCATTAAGCAAGTCGAAGCTCCTGACTTGTTTGAATGGGATCACGGAATAGCTCTGCATGCACTGCAGGGGAATGGGGCCTCATCTCGCCTAAAGGGTTAAGTCTCATGGTTTTTCTCGAGTTGCGGCGGGGACCTGGGGTATGTTCCGACTTACGGCGGGGATGGCCCTTCAAAACACGAGTTTCTTCAATGAAGTCAGGAGTCCTGTCTACTAATGAGGGACACCTCAGGAATCTCTTCGAGGCTTGGCAGGGCAAAAGGGACGCTTCTCGAGGTGAGGCAGGGCAACCAAGGACACTTTCCAGTAGCCACAGGGATTTTGGGATTCCTATCAGTATTCAAGAGGAGTCAGGCATCGTCACCTTTTGAAGCAATGAACTCCGCGTGCCTCTCGAGGTGTCAGCGGGATGTGAGGCATTCCGTCAAAATGAGGCAGGGACCTAGGGCTTTCTCTAAGGTCTCCACAGGGGTTCAGACATCCCTTCATGTTGTGAGATGAAAGACGAGCCTGTATTCAAGCCACTGCAAGGAAATCCGGCCTCCTTTCAAGTTAGGGCTTCTCGCTGTATATTCCCCTTGAGGCAGCAAACTCGGGGTCCCTTCCACATACCTATTGCTGAGAGAAGCCTCCTCCTGAGGTGCTTCTGGAAAGTTGGCATACGTCTTGAGCCTAAGCCAGGGAATCAGCTCTCATCTCGAGACGATTTGGGGTACACGGAGCATTCCTCGAGTTGCTGTGCTGAAGTTGGTGTTCCTCTAGACTTGGGACAGTGTTCTCGGGGCATCTCTGGAGTTGCCTGAAGGAAGTCGAGCCACCGGTCGTGTTGAATGTGGAACGGGGAATGTCTCTGGAGTCAATGCAGGGGAATCGGGCCTCATCTCGAGTTGATTTGGGGCACATGGAGCTGCTTTGCGTTGCTGGCGTGACCTCAGGGTCCGTCTAGACTGGTGACAGTGTTCTTGGGTACTGTCTCGAGATCCATTAAGCAAGTCGAAGCTCCTGACTTGTATGAATGGGATCACGGGATAGCTCTGCATGCACTGCAGGGGAATGGGGCCTCATCTCGCCTCTAGGGGGAAGTCTCATGGTTTTTCTCGAGTTGAGGCGGGGACCTGGGGTATGTTCTCGACTTACGGCGGGGATGGCCCTTCAAAACACGAGTTTCTTCAGTGACGTCAGGACTCCTGTCTAGTAATGAGGGACACCTCAGGAATCTCTTCGAGGCTTGGCAGGGCAAAAGGAACGCTTCTCGAGGTGAGGCAGGGCCCCCAAGGACCCTTTCCAGTAGCCACAGCGATTTTGGGATTCCTATCAGTATTCAAGAGGAGTCAGGCATCGTCACCTTTTGAAGCAATGAACTCCGCGTGCCTCTCGAGGTGTCAGTGGGATGTGAGGCATTCCGTCAAAATGAGGCAGGGACCTAGGGCTTTCTCTAAGGTCTCCACAGGGGATTCAGACATCCCTTCATGTTGTGAGATGAAAGACGAGCCTGTATTCAAGCCACAGCAAGGAAATGCGGCCTCCTTTCAAGTTAGGGCTTCTCGCTGTATATTCCCCTTGAGGCAGCAAACTCGGGGTCCCTTCCACATACCTATTGCTGAGAGAAGCCTCCTCCTGAGGTGCTTCTGGAAAGTTGGCATACGCCTTGAGCCTAATCCAGGGAATCAGCTCTCATCTCGAGACAATTTGGGGTACACGGAGCATTCCTCGAGTTGCTGTGCTGAAGTTGGTGTTCCTCTAGACTTGGGACAGTGTTCTCGGGGCATCTCTGGAGTTGCCTGAAGGAAGTCGAGCCACCGGTCGTGTTGAATGGGGAACGGGGAATGGCTCTGGAGTCAATGCAGGGGAATCGGGCCTCATCTCGAGTTGATTTCGGGCACATGGAGCTGCTTTGCGTTGCTGGGGTGACCTCAGGGTCCGTCTAGACTGGTGACAGTGTTCTTGGGGACTGTCTCGAGATCCATTAAGCAAGTCGAAGCTCCTGACTTGTATGAATGGGATCACGGGATAGCTCTGCATGCACTGCAGGGGAATGGGGCCTCATCTCGCCTCTAGGGGGAAGTCTCATGGTTTTTCTCGAGTTGAGGCGGGGACCTGGGGTATGTTCTCGACTTACGGCGGGGATGGCCCTTCAAAACACGAGTTTCTTCAGTGACGTCAGGACTCCTGTCTAGTAATGAGGGACACCTCAGGAATCTCTTCGAGGCTTGGCAGGGCAAAAGGAACGCTTCTCGAGGTGAGGCAGGGCACCCAAGGACCCTTTCCAGTAGCCACAGCGATTTTGGGATTCCTATCAGTATTCAAGAGGAGTCAGGCATCGTCACCTTTTGAAGCAATGAACTCCGCGTGCCTCTCGAGGTGTCAGCGGGATGTGAGGCATTCCGTCAAAATGAGGCAGGGACCTAGGGCTTTCTCTAAGGTCTCCACAGGGGATTCAGACATCCCTTCATGTTGTGAGATGAAAGACGAGCCTGTATTCAAGCCACAGCAAGGAAATGCGGCCTCCTTTCAAGTTAGGGCTTCTCGCTGTATATTCCCCTTGAGGCAGCAAACTCGGGGTCCCTTCCACATACCTATTGGTGAGAGAAGCCTCCTCCTGAGGTGCTTCTGGAAAGTTGGCATACGCCTTGAGCCTAATCCAGGGAATCAGCTCTCATCTCGAGACAATTTGGGGTACATGGAGCATTCCTCGAGTTGCTGTGCTGAAGTTGGTGTTCCTCTAGACTTGGGACAGTGTTCTCGGGGCATCTCTGGAGTTGCCTGAAGGAAGTCGAGCCACCGGTCGTGTTGAATGGGGAACGGGGAATGGCTCTGGAGTCAATGCAGGGGAATCGGGCCTCATCTCGAGTTGATTTCGGGCACATGGAGCTGCTTTGCGTTGCTGGGGTGACCTCAGGGTCCGTCTAGACTGGTGACAGTGTTCTTGGGGACTGTCTCGAGATCCATTAAGCAAGTCGAAGCTCCTGACTTGTTTGAATGGGATCACGGGATAGCTCTGCATGCACTGCAGGTGATTGGGGCCTCATCTCGCCTCTAGGGGGAAGTCTCATGGTTTTTCTCGAGTTGAGGCAGGGACCTGGGGTATGTTCTCGACTTACGGCGGGGATGGCCCTTCAAAACACGAGTTTCTTCAGTGACGTCAGGACTCCTGTCTAGTAATGAGGGACACCTCAGGAATCTCTTCGAGGCTTGGCAGGGCAAAAGGGACGCTTCTCGAGGTGAGGCAGGGTACCCAAGGACCCTTTCCAGTAGCCACAGCGATTTTGGGATTCCTATCAGTATTCAAGATGAGTCAGGCATCGTCACCTTTTGAAGCAATGAACTCCGCGTGCCTCTCGAGGTGTCAGCGGGATGTGAGGCATTCCGTCAAAATTAGGCAGGGACCTAGGGCTTTCTCTAAGGTCTCCACAGGGGATTCAGACATCCCTTCATGTTGTGAGATGAAAGACGAGCCTGTATTCAAGCCACTGCAAGGAAATGCGGCCTCCTTTCAAGTTAGGGCTTCTCGCTGTATATTCCCCTTGAGGCAGCAAACTCGGGTCCCTCCCACATACCTATTGCTGTGAGAAGCCTCCTCCTGAGGTGCTTCTGGAAAGTTGGCATAAGTCTTGAGCCTAAGCCAGGGAATCAGCTCTCATCTCGAGACGATTTGGGGTACACGGAGCATTCCTCGAGTTGCTGTGCTGAAGTTGGTGTTTCTCTAGACTTGGGACAGTGTTCTCGGGGCATCTCTGGAGGTGCCTGAAGGAAGTTAAGCCACCGGTCGTGTTGAATGGGGAACGGGGAATGGCTCTGGAGTCAATGCAGGGGAATCGGGCCTCATCTCGAGTTGATTTGGGGCACATGGAGCTGCTTTGCGTTGCTGGGGTGAACTCAGGGTCCGTCTAGACTGGTGACAGTGTTCTTGGGGACTGTCTCGAGATCCATTAAGAAGTCGAAGCTCCTGACTTGTTTGAATGGGATCACGGGATAGCTCTGCATGCACTGCAGGGGAATTGGGCCTCATCTCGCCTCTAGGGGGAAGTCTCATGGTTTTTCTCGAGTTGAGGCGGGGACCTGCGGTATGTTCTCCACTTACGGCGGGGATGGCCCTTCAAAACACGAGTTTCTTCAGTGACGTCAGGACTCCTGTCTAGTAACGAGGGACACCTCAGGAATCTCTTCGAGGCTTGGCAGGGCAAAAGGGACGCTTCTCGAGGTGAGGCAGGGTACCCAAGGACCCTTTCCAGTAGCCACAGCGATTTTGGGATTCCTATCAGTATTCAAGAGCAGTCAGGCATCGTCACCTTTTGAAGCAATGAACTCCGCGTGCCTCTCGAGGTGTCAGCGGGATGTGAGGCATTCCGTCAAAATGAGGCAGGGACCTAGGGCTTTCTCTAAGGTCTCCACAGGGGATTCAGACATCCCTTCATGTTGTGAGATGAAAGACGAGCCTGTATTCAAGCCGCTGCAAGGAAATCCGGCCTCCTTTCAAGTTAGGGCTTCTCGCTGTATATTCCCCTTGAGGCAGCAAACTCGGGTCCCACCCACATACCTATTGCTGAGAGAAGCCTCCTCCTGAGGTGCTTCTGGAAAGTTGGCATAAGTCTTGAGCCTAAGCCAGGGATTCAGCTCTCATCTCGAGACGATTTGGGGTACAGAGAGCATTCTTCGAGTTGCTGTACTGAGTTGGTGTTCCTCTAGACTTGGGACAGTGTTCTCGGGGCATCTCTGGAGTTGCCTGAAGGAAGTCGAGCCACCGGTCGTGTTGAATGGGGAACGGGGAATGGCTCTGGCGTCAATGCAGGGGAATCGGGCCTCATCTCGAGTTGATTTGGGGCACATGGAGCTGCTTTGCTTTGCTGGGGTGACCTCAGGGTCCGCCTAGACTGGTGACAGTGTTCTTGGGGACTCTCTCGAGATCCATTAAGCAAGTCGAAGCTCTTGAGTTGTTTGAATGGGATCACGGGATAGCTCTGCATGCACTGCAGGGGAATGGGGCCTCATCTCGCCTAAAGGGTTAAGTCTCATGGTTTTTCTTAAGTTGAGGCGGGGACCTGGGGTATGTTCTCGACTTACGGCGGGGATGGCCCTTCAAAACACGAGTTTCTTCTGTGACGTCAGGATTCCTGTCTAGTAATGAGGGACACCTCAGGAATCTCTTCGAGGCTTGGCAGGGCAAAAGGGACGCTTCTCGAGGTGAGGCAGGGCACTGAAGGACACTTTCCAGTAACCACAGGGATTTTGGGATTCCTATCAGTATTCAAGAGGAGTCAGGAATCGTCACCTTTTGAAGCAATGAACTCCACGTGCCTCTCGAGGTGTCAGCGGGATGTGAGGCATTCCGTCAAAATGAGGCAGGGACCTAGGGCTTTCTCTAAGGTCTCCACAGGGGATTCAGACATCCCTTCATGTTGTGAGATGAAAGACGAGCCTGTATTCAAGCCACTGCAAGGAAATCCGGCCTCCTTTCAAGTTAGGGCTTCTCGCTGTATATTCCCCTTGAGGCAGCAAACTCGGGGTCCCTTCCACATACCTATTGCTGAGAGAAGCCTCCTCCTGAGGTGCTTCTGGAAATTTGGCATACGTCTTGAGCCTAAGCCAGGGAATCAGCTGTCATCTCGAGACGATTTGGGGTACACGGAGCATTCCTCGAGTTGCTGTGCTGAAGTTGGTGTTCCTCTAGACTTGGGACAGTGTTCTCGGGGCATCTCTGGAGTTGCCTGAAGGAAGTCGAGCCACCGGTCGTGTTGAATGGGGAACGGGGAATGGCTCTGGAGTCAATGCAGGGGAATCGGGCCTCATCTCGAGTTGATTTGGGGCACATGGAGCGGCTTTGCGTTGCTGGGGTGACCTCAGGGTCCGTCTAGACTGGTGACAGTGTTCCTGGGGACTGTCTCGAGATCCATTAAGCAAGTCGAAGCTCCTGACTTGTATGAATGGGATCACGGGATAGCTCTGCATGCACTGCAGGGGAATGGGGCCTCATCTCGCCTCTAGGGGGAAGTCTCATGGTTTTTCTCGAGTTGAGGCGGGGACCTGGGGTATGTTCTCGACTTACGGCGGGGATGGCCCTTCAAAACACGAGTTTCTTCAGTGACGTCAGGACTCCTGTCTAGTAATGAGGGACACCTCAGGAATCTCTTCGAGGCTTGGCAGGGCAAAAGGGACGCTTCTCGAGGTGAGGCAGGGCAACCAAGGACACTTTCCAGTAGCCACAGGGATTTTGGGATTCCTATCAGTATTCAAGAGGAGTCAGGCATCGTCACCTTTTGAAGCAATGAACTCCGCGTGCCTCTCGAGGTGTCAGCGGGATGTGAGGCATTCCGTCAAAATGAGGCAGGGACCTAGGGCTTTCTCTAAGGTCTCCACAGGGGATTCAGACATCCCTTCATGTTGTGAGATGAAAGACGAGCCTGTATTCAAGCCACAGCAAGGAAATGCGGCCTCCTTTCAAGTTAGGGCTTCTCGCTGTATATTCCCCTTGAGGCAGCAAACTCGGGGTCCCTTCCACATACCTATTGGTGAGAGAAGCCTCCTCCTGAGGTGCTTCTGGAAAGTTGGCATACGCCTTGAGCCTAATCCAGGGAATCAGCTCTCATCTCGAGACAATTTGGGGTACATGGAGCATTCCTCGAGTTGCTGTGCTGAAGTTGGTGTTCCTCTAGACTTGGGACAGTGTTCTCGGGGCATCTCTGGAGTTGCCTGAAGGAAGTCGAGCCACCGGTCGTGTTGAATGGGGAACGGGGAATGGCTCTGGAGTCAATGCAGGGGAATCGGGCCTCATCTCGAGTTGATTTCGGGCACATGGAGCTGCTTTGCGTTGCTGGGGTGACCTCAGGGTCCGTCTAGACTGGTGACAGTGTTCTTGGGGACTGTCTCGAGATCCATTAAGCAAGTCGAAGCTCCTGACTTGTTTGAATGGGATCACGGGATAGCTCTGCATGCACTGCAGGTGATTGGGGCCTCATCTCGCCTCTAGGGGGAAGTCTCATGGTTTTTCTCGAGTTGAGGCGGGGACCTGGGGTATGTTCTCGACTTACGGCGGGGATGGCCCTTCAAAACACGAGTTTATTCAGTGACGTCAGGACTCCTGTCTAGTAATGAGGGACACCTCAGGAATCTCTTCGAGGCTTGGCAGGGCAAAAGGGACGCTTCTCGAGGTGAGGCAGGGTACCCAAGGACCCTTTCCAGTAGCCACAGCGATTTTGGGATTCCTATCAGTATTCAAGATGAGTCAGGCATCGTCACCTTTTGAAGCAATGAACTCCGCGTGCCTCTCGAGGTGTCAGCGGGATGTGAGGCATTCCGTCAAAATTAGGCAGGGACCTAGGGCTTTCTCTAAGGTCTCCACAGGGGATTCAGACATCCCTTCATGTTGTGAGATGAAAGACGAGCCTGTATTCAAGCCACTGCAAGGAAATGCGGCCTCCTTTCAAGTTAGGGCTTCTCGCTGTATATTCCCCTTGAGGCAGCAAACTCGGGGTCCCTCCCACATACCTATTGCTGAGAGAAGCCTCCTCCTGAGGTGCTTCTGGAAAGTTGGCATACGTCTTGAGCCTAAGCCAGGGAATCAGCTCTCATCTCGAGACGATTTGGCATACACAGAGCATTCCTCGAGTTGCTGTGCTGAAGTTGGTGGTCCTCTAGGCTTGTGACAGTGTTCTCGGGGCATCTCTGGAGTTGCCTGAACGAAGTCGATCCACCGGTCGTGTTGAATGGGGAACAGGGAATGGCTCTGGAGTCAATGCAGGGGAATCCGGCCTCATCTCGAGTTGATTTGGGGCACATGGAGCTGCTTTGCATTGCTGGGTGACCTCAGGGTCCGTCTAGACTGGTGACAGTGTTCTTGGGGACTGTCTCGAGATCCATTAAGCAAGTCGAAGCTCCTGACTTGTTTGAATGGGATCACGGAATAGCTCTGCATGCACTGCAGTGGAATGGGGCCTCATCTCGCCTCTAGGGGGAAGTCTCATGGTTTTTCTCGAGTTGCGGCGGGGACCTGGGGTATGTTCTCGACTTACGGCGGGGATGGCCCTTCAAAACACGAGTTTCTTCCGTGACGTCAGGACTCCTGTCTAGTAATGAGGGACACCTCAGCAATCTCTTCGAGGCTTGGCAGGGCAAAAGGGACGCTTCTAGAGGTGAGCCAGGGCACCCAAGGACCCTTTCCAGAAGCCACAGGGATTTTGGGATTCCTATCAGTATACAAGAGGAGTCAGGCCTCGTCACCTTTTGAAGCAATGAACTCCGCGTGCCTCTCGAGGTGTCAGCGGGATGTGAGGATTCCGTCAAAATGAGGCAGGGACCTAGGGATTTCTCTAAGGTCTCCACAGCGGATTCAGACATCCCTTCATGTTGTGAGATGAAAGACGAGCCTGTATTCAAGCCACTGCAAGGAAATCCGGCCTCCTTTCAAGTTAGGGCTTCTCGCTGTATATTCCCCTTGAGGCAGCAAACTCGGGGTCCCTCCCACATACCTATTGCTGAGAGAAGCCTCCTCCTGAGGTGCTTCTGGAAAGTTGGCATACGTCTTGAGCCTAGGCCAGGGAATCAGCTCTCATCTCGAGACGATTTGGCATACACAGAGCATTCCTCGAGTTGCTGTGCTGAAGTTGGTGGTCCTCTAGGCTTGGGAAAGTGTTCTCGGGGCATCTCTGGAGTTGCCTGAAAGAAGTCGATCCACCGGTCGTGTTGAATGGGGAACAGGGAATGGCTCTGGAGTCAATGCAGGGGAATCCGGCCTCATCTCGAGTTGATTTGGGGCACATGGAGCTGCTTTGCATTGCTGGGTGACCTCAGGGTCCGTCTAGACTGGTGACAGTGTTCTTGGGGACTGTCTCGAGATCCATTAAGCAAGTCGAAGCTCCTGACTTGTTTGAATGGGATCACGGAATAGCTCTGCATGCACTGCAGGGGAATGGGGCCTCATCTCGCCTCTAGGGGGAAGTCTCACGGTTTTTCTCGAGTTGCGGTGGGGACCTGCGGTATGTTCTCGACTTACGGCGGAGATGGCCCTTCAAAACACGAGTTTCTTCAGTGACGTCAGGACTCCTGTCTAGTAACGAGGGACACCTCAGCAATCTCTTCGAGGCTTGGCAGGGCAAAAGGGACGCTTCTCGAGGTGAGCCAGGGCACCCAAGGACCCTTTCCAGTAGCCACAGGGATTTTGGGATTCCTATAAGTATTCAAGAGGAGTCAGGCATCGTCACCTTTTGAAGCAATGAACTCCGGGTGCCTCTCGAGGTGTCAGCGGGATGTGAGGATTCCGTCAAAATGAGGCAGGGACCTAGGTCTTTCTCTAAGGTCTCCACAGGGGATTCAGACATCCCTTAATGTTGTGAGATGAAAGACGAGCCTGTATTCAAGCCACTGCAAGGAAATGCGGCCTCCTTTCAAGTTAGGGCTTCTCGCTGTATATTCCCCTTGAGGCAGCAAACTCGGGTCCCTCCCACATACCTATTGCTGTGAGAAGCCTCCTCCTGAGGTGCTTCTGGAAAGTTGGCATACGTCTTGAGCCTAAGCCAGGGAATCAGCTCTCATCTCGAGACGATTTGGGGTACACGGAGCATTCCTCGAGTTGCTGTGCTGAAGTTGGTGTTTCTCTAGACTTGGGACAGTGTTCTCGGGGCATCTCTGGAGGTGCCTGAAGGAAGTTGAGCCACCGGTCGTGTTGAATGGGGAACGGGGAATGGCTCTGGAGTCAATGCAGGGGAATCGGGCCTCATCTCGAGTTGATTTGGGGCACATGGAGCTGCTTTGCGTTGCTGGGGTGAACTCAGGGTCCGTCTAGACTGGTGACAGTGTTCTTGGGGACTGTCTCGAGATCCATTAAGAAGTCGAAGCTCCTGACTTGTTTGAATGGGATCACGGGATAGCTCTGCATGCACTGCAGGGGAATTGGGCCTCATCTCGCCTCTAGGGGGAAGTCTCATGGTTTTTCTCGAGTTGAGGCGGGGACCTGCGGTATGTTCTCCACTTACGGCGGGGATGGCCCTTCAAAACACGAGTTTCTTCAGTGACGTCAGGACTCCTGTCTAGTAATGAGGGACACCTCAGGAATCTCTTCGAGGGTTGGCAGGGCAAAAGGGACGCTTCTCGAGGTGAGGCAGGGTACCCAAGGACCCTTTCCAGTAGCCACAGCGATTTTGGGATTCCTATCAGTATTCAAGAGCAGTCAGGCATCGTCACCTTTTGAAGCAATGAACTCCGCGTGCCTCTCGAGGTGTCAGCGGGATGTGAGGCATTCCGTCAAAATGAGGCAGGGACCTAGGGCTTTCTCTAAGGTCTCCACAGGGGATTCAGACATCCCTTCATGTTGTGAGATGAAAGACGAGCCTGTATTCAAGCCGCTGCAAGGAAATCCGGCCTCCTTTCAAGTTAGGGCTTCTCGCTGTATATTCCCCTTGAGGCAGCAAACTCGGGTCCCACCCACATACCTATTGCTGAGAGAAGCCTCCTCCTGAGGTGCTTCTGGAAAGTTGGCATACGTCTTGGGCCTAAGCCAGGGAATCAGCTCTCATCTCGAGACGATTTGGGGTACACAGAGCATTCCTCGAGTTGCTGTGCTGAAGTTACTGTTCCTCTAGACTTGGGACAGTGTTCTCGGGGCATCTCTGGAGTTGCCTGAAGGAAGGCGAGCCACCGGTCGTGTTGAACGGGGAACGGGGAATGGCTCTGGAGTAAATGCAGGGGAATCCGGCCTCATATCGAGTTGATGTGGGGCACATGGAGCTGCTTTGCGTTGCTGCGGTGACCTCAGGGTCCGTCTAGACTGGTGACAGTGTTCTTGGGGACTGTCTCGAGATCCATTAAGCACGTCGAAGCTCCTGACTTGTTTGAATGGGATCACGGAATAGCTCTGCATGCACTGCAGGGGAATGGGGCCTCATCTCGCCTCTAGGGGGAAGTCTCATGGTTTTTCTCGAGTTGCGGCGGGGACCTGGGGTATGTTCTCGACTTACGGCGGAGATGGCCCTTCAAAACACGAGTTTCTTCAGTGACGTCAGGACTCCTGTCTAGTAACGAGGGACAACTCAGGAATCACTTCGAGGCTTGGCAGGGCAAAAGGGACGCTTCTCGAGGTGAGGCAGGGCACCCAAGGACCCTTTCCAGTAGCCACAGGGATTTTGGGATTCCTATCAGTATTCAAGAGGAGTCAGGCATCGTCACCTTTTGAAGCAATGAACTCCGCGTGCCTCTCAAGGTGTCAGCGGGATGTGAGGCATTCCGACAAAATGAGGCAGGGACCTAGGGCTTTCTCTAAGGTCTCCACAGGGGATTCAGACATCCCTTCATGTTGTGAGATGAAAGACAAGCCTGTATTCAAGCTACTGCAAGGAAATCCGGCCTCTTTTAAAGTTAGGGCTTCTCGATGTATATTCCCCTTGAGGCAGCAAACTCAGTGTCCCTCCCACATACCTATTGCTAAGAAGCCTCCTCCTGAGGTGCTTCTGGAAAGTTGGCATACGTCTTGAGCCTAAGCCAGGGAATCAGCTCTCATCTCGAGACGATTTGGGGTACACAGAGCATTCCTCGAGTTGCTGTGCTGAAGTTGGTGTTCCTCTAGACTTGGGACAGTGTTCTCGGGGCATCTCTGGAGTTGCCTGAAGGAAGGCGAGCCTCCGTTCGTGTTGAACGGGGAACGGGGAATGGCTCTGGAGTCAATGCAGGGGAATCGGGCCTCATCTCGAGTTGATTTGGGGCACATGGAGCTGCTTTGCGTTGCTGGGGTGACCTCAGGGTCCGTCTAGACTGGTGACAGTGTTCTTGGGGACTGTCTCGAGATCCATTAAGAAAGTCGAAGCTCCTGACTTGTTTGAATGGGATCACGGAATAGCTCTGCATGCACTGCAGGGGAATGGGGCCTCATCTCGCCTCTAGGGGGAAGTCTCATGGTTTTTCTCGAGTTGCGGCGGGGACCTGGGGTATGTTCTCGACTTACGGCGGGGATGGTCCTTCAAAACACGAGTTTCTTCAGTGACGTCAGGACTCCTGTCTAGTAACGAGGGACACCTCAGCAATCTCTTCGAGGCTTGGCAGGGCAAAAGGGACGCTTCTCGAGGTGAGCCAGGGCACCCAAGGACGCTTTCCAGTAGCAACAGGGATTTTGGGATTCCTATCAGTATTCAAGAGGAGTCAGGCATCGTCACCTTTTGAAGCAATGAACTCTGCGTGCCTCTCGAGGTGTCAGGGGGATGTGAGGTATTCCGTCAAAATGAGGCAGGGAACTAGGGCTTCCTCTAAGGTCTCCACAGGGGATTCAGACATCCCTTCATGTTGTCTGATCAAAGACGAGCCTGTATTCAACCCACTGCAAGGAAATCTGGGCTCCGTTCACATTAGGGCTTCTCCCTGTGTATTCCCCTTGAGGCAGCAAACTCGGGGTCCCTCCCACATACCTATTGCTGAGAGAAGCCTCCTCCTGAGATGCTTCTGGAAAGTTGGCATACGTCTTGAGCCTAAGCCAGTGAATCAGCTCTCATCTCGAGATGATTTGGGGTACACGGAGCATTCCTCGAGTTGCTGTGCTGAAGTTGGTGTTCCTCTAGCCTTGGGACAGTGTTCTCGGGGAATCTCTGGAGTTGCCTGAAGGAAGTCGAGCCACCGGTCGTGTTGAATGGGGAACGGGGAATGGCTCTGGAGTCAATGCAGGGGAATCGGGCCTCATCTCGAGTTGATTTGGGGCACATGGAGCAGCTTTGCGTTGCTGGGGTGACCTCAGGGTCCGTCTAGACTGGTGACAGTGTTCTTGGGGACTGTTTCGAGATCCAATAAGCAAGTCGAAGCTCCTGACTTGTTTGAATGGGATCACGGAATAGCTCTGCATGCACTGCAGGGGAATGGGGTCTCATCTCGCCTCTAGGGGGAAGTCTCACGGTTTTTCTCGAGTTGCGGCGGGGCCCTGGGGTATGTTCTCGACTTACGGCGGGGATGGCCCTTCAAAACACGAGTTTCTTCAGTGACGTCAGGACTCCTACCTAGTAATGAGGGACACCTCAGGAATCTCTTCGAGGCTTGGCAGGGCAAAAGGGACGCTTCTCGAGTGAGGCAGGGCACCCAAGGACCCTTTCCAGTAGCCACAGGGATTTTCGGATTCCTATCAGTATTCAAGAGGAGTCAGGCATCGTCACCTTTTGAAGCAATGAACTCCGCGTGCCTCTCCAGGTGTCAGCGGGATGTGAGGCATTCCGTCAAAATGAGGCAGGGACCTATGGCTTTCTCTAAGGTCTCCACAGGGGATTCAGACATCCCTTCATGTTGTCAGATCAAAGACGAGCCTGTATTCAAGCCACTGCAAGGAAATCCGGCCTCCTTTCAAGTTAGGGCTTCTCGCTGTATATTCCCCTTGAGGCAGCAAACTCGGGGTCCCTCCCACATACCTATTGCAGAGAGAAGCCTCCTCCTGAGGTGCTTCTGGAAAGGTGGCATATGTCTTGAGCCTAAGCGAGGGAATCAGCTCTCATCTCGAGATGATTTGGGGTGCACGGAGCATTCCTCGAGTTGCTGGGCTGAAGTTGGTGTTCCTCTAGACTTGGGACAGTGTTCTCGGGGCATCTCTGGAGTTGCCTGAAGGAAGGCGAGCCACCGGTCGTGTTGAATGGGGAACGGGGAATGGCTCTGGAGTCAATGCAGGGGAATCGGGCCTCATCTCGAGTTGATTTGGCGCACATGGAGCAGCTTTGCGTTGCTTGGGTGACCTCAGGGTCCGTCTAGACTGGTGACAGTGTTCTTGGGGACTGTCTCGAGATCCATTAAGCAAGTCGAAGCTCCTGACTTGTTTGAATGGGATCACGGAATAGCTCTGCATGCACTGCAGGGGAATGGGGCCTCATCTCGCCTCTAGGGGGAAGTCTCATGGTTTTTCTCGAGTTGCGGCGGGGACCTGGGGTATGTTCTCGACTTACGGCGGAGATGGCCCTTCAAAACACGAGTTTCTTCCGTGACGTCAGGACTCCTGTCTAGTAACGATGGACAACTCAGGAATCTCTTCGAGGCTTGGCAGGGCAAAAGGGACGCTTCTCGAGGTGAGGCAGGGCACCCAAGGACCCTTTCCAGTAGCCACAGGGATTTTGGGATTCCTATCAGTATTCAAGAGGAGTCAGGCATCGTCACCTTTTGAAGCAATGAACTCCGCGTGCCTCTCAAGGTGTCAGCGGGATGTGAGGCATTCCGACAAAATGAGGCAGGGACCTAGGGCTTTCTCTAAGGTCTCCACAGGGGATTCAGACATCCCTTCATGTTGTGAGATGAAAGACAAGCCTGTATTCAAGCTACTGCAAGGAAATCCGGCCTCCTTTCAAGTTAGGGCTTCTCGATGTATATTCCCCTTGAGGCAGCAAACTCGGAGTCCCTCACACATACCTATTGCTAAGAAGCCTCCTCCTGAGGTGCTTCTGGAAAGTTGGCATACGTCTTGAGCCTAAGCCAGGGAATCAGCTCTCATCTCGAGACGATTTGGGGTACACAGAGCATTCCTCGAGTTGCTGTGCTGAAGTTGGTGTTCCTCTAGACTTGGGACAGTGTTCTTGGGGCATCTCTGGAGTTGCCTGAAGGAAGGCGAGCCACCGGTCGTGTTGAACGGGGAACGGGGAATGGCTCTGGAGTCAATGCAGGGGAATCCGGCCTCATATCGAGTTGATGTGGGGCACATGGAGCTGCTTTGCGTTGCTGCGGTGACCTCAGGGTCCGTCTAGACTGGTGACAGTGTTCTTGGGGACTGTCTCGAGATCCATTAAGCACGTCGAAGCTCCTGACTTGTTTGAATGGGATCACGGAATAGCTCTGCATGCACTGCAGGGGAATGGGGCCTCATCTCGCCTCTAGGGGGAAGTCTCATGGTTTTTCTCGAGTTGCGGCGGGGACCTGGGGTATGTTCTCGACTTACGGCGGAGATGGCCCTTCAAAACACGAGTTTCTTCAGTGACGTCAGGACTCCTGTCTAGTAACGAGGGACACCTCAGGAATCTCATCGAGGCTTGGCAGGGCAAAAGGGACGCTTCTCGAGGTGAGGCAGGGCACCCAAGGACCCTTTCCAGTAGCCACAGGGATTTTGGGATTCCTATCAGTATTCAAGAGGAGTCAGGCATCGTCACCTTTTGAAGCAATGAACTCCGCGTGCCTCTCAAGGTGTCAGCGGGATGTGAGGCATTCCGACAAAATGAGGCAGGGACCTAGGGCTTTCTCTGAGGTCTCCACAGGGGATTCAGACATCCCTTCATGTTGTGAGATGAAAGACAAGCCTGTATTCAAGCTACTGCAAGCAAATCCGGCCTCCTTTCAAGTTAGGGCTTCTCGATGTATATTCCCCTTGAGGCAGCAAACTCGGAGTCCCTCCCACATACCTATTGCTAAGAAGCCTCCTCCTGAGGTGCTTCTGGAAAGTTGGCATACGTCTTTAGCCTAAGCCAGGGAATCAGCTCTCATCTCGAGACGATTTGGGGTACACAGAGCATTCCTCGAATTGCTGTGCTGAAGTTGGTGTTCCTCTAGACTTGGGACAGTGTTCTCGGGGCATCTCTGGAGTTGCCTGAAGGAAGGCGAGCCTCCGTTCGTGTTGAACGGGGAACGGGGAATGGCTCTGGAGTCAATGCAGGGGAATCGGGCCTCATCTCGAGTTGATTTGGGGCACATGGAGCTGCTTTGTGTTGCTGGGGTGACCTCAGGGTCCGTCTAGACTGGTGACAGTGTTCTTGGGGACTGTCTCGAGATCCATTAAGAAAGTCGAAGCTCCTGACTTGTTTGAATGGGATCACGGAATAGCTCTGCATGCACTGCAGGGGAATGGGGCCTCATCTCGCCTCTAGGGGGAAGTCTCATGGTTTTTCTCAAGTTGCGGCGGGGACCTGGGGTATGTTCTCGACTTACGGCGGGGATGGTCCTTCAAAACACGAGTTTCTTCAGTGACGTCAGGACTCCTGTCTAGTAACGAGGGACACCTCAGCAATCTCTTCGAGGCTTGGCAGGGCAAAAGGGACGCTTCTCGAGGTGAGCCAGGGCACCCAAGGACGCTTTCCAGTAGCAACAGGGATTTTGGGATTCCTATCAGTATTCAAGAGGAGTCAGGCATCGTCACCTTTTGAAGCAATGAACTCTGCGTGCCTCTCGAGGTGTCAGGGGGATGTGAGGTATTCCGTCAAAATGAGGCAGGGAACTAGGGCTTCCTCTAAGGTCTCCACAGGGGATTCAGACATCCCTTCATGTTGTCTGATCAAAGACGAGCCTGTATTCAACCCACTGCAAGGAAATCTGGCCTCCGTTCACATTAGGGCTTCTCCCTGTGTATTCCCCTTGAGGCAGCAAACTCGGGGTCCCTCCCACATACCTATTGCTGAGAGAAGCCTCCTCCTGAGATGCTTCTGGAAAGTTGGCATACGTCTTGAGCCTAAGCCAGTGAATCAGCTCTCATCTCGAGATGATTTGGGGTACACGGAGCATTCCTCGAGTTGCTGTGCTGAAGTTGGTGTTCCTCTAGCCTTGGGACAGTGTTCTCGGGGAATCTCTGGAGTTGCCTGAAGGAAGTCGAGCCACCGGTCGTGTTGAATGGGGAACGGGGAATGGCTCTGGAGTCAATGCAGGGGAATCGGGCCTCATCTCGAGTTGATTTGGGGCACATGGAGCTGCTTTGCATTGCTGGGTGACCTCAGGGTCCGTCTAGACTGGTGACAGTGTTCTTGGGGACTCTCTCGAGATCCATTAACCAAGTCGAAGCTCCTGACTTGTTTGAATGGGATCACGGAATAGCTCTGCATGCACTGCAGGGGAATGGGGCCTCATCTCGCCTCTAGTGGGAAGTCTCACGGTTTTTCTCGAGTTGCGGCGGGGACCTGGGGTATGTTCTCGACTTACGGCGGAGATGGCCTTTCAAAACACGAGTTTCTCCAGTGACGTCAGGACTCCTGCCTAGTAACGAGGCACACCTCAGCAATCTCTTCGAGGCTTGGCAGGGCAAAAGGGACGCTTCTCGAGGTGAGCCAGGGCACCCAAGGACCCTTTCCAGAAGCCACAGGGATTTTGGGATTCCTATCAGTATACAAGAGGAGTCAGGCATCGTCACCTTTTGAAGCAATGAACTCCGCGTGCCTCTCGAGGTGTCAGCGGGATGTGAGGATTCCGTCAAAATGAGGCAGGGACCTAGGGATTTCTCTAAGGTCTCCACAGTGGATTCAGACATCCCTTCATGTTGTGAGATGAAAGACGAACCTGTATTCAAGCCACTGCAAGGAAATCCGGCCTCCTTTCAAGTTAGGGCTTCTCGCTGTATATTCCCCTTGAGGCAGCAAACTCGTGGTCCCTCCCACATACCTATTGCTGAGAGAAGCCTCCTCCTGAGGTGCTTCTGGAAAGTTGGCATACGTCTTGAGCCTAAGCCAGGGAATCAGCTCTCATCTCGAGATGATTTGGCATACACAGAGCATTCCTCGAGTTGCTGTGCTGAAGTTGGTGGTCCTCTAGGCTTGGGACAGTGTTCTCGGGGCATCTCTGGAGTTGCCTGAAGGAAGTCGAGCCACCGGCCGTGTTGAATGGGGAACGGGGAATGGCTCTGGAGTCAATGCAGGGGAATCCGGCCTCATCTCGAGTTGATTTGGGGCACATGGAGCTGCTTTGCATTGCTGGGTGACCTCAGGGTCCGTCTAGACTGGTGACAGTGTTCTTGGGGACTCTCTCGAGATCCATTAACCAAGTCGAAGCTCCTGACTTGTTTGAATGGGAAAACGGAATAGCTCTGCATGCACTGCAGGGGAATGGGGCCTCATCTCGCCTCTAGGGGGAAGTCTCACGGTTTTTCTCGAGTTGCGGCGGGGACCTGGGGTATGTTCTCGACTTACGGCGGAGATGGCCTTTCAAAACACGAGTTTCTCCAGTGACGTCAGGACTCCTGCCTAGTAACGAGGGACACCTCAGCAATCTCTTCGAGGCTTGGCAGGGCAAAAGGGACGCTTCTCGAGGTGAGCCAGGGCACCCAAGACCCTTTCCAGAAGCCACAGGGATTTTGGGATTCCTATCAGTATACAAGCGGAGTCAGGCCTCGTCACCTTTTGAAGCAATGAACTCCGCGTGCCTCTCGAGGTGTCAGCGGGATGTGAGGATTCCGTCAAAATGAGGCAGGGACCTAGGGATTTCTCTAAGGTCTCCACAGCGGATTCAGACATCCCTTCATGTTGTGAGATGAAAGACGAGCCTGTATTCAAGCCACTGCAAGGAAATCCGGCCTCCTTTCAAGTTAGGGCTTCTCGCTGTATATTCCCCTTGAGGCAGCAAACTCGGGGTCCCTCCCACATACCTATTGCTGAGAGAAGCCTCCTCCTGAGGTGCTTCTGGAAAGTTGGCATACGTCTTGAGCCTAAGCCAGGGAATCAGCTCTCATCTCGAGACGATTTGGCATACACAGAGCATTCCTCGAGTTGCTGTGCTGAAGTTGGTGGTCCTCTAGGCTTGGGAAAGTGTTCTCGGGGCATCTCTGGAGTTGCCTGAAGGAAGTCGATCCATCGGTCGTGTTGAATGGGGAACAGGGAATGGCTCTGGAGTCAATGCAGGGGAATCCGGCCTCATCTCGAGTTGATTTGGGGCACATGGAGCTGCTTTGCATTGCTGGGTGACCTCAGGGTCCGTCTAGACTGGTGACAGTGTTCTTGGGGACTGTCTCGAGATCCATTAAGCAAGTCGAAGCTCCTGACTTGTTTGAATGGGATCACGGAATAGCTCTGCATGCACTGCAGGGGAATGGGGCCTCATCTCGCCTCTAGGGGGAAGTCTCACGGTTTTTCTCGAGTTGCGGTAGGGACCTGCGGTATGTTCTCGACTTACGGCGGGGATGGCCCTTCAAAACACGAGTTTCTTCAGTGACGTCAGGACTCCTGTCTAGTAACGAGGGACACCTCAGCAATCTCTTCGAGGCTTGGCAGGGCAAAAGGGACGCTTCTCGAGGTGAGCCAGGGCACCCAAGGACCCTTTCCAGTAGCCACAGGGATTTTGGGATTCCTATAAGTATTCAAGAGGAGTCAGGCATCGTCACCTTTTGAAGCAATGAACTCCGCGTGCCTCTCGAGGTGTCAGCGGGATGTGAGGATTCCGTCAAAATGAGGCAGGGACCTAGGGCTTCCTCTAAGGTCTCCACAGGGGATTCAGACATCCCTTCACGTTGTGAGATGAAAGACGAGCCTGTATTCAAGCCACTGCAAGGAAATCCGGCCTCCTTTCAAGTTAGGGCTTCTCGCTGTATATTCCCCTTGAGGCAGCAAACTCGGGGTCCCTCCTACATACCTATTGCTGAGAGAAGCCTCCTCCTGAGGTGCTTCCGGAAAGTTGGCATACGTCTTGAGCCTAAGCCAGGGAATCAGCTCTCATCTCGAGACGATTTGGGGTACACAGAGCATTCCTCGAGTTGCTGTGCTGAAGTTGGTGGTCCTCTAGACTTGGGACAGTGTTCTCGGGGCATCTCTGGAGTTGCCTGAAGGAAGTCGAGCCACCGGCCGTGTTGAATGGGGAACGGGGAATGGCTCTGGAGTCAATGCAGTGGAATCTGGCCTCATCTCGAGTTGATTTGGGGCACATGGAGCTGCTTTGCATTGCTGGGTGACCTCAGGGTCCGTCTAGCCTGGTGACAGTGTTCTTGGGGACTCTCTCGAGATCCATTAACCAAGTCGAAGCTCCTGACTTGTTTGAATGGGATCACGGAATAGCTCTGCATGCACTGCAGGGGAATGGGGCCTCATCTCGCCTCTAGTGGGAAGTCTCACGGTTTTTCTCGAGTTGCGGCGGGGACCTGGGGTATGTTCTCGACTTACGGCGGAGATGGCCTTTCAAAACCCGAGTTTCTCCAGTGACGTCAGGACTCCTGTCTAGTAACGAGGGACACCTCAGCAATCTCTTCGATTCTTGGCAGGGCAAAAGGGACGCTTCTCGAGGTGAGCCAGGGCACCCAAGGACCCTTTCCAGTAGCCACAGGGATTTTGGGATTCCTATCAGTATTCAAGAGGAGTCAGGCATCGTCACCTTTTGAAGCAATGAACTCCGCGTGCCTCTCGAGGTGTCAGCGGGATGTGAGGATTCCGTCAAAATGAGGCAGGGACCTAGGGCTTCCTCTAAGGTCTCCACAGGGGATTCAGACATCCCTTCAGGTTGTGAGATGAAAGACGAGCCTGTATTCAAGCCACTGCAAGGAAATCCGGCCTCCTTTCAAGTTAGGGCTTCTCGCTGTATATTCCCCTTGAGGCAGCAAACTCGGGGTCCCTCCCACATACCTATTGCTGAGAGAAGCCTCCTCCTGAGGTGCTTCTGGAAAGTTGGCATACGTCTTGAGCCTAAGCCAGGGAATCAGCTCTCATCTCGAGACGATTTGGGGTACACAGAGCATTCCTCTAGTTGCTGTGCTGAAGTTGGTGGTCCTCTAGACTTGGGACAGTGTTCTTGGGGCATCTCTGGAGTTGCCTGAAGGAAGTCGAGCCACCGGTCGTGTTGAATGGGGAACAGGGAATGGCTCTGGAGTCAATGCAGGGGAATACGGCCTCATCTCGAGTTGATTTGGGGCACATGGAGCTGCTTTGCATTGCTGGGTGACCTCAGGGTCCGTCTAGACTGGTGACAGTGTTCTTGGGGACTGTCTCGAGATCCATTAGGCAAGTCCAAGCTCCTGACTTGTTTGAATGGGATCACGGAATATCTCTGCATGCACTGCAGGGGATTGGGGCCTCATCTCGCCTCTAGGGGGAAGTCTCATGGTTTTTCTCAAGTTGCGGCGGGGACCTGGGGTATGTTCTCGACTTACGGCGGGGATGGCCCTTCAAAACACGAGTTTCTTCAGTGACGTCAGGACTCCTGTCTAGTAATGAGGGACACCTCAGCAATCTCTTCGAGGCTTGGCAGGGCAAAAGGGACGCTTCTCGAGGTGAGCCAGGGCACCCAAGGGCCCATTACAGTAGCCACAGGAATTTTGGGATTCCTATAAGTATTCAAGAGGAGTCAGGCATCGTCACCTTTTGAAGCAATGAACTCTGCGTGTCTCTCGAAGTGTCAGGGGGATGTGAGGTATTCCGTCAAAATGAGGCAGGGACCTAGGGCTTCCTCTAAGGTCTCCACAGGGGATTCAGACAACCCTTCATGTTGTCAGACCAAAGACGAGCCTGTATTCAAGCCACTGCAAGGAAATCTGGCCTCCGTTCACATTAGGGCTTCTCCGTGTGTATTCTCCTTGAGGCAGCAAACTCGGGGTCCCTCCCACAAACCTATTGCTGAGAGAAGCCTCCTCCTGAGGTGCTTCTGGAAAGTTGGCATACGTCTTGAGCCTAAGCCAGGGAATCAGCTCTCATCTCGAGATGATTTGGGGTACACGGAGCATTCCTCGAGTTGCTGTGCTGAAGTAGGTGTTCGTCTAGACTTGGGACAGTGTTCTCGGGGCATCTCTGGAGTTGCCTGAAGGAAGTCGATCCACCGGTCGTGTTGAATGGGGAACGGGGAATGGCCCTGGAGTCAATGCAGGGGAATCCGGCCTCATCTCGAGTTGATTTGGGGCACATGGAGCTGCTTTGCATTGCTGGGTGACCTCAGGGTCCGTCTAGACTGGTGACAGTGTTCTTGGGGACTGTCTCGAGATCCATTAACCAAGTCGAAGCTCCTGACTTGTTTGAATGGGATCACGGAATAGCTCTGCATGCACTGCAGGGGAATGGGGCCTCATCTCGCCTCTAGGGGGAAGTCTCACGGTTTTTCTCGAGTTGCGGCGGGGACCTGGGGTATGTTCTCAACTTATGGCGGGGATGGCCCTTCAAAACACGAGTTTCTCCAATGACATCAGGACTCCTGCCTAGTAACGAGGGACACCTCAGCAATCTCTTCGAGGCTTGGCAGGGCAAAAGGGACGCTTCTCGGGGTGAGGCAGGGCACGCAAGGACCCTTTCCAGTAGCCACAGGGATTTTGGGATTCCTATCAGTATTCAAGAGGAGTCAGGCATCGTCACCTTTTGAAGCAATGAACTCCGCGTGCCTCTCGAGGTGTCAGCGGGATGTGAGGCATTCCGTCAAAATGAGGCAGGGACCTAGGGCTTTCTCTAAGGTCTCCACAGGGGATTCAGACATCCCTTCATGTTGTGAGATGAAAGACAAGCCTGTATTCAAGCTACTGCAAGGAAATCCGGCCTCCTTTCAAGTTAGGGCTTCTCGCTGTATATTCCCCTTGAGGCAGCAAACTCGGGGTCCCTCCCACATACCTATTGCTGAGAGAAGCCTCCTCCTGAGGTGCTTCTGGGAAGTTGGCATACGTCTTGAGCCTAAGCCAGGGAATCAGCTCTCATCTCGAGACGATTTGGGGTACACAGAGCATTCCTCGAGTTGCTGTGCTGAAGTTGGTGTTCCTCTAGACTTGGGACAGTGTTCTCGGGGCATCTGTGGAGTTGCCTGAAGGAAGGGGAGCCACCGTTCGTGTTGAACGGGGAACGGGGAATGGCTCTGGAGTCAATGCAGGGGAATCGGGCCTCATCTCGAGTTGATTTGGGGCACATGGAGCTGCTTTGCGTTGCTGGGGTGACCTCAGGGTCCGTCTAGACTGGTGACAGTGTTCTTGGGGACTGTCTCGAGATCCATTAAGCAAGTCGAAGCTCCTGACTTGTTTGAATGGGATCACGGAATAGCTCTGCATGCACTGCAGGGGAATGGGGCCTCATCTCCCCTCTAGGGGGAAGTCTCATGGTTTTTCTCGAGTTGCGGCGGGGACCTGGGGTATGTTCTCGACTTACGGCGGGGATGGCCCTTCAAAACACGAGTTTCTTCAGTGACGTCAGTACTCCTGTCTAGTAACGAGGGACACCTCAGCAATCTCTTCGAGGCTTGGCAGGGCAAAGGGGACGCTTCTCGAGGTGAGCCAGGGCACCCAAGGACCCTTTCCAGTAGCAACAGGGATTTTGGGATTCCTATAAGTATTCAAGAGGAGTCAGGCATCGTCACCTTTTGAAGCAATGAACTCCGCGTGCCTCTCGAGGTGTCAGGGGGATGTGAGGTATTCCGTCAAAATGAGGCAGGGACCTAGGGCTTCCTCTAAGGTCTCCACAGGGGATTCAGACATCCCTTCATGTTGTCAGACCAAAGACGAGCCTGTATTCAAGCCACTGCAAGGAAATCTGGCCTCCGTTCACATTAGGGCTTCTCCGTGGGTATTCCCCTTGAGGCAGCAAACTCGGAGTCCCTCCCACATACCTATTGCTAAGAAGCCTCCTCCTGAGGTGCTTCTGGAAAGTTGGCATACGTCTTGAGCCTAAGCCAGGGAATCAGCTCTCATCTCTAGATGATTTGGGGTACGCAGAGCATTCCTCGAGTTGCTGTGCTGAAGTTGGTGTTCCTCTAGACTTGGGACAGTGTTCTCGGGGCATCTCTGGAGTTGCCTGAAGGAAGGCGAGCCTCCGTTCGTGTTGAACGGGGAACGGGGAATGGCTCTGGAGTCAATGCAGGGGAATCGGGCCTCATCTCGAGTTGATTTGGGGCACATGGAGCTGCTTTGCGTTGCTGGGGTGACCTCAGGGTCCGTCTAGACTGGTGACAGTGTTCTTGGGGACTGTCTCGAGATCCATTAAGAAAGTCGAAGCTCCTGACTTGTTTGAATGGGATCACGGAATAGCTCTGCATGCACTGCAGGGGAATGGGGTCTCATCTCGCCTCTAGGGGGAAGTCTCACGGTTTTTCTCGAGTTGCGGCGGGGCCCTGGGGTATGTTCTCGACTTACGGCGGGGATGGCCCTTCAAAACACGAGTTTCTTCCGTGACGTCAGGACTCCTGTCTAGTAACGAGGGACACCTCAGCAATCTCTTCGAGGCTTGGCAGGGCAAAAGGGACGCTTCTCGAGGTGAGGCAGGGCACCCAAGGACCCTTTCCAGTAGCCACAGGGATTTTGGGATTCCTATCAGTATTCAAGAGGAGTCAGGCATCGTCACCTTTTGAAGCAATGAACTCCGCGTGCCTCTCCAGGTGTCAGCGGGATGTGAGGCATTCAGTCAAAATGAGGCAGGGACCTAGGGCTTTCTCTAAGGTCTCCACAGGGGATTCAGACATCCCTTCATGTTGTCAGATCAAAGACGAGCCTGTATTCAAGCCACTGCAAGGAAATCCGGCCTCCTTTCAAGTTAGGGCTTCTCGCTGTATATTCCCCTTGAGGCAGCAAACTCGGGGTCCCTCCCACATACCTATTGCTGAGAGAAGCCTCCTCCTGAGGTGCTTCTGGAAAGGTGGCATATGTCTTGAGCCTAAGCGAGGGAATCAGCTCTCATCTCGAGATGATTTGGGGTACACGGAGCATTCCTCGAGTTGCTGGGCTGAAGTTGGTGTTCCTCTAGACTTGGGACAGTGTTCTCGGGGCATCTCTGGAGTTGCCTGAAGGAAGGCGAGCCACCGGTCGTGTTGAATGGGGAACGGGGAATGGCTCTGGAGTCAATGCAGGGGAATCGGGCCTCATCTCGAGTTGATTTGGCGCACATGGAACAGCTTTGTGTTGCTTGGGTGACCTCAGGGTTCGTCTAGACTGGTGACAGTGTTCTTGGGGACTGTCTCGAGATCCCTTAAGCAAGTCGAAGCTCCTGACTTGTTTGAATGGGATCACGGAATAGCTCTGCATGCACTGCAGGGGAATAGGGCCTCATCTCGCCTCTAGGGGGAAGTCTCATGTTTTTTCTCGAGTTGCGGCGGGGACCTGGGGTATGTTCTCGACTTACGGCGGAGATGGCCCTTCAAAACACTAGTTTCTTCAGTGACGTCAGGACTCCTGTCTAGTAACGAGGGACACCTCAGGAATCTCTTCGAGGCTTGGCAGGGCAAAAGGGACGCTTCTCGAGGTGAGGCAGGGCACCCAAGGACCCTTTCCAGTAGCCACAGGGATTTTGGGATTCCTATCAGTATTCAAGAGGAGTCAGGCATCGTCACCTTTTGAAGCAATGAACTCCGCGTGCCTCTCGAGGTGTCAGCGGGATGTGAGGCATTCCGACAAAATGAGGCAGGGACCTAGGGCTTTCTCTAAGGTCTCCACAGGGGATTCAGACATCCCTTCATGTTGTGAGATGAAAGACAACCCTGTATTCAAGCTACTGCAAGGAAATCCGGCCTCCTTTCAAGTTAGGGCTTCTCGATGTATATTCCCCTTGAGGCAGCAAACTCGGAGTCCCTCCCACATACCTATTGCTAAGAAGCCTCCTCCTGAGGTGCTTCTGGAAAGTTGGCATACGTCTTGAGCCTAAGCCAGGGAATCAGCTCTCATCTCGAGACGATTTGGGGTACACAGAGCATTCCTCGAGTTGCTGGGCTGAAGTTGGTGTTCCTCTAGACTTGGGACAGTGTTCTCGGGGCATCTCTGGAGTTGCCTGAAGGAAGTCGATCCACCGGTCGTGTTGAATGGGGAACGGGGAATGGCTCTGGGGTCAATGCAGGGGAATCGGGGCTCATCTCGAGTTGATTTGGGGCACATGGAACAGCTTTGCATTGCTGGGGTGACCTCAGGGTCCGTCTAGACTGGTGACAGTGTTCTTGGGGACTGTCTCGAGATCCATTAAGCAAGTCGAAGCTCCTGACTTGTTTGAATGGGATCACGGAATAGCTCTGCATGCACTGCAGGGGAATGGGGCCTCATCTCGCCTCTAGGGGGAAGTCTCATGGTTTTTCTCGAGTTGCGCGGGGACCTGGGTTATGTTCTCGACTTACGGCGGGGATGGCCCTTCAAAACACGAGTTGCTTCAGTGACGTCAGGACTCCTGTCTAGTAATGAGGGACACCTCAGCAATCTCTTCGAGGCTTGGCAGGGCAAAAGGGACGCTTCTTGAGGTAAGCCAGGGCACCCAAGGACCCTTTCCAGTAGCCACAGGGATTTTGGGATTCCTATAAGTATTCAAGAGGAGTCAGGCATCGTCACCTTTTGAAGCAATGAACTCCGCGTGCCTCTCGAGGTATCAGCGGGATGTCAGGCATTCCGTCAAAATGAGGCAGGGACCTAGGGCTTTCTCTAAGGTCTCCACAGGGGATTCAGACATCCCTTCATGTTGTGAGATGAAAGACAAGCCTGTATTCAAGCTACTGCAAGGAAATCCGGCCCCCTTTCAAGTTAGGGCTTCTCGCTGTATATTCCCCTTGAGGCAGCAAACTCGGAGTCCCTCCCACATACCTATTGCTGAGAAGCCTCCTCCTGAGGTGCTTCTGGAAAGTTGGCATACGTCTTGAGCCTAAGCCAGGGAATCAGCTCTCATCTCGAGACGATTTGGGGTACACAGAGCATTCCTCGAGTTGCTGTGCTGAAGTTGGTGTTCCTCTAGACTTGGGACAGTGTTCTCGGGGCATCTCTGGAGTTGCCTGAAGGAAGGCGAGCCTCCGTTCGTGTTGAACGGGGAACAGGGAATGGCTCTGGAATCAATGCAGGGGAATCGGGCCTCATCTCGAGTTGATGTGGGGCACATGGAGCTGCTTTGCATTGCTGCGGTGACCTCAGGGTCCGTCTAGACTGGAGACAGTGTTCTTGGGGACTGTCTCGAGATCCATTAAGCAAGTCGAAGCTCCTGACTTGTTTGAATGGGATCACGGAATATCTCTGCATGCACTGCAGGGGATTGGGGCCTCATCTCGCCTCTAGGGGGAAGTCTCATGGTTTTTCTCGAGTTGCGGCGGGAACCTGGGTTATGTTCTCGACTTACGGCGGGGATGGCCCTTCAAAACACGAGTTTCTTCCGTGACGTCAGGACTCCTGTCTAGTAATGAGGGACACCTCAGCAATCTCTTCGAGGCTTGGCAGGGCATAGGGACGCTTCTCGAGGTCAGCCAGGGCACCCAAGGACCCTTTCCAGTAGCCACAGGGATTTTGGGATTCCTATAACTATTCAAGAGGAGTCAGGCATCGTCAACTTTTCAAGCAGTGAACTCTGCGTGCCTCTCGAGGTGTCAGGGGGATGTGAGGTGTTCCGTCAAAATGAGGCAGGGACCTAGGGCTTCCTCTAAGGTCTCCACAGGGGATTCAGACATCCCTTCATGTTGTCAGATCAAAGACGAGCCTGTATTCAAGCCACTGCAAGGAAATCTGGCCTCCGTTCATATTAGGGCTTCTCCCTGTGTATTCCCCTTGAGGCAGCAAACTCGGGGTCCCTCCCACATACCTATTGCTGAGAGAAGCCTCCTCCTGAGGTGCTTCTGGAAAGTTGGAATACGTCTTGAGCCTAAGCCAGGGAATCAGCTCTCATCTCGAGATGATTTGGGGTACACAGAGCATTCCTCGAGTTACTGTGCTGAAGTTGATGTTCCTCTAGACTTGGGACAGTGTTCTCGGGGCATCTCTGGAGTTGCCTGAAGGAAGTCGAGCCACCGGTCGTGTTGAATGGGGAACGGGGAATGGCTCTGGAGTCAATGCAGGGGAATCCGGCCTCATCTCGAGTTGATTTGGGGCACATGGAGCTGCTTTGCATTGCTGGGTGACCTCAGGGTCCGTCTAGACTGGTGACAGTGTTCTTGGGGACTGTCTCGAGATCCATTAACCAAGTCGAAGCTCCTAACTTGTTTGAATGGGATCACGGAATAGCTCTGCATGCACTGCAGGGGAATGGGGCCTCATCTCGCCTCTAGTGGAAAGTCTCACGGTTTTTCTCGAGTTGCGGCGGGGACCTGGGGTATGTTCTCGACTTACGGCGGGGATGGCCCTTCAAAACACGAGTTTCTCCAGTGACGTCAGGACTCCTGCCTAGTAACGAGGGACACCTCAGCAATCTCTTCGAGGCTTGGCAGGGCAAAAGGGACGCTTATCGAGGTGAGGCAGGGCACCCAAGGACCCTTTCCAGAAGCCACAGGGATTTTGGGATTCCTATCAGTATTCAAGAGGAGTCAGGCATCGTCACCTTTTGAAGCAATGAACTCCGCGTGCCTCTCGAGGTGTCAGCGGGATGTGAGGATTCCGTCAAAATGAGGCAGGGACCTAGGGATTTCTCTAAGGTCTCCACAGCGGATTCAGACATCCCTTCATGTTGTGAGATGAAAGACGAGCCTGTATTCAAGCCACTGCAAGGAAATCCGGCCTCCTTTCAAGTTAGGGCTTCTCGCTGTATATTCCCCTTGAGGCAGCAAACTCGGGGTCCCTCCCACATACCTATTGCTGAGAGAAGCCTCCTCCTGAGGTGCTTCTGGAAAGTTGGCATACGTCTTGAGCCTAAGCCAGGGAATCAGCTCTCATCTCGAGACGATTTGGCATACACAGAGCATTCCTCGAGTTGCTGTGCTGAAGTTGGTGGTCCTCTAGGCTTGTGACAGTGTTCTCGGGGCATCTCTGGAGTTGCCTGAACGAAGTCGATCCACCGGTCGTGTTGAATGGGGAACAGGGAATGGCTCTGGAGTCAATGCAGGGGAATCCGGCCTCATCTCGAGTTGATTTGGGGCACATGGAGCTGCTTTGCATTGCTGGGTGACCTCAGGGTCCGTCTAGACTGGTGACAGTGTTCTTGGGGACTGTCTCGAGATCCATTAAGCAAGTCGAAGCTCCTGACTTGTTTGAATGGGATCACGGAATAGCTCTGCATGCACTGCAGTGGAATGGGGCCTCATCTCGCCTCTAGGGGGAAGTCTCATGGTTTTTCTCGAGTTGCGGCGGGGACCTGGGGTATGTTCTCGACTTACGGCGGGGATGGCCCTTCAAAACACGAGTTTCTTCCGTGACGTCAGGACTCCTGTCTAGTAATGAGGGACACCTCAGCAATCTCTTCGAGGCTTGGCAGGGCAAAAGGGACGCTTCTAGAGGTGAGCCAGGGCACCCAAGGACCCTTTCCAGAAGCCACAGGGATTTTGGGATTCCTATCAGTATACAAGAGGAGTCAGGCCTCGTCACCTTTTGAAGCAATGAACTCCGCGTGCCTCTCGAGGTGTCAGCGGGATGTGAGGATTCCGTCAAAATGAGGCAGGGACCTAGGGATTTCTCTAAGGTCTCCACAGCGGATTCAGACATCCCTTCATGTTGTGAGATGAAAGACGAGCCTGTATTCAAGCCACTGCAAGGAAATCCGGCCTCCTTTCAAGTTAGGGCTTCTCGCTGTATATTCCCCTTGAGGCAGCAAACTCGGGGTCCCTCCCACATACCTATTGCTGAGAGAAGCCTCCTCCTGAGGTGCTTCTGGAAAGTTGGCATACGTCTTGAGCCTAGGCCAGGGAATCAGCTCTCATCTCGAGACGATTTGGCATACACAGAGCATTCCTCGAGTTGCTGTGCTGAAGTTGGTGGTCCTCTAGGCTTGGGAAAGTGTTCTCGGGGCATCTCTGGAGTTGCCTGAAAGAAGTCGATCCACCGGTCGTGTTGAATGGGGAACAGGGAATGGCTCTGGAGTCAATGCAGGGGAATCCGGCCTCATCTCGAGTTGATTTGGGGCACATGGAGCTGCTTTGCATTGCTGGGTGACCTCAGGGTCCGTCTAGACTGGTGACAGTGTTCTTGGGGACTGTCTCGAGATCCATTAAGCAAGTCGAAGCTCCTGACTTGTTTGAATGGGATCACGGAATAGCTCTGCATGCACTGCAGGGGAATGGGGCCTCATCTCGCCTCTAGGGGGAAGTCTCACGGTTTTTCTCGAGTTGCGGTGGGGACCTGCGGTATGTTCTCGACTTACGGCGGAGATGGCCCTTCAAAACACGAGTTTCTTCAGTGACGTCAGGACTCCTGTCTAGTAACGAGGGACACCTCAGCAATCTCTTCGAGGCTTGGCAGGGCAAAAGGGACGCTTCTCGAGGTGAGCCAGGGCACCCAAGGACCCTTTCCAGTAGCCACAGGGATTTTGGGATTCCTATAAGTATTCAAGAGGAGTCAGGCATCGTCACCTTTTGAAGCAATGAACTCCGGGTGCCTCTCGAGGTGTCAGCGGGATGTGAGGATTCCGTCAAAATGAGGCAGGGACCTAGGTCTTTCTCTAAGGTCTCCACAGGGGATTCAGACATCCCTTAATGTTGTGAGATGAAAGACGAGCCTGTATTCAAGCCACTGCAAGGAAATGCGGCCTCCTTTCAAGTTAGGGCTTCTCGCTGTATATTCCCCTTGAGGCAGCAAACTCGGGTCCCTCCCACATACCTATTGCTGTGAGAAGCCTCCTCCTGAGGTGCTTCTGGAAAGTTGGCATACGTCTTGAGCCTAAGCCAGGGAATCAGCTCTCATCTCGAGACGATTTGGGGTACACGGAGCATTCCTCGAGTTGCTGTGCTGAAGTTGGTGTTTCTCTAGACTTGGGACAGTGTTCTCGGGGCATCTCTGGAGGTGCCTGAAGGAAGTTGAGCCACCGGTCGTGTTGAATGGGGAACGGGGAATGGCTCTGGAGTCAATGCAGGGGAATCGGGCCTCATCTCGAGTTGATTTGGGGCACATGGAGCTGCTTTGCGTTGCTGGGGTGAACTCAGGGTCCGTCTAGACTGGTGACAGTGTTCTTGGGGACTGTCTCGAGATCCATTAAGAAGTCGAAGCTCCTGACTTGTTTGAATGGGATCACGGGATAGCTCTGCATGCACTGCAGGGGAATTGGGCCTCATCTCGCCTCTAGGGGGAAGTCTCATGGTTTTTCTCGAGTTGAGGCGGGGACCTGCGGTATGTTCTCCACTTACGGCGGGGATGGCCCTTCAAAACACGAGTTTCTTCAGTGACGTCAGGACTCCTGTCTAGTAATGAGGGACACCTCAGGAATCTCTTCGAGGGTTGGCAGGGCAAAAGGGACGCTTCTCGAGGTGAGGCAGGGTACCCAAAGACCCTTTCCAGTAGCCACAGCGATTTTGGGATTCCTATCAGTATTCAAGAGCAGTCAGGCATCGTCACCTTTTGAAGCAATGAACTCCGCGTGCCTCTCGAGGTGTCAGCGGGATGTGAGGCATTCCGTCAAAATGAGGCAGGGACCTAGGGCTTTCTCTAAGGTCTCCACAGGGGATTCAGACATCCCTTCATGTTGTGAGATGAAAGACGAGCCTGTATTCAAGCCGCTGCAAGGAAATCCGGCCTCCTTTCAAGTTAGGGCTTCTCGCTGTATATTCCCCTTGAGGCAGCAAACTCGGGTCCCACCCACATACCTATTGCTGAGAGAAGCCTCCTCCTGAGGTGCTTCTGGAAAGTTGGCATAAGTCTTGAGCCTAAGCCAGGGATTCAGCTCTCATCTCGAGACGATTTGGGGTACAGAGAGCATTCTTCGAGTTGCTGTACTGAGTTGGTGTTCCTCTAGACTTGGGACAGTGTTCTCGGGGCATCTCTGGAGTTGCCTGAAGGAAGTCGAGCCACCGGTCGTGTTGAATGGGGAACGGGGAATGGCTCTGGCGTCAATGCAGGGGAATCGGGCCTCATCTCGAGTTGATTTGGGGCACATGGAGCTGCTTTGCTTTGCTGGGGTGACCTCAGGGTCCGCCTAGACTGGTGACAGTGTTCTTGGGGACTCTCTCGAGATCCATTAAGCAAGTCGAAGCTCTTGAGTTGTTTGAATGGGATCACGGGATAGCTCTGCATGCACTGCAGGGGAATGGGGCCTCATCTCGCCTAAAGGGTTAAGTCTCATGGTTTTTCTTAAGTTGAGGCGGGGACCTGGGGTATGTTCCGACTTACGGCGGGGATGGCCCTTCAAAACACGAGTTTCTTCAATGAAGTCAGGAGTCCTGTCTACTAATGAGGGACACCTCAGGAATCTCTTCGAGGCTTCGCAGGGCAAAAGGGACGCTTCTCGAGGTGAGGCAGGGCAACCAAGGACACTTTCCAGTAGCCACAGGGATTTTGGGATTCCTATCAGTATTCAAGAGGAGTCAGGCATCGTCACCTTTTGAAGCAATGAACTCCGCGTGCCTCTCGAGGTGTCAGCGGGATGTGAGGCATTCCGTCAAAATGAGGCAGGGACCTAGGGCTTTCTCTAAGGTCTCCACAGGGGATTCAGACATCCCTTCATGTTGTGAGATGAAAGACGAGCCTGTATTCAAGCCACTGCAAGGAAATCCGGCCTCCTTTCAAGTTAGGGCTTCTCGCTGTATATTCCCCTTGAGGCAGCAAACTCGGGGTCCCTTCCACATACCTATTGCTGAGAGAAGCCTCCTCCTGAGGTGCTTCTGGAAAGTTGGCATACGTCTTGAGCCTAAGCCAGGGAATCAGCTCTCATCTCGAGACGATTTGGGGTACACGGAGCATTCCTCGAGTTGCTGTGCTGAAGTTGGTGTTCCTCTAGACTTGGGACAGTGTTCTCCGGGCATCTCTGGAGTTGCCTGAAGGAAGTCGAGCCACCGGTCCTGTTGAATGGGGAACGGGGAATGGCTCTGGAGTCAATGCAGGGGAATCGGGCCTCATCTCGAGTTGATTTGGGGCACATGGAGCTGCTTTGCGTTGCTGGGGTGACCTCAGGGTCCGTCTAGACTGGTGACAGTGTTCTCGGGGACTGTCTCGAGATCCATTAAGCAAGTCGAAGCTCCTGACTTGTTTGAATAGGATCACGGAATAGCTCTGCATGCACTGCAGGGGAATGGGGCCTCATCTCGCCTCTAGGGGGAAGTCTCATAGTTTTTCTCGAGTTGCGGCGGGGACCTGAGGTATGTTCTCGACTTACGGCGGGGATGGCCCTTCAAACCCGAGTTTCTTCCGTGACGTCAGGACTCCTGTCTACTAACGAGGGACACCTCAGGAATCTCTTCGAGGCTTGGCAGGGCAAAAGGGACGCTTCTCGAGGTGAGGCAGGGCACCAAAGGACCCTTTCCCGTAGCCACAGGGATTTAGGAATTCCTACCAGTATTCAAGAGGAGTCAGGCATGGTCACCTTTTGAAGCAATGAACTCCGCGTGCCTCTCGAGGTGTCAGCGGGATGTGAGGCATTCCATCAAAATGAGGCAGGGACCTAGGGCTTTCTCTAAGGTCTACTCAGGGGATTCAGACATCCCTTCATGTTGTGAGGTGAAAGACGAGCCTGTATTCTAGCCACAGCAAGGAAATCCGGCCTCCTTTCAAGTTAGGGCTTCTCGCTGTATATTCCCCTTGAGGCAGCAAACTCGGGGTCCCTCCCACATACCTATTGCTGAGAGAAGCCTCCTCCTGAGGTGCTTCTGGAAAGTTGGCATACGTCTTGATCCTAAGCCAGGGAATCAGCTGTCATCTCGAGACGATTTGGCATACACGGAGCATTCCTCGTGTTGCTGTGCTGAAGTTGGTGTTTCTCTACACTTGGGACAGTGTTCTCGGGGCATCTCTGGAGTTGCCTGAAGGAAGTCGAGCCACCGGTCGTGTTGAATGGGGAACGGGGAATGGCTCTGGAGTCAATGCAGGGGAATCGGGCCTCATCTCGAGTTGATTTGGGGCACATGGAGCTGATTTGCGTTGCTGGCGTGACCTTATGGGCCGTCTAGACTGGTGACAGTGTTCTTGGGGACTGTCTCGAGATCCATTAAGCAAGTCGAAGTTCCTGACTTGTTTGAATGGGATCACGGAATAGCTCTGCATGCACTGCAGGGGAATGGGTCCTCATCTCGCCTCTAGGGGGAAGTCTCATGGTTTTTCTTGAGTTGCGGCGGGGACCTGGGGTATGTTCCCGACTTACGGCGGGGATGGCCCTTCAAAACACGAGTTTCTTCAGTGACGTCAGGACTCCTGTCTAGTAAAGAAGGACACCTCAGGAATCTCTTCGAGGCTTGGCAGGGCAAAAGGGACGCTTCTCTGGGTGAGGCAGGGCAACCAAGGACCCTTTCCAGTAGCCACAGGGATTTTTGGATTCCTATCAGTATTCAAGAGGAGTCAGGCATCATCACCTTTTGAAGCAATGAACTCCGCGTGCCTCTCGAGGTGTCAGCGGGATGTGAGGCATTCTGTCAAAACGAGGCAGGGACCTAGGGCTTTCTCTAAGGTCTCCACAGGGGATTCAGACATCCCTTCATGTTGTGAGATGAAAGACGAACCTGTATTCAAGCCACTGCAAGGAAATCCGGCCTCCTTTCAAGTTAGGGCTTCTCGCTGTATATTCCCCTTGAGGCAGCAAACTCGGGGTCCCTCCCACATACCTATTGCTGAGAGAAGCCTCCTCCTGAGTTGTTTCTGGAAAGTTGGCATACGTCTTGAGCCTAAGCCAGGGAATCAGCTCTCATCTCGAGACGATTTGGGGTACACGGGGCATTCCTCGAGTTGCTGTGCTGAAGTTGGTGTTCCTCTAGACTTGGGACAGTGCTCTCGGGGCATCTCTGGATTTGCCTGAAGGAAGTCGAGCCACCGGTCGTGTTGAATGGGGAACGGGGAATGGCTCTGGAGTCAATGCAGGGGAATCGGGCCTCATCTCGAGTTGATTTGGGGCACATGGAGCTGCTTTGCTTTGCTGGGGTGACCTCAGGGTCCGTCTAGACTGGTGACAGTGTTCTTGGGGACTGTCTCGAGATCCATTAAGCAAGTCGAAGCTCCTGACTTGTTTGAATGGGATCACGGAATAGCTCTGCATGCACTGCAGGGGAATGGGGCCTCATCTCGCCTCTAGGGGGAAGTCTCATTGTTTTTCTCGAGTTGCGGCGGGGACCTGGGGTATGTTCTCGATTAACGGCGGGGATGGCCCTTCAAACCCGAGTTTCTTCTGTGACGTCAGGACTCCAGTCTACTAACGAGGGACACCTCAGGAATCTCTTCGAGGCTTGGCAGGGCAAAAGGGACGCTTCTCGAGGTTAGGCAGGGCACCCAAGGACCCTTTCCAGTAGCCACAGGAATTTGGGATACCTATCAGTATTCAAGAGGAGTCAGGCATCGTCACCTTTTGAAGCAATGAACTCCGCGTGCCTCTCAAGGTGTCAGCAGGATGTGAGGCATTCCGTCAAAAAGAGGCAGGGACGTAGGGCTTTCTCTAAGGTCTCCACAGGGGATTCAGACATCCCTTCATGTTGTGAGATGAAAGACGAGCCTGTATTCAAGCCACTGCAAGGAAATCCGGCCTCCTTTCAAGTTAGGGCTTCTCGCTGTATATTCCCCTTGAGGCAGGAAACTCGGGGTCCCTCCCACATACCTACTGCTGACAGAAGCCTCCTCCTGAGGTGCTTCTGGAAAGTTGGCATACGCCTTGAGCCTAAGCCAGGTAATCAGCTCTCATCTCGAGACTATTTGTGGAACACGGAGCATCCCTCGAGTTGCTGTGCTGAAGTTGGTGTTCCTCTAGACTTGGGACAGTGTTCTCGGGGCATCTCTGGAGTTGCCTGAAGGAAGTAGAGCCTCCGGTCGTGTTGAATGGGGAACGGGGAATGGCTCTGGAGCCAATGCAGGGGAATGGGGCCTCAACTCGAGTTGATTTGGGGCACATGGAGCTGCTTTGCGTTGCTGGGGTGACCTCAGGGTCCGTCTAGACTGGTGACAGTGTTCTTCGGGACTGTCTCGAGATCCATTAAGCAAGTTGAAGCTCCTGCCTTGTTTGAATGGGATCACGGAATAGCTCTGCATGCACTGCAGGGGAATGGGTCCTCATCTCGCCTCTAGGGGGAAGTCTCATGGTTTTTCTCGAGTTGCGGCGGGAACCTGGGGTATGTTCTCGACTTACGGCGGGGATGGCCCTTCAAAACATGAGTTTCTTCAGTGACTTCAGGACTCCTGTCTAGTAACGAGGGACACCTCAGGAATCTCTTCGAGGCTTGGCAAGTCAAAAGGGACGCTTCTCGAGGTGAGGCAGGGCACCCAAGGCCCCTTTCCCGTAGCCACAGGGATTTAGGAATTCCTATCAGTATTCAAGAGGAGTCAGGCATCGTCACCTTTTGAAGCAATGAAATCCGCGTGCCTATCAAGGTGTCAGCGGGATGTGAGGCATTCCGTCAAAATGAGGCAGGGACCTAGGGCTTTCTCTAAGGTCTCCACAGGGGATTCAGACATCCCGTCATGTTGTGAGGTGAAAGACGAGCCTGTATTCTAGCCACTGCAAGGAAATCCGGCCTCCTTTCAAGTTAGGGCTTCTCGCTGTATATTCCCCTTGAGGCAGCAAACTCGGGGTCCTTCCCACATACCTATTGCTGAGAGAAGCCTCCTCCTGAGGTGCTTCTGGAAAGTTGGCATACGTCTTGAGCCTAAGCCAGGGAATCAGCTGTCATCTCGAGACGATTTGGCCTACACGGAGCATTCCTCGAGTTGCTGTGCTGAAGTTGGTGTTCCTCTAGACTTGGGACAGTGTTCTCGGGGCATCTCTGGATTTGCCTGAAGGAAGTCGAGCCACCGGTCCTGTTGAATGGGGAACGGGGAATGGCTCTGGAGTCAATGCAGGGGAATCGGGCCTCATCTCGAGTTGATTTGGGGCACATGGAGCTGCTTTGCGTTGCTGGGGTGACCTCAGGGTCCGTCTAGACTGGTGACAGTGTTCTTGGGGACTGTCTCGAGATCCATCAAGCAAGTCGAAGCTCCTGACTTGTTTGATTGGGATCACGGAATAGCTCTGTATGCACTGCAGGTGAATGGGGCCTCATCTCGCCTCTAGGGGTATGTCACATGGTTTTTCTCGACTTGCGACGGGGACCTGGGGTATGTTCTCGACTTATGGCGGGGATGGCCCTTCAAAACACGAGTTTCTTCGGTGACGTCTGGTCTCCTCTCTAGTTACGAGGGACACCTCAGGAATCTCTTCGAGGCTTGGCAGGGCAAAAGGGACGCTTCTCGAGGTGAGGCAGGGCACCCAAGGACCCTTTCCAGTAGCCACAGGGATTTTGGGATTCCTATCAGTATTCAAGAGGAGTCAGGCATCGTCACCTTTTGAAGCAATGAATTCCGCGTGCCTCTCGAGCTGTCAGGGGGATGTGAGGCATTCCGTCAAAATGAGGCAGGGACCTAGGGCTTTCTCTAAGGCCTCCACAGGGGATTCAGACATCCCTTCATGTTGTGAGATGAAAGACGAGCCTGTATTCAAGCCACTGCAAGGAAATCCGGCCTCCTTTCAAGTTAGGGCTTCTCGCTGTATATTCCCCTTGAGGCAGCAAACTCGGGTCCCTCCCACATACCTATTGCTGATAGAAGCCTCTTCCTGAGGTGCTTCTGGAAAGTTGGCATACGTCTTGAGCCTAAGCCAGGGAATCAGCTCTCATCTCGAGACGATTTGGGGTACATGGGGCATTCCTCGAGTTGCTGTGCTGAAGTTGGTGTTCCTCTAGACTTGGGACAGTGTTCTCGGGGCATCTCTGGAGTTGCCTGAAGGAAGTCGAGCCACCGGTCCTGTTGAATGGGGAACGGGGAATGGCTCTGGAGTCAATGCAGGGGAATCGGGCCTCATCTCGAGTTGATTTGGGGCACATGGAGCTCCTTTGCGTTGCTGGGGTGACCTCAGGGTCCGTCTAGACTTGTGACAGTGTTCTCGGGGACTGTCTCGAGACCCATTAAGCAAGTCGAAGCTCCTGACTTGTTTGAATGGGATCACGGAATAGCTCTGCATGCACTGCAGGGGAATGGGGCCTCATCTCGCCTCTAGGGGGAAGTCTAATGGTTTTTCTCGAGTTGCGGCGGGGACCTGAGGTATGTTCTCGACTTACGGCGGGGATGTCCCTTCAAACCCGAGTTTCTTCCGTAACGTCAGGACTCCTGTCTACTAACTAGGGACACCTCAGGAATCTCTTCAAGGCTTGGCAGGGCAAAAGGAACGCTTCTCGAGGTGAGGCAGGGCACCCAAGCACCCTTTCCAGTAGCCACAGGTATTTTGGGATTCCTATCAGTATTCAAGAGGAGTCAGGCATCGTCACCTTTTGAAGCAATGAACTCCGCGTGCCTCTCGAGGAGTCAGCGGGATATGAGGCATTCCGTCAAAAAGAGGCAGGGACCTAGGGCTTTCTCTAAGGTCTCCACAGGGGATTCAGACATCCCTTCATGTTGTGAGATGAAAGACGAGCCTGTATTCAAGCCACTGCAAGGAAATCCGGCCTCCTTTCAAGTTAGGTCTCTCTCTGTATATTCCCCTTCAGGCAACAAACTCGGGGTCCCTCCCACATACCTATTCCTGAGAGAAGCCTCCTCCTGAGGTGCTTCTGGAAAGTTGGCATACGTCTTGAGCCTAAGCCAGGGAATCAGCTCTCATCTCGAGACGATTTGGGGTACATGGGGCATTCCTCGAGTTGCTGTGCTGAAGTTGGTGTTCCTCTAGTCTTGGGACAGTGTTCTCGGGGCATCTCTGGAGTTGCCTGAAGGAAGTCGAGCCACGGTCGTGTTGAATGGGGAACGGGGAATGGCTCTGGAGCCAATGCAGGGGAATGGGGCCTCAACTCGAGTTGATTTGGGGCACATGGAGCTGCTTTGCGTTGCTGGGGTGACCTTAGGGTCCGTCTAGACTGGTGACAGTGTTCTTGGGGACTGTCTCGAGATCCATTAAGCAAGTCGAAGCTCCTGACTTGTTTGAATGGGATCACGGAATAGCTCTGCATGCACTGCAGGGGAATGGGGCCTCATCTCGCCTCTAGGGGGAAGTCTCATGGTTTTTCTCGAGTTGCGGCGGGGACCTGGGGTACGTTCTCGACTTACCGCGGGGATGGCCCTTCAAAACACGAGTTTCTTCAGTGACGTCAGGACTCCTGTCTAGTAACGAGGGACACCTCAGGAATCTCTTCGAGGCTTGGCAGGGCAAAAGGGACGATTCTCGAGGTGAGGCAGGGCACCCAAGGACCCTTTCCCGTAGCCACAGGGATTTTGGGATTCCTATCAGTATTCAAGAGGAGTCAGGCATCGTCACCTTTTGAAGCAATGAACTCCGCGTGCCTCTCGAGGTGTCAGCGGGATGTGAGGCATTCCGTCAAAATGAGGCAGGGACCTAGGTCTTTCTCTAAGGTCTCCACAGGGGATTCAGACATCCCTTAATGTTGTGAGATGAAAGACGAGCCTGTATTCAAGCCACTGCAAGGAAATGCGGCGTCCTTTCAAGTTAGGGCTTCTCGCTGTATATTCCCCTTGAGGCAGCAAACTCGGGTCCCTCCCACATACCTATTGCCGTGAGAAGCCTCCTCCTGAGGTGCTTCTGGAAAGTGGGCATACGTCTTGAGCCTAAGCCAGGGAATCAGCTCTCATCTCGAGACGATTTGGGGTACACGGAGCATTCCTCGAGTTGCTGTGCTGAAGTTGGTGTTTCTCTAGACTTGGGACAGTGTTCTCGGGGCATCTCTGGAGGTGCCTGAAGGAAGTTGAGCCACCGGTCGTGTTGAATGGGGAAGGGGAATGGCTCTGGAGTCAATGCAGGGGAATCGGGCCTCATCTCGAGTTGATTTGGGGCACATGGAGCTGCTTTGCGTTGCTGGGGTGAACTCAGGGTCCGTCTAGACTGGTGACAGTGTTCTTGGGGACTGTCTCGAGATCCATTAAGAAGTCGAAGCTCCTGACTTGTTTGAATGGGATCACGGGATAGCTCTGCATGCACTGCAGGGGAATTGGGCCTCATCTCGCCTCTAGGGGGAAGTCTCATGGTTTTTCTCGAGTTGAGGCGGGGACCTGCGGTATGTTCTCCACTTACGGCGGGGATGGCCCTTCAAAACACGAGTTTCTTCAGTGACGTCAGGACTCCTGTCTAGTAATGAGGGACACCTCAGGAATCTCTTCGAGGCTTGGCAGGGCAAAAGGGACGCTTCTCGAGGTGAGGCAGGGTACCCAAGGACCCTTTCCAGTAGCCACAGCGATTTTGGGATTCCTATCAGTATTCAAGAGCAGTCAGGCATCGTCACCTTTTGAAGCAATGAACTCCGCGTGCCTCTCGAGGTGTCAGCGGGATGTGAGGCATTCCGTCAAAATGAGGCAGGGACCTGGGGCTTTCTCTAAGGTCTCCACAGGGGATTCAGACATCCCTTCATGTTGTGAGATGAAAGACGAGCCTGTATTCAAGCCGCTGCAAGGAAATCCGGCCTCTTTTCAAGTTAGGGCTTCTCGCTGTATATTCCCCTTGAGGCAGCAAACTCGGGTCCCACCCACATACCTATTGCTGAGAGAAGCCTCCTCCTGAGGTGCTTCTGGAAAGTTGGCATAAGTCTTGAGCCTAAGCCAGGGATTCAGCTCTCATCTCGAGATGATTTGGGGTACAGAGAGCATTCTTCGAGTTGCTGTACTGAGTTGGTGTTCCTCTAGACTTGGGACAGTGTTCTCGGGGCATCTCTGGAGTTGCCTGAAGGAAGTCGAGCCACTGGTCGTGTTGAATGGGGAACGGGGAATGGCTCTGGCGTCAATGCAGGGGAATCGGGCCTCATCTCGAGTTGATTTGGGGCACATGGAGCTGCTTTGCTTTGCTGGGGTGACCTCAGGGTCCGCCTAGACTGGTGACAGTGTTCTTGGGGACTCTCTCGAGATCCATTAAGCAAGTCGAAGCTCTTGAGTTGTTTGAATGGGATCACGGGATAGCTCTGCATGCACTGCAGGGGAATGGGGCCTCATCTCGCCTAAAGGGTTAAGTCTCATGGTTTTTCTTAAGTTGAGGCGGGGACCTGGGGTATGTTCCGACTTACGGCGGGGATGGCCCTTCAAAACACGAGTTTCTTCAATGAAGTCAGGAGTCCTGTCTACTAATGAGGGACACCTCAGGAATCTCTTCGAGGCTTGGCAGGGCAAAAGGGACGCTTCTCGAGGTGAGGCAGGGCAACCAAGGACACTTTCCAGTAGCCACAGGGATTTTGGGATTCCTATCAGTATTCAAGAGGAGTCAGGCATCGTCACCTTTTGAAGCAATGAACTCCGCGTGCCTCTCGAGGTGTCAGCGGGATGTGAGGCATTCCGTCAAAATGAGGCAGGGACCTAGGGCTTTCTCTAAGGTCTCCACAGGGGATTCAGACATCCCTTCATGTTGTGAGATGAAAGACGAGCCTGTATTCAAGCCACTGCAAGGAAATCCGGCCTCCTTTCAAGTTAGGGCTTCTCGCTGTATATTCCCCTTGAGGCAGCAAACTCGGGGTCCCTTCCACATACCTATTGCTGAGAGAAGCCTCCTCCTGAGGTGCTTCTGGAAAGTTGGCATACGTCTTGAGCCTAAGCCAGGGAATCAGCTCTCATCTCGAGACGATTTGGGGTACACGGAGCATTCCTCGAGTTGCTGTGCTGAAGTTGGTGTTCCTCTAGACTTGGGACAGTGTTCTCGGGGCATCTCTGGAGTTGCCTGAAGGAAGTCGAGCCACCGGTCGTGTTGAATGTGGAACGGGGAATGTCTCTGGAGTCAATGCAGGGGAATCGGGCCTCATCTCGAGTTGATTTGGGGCACATGGAGCTGCTTTGCGTTGCTGGGGTGACCTCAGGGTCCGTCTAGACTGGTGACAGTGTTCTTGGGTACTGTCTCGAGATCCATTAAGCAAGTCGAAGCTCCTGACTTGTATGAATGGGATCACGGGATAGCTCTGCATGCACTGCAGGGGAATGGGGCCTCATCTCGCCTCTAGGGGGAAGTCTCATGGTTTTTCTCGAGTTGAGGCGGGGACCTGGGGTATGTTCTCGACTTACGGCGGGGATGGCCCTTCAAAACACGAGTTTCTTCAGTGACGTCAGGACTCCTGTCTAGTAATGAGGGACACCTCAGGAATCTCTTCGAGGCTTGGCAGGGCAAAAGGAACGCTTCTCGAGGTGAGGCAGGGCCCCCAAGGACCCTTTCCAGTAGCCACAGCGATTTTGGGATTCCTATCAGTATTCAAGAGGAGTCAGGCATCGTCACCTTTTGAAGCAATGAACTCCGCGTGCCTCTCGAGGTGTCAGTGGGATGTGAGGCATTCCGTCAAAATGAGGCAGGGACCTAGGGCTTTCTCTAAGGTCTCCACAGGGGATTCAGACATCCCTTCATGTTGTGAGATGAAAGACGAGCCTGTATTCAAGCCACAGCAAGGAAATGCGGCCTCCTTTCAAGTTAGGGCTTCTCGCTGTATATTCCCCTTGAGGCAGCAAACTCGGGGTCCCTTCCACATACCTATTGCTGAGAGAAGCCTCCTCCTGAGGTGCTTCTGGAAAGTTGGCATACGCCTTGAGCCTAATCCAGGGAATCAGCTCTCATCTCGAGACAATTTGGGGTACACGGAGCATTCCTCGAGTTGCTGTGCTGAAGTTGGTGTTCCTCTAGACTTGGGACAGTGTTCTCGGGGCATCTCTGGAGTTGCCTGAAGGAAGTCGAGCCACCGGTCGTGTTGAATGGGGAACGGGGAATGGCTCTGGAGTCAATGCAGGGGAATCGGGCCTCATCTCGAGTTGATTTCGGGCACATGGAGCTGCTTTGCGTTGCTGGGGTGACCTCAGGGTCCGTCTAGACTGGTGACAGTGTTCTTGGGGACTGTCTCGAGATCCATTAAGCAAGTCGAAGCTCCTGACTTGTATGAATGGGATCACGGGATAGCTCTGCATGCACTGCAGGGGAATGGGGCCTCATCTCGCCTCTAGGGGGAAGTCTCATGGTTTTTCTCGAGTTGAGGCGGGGACCTGGGGTATGTTCTCGACTTACGGCGGGGATGGCCCTTCAAAACACGAGTTTCTTCAGTGACGTCAGGACTCCTGTCTAGTAATGAGGGACACCTCAGGAATCTCTTCGAGGCTTGGCAGGGCAAAAGGAACGCTTCTCGAGGTGAGGCAGGGCACCCAAGGACCCTTTCCAGTAGCCACAGCGATTTTGGGATTCCTATCAGTATTCAAGAGGAGTCAGGCATCGTCACCTTTTGAAGCAATGAACTCCGCGTGCCTCTCGAGGTGTCAGCGGGATGTGAGGCATTCCGTCAAAATGAGGCAGGGACCTAGGGCTTTCTCTAAGGTCTCCACAGGGGATTCAGACATCCCTTCATGTTGTGAGATGAAAGACGAGCCTGTATTCAAGCCACAGCAAGGAAATGCGGCCTCCTTTCAAGTTAGGGCTTCTCGCTGTATATTCCCCTTGAGGCAGCAAACTCGGGGTCCCTTCCACATACCTATTGGTGAGAGAAGCCTCCTCCTGAGGTGCTTCTGGAAAGTTGGCATACGCCTTGAGCCTAATCCAGGGAATCAGCTCTCATCTCGAGACAATTTGGGGTACATGGAGCATTCCTCGAGTTGCTGTGCTGAAGTTGGTGTTCCTCTAGACTTGGGACAGTGTTCTCGGGGCATCTCTGGAGTTGCCTGAAGGAAGTCGAGCCACCGGTCGTGTTGAATGGGGAACGGGGAATGGCTCTGGAGTCAATGCAGGGGAATCGGGCCTCATCTCGAGTTGATTTCGGGCACATGGAGCTGCTTTGCGTTGCTGGGGTGACCTCAGGGTCCGTCTAGACTGGTGACAGTGTTCTTGGGGACTGTCTCGAGATCCATTAAGCAAGTCGAAGCTCCTGACTTGTTTGAATGGGATCACGGGATAGCTCTGCATGCACTGCAGGTGATTGGGGCCTCATCTCGCCTCTAGGGGGAAGTCTCATGGTTTTTCTCGAGTTGAGGCAGGGACCTGGGGTATGTTCTCGACTTACGGCGGGGATGGCCCTTCAAAACACGAGTTTCTTCAGTGACGTCAGGACTCCTGTCTAGTAATGAGGGACACCTCAGGAATCTCTTCGAGGCTTGGCAGGGCAAAAGGGACGCTTCTCGAGGTGAGGCAGGGTACCCAAGGACCCTTTCCAGTAGCCACAGCGATTTTGGGATTCCTATCAGTATTCAAGATGAGTCAGGCATCGTCACCTTTTGAAGCAATGAACTCCGCGTGCCTCTCGAGGTGTCAGCGGGATGTGAGGCATTCCGTCAAAATTAGGCAGGGACCTAGGGCTTTCTCTAAGGTCTCCACAGGGGATTCAGACATCCCTTCATGTTGTGAGATGAAAGACGAGCCTGTATTCAAGCCACTGCAAGGAAATGCGGCCTCCTTTCAAGTTAGGGCTTCTCGCTGTATATTCCCCTTGAGGCAGCAAACTCGGGTCCCTCCCACATACCTATTGCTGTGAGAAGCCTCCTCCTGAGGTGCTTCTGGAAAGTTGGCATAAGTCTTGAGCCTAAGCCAGGGAATCAGCTCTCATCTCGAGACGATTTGGGGTACACGGAGCATTCCTCGAGTTGCTGTGCTGAAGTTGGTGTTTCTCTAGACTTGGGACAGTGTTCTCGGGGCATCTCTGGAGGTGCCTGAAGGAAGTTAAGCCACCGGTCGTGTTGAATGGGGAACGGGGAATGGCTCTGGAGTCAATGCAGGGGAATCGGGCCTCATCTCGAGTTGATTTGGGGCACATGGAGCTGCTTTGCGTTGCTGGGGTGAACTCAGGGTCCGTCTAGACTGGTGACAGTGTTCTTGGGGACTGTCTCGAGATCCATTAAGAAGTCGAAGCTCCTGACTTGTTTGAATGGGATCACGGGATAGCTCTGCATGCACTGCAGGGGAATTGGGCCTCATCTCGCCTCTAGGGGGAAGTCTCATGGTTTTTCTCGAGTTGAGGCGGGGACCTGCGGTATGTTCTCCACTTACGGCGGGGATGGCCCTTCAAAACACGAGTTTCTTCAGTGACGTCAGGACTCCTGTCTAGTAACGAGGGACACCTCAGGAATCTCTTCGAGGCTTGGCAGGGCAAAAGGGACGCTTCTCGAGGTGAGGCAGGGTACCCAAGGACCCTTTCCAGTAGCCACAGCGATTTTGGGATTCCTATCAGTATTCAAGAGCAGTCAGGCATCGTCACCTTTTGAAGCAATGAACTCCGCGTGCCTCTCGAGGTGTCAGCGGGATGTGAGGCATTCCGTCAAAATGAGGCAGGGACCTAGGGCTTTCTCTAAGGTCTCCACAGGGGATTCAGACATCCCTTCATGTTGTGAGATGAAAGACGAGCCTGTATTCAAGCCGCTGCAAGGAAATCCGGCCTCCTTTCAAGTTAGGGCTTCTCGCTGTATATTCCCCTTGAGGCAGCAAACTCGGGTCCCACCCACATACCTATTGCTGAGAGAAGCCTCCTCCTGAGGTGCTTCTGGAAAGTTGGCATAAGTCTTGAGCCTAAGCCAGGGATTCAGCTCTCATCTCGAGACGATTTGGGGTACAGAGAGCATTCTTCGAGTTGCTGTACTGAGTTGGTGTTCCTCTAGACTTGGGACAGTGTTCTCGGGGCATCTCTGGAGTTGCCTGAAGGAAGTCGAGCCACCGGTCGTGTTGAATGGGGAACGGGGAATGGCTCTGGCGTCAATGCAGGGGAATCGGGCCTCATCTCGAGTTGATTTGGGGCACATGGAGCTGCTTTGCTTTGCTGGGGTGACCTCAGGGTCCGCCTAGACTGGTGACAGTGTTCTTGGGGACTCTCTCGAGATCCATTAAGCAAGTCGAAGCTCTTGAGTTGTTTGAATGGGATCACGGGATAGCTCTGCATGCACTGCAGGGGAATGGGGCCTCATCTCGCCTAAAGGGTTAAGTCTCATGGTTTTTCTTAAGTTGAGGCGGGGACCTGGGGTATGTTCTCGACTTACGGCGGGGATGGCCCTTCAAAACACGAGTTTCTTCTGTGACGTCAGGATTCCTGTCTAGTAATGAGGGACACCTCAGGAATCTCTTCGAGGCTTGGCAGGGCAAAAGGGACGCTTCTCGAGGTGAGGCAGGGCACTGAAGGACACTTTCCAGTAACCACAGGGATTTTGGGATTCCTATCAGTATTCAAGAGGAGTCAGGAATCGTCACCTTTTGAAGCAATGAACTCCACGTGCCTCTCGAGGTGTCAGCGGGATGTGAGGCATTCCGTCAAAATGAGGCAGGGACCTAGGGCTTTCTCTAAGGTCTCCACAGGGGATTCAGACATCCCTTCATGTTGTGAGATGAAAGACGAGCCTGTATTCAAGCCACTGCAAGGAAATCCGGCCTCCTTTCAAGTTAGGGCTTCTCGCTGTATATTCCCCTTGAGGCAGCAAACTCGGGGTCCCTTCCACATACCTATTGCTGAGAGAAGCCTCCTCCTGAGGTGCTTCTGGAAATTTGGCATACGTCTTGAGCCTAAGCCAGGGAATCAGCTGTCATCTCGAGACGATTTGGGGTACACGGAGCATTCCTCGAGTTGCTGTGCTGAAGTTGGTGTTCCTCTAGACTTGGGACAGTGTTCTCGGGGCATCTCTGGAGTTGCCTGAAGGAAGTCGAGCCACCGGTCGTGTTGAATGGGGAACGGGGAATGGCTCTGGAGTCAATGCAGGGGAATCGGGCCTCATCTCGAGTTGATTTGGGGCACATGGAGCGGCTTTGCGTTGCTGGGGTGACCTCAGGGTCCGTCTAGACTGGTGACAGTGTTCCTGGGGACTGTCTCGAGATCCATTAAGCAAGTCGAAGCTCCTGACTTGTATGAATGGGATCACGGGATAGCTCTGCATGCACTGCAGGGGAATGGGGCCTCATCTCGCCTCTAGGGGGAAGTCTCATGGTTTTTCTCGAGTTGAGGCGGGGACCTGGGATATGTTCTCGACTTACGGCGGGGATGGCCCTTCAAAACACGAGTTTCTTCAGTGACGTCAGGACTCCTGTCTAGTAATGAGGGACACCTCAGGAATCTCTTCGAGGCTTGGCAGGGCAAAAGGGACGCTTCTCGAGGTGAGGCAGGGCAACCAAGGACACTTTCCAGTAGCCACAGGGATTTTGGGATTCCTATCAGTATTCAAGAGGAGTCAGGCATCGTCACCTTTTGAAGCAATGAACTCCGCGTGCCTCTCGAGGTGTCAGCGGGATGTGAGGCATTCCGTCAAAATGAGGCAGGGACCTAGGGCTTTCTCTAAGGTCTCCACAGGGGATTCAGACATCCCTTCATGTTGTGAGATGAAAGACGAGCCTGTATTCAAGCCACAGCAAGGAAATGCGGCCTCCTTTCAAGTTAGGGCTTCTCGCTGTATATTCCCCTTGAGGCAGCAAACTCGGGGTCCCTTCCACATACCTATTGGTGAGAGAAGCCTCCTCCTGAGGTGCTTCTGGAAAGTTGGCATACGCCTTGAGCCTAATCCAGGGAATCAGCTCTCATCTCGAGACAATTTGGGGTACATGGAGCATTCCTCGAGTTGCTGTGCTGAAGTTGGTGTTCCTCTAGACTTGGGACAGTGTTCTCGGGGCATCTCTGGAGTTGCCTGAAGGAAGTCGAGCCACCGGTCGTGTTGAATGGGGAACGGGGAATGGCTCTGGAGTCAATGCAGGGGAATCGGGCCTCATCTCGAGTTGATTTCGGGCACATGGAGCTGCTTTGCGTTGCTGGGGTGACCTCAGGGTCCGTCTAGACTGGTGACAGTGTTCTTGGGGACTGTCTCGAGATCCATTAAGCAAGTCGAAGCTCCTGACTTGTTTGAATGGGATCACGGGATAGCTCTGCATGCACTGCAGGTGATTGGGGCCTCATCTCGCCTCTAGGGGGAAGTCTCATGGTTTTTCTCGAGTTGAGGCGGGGACCTGGGGTATGTTCTCGACTTACGGCGGGGATGGCCCTTCAAAACACGAGTTTCTTCAGTGACGTCAGGACTCCTGTCTAGTAATGAGGGACACCTCAGGAATCTCTTCGAGGCTTGGCAGGGCAAAAGGGACGCTTCTCGAGGTGAGGCAGGGTACCCAAGGACCCTTTCCAGTAGCCACAGCGATTTTGGGATTCCTATCAGTATTCAAGATGAGTCAGGCATCGTCACCTTTTGAAGCAATGAACTCCGCGTGCCTCTCGAGGTGTCAGCGGGATGTGAGGCATTCCGTCAAAATTAGGCAGGGACCTAGGGCTTTCTCTAAGGTCTCCACAGGGGATTCAGACATCCCTTCATGTTGTGAGATGAAAGACGAGCCTGTATTCAAGCCACTGCAAGGAAATTCGGCCTCCTTTCAAGTTAGGGCTTCTCGCTGTATATTCCCCTTGAGGCAGCAAACTCGGGTCCCTCCCACATACCTATTGCTGTGAGAAGCCTCCTCCTGAGGTGCTTCTGGAAAGTTGGCATACGTCTTGAGCCTAAGCCAGGGAATCAGCTCTCATCTCGAGACGATTTGGGGTACACGGAGCATTCCTCGAGTTGCTGTGCTGAAGTTGGTGTTTCTCTAGACTTGGGACAGTGTTCTCGGGGCATCTCTGGAGGTGCCTGAAGGAAGTTGAGCCACCGGTCGTGTTGAATGGGGAACGGGGAATGGCTCTGGAGTCAATGCAGGGGAATCGGGCCTCATCTCGAGTTGATTTGGGGCACATGGAGCTGCTTTGCGTTGCTGGGGTGAACTCAGGGTCCGTCTAGACTGGTGACAGTGTTCTTGGGGACTGTCTCGAGATCCATTAAGAAGTCGAAGCTCCTGACTTGTTTGAATGGGATCACGGGATAGCTCTGCATGCACTGCAGGGGAATTGGGCCTCATCTCGCCTCTAGGGGGAAGTCTCATGGTTTTTCTCGAGTTGAGGCGGGGACCTGCGGTATGTTCTCCACTTACGGCGGGGATGGCCCTTCAAAACACGAGTTTCTTCAGTGACGTCAGGACTCCTGTCTAGTAATGAGGGACACCTCAGGAATCTCTTCGAGGCTTGGCAGGGCAAAAGGGACGCTTCTCGAGGTGAGGCAGGGTACCCAAGGACCCTTTCCAGTAGCCACAGCGATTTTGGGATTCCTATCAGTATTCAAGAGCAGTCAGGCATCGTCACCTTTTGAAGCAATGAACTCCGCGTGCCTCTCGAGGTGTCAGCGGGATGTGAGGCATTCCGTCAAAATGAGGCAGGGACCTAGGGCTTTCTCTAAGGTCTCCACAGGGGATTCAGACATCCCTTCATGTTGTGAGATGAAAGACGAGCCTGTATTCAAGCCGCTGCAAGGAAATCCGGCCTCCTTTCAAGTTAGGGCTTCTCGCTGTATATTCCCCTTGAGGCAGCAAACTCGGGTCCCACCCACATACCTATTGCTGAGAGAAGCCTCCTCCTGAGGTGCTTCTGGAAAGTTGGCATAAGTCTTGAGCCTAAGCCAGGGATTCAGCTCTCATCTCGAGACGATTTGGGGTACAGAGAGCATTCTTCGAGTTGCTGTACTGAGTTGGTGTTCCTCTAGACTTGGGACAGTGTTCTCGGGGCATCTCTGGAGTTGCCTGAAGGAAGTCGAGCCACCGGTCGTGTTGAATGGGGAACGGGGAATGGCTCTGGCGTCAATGCAGGGGAATCGGGCCTCATCTCGAGTTGATTTGGGGCACATGGAGCGGCTTTGCGTTGCTGGGGTGACCTCAGGGTCCGTCTAGACTGGTGACAGTGTTCCTGGGGACTGTCTCGAGATCCATTAAGCAAGTCGAAGCTCCTGACTTGTATGAATGGGATCACGGGATAGCTCTGCATGCACTGCAGGGGAATGGGGCCTCATCTCGCCTCTAGGGGGAAGTCTCATGGTTTTTCTCGAGTTGAGGCGGGGACCTGGGGTATGTTCTCGACTTACGGCGGGGATGGCCCTTCAAAACACGAGTTTCTTCAGTGACGTCAGGACTCCTGTCTAGTAATGAGGGACACCTCAGGAATCTCTTCGAGGCTTGGCTGGGCAAAAGGGACGCTTCTCGAGGTGAGGCAGGGCAACCAAGGACACTTTCCAGTAGCCACAGGGATTTTGGGATTCCTATCAGTATTCAAGAGGAGTCAGGCATCGTCACCTTTTGAAGCAATGAACTCCGCGTGCCTCTCGAGGTGTCAGCGGGATGTGAGGCATTCCGTCAAAATGAGGCAGGGACCTAGGGCTTTCTCTAAGGTCTCCACAGGGGATTCAGACATCCCTTCATGTTGTGAGATGAAAGACGAGCCTGTATTCAAGCCACTGCAAGGAAATCCGGCCTCCTTTCAAGTTAGGGCTTCTCGCTGTATATTCCCCTTGAGGCAGCAAACTCGGGGTCCCTTCCACATACCTATTGCTGAGAGAAGCCTCCTCCTGAGGTGCTTCTGGAAAGTTGGCATACGTCTTGAGCCTAAGCCAGGGAATCAGCTCTCATCTCGAGACGATTTGGGGTACACGGAGCATTCCTCGAGTTGCTGTGCTGAAGTTGGTGTTCCTCTAGACTTGGGACAGTGTTCTCGGGGCATCTCTGGAGTTGCCTGAAGGAAGTCGAGCCACCGGTCGTGTTGAATGGGGAACGGGGAATGTCTCTGGAGTCAATGCAGGGGAATCGGGCCTCATCTCGAGTTGATTTGGGGCACATGGAGCTGCTTTGCGTTGCTGGGGTGACCTCAGGGTCCGTCTAGACTGGTGACAGTGTTCTTGGGTACTGTCTCGAGATCCATTAAGCAAGTCGAAGCTCCTGACTTGTATGAATGGGATCACGGGATAGCTCTGCATGCACTGCAGGGGAATGGGGCCTCATCTCGCCTCTAGGGGGAAGTCTCATGGTTTTTCTCGAGTTGAGGCGGGGACCTGGGGTATGTTCTCGACTTACGGCGGGGATGGCCCTTCAAAACACGAGTTTCTTCAGTGACGTCAGGACTCCTGTCTAGTAATGAGGGACACCTCAGGAATCTCTTCGAGGCTTGGCAGGGCAAAAGGAACGCTTCTCGAGGTGAGGCAGGGCCCCCAAGGACCCTTTCCAGTAGCCACAGCGATTTTGGGATTCCTATCAGTATTCAAGAGGAGTCAGGCATCGTCACCTTTTGAAGCAATGAACTCCGCGTGCCTCTCGAGGTGTCAGTGGGATGTGAGGCATTCCGTCAAAATGAGGCAGGGACCTAGGGCTTTCTCTAAGGTCTCCACAGGGGATTCAGACATCCCTTCATGTTGTGAGATGAAAGACGAGCCTGTATTCAAGCCACAGCAAGGAAATGCGGCCTCCTTTCAAGTTAGGGCTTCTCGCTGTATATTCCCCTTGAGGCAGCAAACTCGGGGTCCCTTCCACATACCTATTGCTGAGAGAAGCCTCCTCCTGAGGTGCTTCTGGAAAGTTGGCATACGCCTTGAGCCTAATCCAGGGAATCAGCTCTCATCTCGAGACGATTTGGGGTACACGGAGCATTCCTCGAGTTGCTGTGCTGAAGTTGGTGTTCCTCTAGACTTGGGACAGTGTTCTCGGGGCATCTCTGGAGTTGCCTGAAGGAAGTCGAGCCACCGGTCGTGTTGAATGGGGAACGGGGAATGGCTCTGGAGTCAATGCAGGGGAATCGGGCCTCATCTCGAGTTGATTTCGGGCACATGGAGCTGCTTTGCGTTGCTGGGGTGACCTCAGGGTCCGTCTAGACTGGTGACAGTGTTCTTGGGGACTGTCTCGAGATCCATTAAGCAAGTCGAAGCTCCTGACTTGTATGAATGGGATCACGGGATAGCTCTGCATGCACTGCAGGGGAATGGGGCCTCATCTCGCCTCTAGGGGGAAGTCTCATGGTTTTTCTCGAGTTGAGGCGGGGACCTGGGGTATGTTCTCGACTTACGGCGGGGATGGCCCTTCAAAACACGAGTTTCTTCAGTGACGTCAGGACTCCTGTCTAGTAATGAGGGACACCTCAGGAATCTCTTCGAGGCTTGGCAGGGCAAAAGGAACGCTTCTCGAGGTGAGGCAGGGCACCCAAGGACCCTTTCCAGTAGCCACAGCGATTTTGGGATTCCTATCAGTATTCAAGATGAGTCAGGCATCGTCAACTTTTGAAGCAATGAACTCCGCGTGCCTCTCGAGGTGTCAGCGGGATGTGAGGCATTCCGTCAAAATTAGGCAGGGACCTAGGGCTTTCTCTAAGGTCTCCACAGGGGATTCAGACATCCCTTCATGTTGTGAGATGAAAGACGAGCCTGTATTCAAGCCACTGCAAGGAAATCCGGCCTCCTTTCAAGTTAGGGCTTCTCGCTGTATATTCCCTTGAGGCAGCAAACTCGGGTCCCTCCCACATACCTATTGCTGTGAGAAGCCTCCTCCTGAGGTGCTTCTGGAAAGTTGGCATACGTCTTGAGCCTAAGCCAGGGAATCAGCTCTCATCTCGAGACGATTTGGGGTACACGGAGCATTCCTCGAGTTGCTGTGCTGAAGTTGGTGTTTCTCTAGACTTGGGACAGTGTTCTCGGGGCATCTCTGGAGGTGCCTGAAGGAAGTTGAGCCACCGGTCGTGTTGAATGGGGAACGGGGAATGTCTCTGGAGTCAATGCAGGGGAATCGGGCCTCATCTCGAGTTGATTTGGGGCACATGGAGCTGCTTTAGTTGCTGGGGTGACCTCAGGGTCCGTCTAGACTGGTGACAGTGTTCTTGGGGACTGTCTCGAGATCCATTAAGAAGTCGAAGCTCCTGACTTGTTTGAATGGGATCACGGGATAGCTCTGCATGCACTGCAGGGGAATTGGGCCTCATCTCGCCTCTAGGGGGAAGTCTCATGGTTTTTCTCGAGTTGAGGCGGGGACCTGGGGTATGTTCTCCACTTACGGCGGGGATGGCCCTTCAAAACACGAGTTTCTTCAATGACGTCAGGACTCCTGTCTAGTAATGAGGGACACCTCAGGAATCTCTTCGAGGCTTGGCAGGGCAAAAGGGACGCTTCTCGAGGTGAGGCAGGGTACCCAAAGACCCTTTCCAGTAGCCACAGCGATTTTGGGATTCCTATCAGTATTCAAGAGCAGTCAGGCATCGTCACCTTTTGAAGCAATGAACTCCGCGTGCCTCTCGAGGTGTCAGCGGGATGTGAGGCATTCCGTCAAAATGAGGCAGGGACCTAGGGCTTTCTCTAAGGTCTCCACAGGGGATTCAGACATCCCTTCATGTTGTGAGATGAAAGACGAGCCTGTATTCAAGCCACTGCAAGGAAATCCGACCTCCTTTCAAGTTAGGGCTTCTCGCTGTATATTCCCCTTGAGGCAGCAAACTCGGGTCCCACCCACATACCTATTGCTGAGAGAAGCCTCCTCCTGAGGTGCTTCTGGAAAGTTGGCATAAGTCTTGAGCCTAAGCCAGGGATTCAGCTCTCATCTCGAGACGATTTGGGGTACAGAGAGCATTCTTCGAGTTGCTGTACTGAGTTGGTGTTCCTCTAGACTTGGGACAGTGTTCTCGGGGCATCTCTGGAGTTGCCTGAAGGAAGTCGAGCCACCGGTCGTGTTGAATGGGGAACGGGGAATGGCTCTGGCGTCAATGCAGGGGAATCGGGCCTCATCTCGAGTTGATTTGGGGCACATGGAGCTGCTTTGCTTTGCTGGGGTGACCTCAGGGTCCGTCTAGACTGGTGACAGTGTTCTTGGGGACTCTCTCGAGATCCATTAAGCAAGTCGAAGCTCTTGACTTGTTTGAATGGGATCACGGGATAGCTCTGCATGCACTGCAGGTGATTGGGGCCTCATCTCGCCTCTAGGGGATAGTCTCATGGTTTTTCTCGAGTTGAGGCGGGGACCTGGGGTATGTTCTCGACTTACGTCGGGGATGGCCCTTCAAAACACGAGTTTCTTCAGTGACGTCAGGACTCCTGTCTAGTAATGAGGGACACCTCAGGAATCTCTTCGAGGCTTGGCAGGGCAAAAGGGACGCTTCTCGAGGTGAGGCAGGGTACCCAAGGACCCTTTCCAGTAGCCACAGCGATTTTGGGATTCCTATCAGTATTCAAGATGAGTCAGGCATCGTCACCTTTTGAAGCAATGAACTCCGCGTGCCTCTCGAGGTGTCAGCGGGATGTGAGGCATTCCGTCAAAATTAGGCAGGGACCTAGGGCTTTCTCTAAGGTCTCCACAGGGGATTCAGACATCCCTTCATGTTGTGAGATGAAAGACGAGCCTGTATTCAAGCCACTGCAAGGAAATCCGGCCTCCTTTCAAGTTAGGGCTTCTCGCTGTATATTCCCTTGAGGCAGCAAACTCGGGTCCCTCCCACATACCTATTGCTGTGAGAAGCCTCCTCCTGAGGTGCTTCTGGAAAGTTGGCATACGTCTTGAGCCTAAGCCAGGGAATCAGCTCTCATCTCGAGACGATTTGGGGTACACGGAGCATTCCTCGAGTTGCTGTGCTGAAGTTGGTGTTTCTCTAGACTTCGGACAGTGTTCTCGGGGCATCTCTGGAGGTGCCTGAAGGAAGTTGAGCCACCGGTCGTGTTGAATGGGGAACGGGGAATGTCTCTGGAGTCAATGCAGGGGAATCGGGCCTCATCTCGAGTTGATTTGGGGCACGTGGAGCTGCTTTGCGTTGCTGGGGTGAACTCAGGGTCCGTCTAGACTGGTGACAGTGTTCTTGGGGACTGTCTCGAGATCCATTAAGAAGTCGAAGCTCCTGACTTGTTTGAATGGGATCACGGGATAGCTCTGCATGCACTGCAGGGGAATTGGGCCTCATCTCGCCTCTAGGGGGAAGTCTCATGGTTTTTCTCGAGTTGAGGCGGGGACCTGGGGTATGTTCTCCACTTACGGCGGGGATAGCCCTTCAAAACACGGGTTTCTTCAGTGACGTCAGGACTCCTGTCTAGTAATGAGGGACACCTCAGGAATCTCTTCGAGGCTTGGCAGGGCAAAAGGGACGCTTCTCGAGGTGAGGCAGGGCACCCAAGGACACTTTCCAGTAACCACAGGGATTTTGGGATTCCTATCAGTATTCAAGAGGAGTCAGGCATCGTCACCTTTTGAAGCAATGAACTCCGCGTGCCTCTCGAGGTGTCAGCGGGATGTGAGGCATTCCGTCAAAATGAGGCAGGGACCTAGGGCTTTCTCTAAGGTCTCCACAGGGGATTCAGACATCCCTTCATGTTGTGAGATGAAAGACGAGCCTGTATTCAAGCCACTGCAAGGAAATCCGGCCTCCTTTCAAGTTAGGGCTTCTCACTGTATATTCCCCTTGAGGCAGCAAACTCGGGGTCCCTTCCACATACCTATTGCTGAGAGAAGCTTCCTCCTGAGGTGCTTCTGGAAATTTGGCATACGTCTTGAGCCTAAGCCAGGGAATCAGCTGTCATCTCGAGACGATTTGGGGTACACGGAGCATTCCTCGAGTTGCTGTGCTGAAGTTGGTGTTCCTCTAGACTTGGGACAGTGTTCTCGGGGCATCTCTGGAGTTGCCTGAAGGAAGTCGAGCCACCGGTCGTGTTGAATGGGGAACGGGGAATGGCTCTGGAGTCAATGCAGGGGAATCGGGCCTCATCTCGAGTTGATTTCGGGCACATGGAGCTGCTTTGCGTTGCTGGGGTGACCTCAGGGTCCGTCTAGACTGGTGACAGTGTTCTTGGGTACTGTCTCGAGATCCATTAAGCAAGTCGAAGCTCCTGACTTGTATGAATGGGATCACGGGATAGCTCTGCATGCACTGCAGGGGAATGGGGCCTCATCTCGCCTCTAGGGGGAAGTCTCATGGTTTTTCTCGAGTTGAGGCGGGGACCTGGGGTATGTTCTCGACTTACGGCGGGGATGGCCCTTCAAAACACGAGTTTCTTCAGTGACGTCAGGACTCCTGTCTAGTAATGAGGGACACCTCAGGAATCTCTTCGAGGCTTGGCAGGGCAAAAGGGACGCTTCTCGAGGTGAGGCAGGGCACCCAAGGACACTTTCCAGTAGCCACAGGGATTTTGGGATTCCTATCAGTATTCAAGATGAGTCAGGCATCGTCACCTTTTGAAGCAATGAACTCCGCGTGCCTCTCGAGGTGTCAGCGGGATGTGAGGCATTCCGTCAAAATGAGGCAGGGACCTAGGGCTTTCTCTAAGGTCTCCACAGGGGATTCAGACATCCCTTCATGTTGTGAGATGAAAGACGAGCCTGTATTCAAGCCACTGCAAGGAAATCCGGCCTCCTTTCAAGTTAGGGCTTCTCGCTGTATATTCCCCTTGAGGCAGCAAACTCGGGGTCCCTTCCACATACCTATTGCTGAGAGAACCCTCCTCCTGAGGTGCTTCTGGAAAGTTGGCATACGTCTTGAGCCTAAGCCAGGGAATCAGCTCTCATCTCGAGACGATTTGGGGTACACGGAGCATTCCTCGAGTTGCTGTGCTGAAGTTGGTGTTCCTCTAGACTTGGGACAGTGTTCTCGGGGCATCTCTGGAGTTGCCTGAAGGAAGTCGAGCCACCGGTCGTGTTGAATGTGGAACGGGGAATGGCTCTGGAGTCAATGCAGGGGAATCGGGCCTCATCTCGGGTTGATTTGGGGCACATGGAGCTGCTTTGCGTTGCTGGGGTGACCTCAGGGTCCGTCTAGACTGGTGACAGTGTTCTTGGGTACTGTCTCGAGATCCTTTAAGCAAGTCGAAGCTCCTGACTTGTATGAATGGGATCACGGGATAGCTCTGCATGCACTGCAGGGGAATGGGGCCTCATCTCGCCTCTAGGGGGAAGTCTCATGGTTTTTCTCGAGTTGAGGCGGGGACCTGGGGTATGTTCTCGACTTACGGCGGGGATGGCCCTTCAAAACACGAGTTTCTTCAGTGACGTCAGGACTCCTGTCTAGTAATGAGGGACACCTCAGGAATCTCTTCGAGGCTTGGCAGGGCAAAAGGAACGCTTCTCGAGGTGAGGCAGGGCACCCAAGGACCCTTTCCAGTAGCCACAGCGATTTTGGGATTCCTATCAGTATTCAAGAGGAGTCAGGCATCGTCACCTTTTGAAGCAATGAACTCCGCGTGCCTCTCGAGGTGTCAGTGGGATGTGAGGCATTCCGTCAAAATGAGGCAGGGACCTAGGGCTTTCTCTAAGGTCTCCACAGGGGATTCAGACATCCCTTCATGTTGTGAGATGAAAGACGAGCCTGTATTCAAGCCACAGCAAGGAAATGCGGCCTCCTTTCAAGTTAGGGCTTCTCGCTGTATATTCCCCTTGAGGCAGCAAACTCGGGGTCCCTTCCACATACCTATTGCTGAGAGAAGCCTCCTCCTGAGGTGCTTCTGGAAAGTTGGCATACGCCTTGAGCCTAATCCAGGGAATCAGCTCTCATCTCGAGACAATTTGGGGTACACGGAGCATTCCTCGAGTTGCTGTGCTGAAGTTGGTGTTCCTCTAGACTTGGGACAGTGTTCTCGGGGCATCTCTGGAGTTGCCTGAAGGAAGTCGAGCCACCGGTCGTGTTGAATGGGGAACGGGGAATGGCTCTGGAGTCAATGCAGGGGAATCGGGCCTCATCTCGAGTTGATTTCGGGCGCATGGAGCTGCTTTGCGTTGCTGGGGTGACCTCAGGGTCCGTCTAGACTGGTGACAGTGTTCTTGGGGACTGTCTCGAGATCCATTAAGCAAGTCGAAGCTCCTGACTTGTTTGAATGGGATCACGGGATAGCTCTGCATGCACTGCAGGTGATTGGGGCCTCATCTCGCCTCTAGGGGGAAGTCTCATGGTTTTTCTCGAGTTGAGGCGGGGACCTGGGGTATGTTCTCGACTTACGGCGGGGATGGCCCTTCAAAACACGAGTTTCTTCAGTGACGTCAGGACTCCTGTCTAGTAACGAGAGACACCTCAGGAATCTCTTCGAGGCTTGGCAGGGCAAAAGGGACGCTTCTCGAGGTGAGGCAGGGCACCCAAGGACCCTTTCCAGTAGCCACAGCGATTTTGGGATTCCTATCAGTATTCAAGAGGAGTCAGGCATCGTCACCTTTTGAAGCAATGAACTCCGCGTGCCTCTCGAGGTGTCAGTGGGATGTGAGGCATTCCGTCAAAATGAGGCAGGGACCTAGGTCTTTCTCTAAGGTCTCCACAGGGGATTCAGACATCCCTTCATGTTGTGAGATGAAAGACGAGCCTGTATTCAAGCCACAGCAAGGAAATGCGGCCTCCTTTCAAGTTAGGGCTTCTCGCTGTATATTCCCCTTGAGGCAGCAAACTCGGGGTCCCTTCCACATACCTATTGCTGAGAGAAGCCTCCTCCTGAGGTGCTTCTGGAAAGTTGGCATACGCCTTGAGCCTAATCCAGGGAATCAGCTCTGATCTCGAGACAATTTGGGGTACACGGAGCATTCCTCGAGTTGCTGTGCTGAAGTTGTTGTTCCTCTAGCCTTGGGACAGTGTTCTCGGGGCATCTCTGGAGTTGCCTGAAGGAAGTCGAGCCACCGGTCGTGTTGAATGGGGAACGGGGAATGGCTCTGGAGTCAATGCAGGGCAATCGGGCCTCATCTCGAGTTGATTTGGGGCACATGGAGCTGCTTTGCGTTGCTGGGGTGACCTCAGGGTCCGTCTAGACTGGTGACAGTGTTCTTGGGGACTGTCTCGAGATCCATTAAGCAAGTCGAAGCTCCTGACTTGTTTGAATGTGATCACGGGATAGCTCTGCATGCACTGCAGGTGATTGGGGCCTCATCTCGCCTCTAGGGGGAAGTCTCATGGTTTTTCTCGAGTTGAGGCGGGGACCTGGGGAATGTTCTCGACTTACGGCGGGGATGGCCCTTCAAAACACGAGTTTCTTCAGTGACGTCAGGACTCCTGTCTAGTAATGAGGGACACCTCAGGAATCTCTTCGAGGCTTGGCAGGGCAAAAGGGACGCTTCTCGAGGTGAGGCAGGGTACCCAAGGACCCTTTCCAGTAGCCACAGCGCTTTTGGGATTCCTATCAGTATTCAAGATGAGTCAGGCATCGTCACCTTTTGAAGCCATGAACTCCGCGTGCCTCTCGAGGTGTCAGCGGGATGTGAGGCATTCCGTCAAAATGAGGCAGGGACCTAAGGCTTTCTCTAAGGTCTCCACAGGGGATTCAGACATCCCTTCATGTTGTGAGATGAAAGACGAGCGTGTATTCAAGCCACTGCAAGGAAATCCGGCCTCCTTTCAAGTTAGGGCTTCTCGCTGTATATTCCCCTTGAGGCAGCAAACTCGGGTCCCACCCACATACCTATTGCTGAGAGAAGCCTCCTCCTGAGGTGCTTCTGGAAAGTTGGCATAAGTCTTGAGCCTAAGCCAGGGAATCAGCTCTCATCTCGAGACGATTTGGGGTACACAGAGCATTCCTCGAGTTGCTGTGCTGAAATTGGTGTTCCTCTAGACTTGGGACAGTGTTCTCGGGGCATCTCTGGAGTTGCCTGAAGGAAGTCGAGCCACCGGTCGTGTTGAATGGGGAACGGGGAATGGCTCTGGAGTCAATGCAGGGGAATCGGGCCTCATCTCGAGTTGATTTGGGGCACATGGATCTGCTTTCCGTTGCTGCGGTGACCTCAGGGTCCGTCTAGACTGGTGACAGTGTTCTTGGGGACTGTCTCGACATCCATTAAGCAAGTCGAAGCTCCTGACTTGTTTGAATGGGATCACGGGATAGCTCTGCATGCACTGCAGGGGAATGGGGCCTCATCTCGCCTCTAGGGGGATGTCTCATGGTTTTGCTCGAGTTGAGGCGGGGACCTGGGTTATGTTCTCGACTTACGGCGGGGATGGCCCTTCAAAACACGAGTTTCTTCAGTGACGTCAGGACTCCTGTCTAGTAATGAGGGACACCTCAGGAATCTCTTCGAGGCTTGGCAGGGCAAAAGGGACGCTTCTCGAGGTGAGGCAGGGCACCCAAGGACCCTTTCCAGTAGCCACAGGGATTTTGGATTCCTATAAGTATTCAAGAGGAGTCAGGCATCGTCACCTTTTGAAGCAATGAACTCCGCGTGCCTCTCGAGGTGTCAGCGGGACGTGAGGCATTCCGTCAAAATGAGGCAGGGACCTAAGGCTTTCTCTAAGTTCTCCACAGGGGATTCAGACATCCCTTCATGTTGTGAGATGAAAGACGAGCCTGTATTCAAGCCACTGCAAGGAAATCCGGCCTCCTTTCAAGTTAGGGCTTCTCGCTGTATATTCCCCTTGAGGCAGCAAACTCGGGGTCCCTCCCACATACCTATTGCTGAGAGAAGCCTCCTCCTGAGGTGCTTCTGGAAAGTTGGCATACGTCTTGAGCCTAAGCCAGGGAATCAGCTCTCATCCCTAGACGATTTGGGGTACACGGAGCATTCCTCGAGTGCTGTGCTCAGGTTGGTGTTCCTCTAGACTTGGGACACTGTTCTCGGGGCATCTCTGGAGTTGCCTGAAGGAAGTCGAGCCACCGGTCGTGTTGAATGGTTAACGGGGAATGGCTCTGGCGTCAATGCAGGGGAATCGGGCCTCATCTCGAGTTGATTTATGGCACATGGAGCTGCTTTGCGTTGCTGGGGTGACCTCAGGGTCCGTCTAGACTGGTGACAGTGTTCTTGGGGACTGTCTCGAGATCCATAAAGCAAGGCGAAGCTCCTGACTTGTTTGAATGGGATCACGGAATAGCTCTGCATGCACTGCAGGGGAATGGGGCCTCATCTCGCCTCTAGGGGGAAGTCTCATGTTTTTTCTCGAGTTGAGGCGGGGACCTGGGGTATGTTCTCGACTTACGGCGGGGATGGCCCTTCAAAACACGAGTTTCTTCAGTGACGTCAGGACTCCTGTCTAGTAATGAGGGACACCTCAGGAATCTCTTCGAGGCTTGGCAGGGCAAAAGGGACGCTTTTCGAGGTGAGGCAGGGTACACAAGGACCCTTTCCAGTAGCCACAGCGATTTTGGGATTCCTATCAGTATTCAAGAGCAGTCAGGCATCGTCACCTTTTGAAGCAATGAACTCCGCGTGCCTCTCGAGGTGTCAGCGGGATGTGAGGCATTCCGTCAAAATGAGGCAGGGTCCTAGGGCTTTCTCTAAGGTCTCCACAGGGGATTCAGACATCCCTTCATGTTGTGAGATGAAAGACGAGCCTGTATTCAAGCCACTGCAAGGAAATCCGGCCTCCTTTCAAGTTAGGGCTTCTCGATGTATATTCCCCTTGAGGCAGCAAACTCGGGGTCCCTTCCACATACCTATTGCTGAGAGAAGCCTCCTCCTGAGGTGCTTCTGGAAAGTTGGCATACGTCTTGAGCCTAAGCCAGGGAATCAGCTCTCATCTCGAGACGATTTGGGGTACACGGAGCATTCCTCGAGTTGCTGTGCTGAAGTTGGTGTTCCTCTAGACTTGGGACAGTGTTCTCGGGGCATCTCTGGAGTTGCCTGAAGGAAGTCGAGCCACCGGTCGTGTTGAATGGGGAACGGGGAATGGCTCTGGAGTCAATGCAGGGGAATCGGGCCTCATCTCGAGTTGATTTGGGGCACATGGAGCTGCTTTGCGTTGCTGGGGTGACCTCAGGGTCCGTCTAGACTGGTGACAGTGTTCTTGGGGACTGTCTCGAGATCCATTAAGCTAGTCGAAGCTCCTGACTTGTTTGAATGGGATCACGGAATAGCTCTGCATGCACTGCAGGGGAATGGGGCCTCATCTCGCCTCTAGGGGGAAGTCTCATGGTTTTTCTCGAGTTGAGGTGGGGACCTGGGGTATGTTCTCGACTTACGGCGGGGATGGCCCTTCAAAACACGAGTTTCTTCAGTGACGTCAGGACTCCTGTCTAGTAATTAGGGACACCTCAGGAACCTCTTCGAGGCTTGGCAGGGCAAAAGGGACGCTTCTCGAGGTGAGGCAGGGCACCCAAGGACCCTTTCCAATAGCCACAGGGATTTTGGGATTCCTATCAGTATTCAAGAGGAGTCAGGCATCGTCACCTTTTGAAGCAATGAACTCCGCGTGCCTCTCGAGGTGTCAGCGGGATGTGAGGCATTCCGTCAAAATGAGGCAGGGACCTAGGGCTTTCTCTAAGGTCTCCACAGGGGATTCAGACATCCCTTCATGTTGTGAGATGAAAGACGAGCCTGTATTCAAGCCACAGCAAGGAAATGCGGCCTCCTTTCAAGTTAGGGCTTCTCGCTGTATATTCCCCTTGAGGCAGCAAACTCGGGGTCCCTTCCACATACCTATTGGTGAGAGAAGCCTCCTCCTGAGGTGCTTCTGGAAAGTTGGCATATGCCTTGAGCCTAATCCAGGGAATCAGCTCTCATCTCGAGACAATTTGGGGTACATGGAGCATTCCTCGAGTTGCTGTGCTGAAGTTGGTGTTCCTCTAGACTTGGGACAGTGTTCTCGGGGCATCTCTGGAGTTGCCTGAAGGAAGTCGAGCCACCGGTCGTGTTGAATGGGGAACGGGGAATGGCTCTGGAGTCAATGCAGGGGAATCGGGCCTCATCTCGAGTTGATTTGGGGCACATGGAGCTGCTTTGCGTTGCTGGGGTGACCTCAGGGTCCGTCTAGACTGGTGACAGTGTTCTTGGGGACTGTCTCGAGATCCATTAAGCAAGTCGAAGCTCCTGACTTGTTTGAATGGGATCACGGGATAGCTCTGCATGCACTGCAGGTGATTGGGGCCTCATCTCGCCTCTAGGGGGAAGTCTCATGGTTTTTCTCGAGTTGAGGCGGGGACCTGGGGTATGTTCTCGACTTACGGCGGGGATGGCCCTTCAAAACACGAGTTTCTTCAGTGACGTCAGGACTCCTGTCTAGTAATGAGGGACACCTCAGGAATCTCTTCGAGGCTTGGCAGGGCAAAAGGGACGCTTCTCGAGGTGAGGCAGGGTACCCAAGGACCCTTTCCAGTAGCCACAGCGATTTTGGGATTCCTATCAGTATTCAAGATGAGTCAGGCATCGTCACCTTTTGAAGCAATGAACTCCGCGTGCCTCTCGAGGTGTCAGCGGGATGTGAGGCATTCCGTCAAAATTAGGCAGGGACCTAGGGCTTTCTCTAAGGTCTCCACAGGGGATTCAGACATCCCTTCATGTTGTGAGATGAAAGACGAGCCTGTATTCAAGCCACTGCAAGGAAATGCGGCCTCCTTTCAAGTTAGGGCTTCTCGCTGTATATTCCCCTTGAGGCAGCAAACTCGGGTCCCTCCCACATACCTATTGCTGTGAGAAGCCTCCTCCTGAGGTGCTTCTGGAAAGTTGGCATACGTCTTGAGCCTAAGCCAGGGAATCAGCTCTCATCTCGAGATGATTTGGGGTACGCGGAGCATTCCTCGAGTTGCTGTGCTGAAGTTGGTGTTCCTCTAGACTTGGGACAGTGTTCTCGGGGCATCTGTGGAGTTGCCTGAAGGAAGGCGAGCCACCGTTCGTGTAGAACGGGGAACGGGGAATGGCTCTGGAGTCAATGCAGGGGAATCGGGCCTCATCTCGAGTTGATTTGGGGCACATGGAGCTGCTTTGCGTTGCTGGGGTGACCTCAGGGTCCGTCTAGACTGGTGACAGTGTTCTTGGGGACTGTCTCGAGATCCATTAAGCAAGTCGAAGCTCCTGACTTGTTTGAATGGGATCACGGAATAGCTCTGCATGCACTGCAGGGGAATGGGGCCTCATCTCCCCTCTAGGGGGAAGTCTCATGGTTTTTCTCGAGTTGCGGCGGGGACCTGGGGTATGTTCTCGACTTACGGCGGGGATGGCCCTTCAAAACACGAGTTTCTTCAGTGACGTCAGTACTCCTGTCTAGTAACGAGGGACACCTCAGCAATCTCTTCGAGGCTTGGCAGGGCAAAGGGGACGCTTCTCGAGGTGAGCCAGGGCACCCAAGGACCCTTTCCAGTAGCAACAGGGATTTTGGGATTCCTATAAGTATTCAAGAGGAGTCAGGCATCGTCACCTTTTGAAGCAATGAACTCCGCGTGCCTCTCGAGGTGTCAGGGGGATGTGAGGTATTCCGTCAAAATGAGGCAGGGACCTAGGGCTTCCTCTAAGGTCTCCACAGGGGATTCAGACATCCCTTCATGTTGTCAGACCAAAGACGAGCCTGTATTCAAGCCACTGCAAGGAAATCTGGCCTCCGTTCACATTAGGGCTTCTCCGTGGGTATTCCCCTTGAGGCAGCAAACTCGGAGTCCCTCCCACATACCTATTGCTAAGAAGCCTCCTCCTGAGGTGCTTCTGGAAAGTTGGCATACGTCTTGAGCCTAAGCCAGGGAATCAGCTCTCATCTCGAGATGATTTGGGGTACGCAGAGCATTCCTCGAGTTGCTGTGCTGAAGTTGGTGTTCCTCTAGACTTGGGACAGTGTTCTCGGGGCATCTCTGGAGTTGCCTGAAGGAAGGCGAGCCTCCGTTCGTGTTGAACGGGGAACGGGGAATGGCTCTGGAGTCAATGCAGGGGAATCGGGCCTCATCTCGAGTTGATTTGGGGCACATGGAGCTGCTTTGCGTTGCTGGGGTGACCTCAGGGTCCGTCTAGACTGGTGACAGTGTTCTTGGGGACTGTCTCGAGATCCATTAAGAAAGTCGAAGCTCCTGACTTGTTTGAATGGGATCACGGAATAGCTCTGCATGCACTGCAGGGGAATGGGGTCTCATCTCGCCTCTAGGGGGAAGTCTCACGGTTTTTCTCGAGTTGCGGCGGGGCCCTGGGGTATGTTCTCGACTTACGGCGGGGATGGCCCTTCAAAACACGAGTTTCTTCCGTGACGTCAGGACTCCTGTCTAGTAACGAGGGACACCTCAGCAATCTCTTCGAGGCTTGGCAGGGCAAAAGGGACGCTTCTCGAGGTGAGGCAGGGCACCCAAGGACCCTTTCCAGTAGCCACAGGGATTTTGGGATTCCTATCAGTATTCAAGAGGAGTCAGGCATCGTCACCTTTTGAAGCAATGAACTCCGCGTGCCTCTCCAGGTGTCAGCGGGATATGAGGCATTCAGTCAAAATGAGGCAGGGACCTAGGGCTTTCTCTAAGGTCTCCACAGGGGATTCAGACATCCCTTCATGTTGTCAGATCAAAGACGAGCCTGTATTCAAGCCACTGCAAGGAAATCCGGCCTCCTTTCAAGTTAGGGCTTCTCGCTGTATATTCCCCTTGAGGCAGCAAACTCGGGGTCCCTCCCACATACCTATTGCTGAGAGAAGCCTCCTCCTGAGGTGCTTCTGGAAAGGTGGCATATGTCTTGAGCCTAAGCGAGGGAATCAGCTCTCATCTCGAGATGATTTGGGGTACACGGAGCATTCCTCGAGTTGCTGGGCTGAAGTTGGTGTTCCTCTAGACTTGGGACAGTGTTCTCGGGGCATCTCTGGAGTTGCCTGAAGGAAGGCGAGCCACCGGTCGTGTTGAATGGGGAACGGGGAATGGCTCTGGAGTCAATGCAGGGGAATCGGGCCTCATCTCGAGTTGATTTGGCGCACATGGAACAGCTTTGTGTTGCTTGGGTGACCTCAGGGTTCGTCTAGACTGGTGACAGTGTTCTTGGGGACTGTCTCGAGATCCCTTAAGCAAGTCGAAGCTCCTGACTTGTTTGAATGGGATCACGGAATAGCTCTGCATGCACTGCAGGGGAATAGGGCCTCATCTCGCCTCTAGGGGGAAGTCTCATGTTTTTTCTCGAGTTGCGGCGGGGACCTGGGGTATGTTCTCGACTTACGGCGGAGATGGCCCTTCAAAACACTAGTTTCTTCAGTGACGTCAGGACTCCTGTCTAGTAACGAGGGACACCTCAGGAATCTCTTCGAGGCTTGGCAGGGCAAAAGGGACGCTTCTCGAGGTGAGGCAGGGCACCCAAGGACCCTTTCCAGTAGCCACAGGGATTTTGGGATTCCTATCAGTATTCAAGAGGAGTCAGGCATCGTCACCTTTTGAAGCAATGAACTCCGCGTGCCTCTCGAGGTGTCAGCGGGATGTGAGGCATTCCGACAAAATGAGGCAGGGACCTAGGGCTTTCTCTAAGGTCTCCACAGGGGATTCAGACATCCCTTCATGTTGTGAGATGAAAGACAACCCTGTATTCTAGCTACTGCAAGGAAATCCGGCCTCCTTTCAAGTTAGGGCTTCTCGATGTATATTCCCCTTGAGGCAGCAAACTCGGAGTCCCTCCCACATACCTATTGCTAAGAAGCCTCCTCCTGAGGTGCTTCTGGAAAGTTGGCATACGTCTTGAGCCTAAGCCAGGGAATCAGCTCTCATCTCGAGACGATTTGGGGTACACAGAGCATTCCTCGAGTTGCTGGGCTGAAGTTGGTGTTCCTCTAGACTTGGGACAGTGTTCTCGGGGCATCTCTGGAGTTGCCTGAAGGAAGTCGATCCACCGGTCGTGTTGAATGGGGAACGGGGAATGGCTCTGGGGTCAATGCAGGGGAATCGGGGCTCATCTCGAGTTGATTTGGGGCACATGGAACAGCTTTGCATTGCTGGGGTGACCTCAGGGTCCGTCTAGACTGGTGACAGTGTTCTTGGGGACTGTCTCGAGATCCATTAAGCAAGTCGAAGCTCCTGACTTGTTTGAATGGGATCACGGAATAGCTCTGCATGCACTGCAGGGGAATGGGGCCTCATCTCGCCTCTAGGGGGAAGTCTCATGGTTTTTCTCGAGTTGCGCGGGGACCTGGGTTATGTTCTCGACTTACGGCGGGGATGGCCCTTCAAAACACGAGTTGCTTCAGTGACGTCAGGACTCCTGTCTAGTAATGAGGGACACCTCAGCAATCTCTTCGAGGCTTGGCAGGGCAAAAGGGACGCTTCTTGAGGTAAGCCAGGGCACCCAAGGACCCTTTCCAGTAGCCACAGGGATTTTGGGATTCCTATAAGTATTCAAGAGGAGTCAGGCATCGTCACCTTTTGAAGCAATGAACTCCGCGTGCCTCTCGAGGTATCAGCGGGATGTCAGGCATTCCGTCAAAATGAGGCAGGGACCTAGGGCTTTCTCTAAGGTCTCCACAGGGGATTCAGACATCCCTTCATGTTGTGAGATGAAAGACAAGCCTGTATTCAAGCTACTGCAAGGAAATCCGGCCCCCTTTCAAGTTAGGGCTTCTCGCTGTATATTCCCCTTGAGGCAGCAAACTCGGAGTCCCTCCCACATACCTATTGCTGAGAAGCCTCCTCCTGAGGTGCTTCTGGAAAGTTGGCATACGTCTTGAGCCTAAGCCAGGGAATCAGCTCTCATCTCGAGACGATTTGGGGTACACAGAGCATTCCTCGAGTTGCTGTGCTGAAGTTGGTGTTCCTCTAGACTTGGGACAGTGTTCTCGGGGCATCTCTGGAGTTGCCTGAAGGAAGGCGAGCCTCCGTTCGTGTTGAACGGGGAACAGGGAATGGCTCTGGAATCAATGCAGGGGAATCGGGCCTCATCTCGAGTTGATGTGGGGCACATGGAGCTGCTTTGCATTGCTGCGGTGACCTCAGGGTCCGTCTAGACTGGAGACAGTGTTCTTGGGGACTGTCTCGAGATCCATTAAGCAAGTCGAAGCTCCTGACTTGTTTGAATGGGATCACGGAATATCTCTGCATGCACTGCAGGGGATTGGGGCCTCATCTCGCCTCTAGGGGGAAGTCTCATGGTTTTTCTCGAGTTGCGGCGGGAACCTGGGTTATGTTCTCGACTTACGGCGGGGATGGCCCTTCAAAACACGAGTTTCTTCCGTGACGTCAGGACTCCTGTCTAGTAATGAGGGACACCTCAGCAATCTCTTCGAGGCTTGGCAGGGCATAGGGACGCTTCTCGAGGTCAGCCAGGGCACCCAAGGACCCTTTCCAGTAGCCACAGGGATTTTGGGATTCCTATAACTATTCAAGAGGAGTCAGGCATCGTCAACTTTTCAAGCAGTGAACTCTGCGTGCCTCTCGAGGTGTCAGGGGGATGTGAGGTGTTCCGTCAAAATGAGGCAGGGACCTAGGGCTTCCTCTAAGGTCTCCACAGGGGATTCAGACATCCCTTCATGTTGTCAGATCAAAGACGAGCCTGTATTCAAGCCACTGCAAGGAAATCTGGCCTCCGTTCATATTAGGGCTTCTCCCTGTGTATTCCCCTTGAGGCAGCAAACTCGGGGTCCCTCCCACATACCTATTGCTGAGAGAAGCCTCCTCCTGAGGTGCTTCTGGAAAGTTGGAATACGTCTTGAGCCTAAGCCAGGGAATCAGCTCTCATCTCGAGATGATTTGGGGTACACAGAGCATTCCTCGAGTTACTGTGCTGAAGTTGATGTTCCTCTAGACTTGGGACAGTGTTCTCGGGGCATCTCTGGAGTTGCCTGAAGGAAGTCGAGCCACCGGTCGTGTTGAATGGGGAACGGGGAATGGCTCTGGAGTCAATGCAGGGGAATCCGGCCTCATCTCGAGTTGATTTGGGGCACATGGAGCTGCTTTGCATTGCTGGGTGACCTCAGGGTCCGTCTAGACTGGTGACAGTGTTCTTGGGGACTGTCTCGAGATCCATTAACCAAGTCGAAGCTCCTAACTTGTTTGAATGGGATCACGGAATAGCTCTGAATGCACTGCAGGGGAATGGGGCCTCATCTCGCCTCTAGTGGAAAGTCTCACGGTTTTTCTCGAGTTGCGGCGGGGACCTGGGGTATGTTCTCGACTTACGGCGGGGATGGCCCTTCAAAACACGAGTTTCTCCAGTGACGTCAGGACTCCTGCCTAGTAACGAGGGACACCTCAGCAATCTCTTCGAGGCTTGGCAGGGCAAAAGGGACGCTTATCGAGGTGAGGCAGGGCACCCAAGGACCCTTTCCAGAAGCCACAGGGATTTTGGGATTCCTATCAGTATTCAAGAGGAGTCAGGCATCGTCACCTTTTGAAGCAATGAACTCCGCGTGCCTCTCGAGGTGTCAGCGGGATGTGAGGATTCCGTCAAAATGAGGCAGGGACCTAGGGATTTCTCTAAGGTCTCCACAGCGGATTCAGACATCCCTTCATGTTGTGAGATGAAAGACGAGCCTGTATTCAAGCCACTGCAAGGAAATCCGGCCTCCTTTCAAGTTAGGGCTTCTCGCTGTATATTCCCCTTGAGGCAGCAAACTCGGGGTCCCTCCCACATACCTATTGCTGAGAGAAGCCTCCTCCTGAGGTGCTTCTGGAAAGTTGGCATACGTCTTGAGCCTAAGCCAGGGAATCAGCTCTCATCTCGAGACGATTTGGCATACACAGAGCATTCCTCGAGTTGCTGTGCTGAAGTTGGTGGTCCTCTAGGCTTGTGACAGTGTTCTCGGGGCATCTCTGGAGTTGCCTGAACGAAGTCGATCCACCGGTCGTGTTGAATGGGGAACAGGGAATGGCTCTGGAGTCAATGCAGGGGAATCCGGCCTCATCTCGAGTTGATTTGGGGCACATGGAGCTGCTTTGCATTGCTGGGTGACCTCAGGGTCCGTCTAGACTGGTGACAGTGTTCTTGGGGACTGTCTCGAGATCCATTAAGCAAGTCGAAGCTCCTGACTTGTTTGAATGGGATCACGGAATAGCTCTGCATGCACTGCAGTGGAATGGGGCCTCATCTCGCCTCTAGGGGGAAGTCTCATGGTTTTTCTCGAGTTGCGGCGGGGACCTGGGGTATGTTCTCGACTTACGGCGGGGATGGCCCTTCAAAACACGAGTTTCTTCCGTGACGTCAGGACTCCTGTCTAGTAATGAGGGACACCTCAGCAATCTCTTCGAGGCTTGGCAGGGCAAAAGGGACGCTTCTAGAGGTGAGCCAGGGCACCCAAGGACCCTTTCCAGAAGCCACAGGGATTTTGGGATTCCTATCAGTATACAAGAGGAGTCAGGCCTCGTCACCTTTTGAAGCAATGAACTCCGCGTGCCTCTCGAGGTGTCAGCGGGATGTGAGGATTCCGTCAAAATGAGGCAGGGACCTAGGGATTTCTCTAAGGTCTCCACAGCGGATTCAGACATCCCTTCATGTTGTGAGATGAAAGACGAGCCTGTATTCAAGCCACTGCAAGGAAATGCGGCCTCCTTTCAAGTTAGGGCTTCTCGCTGTATATTCCCCTTGAGGCAGCAAACTCGGGTCCCTCCCACATACCTATTGCTGTGAGAAGCCTCCTCCTGAGGTGCTTCTGGAAAGTTGGCATACGTCTTGAGCCTAAGCCAGGGAATCAGCTCTCATCTCGAGACGATTTGGGGTACACGGAGCATTCCTCGAGTTGCTGTGCTGAAGTTGGTGTTTCTCTAGACTTGGGACAGTGTTCTCGGGGCATCTCTGGAGGTGCCTGAAGGAAGTTGAGCCACCGGTCGTGTTGAATGGGGAACGGGGAATGGCTCTGGAGTCAATGCAGGGGAATCGGGCCTCATCTCGAGTTGATTTGGGGCACATGGAGCTGCTTTGCGTTGCTGGGGTGAACTCAGGGTCCGTCTAGACTGGTGACAGTGTTCTTGGGGACTGTCTCGAGATCCATTAAGAAGTCGAAGCTCCTGACTTGTTTGAATGGGATCACGGGATAGCTCTGCATGCACTGCAGGGGAATTGGGCCTCATCTCGCCTCTAGGGGGAAGTCTCATGGTTTTTCTCGAGTTGAGGCGGGGACCTGCGGTATGTTCTCCACTTACGGCGGGGATGGCCCTTCAAAACACGAGTTTCTTCAGTGACGTCAGGACTCCTGTCTAGTAATGAGGGACACCTCAGGAATCTCTTCGAGGCTTGGCAGGGCAAAAGGGACGCTTCTCGAGGTGAGGCAGGGTACCCAAGGACCCTTTCCAGTAGCCACAGCGATTTTGGGATTCCTATCAGTATTCAAGAGCAGTCAGGCATCGTCACCTTTTGAAGCAATGAACTCCGCGTGCCTCTCGAGGTGTCAGCGGGATGTGAGGCATTCCGTCAAAATGAGGCAGGGACCTAGGGCTTTCTCTAAGGTCTCCACAGGGGATTCAGACATCCCTTCATGTTGTGAGATGAAAGACGAGCCTGTATTCAAGCCGCTGCAAGGAAATCCGGCCTCCTTTCAAGTTAGGGCTTCTCGCTGTATATTCCCCTTGAGGCAGCAAACTCGGGTCCCACCCACATACCTATTGCTGAGAGAAGCCTCCTCCTGAGGTGCTTCTGGAAAGTTGGCATAAGTCTTGAGCCTAAGCCAGGGATTCAGCTCTCATCTCGAGACGATTTGGGGTACAGAGAGCATTCTTCGAGTTGCTGTACTGAGTTGGTGTTCCTCTAGACTTGGGACAGTGTTCTCGGGGCATCTCTGGAGTTGCCTGAAGGAAGTCGAGCCACCGGTCGTGTTGAATGGGGAACGGGGAATGGCTCTGGCGTCAATGCAGGGGAATCGGGCCTCATCTCGAGTTGATTTGGGGCACATGGAGCGGCTTTGCGTTGCTGGGGTGACCTCAGGGTCCGTCTAGACTGGTGACAGTGTTCCTGGGGACTGTCTCGAGATCCATTAAGCAAGTCGAAGCTCCTGACTTGTATGAATGGGATCACGGGATAGCTCTGCATGCACTGCAGGGGAATGGGGCCTCATCTCGCCTCTAGGGGGAAGTCTCATGGTTTTTCTCGAGTTGAGGCGGGGACCTGGGGTATGTTCTCGACTTACGGCGGGGATGGCCCTTCAAAACACGAGTTTCTTCAGTGACGTCAGGACTCCTGTCTAGTAATGAGGGACACCTCAGGAATCTCTTCGAGGCTTGGCTGGGCAAAAGGGACGCTTCTCGAGGTGAGGCAGGGCAACCAAGGACACTTTCCAGTAGCCACAGGGATTTTGGGATTCCTATCAGTATTCAAGAGGAGTCAGGCATCGTCACCTTTTGAAGCAATGAACTCCGCGTGCCTCTCGAGGTGTCAGCGGGATGTGAGGCATTCCGTCAAAATGAGGCAGGGACCTAGGGCTTTCTCTAAGGTCTCCACAGGGGATTCAGACATCCCTTCATGTTGTGAGATGAAAGACGAGCCTGTATTCAAGCCACTGCAAGGAAATCCGGCCTCCTTTCAAGTTAGGGCTTCTCGCTGTATATTCCCCTTGAGGCAGCAAACTCGGGTCCCACCCACATACCTATTGCTGAGAGAAGCCTCCTCCTGAGGTGCTTCTGGAAAGTTGGCATAAGTCTTGAGCCTAAGCCAGGGATTCAGCTCTCATCTCGAGACGATTTGGGGTACAGAGAGCATTCTTCGAGTTGCTGTACTGAGTTGGTGTTCCTCTAGACTTGGGACAGTGTTCTCGGGGCATCTCTGGAGTTGCCTGAAGGAAGTCGAGCCACCGGTCGTGTTGAATGGGGAACGGGGAATGGCTCTGGCGTCAATGCAGGGGAATCGGGCCTCATCTCGAGTTGATTTGGGGCACATGGAGCTGCTTTGCTTTGCTGGGGTGACCTCAGGGTCCGTCTAGACTGGTGACAGTGTTCTTGGGGACTCTCTCGAGATCCATTAAGCAAGTCGAAGCTCTTGACTTGTTTGAATGGGATCACGGGATAGCTCTGCATGCACTGCAGGTGATTGGGGCCTCATCTCGCCTCTAGGGGATAGTCTCATGGTTTTTCTCGAGTTGAGGCGGGGACCTGGGGTATGTTCTCGACTTACGTCGGGGATGGCCCTTCAAAACACGAGTTTCTTCAGTGACGTCAGGACTCCTGTCTAGTAATGAGGGACACCTCAGGAATCTCTTCGAGGCTTGGCAGGGCAAAAGGGACGCTTCTCGAGGTGAGGCAGGGTACCCAAGGACCCTTTCCAGTAGCCACAGCGATTTTGGGATTCCTATCAGTATTCAAGATGAGTCAGGCATCGTCACCTTTTGAAGCAATGAACTCCGCGTGCCTCTCGAGGTGTCAGCGGGATGTGAGGCATTCCGTCAAAATTAGGCAGGGACCTAGGGCTTTCTCTAAGGTCTCCACAGGGGATTCAGACATCCCTTCATGTTGTGAGATGAAAGACGAGCCTGTATTCAAGCCACTGCAAGGAAATCCGGCCTCCTTTCAAGTTAGGGCTTCTCGCTGTATATTCCCTTGAGGCAGCAAACTCGGGTCCCTCCCACATACCTATTGCTGTGAGAAGCCTCCTCCTGAGGTGCTTCTGGAAAGTTGGCATACGTCTTGAGCCTAAGCCAGGGAATCAGCTCTCATCTCGAGACGATTTGGGGTACACGGAGCATTCCTCGAGTTGCTGTGCTGAAGTTGGTGTTTCTCTAGACTTCGGACAGTGTTCTCGGGGCATCTCTGGAGGTGCCTGAAGGAAGTTGAGCCACCGGTCGTGTTGAATGGGGAACGGGGAATGTCTCTGGAGTCAATGCAGGGGAATCGGGCCTCATCTCGAGTTGATTTGGGGCACGTGGAGCTGCTTTGCGTTGCTGGGGTGAACTCAGGGTCCGTCTAGACTGGTGACAGTGTTCTTGGGGACTGTCTCGAGATCCATTAAGAAGTCGAAGCTCCTGACTTGTTTGAATGGGATCACGGGATAGCTCTGCATGCACTGCAGGGGAATTGGGCCTCATCTCGCCTCTAGGGGGAAGTCTCATGGTTTTTCTCGAGTTGAGGCGGGGACCTGGGGTATGTTCTCCACTTACGGCGGGGATGGCCCTTCAAAACACGGGTTTCTTCAGTGACGTCAGGACTCCTGTCTAGTAATGAGGGACACCTCAGGAATCTCTTCGAGGCTTGGCAGGGCAAAAGGGACGCTTCTCGAGGTGAGCCAGGGCACCCAAGGACACTTTCCAGTAACCACAGGGATTTTGGGATTCCTATCAGTATTCAAGAGGAGTCAGGCATCGTCACCTTTTGAAGCAATGAACTCCGCGTGCCTCTCGAGGTGTCAGCGGGATGTGAGGCATTCCGTCAAAATGAGGCAGGGACCTAGGGCTTTCTCTAAGGTCTCCACAGGGGATTCAGACATCCCTTCATGTTGTGAGATGAAAGACGAGCCTGTATTCAAGCCACTGCAAGGAAATCCGGCCTCCTTTCAAGTTAGGGCTTCTCGCTGAATATTCCCCTTGAGGCAGCAAACTCGGGGTCCCTTCCACATACCTATTGCTGAGAGAAGCTTCCTCCTGAGGTGCTTCTGGAAATTTGGCATACGTCTTGAGCCTAAGCCAGGGAATCAGCTGTCATCTCGAGACGATTTGGGGTACACGGAGCATTCCTCGAGTTGCTGTGCTGAAGTTGGTGTTCCTCTAGACTTGGGACAGTGTTCTCGGGGCATCACTGGAGTTGCCTGAAGGAAGTCGAGCCACCGGTCGTGTTGAATGTGGAACGGGGAATGGCTCTGGAATCAATGCAGGGGAATCGGGCCTCATCTCGGGTTGATTTGGGGCACATGGAGCTGCTTTGCGTTGCTGGGGTGACCTCAGGGTCCGTCTAGACTGGTGACAGTGTTCTTGGGTACTGTCTCGAGATCCTTTAAGCAAGTCGAAGCTCCTGACTTGTATGAATGGGATCACGGGATAGCTCTGCATGCACTGCAGGGGAATGGGGCCTCATCTCGCCTCTAGGGGGAAGTCTCATGGTTTTTCTCGAGTTGAGGCGGGGACCTGGGGTATGTTCTCGACTTACGGCGGGGATGGCCCTTCAAAACACGAGTTTCTTCAGTGACGTCAGGACTCCTGTCTAGTAATGAGGGACACCTCAGGAATCTCTTCGAGGCTTGGCAGGGCAAAAGGAACGCTTCTCGAGGTGAGGCAGGGCACCCAAGGACCCTTTCCAGTAGCCACAGCGATTTTGGGATTCCTATCAGTATTCAAGAGGAGTCAGGCATCGTCACCTTTTGAAGCAATGAACTCCGCGTGCCTCTCGAGGTGTCAGTGGGATGTGAGGAATTCCGTCAAAATGAGGCAGGGACCTAGGGCTTTCTCTAAGGTCTCCACAGGGGATTCAGACATCCCTTCATGTTGTGAGATGAAAGACGAGCCTGTATTCAAGCCACAGCAAGGAAATGCGGCCTCCTTTCAAGTTAGGGCTTCTCGCTGTATATTCCCCTTGAGGCAGCAAACTCGGGGTCCCTTCCACATACCTATTGCTGAGAGAAGCCTCCTCCTGAGGTGCTTCTGGAAAGTTGGCATACGCCTTGAGCCTAATCCAGGGAATCAGCTCTCATCTCGAGACAATTTGGGGTACACGGAGCATTCCTCGAGTTGCTGTGCTGAAGTTGGTGTTCCTCTAGACTTGGGACAGTGTTCTCGGGGCATCTCTGGAGTTGCCTGAAGGAAGTCGAGCCACCGGTCGTGTTGAATGGGGAACGGGGAATGGCTCTGGAGTCAATGCAGGGGAATCGGGCCTCATCTCGAGTTGATTTCGGGCGCATGGAGCTGCTTTGCGTTGCTGGGGTGACCTCAGGGTCCGTCTAGACTGGTGACAGTGTTCTTGGGGACTGTCTCGAGATCCATTAAGCAAGTCGAAGCTCCTGACTTGTTTGAATGGGATCACGGGATAGCTCTGCATGCACTGCAGGTGATTGGGGCCTCATCTCGCCTCTAGGGGGAAGTCTCATGGTTTTTCTCGAGTTGAGGCGGGGACCTGGGGTATGTTCTCGACTTACGGCGGGGATGGCCCTTCAAAACACGAGTTTCTTCAGTGACGTCAGGACTCCTGTCTAGTAACGAGGGACACCTCAGGAATCTCTTCGAGGCTTGGCAGGGCAAAAGGGACGCTTCTCGAGGTGAGGCAGGGCACCCAAGGACCCTTTCCAGTAGCCACAGCGATTTTGGGATTCCTATCAGTATTCAAGAGGAGTCAGGCATCGTCACCTTTTGAAGCAATGAACTCCGCGTGCCTCTCGAGGTGTCAGTGGGATGTGAGGCATTCCGTCAAAATGAGGCAGGGACCTAGGTCTTTCTCTAAGGTCTCCACAGGGGATTCAGACATCCCTTCATGTTGTGAGATGAAAGACGAGCCTGTATTCAAGCCACAGCAAGGAAATGCGGCCTCCTTTCAAGTTAGGGCTTCTCGCTGTATATTCCCCTTGAGGCAGCAAACTCGGGGTCCCTTCCACATACCTATTGCTGAGAGAAGCCTCCTCCTGAGGTGCTTCTGGAAAGTTGGCATACGCCTTGAGCCTAATCCAGGGAATCAGCTCTGATCTCGAGACAATTTGGGGTACACGGAGCATTCCTCGAGTTGCTGTGCTGAAGTTGTTGTTCCTCTAGCCTTGGGACAGTGTTCTCGGGGCATCTCTGGAGTTGCCTGAAGGAAGTCGAGCCACCGGTCGTGTTGAATGGGGAACGGGGAATGGCTCTGGAGTCAATGCAGGGCAATCGGGCCTCATCTCGAGTTGATTTGGGGCACATGGAGCTGCTTTGCGTTGCTGGGGTGACCTCAGGGTCCGTCTAGACTGGTGACAGTGTTCTTGGGGACTGTCTCGAGATCCATTAAGCAAGTCGAAACTCCTGACTTGTTTGAATGGTATTACAGAATAGCTCTGCATGCACTGCAGGGGAATGGGGCCTCATCTCGCCTCTAGGGGGAAGTCTCATGGTTTTTCTCGAGTTGCGGCGGGGACCTGGGGTATGTTCTCGACTTAGGGCGGGGATGGCCCTTCAAAACACGAGTTCCTTCAGTGACGTCAGGACTCCTGTCTAGTAACGAGGGACACTTCAGTAATCTCTACGTGGCTTGGCAGGGCAAAAGGGACGCTTCTCGAGGTGAGGCAGGGTACCCAAGGAGCCTTTCCAGTAGCCACAGCGATTTTGGGATTCCTATCAGTATTCAAGAGGAGTCAGGCATCGTCACCTTTTGAAGCAATGAACTCCGCGTGCCTCTCGAGGTGTCAGCGGGATGTGAGGCATTCCATCAAAATGAGGCAGGGACCTAGGGCTTTCTCTAAGGTCTCCACAGGGGATTCAGACATCCCTTCATGTTGTGAGATGAAAGACGAGCCTGTATTCAAGCCACTGCAAGGAAATCCGTCCTCCTTTCAAGTTAGGGCTTCTCGCTGTATATTCCCCTTGAGGCAGCAAACTCGGGTACTTCCCACATACCTATTGCTGAGAGAAGCCGCCTCCTGAGGTGCTTCTGGAAAGTTGGCATAAGTCTTGAGCCTAAGCCAGGGAATCAGCTCTCATCTCGAGACGATTTGGGGTACACGGAGCATTCCTCGAGTTGCTGTGCTGAAGTTGTTGTTCCTCTAGACTTGGGACAGTGTTCTCGGGGCATCTCTGGAGTTGCCTGAAGGAAGTCGAGCCACCGGTCGTGTTGAATGGGGAACGGGGAATGGCTCTGGAGTCAATGAAGGGGAATTGGGCCTCATCTCGAGTTGATTTGGGGCACATGGAGCTGCTTTGCGTTGCTGGGGTGACCTCAGGGTCCGTCTAGACTGGTGACAGTGTTCTTGGGGACTGTCTCGAGATCCATTAAGCAAGTCGAAGCTCCTGACTTGTTTGAATGTGATCACGGGATAGCTCTGCATGCACTGCAGGTGATTGGGGCCTCATCTCGCCTCTAGGGGGAAGTCTCATGGTTTTTCTCGAGTTGAGGCGGGGACCTGGGGAATGTTCTCGACTTACGGCGGGGATGGCCCTTCAAAACACGAGTTTCTTCAGTGACGTCAGGACTCCTGTCTAGTAATGAGGGACACCTCAGGAATCTCTTCGAGGCTTGGCAGGGCAAAAGGGACGCTTCTCGAGGTGAGGCAGGGTACCCAAGGACCCTTTCCAGTAGCCACAGCGCTTTTGGGATTCCTATCAGTATTCAAGATGAGTCAGGCATCGTCACCTTTTGAAGCAATGAACTCCGCGTGCCTCTCGAGGTGTCAGCGGGATGTGAGGCATTCCGTCAAAATGAGGCAGGGACCTAAGGCTTTCTCTAAGGTCTCCACAGGGGATTCAGACATCCCTTCATGTTGTGAGATGAAAGACGAGCCTGTATTCAAGCCACTGCAAGGAAATGCGGCCTCCTTTCAAGTTAGGGCTTCTCGCTGTATATTCCCCTTGAGGCAGCAAACTCGGGGTCCCTCCCACATACCTATTGCTGAGAGAAGCCTCCTCCTGAGGTGCTTCTGGAAAGTTGGCATACGTCTTGAGCCTAAGCCAGGGAATCAGCTCTCATCCCTAGACGATTTGGGGTACACGGAGCATTCCTCGAGTGCTGTGCTCAGGTTGGTGTTCCTCTAGACTTGGGACACTGTTCTCGGGGCATCTCTGGAGTTGCCTGAAGGAAGTCGAGCCACCGGTCGTGTTGAATGGGGAACGGGGAATGGCTCTGGCGTCAATGCAGGGGAATCGGGCCTCATCTCGAGTTGATTTATGGCACATGGAGCTGCTTTGCGTTGCTGGGGTGACCTCAGGGTCCGTCTAGACTGGTGACAGTGTTCTTGGGGACTGTCTCGAGATCCATAAAGCAAGGCGAAGCTCCTGACTTGTTTGAATGGGATCACGGAATAGCTCTGCATGCACTGCAGGGGAATGGGGCCTCATCTCGCCTCTAGGGGGAAGTCTCATGGTTTTTCTCGAGTTGAGGCGGGGACCTGGGGTATGTTCTCGACTTACGGCGGGGATGGCCCTTCAAAACACGAGTTTCTTCAGTGACGTCAGGACTCCTGTCTAGTAATGAGGGACACCTCAGGAATCTCTTCGAGGCTTGGCAGGGCAAAAGGGACGCTTTTCGAGGTGAGGCAGGGTACACAAGGACCCTTTCCAGTAGCCACAGCGATTTTGGGATTCCTATCAGTATTCAAGAGCAGTCAGGCATCGTCACCTTTTGAAGCAATGAACTCCGCGTGCCTCTCGAGGTGTCAGCGGGATGTGAGGCATTCCGTCAAAATGAGGCAGGGTCCTAGGGCTTTCTCTAAGGTCTCCACAGGGGATTCAGACATCCCTTCATGTTGTGAGATGAAAGACGAGCCTGTATTCAAGCCACTGCAAGGAAATCCGGCCTCCTTTCAAGTTAGGGCTTCTCGCTGTATATTCCCCTTGAGGCAGCAAACTCGGGGTCCCTTCCACATACCTATTGCTGAGAGAAGCCTCCTCCTGAGGTGCTTCTGGAAAGTTTGCATACGTCTTGAGCCTAAGCCAGGGAATCAGCTCTCATCTCGAGACGATTTGGGGTACACGGAGCATTCCTCGAGTTGCTGTGCTGAAGTTGGTGTTCCTCTAGACTTGGGACAGTGTTCTCGGGGCATCTCTGGAGTTGCCTGAAGGAAGTCGAGCCACCGGTCGTGTTGAATGGGGAACGGGGAATGGCTCTGGAGTCAATGCAGGGGAATCGGGCCTCATCTCGAGTTGATTTGGGGCACATGGAGCTGATTTGCATTGCCTGGGTGACCTCAGGGGCCGTCTAGACTGGTGACAGTGTTCTTGGGGACTGTCTCGAGATCCATTAAGCTAGTCGAAGCTCCTGACTTGTTTGAATGGGATCACGGAATAGCTCTGCATGCACTGCAGGGGAATGGGGCCTCATCTCGCCTCTAGGGGGAAGTCTCATGGTTTTTCTCGAGTTGAGGTGGGGACCTGGGGTATGTTCTCGACTTACGGCGGGGATGGCCCTTCAAAACACGAGTTTCTTCAGTGACGTCAGGACTCCTGTCTAGTAATTAGGGACACCTCAGGAACCTCTTCGAGGCTTGGCAGGGCAAAAGGGACGCTTCTCGAGGTGAGGCAGGGCACCCAAGGACCCTTTCCAATAGCCACAGGGATTTTGGGATTCCTATCAGTATTCAAGAGGAGTCAGGCATCGTCACCTTTTGAAGCAATGAACTCCGCGTGCCTCTCGAGGTGTCAGCGGGATGTGAGGCATTCCGTCAAAATTAGGCAGGGACCTACGGCTTTCTTTAAGGTCTCCAAAGGGGATTCAGACATCCCTTCATGTTGTGAGATGAAAGACGAGCCTGTAATCAAGCCACTGCAAAGAAATCCGGCCTCCTTTCATGTTAGGGCTTCTCGCTGTATATTCCCCTTGAGGCAGCAAACTCGGGGTGCCTCCCACATACCTATTGCTGAGAGAAGCCTCCTCCTGAGGTGCTTCTGGAAAGTTGGCATACGCCTTGAGCCTAATCCAGGGAATCAGCTCTCATCTCGAGACAATTTGGGGTACACGGAGCATTCCTCGAGTTGCTGTGCTGAAGTTGGTGTTCCTCTAGACTTGGGACAGTGTTCTCGGGGCATCTCTGGAGTTGCCTGAAGGAAGTCGAGCCACCGGTCGTGTTGAATGGGGAACGGGGAATGGCTCTGGAGTCAATGCAGGGGAATCGGGCCTCATCTCGAGTTGATTTCGGGCGCATGGAGCTGCTTTTCGTTGCTGGGGTGACCTCAGGGTCCGTCTAGACTGGTGACAGTGTTCTTGGGGACTCTCTCGAGATCCATTAAGCAAGTCGAAGCTCCTGACTTGTTTGAATGGGATCACGGGATAGCTCGGCATGCACTGCAGGGGAATGTGGCCTCATCTCGCCTCAAGGGGGAAGTCTCATGGTTTTTCTCGAGTTGAGGCGGGGATCTGGGATATGTTCTTGACTTACGGCGGGGATGGCCCTTCAAAACACGAGTTTCTTCAGTGACGTCAGGACTCCTGTCTAGTAATGAGGGACACCTCAGGAATCTCTTTGAGGCTTGGCAGGGCAAAAGGGACGCTTCTCGAGGTGAGGCAGGGCACCCAAGGACCCATTCCAGTAGCCACAGGGATTTTGGGATTCCTATCAGTATTCAAGAGGAGTCAGGCATCGTCACCTTTTGAAGCAATGAACTCCGCGTGCCTCTCGAGGTGTCAGCGGGACGTGAGGCATTCCGTCAAAATGAGGCAGGGACCTAAGGCTTTCTCTAAGTTCTCCACAGGGGATTCAGACATCCCTTCATGTTGTGAGATGAAAGACGAGCCTGTATTCAAGCCACTGCAAGGAAATCCGGCCTCCTTTCAAGTTAGGGCTTCTCGCTGTATATTCCCCTTGAGGCAGCAAACTCGGGGTCCCTCCCACATACCTATTGCTGAGAGAAGCCTCCTCCTGAGGTGCTTCTGGGAAGTTGGCATACGTCTTGAGCCTAAGCCAGGGAATCAGCTCTCATCTCGAGACGATTTGGGTTACACGGAGCATTCCTCGAGTTGCTGTGCTGAAGTTGGTGTTCCTCTAGACTTGGGACAGTGTTCTCGGGGCATCTCTGGAGTTGCTTGAAGGAAGTCGAGCCACCGGTCGTGTTGAATGGGGAACGGGGAATGTCTCTGGAGTCAATGAAGGGGAATTGGGCCTCATCTCGAGTTGATTTGGGGCACATGGAGCTGCTTTGCGTTGCTGGGGTGACCTCAGGGTCCGTCTAGACTGGTGACAGTGTTCTTGGGGACTGTCTCGAGATCCATTAAGCAAGTCGAAGCTCCTGACTTGTTTGAATGTGATCACGGGATAGCTCTGCATGCACTGCAGGTGATTGGGGCCTCATCTCGCCTCTAGGGGGAAGTCTCATGGTTTTTCTCGAGTTGAGGCGGGGACCTGGGGAATGTTCTCGACTTACGGCGGGGATGGCCCTTCAAAACACGAGTTTCTTCAGTGACGTCAGGACTCCTGTCTAGTAATGAGGGACACCTCAGGAATCTCTTCGAGGCTTGGCAGGGCAAAAGGGACGCTTCTCGAGGTGAGGCAGGGTACCCAAGGACCCTTTCCAGTAGCCACAGCGCTTTTGGGATTCCTATCAGTATTCAAGATGAGTCAGGCATCGTCACCTTTTGAAGCAATGAACTCCGCGTGCCTCTCGAGGTGTCAGCGGGATGTGAGGCATTCCGTCAAAATGAGGCAGGGACCTAAGGCTTTCTCTAAGGTCTCCACAGGGGATTCAGACATCCCTTCATGTTGTGAGATGAAAGACGAGCCTGTATTCAAGCCACTGCAAGGAAATGCGGCCTCCTTTCAAGTTAGGGCTTCTCGCTGTATATTCCCCTTGAGGCAGCAAACTCGGGGTCCCTCCCACATACCTATTGCTGAGAGAAGCCTCCTCCTGAGGTGCTTCTGGAAAGTTGGCATACGTCTTGAGCCTAAGCCAGGGAATCAGCTCTCATCCCTAGACGATTTGGGGTACACGGAGCATTCCTCGAGTGCTGTGCTCAGGTTGGTGTTCCTCTAGACTTGGGACACTGTTCTCGGGGCATCTCTGGAGTTGCCTGAAGGAAGTCGAGCCACCGGTCGTGTTGAATGGGGAACGGGGAATGGCTCTGGCGTCAATGCAGGGGAATCGGGCCTCATCTCGAGTTGATTTATGGCACATGGAGCTGCTTTGCGTTGCTGGGGTGACCTCAGGGTCCGTCTAGACTGGTGACAGTGTTCTTGGGGACTGTCTCGAGATCCATAAAGCAAGGCGAAGCTCCTGACTTGTTTGAATGGGATCACGGAATAGCTCTGCATGCACTGCAGGGGAATGGGGCCTCATCTCGCCTCTAGGGGGAAGTCTCATGGTTTTTCTCGAGTTGAGGCGGGGACCTGGGGTATGTTCTCGACTTACGGCGGGGATGGCCCTTCAAAACACGAGTTTCTTCAGTGACGTCAGGACTCCTGTCTAGTAATGAGGGACACCTCAGGAATCTCTTCGAGGCTTGGCAGGGCAAAAGGGACGCTTTTCGAGGTGAGGCAGGGTACACAAGGACCCTTTCCAGTAGCCACAGCGATTTTGGGATTCCTATCAGTATTCAAGAGCAGTCAGGCATCGTCACCTTTTGAAGCAATGAACTCCGCGTGCCTCTCGAGGTGTCAGCGGGATGTGAGGCATTCCGTCAAAATGAGGCAGGGTCCTAGGGCTTTCTCTAAGGTCTCCACAGGGGATTCAGACATCCCTTCATGTTGTGAGATGAAAGACGAGCCTGTATTCAAGCCACTGCAAGGAAATCCGGCCTCCTTTCAAGTTAGGGCTTCTCGCTGTATATTCCCCTTGAGGCAGCAAACTCGGGGTCCCTTCCACATACCTATTGCTGAGAGAAGCCTCCTCCTGAGGTGCTTCTGGAAAGTTTGCATACGTCTTGAGCCTAAGCCAGGGAATCAGCTCTCATCTCGAGACGATTTGGGGTACACGGAGCATTCCTCGAGTTGCTGTGCTGAAGTTGGTGTTCCTCTAGACTTGGGACAGTGTTCTCGGGGCATCTCTGGAGTTGCCTGAAGGAAGTCGAGCCACCGGTCGTGTTGAATGGGGAACGGGGAATGGCTCTGGAGTCAATGCAGGGGAATCGGGCCTCATCTCGAGTTGATTTGGGGCACATGGAGCTGATTTGCATTGCCTGGGTGACCTCAGGGGCCGTCTAGACTGGTGACAGTGTTCTTGGGGACTGTCTCGAGATCCATTAAGCTAGTCGAAGCTCCTGACTTGTTTGAATGGGATCACGGAATAGCTCTGCATGCACTGCAGGGGAATGGGGCCTCATCTCGCCTCTAGGGGGAAGTCTCATGGTTTTTCTCGAGTTGAGGTGGGGACCTGGGGTATGTTCTCGACTTACGGCGGGGATGGCCCTTCAAAACACGAGTTTCTTCAGTGACGTCAGGACTCCTGTCTAGTAATTAGGGACACCTCAGGAACCTCTTCGAGGCTTGGCAGGGCAAAAGGGACGCTTCTCGAGGTGAGGCAGGGCACCCAAGGACCCTTTCCAATAGCCACAGGGATTTTGGGATTCCTATCAGTATTCAAGAGGAGTCAGGCATCGTCACCTTTTGAAGCAATGAACTCCGCGTGCCTCTCGAGGTGTCAGCGGGATGTGAGGCATTCCGTCAAAATTAGGCAGGGACCTACGGCTTTCTTTAAGGTCTCCAAAGGGGATTCAGACATCCCTTCATGTTGTGATATGAAAGACGAGCCTGTAATCAAGCCACTGCAAAGAAATCCGGCCTCCTTTCATGTTAGGGCTTCTCGCTGTATATTCCCCTTGAGGCAGCAAACTCGGGGTGCCTCCCACATACCTATTGCTGAGAGAAGCCTCCTCCTGAGGTGCTTCTGGAAAGTTGGCATACGCCTTGAGCCTAATCCAGGGAATCAGCTCTCATCTCGAGACAATTTGGGGTACACGGAGCATTCCTCGAGTTGCTGTGCTGAAGTTGGTGTTCCTCTAGACTTGGGACAGTGTTCTCGGGGCATCTCTGGAGTTGCCTGAAGGAAGTCGAGCCACCGGTCGTGTTGAATGGGGAACGGGGAATGGCTCTGGAGTCAATGCAGGGGAATCGGGCCTCATCTCGAGTTGATTTCGGGCGCATGGAGCTGCTTTTCGTTGCTGGGGTGACCTCAGGGTCCGTCTAGACTGGTGACAGTGTTCTTGGGGACTCTCTCGAGATCCATTAAGCAAGTCGAAGCTCCTGACTTGTTTGAATGGGATCACGGGATAGCTCTGCATGCACTGCAGGTGATTGGGGCCTCATCTCGCCTCTAGGGGGAAGTCTCATGGTTTTTCTCGAGTTGAGGCGGGGACCTGGGGTATGTTCTCGACTTACGGCGGGGATGGCCCTTCAAAACACGAGTTTCTTCAGTGACGTCAGGACTCCTGTCTAGTAACGAGGGACACCTCAGGAATCTCTTCGAGGCTTGGTAGGGCAAAAGGGACGCTTCTCGAGGTGAGGCAGGGCACCCAAGGACCCTTTCCAGTAGCCACAGCGATTTTGGGATTCCTATCAGTATTCAAGAGGAGTCAGGCATCGTCACCTTTTGAAGCAATGAACTCCGCGTGCCTCTCGAGGTGTCAGTGGGATGTGAGGCATTCCGTCAAAATGAGGCAGGGACCTAGGGCTTTCTCTAAGGTCTCCACAGGGGATTCAGACATCCCTTCATGTTGTGAGATGAAAGACGAGCCTGTATTCAAGCCACAGCAAGGAAATGCGGCCTCCTTTCAAGTTAGGGCTTCTCGCTGTATATTCCCCTTGAGGCAGCAAACTCGGGGTCCCTTCCACATACCTATTGCTGAGAGAAGCCTCCTCCTGAGGTGCTTCTGGAAAGTTGGCATACGCCTTGAGCCTAATCCAGGGAATCAGCTCTGATCTCGAGACAATTTGGGGTACACGGAGCATTCCTCGAGTTGCTGTGCTGAAGTTGGTGTTCCTCTAGACTTGGTACAGTGTTCTCGGGGCATCTCTGGAGTTGCCTGAAGGAAGTCGAGCCACCGGTCGTGTTGAATGGGGAACGGGGAATGGCTCTGGAGTCAATGCAGGGCAATCGGGCCTCATCTCGAGTTGATTTGGGGCACATGGAGCTGCTTTGCGTTGCTGGGGTGACCTCAGGGTCCGTCTAGACTGGTGACAGTGTTCTTGGGGACTGTCTCGAGATCCATTAAGCAAGTCGAAACTCCTGACTTGTTTGAATGGTATTACAGAATAGCTCTGCATGCACTGCAGGGGAATGGGGCCTCATCTCGCCTCTAGGGGGAAGTCTCATGGTTTTTCTCGAGGTGCGGCGGGGACCTGGGGTATGTTCTCGACTTAGGGCGGGGATGGCCCTTCAAAACACGAGTTTCTTCAGTGACGTCAGGACTCCTGTCTAGTAACGAGGGACACTTCAGGAATCTCTACGTGGCTTGGCAGGGCAAAAGGGACGCTTCTCGAGGTGAGGCAGGGTACCCAAGGAGCCTTTCCAGTAGCCACAGCGATTTTGGGATTCCTATCAGTATTCAAGAGGAGTCAGGCATCGTCACCTTTTGAAGCAATGAACTCCGCGTGCCTCTCGAGGTGTCAGCGGGATGTGAGGCATTCCATCAAAATGAGGCAGGGACCTAGGGCTTTCTCTAAGGTCTCCACAGGGGATTCAGACATCCCTTCATGTTGTGAGATGAAAGACGAGCCTGTATTCAAGCCACTGCAAGGAAATCCGGCCTCCTTTCAAGTTAGGGCTTCTCGCTGTATATTCCCCTTGAGGCAGCAAACTCGGGTACTTCCCACATACCTATTGCTGAGAGAAGCCTCCTCCTGAGGTGCTTCTGGAAAGTTGGCATAAGTCTTGAGCCTAAGCCAGGGAATCAGCTCTCATCTCGAGACGATTTGGGGTACACGGAGCATTCCTCGTGTTGCTGTGCTGAAGTTGTTGTTCCTCTAGACTTGGGACAGTGTTCTCGGGGCATCTCTGGAGTTGCCTGAAGGAAGTCGAGCCACCGGTCTTGTTGAATGGGGAACGGGGAATGGCTCTGGAGTCAATGCATGGGAATCGGGCCTCATCTCGAGTTGATTTGGGGCACATGGAGCTGCTTTGCGTTGCTGGGGTGACCTCAGGGTCCGTCTAGACTGGTGACAGTGTTCTTGGGGACTGTCTCGAGATCCATTAAGCAAGTCGAAGCTCCTGACTTGTTTGAATGGGATCACGGGATAGCTCGGCATGCACTGCAGGGGAATGTGGCCTCATCTCGCCTCAAGGGGGAAGTCTCATGGTTTTTCTCGAGTTGAGGCGGGGATCTGGGATATGTTCTTGACTTACGGCGGGGATGGCCCTTCAAAACACGAGTTTCTTCAGTGACGTCAGGACTCCTGTCTAGTAACGAGGGTCAACTCAGGAATCTCTTCGAGGCTTGGCAGGGCAAAAGGGACGCTTCTCCAGGTGAGGCAGGGCACCCAAGGAGCCTTTCCAGTAGCCACAGCGATTTTGGGATTCCTATCAGTATTCAAGAGGAGTCAGGCATCGTCACCTTTTGAAGCAATGAACTCCGCGTGCCTCTCGAGGTGTCAGCGGGATGTGAGGCATTCCGTCAAAATGAGGCAGGGACCTAGGGCTTTCTCTAAGGTCTCCACAGGGGATTCAGACATCCCTTCATGTTGTGAGATGAAAGACGAGCCTGTATTCAAGCCACTGCAAGGAAATCCGGCCTCCTTTCAAGTTAGGGCTTCTCGCTGTATATTCCGCTTGAGGCAGAAAACTCGGGTCCCACCCACATACCTATTGCTGAGAGAAGCCTCCTCCTGAGGTGCTTCTGGAAAGTTGGCATAAGTCTTGAGCCTAAGCCAGGGAATCAGCTCTCATCTCGAGACGATTTGGGGTACACAGAGCATTCCTCGAGTTGCTGTGCTGAAATTGGTGTTCCTCTAGACTTGGGACAGTGTTCTCGGGGCATCTCTGGAGTTGCCTGAAGGAAGTCGAGCCACCGGTCATGTTGAATGGGGAACGGGGAATGGCTCTGGAGTCAATGCAGGGGAATCGGGCCTCATCTCGAGTTGATTTGGGGCACATGGAGCTGCTTTGCGTTGCTGGGGTGACCTCAGGGTCCATCTAGACTGGTGACAGTGTTCTTGGGGACTGTCTCGAGATCCATTAAGCAAGTCGAAGCTCCTGACTTGTTTGAATGGGATCACGGGATAGCTCTGCATGCACTGCAGGGGAATGGGGCCTCATCTCGCCTCTAGGGGGAAGTCTCATGATTTTGCTCGAGTTGAGGCGGGGACCTGGGTTATGTTCTCGACTTACGGCGGGGATGGCCCTTCAAAACACGAGTTTCTTCAGTGACGTCAGGACTCCTGTCTAGTAATGAGGGACACCTCAGGAATCTCTTTGAGGCTTGGCAGGGCAAAAGGGACGCTTCTCGAGGTGAGGCAGGGCACCCAAGGACCCTTTCCAGTAGCCACAGGGATTTTGGGATTCCTATCAGTATTCAAGAGCAGTCAGGCATCGTCACCTTTTGAAGCAATGAACTCCGCGTGCCTCTCGAGGTGTCAGCGGGACGTGAGGCATTCCGTCAAAATGAGGCAGGGACCTAAGGCTTTCTCTAAGTTCTCCACAGGGGATTCAGACATCCCTTCATGTTGTGAGATGAAAGACGAGCCTGTATTCAAGCCACTGCAAGGAAATCCGGCCTCCTTTCAAGTTAGGGCTTCTCGCTGTATATTCCCCTTGAGGCAGCAAACTCGGGGTCCCTCCCACATACCTATTGCTGAGAGAAGCCTCCTCCTGAGGTGCTTCTGGAAAGTTGGCATACGTCTTGAGCCTAAGCCAGGGAATCAGCTCTCATCTCGAGACGATTTGGGTTACACGGAGCATTCCTCGAGTTGCTGTGCTGAAGTTGGTGTTCCTCTAGACTTGGGACAGTGTTCTCGGGGCATCTCTGGAGTTGCTTGAAGGAAGTCGAGCCACCGGTCGTGTTGAATGGGGAACGGGGAATGTCTCTGGAGTCAATGAAGGGGAATTGGGCCTCATCTCGAGTTGATTTGGGGCACATGGAGCTGCTTTGCCTTGCTGGGGTGACCTCAGGGTCCGTCTAGACTGGTGACAGTGTTCTTGGGGACTGTCTCGAGATCCATTAAGCAAGTCGAAGCTCCTGACTTGTTTGAATGTGATCACGGGATAGCTCTGCATGCACTGCAGGTGATTGGGGCCTCATCTCGCCTCTAGGGGGAAGTCTCATGGTTTTTCTCGAGTTGAGGCGGGGACCTGGGGAATGTTCTCGACTTACGGCGGGGATGGCCCTTCAAAACACGAGTTTCTTCAGTGACGTCAGGACTCCTGTCTAGTAATGAGGGACACCTCAGGAATCTCTTCGAGGCTTGGCAGGGCAAAAGGGACGCTTCTCGAGGTGAGGCAGGGTACCCAAGGTCCCTTTCCAGTAGCCACAGCGCTTTTGGGATTCCTATCAGTATTCAAGATGAGTCAGGCATCGTCACCTTTTGAAGCAATGAACTCCGCGTGCCTCTCGAGGTGTCAGCGGGATGTGAGGCATTCCGTCAAAATGAGGCAGGGACCTAGGGCTTTCTCTAAGGTCTCCACAGGGGATGCAGACATCCCTTCATGTTGTGAGATGAAAGACGAGCGTGTATTCAAGCCACTGCAAGGAAATCCGGCCTCCTTTCAAGTTAGGGCTTCTCGCTGTATATTCCCCTTGAGGCAGCAAACTCGGGTCCCACCCACATACCTATTGCTGAGAGAAGCCTCCTCCTGAGGTGCTTCTGGAAAGTTGGCATAAGTCTTGAGCCTAAGCCAGGGAATCAGCTCTCATCTCGAGACGATTTGGGGTACACAGAGCATTCCTCGAGTTGCTGTGCTGAAATTGGTGTTCCTCTAGACTTGGGACAGTGTTCTCGGGGCATCTCTGGAGTTGCCTGAAGGAAGTCGAGCCACCGGTCGTGTTGAATGGGGAACGGGGAATGGCTCTGGAGTCAATGCAGGGGAATCGGGCCTCATCTCGAGTTGATTTGGGGCACATGGAGCTGCTTTCCGTTGCTGCGGTGACCTCAGGGTCCGTCTAGACTGGTGACAGTGTTCTTGGGGACTGTCTCGACATCCATTAAGCAATTCGAAGCTCCTGACTTGTTTGAATGGGATCACGGGATAGCTCTGCATGCACTGCAGGGGAATGGGGCCTCATCTCGCCTCTAGGGGGAAGTCTCATGGTTTTGCTCGAGTTGAGGCGGGGACCTGGGTTATGTTCTCGACTTACTGCGGGGATGGCCCTTCAAAACACGAGTTTCTTCAGTGACGTCAGGACTCCTGTCTAGTAATGAGGGACACCTCAGGAATCTCTTCGAGGCTTGGCAGGGCAAAAGGGACGCTTCTCGAGGTGAGGCAGGGCACCCAAGGACCCTTTCCAGTAGCCACAGGGATTTTGGATTCCTATCAGTATTCAAGAGGAGTCAGGCATCGTCACCTTTTGAAGCAATGAACTCCGCGTGCCTCTCGAGGTGTCAGCGGGACGTGAGGCATTCCGTCAAAATGAGGCAGGGACCTAAGGCTTTCTCTAAGTTCTCCACAGGGGATTCAGACATCCCTTCATGTTGTGAGATGAAAGACGAGCCTGTATTCAAGCCACTGCAAGGAAATCCGGCCTCCTTTCAAGTTAGGGCTTCTCGCTGTATATTCCCCTTGAGGCAGCAAACTCGGGGTCCCTCCCACATACCTATTGCTGAGAGAAGCCTCCTCCTGAGGTGCTTCTGGAAAGTTGGCATACGTCTTGAGCCTAAGCCAGGGAATCAGCTCTCATCCCTAGACGATTTGGGGTACACGGAGCATTCCTCGAGTGCTGTGCTCAGGTTGGTGTTCCTCTAGACTTGGGACACTGTTCTCGGGGCATCTCTGGAGTTGCCTGAAGGAAGTCGAGCCACCGGTCGTGTTGAATGGGGAACGGGGAATGGCTCTGGCGTCAATGCAGGGGAATCGGGCCTCATCTCGAGTTGATTTATGGCACATGGAGCTGCTTTGCGTTGCTGGGGTGACCTCAGGGTCCTTCTAGACTGGTGACAGTGTTCTTGGGGACTGTCTCGAGATCCATAAAGCAAGGCGAAGCTCCTGACTTGTTTGAATGGGATCACGGAATAGCTCTGCATGCACTGCAGGGGAATGGGGCCTCATCTCGCCTCTAGGGGGAAGTCTCATGGTTTTTCTCGAGTTGAGGCGGGGACCTGGGGTATGTTCTCGACTTACGGCGGGGATGGCCCTTCAAAACACGAGTTTCTTCAGTGACGTCAGGACTCCTGTCTAGTAATGAGGGACACCTCAGGAATCTCTTCGAGGCTTGGCAGGGCAAAAGGGACGCTTCTCGAGGTGAGGCAGGGTACACAAGGACCCTTTCCAGTAGCCACAGCGATTTTGGGATTCCTATCAGTATTCAAGAGCAGTCAGGCATCGTCACCTTTTGAAGCAATGAACTCCACGTGCCTCTCGAGGTGTCAGCGGGATGTGAGGCATTCCGTCAAAATGAGGCAGGGTCCTAGGGCTTTCTCTAAGGTCTCCACAGGGGATTCAGACATCCCTTCATGTTGTGAGATGAAAGACGAGCCTGTATTCAAGCCACTGCAAGGAAATCCGGCCTCCTTTCAAGTTAGGGCTTCTCGCTGTATATTCCCCTTGAGGCAGCAAACTCGGGTCCCACCCACATACCTATTGCTGAAAGAAGCCTCCTCCTGAGGTGCTTCTGGAAAGTTGGCATAAGTCTTGAGCCTAAGCCAGGGATTCAGCTCTCATCTCGAAACGATTTGGGGTACAGAGAGCATTCCTCGAGTTGCTGTGCTGAGTTGGTGTTCCTCTAGACTTGGGACAGTGTTCTCGGGGCATCTCTGGAGTTGCCTGAAGGAAGTCGAGCCACCGGTCGTGTTGAATGGGGAACGGGGAATGGCTCTGGCGTCAATGCAGGGGAATCGGGCCTCATCTCGAGTTGATTTGGGGCACATGGAGCTGATTTGCGTTGCTGGGGTGACCTCAGGGTCCGTCTAGAATGGTGACAGTGTTCTTGGGGACTCTCTCGAGATCCATTAAGCAAGTCGAAGCTCTGGACTTGTTTGAATGGGATCATGGGATAGCTCTGCATGCACTGCAGGGGAATGGGGCCTCATCTCGCCTCTAGGGGGAAGTCTCATGGTTTTTCTCGAGTTGAGGCGGGGACCTGGGGTATGTTCTCGACTTACGGCGGGGATGGCCCTTCAAAACACGAGTTTCTTCAGTGACGTCAGGACTCCTGTCTAGTAATGAGGGACACCTCAGGAATCTCTTCGAGGCTTGGCAGGGCAAAAGGGACGCTTCTCGAGGTGAGGCAGGGCACCCAGGACACTTTCCAGTAGCCACAGGGATTTTGGGATTCCTATCAGTATTCAAGAGGAGTCAGGCATCGTCACCTTTTGAAGCAATGAACTCCGCGTGCCTCTCGAGGTGTCAGCGGGATGTGAGGCATTCCGTCAAAATGAGGCAGGGACCTAGGGCTTTCTCTAAGGTCTCCACAGGGGATTCAGACATCCCTTCATGTTGTGAGATGAAAGACGAGCCTGTATTCAAGCCACTGCAAGGAAATCCGGCCTCCTTTCAAGTTAGGGCTTCTCGCTGTATATTCCCCTTGAGGCAGCAAACTCGGGGTCCCTTCCACATACCTATTGCTGAGAGAAGCCTCCTCCTGAGGTGCTTCTGGAAAGTTGGCATACGTCTTGAGCCTAAGCCAGGGAATCAGCTCTCATCTCGAGACGATTTGGGGTACACGGAGCATTCCTCGAGTTGCTGTGCTGAAGTTGGTGTTCCTCTAGACTTGGGACAGTGTTCTCGGGGCATCTCTGGAGTTGCCTGAAGGAAGTCGAGCCACCGGTCGTGTTGAATGGGGAACGGGGAATGGCTCTGGAGTCAATGCAGGGGAATCGGGCCTCATCTCGAGTTGATTTGGGGCACATGGAGCTGCTTTGCGTTGCTGGGGTGACCTCAGGGTCCGTCTAGACTGGTGACAGTGTTCTTGGGGACTGTCTCGAGATCCATTAAGCTAGTCGAAGCTCCTGACTTGTTTGAATGGGATCACGGGATAGCTCTGCATGCACTGCAGGGGAATGGGGCCTCATCTCGCCTCTAGGGGGAAGTCTCATGGTTTTTCTCGAGTTGAGGTGGGGACCTGGGGTATGTTCTCGACTTACGGCGGGGATGGCCCTTCAAAACACGAGTTTCTTCAGTGACGTCAGGACTCCTGTCTAGTAATTAGGGACACCTCAGGAACCTCTTCGAGGCTTGGCAGGGCAAAAGGGACGCTTCTCGAGGTGAGGCAGGGCACCCAAGGACCCTTTCCAGTAGCCACAGGGATTTTGGGATTCCTATCAGTATTCAAGAGGAGTCAGGCATCGTCACCTTTTGAAGCAATGAACTCCGCGTGCCTCTCGAGGTGTCAGCGGGATGTGAGGCATTCCGTCAAAATTAGGCAGGGACCTACGGCTTTCTTTAAGGTCTCCACAGGGGATTCAGACATCCCTTCATGTTGTGAGATGAAAGACGAGCCTGTAATCAAGCCACTGCAAAGAAATCCGGCCTCCTTTCATGTTAGGGCTTCTCGCTGTATATTCCCCTTGAGGCAGCAAACTCGGGGTGCCTCCCACATACCTATTGCTGGGAGAAGCCTCCTCCTGAGGTGCTTCTGGAAAGTTGGCATACGTCTTGAACCTAAGCCAGGGAATCAGCTCTCATCTCGAGACGATTTGGGGTACACGAAGCATTCCTCGAGTTGCTGTGCTGAAGTTGGTGTTCCTCTAGACTTGGGACAGTGTTCTCGGGGCATCTCTGGAGTTGCCTGAAGGAAGTCGAGCCACCGGTCGTGTTGAATGGGGAACGGGGAATGACTCTGGAGTCAATGCAGGGGAATCGGGCCTCATCTCGAGTTGATTTGGGGCACATGGAGCTCCTTTGAGTTTCTGGGGTGACCTCAGGGTCCGTCTAGACTGGTGACAGTGTTCTTGGGGACTCTCTCGAGTTCCATTAAGCAAGTCGAAGCTCCTGACTTGTTTGAATGGGATCACGGAATACCTCTGCATGCACTGCAGGGGAATGGGGCCTCATCTCGCCTCTAGGGGGAAGTCTCATGGTTTTTCTCGAGTTGCGGCGGGGACATGGGGTATGTTCTCGACTTACGGCGGGGATGGCCCTTCAAAACCCGAGTTTCTTCAGTGACGTCAGGACTCCTGTCTAGTAACGAGGGACACCTCAGGAATCTCTACGAGGCTTGGCAGAGCAAAAGGGACGCTTCTCGAGGTGAGGCAGGGTACCCAAAGACCCTTTCCAGTAGCCACAGCGATTTTGGGATTCCTATCAGTATTCAAGAGGAGTCAGGCATCGTCACCTTTTGAAGCAATGAACTCCGCGTGCCTCTCGAGGTGTCAGCGGGATGTGAGGAATTCCGTCAAAATGAGGCAGGGATCTAGGGCTTTCTCTAAGGTCTCCACAGGGGATTCAGACATCCCTTCATGTTGTGAGATGAAAGACGAGCCTGTATTCAAGCCACTGCAAGGAAATCCGGCCTCCTTTCAAGTTAGGGCTTCTCGCTGTATATTCCCCTTGAGGCAGCAAACTCGGGTCCCACCCACATACCTATTGCTGAGAGAAGCCTCCTCCTGAGGTGCTTCTGGAAAGTTGGCATAAGTCTTGAGCCTAAGCCGGGGAATCAGCTCTCATCTCGAGACGTTTTGGGGTACACGAAGCATTAGTCGAGTTGCTGTGCTGAGGTTGATGTTCCTCTAGACTTGGGACCGTGTTCTCGGGGCATCTCTGGAGTTGCCTGACGGAAGTCGAGCAACCGGTCGTGTTGAATGGGGAACGGGGAATGGCTCTGGAGTCAATGCAGGGGAATCGGGCCTCATCTCGAGTTGATTTGGGGCACTTGGAGCTGCTTTGCGTTGCTGGGGTGACCTCAGGGTCCGTCTAGACTGGTGACAGTGTTCTTGGGGACTGTCTCGAGATCCATTAAGCAAGTCGAAGCTCCTGACTTGTTTGAATGGGATCACGGAATAGCTCTGCATGCACTGCAGGGGAATGGGGCCTCATCTCGCCTCTAGGGGGAAGTCTCATGGTTTTACTCTAGTTGCGGCGGGGACCTGGGTATGTTCTCGACTTACAGCGGGGATGGCCCTTCAAAACACGAGTTTCTTCAGTGACGTCAGGACTCCTGTCTAGTAACGAGGGACACCTCAGCAATCTCTTCGAGGCTTGGCAGGGCAATAGGGACGCTTCTCGAGGTGAGGCAGGGCACCCAAGGACCCTTTCCAGTAGCCACAGGGATTTTGGGAGTCCTATCATTATTCAAGAGGAGTCAGGCATCGTCACCTTTTGAAGCAATTTACTCCGCGTGCCTCTCGAGGTGTCAGCGGGATTTGAGGCATTCCGTCAAAATGAGGCAGGGACCTAGGGCCTTCTCTAAGGTCTCCACAGGGGATTCAGACATCCCTTCATGTTGTGAGATGAAAGACGAGCCTGTATTCAAGCCACTGCAAGGAAATCCGGCCTCCTTTCAAGTTAGGGCTTCTCGCTGTATATTCCCCTTGAGGCAGCAAACTCGGGGTCCCTTCCACATACCTATTGCTGAGAGAAGCCTCCTCCTGAGGTGCTTCTGGAAAGTTGGCATACGTCTTGAGCCTAAGCCCGGGAATCAGCTCTCATCTCGAGACGATTGGGGGTACACGGAGCATTCCTCGAGTTGCTGTGCTGAAGTTGTTGTTCCTCTAGCCTTGGGACAGTGTTCTCGGGGCATCTCTGGCGTTGCCTGAAGGAAGTCGAGCCAAAGGTCGTGTTGAATGGGGAACGGGGAATGGCTCTGGAGTAAATGCATGGGAATCGGGCCTCATCTCGAGTTGATTTGGGGCACATGGAGCTTCTTTGCGTTGCTGGGGTGACATCAGGGTCCGTCTAGACTGGTGACAGTGTTCTTGGGGACTGTCTCGAGATCCATTAAGCAAGTCGAAGCTCCTGACTTGTTTGAATGGGATCACGGGATAGCTCTGCATGCACTGCAGGGGAATGTGGCCTCATCTCGCCTCAAGGGGGAAGTCTCATGGTTTTTCTCGTGTTGAGGCGGGGACCTGGGGTATGTTCTCGACTTACGGCGGGGATGGCCCTTCAAAACACGAGTTTCTTCAGTGACGTCAGGACTCCTGTCTAGTAACGAGGGACACCTCAGGAATCTCTTCGAGGCTTGGCAGGGCAAAAGGGACGCTTCTCGAGGTGAGGCAGGGCACCCAAGGACCCTTTCCCGTAGCCACAGGGATTTTGGGATTCCTATCAGTATTCAAGAGGAGTCAGGCATCGTCACCTTTTGAAGCAATGAACTCCGCGTGCCTCTCGAGGTGTCAGTGGGATGTGAGGCATTCCGTCAAAATGAGGCAGGGATCTAGGGCTTTCTCTAAGGTCTCCACAGGGGATTCAGACATCCCTTCATGTTGTGAGATGAAAGACGAGCCTGTATTCAAGCCACTGCAAGGAAATCCGGCCTCCTTTCAAGTTAGGGCTTCTCGCTGTATATTCCCCTTGAGGCAGCAAACTCGGGGTCCCTTCCACATACCTATTGCTGAGAGAAGCCTCCTCCTGAGGTGCTTCTGGAAAGTTGGCATACGTCTTGAGCCTAATCCAGGGAATCAGCTCTCATCTCGAGACAATTTGGGGTACACAGAGCATTCCTCGAGTTGCTGTGCTGAAGTTGGTGTTCCTCTAGACTTGGGACAGTGTTCTCGGGGCATCTCTGGAGTTGCCTGAAGGAAGTCGAGCCACCGGTCGTGTTGAATGGGGAACGGGGAATGTCTCTGGAGTCAATGCAGGGGAATCGGGCCTCATCTCGAGTTGATTTGGGGCACATGGAGCTGCTTTGCGTTGCTGGGGTGACCTCAGGGTCCATCTAGACTGGTGACAGTGTTCTTGGGGACTGTCTCGAGATCCATTAAGCAAGTCGAAGAGCCTGACTTGTTTGAATGGGATCACGGAATAGCTCTGCATGCACTGCAGGGGAATGGGGCCTCATCTCGCCTCTAGGGGGAAGTCTCATGGTTTTTCTCGAGTTGCGGCGGGGACCTGGGGTATGTTCTCGACTTACGGCGGGGATGGCCCTTCAAAACACGAGTTTCTTCAGTGACGTCAGGACTCCTGTCTAGTAATGACGGACACCTCAGGAATCTCTAAGAGGCTTGGCAGGGCAAAAGGGACGCTTCTCGAGGTGAGGCAGGGCACCCAAGGACGCTTTCCCCTAGCCACAGGGATTTTGGGATTCCTATCAGTATTCAAGAGGAGTCAGGCATCGTCACCTTTTGAAGCAATGAACTCCGCGTGCCTCTCGAGGTGTCAGCGGGATGTGAGGCATTCCGTCAAAATGAGGCAGGGACCTAGGTCTTTCTCTAAGGTATCCACAGGGGATTCAGACATCCCTTCATGTTGTGAGATGAAAGACGAGCCTGTATTCAAGCCACTGCAAGGAAATCGGGCCTCCTTTCAAGTTAGGGCTTCTCGCTGTATATTCCCCTTGAGGCAGCAAACTCGGGTCCCTCCCACATACCTATTGCTGAGAGAAGCCTCCTCCTGAGGTGCTTCTGGAAAGTTGGCATAAGTCTTGAGCCTAATCCAGGGAATCAGCTCTCATCTCGAGACGATTTGGGGTACACGGAGCATTCCTCAAGTTGCTGTGCTGAAGTTGGTGTTCCTCTAGACTTGGGACAGTGTTCTCGGGGCATCTCTGGAGTTGCCTGAAGGAAGTCGAGCCACCGGTCTTGTTGAATGGGGAACGGGGAATGGCTCTGGAGTCAATGCAGGGGAATCGGGCCTCATCTCGAGTTGATTTGGGGCACATGGAGCTGCTTTGCGTTGCTGGGGTGACCTCAGGGTCCGTCTAGACTGGTGACAGTGTTCTTGGGGACTGTCTCGAGATCCACTAAGCAAGTCGAAGCTCCTGACTTGTTTGAATGGGATCACGGGATAGCTCTGCATGCACTGCAGGGGAATGGGGCCTCATCTCGCCTCAAGGGGGAAGTCTCATGGATTTTCTCGAGTTGCGGTGGGGACCTGGGGTATGTTCTCGACTTACGGCGGGGATGGCCCTTCAAAACACGAGTTTCTTCAGTGACCTCAGGACTCCTGTCTTGTAACGAGGGACACCTCAGGAATATCTTCGAGGCTTGGCAGGGCAAAAGGGACGCTTCTCGAGGTGAGGCAGGGCACCCAAGGACCCTTTCCAGTAGCCACAGGGATTTTGGGAGTCCTATCATTATTCAAGAGGAGTCAGGCATCGTCACCTTTTGAAGCAATTTACTCCGCGTGCCTCTCGAGGTGTCAGCGGGATTTGAGGCATTCCGTCAAAATGAGGCAGGGACCTAGGGCCTTCTCTAAGGTCTCCACAGGGGATTCAGACATCCCTTCATGTTGTGAGATGAAAGACGAGCCTGTATTCAAGCCACTGCAAGGAAATCCGGCCTCCTTTCAAGTTAGGGCTTCTCGCTGTATATTCCCCTTGAGGCAGCAAACTCGGGGTCCCTTCCACATACCTATTGCTGAGAGAAGCCTCCTCCTGAGGTGCTTCTGGAAAGTTGGCATACGTCTTGAGCCTAAGCCCGGGAATCAGCTCTCATCTCGAGACGATTTGGGGTACACGGAGCATTCCTCGAGTTGCTGTGCTGAAGTTGTTGTTCCTCTAGACTTGGGACAGTGTTCTCGGGGCATCTCTGGAGTTGCCTGAAGGAAGTCGAGCCACCGGTCGTGTTGAATGGGGAACGGGGAATGGCTCTGGAGTCAATGCATGGGAATCGGGCCTCATCTCGAGTTGATTTGGGGCACATGGAGCTGCTTTGCGTTGCTGGGGTGACCTCAGGGTCCGTCTAGACTGGTGACAGTGTTCTTGGGGACTGTCTCGAGATCCATTAAGCAAGTCGAAGCTCCTGACTTGTTTGAATGGGATCACGGAATACCTCTGCATGCACTGCAGGGGAATGGGGCCTCATCTCGCCTCTAGGGGGAAGTCTCATGGTTTTTCTCGAGTTGCGGCGGGGACCTGGGGTATGTTCTTGACTTACGGCGGGGATGGCCCTTCAAAACACGAGTTTCTTCAGTGACGTCAGGACTCCTGTGTTGTAACGAGGGACAACTCAGGAATCTCTACGAGGCTTGGCAGGGCAAAAGGGACGCTTCTCGAGGTGAGGCAGGGCACCCAAGGACCCTTTCCAGAAGCCACAGGGATTTTGGGATTCCTATCAGTATTCAAGAGGAGTCAGGCATCGTCACCTTTTGAAGCAATGAACTCCGCGTGCCTCTCGAGGTATCAACGGGACGTGAGGCATTCCGTCAAAATGAGGCAGGGACCTAAGGCTTTCTCTAAGGTCTCCACAGGGGATTCAGACATCCCTTCATGTTGTGAGATGAAAGACCAGCCTGTATTCAAGCCACTGCAAGGAAATCCGGCCTCCTTTCAAGTTAGGGCTTCTCGCTGTATATTCCCCTTGAGGCACAAACTCGGGGTCCCTCCCACATACTTATTGCTGAGAGAAGCCTCCTCCTGAGGTGCTTCTGGAAAGTTGGCATACATCTTGAGCCTTGGCCAGGGAATCAGCTCTCATCTCGAGACGATTTGGGTTACACGAAGCATTCTTCCAGTTGCTGTGCTGAAGTTGGTGTTCCTCTATACTTGGGACCGTGTCCTCCGGGCATCTCTGGAGTTGCCTGAAGGAAGTCGAGCCACAGGTCGTGTTGAATGGGAAACGGGGAATGGCTCTGGAGTCAATGCAGGGGAATCGGGCCTCATCTCGAGTTGATTTGGGGCACATGGAGCTGCTTTGCGTTGCTGGGGTGACCTCAGTGTCCGTCTAGACTGGTGACAGTGTTCTTGGGGACTGTCTCGAGATCCATTAAGCAAGTCGAAGCTCCTGACTTGTTTGAATGGGATCACGGAATAGCTCTGCATGCACTGCAGGGGAATGGGGCCTCATCTCGCCTCTAGGGGGAAGTCTCATGGTTTTTCTCTAGTTGCGGCGGGGACCTGGGGTATGTTCTCGACTTACGGCGGGGATGGCCGTTCAAAACACGAGTTTCTTCAGTGACCTCAGGACTCCTGTCTAGTAACGAGGGACACCTCAGGAATCTCTTCGAGGCTTGGCAGGGCAAAAGGGACGCTTCTCGAAGTGAGGCAGGGCCCCCAAGGACCCTTTCCCGTAGCCACAGGGATTTTGGGATTCCTATCAGTATTCATGAGGAGTCAGGCATCGTCACCTTTTGAAGCAATGAACTCCGCGTGCCTCTCGAGGTGTCAGCGGGATGTGAGGCATTCCGTCAAAATGAGGCAGGGACCTAGGGCTTTCTCTAAGGTATCCACAGGGGATACAGACATCCCTTCATGTTGTGAGATGAAAGACGAGCCTGTATTCAAGCCACTGCAAGGAAATCCGGCCTCCTTTCAAGTTATGGCTTCTCGCTGTATATTTCCCTTGAGGCAGCAAACTCGGGGTCCCTCCCACATACCTATTGCTGGGAGAAGCCTCCTCCTGAGGTGCTTCTGGAAAGTTGGCATACGTCTTGAGCCTAAGCCAGGGAATCAGCTCTCATCTCTAGACGATTTGGGGTACACGGAGCATTCCTCAAGTGCTGTGCTGAGGTTGGTGTTCCTCTAGACTTGGGACACTGTTGTCGGGGCATCTCTGGAGTTGCCTGAAGGAAGTCGAGCCACCGGTCGTGTTGAATGGGGAACTGGGAATGGCTCTGGCCTCAATGCAGGCGAATGGAACCTCATCTCGAGTTGATTTGGGGCACATGGAGCTGCTTTGCTTTGCTGGGGTGACCTCAGGGTCCGTCTAGACTGGTGACAGTGTTCTTGGGGACTGTCTCAAGATCCATTAAGCAAGTCGAAGCTCCTGACTTGTTGGAATGGGATCACAGAATAGCTCTGCATGCACTGCAGCGGAATGGGACCTCATCTCGCCTCTAGGGGGAAGTCTCATGGTTTTTCTCGAGTTGCGGCGGGGACCTGGGGTATGTTCTCGACTTACGGCGGGGATGGCCCTTCAAAACACGAGTTTCTTCAGTGACGTCAGGACTCCTGTCTAGTAACGAGGGACACCTCAGGAATCTCTTCGAGGCTTGGCAGGGCAAAAGGGACGCTTCTCGAGGTGAGGCAGGGCACCCAAGGACCCTTTCCCGTAGCCACAGCGATTTGGGGATTCCTATCAGTATTCAAGAGGAGTCAGGCATCGTCACCTTTTGAAGCAATGAACTCCGCGTGCCTCTCGAGGTGTCAGCGGGATGTGAGGCATTCCGTCAAAATAAGGCAGAGACCTAGGTCTTTCTCTAAGGTCTCCACAGGGGATTCAGACATCCCTTCATGTTGTGAGATGAAAGACGAGCTGTATTCAAGCCACTGCAAGGAAATCCGGCCTCCTTTCAAGTTACGGCTTCTCGCTGTATATTCCCCTTGAGGCAGCAAACTCGGGGTCCCTCCCACATACCTATTGCTGAGAGAAGCCTCCTCCTGAGGTGCTTCTGGAAAGTTGGCATAAGTCTTGAGCCTAAGCCAGGGAATCAGCTCTCATCTCGAGACGATTTGGGGTACACGGAGCATTCCTCAAGTTGCTATGCTGAAGTTGGTTTTCCTCTAGACTTGGGACAGTGTTCTCGGGGCATCTCTGGAGTTGCCTGAAGGAAGTCGAGCCACCGGTCGTGTTGAATGGGGAACGGGGAATGGCTCTGGAGTGAATGCAGGGGAATCGGGCCTCATCTCGAGTTGATTTGGGACACATGGAGCTGCTTTGCGTTGCTGGGGTGACCTCAGGGTCCGTCTAGACTGGTGACAGTGTTCTTGGGGACTGTCTCGAGATCCACTAAGCAAGTCGAAACTCCTGACTTGTTTGAATGGGATCACGGGATAGCTCTGCATGCACTGCAGGGGAATCGGGCCTCATCTCGCCTCTAGGGGGAAGTCTCATGGTTTTTCTCGAGTTGCGGCGGGGACTTGGGGTATGTTCTCGACTTACGGCGGGGATGGCCCTTCAAAACACGAGTTTCTTCAGTGACGTCAGGACTCGTGTCTAGTAACGAGGGACACCTCAGGAATCTCTTCGAGGCTTGGCAGGGCAAAAGGGACGCTTCTCGAGGTGAGGCAGGGCACCCAAGGACCCTTTCCCGTAGCCACAGGGATTTTGGGATTCCTATCAGTATTCAAGAGGAGTCAGGCATCGTCACCTTTTGAAGCAATGAACTCAGCGTGCCTCTCGAGGTGTCAGCGGGACGTGAGGCATTCCGTCAAAATGAGGCAGGGACCTAGGGCTTTCTCTAAGGTCTCCACAGGGGATTCAGACATCCCTTCATGTTGTGAGATGAAAGACGAGCCTGTATTCAAGCCACTGCAAAGATATCCGGCCTCCTTTCATGTTAGGGCTTCTCGCGGTATATTCCCCTTGAGGCAGCAAACTTGGGGTCCCTCCCACATACCTATTGCTGAGAGAAGCCTCCTCCTGAGGTGCTTCTGGAAAGTTGGCATACGTCTTGAACCTAAGCCAGGGAATCAGCTCTCATCTCGAGACGATTTGGGGTACACGAAGCATTCCTCGAGTTGCTGTGCTGAAGTTGGTGTTCCTCTAGACTTGGGACAGTGTTCTCGGGGCATCTCTGGAGTTGCCTGAAGGAAGTCGAGCCACCGGTCGTGTTGAATGGGGAACGGGGAATGGCTCTGGAGTCAATGCAGGGGAATCGGGCCTCATCTCGAGTTGATTTGGGGCACATGGAGCTGCTTTGCGTTGCTGGGGTGACCTCAGGGTCCGTCTAGACTGGTGACAGTGTTCTTGGGGACTGTCTCGAGATCCATTAAGCAAGTCGAAACTCCTGACTGGTTTGAATGGGATCACGGAATAGCTCTGCATGCACTGCAGGGGAATGGGGCCTCATCTCGCCTCTAGGGGGAAGTCTCATGGTTTTTCTCGAGTTGCGGCGGGGACCTGGTGTATGTTCTCGACTTACGGCGGGGATGGCCCTTCAAAACACGAGTTTCTTCAGTGACGTCAGGACTCCTGTCTAGTAACGACGGACACCTCAGTAATCTCTAAGAGGCTTGGCAGGGCAAAAGGGACGCTTCTCGAGGTGAGGCAGGGCACCCAAGGACGCTTTCCCCTAGCCACAGGGATTTTGGGATTCCTATCAGTATTCAAGAGGAGTCAGGCATCGTCACCTTTTGAAGCAATGAACTCCGCGTGCTTCTCGAGGTGTCAGCGGGATGTGAGGCATTCCGTCAAAATGAGGCAGGGACCTAGGTCTTTCTCTAAGGTCTCCACAGGGGATTCAGACATCCCTTCATGTTGTGAGATGAAAGACGAGCCTGTATTCAAGCCACTGCAAGGAAATCCGGCCTCCTTTCAAGTTAGGGCTTCTCGCTGTATATTCCCCTTGAGGCAGCAAACTCGGGTCCCTCCCACATACCTATTGCTGAGAGAAGCCTCCTCCTTAGGTGCTTCTGGAAAGTTGGCATAAGTCTTGAGCCTAAGCCAGGGAATCAGCTCTCATCTCGAGACGATTTGGGGTACACGGAGCATTCCTCAAGATGCTGTGCTGAAGTTGGTGTTCCTCTAGACTTGGGACAGTGTTCTCGGGGCATCTCTGGAGTTGCCTGAAGGAAGTCGAACCACCGGTCGTGTTGAATGGGGAACGGGGAATGGCTCTGGAGTCAATGCAGGGGAATCGGGCCTCATCTCGAGTTGATTTGGGGCACATGGAGCTGCTTTGCGTTGCTGGGGTGACCTCAGGGTCCGTCTAGACTGGTGACAGTGTTCTTGGGGACTTTCTCGAGATCCATTAAGCAAGTCGAAGCTCCTGACTTGTTTGAATGGGATCACGGAATAGCTCTGCATGCACTGCAGGGGAATGGGGCCTCATCTCGCCTCTAGGGGGAAGTCTCATGGTTTTTCTCGAGTTTCGTTGGGGACCTGGGGTATGTTCTCGACTTAGGGCGGGGATGGCCCTTCAAAACACGAGTTTCTTCAGTGACGTCAGGACTCCTGTCTTGTAACGAGGGACACTTCAGGAATCTCTATGAGGCTTGGCAGGGCAAAAGGGACGCTTCTCGTGGTGAGGCAGGGTACCCAAGGACGCTTTCCCCTAGCCACAGCGATTTGGGGATTCCTATCAGTATTCAAGAGGAGTCAGGCATCGTCACCTTTTGAAGCAATGAACTCCGCGTGCCTCTCGAGGTGTCAGCGGGATGTGAGGCATTCCGTCAAAATGAGGCAGGGACCTAGGTCTTTCTCTAAGGTCTCCACAAGGGATTCAGACATCCCTTCATGTTGTGAGATGAAAGACGAGCTGTATTCAAGCCACTGCAAGGAAATCCGGCCTCCTTTCAAGTTAGGGCTTCTCGCTGTATATTCCCCTTGAGGCAGCAAACTCGGGTCCCTCCCACATACCTATTGCTGAGAGAAGCCTCCTCCTGAGGTGCTTCTGGAAAGTTGGCATAAGTCTTGAGCCTAAGCCAGGGAATCAGCTCTCATCTCGAGACGATTTGGGGTACACGGAGCATTCCTCAAGTTGCTGTGCTGAAGTTGGTTTTCCTCTAGACTTGGGACAGTGTTCTCGGGGCATCTCTGGAGTTGCCTGAAGGAAGTCGAGCCACCGGTCGTGTTGAATGGGGAACGGGGAATGGCTCTGGAGTGAATGCAGGGGAATCGGGCCTCATCTCGAGTTGATTTGGGACACATGGAGCTGCTTTGCGTTGCTGGGGTGACCTCAGGGTCCGTCTAGACTGGTGACAGTGTTCTTGGGGACTGTCTCGAGATCCACTAAGCAAGTCGAAGCTCCTGACTTGTTTGAATGGGATCACGGGATAGCTCTGCATGCACTGCAGGGGAATCGGGCCTCATCTCGCCTCAAGGGGGAAGTCTCATGGTTTTTCTCGAGTTGCGGCGGGGACTTGGGGTATGTTCTCGACTTACGGCGGGGATGGCCCTTCAAAACACGAGTTTCTTCAGTGACGTCAGGACTCGTGTCTAGTAACGAGGGACACCTCAGGAATCTCTTCGAGGCTTGGCAGGGCAAAAGGGACGCTTCTCGAGGTGAGGCAGGGCACCCAAGGACCCTTTCCCGTAGCCACAGGGATTTTGGGATTCCTATCAGTATTCAAGAGGAGTCAGGCATCGTCACCTTTTGAAGCAATGAACTCAGCGTGCCTCTCGAGGTGTCAGCGGGACGTGAGGCATTCCGTCAAAATGAGGCAGGGACCTAGGGCTTTCTCTAAGGTCTCCACAGGGGATTCAGACATCCCTTCATGTTGTGAGATGAAAGACGAGCCTGTATTCAAGCCACTGCAAAGATATCCGGCCTCCTTTCATGTTAGGGCTTCTCGCGGTATATTCCCCTTGAGGCAGCAAACTCGGGGTCCCTCCCACATACCTATTGCTGAGAGAAGCCTCCTCCTGAGGTGCTTCTGGAAAGTTGGCATACGTCTTGAACCTAAGCCAGGGAATCAGCTCTCATCTCGAGACGATTTGGGGTACACGAAGCATTCCTCGAGTTGCTGTGCTGAAGTTGGTGTTCCTCTAGACTTGGGACAGTGTTCTCGGGGCATCTCTGGAGTTGCCTGAAGGAAGTCGAGCCACCGGTCGTGTTGAATGGGGAACGGGGAATGGCTCTGGAGTCAATGCAGGGGAATCGGGCCTCATCTCGAGTTGATTTGGGGCACATGGAGCTGCTTTGCGTTGCTGGGGTGACCTCAGGGTCCGGCTAGACTGGTGACAGTGTTCTTGGGGACTGTCTCGAGATCCATTAAGCAAGTCGAAACTCCTGACTGGTTTGAATGGGATCACGGAATAGCTCTGCATGCACTGCAGGGGAATGGGGCCTCATCTCGCCTCTAGAGGGAAGTCTCATGGTTTTTCTCGAGTTGCGGCGGGGACCTGGTGTATGTTCTCGACTTACGGCGGGGATGGCCCTTCAAAACACGAGTTTCTTCAGTGACGTCAGGGCTCCTGTCTAGTAACGACGGACACCTCAGTAATCTCTAAGAGGCTTAGCAGGGCAAAAGGGACGCTTCTCGAGGTGAGGCAGGGCACCCAAGGACGCTTTCCCCTAGCCACAGGGATTTTGGGATTCCTATCAGTATTCAAGAGGAGTCAGGCATCGTCACCTTTTGAAGCAATGAACTCCGCGTGCTTCTCGAGGTGTCAGCGGGATGTGAGGCATTCCGTCAAAATGAGGCAGGGACCTAGGTCTTTCTCTAAGGTCTCCACAGGGGATTCAGACATCCCTTCATGTTGTGAGATGAAAGACGAGCCTGTATTCAAGCCACTGCAAGGAAATCCGGCCTCCTTTCAAGTTAGGGGTTCTCGCTGTATATTCCCCTTGAGGCAGCAAACTCGGGTCCCTCCCACATACCTATTGCTGAGAGATGCCTCCTCCTTAGGTGCTTCTGGAAAGTTGGCATAAGTCTTGAGCCTAAGCCAGGGAATCAGCTCTCATCTCGAGACGATTTGAGGTACACGGAGCATTCCTCAAGATGCTGTGCTGAAGTTGGTGTTCCTCTAGACTTGGGACAGTGTTCTCGGGGCATCTCTGGAGTTGCCTGAAGGAAGTCGAGCCACCGGTCGTGTTGAATGGGGAACGGGGAATGGCTCTGGAGTCAATGCAGGGGAATCGGGCCTCATCTCGAGTTGATTTGGGGCACATGGAGCTGCTTTGCGTTGCTGGGGTGACCTCAGGGTCCGTCTAGACTGGTGACAGTGTTCTTAGGGACTGTCTCGAGATCCACTAAGCAAGTCGAAGCTCCTGACTTGTTTGAATGGGATCACGGGATAGCTCTGCATGCACTGCAGGGGAATGGGGCCTCATCTCGCCTCAAGGGGGAAGTCTCATGGTTTTTCTCGAGTTGCGGGGGGACCTGGGGTATGTTCTCGACTTACGGCGGGGATGGCCCTTCAAAACCCGAGTTTCTTCAGTGACCTCAGGACTCCTGTCTTGTAACGAGGGACACCTCAGGAATCTCTTCGAGGCTTGGCAGGGCAAAAGGGACGCTTCTCGAGGTGAGGCAGGGCACCCAAGGACCCTTTCCAGTAGCCACAGGGATATTGGGAGTCCTATCATTATTCAAGAGGAGTCAGGCATCGTCACCTTTTGAAGCAATTTACTCCGCGTGCCTCTCGAGGTGTCAGCGGGATGTGAGGCATTCCGTCAAAATGAGGCAGGGACCTAGGGCCTTCTCTAAGGTCTCCACAGGGGATTCAGACATCCCTTCATGTTGTGAGATGAAAGACGAGCCTGTATTCAAGCCACTGCAAGGAAATCCGGCCTCCTTTCAAGTTAGGGCTTCTCGCTGTATATTCCCCTTGAGGCAGCAAACTCGGGGTCCCTTCCACATACCTATTGCTGAGAGAAGCCTCCTCCTGAGGTGCTTCTGGAAAGTTGGCATACGTCTTGAGCCTAAGCCAGGGAATCAGCTCTCATCTCGAGACGATTTGGGGTACACGGGGCATTCCTCGAGTTGCTGTGCTGAAGTTGTTGTTCCTCTAGCCTTGGGACAGTGTTCTCGGGGCATCTCTGGAGTTGCCTGAAGGAAGTCGAGCCACCGGTCGTGTTGAATGGGGAACGGGGAATGGCTCTGGAGTCAATGCATGGGAATCGGGCCTCATCTCGAGTTGATTTGGGGCACATGGAGCTGCTTTGCGTTGCTGGGGTGACCTCAGGGTCCGTCTAGACTGGTGACAGTGTTCTTGGGGACTGTCTCGAGATCCATTAAGCAAGTCGAAGCTCCTGACTTGTTTGAATGGGATCACGGGATAGCTCTGCATGCACTGCAGGGGAATGGGGCCTCATCTCGCCTGAAGGGGGAAGTCTCATGGTTTTTCTCGAGTTGAGGCGGGGACCTGGGGTATGTTCTCGACTACGGCGGGGATGGCCCTTCAAAACACGAGTTTCTTCAGTGACGTCAGGACTCCTGTCTAGTAACGAGGGACACCTCAGGAATCTCTTCGAGGCTTGGCAGGGCAAAAGGGACGCTTCTCGAGGTGAGGCAGGGCACGCAAGGACCCTTTCCCGTAGCCACAGGGATTTTGGGATTCCTATCAGTATTCAAGAGGAGTCAGGCATCGTCACCTTTTGAAGCAATGAACTCCGCGTGCCTCTCGAGGTGTCAGCGGGATGTGAGGCATTCCGTCAAAATGAGGCAGGGACCTAGGGCTTTCTCTAAGGTCTCCACAGGGGATTCAGACATCCCTTCATGTTGTGAGATGAAAGACAAGCCTGTATTCAAGCCACTGCAAGGAAATGCGGCCTCCTTTCAAGTTAGGACTTCTCGCTGTATATTCCCCTTGAGGCAGCAAACTCGGGGTCCCTTCCACATACCTATTGCTGAGAGAAGCCTCCTCCTGAGGTGCTTCTGGAAAGTTGGCATACGTCTTGAGTCTAATCCAGGGAATCAGCTCTCATCTCGAGACAATTTGGGGTACACGGAGCATTCCTCGAGTTGCTGTGCTGAAGTTGGTGTTCCTCTAGACTTGGGACAGTGTTCTCGGGGCATCTCTGGAGTTGCCTGAAGGAAGTCGAGCCACCGGTCGTGTTGAATGGGGAACGGGGAATGTCTCTGGAGTCAATGCAGGGGAATCGGGCCTCATCTCGAGTTGATTTGGGGCACATGGAGCTACTTTGCGTTGCTGGGGTGACATCTGGGTCCGTCTAGACTGGTGACAGTGTTCTTGGGGACTGTATCGAGATCCATTAAGCAAGTCGAAGCTCCTGACTTGTTTGAATGGGATCACGGAATAGCTCTGCATGCACTGCAGGGGAATGGGGCCTCATCTCGCCTCTAGGGGGAAGTCTCATGGTTTTTCTCGAGTTGCGGCGGGGACCTGGGGTATGTTCTCGACTTACGGCGGGGATGGCCCTTCAAAACACGAGTTTCTTCAGTGACGTCAGGACTCCTGTCTTGTAACGAGGGACACCTCAGTAATCTCTACGAGGCTTGGCAGGGCAAAAGGGACGCTTCTCGAGGTGAGGCAGGGTACCCAAGACCCTTTCCAGTAGCCACAGCGATTTTGGGATTCCTATCAGTATTCAAGAGGAGTCAGGCATCGTCACCTTTTGAAGCAATGAACTCCGCGTGCCTCTCGAGGTGTCAGTGGGATGTGAGGCATTCCGTCAAAATGAGGCAGGGACCTAGGGCCTTCTCTAAGGTCTCCACAGGGGATTCAGACATCCCTTCATGTTGTGAGATGAAAGACGAGCCTGTATTCAAGCCACTGCAAGGAAATCCGGCCTCCTTTCAAGTTAGGGCTTCTCGCTGTATATTCCCCTTGAGGCAGCAAACTCGGGGTCCCTTCCACATACCTATTGCTGAGAGAAGCCTCCTCCTGAGGTGCTTCTGGAAAGTTGGCATACGTCTTGAGCCTAAACCAGGGAATCAGCTTTCATCTCGAGACAATTTGGGGTACACGGAGCATTCCTCGAGTTGCTGTGCTGAAGTTGGTGTTCCTCTAGACTTGGGACAGTGTTCTCGGGGCATCTCTGGAGTTGCCTGAAGGAAGTCGAGCCACCGGTCGTGTTGAATGGCGAACGGGGAATGGCTCTGGAGTGAATGCAGGGGAATCGGGCCTCATCTCGAGTTGATTTGGGGCACATGGAGCTGCTTTGCGTTGCTGGGGTGACCTCAGGGTCCGTCTAGACTGGTGACAGTGTTCTTGGGGACTGTCTCGAGATCCATTAAGCAAGTCGAAGCTCCTGACTTGTTTGAATGGGATCACGGAATAGCTCTGCATGCACTGCAGGGGAATGGGGCCTCATCTCGCCTCTAGGGGGAAGTCTCATGGTTTTTCTCGAGTTGCGGCGGGGACCTGGTGTATGTTCTAGACTTACGGCGGGGATGGCCATTCAAAACACGAGTTTCTTCAGTGACGTCAGGACTCCTGTCTAGTAACGAGGGACACCTCAGGAATCTCTTCGAGGCTTGGCAGGGCAAAAGGGACGCTTCTCGAGGTGAGGCAGGGCACCCAAGGACCCTTTCCCGTAGCCACAGGGATTTTGGGATTCCTATCAGTATTCAAGAGGAGTCAGGCATCATCACCTTTTGAAGCAATGAACTCCGCGTGGCTCTCCAGGTGTCAGCGGGACGTGTGGCATTCCGTCAAAATGAGGCAGGGACCTAGGGCTTTCTCTAAGGTCTCCACAGGGGATTCAGACATCCCTTCATGTTGTGAGATGAAAGACGAGCCTGTATTCAAGCCACTGCAAGGAAATCCGGCCTCCTTTCAAGTTAGGGCTTCTCGCTGTATATTCCCCTTGAGGCAGCAAACTCGGGGTCCCTCCCACATAACTATTGCTGAGAGAAGCCTCCTCCTCAGGTGCTTCTGGAAAGTTGGCATAAGTCTTGAGCCTAAGCCAGGGAATCAGCTCTCATCTCGAGACGATTTCGGTTACACGAAGCATTCGTCGAGTTGCTGTGCTGAAGTTGGTGTTCCTCTAGACTTGGGACAGTGTTCTCGGGGCATCTCTGGAGTTGCCTGAAGGAAGTCGAGCCACCGGTCGTGTTGAATGGGGAACGGGGAATGGCTCTGGAGTCAATGCAGGGGAATCGGGCCTCATCTCGAGTTGATTTGGGGCACATGGAGCTGCTTTGCGTTGCTGGGGTGACCTCAGGGTCCGTCTAGACTGGTGACAGTGTTCTTGGGGACTGTCTCGAGATCCATTAAGCAAGTCGAAACTCCTGACTTGTTTGAATGGGATCACAGAATAGCTCTGCATGCACTGCAGGGGAATGGGGCCTCATCTCGCCTCTAGGGGGAAGTCTCATGGTTTTTCTCGAGTTGCGGCGGGGACCTGGTGTATGTTCTCGACTTACGGCGGGGATGGCCCTTCAAAACACGAGTTTCTTCAGTGACGTCAGGACTCCTGTCTAGTAACGAGGGACACCTCAGGAATCTCTTCGAGGCTTGGCAGGGCAAAAGGGACGCTTCTCGAGGTGAGGCAGGGCACCCAAGGACCCTTTCCCGTAGCCACAGGGATTTTGGGATTCCTAACAGTATTCAAGAGGAGTCAGGCATCGTCACCTTTTGAAGCAATGAACTTCGCGTGCCTCTCGAGGTGTCAGTGGGATGTGAGGCATTCCGTCAAAATGAGGCAGGGACCTAGGGCTTTCTCTAAGGTCTCCACAGGGGATTCAGACATCCCTTCATGTTGTGAGATGAAAGACGAGCCTGTATTCAAGCCACTGCAAGGAAATGCGGCCTCCTTTCAAGTTAGGGCTTCTCGCTGTATATTCCCCTTGAGGCAGCAAACTCGGGTCCCACCCACATACCTATTGCTGAAAGAAGCCTCCTCCTGAGGTGCTTCTGGAAAGTTGGCATAAGTCTTGAGCCTAAGCCAGGGATTCAGCTCTCATCTCGAGACGATTTGGGGTACAGAGAGCATTCCTCGAGTTGCTCTGCTGAAGTTGGTGTTCCTCTAGACTTGGGACAGTGTTCTCGGGGCATCTCTGGAGTTGCCTGAAGGAAGTCGAGCCACCGGTCGTGTTGAATGGGGAACGGGAAATGTCTCTGGAGTCAATGCAGGGGAATCGGGCCTCATCTCGAGTTGATTTGGGGCACATGGAGTTGCTTTGCGTTGCTGGGGTGACGTCAGGGTCCGTCTAGACTGGTGACAATGTTCTTGGGGACTGTCTCGAGATCCATTAAGCAAGTCGAAGCTCCTGACTTGTTTGAATGGGTTCACGGAATAGCTCTGCATGCACTGCAGGGGAATGGGGCCTCATCTCGCCTCTAGGGGGAAGTCTCATGGTTTTTCTCGATTTGCGGCGGGGACCTGGGGTATGTTCTCGACTTACGGCGGGGATGGCCCTTCAAAACACGAGTTTCTTCAGTGACCTCAGGACTCCTGTCTTGTAACGAGGGACACCTCAGGAATCTCTACGAGGCTTGGCAGGGCAAAAGGGACGCTTCTCCAGGTGAGGCAGGGTACCCAAGGACCCTTTCCAGTAGCCACATCGATTTTGGGATTCCTATCAGTATTCAAGAGGAGTCAGGCATCGTCACCTTTTGAAGCAATGAACTCCGCGTGCCTCTCGAGGTGTCAGTGGGATGTGAGGCATTCCGTCAAAATGAGGCAGGGACCTAGGGCTTTCTCTAAGGTCTCCACAGGGGATTCAGACATCCCTTCATGTTGTGAGATGAAAGACGAGCCTGTATTCAAGCCACTGCAAGGAAATGCGGCCTCCTTTCAAGTTAGGCCTTCTCGCTGTATATTCCCCTTGAGGCAACAAACTCGGGGTCCCTTCCACATACCTATTGCTGAGAGAAGCCTCCTCCTCAGGTGCTTCTGGAAAGTTGGCATACGTCTTGAGCCTAATCCAGGGAATCAGCTCTCATCTCGAGACAATTTGGGGTACATGGAGCATTCCTCGAGTTGCTGTGCTGAAGTTGGTGTTCCTCTAGACTTGGGACAGTGCTCTCGGGGCATCTCTGGAGTTGCCTGAAGGAAGTCGAGCCACCGGTCGTGTTGAATGGGGAACGGGGAATGGCTCTGGAGTCAATGCAGGGGAATCGGGCCTCATCTCGAGTTGATTTGGGGCACATGGAGCTGCTTTGCGTTGCTGGGGTGACCTCAGGGTCCGTCTAGACTGGTGACAGTGTTCTTGGGGACTGTCTCGAGATCCACTAAGCAAGTCGAAGCTCCTGACTTGTTTGAATGGGATCACGGGATAGCTCTGCATGCACTGCAGGGGAATGGGGCCTCATCTCGCCTCAAGGGGGAAGTCTCATGGTTTTTCTCGAGTTGCGGCGGGGACCTGGGGTATGTTCTCGACTTACGGCGGGGATGGCCCTTCAAAACACGAGTTTCTTCAGTGACCTCAGGACTCCTGTCTAGTAACGAGGGACACCTCAGGAATATCTTCGAGGCTTGGCAGGGCAAAAGGGACGCTTCTCGAGGTGAGGCAGGGCACCCAAGGACCCTTTCCAGTAGCCACAGGGATTTTGGGAGTCCTATCATTATTCAAGAGGAGTCAGGCATCGTCACCTTTTGAAGCAATTTACTCCGCGTGCCTCTCGAGGTGTTAGGGGGGTGTGAGGCATTCCGTCAAAATGAGGCAGGGACCTAGGGCCTTCTCTAAGGTCTCCACAGGGGATTCAGACATCCCTAAATGTTGTGAGATGAAAGACGAGCCTGTATTGAAGCCACTGCCAGGAAATCCGGCCTCCTTTCAAGTTAGGGCTTCTCGCTGTATATTCCCCTTGAGGCAGCAAACTCGGGGTCCCTTCCACATACATATTGCTGAGAGAAGCCTCCTCCTGAGGTGCTTCTGGAAAGTTGGCATACGTCTTGAGCCTAAACCAGGGAATCAGCTTTCATCTCGAGACAATTTGGGGTACACAGAGCATACCTCGAGTTGCTGTGCTGAAGTTGGTGTTCCTCTAGACTTGGGACAGTGTTCTCGGGGCATCTCTGGAGTTGCCTGAAGGAAGTCGAGCCACCGGTCGTGTTGAATGGGGAACGGGGAATGTCTCTGGAGTCAATGCAGGGGAATCGGGCCTCATCTCGAGTTGATTTGGGGCACATGGAGCTGCTTTGCGTTGCTGGGGTGACCTCAGGGTCCATCTAGACTGGTGACAGTGTTCTTGGGGACTGTCTCGAGATCCATTAAGCAAGTCGAAGAGCCTGACTTGTTTGAATGGGATCACGGAATAGCTCTGCATGCACTGCAGGGGAATGGGGCCTCATCTCGCCTCTAGGGGGAAGTCTCATGGTTTTTCTCGTGTTGCGGCGGGGACCTGGGGTATGTTCTCGACTTACGGCGGGGATGGCCCTTCAAAACACGAGTTTCTTCAGTGACGTCAGGACTCCTGTCTAGTAACGACGGACACCTCAGGAATCTCTAAGAGGCTTGGCAGGGCAAAAGGGACGCTTCTCGAGGTGAGACAGGGCACCCAAGGACGCTTTCCCCTAGCCACAGGGATTTTGGGATTCCTATCAGTATTCAAGAGGAGTCAGGCATCGTCACCTTTTGAAGCAATGAACTCCGCGTGCCTCTCGAGGTGTCAGCGGGATGTGAGGCATTCCATCAAAATGAGGCAGGGACCTAGGTCTTTCTCTAAGGTCTCCACAGGGGATTCAGACATCCCTTCATGTTGTGAGATGAAAGACGAGCCTGTATTCAAGCCACTGCAAGGAAATCCGGCCTCCTTTCAAGTTAGGGCTTCTCGCTGTATATTCCCCTTGAGGCAGCAAACTCGGGTCCCTCCCACATACCTATTGCTGAGAGAAGCCTCCTCCTGAGGTGCTTCTGGAAAGTTGGCATACGTCTTGAGAATAATCCAGGGAATCAGCTCTCATCTCGAGACGATTTGGGGTACACGGAGCATTCCTCAAGTTGCTGTGCTGAAGTTGGTGTTCCTCTAGACTTGGGACAGTGTTCTCGGGGCATCTCTGGAGTTGCCTGAAGGAAGTCGAGCCACCGGTCTTGTTGAATGGGGAACGGGGAATGGCTCTGGAGTCAATGCAGGGGAATCGGGCCTCATCTCGAGTTGATTTGGGGCACATGGAGCTGCTTTGCGTTGCTGGGGTGACCTCAGGGTCCGTCTAGACTGGTGACAGTGTTCTTGGGGACTGTCTCGAGATCCACTAAGCAAGTCGAAGCTCCTGACTTGTTTGAATCGGATCACGGAATAGCTCTGCATGCACTGCAGGGGAATGGGGCCTCATCTCGCCTCAAGGGGGAAGTCTCATGGTTTTTCTCGAGTTGCGGCGGGGACCTGGGGTATGTTCTCGACTTACGGCGGCGATGGCCCTTCAAAACACGAGTTTCTTCAGTTACCTCAGGACTCCTGTCTTGTAACGAGGGACACCTCAGGAATATCTTCGAGGCTTGGCAGGGCAAAAGGGACGCTTCTCGAGGTGAGGCAGGGCACCCAAGGACCCTTTCCAGTAGCCACAGGGATTTTGGGAGTCCTATCATTATTCAAGAGGAGTCAGGCATCGTCACCTTTTGAAGCAATTTACTCCGCGTGCCTCTCGAGGTGTCAGCGGGATGTGAGGCATTCCGTCAAAATGAGGCAGGGACCTAGGGCCTTCTCTAAGGTCTCCACAGGGGATTCAGACATCCCTTCATGTTGTGAGATGAAAGACGAGCCTGTATTCAAGCCACTGCAAGGAATCCGGCCTCCTTTCAAGTTAGGGCTTCTTGCTGTATATTCCCCTTGAGGCAGCAAACTCGGGGTCCCTTCCACATACCTATTGCTGAGAGAAGCCTCCTCCTGAGGTGCTTCTGGAAAGTTGGCATACGTCTTGAGCCTAAGCCAAGGAATCAGCTCTCATCTCGAGACGATTGGGGGTACACGGAGCATTCCTCGAGTTGCTGTGCTGAAGTTGTTGTTCCTCTAGCCTTGGGACAGTGTTCTCGGGGCATCTCTGGAGTTGCCTGAAGGAAGTCGAGCCACCGGTCGTGTTGAATGGGGAACGGGGAATGGCTCTGGAGTGAATGCAGGGGAATCGGGCCTCATCTCGAGTTGATTTGGGGCACATGCAGCTGCTTTGCGTTGCTGGGGTGACCTCAGGGTCCGTCTAGACTGGTGACAGTGTTCTTCGGGACTGTCTCGAGATCCATTAAGGAAGTCGAAGCTCCTGACTTGTTTGAATGGGATCACGGAATAGCTCTGCATGCACTGCAGGGGAATGGGGCCTCATCTCGCCTCTAGGGGGAAGTCACATGGTTTTTCTCGAGTTGCGGCGGGGACCTGGGGTATGTTCTCGACTTACGGCGGGGATGGCCCTTCAAAACACGAGTTTCTTCAGTGACGTCAGGACTCCTGTCTTGTAACGAGGGACACCTCAGGAATCTCTAAGAGGCTTGGCAGGGCAAAAGGGACGCTTCTCGAGGTGAGGCAGGGCACCCAAGGACGCTTTCCCCTAGCCACAGGGATTTTGGGATTCCTATCAGTATTCAAGAGGAGTCAGGCATCGTCACCTTTTGAAGCAATGAACTCCGCGTGCCTCTCGAGGTGTCAGCGGGATGTGAGGCATTCCGTCAAAATGAGGCAGGGACCTAGGGCTTTCTCTAAGGTCTCCACAGGGGATTCAGACATCCCTTCATGTTGTGAGATGAAAGACAAGCCTGTATTCAAGCCACTGCAAGGAAATGCGGCCTCCTTTCAAGTTAGGTCTTCTCGCTGTATATTCCCTTTGAGGCAGCAAACTCGGGGTCCCTTCCACATACCTATTGCTGAGAGAAGCCTCCTCCTGAGGTGCTTCTGGAAAGTTGGCATACGTCTTGAGCCTAATCCAGGGAATCAGCTCTCATCTCGAGACAATTTGGGGTACACGGAGCATTAGTCGAGTTGCTGTGCTGAAGTTGGTGTTCCTCTAGACTTGGGACAGTGTTCTCGGGGCATCTCTGGAGTTGCCTGAAGGAAGTCGAGCCACCGGTCGTGTTGAATGGGGAACGGGGAATGTCTCTGGAGTCAATGCACGGGAATCGGGCCTCATCTCGAGTTGATTTGGGGCACATGGAGCTGCTTTGCGTTGCTGGGGTGACCTCAGGGTCCGTCTAGACTGGTGACAGTGTTCTTGGGGACTGTCTCGAGATCCATTAAGCAAGTCGAAGCTCCTGACTTGTTTGAATGGGATCACGGAATAGCTCTGCATGCACTGCAGGGGAATGGGGCCTCATCTCGCCTCTAGGGGGAAGTCTCATGGTTTTTCTCGAGTTGCGGCGGGGACCTGGGGTATGTTCTCGACTTAGGGCGGGGATGGCCCTTCAAAACACGAGTTTCTTCAGTGACATCAGGACTCCTGTCTTGTAACGAGGGACACCTCAGGAATCTCTACGAGGCTTGGCAGGGCAAAACGGACGCTTCTCGAGGTGAGGCAGGGTACCCAAGGACCCTTTCCAGTAGCCACAGTGATTTTGGGATTCCTATCAGTATTCAAGAGGAGTCAGGCATCGTCACCTTTTGAAGCAATGAACTCCGCGTGCCTCTCGAGGTGTCAGTGGGATGTGAGGCATTCCGTCAAAATGAGGCAGGGACCTAGGGCTTTCTCTAAGGTCTCCACAGGGGATTCAGACATCCCTTCATGTTGTGAGATGAAAGACGAGCCTGTATTCAAGCCACTGCAAGGAAATGCGGACTCCTTTCAAGTTAGGGATTCTCGCTGTATATTCCCCTTGAGGCAGCAAACTCGGGGTCCCTTCCACATACCTATTGCTGAGAGAAGCCTCCTCCTGAGGTGCTTCTGGAAAGTTGGCATACGTCTTGAGCCTAATCCATGGAATCAGCTCTCATCTCGAGACAATTTGGGGTACACGGAGCATTCCTCGAGTTGCTGTGCTGAAGTTGGTGTTCCTCTAGACTTGGGACAGTGTTCTCGGGGCATCTCTGGAGTTGCCTGAAGGAAGTCGAGCCACCGGTCGTGTTGAATGGGGAACGGGGAATGGCTCTGGAGTGAATGCAGGGGAATCGGGCCTCATCTGGAGTTGATTTGGGGCACATGGAGCTGCTTTGCGTTGCTGGGGTGACCTCAGGGTCCGTCTAGACTGGTGACAGTGTTCTTGGGGACTGTCTCGAGATCCATTAAGCAAGTCGAAGCTCCTGACTTGTTTGAATGGGATCACGGAATAGCTCTGCATGCACTGCAGGGGAATGGGGCTTCATCTCGCCTCTAGGGGGAAGTCTCATGGTTTTTCTCGAGTTGCGGCGGGGACCTGGGGTATGTTCTCGACTTACGGCGGGGATGGCCCTTCAAAACACGAGTTTCTTCAGTGACGTCAGGACTCCTGTCTAGTAACGAGGGACACCTCAGGAATCTCTTCGAGGCTTGGCAGGGCCAAAGGGACGCTTCTCGAGGTGAGGCAGGGCACCCAAGGACGCTTTCCCCTAGCCACAGGGATTTTGGGATTCCTATCATTATTCAAGAGGAGTCAGGCATCGTCACCTTTTGAAGCAATGAACTCCGCGTGCCTCTCGAGGTGTCAGCGGGATGTGAGGCATTCCGTCAAAATGAGGCAGGGACCTAGGGCTTTCTCTAAGGTCTCCACAGGGGATTCAGACATCCCTTCATGTTGTGAGATGAAAGAAGAGCCTGTATTCAAGCCACTGCAAGGAAATCCGGCCTCCTTTCAAGTTAGGGCTTCTCGCTGTATATTCCCCTTGAGGCACAAACTCGGCGTCCCTCCCACATACTTATTGCTGAGAGAAGCCTCCTCCTGAGGTGCTTCTGGAAAGTTGGCATACGTCTTGAGCCTAATCCAGGGAATCAGCTCTCATCTCGAGACAATTTGGGGTACACGGAGCATTCCTCGAGTTGCTGTGCTGAAGTTGGTGTTCCTCTAGACTTGGGACCGTGTTCTCGGGGCATCTCTGGAGTTGCCTGAAGGAAGTCGAGCCACCGGTCGTGTTGAATGGGAAACGAGGAATGGCTCTGGAGTCAATGCAGGGGAATCGGGCCTCATCTCGAGTTGATTTGGGGCACATGGAGCTGCTTTGCGTTGCTGGGGTGACCTCAGGGTCCGTCTAGACTGGTGACAGTGTTCTTGGGGACTGTCTCGAGATCCATTAAGCAAGTCGAAGCTCCTGACTTGTTTGAATGGGATCACGGAATAGCTCTGCATGCACTGCAGGGGAATGGGGCCTCATCTCGCCTCTAGGGGGAAGTCTCATGGTTTTTCTCTAGTTGCGGCGGGGACCTGGGGTATGTTCTCGACTTACGGCGGGGATGGCCGTTCAAAACACGAGTTTCTTCAGTGACCTCAGGACTCCTGTCTAGTAACGAGGGACACCTCAGGAATCTCTTCGAGGCTTGGCAGGGCAAAAGGGACGCTTCTCGAGGTGAGGCAGGGCCCCCAAGGACCCTTTCCCGTAGCCACAGGGATTTTGGGATTCCTATCAGTATTCAAGAAGAGTCAGGCATCGTCACCTTTTGAAGCAATGAACTCCGCGTGCCTCTCGAGGTGTCAGCGGGATGTGAGGCATTCCGTCAAAATGAGGCAGGGACCTAGGGCTTTCTCTAAGGTATCCACAGGGGATTCAGACATCCCTTCATGTTGTGAGATGAAAGACGAGCCTGTATTCAAGCCACAGCAAGGAAATCCGGCCTCCTTTCAAGTTATGGCTTCTCGCTGTATATTTCCCTTGAGGCAGCAAACTCGGGGTCCCTCCCACATACCTATTGCTGGGAGAAGCCTCCTCCTGAGGTGCTTCTGGAAAGTTGGCATACGTCTTGAGCCTAAGCCAGGGAATCAGCTCTCATCTCTAGACGATTTGGGGTACACGGAGCATTCCTCAAGTGCTGTGCTGAGGTTGGTGTTCCTCTAGACTTGGGACACTGTTGTCGGGGCATCTCTGGAGTTGCCTGAAGGAAGTCGAGCCACCGGTCGTGTTGAATGGGGAACGGGGAATGGCTCTGGCCTCAATGCAGGCGAATGGAACCTCATCTCGAGTTGATTTGGGGCACATGGAGCTGCTTTGCTTTGCTGGGGTGACCTCAGGGTCCGTCTAGACTGGTGACAGTGTTCTTGGGGACTGTCTCAAGATCCATTAAGCAAGTCGAAGCTCCTGACTTGTTGGAATGGGATCACAGAATAGCTCTGCATGCACTGCAGCGGAATGGGACCTCATCTCGCCTCTAGGGGGAAGTCTCATGGTTTTTCTCGAGTTGCGGCGGGGACCTGGGGAATGTTCTCGACTTACGGCGGGGATGGCCCTTCAAAACACGAGTTTCTTCAGTGACGTCAGGACTCCTGTCTAGTAACGAGGGACACCTCAGGAATCTCTTCGAGGCTTGGCAGGGCAAAAGGGACGCTTCTCGAGGTGAGGCAGGGCACCCAAGGACCCTTTCCCGTAGCCACAGGGATTTTGGGATTCCTATCAGTATTCAAGAGGAGTCAGGCATCGTCACCTTTTGAAGCAATGAACTCCGCGTGCCTCTCGAGGGGTCAGCGGGACGTGAGGCATTCCGTCAAAATGAGGCAGGGACCTAAGGCTTTCTCTAAGGTCTCCACAGGGGATTCAGACATCCCTTCATGTTGTGAGATGAAAGACGAGCCTGTATTCAAGCCACTGCAAGGAAATCCGGCCTCCTTTCAAGTTAGGGCTTCTCGCTGTATATTTCCCTTGAGGCAGCAAACTCGGGGTCCCTCCCACGTAACTATTGCTGAGAGAAGCCTCCTCCTGAGGTGCTTCTGGAAAGTTTGCATACGTCTTGAGCCTAAGCCTGGGAATCAGCTCTCATCTCGAGACGATTTGGGTTACACGGAGCATTCCTCGAGTTGCTGTGCTGAAGTTGGTGTTCCTCTAGACTTGGGACAGTGTTCTCGGGGCATCTCTGGAGTTGCCTGAAGGAAGTCGAGCCACCGGTCGTGTTGAATGGGGAACGGGGAATGGCTCTGGAGTCAATGCAGGGGAATTGGGCCTCATCTCGAGTTGATTTGGGGCACATGGAGCTGCTTTGCGTTGCTGGGGTGACCTCAGGGTCCGTCTAGACTGGTGACAGTGTTCTTGGGGACTGTCTCGAGATCCATTAAGCAAGTCGAAACTCCTGACTGGTTTGAATGGGATCACGGAATAGCTCTGCATGCACTGCAGGGGAATGGGGCCTCATCTCGCCTCTAGGGGGAAGTCTCATGGTTTTTCTCGAGTTGCGGCGGGGACCTGGTGTATGTTCTCGACTTACGGCGGGGATGGCCCTTCAAAACACGAGTTTCTTCAGTGACGTCAGGACTCCTGTCTAGTAACGACGGACACCTCAGTAATCTCTAAGAGGCTTGGCAGGGCAAAAGGCACGCTTCTCGAGGTGAGGCAGGGCACCCAAGGACGCTTTCCCCTAGCCACAGGGATTTTGGGATTCCTATCAGTATTCAAGAGGAGTCAGGCATCGTCACCTTTTGAAGCAATGAACTCCGCGTGCTTCTCGAGGTGTCAGCGGGATGTGAGGCATTCCGTCAAAATGAGGCAGGGACCTAGGTCTTTCTCTAAGGTCTCCACAGGGGATTCAGACATCCCTTCATGTTGTGAGATGAAAGACGAGCCTGTATTCAAGCCACTGCAAGGAAATCCGGCCTCCTTTCAAGTTAGGGCTTCTCGCTGTATATTCCCCTTGAGGCAGCAAACTCGGGTCCCTCCCACATACCTATTGCTGAGAGAAGCCTCCTCCTTAGGTGCTTCTGGAAAGTTGGCATAAGTCTTGAGCCTAAGCCAGGGAATCAGCTCTCATCTCGAGACGATTTGGGGTACACGGAGCATTCCTCAAGATGCTGTGCTGAAGTTGGTGTTCCTCTAGACTTGGGACAGTGTTCTCGGGGCATCTCTGGAGTTGCCTGAAGGAAGTCGAGCCACCGGTCGTGTTGAATGGGGAACGGGGAATGGCTCTGGAGTCAATGCAGGGGAATCGGGCCTCATCTCGAGTTGATTTGGGGCACATGGAGCTGCTTTGCGTTGCTGGGGTGACCTCAGGGTCCGTCTAGACTGGTGACAGTGTTCTTGGGGACTGTCTCGAGATCCATTAAGCAAGTCGAAGCTCCTGACTTGTTTGAATGGGATCACGGAATAGCTCTGCATGCACTGCAGGGGAATGGGGCCTCATCTCGCCTCTAGGGGGAAGTCTCATGGTTTTTCTCGAGTTTCGTTGGGGACCTGGGGTATGTTCTCGACTTAGGGCGGGGATGGCCCTTCAAAACACGAGTTTCTTCAGTGACGTCAGGACTCCTGTCTTGTAACGAGGGACACTTCAGGAATCTCTATGAGGCTTGGCAGGGCAAAAGGGACGCTTCTCGAGGTGAGGCAGGGTACCCAAGGACGCTTTCCCCTAGCCACAGCGATTTGGGGATTCCTATCAGTATTCAAGAGGAGTCAGGCATCGTCACCTTTTGAAGCAATGAACTCAGCGTGCCTCTCGAGGTGTCAGCGGGACGTGAGGCATTCCGTCAAAATGAGGCAGGGACCTAGGGCTTTCTCTAAGGTCTCCACAGGGGATTCAGACATCCCTTCATGTTGTGAGATGAAAGACGAGCCTGTATTCAAGCCACTGCAAAGATATCCGGCCTCCTTTCATGTTAGGGCTTCTCGCGGTATATTCCCCTTGAGGCAGCAAACTCGGGTCCCTCCCACATACCTATTGCTGAGAGAAGCCTCCTCCTTAGGTGCTTCTGGAAAGTTGGCATAAGTCTTGATCCTAAGCCAGGGAATCAGCTCTCATCTCGAGACGATTTGGGGTACACGGGGCATTCCTCGAGTTGCTGTGCTGAAGTTGTTGTTCCTCTAGCCTTGGGACAGTGTTCTCGGGGCCTCTCTGGAGTTGCCTGAAGGAAGTCGAGCCAACGGTCGTGTTGAATGGGGAACGGGGAATGGCTCTGGAGTCAATGCATGGGAATCGGGCCTCATCTCGAGTTGATTTGGGGCACATGGAGCTGCTTTGCGTTGCTGGTGTGACCTCAGGGTCCGTCTAGACTGGTGACAGTGTTCTTGGGGACTGTCTCGAGATCCATTAAGCAAGTCGAAGCTCCTGACTTGTTTGAATGGGATCACAGGATAGCTCTGCATGCACTGCAGGGGAATGGGGCCTCATCTCGCCTCAAGGGGGAAGTCTCATGGTTTTTCTCGAGTTGAGGCGGGGACCTGGGGTATGTTCTCGACTACGGCGGGGATGGCCCTTCAAAACACGAGTTTCTTCAGTGACGTCAGGACTCCTGTCTAGTAACGAGGGACACCTCAGGAATCTCTTCGAGGCTTGGCAGGGCAAAAGGGACGCTTCTCGAGGTGAGGCAGGGCACGCAAGGACCCTTTCCCGTAGCCACAGGGATTTTGGGATTCCTATCAGTATTCAAGAGGAGTCAGGCATCGTCACCTTTTGAAGCAATGAACTTCGCGTGCCTCTCGAGGTGTCAGCGGGATGTGAGGCATTCCGTCAAAATGAGGCAGGGACCTAGGGCTTTCTCTAAGGTCTCCACAGGGGATTCAGACATCCCTTCATGTTGTGAGATGAAAGACAAGCCTGTATTCAAGCCACTGCAAGGAAATCCGGCCTCCTTTCAAGTTAGGGCTTCTCGCTGTATATTCCCCTTGAGGCAGCAAACTCGGGGTCCCTTCCACATACCTATTGCTGAGAGAAGCCTCCTCCTGAGGTGCTTCTGGAAAGTTGGCATACGTCTTGAGCCTAATCCAGGGAATCAGCTCTCATCTCGAGACAATTTGGGGTCCACGGAGCATTCCTCGAGTTGCTGTGCTGAAGTTGGTGTTCCTCTAGACTTGGGACAGTGTTCTCGGGGCATCTCTGGAGTTGCCTGAAGGAAGTCGAGCCACCGGTCGTGTTGAATGGGGAACGGGGAATGTCTCTGGAGTGAATGCAGGGGAATCGGGCCTCATCTGGAGTTGATTTGGGGCACATGGAGCTGCTTTGCGTTGCTGGGGTGACCTCAGGGTCCGTCTAGACTGGTGACAGTGTTCTTGGGGACTGTCTCGAGATCCATTAAGCAAGTCGAAGCTCCTGACTTGTTTGAATGGGATCACGGAATAGCTCTGCATGCACTGCAGGGGAATGGGGCCTCATCTCGCCTCTAGGGGGAAGTCTCATGGTTTTTCTCGAGTTGCGGCGGGGACCTGGTGTATGTTCTCGACTTACGGCGGGGATGGCCCTTCAAAACACGAGTTTCTTCAGTGACGTCAGGACTCCTGTCTAGTAACGACGGACACCTCAGGAATCTCTTCGAGGCTTGGCAGGGCAAAAGGGACGCTTCTCGAGGTGAGGCAGGGCACCCAAGGACCCTTTCCCGTAGCCACAGGGATTTTGGGATTCCTATCAGTATTCAAGAGGAGTCAGGCATCGTCACCTTTTGAAGCAATGAACTCCGCGTGCCTCTCGAGGTGTCAGTGGGATGTGAGGCATTCCGTCAAAATGAGGCAGGGACCTAGGGCTTTCTCTAAGGTCTCCACAGAGGATTCAGACATCCCTTCATGTTGTGAGATGAAAGACGAGCCTGTATTCAAGCCACTGCAAGGAAATCCGGCCTCCTTTCAAGTTAGGGCTTCTCGCTGTATATTCCCCTTGAGGCAGCAAACTCGGGGTCCCTCCCACATACCTATTGCTGAGAGAAGCCTCCTCCTCAGGTGCTTCTGGAAAGTTGGCATACGTCTTGAGCCTAAGCCAGGGAATCAGCTCTCATCTCGAGACGATTTCGGTTACACGGAGCATTCCTCGAGTTGCTGTGCTGAAGTTGGTGTTCCTCTAGACTTGGGACAGTGTTCTCGGGGCATCTCTGGAGTTGCCTGAAGGAAGTCGAGCCACCGGTCGTGTTGAATGGGGAACGGGGAATGTCTCTGGAGTCAATGCAGGGGAATCGGGCCTCATCTCGAGTTGATTTGGGGCACATGGAGCTGCTTTGCGTTGCTGGGGTGACCTCAGGGTCCGTCTAGACTGGTGACAGTGTTCTTGGGGACTGTCTCGAGATCCATTAAGCAAGTCGAAGCTCCTGACTTGTTTGAATGGGATCACGGAATAGCTCTGCATGCACTGCAGGGGAATGGGGCCTCATCTCGCCTCTAGGGGGAAGTCTCATGGTTTTTCTCGAGTTGCGGTGTGGACTTGGGGTATGTTCTCGACTTACGGCGGGGATGGCCCTTCAAAACACGAGTTTCTTCAGTGACGTCAGGTCTCGTGTCTAGTAACGAGGGACACCTCAGGAATCTCTTCGAGGCTTGGCAGGGCAAAAGGGACGCTTCTCGAGGTGAGGCAGGGTACCCAAGGACGCTTTCCCCTAGCCACAGGGATTTTGGGATTCCTATCAGTATTCAAGAGGAGTCAGGCATCGTCACCTTTTGAAGCAATGAACTCCGCGTGCCTCTCGAAGTGTCAGCGGGATGTGAGGCATTCCGTCAAAATGAGGCAGGGACCTAGGGCTTTCTCTAAGGTCTCCACAGGGGATTCAGACATCCCTTCATGTTGTGAGATGAAAGACGAGCCTGTATTCAAGCCACTGCAAGGAAATCCGGCCTCCTTTCAAGTTAGGGCTTCTCGCTGTAAATTCCCCTTGAGGCAGCAAACTCGGGGTCCCTCCCACATAACTATTGGTGACAGAAGCCTCCTCCTGAGGTGCTTCTGGAAAGTTGGCATACGTCTTGAGCCTAAGCCAGGGAATCAGCTCTCATCTCGAGACGATTTCGGTTACACGGAGCATTCCTCGAGTTGCTGTGCTGAAGTTGGTGTTCCTCTAGACTTGGGACAGTGTTCTCGGGGCATCTCTGGAGTTGCCTGAAGGAAGTCGACCAACCGGTCGTGTTGAATGGGGAACGGGGAATGTCTCTGGAGTCAATGCAGGGGAATCGGGCCTCATCTCGTGTTGATTTGGGGCACATGGAGCTGCTTTGCGTTGCTGGGGTGACCTCAGGGTCCGTCTAGACTTGTGACAGTGTTCTTGGGGACTGTCTCGAGATCCATTAAGCAAGTCGAAGCTCCTGACTTGTTTGAATGGGATCACGGAATAGCTCTGCATGCACTGCAGGGGAATGGGGCCTCATCTCGCCTCTAGGGGGAAGTCTCATGGTTTTTCTCGAGTTGCGGCGGGGACCTGGGGTATGTTCTCGACTTACGGCGGGGATGGCCCTTCAAAACACGAGTTTCTTCAGTGACGTCAGGACTCCTGTCTTGTAACGAGGGACACCTCAGGAATCTCTACGAGGCTTGGCAGGGCAAAAGGGACGCTTCTCCAGGTGAGGCAGGGTACCCAAGGACCCTTTCAAGTAGACACAGCGATTTTGGGATTCCTATCAGTATTCAAGAGGAGTCAGGCATCGTCACCTTTTGAAGCAATGAACTCCGCGTGCCTCTCGAGGTGTCAGTGGGATGTGAGGCATTCCGTCAAAATGAGGCAGGGACCTAGGGCTTTCTCTAAGGTCTCCACAGGGGATTCAGACATCCCTTCATGTTGTGAGATGAAAGACGAGCCTGTATTCAAGCCACTGCAAGGAAATGCGGACTCCTTTCAAGTTAGGGATTCTCGCTGTATATTCCCCTTGAGGCAGCAAACTCGGGGTCCTTCCACATACCTATTGCTGAGAGAAGCCTCCTCCTGAGGTGCTTCTGGAAAGTTGGCATACGTCTTGAGCCTAAGCCAGGGAATCAGCTCTCATCTCGAGACAATTTGGGGTACATGGAGCATTCCTCGAGTTGCTGTGCTGAAGTTGGTGTTCCTCTAGACTTGGGACAGTGTTCTCGGGGCATCTCTGGAGTTGCCTGAAGGAAGTCGAGCCACCGGTCGTGTTGAATGGGGAACGGGGAATGGCTCTGGAGTGAATGCAGGGGAATCGGGCCTCATCTCGAGTTGATTTGGGGCACATGGAGCTGCTTTGCGTTGCTGGGGTGACCTCAGGGTCCGTCTAGACTGGTGACAGTGTTCTTGGGGACTGTCTCGAGATCCATTAAGCAAGTCGAAGCTCCTGACTTGTTTGAATGGGATCACGGAATAGCTCTGCATGCACTGCAGGGGAATGGGGCCTCATCTCGCCTCTAGGGGGAAGTCTCATGGTTTTTCTCGAGTTGAGGCGGGGACCTGGGGTATGTTCTCGACTTACGGCGGGGATGGCCCTTCAAAACACGAGTTTCTTCAGTGACGTCAGGACTCCTGTCTAGTCACGACGGACACCTCAGGAATCTCTAAGAGGCTTGGCAGGGCAAAAGGGACGCTTCTCGAGGTGAGGCAGGGCTCCCAAGTACGCTTTCCCCTAGCCACAGCGATTTTGGGATTCCTATCAGTATTCAAGAGGAGTCAGGCATCGTCACCTTTTGAAGCAATGAACTCCGCGTGCCTCTCGAGGTGTCAGCAGGATGTGAGGCATTCTGTCAAAATGAGGCAGGGACCTAGGGCTTTCTCTAATATCTCCACAGGGGATTCAGACATCCCTTAATGTTGTGAGATGAAAGACGAGCCTGTATTCAAGCCACTGCAAGGAAATCCGGCCTCCTTTCAAGTTAGGGCTTCTCGCTGTATATTCCCCTTGAGGCACAAACTCAGGGTCCCTCCCATATTCTTATTGCTGAGAGAAGCCTCCTCCTGAGGTGCTTCTGGAAAGTTGGCATACGTCTTGAGCGTTGGCCAGGGAATCAGCTCTCATCTCGAGACGATTTGGGTTACACGAAGCATTCGTCGAGTTGCTGTGCTGAAGTTGGTGTTCCTCTAGACTTGGGACAGTGTTCTCGGGGCATCTCTGGAGTTGCCTGAAGGAAGTCGAGCCACCGGTCGTGTTGAATGGGGAACGGGGAATGGCTCTGGAGTCAATGCAGGGGAATCGGGCCTCATCTCGAGTTGATTTGGGGCACATGGAGCTGCTTTGCATTGCTGGGGTGACCTCAGGGTCCGTCTAGACTGGTGACAGTGTTCTTGGGGACTGTCTCGAGATCCATTAAGCAAGTCGAAACTCCTGACTTGTTTGAATGGGATCACAGAATAGCTCTGCATGCACTGCAGGGGAATGGGGCCTCATCTCGCCTCTAGGGGGAAGTCTCATGGTTTTTCTCGAGTTGCGGCGGGGACCTGGTGTATGTTCTCGACTTACGGCGGGGATGGTCCTTCAAAACACGAGTTTCTTCAGTGACGTCAGGACTCCTGTCTAGTAACGAGGGACACCTCAGGAATCTCTTCGAGGCTTGGCAGGGCAAAAGGGACGCTTCTCGAGGTGAGGCAGGGCACCCAAGGACCCTTTCCCGTAGCCACAGGGATTTTGGGATTCCTAACAGTATTCAAGAGGAGTCAGGCATCGTCACCTTTTGAAGCAATGAACTTCGCGTGCCTCTCGAGGTGTCAGTGGGATGTGAGGCATTCCGTCAAAATGAGGCAGGGACCTAGGGCTTTCTCTAAGGTCTCCACAGGGGATTCAGACATCCCTTCATGTTGTGAGATGAAAGACGAGCCTGTATTCAAGCCACTGCAAGGAAATGCGGCCTCCTTTCAAGTTAGGGCTTCTCGCTGTATATTCCCCTTGAGGCAGCAAACTCGGGTCCCACCCACATACCTATTGCTGAAAGAAGCCTCCTCCTGAGGTGCTTCTGGAAAGTTGGCATAAGTCTTGAGCCTAAGCCAGGGATTCAGCTCTCATCTCGAGACGATTTGGGGTACAGAGAGCATTCCTCGAGTTGCTCTGCTGAAGTTGGTGTTCCTCTAGACTTGGGACAGTGTTCTCGGGGCATCTCTGGAGTTGCCTGAAGGAAGTCGAGCCACCGGTCGTGTTGAATGGGGAACGGGGAATGTCTCTGGAGTCAATGCAGGGGAATCGGGCCTCATCTCGAGTTGATTTGGGGCACATGGAGTTGCTTTGCGTTGCTGGGGTGACGTCAGGGTCCGTCTAGACTGGTGACAGTGTTCTTGGGGACTGTCTCGAGATCCATTAAGCAAGTCGAAGCTCCTGACTTGTTTGAATGGGTTCACGGAATAGCTCTGCATGCACTGCAGGGGAATGGGGCCTCATCTCGCCTCTAGGGGGAAGTCTCATGGTTTTTCTCGATTTGCGGCGGGGACCTGGGGTATGTTCTCGACTTACGGCGGGGATGGCCCTTCAAAACACGAGTTTCTTCAGTGACGTCAGGACTCCTGTCTTGTAACGAGGGACACCTCAGGAATCTCTACGAGGCTTGGCAGGGCAAAAGGGACGCTTCTCCAGGTGAGGCAGGGTACCCAAGGACCCTTTCCAGTAGCCACATCGATTTTGGGATTCCTATCAGTATTCAAGAGGAGTCAGGCATCGTCACCTTTTGAAGCAATGAACTCCGCGTGCCTCTCGAGGTGTCAGTGGGATGTGAGGCATTCCGTCAAAATGAGGCAGGGACCTAGGGCTTTCTCTATGGTCTCCACAGGGGATTCAGACATCCCTTCATGTTGTGAGATGAAAGACGAGCCTGTATTCAAGCCACTGCAAGGAAATCCGGCCTCCTTTCAAGTTAGGGCTTCTCGCTGTATATTCCCCTTGAGGCAACAAACTCGGGGTCCCTTCCACATACCTATTGCTGAGAGAAGCCTCCTCCTCAGGTGCTTCTGGAAAGTTGGCATACGTCTTGAGCCTAATCCAGGGAATCAGCTCTCATCTCGAGACAATTTGGGGTACATGGAGCATTCCTCGAGTTGCTGTGCTGAAGTTGGTGTTCCTCTAGACTTGGGACAGTGCTCTCGGGGCATCTCTGGAGTTGCCTGAAGGAAGTCGAGCCACCGGTCGTGTTGAATGGGGAACGGGGAATGGCTCTGGAGTCAATGCAGGGGAATCGGGCCTCATCTCGAGTTGATTTGGGGCACATGGAGCTGCTTTGCGTTGCTGGGGTGACCTCAGGGTCCGTCTAGACTGGTGACAGTGTTCTTGGGGACTGTCTCGAGATCCACTAAGCAAGTCGAAGCTCCTGACTTGTTTGAATGGGATCACGGGATAGCTCTGCATGCACTGCAGGGGAATGGGGCCTCATCTCGCCTCAAGGGGGAAGTCTCATGGTTTTTCTCGAGTTGCGGCGGGGACCTGGGGTATGTTCTCGACTTACGGCGGGGATGGCCCTTCAAAACACGAGTTTCTTCAGTGACCTCAGGACTCCTGTCTAGTAACGAGGGACACATCAGGAATCTCTTTGAGGCTTGGCAGGGCAAAAGGGACGCTTCTCGAGGTGAGGCAGGGCACCCAAGGACCCTTTCCAGTAGCCACAGGGATTTTGGGAGTCCTATCATTATTCAAGAGGAGTCAGGCATCGTCACCTTTTGAAGCAATTTACTCCGCGTGCCTCTCGAGGTGTCAGGGGGGTGTGAGGCATTCCGTCAAAATGAGGCAGGGACGTAGGGCCTTCTCTAAGGTCTCCACAGGGGATTCAGACATCCCTAAATGTTGTGAGATGAAAGACGAGCCTGTATTGAAGCCACTGCCAGGAAATCCGGCCTCCTTTCAAGTTAGGGCTTCTCGCTGTATATTCCCCTTGAGGCAGCAAACTCGGGGACCCTTCCACATACCTATTGCTGAGAGAAGCCTCCTCCTGAGGTGCTTCTGGAAAGTTGGCATACGTCTTGAACCTAAGCCAGGGAATCAGCTCTCATCTCGAGACGATTTGGGGTACACGGAGCATTCCTCGAGTTGCTGTGCTGAAGTTGTTGTTCCTCTAGCCTTGGGACAGTGTTCTCGGGGCATCTCTGGAGTTGCCTGAAGGAAGTCGAGCCACCGGTCGTGTTGAATGGGGAACGGGGAATGGCTCTGGAGTCAATGCATGGGAATCGGGCCTCATCTCGAGTTGATTTGGGGCACATGGAGCTGCTTTGCGTTGCTGGGGTGACCTCAGGGTCCGTCTAGACTGGTGACAGTGTTCTTGGGGACTGTCTCGAGATCCATTAAGCAAGTGGAAACTCCTGACTTGTTTGAATGGGATCACGGGATAGCTCTGCATGCACTGCAGGGGAATGTGGCCTCATCTCGCCTCAAGGGGGAAGTCTCATGGTTTTTCTCGTTTTGAGGCGGGGACCTGGGCTATGTTCTCGACTTACGGCGGGGATGGCCCTTCAAAACACGAGTTTCTTCAGTGACGTCAGGACTCCTGTCTAGTAACGAGGGACACCTCAGGAATCTCTTCGAGGCTTGGCAGGGCAAAAGGGACGCTTCTCGAGGTGAGGCAGGGCACCCAAGGACCCTTTCCCGTAGCCACAGGGATTTTGGGATTCCTATCAGTATTCAAGAGGAGTCAGGCATCGTCACCTTTTGAAGCAATGAACTCCGCGTGCCTCTCGAGGTGTCAGTGGGATGTGAGGCATTCCGTCAAAATGAGGCAGGGACCTAGGGCTTTCTCTAATGTCTCCACAGGGGATTCAGACATCCCTTCATGTTGTGAGATGAAAGACGAGCCTGTATTCAAGCCACTGCAAGGAAATCCGGCCTCCTTTCAAGTTAGGGCTTCTCGCTGTATATTCCCCTTGAGGCAGCAAACTCGGGGTCCCTTCCACATACATATTGCTGAGAGAAGCCTCCTCCTGAGGTGCTTCTGGAAAGTTGGCATACGTCTTGAGCCTAATTCAGGGAATCAGCTCTCATCTCGAGACAATTTGGGGTACACAGAGCATACCTCGAGTTGCTGTGCTGAAGTTGGTGTTCCTCTAGACTTGGGACAGTGTTCTCGGGGCATCTCTGGAGTTGCCTGAAGGAAGTCGAGCCACCGGTCGTGTTGAATGGGGAACGGGGAATGTCTCTGGAGTCAATGCAGGGGAATCGGGCCTCATCTCGAGTTGATTTGGGGCACATGGAGCTGCTTTGCGTTGCTGGGGTGACCTCAGGGTCCATCTAGACTGGTGACAGTGTTCTTGGGGACTGTCTCGAGATCCATTAAGCAAGTCGAAGAGCCTGACTTGTTTGAATGGGATCACGGAATAGCTCTGCATGCACTGCAGGGGAATGGGGCCTCATCTCGCCTCTAGGGGGAAGTCTCATGGTTTTTCTCGAGTTGCGGCGGGGACCTGGGGTATGTTCTCGACTTACGGCGGGGATGGCCCTTCAAAACAAGAGTTTCTTCAGTGACGTCAGGACTCCTGTCTAGTAATGACGGACACCTCAGGAATCTCTAAGAGGCTTGGCAGGGCAAAAGGGACGCTTCTCGAGGTGAGGCAGGGCACCCAAGGACGCTTTCCCCTAGCCACAGGGATTTTGGGATTCCTATCAGTATTCAAGAGGAGTCAGGCATCGTCACCTTTTGAAGCAATGAACTCCGCATGCCTCTCGAGGTGTCAGCGGGATGTGAGGCATTCCATCAAAATGAGGCAGGGACCTAGGTCTTTCTCTAAGGTCTCCACAGGGGATTCAGACATCCCTTCATGTTGTGAGATGAAAGACGAGCCTGTATTCAAGCCACTGCAAGGAAATCCGGCCTCCTTTCAAGTTAGGGCTTCTCGCTGTATATTCCCCTTGAGGCAGCAAACTCGGGTCCCTCCCACATACCTATTGCTGAGAGAAGCCTCCTCCTGAGGTGCTTCTGGAAAGTTGGCATACGTCTTGAGCCTAATCCAGGGAATCAGCTCTCATCTCGAGACGATTTGGGGTACACGGAGCATTCCTCAAGTTGCTGTGCTGAAGTTGGTGTTCCTCTAGACTTGGGACAGTGTTCTCGGGGCATCGCTGGAGTTGCCTGAAGGAAGTCGAGCCACCGGTCTTGTTGAATGGGGAACGGGGAATGGCTCTGGAGTCAATGCAGGGGAATCGGGCCTCATCTCGAGTTGATTTGGGGCACATGGAGCTGCTTTGCGTTGCTGGGGTGACCTCAGGGTCCGTCTAGACTGGTGACAGTGTTCTTGGGGACTGTCTCGAGATCCACTAAGCAAGTCGAAGCTCCTGACTTGTTTGAATCGGATCACGGAATAGCTCTGCATGCACTGCAGGGGAATGGGGCCTCATCTCGCCTCAAGGGGGAAGTCTCATGGTTTTTCTCGAGTTGCGGCGGGGACCTGGGGTATGTTCTCGACTTACGGCGGGGATGGCCCTTCAAAACACGAGTTTCTTCAGTTACCTCAGGACTCCTGTCTTGTAACGAGGGACACCTCAGGAATATCTTCGAGGCTTGGCAGGGCAAAAGGGACGCTTCTCGAGGTGAGGCAGGGCACCCAAGGACCCTTTCCAGTAGCCACAGGGATTTTGGGAGTCCTATCATTATTCAAGAGGAGTCAGGCATCGTCACCTTTTGAAGCAATTTACTCCGCGTGCCTCTCGAGGTGTCAGCGGGATGTGAGGCATTCCGTCAAAATGAGGCAGGGACCTAGGTCCTTCTCTAAGGTCTCCACAGGGGATTCAGACATCCCTTCATGTTGTGAGATGAAAGACGAGCCTGTATTCAAGCCACTGCAAGGAAATCCGGCCTCCTTTCAAGTTAGGGCTTCTTGCTGTATATTCCCCTTGAGGCAGCAAACTCGGGGTCCCTTCCACATACCTATTGCTGAGAGAAGCCTCCTCCTGAGGTGCTTCTGGAAAGTTGGCATACGTCTTGAGCCTAATCCAGGGAATCAGCTCTCATCTCGAGACGATTGGGGGTACACGGAGCATTCCTCGAGTTGCTGTGCTGAAGTTGTTGTTCCTCTAGCCTTGGGACAGTGTTCTCGGGGCATCTCTGGAGTTGCCTGAAGGAAGTCGAGCCACCGGTCGTGTTGAATGGGGAACGGGGAATGGCTCTGGAGTGAATGCAGGGGAATCGGGCCTCATCTCGAGTTGATTTGGGGCACATGGAGCTGCTTTGCGTTGCTGGGGTGACCTCAGGGTCCGTCTAGACTGGTGACAGTGTTCTTGGGGACTGTCTCGAGATCCATTAAGCAAGTCGAATCTCCTGACTTGTTTGAATGGGATCACGGAATAGCTCTGCATGCACTGCAGGGGAATGGGGCCTCACCTCGCCTCTAGGGGGAAGTCACATGGTTTTTCTCGAGTTGCGGCGGGGACCTGGGGTATGTTCTCGACTTACGGCGGGGATGGCCGTTCAAAACACGAGTTTCTTCAGTGACGTCAGGACTCCTGTCTAGTAACGAGGGACACCTCAGGAATCTCTAAGAGGCTTGGCAGGGCAAAAGGGACGCTTCTCGAGGTGAGGCAGGGCACCCAAGGACGCTTTCCCCTAGCCACAGGGATTTTGAGATTCCTATCAGTATTCAAGAGGAGTCAGGCATCGTCACCTTTTGAAGCAATGAACTCCGCGTGCCTCTCGAGGTGTCAGCGGGATGTGAGGCATCCCGTCAAAATGAGGCAGGGACCTAGGGCTTTCTCTAAGGTCTCCACAGGGGATTCAGACATCCCTTCATGTTGTGAGATGAAAGACAAGCCTGTATTCAAGCCACTGCAAGGAAATGCGGCCTCCTTTCAAGTTAGGGCTTCTCGCTGTATATTCCCCTTGAGGCAGCAAAATCGGGGTCCCTTCCACATACCTATTGCTGAGAGAAGCCTCCTCCTGAGGTGCTTCTGGAAAGTTGGCATACGTCTTGAGCCTAATCCAGGGAATCAGCTCTCATCTCGAGACAATTTGGGGTACACGGAGCATTAGTCGAGTTGCTGTGCTGAAGTTGGTGTTCCTCTAGACTTGGGACAGTGTTCTCGGGGCATCTCTGGAGTTGCCTGAAGGAAGTCGAGCCACCGGTCGTGTTGAATGGGGAACGGGGAATGTCTCTGGAGTCAATGCACGGGAATCGGGCCTCATCTCGAGTTGATTTGGCGCACATGGAGCTGCTTTGCGTTGCTGGGGTGACCTCAGGGTCCGTCTAGACTGGTGACAGTGTTCTTGGGGACTGTCTCGAGATCCATTAAGCAAGTCGAAGCTCCTGACTTGTTTGAATGGGATCACGGAATAGCTCTGCATGCACTGCAGGGGAATGGGGCCTCATCTCGCCTCTAGGGGGAAGTCTCATGGTTTTTCTCGAGTTGAGGCGGGGACCTGGGGTATGTTCTCGACTTACGGCGGGGATGGCCCTTCAAAACACGAGTTTCTTCAGTGACGTCAGGACTCCTGTCTTGTAACGAGGGACACCTCAGGAATCTCTAAGAGGCTTGGCAGGGCAAAAGGGACGCTTCTCGAGGTGAGGCAGGGCACCCAAGGACGCTTTCCCCTAGCCACAGGGATTTTGGGATTCCTATCAGTATTCAAGAGGAGTCAGGCATCGTCACCTTTTGAAGCAATGAACTCCGCGTGCCTCTCGAGGTGTCAGCGGGATGTGAGGCATTCCGTCAAAATGAGGCAGGGACCTAGGGCTTTCTCTAAGGTCTCCACAGGGGATTCAGACATCCCTTCATGTTGTGAGATGAAAGACAAGCCTGTATTCAAGCCACTGCAAGGAAATGCGGCCTCCTTTCAAGTTAGGGCTTCTCGCTGTATATTCCCCTTGAGGCAGCAAACTCGGGGTCCCTTCCACATACCTATTGCTGAGAGAAGCCTCCTCCTGAGGTGCTTCTGGAAAGTTGGCATACGTCTTGAGCCTAATCCAGGGAATCAGCTCTGATCTCGAGACAATTTGGGGTACACGGAGCATTAGTCGAGTTGCTGTGCTGAAGTTGGTGTTCCTCTAGAGTTGGGACAGTGTTCTCGGGGCATCTCTGGAGTTGCCTGAAGGAAGTCGAGCCACCGGTCGTGTTGAATGGGGAACGGGGAATGTCTCTGGAGTCAATGCACGGGAATCGGGCCTCATCTCGAGTTGATTTGGGGCACATGGAGCTGCTTTGCGTTGCTGGGGTGACCTCAGGGTCCGTCTAGACTGGTGACAGTGTTCTTGGGGACTGTCTCGAGATCCATTAAGCAAGTCGAAGCTCCTGACTTGTTTGAATGGGATCACGGAATAGCTCTGCATGCACTGCAGGGGAATGGGGCCTCATCTCGCCTCTAGGGGGAAGTCTCATGGTTTTTCTCGAGTTGCGGCGGGGACCTGGGGTATGTTCTCGACTTAGGGCGGGGATGGCCCTTCAAAACACGAGTTTCTTCAGTGACGTCAGGACTCCTGTCTTGTAACGCGGGACACCTCAGGAATCTCTACGAGGCTTGGCAGGGCAAAACGGACGCTTCTCGAGGTGAGGCAGGGTACCCAAGGACCCTTTCCAGTAGCCACAGTGATTTTGGGATTCCTATCAGTATTCAAGAGGAGTCAGGCATCGTCACCTTTTGAAGCAATGAACTCCGCGTTCCTCTCGAGGTGTCAGTGGGATGTGAGGCATTCCGTCAAAATGAGGCAGGGACCTAGGGCTTTCTCTAAGGTCTCCACAGGGGATTCAGACATCCCTTCATGTTGTGAGATGAAAGACGAGCCTGTATTCAAGCCACTGCAAGGAAATGCGGACTCCTTTCAAGTTAGGGATTCTCGCTGTATATTCCCCTTGAGGCAGCAAACTCGGGGTCCCTTCCACATACCTATTGCTGAGAGAAGCCTCCTCCTGAGGTGCTTCTGGAAAGTTGGCATACGTCTTGAGCCTAAGCCAGGGAATCAGCTCTCATCTCGAGACAATTTGGGGTACACGGAGCATTCCTCGAGTTGCTGTGCTGAAGTTGGTGTTCCTCTAGACTTGGGACAGTGTTCTCGGGGCATCTCTGGAGTTGCCTGAAGGAAGTCGAGCCACCGGTCGTGTTGAATGGGGAACGGGGAATGGCTCTGGAGTGAATGCAGGGGAATCGGGCCTCATCTGGAGTTGATTTGGGGCACATGGAGCTGCTTTGCGTTGCTGGGTTACCTCAGGGTCCGTCTAGACTGGTGACAGTGTTCTTGGGGACTGTCTCGAGATCCATTAAGCAAGTCGAAGCTCCTGACTTGTTTGAATGGGATCACGGAATAGCTCTGCATGCACTGCAGGGGAATGGGGCTTCATCTCGCCTCTAGGGGGAAGTCTCATGGTTTTTCTCGAGTTGCGGCGGGGACCTGGGGTATGTTCTCGACTTACGACTGGGATGGCCCTTCAAAACACGAGTTTCTTCAGTGACGTCAGGACTCCTGTCTAGTAACGAGGGACACCTCAGGAATCTCTAAGAGGCTTGGCAGTTCAAAAGGGACGCTTCTCGAGGTGAGGCAGGGCACCCAAGGACGCTTTCCCCTAGCCACAGGGATTTTGGGATTCCTATCAGTATTCAAGAGGAGTCAGGCATCGTCACCTTTTGAAGCAATGAACTCCGCGTGCCTCTCGAGGTGTCAGCGGGATGTGAGGCATTCCGTCAAAATGAGGCAGGGACCTAGGGCTTTCTCTAAGGTCTCCACAGGGGATTCAGACATCCCTTCATGTTGTCAGATGAAAGAAGAGCCTGTATTCAAGCCACTGCAAGGAAATCCGGCCTCCTTTCAAGTTAGGGCTTCTCGCTGTATATTCCCCTTGAGGCACAAACTCGGCGTCCCTCCCACATACTTATTGCTGAGAGAAGCCTCCTCCTGAGGTGCTTCTGGAAAGTTGGCATACGTCTTGAGCCTAATCCAGGGAATCAGCTCTCATCTCGAGACAATTTGGGGTACACGGAGCATTCCTCGAGTTGCTGTGCTGAAGTTGGTGTTCCTCTAGACTTGGGACAGTGTTCTCGGGGCATCTCTGGAGTTGCCTGAAGGAAGTCGAGCCACCGGTCGTGTTGAATGGGGAACGGGGAATGGCTCTGGAGTCAATGCAGGGGAATCGGGCCTCATCTGGAGTTGATTTGGGGCACATGGAGCTGCTTTGCGTTGCTGGGGTGACCTCAGGGTCCGTCTAGACTGGTGACAGTGTTCTTGGGGACTGTCTCGAGATCCATTAAGCAAGTCGAAGCTCCTGACTTGTTTGAATGGGATCACGGAATAGCTCTGCATGCACTGCAGGGGAATGGGGCTTCATCTCGCCTCTAGGGGGAAGTCTCATGGTTTTTCTCGAGTTGAGGCGGGGACCTGGGGTATGTTCTCGACTTACGGCGGGGATGGCCCTTCAAAACACGAGTTTCTTCAGTGACGTCAGGACTCCTGTCTAGTAACGAGGGACACCTCAGGAATCTCTAAGAGGCTTGGCAGTTCAAAAGGGACGCTTCTCGAGGTGAGGCAGGGCACCCAAGGACGCTTTCCCCTAGCCACAGGGATTTTGGGATTCCTATCAGTATTCAAGAGGAGTCAGGCATCGTCACCTTTTGAAGCAATGAACTCCGCGTGCCTCTCGAGGTGTCAGCGGGATGTGAGGCATTCCGTCAAAATGAGGCAGGGACCTAGGGCTTTCTCTAAGGTCTCCACAGGGGATTCAGACATCCCTTCATGTTGTGAGATGAAAGAAGAGCCTGTATTCAAGCCACTGCAAGGAAATCCGGCCTCCTTTCAAGTTAGGGCTTCTCGCTGTATATTCCCCTTGAGGCAGCAAACTCGGGTCCCTCCCACAAACCTATTGCTGAGAGAAGCCTCCTCCTGAGGTGCTTCTGGAAAGTTGGCATACGTCTTGAGCCTAATCCAGGGAATCAGCTCTCATCTCGAGACGATTTGGGGTACACGGAGCATTCCTCAAGTTGCTGTGCTGAAGTTGGTGTTCCTCTAGACTTGGGACAGTGTTCTCGGGGCATCTCTGGAGTTGCCTGAAGGAAGTCGAGCCACCGGTCGTGTTGAATGGGGAACGGGGAATGGCACTGGAGTCAATGCAGGGGAATCGGGCCTCATCTCGAGTTGATTTGGGGCACATGGAGCTGCTTTGCGTTGCTGGGGTGACCTCAGGGTCCGTCTAGACTGGTGACAGTGTTCTTGGGGACTGTCTCGAGATCCACTAAGCAAGTCGAAGCTCCTGACTTGTTTGAATGGGATCACGGAATAGCTCTGCATGCACTGCAGGGGAATGGGGCCTCATCTCGCCTCAAGGGGGAAGTCTCATGGTTTTTCTCGAGTTGCGGCGGGGACCTGGGGTATGTTCTCGACTTACGGCGGGGATGGCCCTTCAAAACACGAGTTTCTTCAGTGACCTCAGGACTCCTGTCTTGTAACGAGGGACACCTCAGGAATCTCTTCGAGGCTTGGCAGGGCAAAAGGGACGCTTCTCGAGGTGAGGCAGGGCACCCAAGGACCCTTTCCAGTAGCCACAGGGATTTTGGGAGTCCTATCATTATTCAAGAGGAGTCAGGCATCGTCACCTTTTGAAGCAATTTACTCCGCGTGCCTCTCGAGGTGTCAGCGGGATGTGACGCATTCCGTCAAAATGAGGCAGGGACCTAGGGCCTTCTCTAAGGTCTCCACAGGGGATTCAGACATCCCTTCATGTTGTGAGATGAAAGACGAGCCTGTATTCAAGCCACTGCAAGGAAATCCGGCCTCCTTTCAAGTTAGGGCTTCTTGCTGTATATTCCCCTTGAGGCAGCAAACTCGGGGTCCCTTCCACATACCTATTGCTGACAGAAGCCTCCTCCTGAGGTGCTTCTGGAAAGTTGGCATACGTCTTGAGCCTAAGCCAGGGAATCAGCTCTCATCTCGAGACAATTTGGGGTACACGGAGCATTCCTCGAGTTGCTGTGCTGAAGTTGGTGTTCCTCTAGACTTGGGACAGTGTTCTCGGGGCATCTCTGGAGTTGCCTGAAGGAAGTCGAGCCACCGGTCGTGTTGAATGGGGATCGGGGAATGGCTCTGGAGTCAATGCAGGGGAATCGGGCCTCATCTCGAGTTGATTTGGGGCACATGGAGCTGCTTTGCGTTGCTGGGGTGACCTCAGGGTCCGTCTAGACTGGTGACAGTGTTCTTGGGGACTGTCTCGAGATCCATTAAGCAAGTCGAAACTCCTGACTTGTTTGAATGGGATCACAGAATAGCTCTGCATGCACTGCAGGGGAATGGGGCCTCATCTCGCCTCTAGGGGGAAGTCTCATGGTTTTTCTCGAGTTGCGGCGGGGACCTGGTATATGTTCTCGACTTACGGCGGGGATGGACCTTCAAAACACGAGTTTCTTCAGTGACGTCTGGTCTCCTGTCTAGTAACGATGGACACCTCAGGAATCTCTAAGAGGCTTGGCAGGGCAAAAGGGACGCTTCTCGAGGTGAGGCAGGGCACCCAAGGACGCTTTCCCCTAGCCACAGGGATTTTGGGATTCCTATCAGTATTCAAGAGGAGTCAGGCATCGTCACCTTTTGAAGCAATGAACTCCGCGTGCTTCTCGAGGTGTCAGCGGGATGTGAGGCATTCCGTCAAAATGAGGCAGGGACCTAGGTCTTTCTCTAAGGTCTCCACAGGGTATTCAGACATCCCTTCATGTTGTGAGATGAAAGACGAGCCTGTATTCAAGCCACTGCAAGGAAATCCGGCCTCCTTTCAAGTTAGGGCTTCTCGCTGTATATTCCCCTTGAGGCAGCAAACTCGGGTCCCTCCCACATACCTATTGCTGAGAGAAGCCTCCTCCTGAAGTGCTTCTGGAAAGTTGGCATAAGTCTTGAGCCTAAGCCAGGGAATCAGCTCTCATCTCGAGACGATTTGGGGTACACGGAGCATTCCTCAAGATGCTGTGCTGAAGTTGGTGTTCCTCTAGACTTGGGACAGTGTTCTCGGGGCATCTCTGGAGTTGCCTGAAGGAAGTCGAGCCACCAATCTTGTTGAATGGGGAACGGGGAATGGCTCTGGAGTCAATGCAGGGGAATCGGGCCTCATCTCGAGTTGATTTGGGGCACATGGAGCTGCTTTGCGTTGCTGGGGTGACCTCAGGGTCCGTCTAGACTGGTGACAGTGTTCTTAGGGACTGTCTCGAGATACACTAAGCAAGACGAAGCTCCTGACTTGTTTGAATGTGATCACGGGATAGCTCTGCATGCACTGCAGGGGAATGGGGCCTCATCTCGCCTCAAGGGGGTAGTCTCATGGTTTTTCTCGAGTTCAGGCGGGGACCTGGGGTATGTTCTCGACTTACGGCGGGGATGGCCCTTCAAAACACGAGTTTCTTCAGTGACCTCAGGACTACTGTCTTGTAACGAGGGACACCTCAGGAATCTCTTCGAGGCTTGGCAGGGCCAAAGGGACACTTCTCGAGGTGAGGCAGGGCACCCAAGGACCCTTTCCAGTAGCCACAGGGATTTTGGGAGTCCTATCATTATTCAAGAGGAGTCAGGCATCGTCACCTTTTGAAGCAATTTACTCCGCGTGCCTCTCGAGGTGTCAGCGGGCTGTGAGGCATTCCGTCAACATGAGGCAGGGACTTAGGGCCTTCTCTACGGTCTCCACAGGGGATTCAGACATCCCTTCATGTTGTGAGATGAAAGACGAGCCTGTATTCAAGCCACTGCAAGGTATTCCGGCCTCCTTTCAAGTTAGGGCTTCTCGCTGTATATTCCCCTTGAGGCAGCAAACTCGGGGTCCCTTCCACATACCTATTGCTGAGAGAAGCCTCCTCCTGAGGTGCTTCTGGAAAGTTGGCATACGTCTTGAGCCTAAGCCAGGGAATCAGCTCTCATCTCGAGACGATTTGGGGTACACGGAGCATTCCTCAAGTTGCTGTGCTGAAGTTGGTGTTCCTCTAGACTTGGGACAGTGTTCTCGGGGCATCTCTGGAGTTGCCTGAAGGAAGTCGAGCCACCGGTTGTGTTGAATGGGGAACGGGGAATGGCTCTGGAGTCAATGCATGGGAATCGGGCCTCATCTCGAGTTGATTTGGGGCACATGGAGCTGCTTTGCGTTGCTGGGGTGACCTCAGGGTCCGTCTAGACTGGTGACAGTGTTCTTGGGGATTGTCTCGAGATCCATTAAGCAAGTCGAAGCTCCTGACTTGTTTGAATGGGATCACGGAATAGCTCTGCATGCACTGCAGGGGAATGGGGCCTCATCTCGCCTCTAGGGGGAAGTCTCATGGTTTTTCTCGAGTTGCGGCGGGGACCTGGGGTATGTTCTCGACTTACGGCGGGGATGGCCCTTCAAAACACGAGTTTCTTCAGTGACGTCAGGACTCCTGTCTAGTAACGAGGGACACCTCAGGAATCTCTAAGAGGCTTGGCAGGGCAAAAGGGACGCTTCTCGAGGTGAGGCAGGGCACCCAAGGACGCTTTCCCCTAGCCACAGGGATTTTGGGATTCCTATCAGTATTCAAGAGGAGTCAGGCATCATCACCTTTTGAAGCAATGAACTCCGCGTGCCTCTCGAGGTGTCAGCGGGATGTGAGGCATTCCGTCAAAATGAGGCAGGGAACTAGGGCTTTCTCTAAGGTCTCCACAGGGGATTCAGACATCCCTTCATGTTGTGAGATGAAAGACGAGCCTGTATTCAAGCCACTGCAAGGAAATCCGGCCTCCTTTCAAGTTAGGGCTTCTCGCTGTATATTCCCCTTGAGGCACAAACTCGGGGTCCCTCCCACATACTTATTGCTGAGAGAAGCCTCCTCCTGAGGTGCTTCTGGAAAGTTGGCATACGTCTTGAGCGTTGGCCAGGGAATCAGCTCTCATCTCGAGACGATTTGGGTTACACGAAGCATTCGTCGAGTTGCTGTGCTGAAGTTGGTGTTCCTCTAGACTTGGGACAGTGTTCTCGGGGCATCTCTGGAGTTGCCTGAAGGAAGTCGAGCCACCGGTCGTGTTGAATGGGGAACGGGGAATGGCACTGGAGTCAATGCAGGGGAATCGGGCCTCATCTCGAGTTGATTTGGGGCACATGGAGCTGCTTTGCGTTGCTGGGGTGACCTCAGGGTCCGTCTAGACTGGTGACAGTGTTCTTGGGGACTGTCTCGAGATCCCTTAAGCAAGTCGAAACTCCTGACTTGTTTGAATGGGATCACAGAATAGCTCTGCATGCACTGCAGGGGAATGGGGCCTCATCTCGCCTCTAGGGGGAAGTCTCATGGTTTTTCTCGAGTTGCGGCGGGGACCTGGTGTATGTTTTCGACTTACGGCGGGGATTGCCCTTCAAAACACGAGTTTCTTCAGTGACGTCAGGACTCCTGTCTAGTAACGACGGACACCTCAGGAATCTCTAAGAGGCTTGGCAGGGCAAAAGGGACGCTTCTCAAGGTGAGTCAGGGCACCCAAGGACGCTTTCCGCTAGCCACAGGGATTTTGGGATTCCTATCAGTATTCAAGAGGAGTCAGGCATTGTCACCTTTTGAAGCAATGAACTCCGCGTGCCTCTCGAGGTGTCAGCGGGATGTGAGGCATTCCGTCAAAATGAGGCAGGGACCTAGGTCTTTCTCTAAGGTCTCCACAGGGGATTCAGACATCCCTTAATGTTGTGAGATGAAAGACGAGCCTGTATTCAAGCCACTGCAAGGAAATCCGGCCTCCTTTCAAGTTAGGGCTTCTCGCTGTATATTCCCCTTGAGGCAGCAAACTCGGGTCCCTCCCACATACCTTTTGCTGAGAGAAGCCTCCTCCTGAGGTGCTTCTGGAAAGTTGGCATAAGTCTTGAGCCTAAGCCAGGGAATCAGCTCTCATCTCGAGATGATTTGGGGTACACGGAGCATTCCTCGAGTTGCTGTGCTGAAGTTGGTGTTCCTCTAGACTTGGGACAGTGTTCTCGGGGCATCTCTGGAGTTGCCTGAAGGAAGTCGAGCCACCGGTCTTGTTGAATGGGGAATGGGGAATGGCTCTGGAGTCAATGCAGGGGAATCGGGCCTCATCTCGAGTTGATTTGGGGCACATGGAGCTGCTTTGCGTTGCTGGGGTGACCTCAGGGTCCGTCTAGACTGGTGACAGTGTTCTTAGGGACTGTCTCGAGATCCACTAAGCAAGTCGAAGCTCCTGACTTGTTTGAATGGGATCACGGGATAGCTCTGCATGCACTGCAGGGGAATGGGGCCTCATCTCGCCTCTAGGGGGAAGTCTCATGGTTTTTCTCGAGTTGCGGCGGGGACCTGGGGTATGTTCTCGACTTACGGCGGGGATGGCCCTTCAAAACACGAGTTTCTTAAGTGACTTCAGGACTCCTGTCTTGTAACGAGGGACACCTCAGGAATCTCTACGAGGCTTGGCAGGGCAAAAGGGACGCTTCTCGAGGTGAGGCAGGGTACCCAAGGACCCTTTCCAGTAGCCACAGGGATTTTGGGATTCCTATCAGTATTCAAGATGAGTCAGGCATCGTCACCTTTTGAAGCAATGAACTCAGCGTGCCTCTGGAGGTGTCAGTGGGATGTGAGGCATTCCGTCAAAATGAGGCAGGGACCTAGGGCTTTCTCTAAGGTCTCCACAGGGGATTCAGACATCCCTTCATGTTGTGAGATGAAAGACGAGCCTGTATTCAAGCCACTGCAAGGAAATGCGGCCTCCTTTCAAGTTAGGGCTTCTCGCTGTATATTCCCCTTGAGGCAGCAAACTCGGGGTCCCTTCCACATACCTATTGCTGAGAGAAGCCTCCTCCTGAGGTGCTTCTGGAAAGTTGGCATACGTCTTGAGCCTAATCCAGGGAATCAGCTCTCATCTTGAGACAATTTGGGGTACACGGAGCATTCCTCGAGTTGCTGTGCTGAAGTTGGTGTTCCTCTAGACTTGGGACAGTGTTCTCGGGGCATCTCTGGACTTGCCTGAAGGAAGTCGAGCCACCGGTCGTGTTGAATGGGGAACGGGGAATGGCTCTGGAGTGAATGCAGGGGAATCGGGCCTCATCTCGAGTTGATTTGGGGCACATGGAGCTGCTTTGCGTTGCTGGGGTAACCTCAGGGTCCGTCTAGACTGGTGACAGTGTTCTTGGGGACTGTCTCGAGATCCATTAAGCAAGTCGAAGCTCCTGACTTGTTTGAATGGGATCACGGAATAGCTCTGCATGCACTGCAGGGGAATGGGGCCTCATCTCGCCTCTAGGGGGAAGTCTCATGGTTTTTCTCGAGTTTCGTTGGGGACCTGGGGTATGTTCTCGACTTAGGGCGGGGATGGCCCTTCAAAACACGAGTTTCTTCAGTGACGTCAGGACTCCTGTCTAGTAACGAGGGACACTTCAGGAATCTCTAAGAGGCTTGGCAGGGCAAAAGGGACGCTTCTCGAGGTGAGGCAGGGTACCCAAGGACGCTTTCCCCTAGCCACAGCGATTTTGGGATTCCTATCAGTATTCAAGAGGAGTCAGGCATCGTCACCTTTTGAAGCAATGAACTCCGCGTGCCTCTCGAGGTGTCAGCGGGATGTGAGGCATTCCGTCAAAATGAGGCAGGGACCTAGGTCTTTCTCTAAGGTCTCCACAGGGGATTCAGACATCCCTTCATGTTGTGAGATGAAAGACGAGCCTGTATTCAAGCCACTGCAAGGAAATCCGGCCTCCTTTCAAGTTAGGGCTTCTCGCTGTATATTCCCCTTGAGGCAGCAACCTCGGGTCCCTCCCACATACCTATTGCTGAGAGAAGCCTCCTCCTGAGGTGCTTCTGGAAAGTTGGCATAAGTCTTGAGCCTAAGCCAGGGAATCAGCTCTCATCTCGAGACGATTTGGGGTACACGGAGCATTCCTCAAGTTGCTGTGCTGAAGTTGGTGTTCCTCTAGACTTGGGACAGTGTTTTCGGGGCATCTCTGGAGTTGCCTGAAGGAAGTCGAGCCACCGGTCGTGTTGAATGGGGAACGGGGAATGGCTCTGGAGTGAAGGCAGGGGAATCGGGCCTCATCTCGAGTTGATTTGGGGCACATGGAGCTGCTTTGCGTTGCTGGGGTGACCTCAGGGTCCGTCTAGACTGGTGACAGTGTTCTTGGGGACTGTCTCGAGATCCACTAAGCAAGTCGAAGCTCCTGACTTGTTTGAATGGGATCACGGGATAGCTCTGCATGCACTGCAGGGGAATGGGGCCTCATCTCGCCTCAAGGGGGAAGTCTCATGGTTTTTCTCGAGTTGCGGCGGGGACCTGGCGTATGTTCTCGATTACGGCGGGGATGGACCTTCAAAACACGAGTTTCTTCAGTGACGTCAGGACTCCTGTCTAGTAACGAGGGACACCTCAGGAATCTCTTCGAGGCTTGGCAGGGCAAAAGGGACGCTTCTTGAAGTGAGGCAGGGCACCCAAGGACCCTTTCCCGTAGCCACAGGGATTTTGGGATTCCTATCAGTATTCAAGAGGAGTCAGGCATCGTCACCTTTTGAAGCAATGAACTCCGCGTGCCTCTCGAGGTGTCAGCGGGATGTGAGGCATTCCGTCAAAATGAGGCAGGGACCTAGGGCTTTCTCTAAGGTCTCCACAGGGGATTCAGACATCCCTTCATGTTGTGAGATGAAAGACGAGCCTGTATTCAAGCCACTGCAAGGAAATGCGGCCTCCTTTCAAGTTAGGGCTTCTCGCTGTATATTCCACTTGAGGCAGCAAACTCGGGGTCCCTTCCACATACCTATTGCTGAGAGAAGCCTCCTCCTGAGGTGCTTCTGGAAAGTTGGCATATGTCTTGAGCCTAATCCAGGGAATCAGCTCTCATCTCGAGACAATTTGGGGTACACGGAGCATTCCTCGAGTTGCTGTGCTGAAGTTGGTGTTCCTCTAGACTTGGGACCGTGTTCTCGGGGCATCTCTGGAGTTGCCTGAAGGAAGTCGAGCCACCGGTCGTGTTGAATGGGGAACGGGGAATGGCTCTGGAGTGAATGCAGGGGAATCGGGCCTCATCTCGAGTTGATTTGGGGCACATGGAGCTGCTTTGCGTTGCTGGGGTGACCTCAGGGTCTGTCTAGACTGGTGACAGTGTTCTTGGGGACTGTCTCGAGATCCATTAAGCAAGTCGAAGCTCCTGACTTGTTTGAATGGGATCACGGAATAGCTCTGCATGCACTGCAGGGGAATGGGGCCTCATCTCGCCTCTAGGGGGAAGTCTCATGGTTTTACTCTAGTTGCGGCGGGGACCTGGGGTATGTTCTCGACTTACGGCGGGGATGGCCCTTCAAAACACGAGTTTCTTCAGTGACCTCAGGACTCCTGTCTAGTAATGAGGGACACCTCAGGAATCTCTTCGAGGCTTGGCAGGGCAAAAGGGACGCTTCTCGAGGTGAGACAGGGCACCCAAGGACCCTTTCCCGTAGCCACAGGGATTTTGGGATTCCTATCAGTATTCAAGAGGAGTCAGGCATCGTCACCTTTTGAAGCAATGAACTCCGCGTGCCTCTCGAGGTGTCAGCGGGATGTGAGGCATTCCGTCAAAATGAGGCAGGGACCTAGGGCTTTCTCTAAGGTATCCACAGGGGATTCAGACATCCCTTCATGTTGTGAGATGAAAGACGAGCCTGTATTCAAGCCACTACAAGGAAATCCGGCCTCCTTTCAAGTTATGGCTTCTCACTGTATATTCCCCTTGAGGCAGCAAACTCGGGGTCCCTCCCACATACCTATTGCTGAGAGAAGCCTCCTCCTGAGGTGCTTCTGGAAAGTTGGCATACGTCTTCAGCCTAAGCCAGGGAATCAGCTCTCATCTCTAGACGATTTGGGGTACATGGAGCATTCCTCAAGTGCTGTGCTGAGGTTGGTGTTCCTCTAGACTTGGGACACTGTTGTCTGGGCATCTCTGGAGTTGCCTGAAGGAAGTCGAGCCACCGGTCGTGTTGAATGGGGAACGGGGAATGGCTCTGGTGTCAATGCATGCGAATGGGACCTCATCTAGAGTTGATTTGGGGCACATGGAGCTGCTTTGCTTTGCTGGGGTGACCTCAGGGTCCGTCGAGACTGGTGACAGTGTTCTTGGGGACTGTCTCGAGATCCATTAAGCAAGTCGAAGCTCCTGACTTGTTGGAATGGGATCACGGAATAGCTCTGCATGCACTGCAGGGGAATGGGACCTCATCTCGCCTCTAGGGGGAAGTCTCATGGTTTTTCTCGAGTTGCGGCGGGGACCTGGGGTATGTTCTCGACTTAAGGCGGGGATGGCCCTTCAAAACACGAGTTTCTTCAGTGACGTCAGGACTCCTGTCTAGTAACGAGGGACACCTCAGGAATCTCTTCGAGGCTTGGCAGGGCAAAAGGGACGCTTCTCGAGGTGAGGCAGGGCACCCAAGGACCCTTTCCCGTAGCCACAGGGATTTTGGGATTCCTACCAGTATTCAAGAGGAGTCAGGCATCGTCACCTTTTGAAGCAATGAACTCCGCGTGCCTCTCGAGGTGTCAGCGGGACGTGAGGCATTCCGTCAAAATGAGGCAGGGACCTAAGGCTTTCTCTAAGGTCTCCACAGGGGATTCAGACATCCCTTCATGTTGTTAGATGAAAGACGAGCCTGTATTCAAGCCACTGCAAGGAAATGCGGCCTCCTTTCAAGTTAGGGCTTCTCGCTGTATATTCCCCTTGAGGCAGCAAACTCGGGGTCCCTCCCACATAACTATTGCTGAGAGAAGCCTCCTCCTGAGGTGCTTCTGGAAAGTTGGCATACGTCTTGAGCCTAAGCCAGGGAATCAGCTCTCATCTCGAGACGATTTGTGTTACACGGAGCATTCCTCGAGTTGCTATGCTGAAGTTGTGTTCCTCTAGACTTGGGACAGTGTTCTCGGGGCATCTCTGGAGTTGCCTGAAGGAAGTCGAGCCACCGGTCGTGTTGAATGGGGAATGGGGAATGTCTCTGGAGTCAATGAAGGGGAATTGGGCCTCATCTCGAGTTGATTTGGGGCACATGGAGCTGCTTTGCGTTGCTGGGGTGACCTCAGGGTCCGTCTAGACTGGTGACAGTGTTCTTGGGGTACTGTCTCGAGATCCATTAAGCAAGTCGAAGCTCCTGACTTGTTTGAATGGGATCACGGAATAGCTCTGCATGCACTGCAGGGGAATGGGGCCTCATCTCGCCTCAAGGGGGAAGTCTCATGGTTTTTCTCGAGTTGCGGCGGGGACCTGGAGTATGTTCTCGACTTACGGCGGGGATGGCCCTTCAAAACACGAGTTTCTTCAGTGACGTCAGGACTCCTGTCTAGTAACGAGGGACACCTCAGGAATCTCTTCGAGGCTTGGCAGGGCAAAAGGGACTCTTCTCGAAGTGAGGCAGGGCACCCAAGGACCCTTTCCCGTAGCCACAGGGATTTTGGGATTCCTATCAGTATTCAAGAGGAGTCAGGCATCGTCACCTTTTGAAGCAATGAACTCCGCGTGCCTCTCGAGATGTCAGCGGGATGTGAGGCATTCCGTCAAAATGAGGCAGGGACCTAGGGCTTTCTCTAAGGTCTCCACAGGGGATTCAGACATCCCTTCATGTTGTGAGATGAAAGACGAGCCTGTATTCAAGCCACTGCAAGGAAATGCGGCCTCCTTTCAAGTTAGGGCTTCTCGCTGTATATTCCCCTTGAGGCAGCAAACTCGGGGTCCCTTCCACATACCTATTGCTGAGAGAAGCCTCCTCCTGAGGTGCTTCTGGAAAGTTGGCATAAGTCTTGAGCCTAAGCCAGGGAATCAGCTCTCATCTCGAGACGATTTGGGGTACACGAAGCATTCCTCGAGTTGCTGTGCTGAAGTTGGTGTTCCTCTAGACTTGGGACCGTGTTCTCGGGGCATCTCTGGAGTTGCCTGAAGGAAGTCGAGCCACCGGTCGTGTTGAATGGGGAACGGGGAATGGCTCTGGAGTCAATGCATGGGAATCGTGCCTCATCTCGAGTTGATTTGGGGCACATGGAGCTGCTTTGCGTTGCTGGGGTGACCTCAGGGTCCGTCTAGACTGGTGACAGTGTTCTTGGGGACTGTCTCGAGATCCACTAAGCAAGTCGAAGCTCCTGACTTGTTTGAATGGGATCACGGAATAGCTCTGCATGCACTGCAGGGGAATGGGGCCTCATCTCTCCTCTAGGGGGAAGTCTCATGGTTTTACTCTAGTTGCGGCGGGGACTTGGGGTATGTTCTCGACTTACGGCGGGGATGGCCCTTCAAAACACGAGTTTCTTCAGTGACCTCAGGACTCCTGTCTAGTAACGAGGGACACCTCAGGAATCTCTTCGAGGCTTGGCAGGGCAAAAGGGACGCTTCTCGAGGTGAGGCAGGGCACCCAAGGACCCTTTCCCATAGCCACAGGGATTTTGGGATTCCTATCAGTATTCAAGAGGAGTCAGGCATCGTCACCATTTGAAGCAATGAACTCCGCGTGCCTCTCGAGGTGTCAGCGGGATGTGAGGCATTCCGTCAAAATGAGGCAGGGACCTAGGGCTTTCTCTAAGGTCTCCACAGGGGATTCAGACATCCCTTCATGTTGTCAGATGAAAGAAGAGCCTGTATTCAAGCCACTGCAAGGAAATCCGGCCTCCTTTCAAGTTAGGGCTTCTCGCTGTATATTCCCCTTGAGGCACAAACTCGGGGTCCCTCCCACATACTTATTGCTGAGAGAAGCCTCCTCCTGAGGTGCTTCTGGAAAGTTGGCATACGTCTTGAGCCTAATCCAGGGAATCAGCTCTCATCTCGAGACAATTTGGGGTACACGGAGCATTCCTCGAGTTGCTGTGCTGAAGTTGGTGTTCCTCTAGACTTGGGACAGTGTTCTCGGGGCATCTCTGGAGTTGCCTGAAGGAAGTCGAGCCACCGGTCGTGTTGAATGGGGAACGGGGAATGGCTCTGGAGTGAATGCAGGGGAATCGGGCCTCATCTGGAGTTGATTTGGGGCACATGGAGCTGCTTTGCGTTGCTGGGGTGACCTCAGGGTCCGTCTAGACTGGTGACAGTGTTCTTGGGGACTGTCTCGAGATCCATTAAGCAAGTCGAAGCTCCTGACTTGTTTGAATGGGATCACGGAATAGCTCTGCATGCACTGCAGGGGAATGGGGCCTCATCTCGCCTCAAGGGGGAAGTCTCATGGTTTTTCTCGAGTTGCGGCGGGGACCTGGGGTATGTTCTCGACTTACGGCGGGGATGGCCCTTCAAAACACGAGTTTCTTCAGTGACGTCAGGACTCCTGTCTAGTAACGAGGGACACCTCAGGAATCTCTAAGAGGCTTGGCAGGGCAAAAGGGACGCTTCTCGAGGTGAGGCAGGGCACCCAAGGACCCTTTCACGTAGCCACAGGGATTTTGGGAATCCTATCAGTATTCAAGAGGAGTCAGGCATCGTCACCTTTTGAAGCAATGAACTCCGCGTGCCTCTCGAGGTGTCAGCGGGACGTGAGGCATTCCGTCAAAATGAGGCAGGGACCTAAGGCTTTCTCTAAGGTCTCCACAGGGGATTCAGACATCCCTTCATGTTGTGAGATGAAAGACGAGCCTGTATTCAAGCCACTGCAAGGAAATCCGGCCTCCTTTCAAGTTAGGGCTTCTCGCTGTATATTCCCCTTGAGTCAGAAAACTCGGGTCCCACCCACATAACTATTGCTGAGAGAAGCCTCCTCCTGAGGTGCTTCTGGAAAGTTGGCATAAGTCTTGAGCCTAAGCCAGGGAATCAGCTCTCATCTCGAGACGATTTGGGGTACACAGAGCATTCCTCGAGTTGCTGTGCTGAAGTTGGTGTTCCTCTAGACTTGGGACAGTGTTCTCGGGGCATCTCTGGAGTTGCCTGAAGGAAGTCGAGCCACCGGTCGTGTTGAATGGGGAACGGGGAATGGCTCTGGGGTCAATGCAGGGGAATCGGGCCTCATCTCAAGTTGATTTGGGGCACATGGAGCTGCTTTGCGTTGCTGGGGTGACGTCAGGGTCCGTCTAGAGTGGTGACAGTGTTCTTGGGGACTGTCTCGAGATCCATTAAGCAAGTCGAAGCTCCTGACTTGTTTGAATGGGATCATGGGATAACTCTGCATGCACTGCAAGGGAATGGGGCCTCATCTCGCCTCTAGGGGGAAGTCTCATGGTTTTTCTCGAGTTGCGGCGGGGACCTGGGGTATGTTCTCGACTTACGGCGGGGATGGCCCTTCAAAACACGAGTTTCTTCAGTGACGTCAGGACTCCTGTCTAGTAATGAGGGACACCTCAGGAATCTCTTCGAGGCTTGGCAGGGCAAAAGGGACGCTTCTCGAGGTGAGGCAGGGCACCCAAGGACCCTTTCCAGTAGCCACAGGGATTTTGGGATTCCTATCAGTATTCAAGAGGAGTCAGGCATCGTCACCTTTTGAAGCAATGAACTCCGCGTGCCTCTCGAGGTGTCAGCGGGATGTGAGGCATTCCGTCAAAATGAGGCAGGGACCTAGGGCTTTCTCTAAGGTCTCCACAGGGGATTCAGATATCCCTTCATGTTGTGAGATGAAAGACGAGCCTGTATTCAAGCCACTGCAAGGAAATGCGGACTCCTTTCAAGTTAGGGCTTCTCGCTGTATATTCCCCTTGAGGCAGCAAACTCGGGGTCCCTTCCACATACCTATTGCTGAGAGAAGCCTCCTCCTGAGGTGCTTCTGGAAAGTTGGCATAAGTCTTGAACCTAAGCCAGGGAATCAGCTCTCATCTCGAGACGATTTGGGGTACACGAAGCATTCCTCGAGTTGCTGTGCTGAAGTTGGTGTTCCTCTAGACTTGGGACCGTGTTCTCGGGGCATCTCTGGAGTTGCCTGAAGGAAGTCGAGCCACCGGTCGTGTTGAATGGGGAACGGGGAATGGCTCTGGAGTCAATGCATGGGAATCGGGCCTCATCTCGAGTTGATTTGGGGCACATGGAGCTGCTTTGCGTTGCTGGGGTGACCTCAGGGTCCGTCTAGACTGGTGACAGTGTTCTTGGGGACTGTCTCGAGATCCACTAAGCAAGTCGAAGCTCCTGACTTCTTTGAATGGGATCACGGAATAGCTCTGCATGCACTGCAGGGGAATGGGGCCTCATCTCGCCTCTACGGGGAAGTCTCATGGTTTTACTCTAGTTGCGGCGGGGAACTGGGGTATGTTCTCGACTTACGGCGGGGATGGCCCTTCAAAACACGAGTTTCTTCAGTGACCTCAGGACTCCTGTCTAGTAACGAGGGACACCTCAGGAATCTCTTCGAGGCTTGGCAGGGCAAAAGGGACGCTTCTCGAGGTGAGGCAGGGCACCCAAGGACCCTTTCCAGTAGCCACAGGGATTTTGGGATTCCTATCAGTATTCAAGAGGAGTCAGGCATCGTCACCTTTTGAAGCAATGAACTCCGCGTGCCTCTCGAGGTGTCAGCGGGATGTGAGGCATTCCGTCAAAATGAGGCAGGGACCTAGGGCTTTCTCTAAGGTATCCACAGGGGATTCAGACATCCCTTCATGTTGTGAGATGAAAGACGAGCCTGTATTCAAGCCACTACAAGGAAATCCGGCCTCCTTACAAGTTATGGCTTCTCACTGTATATTCCCCTTGAGGCAGCAAACTCGGGGTCCCTCCCACATACCTATTGCTGAGAGAAGCCTCCTCCTGAGGTGCTTCTGGAAAGTTGGCATACGTCTTGACCCTAAGCCAGGGAATAAGCTCTCATCTCTAGACGATTTGGGGTACACGGAGCATTCCTCAAGTGCTGTGCTGAGGTTGGTGTTCCTCTAGACTTGGGACACTGTTGTCGGGGCATCTCTGTAGTTGCCTGAAGGAAGTCGAGCCACCGGTCGTGTTGAATGGGGAACGGGGAATGGCTCTGGCGTCAATGCATGCGAATGGGACCTCATCTCGAGTTGATTTGGGGCACATGGAGCTGCTTTGCTTTGCTGGGGTGACCTCAGGGTCCGTCGAGACTGGTGACAGTGTTCTTGGGGACTGTCTCGAGATCCATTAAGCAAGTCGAAGCTCCTGACTTGTTGGAATGGGATCACGGAATAGCTCTGCATGCACTGCAGGGGAATGGGACCTCATCTCGCCTCTAGGGGGAAGTCGCATGGTTTTTCTCGAGTTGCGGCGGGGACCTGGGGTATGTTCTCGACTTATGGCGGGGATGGCCCTTCAAAACACGAGTTTCTTCAGTGACGTCAGGACTCCTGTCTAGTAACGAGGGACACCTCAGGAATCTCTTCGAGGCTTGGCAGGGCAAAAGGGACGCTTCTCGAGGTGAGGCAGGGCACCCAAGGACCCTTTCCCGTAGCCACAGGGATTTTGGGATTCCTATCAGTATTCAAGAGGAGTCAGGCATCGTCACCTTTTGAAGCAATGAACTCCGCGTGCCTCTCGAGGTGTCAGCGGGATGTGAGGCATTCCGTCAAAATGAGGCAGGGACCTAAGGCTTTCTCTAAGGTCTCCACAGGGGATTCAGACATCCCTTCATGTTGTGAGATGAAAGACGAGCCTGTATTCAAGCCACTGCAAGGAAATCCGGCCTCCTTTCAAGTTAGGGCTTCTCGCTGTATATTCCCCTTGAGGCAGCAAACTCGGGGTCCCTCCCACATAACTATTGCTGAGAGAAGCCTCCTCCTGAGGTGCTTCTGGAAAGTTGGCATACGTCTTGAGCCTAAGCCAGGGAATCAGCTCTCATCTCGAGACGATTTGGTTTACACGGAGCATTCCTCGAGTTGCTATGCTGAAGTTGGTGTTCCTCTAGACTTGGGACAGTGTTCTCGGGGCATCTCTGGAGTTGCCTGAAGGAAGTCGAGCCACCGGTCGTGTTGAATGGGGAACGGGGAATGGCTCTGGAGTGAATGCAGGGGAATCGGGCCTCATCTCGAGTTGATTTGGGGCACATGGAGCTGCTTTGCGATGCTGGGGTGACCTCAGGGTCCGTCGAGACTGGTGACAGTGTTCTTGGGGACTGTCTCGAGATCCATTAAGCAAGTCGAAGCTCCTGACTTGTTTGAATGGGATCACGGAATAGCTCTGCATGCACTGCAGGGGAATGGGGCCTCATCTCGCCTCAAGGGGGAAGTCTCATGGTTTTTCTCGTGTTGCGGCGGGGACCTGGGGTATGTTCTCGACTTACGGCGGGGATGGCCCTTCAAAACACGAGTTTCTTCAGTGACGTCAGGACTCCTGTCTAGTAACGAGGGACACCTCAGGAATCTCTTCGAGGCTTGGCAGGGCAAAAGGGACGCTTCTCGAGGTGAGGCAGGGCACCCAAGGACCCTTTCACGTAGCCACAGGGATTTTGGGATTCCTATCAGTATTCAAGAGGAGTCAGGCATCGTCACCTTTTGAAGCAATGAACTCCGCGTGCCTCTCGAGGTGTCAGCGGGACGTGAGGCATTCCGTCAAAATGAGGCAGGGACCTAAGGCTTTCTCTAAGGTCTCCACAGGGGATTCAGACATCCCTTCATGTTGTGAGAAGAAAGACGAGCCTGTATTCAAGCCACTGCAAGGAAATCCGGCCTCCTTTCAAGTTAGGGCTTCTCGCTGTATATTCCCCTTGAGGCAGCAAACTCGGGTCCCACCCACATAACTATTGCTGAGAGAAGCCTCCTCCTGAGGTGCTTCTGGAAAGTTGGCATAAGTCTTGAGCCTAAGCCAGGGAATCAGCTCTCATCTCGAGACGATTTGGGGTACACAGAGCATTCCTCGAGTTGCTGTGCTGAAGTTGGTGTTCCTCTAGACTTGGGACAGTGTTCTCGGGGCATCTCTGGAGTTGCCTGAAGGAAGTCGAGCCACCGGTCGTGTTGAATGGGGAACGGGGAATGGCTCTGGGGTCAATGCAGGGGAATCGGGCCTCATCTCGAGTTGATTTGGGGCACATGGAGCTGCTTTGCGTTGCTGGGGTGACGTCAGGGTCCGTCTAGAGTGGTGACAGTGTTCTTGGGGACTGTCTCGAGATCCATTAAGCAAGTCGAAGCTCCTGACTTGTTTGAATGGGATCATGGGATAGCTCTGCATGCACTGCAAGGGAATGGGGCCTCATCTCGCCTCTAGGGGGAAGTCTCATGGTTTTTCTCGAGTTGCGGCGGGGACCTGGGGTATGTTCTCGACTTACGGCGGGGATGGCCCTTCAAAACACGAGTTTCTTCAGTGACGTCAAGACTCCTGTCTAGTAATGAGGGACACGTCAGGAATCTCTTCGAGGCTTGGCAGGGCAAAAGGGACGCTTCTCGAGGTGAGGCAGGGCACCCAAGGACCCTTTCCAGTAGCCACAGGGATTTTGGGATTCCTATCAGTATTCAAGAGGAGTCAGGCATCGTCACCTTTTGAAGCAATGAACTCCGCGTGCCTCTCGAGGTGTCAGCGGGATGTGAGGCATTCCGTCAAAATGAGGCAGGGACCTAGGGCTTTCTCTAAGGTATCCACAGGGGATTCAGACATCCCTTCATGTTGTGAGATGAAAGACGAGCCTGTATTCAAGCCACTGCAAGGAAATCCGGCCTCCTTTCAAGTTATGGCTTCTCGCTGTATATTCCCCTTGAGGCAGCAAACTCGGGGTCCCTCCCACATACCTATTGCTGGGAGAAGCCTCCTCCTGAGGTGCTTCTGGAAAGTTGGCATACGTCTTGAGCCTAAGCCAGGGAATCAGCTCTCATCTCTAGACGATTTGGGGTACACGGAGCATTCCTCAAGTGCTGTGCTGAGGTTGGTGTTCCTCTAGACTTGGGACACTGTTGTCGGGGCATCTCTGGAGTTGCCTGAAGGAAGTCGAGCCACCGGTCGTGTTGAATGGGGAACGGGGAATGGTTCTGGCGTCAATGCAGGCGAATGGGACCTCATCTCGAGTTGATTTGGGGCACATGGAGCTGCTTTGCTTTGCTGGGGTGACCTCAGGGTCCGTCTAGACTGGTGACAGTGTTCTTGGGGACTGTCTCGAGATCCATTAAGCAAGTCGAAGCTCCTGACTTGTTGGAATGGGATCACGGAATAGCTCTGCATGCACTGCAGGGGAATGGGACCTCATCTCGCCTCTAGGGGGAAGTCTCATGGTTTTTCTCGAGTTGCGGCGGGGACCTGGGGTATGTTCTCGACTTACGGCGGGGATGGCCCTTCAAAACACGAGTTTCTTCAGTGACGTCAGGACTCCAGTCTAGTAACGAGGGACACCTCACGAATCTCTTCGAGGCTTGGCAGGGCAAAAGGGACGCTTCTCGAGGTGAGGCAGGGCACCCAAGGACCCTTTCCCGTAGCCACAGGGATTTTGGGATTCCTATCAGTATTCAAGAGGAGTCAGGCATCGTCACCTTTTGAAGCAATGAACTCCGCGTGCCTCTCGAGGTGTCAGCGGGATGTGAGGCATTCCGTCAAAATGAGGCAGGGACCTAACGCTTTCTCTAAGGTCTCCACAGGGGATTCAGACATCCCTTCATGTTGTGAGATGAAAGACGAGCCTGTATTCAAGCCACTGCAAGGAAATACGGCCTCCTTTCAAGTCAGGGCTTCTCGCTGTATATTCCCCTTGAGGCAGCAAACTCGGGTCCCACACACATAACTATTGCTGAGAGAAGCCTCCACTTGAGGTGCTTCTGGAAAGTTGGCATAAGTCTTGAGCCTAAGCAAGGGAATCAGCTCTCATCTCGAGACGATTTGGGGTACACAGAGCATTCCTCGAGTTGCTGTGCTGAAGTTGGTGTTCCTCTAGACTTGGGACAGTGTTCTCGGGGCATCTCTGGAGTTGCCTGAAGGAAGTCGAGCCACCTGTCGTGTTGATTGGGGAACGGGGAATGGCTCTGGGGTCAATGCAGGGGAATCGGGCCTCATCTCGAGTTGATTTGGGGCACATGGTGCTGCTTTGCGTTGCTGGGGTGACCTCAGGGTCCGTCTAGAGTGGTGACAGTGTTCTTGGGGACTGTCTCGAGATCCATTAAGCAAGTCGAAGCTCCTGACTTGTTTGAATGGGATCACGGAATAGCTCTGCATGCACTGCAGGGGAATGGGGCCTCATCTCGCCTCAAGGGGGAAGTCTCATGGTTTTTCTCGTGTTGAGGCGGGGACCTGGGGTATGTTCTCGACTTACGGCGGGGATGGCCCTTCAAAACACGAGTTTCTTCAGTGACCTCAGGACTCCTGTCTTGTAACGAGGGACACCTCAGGAATATCTTCGAGGCTTGGCAGGGCAAAAGGGACGCTTCTCGAGGTGAGGCAGGGCACCCAAGGACCCTTTCCAGTAGCCACAGGGATTTTGGGAGTCCTATCATTATTCAAGAGGAGTCAGGCATCGTCACCTTTTGAAGCAATTTACTCCGCGTGCCTCTCGAGGTGTCAGCGGGATTTGAGGCATTCCGTCAAAATGAGGCAGGGACCTAGGGCCTTCTCTAAGGTCTCCACAGGGGATTCAGACATCCCTTCATGTTGTGAGATGAAAGACGAGCCTGTATTCAAGCCACTGCAAGGAAATCCGGCCTCCTTTCAAGTTAGGGCTTCTCGCTGTATATTCCCCTTGAGGCAGCAAACTCGGGGTCCCTTCCACATACCTATTGCTGAGAGAAGCCTCCTCCTGAGGTGCTTCTGGAAAGTTGGCATACGTCTTGAGCCTAAGCCAGGGAATCAGCTCTCATCTCGAGATGATTGGGGGTACACGGAGCATTCCTCGAGTTGCTGTGCTGAAGTTGTTGTTCCTCTAGCCTTGGAACAGTGTTCTCGGGGCATCTCTGGAGTTGCCTGAAGGAAGTCGAGCCACCGGTCGTGTTGAATGGGGAACGGGGAATGGCTCTGGAGTCAATGCATGGGAATCGGGCCTCATCTCGAGTTGATTTGGGGCACATGGAGCTGCTTTGCGTTGCTGGGGTGACCTCAGGGTCCGTCTAGACTGGTGACAGTGTTCTTGGGGACTGTCTCGAGATCCATTAAGCAAGTGGAAGCTCCTGACTTGTTTGAATGGGATCACGGGATAGCTCTGCATGCACTGCAGGGGAATGTGGCCTCATCTCGCCTCAAGGGGGAAGTCTCATGGTTTTTCTCGAGTTGAGGCGGGGACCTGGGGTATGTTCTCGACTTACGGCGGGGATGGCCCTTCAAAACACGAGTTTCTTCAGTGACGTCAGGACTCCTGTCTAGTAACGAGGGACACCTCAGGAATCTCTTCGAGGCTTGGCAGGGCAAAAGGGACGCTTCTCGAGGTGAGGCAGGGTACCCAAGGACCCTTTCCAGTAGCCACAGCGATTTTGGGATTCCTATCAGTATTCAAGAGGAGTCAGGCATCGTCACCTTTTGAAGCAATGAACTCCGCGTGCCTCTCGAGGTGTCAGTGGGATGTGAGGCATTCCGTCAAAATGAGGCAGGGACCTAGGGCTTTCTCTAAGGTCTCCACAGGGGATTCAGACATCCCTTCATGTTGTGAGATGAAAGACGAGCCTGTATTCAAGCCACTGCAAGGAAATGCGGACTCCTTTCAAGTTAGGGATTCTCGCTGTATATTCCCCTTGAGGCAGCAAACTCGGGGTCCCTTCCACATACCTATTGCTGAGAGAAGCCTCCTCCTGAGCTGCTTCTGGAAAGTTGTTATACGTCTTGAGCCTAAGCCAGGGAATCAGCTCTCTTCTCGAGACAATTTGGGGTACACGGAGCATTCCTCGAGTTGCTGTGCTGAAGTTGGTGTTCCTCTAGACTTGGGACAGTGTTCTCGGGGCATCTCTGGAGTTGCCTGAAGGAAGTCGAGCCACCGGTCGTGTTGAATGGGGAACGGGGAATGGCTCTGGAGTGAATGCAGGGGAATCGGGCCTCATCTCGAGTTGATTTGGGGCACATGGAGCTGCTTTGCGTTGCTGGGGTGACCTCAGGGTCCGTCTAGACTGGTGACAGTGTTCTTGGGGACTGTCTCGAGATCCATTAAGCAAGTCGAAGCTCCTGACTTGTTTGAATGGGATCACGGAATAGCTCTGCATGCACTGCAGGGGAATGGGGCCTCATCTCGCCTCTAGGGGGAAGTCTCATGGTTTTTCTCGAGTTGAGGCGGGGACCTGGGGTATGTTCTCGACTTACGGCGGGGATGGCCCTTCAAAACACGAGTTTCTTCAGTGATGTCAGGACTCCTGTCTAGTAACGAGGGACACCTCAGGAATCTCTAAGAGGCTTGGCAGGGCAAAAGGGACGCTTCTCGAGGTGAGGCAGGGCACCCAAGGACGCTTTCCCCTAGCCACAGGGATTTTGGGATTCCTATCAGTATTCAAGAGGAGTCAGGCATCGTCACCTTTTGAAGCAATGAACTCCGCGTGCCTCTCGAGGTGTCAGCGGGATGTGAGGCATTCCGTCAAAATGAGGCAGGGACCTAGGGCTTTCTCTAAGGTCTCCACAGGGGATTCAGACATCCCTTCATGTTGTGAGATGAAAGACAAGCCTGTATTCAAGCCACTGCAAGGAAATGCGGCCTCCTTTCAAGTTAGGGCTTCTCTCTGTATATTCCCCTTGAGGCAGCAAACTCGGGGTCCCTTCCACATACCTATTGCTGAGAGAAGCCTGCTCCTGAGGTGCTTCTGGAAAGTTGGCATACGTCTTGAGCCTAATCCAGGGAATCAGCTCTCATCTCGAGACAATTTGGGGTACACGGAGCATTAGTCGAGTTGCTGTGCTGAAGTTGGTGTTCCTCTAGATTTGGGACAGTGTTTTCGGGGCATCTCTGGAGTTGCCTGAAGGAAGTCGAGCCACCGGTCGTGTTGAATGTGGAACGGGGAATGTCTCTGGAGTCACTGCAGGGGAATCGGGCCTCATCTCGAGTTGATTTGGGGCACATGGAGCTGCTTTGCGTTGCTGGGGTGACCTCAGGGTCCGTCTAGACTGGTGACAGTGTTCTTGGGGACTGTCTCGAGATCCATTAAGCAAGTCGAAGCTCCTGACTTGTTTGAATGGGATCACGGAATAGCTCTGCATGCACTGCAGGGGAATGGGGCCTCATCTCGCCTCTAGGGGGAAGTCTCATGGTTTTTCTGGAGTTACGGCGGGGACCTGGGGTATGTTCTCGACTTACGGCGGGGATGGCCCTTCAAAACACGAGTTTCTTCAGTGACGTCAGGACTCCTGTCTTGTAACGAGGGACACCTCAGGAATCTCTACGAGGCTTGGCAGGGCAAAAGGGACGCTTCTCGAGGTGAGGCATGGTACCCAAGGACCCTTTCCAGTAGCCACAGCGATTTTGGGATTCCTATCAGTATTCAAGAGGAGTCAGGCATCGTCAGCTTTTGAAGCAATGAACTCCGCGTGCCTCTCGAGGTGTCAGTGGGATGTGAGGCATTCCGTCAAAATGAGGCAGGGACCTAGGGCTTTCTCTAAGGTCTCCACAGGGGATTCAGACATCCCTTCATGTTGTGAGATGAAAGACGAGCCTGTATTCAAGCCACTGCAAGGAAATGCGGACTCCTTTCAAGTTAGGGATTCTCGCTGTATATTCCCCTTGAGGCAGCAAACTCGGGGTCCCTTCCACATACCTATTGCTGAGAGAAGCCTCCTCCTGAGGTGCTTCTGGAAAGTTGGCATACGTCTTGAGCCTAAGCCAGGGAATCAGCTCTCATCTCGAGACAATTTGGGGTACACGGAGCATTCCTCGAGTTGCTGTGCTGAAGTTGGTGTTCCTCTAGACTTGGGACAGTGTTCTCGGGGCATCTCTGGAGTTGCCTGAAGGAAGTCGAGCCACCGGTCGTGTTGAATGGGGAACGGGGAATGGCTCTGGAGTGAATGCAGGGGAATCGGGCCTCATCTCGAGCTGATTTGGGGCACATGGAGCTGCTTTGCGTTGCTGGGGTGACTTCAGGGTCCGTCTAGACTGGTGACAGTGTTCTTGGGGACTGTCTCGAGATCCATTAAGCAAGTCGAAGCTCCTGACTTGTTTGAATGGGATCACGGAATAGCTCTGCATGCACTGCAGGGGAATAGGGCTTCATCTCGCCTCTAGGGGGAAGTCTCATGGTTTTTCTCGAGTTGCGGCGGGGACCTGGGGTATGTTCTCGACTTACGGCGGGGATGGCCCTTCAAAACACGAGTTTCTTCAGTGACCTCAGGACTCCTGTCTAGTAACGAGGGACACCTCAGGAATCTCTAAGAGGCTTGGCAGTTCAAAAGGGACGCTTCTCGAGGTGAGGCAGGGCACCCAAGGACGCTTTCGCCTAGCCACAGGGATTTTGGGATTCCTATCAGTATTCAAGAGGAGTCAGGCATCGTCACCTTTTGAAGCAATGAACTCCGCGGGCCTCTCGAGGTGTCAGCGGGATGTGAGGCATTCCGTCAAAATGAGGCAGGGACCTAGGGCTTTCTCTAAGGTCTCCACAGGGGATTCAGACATCCCTTCATGTTGTGAGATGAAAGACGAGCCTGTATTCAAGCCACTGCAAGGAAATCCGGCCTCCTTTCAAGTTAGGGCTTCTCGCTGTATATTCCCCTTGAGGCACAAACTCGGGGTCCCTCCCACATACTTATTGCTGAGAGAAGCCTCCTCCTGAGGTGCTTCTGGAAAGTTGGCATACGTCTTGAGCCTAAGCCAGGGAATCAGCCCTCATCTCGAGACGATTTTTGTTACACGGAGCATTCCTCGAGTTGCTGTGCTGCAGTTGGTGTTCCTCTAGACTTGGGACAGTGTTCTCGGGGCATCTCTGGAGTTGCCTGAAGGAAGTCGAGCCACCGGTCGTGTTGAATGGGGAACGGGGAATGGCTCTGGAGTGAATGCAGGGGAATCGGGCCTCATCTCGAGTTGATTTGGGGCACATGGAGCTGCTTTGAATTGCTGGGGTGACCTCAGGGTCCGTCTAGACTGGTGACAGTGTTCTTCGGGACTGTCTCGAGATCCATTAACCAAGTCGAAGCTCCTGACTTGTTTGAATGGGATCACGGAATAGCTCTGCATGCACTGCAGGGGAATGGGGCCTCATCTCGCCTCTAGGGGGAAGTCTCATGGTTTTTCTCGAGTTGCGGCGGTGACCTGGGTTATGTTCTCGACTTACGGCGGGGATGGCCCTTCAAAACACGAGTTTCTTCAGTGACGTCAGGACTTCTGTCTTGTAACGAGGGACACCTCAGGAATCTCTACGAGGCTTGGCAGGGCAAAAGGGACGCTTCTCGAGGTGAGGCAGGGTACCCAAGGACGCTTTCCAGTAGCCACAGCGATTTTGGGATTCCTATCAGTATTCAAGAGGAGTCAGGCATCGTCACCTTTTGAAGCAATGAACTCCGCTTGCCTCTCGAGGTGTCAGTGGGATGTGTGGCATTCCGTCAAAATGAGGCAGGGACCTAGGGCTTTCTCTAAGGTCTCCACAGGGGATTCAGACATCCCTTCATGTTGTGAGATGAAAGACGAGCCTGTATTCAAGCCACTGCAAGGAAATGCGGACTCCTTTCAAGTTAGGGATTCTTGCTGTATATTCCCCTTGAGGCAGCAAACTCGGGGTCCCTTCCACATACCTATTGCTTAGAGAAGCCTCCTCCTGAGGTGCTTCTGGAAAGTTGGCATACATCTTGAGCCTAATCCAGGGAATCAGCTCTCATCTCGAGACAATTTGGGGTACATGGAGCATTCCTCGAGTTGCTGTGCTGAAGTTGGTGTTCCTCTAGACTTGGGACAGTGTTCTCGGGGCATCTCTGGAGTTGCCTGAAGGAAGTCGAGCCACCGGTCGTGTTGAATGGGGATCGGGGAATGGCTCTGGAGTCAATGCAGGGGAATCGGGCCTCATCTCGAGTTGATTTGGGGCACATGGAGCTGCTTTGCGTTGCTGGGGTGACCTCAGGGTCCGTCTAGACTGGTGACAGTGTTCTTGGGGACTGTCTCGAGATCCATTAAGCAAGTCGAAACTCCTGACTTGTTTGAATGGGATCACAGAATAGCTCTGCATGCACTGCAGGGGAATGGGGCCTCATCTCGCCTCTAGGGGGAAGTCTCATGGTTTTTCTCGAGTTGTGGCGGGGACCTGGTGTATGTTCTCGACTTACGGCGGGGATGGCCCTTCAAAACACGAGTTTCTTCAGTGACGTCAGGACTCCTGTCTAGTAACGACGGACTCCTCAGGAATCTCTAAGAGGCTTGGCAGGGCAAGAGGGACGCTTCTCGAGGTGAGGCAGGGCACCCAAGGACGCTTTCCCCTAGCCACAGTGATTTTGGGATTCCTATCAGTATTCAAGAGGAGTCAGGCATCGTCACCTTTTGAAGCAATGAACACCGCGTGCTTCTCGAGGTGTCAGCGGGATGTGAGGCATTCCGTCAAAATGAGGCAGGGAACTAGGTCTTTCTCTAAGGTCTCCACAGGGGATTCAGACATCCCTTCATGTTGTGAGATGAAAGACGAGCCTGTATTCAAGCCACTGCAAGGAAATCCGGCCTCCTTTCAAGTTAGGGCTTCTCGCTGTATATTCCCCTTGAGGCAGCAAACTCAGGTCCCTCCCACATACCTATTGCTGAGAGAAGCCTCCCCCTGAGGTGCTTCTGGAAAGTTGGCATAAGTCTTGAGCCTAAGCCAGGGAATCAGCTCTCATCTCGAGACGATTTGGGGTACACGGAGCATTCCTCAAGATGCTGTGCTGAAGTTGGTGTTCCTCTAGACTTGGGACAGTGTTCTCGGGGCATCTCTGGAGTTGCCTGAAGGAAGTCGAGCCACCGGTCTTGTTGAACGGGGAACGGGGAATGGCTTTGGGGTCAATGCAGGGGAATCGGGCCTCATCTTGAGTTCATTTGGGGCACATGGAGCTGCTTTGCGTTGCTGGGGTGACCTCAGGGTCCGTCTAGACTGGTGACAGTGTTCTTGGGGACTCTCTCGAGATCCACTAAGCAAGTCGAAGCTCCTGACTTGTTTGAATGGGATCACGGGATAGCTCTGCATGCACTGCAGGGGAATGGGGCCTCATCTCGCCTCAAGGGGGAAGTCTCATGGTTTTTCTCGAGTTGCGGCGGGGACCTGGGGTATGTTCTCGACTTACGGCGGGGATGGCCCTTCAAAACACGAGTTTCTTCAGTGACCTCAGGACTCCTGTCTAGTAACGAGGGACACCTCAGGAATCTCTTCGAGGCTTGGCAGGGCAAAAGGGACGCTTCTCGAGGTGAGGCAGGGCACCCAAGGACCCTTTCCAGTAGCCACAGGGATTTTGGGAGTCCTATCATTATTCAAGAGGAGTCAGGCATCGTCACCTTTTGAAGCAATTTACTCCGCGTGCCTCTCGAGGTGTCAGCGGGATGTGAGGCATTCCGTCAAAATGAGGCAGGGACCTAGGGCCTTCTCTAAGGTCTCCCCAGGGGATTCAGACATCCCTAAATATTGTGAGATGAAAGACGAGCCTGTATTCAAGCCACTGCAAGGAAATCCGGCCTCCTTTCAAGTTAGGGCTTCTCGCTGTATATTCCCCTTGAGGCAGCAATCTCGGGGTCCCTTCCACATACCTATTGCTGAGAGAAGCCTCCTCCTGAGGTGCTTCTGGAAAGTTGGCATACGTCTTGAGCCTAAGCCAGGGAATCAGCTCTCATCTCGAGACGATTGGGGGTACACGGAGCATTCCTCGAGTTGCTGTGCTGAAGTTGTTGTTCCTCTAGCCTTGGGACCGTGTTCTCGGGGCATCTCTGGAGTTGCCTGAAGGAAGTCGAGCCACCGGTCGTGTTGAATGGGGAACGGGGAATGGCTCTGGAGTCAATGCATGGGAATCGGGCCTCATCTCGAGTTGATTTGGGGCACATGGAGCTGCTTTGCGTTGCTGGGGTGACCTCAGGGTCCGTCTAGACTGGTGACAGTGTTCTTGGGGACTGTCTCGAGATCCATTAAGCAAGTCGAAGCTCCTGACTTGTTTGAATGGGATCACGGAATAGCTCTGCATGCACTGCAGGGGAATGGGGCCTCATCTCGCCTCAATGGGGAAGTCTCATGGTTTTTCTCGTGTTGAGGCGGGGACCTGGGGTATGTTCTCGACTTATGGCGGGGATGGCCCTTCAAAACACGAGTTTCTTCAGTGACGTCAGGACTCCTGTCTAGTAACGAGGGACACCTCAGGAATCTCTTCGAGGCTTGGCAGGGCAAAAGGGACGCTTCTCGAGGTGAGGCAGGGCAGCCAAGGACCCTTTCCCGTAGCCACAGGGATTTTCGGATTCCTATCAGTATTCAAGAGGAGTCAGGCATCGTCACCTTTTGAAGCAATGAACTCCGCGTGCCTCTCGAGGTGTCAGTGGGATGTGAGGCATTCCGTCAAAATGAGGCAGGGACCTAGGGCTTTCTCTAAGGTCTCCACAGGGGATTCAGACATCCCTTCATGTTGTGAGATGAAAGCCGAGCCTGTATTCAAGCCACTGCAAGGAAATCCGGCCTCCTTTCAAGTTAGGGCTTCTCGCTGTATATTCCCCTTGAGGCAGCAAACTCGGGGTCCCTTCCACATACCTATTGCTGAGAGAAGCCTCCTCCTGAGGTGCTTCTGGAAAGTTGGCAAACGTCTTGAGCCTAATCCAGGGAATCAGCTCTCATCTCGAGACAATTTGGGGTACACAGAGCATTCCTCGAGTTGCTGTGCTGAAGTTGGTGTTCCTCTAGACTTGGGACAGTGTTCTCGGGGCATCTCTGGAGTTGCCTGAAGGAAGTCGAGCCACCGGTCGTGTTGAATGGGGAACGGGGAATGTCTCTGGAGTCAATGCAGGGGAATCGGGCCTCATCTCGAGTTGATTTGGGGCACATGGAGCTGCTTTGCGTTGCTGGGGTGACCTCAGGGTCCGTCTAGACTGGTGACAGTGTTCTTGGGGACTGTCTCGAGATCCATTAAGCAAGTCGAAGAGCCTGACTTGTTTGAATGGGATCACGGAATAGCTCTGCATGCACTGCAGGGGAATGGGGCCTCATCTCGCCTCTAGGGGGAAGTCTAATGGTTTTTCTCGAGTTGCAGCGGGGACCTGGGGTATGTTCTCGACTTACGGCGGGGATGGCCCTTCAAAACACGAGTTTCTTCAGTGACGTCAGGACTCCTGTCTAGTAACGACGGACACCTCAGGAATCTCTAAGAGGCTTGGCAGGGCAAAAGGGACGCTTCTCGAGGTGAGGCAGGGCACCCAAGGACGCTTTGCCCTAGCCACAGCGATTTTGGGATTCCTATCTGTATTCAAGAGGAGTCAGGCATCGTCACCTTTTGAAGCAATGAACTCCGCGTGCCTCTCGAGGTGTCAGCGGGATGTGAGGCATTCCATCAAAATGAGGCAGGGACCTAGGTCTTTCTCTAAGGTCTCCACAGGGGATTCAGCCATCCCTTCATGTTGTGAGATGAAAGACGAGCCTGTATTCAAGCCACTGCAAGGAAATCCGGCCTCCTTTCAAGTTAGGGCTTTTCGCTGTATATTCCCCTTGAGGCAGTAAACTCGGGTCCCTCCCACATACCTATTGCTGAGAGAAGCCTCCTCCTGAGGTGCTTCTGGAAAGTTGGCATAAGTCTTGAGCCTAATCCAGGGAATCAGCTCTCATCTCGAGACGATTTGGGGTACACGGAGCATTCCTCAAGTTGCTGTGCTGAAGTTGGTGTTCCTCTAGACTTGGGACAGTGTTCTCGGGGCATCTCTGGAGTTGCCTGAAGGAAGTCGAGCCACCGGTCTTGTTGAATGGGGAACGGGGAATGGCTCTGGAGTCAATGCAGGGGAATCGGGCCTCATCTCGAGTTGATTTGGGGCACATGGAGCTGCTTTGAGTTGCTGGGGTGACCTCAGGGTCCGTCTAGACTGGTGACAGTGTTCTTGGGGACTGTCTCGAGATCCACTAAGCAAGTCGAAGCTCCTGACTGGTTTGAATGGGATCACGGGATAGCTCTGCATGCACTGCAGGGGAATGGGGCCTCATCTCGCCTCAAGGGGGAAGTCTCATGGTTTTTCTCGAGTTGAGGCGGGGACCTGGGGTATGTTCTCGACTTACGGCGGGGATGGCCCTTCAAAACACGAGTTTCTTCAGTGACGTCAGGACTCCTGTCTAGTAACGAGGGACACCTCAGGAATCTCTTCGAGGCTTGGCAGGGCAAAAGGGACGCTTCTCGAGGTGAGGCAGGGCACCCAAGGACCCTTTCCCGTAGCCACAGGGATTTTGGGATTCCTATCAGTATTCAAGAGGAGTCAGGCATCGTCACCTTTTGAAGCAATGAACTCCGCGTGCCTCTCGAGGTGTCAGCGGGATGTGAGACATTCCGTCAAAATGAGGCAGGGACCTAGGCCTTTCTCTAAGGTCTCCACAGGGGATTCAGACATCCCTTCATGTTGTGAGATGAAAGACAAGCCTGTATTCAAGCGACTGCAAGGAAATGCGGCCTCCTTTCAAGTTAGGGCTTCTCGCTGTATATTCCCCTTGAGGCAGCAAACTCGGGGTCCCTTCCACATACCTATTGCTGAGAGAAGCCTCCTCCTGAGGTGCTTCTGGAAAGTTGGCATACGTCTTGAGCCTAATCCAGGGAATCAGCTCTCATCTCGAGACAATTTGGGGTGCACGGAGCATTCCTCGAGTTGCTGTGCTGAAGTTGGTGTTCCTCTAGACTTGGGACAGTGTTCTCCGGGCATCTCTGGAGTTGCCTGAAGGAAGTCGAGCCACCGGTCGTGTTGAATGGGGAACGGGGAATGTCTCTGGAGTCAATGCAGGGGAATCGGGCCTCATCTCGAGTTGATTTGGGGCACATGGAGCTGCTTTGCGTTGCTGGGGTGACCTCACGGTCCGTCTAGACTGGTGACAGTGTTCTTGGGGACTGTCTCGAGATCCATTAAGCAAGTCGAAGCTCCTGACTTGTTTGAATGGGATCACGGAATAGCTCTGCATGCACTGCAGGGGAATGGGGCCTCATCTCGCCTCTAGGGGGAAGTCTCATGGTTTTTCTCGAGTTGCGGCGGGGACATGGGGTATGTTCTCGACTTACGGCGGGGATGGCCCTTCAAAACACGAGTTTCTTCAGTGACGTCAGGACTCCTGTCTTGTAACGAGGGACACCTCAGGAATCTCTACAGGCTTGGCAGGGCAAAAGGGACGCTTCTCGAGGTGAGGCAGGGTACCCAAGGACCCTTTCCAGTAGCCACAGCGATTTTGGGATTCCTATCAGTATTCAAGAGGAGTCAGGCATCGTCACCTTTTGAAGCAATGAACTCCGCGTGCCTCTCGAGGTGTCAGTGGGATGTGAGGCATTCCGTCAAAATGAGGCAGTGACCTAGGGCTTTCTCTAAGGTCTCCACAGGGGATTCAGACATCCCTTCATGTTGTGAGATGAAAGACGAGCCTGTATTCAAGCCACTGCAAGGAAATGCGGACTCCTTTCAAGTTAGGGATTCTCGCTGTATATTCCCCTTGAGGCAGCAAACTCGGGTCCCTCCCACATACCTATTGCTGAGAGAAGCCTCCTCCTGAGGTGCTTCTGGAAAGTTGGCATAAGTCTTGAGCCTAAGCCAGGGAATCAGCTCTCATCTCGAGACGATTTGGGGTACACGGAGCATTCCTCAAGATGCTGTGCTGAAGTTGGTGTTCCTCTAGACTTGGGACAGTGTTCTCGGGGCATCTCTGGAGTTGCCTGAAGGAAGTCGAGCCACCGGTCTTGTTGAATGGGGAATGGGGAATGGCTCTGGAGTCAATGCAGGGGAATCGGGCCTCATCTCGAGTTGATTTGGGGCACATGGAGCTGCTTTGCGTTTCTGGGGTGACCTCAGGGTCCGTCTAGACTGGTGACAGTGTTCTTAGGGACTGTCTCGAGATCCACTAAGCAAGTCGAAGCTCCTGACTTGTTTGAATGGGATCACGGGATAGCTCTGCACGCACTGCAGGGGAATGGGGCCTCATCTCGCCTCAAGGGGGAAGTCTCATGGTTTTTCTCGAGTTCAGGCGGGGACCTGGGGTATGTTCTCGACTTACGGCGGGGATGGCCCTTCAAAACACGAGTTTCTTCAGTGACCTCAGGACTCCTGTCTTGTAACGAGGGACACCTCAGGAATCTCTTCGAGGCTTGGCAGGGCAAAAGGGACGCTTCTCGAGGTGAGGCAGGGCACCCAAGGACCCTTTCCAGTAGCCACAGGGATTTTGGGAGTCCTATCATTATTCAAGAGGAGTCAGGCATCGTCACCTTTTGAAGCAATTTACTCCGCGTGCCTCTCGAGGTGTCAGCGGGATGTGAGGCATTCCGTCAAAAAGAGGCAGGGACCTAGGGCTTTCTCTAAGGTCTCCACAGGGGAATAAGACATCCCTTCATGTTGTGAGATGAAAGACGAGCCTGTATTCAAGCCACTGCAAGGAAATGCGGACTCCTTTCAAGTTAGGGATTCTCGCTGTATATTCCCCTTGAGGCAGCAAACTCGGGGTCCCTTCCACATACCTATTGCTGAGAGAGCCTCCTCCTGAGGTGGTTCTGGAGAGTTGGCATGCGTCTTGAGCCTAATCCAGGGAATCAGCTCTCATCTCGAGACGATTTGGGGTACACGGAGCCTTCCTCAAGTTGCTGTGCTGAAGTTGGTGTTCCTCTAGACTTGGGACAGTGTTCTCGGGGCATCTCTGGAGTTGCCTGAAGGAAGTCGAGCCACCGGTCGTGTTGAATGGGGAACGGGGAATGGCTCTGGAGTGAATGCAGGGGAATCGGGCCTCATCTCGAGTTGATTTGGGGCACATGGAGCTGCTTTGCGTTGCTGGGGTGACCTCAGGGTCCGTCTAGACTGGTGACAGTGTTCTTGGGGACTGTCTCGAGATCCATTAAGCAAGTCGAAACTCCTGACTTGTTTGAATGGGATCACAGAATAGCTCTGCATGCACTGCAGGGGAATGGGGCCTCATCTCGCCTCTAGGGGGAAGTCTCATGGTTTTTCTCGAGTTGCGGCGGGGACCTGGTGTATGTTCTCGACTTACGGCGGGGATGGCCCTTCAAAACACGAGTTTCTTCAGTGACGTCAGGACTCCTGTCTAGTAACGACGGACACCTCAGGAATCTCTAAGAGGCTTGGCAGGGCAAAAGGGACGCTTCTCGAGGTGAGGCAGAGCACCCAAGGACGCTTTCCCCTAGCCACAGGGATTTTGGGATTCCTATCAGTATTCAAGAGGAGTCAGGCATCGTCACCTTTTGAAGCAATGAACTCCGCGTGCCTCTCGAGGTGTCAGCGGGATGTGAGGCATTCCGTCAAAATGAGGCAGGGACCTAGGTCTTTCTCTAAGGTCTCCACAGGGGATTCAGACATCCCTTCATGTTGTGAGATGAAAGACGAGCCTGTATTCAAGCCACTGCAAGGAAATCCGGCCTCCTTTCAAGTTAGGGCTCCTCGCTGTATATTCCCCTTGAGGCAGCAAACTCGGGTCCCTCCCACATACCTATTGCTGAGAGAAGCCTCCTCCTGAGGTGCTTCAGGAAAGTTGGCATACGTCTTGAGCCTAAGCCAGGGAATCAGCTCTCATCTCGAGACGATTTGGGGTACACGGAGCATTCCTCGAGTTGCTGTGCTGAAGTTGTTGTTCCTCTAGACTTGGGACAGTGTTCTCGGGGCATCTCTGGACTTGCCTGAAGGAAGTCGAGCCACCGGTCGTGTTGAATGGGGAACGGGGAATGGCTCTGGAGACAATGCATGGGAATCGGGCCTCATCTCGAGTTGATTTGGGGCACATGGAGCTGCTTTGCGTTGCTGGGGTGACCTCAGGGTCCGTCTAGACTGGTGACAGTGTTCTTGGGGACTGTCTCGAGATCCATTAAGCAAGTCGAAGCTCCTGACTTGTTTGAATGGGATCACGGAATAGCTCTGCATGCACTGCAGGGGAATGGGGCCTCATCTCGCCTCTAGGGGGAAGTCTCATGGTTTTTCTCGAGTTGCGGCGGGACCTGGGGTATGTTCTTGACTTACGGCGGGGATGGCCCTTCAAAACACGAGTTTCTTCAGTGACGTCAGGACTCTTGTCTTGTAACGAGGGACAACTCAGCAATCTCTAATAGGCTTGGCAGGGCAAAAGGGACGCTTCTCGAGGTGAGGCAGGGCACCCAAGGACCCTTTCCAGAAGCCACAGGGATTTTGGGATTCCTATCAGTATTCAAGAGGAGTCAGGCATCGTCACCTTTTGAAGCAATGAACTCCGTGTGCCTCTCGAGGTGTCAACGGGACGTGAGGCATTCCGTCAAAATGAGGCAGGGACCTAAGGCTTTCTCTAAGGTCTCCACAGGGGATTCAGTCATCCCTTCATGTTGTGAGATGAAAGACCAGCCTGTATTCAAGCCACTGCAAGGAAATCCGGCCTCCTTTCAAGTTAAGGTTTCTCGCTGTATATTCCCCTTGAGGCACAAACTCGGGGTCCCTCCCACATACTTATTGCTGAGAGAAGCCTCCTCCTGAGGTGCTTCTGGAAAGTTGGCATACATCTTGAGCCTTGGCCAGGGAATCAGCTCTCATCTCGAGACAATTTGGGTTACACGAAGCATTCGTCGAGTTGCTGTGCTGAACTTGGTGTTCCTCTAGACTTGGGACAGTGTTCTCGGGGCATCTCTGGAGTTGCCTGAAGGAAGTCGAGCCACCGGTTGTGTTGAATGGGGAACGGGGAATGGCTCTGGAGTCAATGCATGGGAATCGGGCCTCATCTCGAGTTGATTTGGGGCACATGGAGCTGCTTTGCGTTGCTGGGGTGACCTCAGGGTCCGTCTAGACTGGTGACAGTGTTCTTGGGGACTGTCTCGAGATCCATTAAGCAAGTCGAAACTCCTGACTTGTTTGAATGGGATCACGGAATAGCTCTGCATGCACTGCAGGAGAATGGGGCCTCATCTCGCCTCTAGGGGGAAGTCTCATGGTTTTTCTCGAGGTGCGTTGGGGACCTGGGGTATGTTCTCGACTTAGGGCGGGGATGGCCCTTCAAAACACGAGTTTCTTCAGTGACGTCAGGACTCCTGTCTAGTAACGAGGGACACTTCAGGAATCTCTACGAGGCTTGGCAGGGCAAAAGGGACGCTTCTCGAGGTGAGGCAGGGTACCCAAGGAGCCTTTCCAGTAGCCACAGCGATTTTGGGATTCCTATCAGTATTCAAGAGGAGTCAGGCATGGTCACCTTTTGAAGCAATGAACTCCGCGTGCCTCTCGAGGTGTCAGCGGGATGTGAGGCATTCCGTCAAAATGAGGCAGGGACCTAGGTCTTTCTCTAAGGTCTCCACAGGGGATTCAGACATCCCTTCAGGTTGTGAGATGAAAGACGAGCCTGTATTCAAGCCACTGCAAGGAAATCCGGCCTCCTTTCAAGTTAGGGCTTCTCGCTGTATATTCCCCTTGAGGCAGCAAACTCGGGTCCCTCCCACATACCTATTGCTGAGAGAAGCCTCCTCCTGAGGTGCTTCTGGAAAGTTGGCATAAGTCTTGAGCCTAAGCCAGGGAATCAGCTCTCATCTCCAGACGATTTGGGGTACACGGAGCATTCGTCAAGTTGCTGTGCTGAAGTTGGTGTTCCTCTAGACTTGGGACAGTGTTCTCGGGGCATCTCTGGAGTTGCCTGAAGGAAGTCGAGCCACCGGTCGTGTTGAATGGGGAACGGGGAATGGCTCTGGAGTCAATGCAGGGGAATCGGGCCTCATCTCGAGTTGATTTGGGGCACATGGAGCTGCTTTGCGTTGCTGGGGTGACCTCAGGGTCCGTCTAGACTGGTGACATTGTTCTTGGGGACTGTCTCGAGATCCACTAAGCAAGTCGAAGCTCCTGACTTGTTTGAATGGGATCACGGGATAGCTCTGCATGCACTGCAGGGGAATGGGGCCTCATCTCGCCTCAAGGGGGAAGTCTCATGGTTTTTCTCGTGTTGCGGCGGGGACCTGTGGTATGTTCTCGACTTACGGCGGGGATGGCCCTTCAAAACACGAGTTTCTTCAGTGACCTCAGGACTCCTGTCTAGTAACGAGGGACACCTCAGGAATCTCTTCGAGGCTTGGCAGGGCAAAAGGGACGCTTCTCGAGGTGAGGCAGGGCACCCAAGGACCCTTTCCAGTAGCCACAGGGATTTTGGGATTCCTATCAGTATTCAAGAGGAGTCAGGCATCGTCACCTTTTGAAGCAATTTACTCCGCGTGTCTCTCGAGGTGTCAGCGGGATGTGAGGCATTCCGTCAAAATGAGGCAGGGACCTAGGGCTTTCTCTAAGGTCTCCACAGGGGATTCAGACATCCCTTCATGTTGTGAGATGAAAGACGAGCCTGTATTCAAGCCACTGCAAGGAAATCCGGCCTCCTTTCAAGTTAGGGCTTCTCGCTGTATATTCCCCTTGAGGCAGCAAACTCGGGGTCCCTTCCACATACCTATTGCTGAGAGAAGCCTCCTCCTGAGGTGCTTCTGGAAAGTTGGCATACGTCTTGAGCCTAAGCCAGGGAATCAGCTCTCATCTCGAGACGATTTGGGGTACATGGAGCATTCCTCGAGTTGCTGTGCTGAAGTTGTTGTTCCTCTAGACTTGGGACAGTGTTCTCGGGGCATCTCTGGAGTTGCCTGAAGGAAGTCGAGCCACCGGTCGTGTTGAATGGGGAACGGGGAATGGCTCTGGAGTCAATGCATGGGAATCGGGCCTCATCTGGAGTTGATTTGGGGCACATGGAGCTGCTTTGCGTTGCTGGGGTGACCTCAGGGTCCGTCTAGACTGGTGACAGTGTTCTTGGGGACTGTCTCGAGATCATTTAAGCAAGTCGAAGCTCCTGACTTGTTTGAATGGGATCACGGGATAGCTCGGCATGCACTGCAGGGGAATGGGGCCTCATCTCGCCTCAAGGGGGAAGTCTCTTGGTTTTTCTCGAGTTCAGGCGGGGACCTGGGGTATGTTCTCGACTTACGGCGGGGATGGCCCTTCAAAACACGAGTTTCTTCAGTGACGTCAGGACTCCTGTCTAGTAACGAGGGACACCTCAGGAATCTCTTCGAGGCTTGGCAGGGCAAAAGGGACGCTTCTCGAGGTGAGGCAGGGCACCCAAGGACCCTTTCCCGTAGCCACAGGGATTTTGGGATTCCTATCAGTATTCAAGAGGAGTCAGGCATCGTCACCTTTTGAAGCAATGAACTCCGCGTGCCTCTCAAGGTGTCAGCGGGATGTGAGGCATTCCGTCAAAATGAGGCAGGGACCTAGGGCTTTCTCTAAGGTCTCCACAGGGGATTCAGACATCCCTTCATGTTGTGAGATGAAAGACGAGCCTGTATTCAAGCCACTGCAAGGAAATGCGGCCTCCTTTCAAGTTAGGGCTTCTCGCTGTATATTCCCATTGAGGTAGCAAACTCGGGGTCCCTTCCACATACCTATTGCTGAGAGAAGCCTCCTCCTGAGGTGCTTCTGGAAAGTTGGCATACGTCTTGAGCATAATCCAGGGAATCAGCTCTCATCTCGAGACAATTTGGGGTACACGGAGCATTCCTCGAGTTGCTGTGCTGAAGTTGGTGTTCCTCTAGACTTGGGACAGTGTTCTCGGGGCATCTCTGGCGTTGCCTGAAGGAAGTCGAGCCACCGGTCGTGTTGAATGGGGAACGGGGAATGGCTCTGGGGTCAATGCAGGGGAATCGGGCCTCATCTCGAGTTGATTTGGGGCACATGGAGCTGCTTTGCGTTGCTGGGGTGACCTCAGGGTCCGTCTAGAGTGGTGACAGTGTTCTTGGGGACTGTCTCGAGATCCATTAAGCAAGTCGAAGCTCCTGACTTGTTTGAATGGGATCATGGGATAGCTCTGCATGCACTGCAAGGGAATGGGGCCTCATCTTGCCTCTAGGGGGAAGTCTCATGGTTTTTCTCGAGTTGCGGCGGGGACCTGGGGTATGTTCTCGACTTACGGCGGGGATGGCCCTTCAAAACACGAGTTTCTTCAGTGACGTCAGGACTCCTGTCTAGTAATGAGGGACACCTCAGGAATCTCTTCGAGGCTTGGCAGGGCAAAAGGGACGCTTCTCGAGGTGAGGCAGGGCACCCAAGGACCCTTTCCAGTAGCCACAGGGATTTTGGGATTCCTATCAGTATTCAAGAGGAGTCAGGCATCGTCACCTTTTGAAGCAATGAACTCCGCGTGCCTCTCGAGGTGTCAGCGGGATGTGAGGCATTCCGTCAAAATGAGGCAGGGACCTAGGGCTTTCTCTAAGGTCTCCACAGGGGATTCAGACATCCCTTCATGTTGTGAGATGAAAGACGAGCCTGTATTCAAGCCACTGCAAGGAAATGCGGCCTCCTTTCAAGTTAGGGCTTCTCGCTGTATATTCCCCTTGAGGCAACAAACTCGGGGTCCCTTCCACATACCTATTGCTGAGAGAAGCCTCCTCCTCAGGTGCTTCTGGAAAGTTGGCATACGTCTTGAGCCTAATCCAGGGAATCAGCTCTCATCTCGAGACGATTTGGGTTACACGGAGCATTCCTCGAGTTGCTGTGCTGAAGTTGGTGTTCCTCTAGACTTGGGACAGTGTTCTCGGGGCATCTCTGGAGTTGCCTGAAGGAAGTCGAGCCACCGGTCGTGTTGAATGGGGAACGGGGAATGTCTCTGGAGTCAATGCAGGGGAATCGGGCCTCATCTCGAGTTGATTTGGGGCACATGGAGCTGCTTTGCGTTGCTGGGGTGACCTCAGGGTCCGTCTAGACTGGTGACAGTGTTCTTGGGGACTGTCTCGAGATCCATTAAGCAAGTCGAAGCTCCTGACTTGTTTGAATGGGATCACGGAATAGCTCTGCATGCACTGCAGGGGAATGGGGCCTCATCTCGCCTCTAGGGGGAAGTCTCATGGTTTTTCTCGAGTTGCGGCGGGGACCTGGGGTATGTTCTCGACTTACGGCGGGGATGGCCCTTCAAAACACGAGTTTATTCAGTGACGTCAGGACTCCTGTCTTGTAACGAGGGACACCTCAGGAATCTCTACGAGGCTTGGCACGGCAAAAGGGACGCTTCTCGAGGTGAGGCAGGGTACCCAAGGACCCTTTCAAGTAGCCACAGCGATTTTGGGATTCCTATCAGTATTCAAGAGGAGTCAGGCATCGTCACCTTTTGAAGGAATGAACTCCGCGTGCCTCTCGAGGTGTCAGTGGGATGTGAGGCATTCCGTCAAAATGAGGCAGGGACCTAGGGCTTTCTCTAAGGTCTCCACAGGGGATTCAGACATCCCTTCATGTTGTGAGATGAAAGACGAGCCTGTATTCAAGCCACTGCAAGGAAATGCGGACTCCTTTCAAGTTAGGGATTCTCGCTGTATATTCCCCTTGAGGCAGCATACTCGGGGTCCCTTCCACATACCTATTGCTGAGAGAAGCCTCCTCCTGAGGTGCTTCTGGAAAGTTGGCATACGTCTTGAGCCTAATCCAGGGAATCAGCTCTCATCTCGAGACGATTTGGGGTACACGGAGCATTCCTCGAGTTGCTGTGCTGAAGTTGGTGTTCCTCTAGACTTGGGACAGTGTTCTCGGGGCATCTCTGGAGTTGCCTGAAGGAAGTCGAGCCACCGGTCGTGTTGAATGGGGAACGGGGAATGGCTCTGGAGTCAATGCAGGGGAATCGGGCCTCATCTCGAGTTGATTTGGGGCACATGGAGCTGCTTTGCGTTGCTGGGGTGACCTCAGGGTCCGTCTAGACTGGTGACAGTGTTCTTGGGGACTGTCTCGAGATCCATTAAGCAAGTCGAAGCTCCTGACTTGTTTGAATGGGATCACGGAATAGCTCTGCATGCACTGCAGGGGAATGGGGCCTCATCTCGCCTCTAGGGGGAAGTCTCATGGTTTTTCTCGAGTTGAGGCGGGGACCTGGGGTATGTTCTCGACTTACGGCGGGGATGGCCCTTCAAAACACGAGTTTCTTCAGTGACGTCAGGACTCCTGTCTAGTAACGACGGACACCTCAGGAATCTCTAAGAGGCTTGGCAGGGCAAAAGGGACGCTTCTCGAGGTGAGGCAGGGCTCCCAAGGACGCTTTCCCCTAGCCACAGCAATTTTGGGATTCCTATCAGTATTCAAGAGGAGTCAGGCATCGTCACCTTTTGAAGCAATGAACTCCGCGTGCCTCTCGAGGTGTCAGCGGGATGTGAGGCATTCCGTCAAAATGAGGCAGGGACCTAGGGCTTTCTCTAATGTCTCCACAGGGGATTCAGACATCCCTTCATGTTGTGAGATGAAAGACGAGCCTGTATTCAAGCCACTGCAAGGAAATCCGGCCTCCTTTCAAGTTAGGGCTTCTCGCTGTATATTCCCCTTGAGGCACAAACTCAGGGTCCCTCCCACATTCTTATTGCTGAGAGAAGCCTCCTCCTGAGGTGCTTCTGGAAAGTTGGCATACGTCTTGAGCGTTGGCCAGGGAATCAGCTCTCATCTCGAGACGATTTGGGGTACAGAGAGCATTCCTCGAGTTGCTCTGCTGAAGATGGTGTTCCTCTAGACTTGGGACAGTGTTCTCGGGGCATCTCTGGAGTTACCTGAAGGAAGTCGAGCCACCGGTTGTGTTGAATGGGGAACGGGGAATGTCTCTGGAGTCAATGCAGGGGAATGGGGCCTCATCTCGCCTCTAGGGGGAAGTCACATGTTTTTTCTCGAGTTGCGGCGGGGACCTGGGGTATGTTCTCGACTTACGGCGGGGATGGCCGTTCAAAACACGAGTTTCTTCAGTGACGTCAGGACTCCTGTCTAGTAACGAGGGACACCTCAGGAATCTCTAAGAGGCTTGGCAGGGCAAAAGGGACGCTTCTCGAGGTGAGGCAGGGCACCCAAGGACGCTTTCCCCTAGCCACAGGGATTTTGGGATTCCTATCAGTATTCAAGAGGAGTCAGGCATCGTCACCTTTTGAAGCAATGAACTCCGCGTGCCTCTCGAGGTGTCAGCGGGATGTGAGGCATTCCGTCAAAATGAGGCAGGGACCTAGGGCTTTCTCTAAGGTCTCCACAGGGGATTCAGACATCCCTTCATGTTGTGAGATGAAAGACAAGCCTGTATTCAAGCCACTGCAAGGAAATGCGGCCTCCTTTCAAGTTAGGGCTTCTCGCTGTATATTCCCCTTGAGGCAGCAAACTCGGGGTCCCTTCCACATACCTATTGCTGAGAGAAGCCTCCTCCTGAGGTGCTTCTGGAAAGTTGGCATACGTCTTGAGCCTAAGCCAGGGAATCAGCTCTCATCTCGAGACAATTTGGGGTACACGGAGCATTAGTCGAGTTGCTGTGCTGAAGTTGGTGTTCCTCTAGACTTGGGACAGTGTTCTCGGGGCATCTCTGGAGTTGCCTGAAGGAAGTCGAGCCACCGGTCGTGTTGAATGGGGAACGGGGAATGTCTCTGGAGTCAATGCACGGGAATCGGGCCTCATCTCGAGTTGATTTGGGGCACATGGAGCTGCTTTGCGTTGCTGGGGTGACCTCAGGGTCCGTCTAGACTGGTGACAGTGTTCTTGGGGACTGTCTCGAGATCCATTAAGCAAGTCGAAGCTCCTGACTTGTTTGAATGGGATCACGGAATAGCTCTGCATGCACTGCAGGGGAATGGGGCCTCATCTCGCCTCTAGGGGGAAGTCTCATGGTTTTTCTCGAGTTGCGGCGGGGACCTGGGGTATGTTCTCGACTTACGGCGGGGATGGCCCTTCAAAACACGAGTTTCTTCAGTGACGTCAGGACTCCTGTCTAGTAACGAGGGACACCTCAGGAATCTCTACGAGGCTTGGCAGGGCAAAACGGACGCTTCTCGAGGTGAGGCAGGGTACCCAAGGACCCTTTCCAGTAGCCACAGGGATTTTGGGATTCCTATCAGTATTCAAGAGGAGTCAGGCATCGTCACCTTTTGAAGCAATGAACTCCGCGTGCCTCTCGAGGTGTCAGTGGGATGTGAGGCATTCCGTCAAAATGAGGCAGGGACCTAGGGCTTTCTCTAAGGTCTCCACAGGGGATTCAGACATCCCTTCATGTTGTGAGATGAAAGACGGGCCTGTATTCAAGCCACTGCAAGGAAATGCGGACTCCTTTCAAGTTAGGGATTCTCGCTGTATATTCCCCTTGAGGCAGCAAACTCGGGGTCCCTTCCACATACCTATTGCTGAGAGAAGCCTCCTCCTGAGGTGCTTCTGGAAAGTTGGCATACGTCTTGAGCCTAATCCAGGGTATCAGCTCTTATCTCGAGACAATTTGGGGTACACGGAGCATTCCTCGAGTTGCTGTGCTGAAGTTGGTGTTCCTCTAGACTTGGGACAGTGTTCTCGGGGCATCTCTGGAGTTGCCTGAAGGAAGTCGAGCCACCGGTCGTGTTGAATGGGGAGCGGGGAATGGCTCTGGAGTGAATGCAGGGGAATCGGGCCTCATCTCGAGTTGATTTGGGGCACATGGAGCTGCTTTGCGTTGCTGGGGTGACCTCAGGGTCCGTCTAGACTGGTGACAGTGTTCTTGGGGACTGTCTCGAGATCCATTAAGCAAGTCGAAGCTCCTGACTTGTTTGAATGGGATCATGGAATAGCTCTGCATGCACTGCAGGGGAATGGGGCTTCATCTCGCCTCTAGGGGGAAGTCTCATGGTTTTTCTCGAGTTGCGGCGGGGACCTGGGGTATGTTCTCGACTTACGGCGGGGATGGCCCTTCAAAACACGAGTTTTTTCAGTGACGTCAGGACTCCTGTCTAGTAACGAGGGACACCTCAGGAATCTCTAAGAGGCTTGGCAGTTCAAAAGGGACGCTTCTCGAGGTGAGGCAGGGCACCCAAGGACGCTTTCCCCTAGCCACAGGGATTTTGGGATTCCTATCAGTATTCAAGAGGAGTCAGGCATCGTCACCTTTTGAAGCAATGAACTCCGCGTGCCTCTCGAGGTGTCAGCGGGATGTGAGGCATTCCGTCAAAATGAGGCAGGGACCTAGGGCTTTCTCTAAGGTCTCCACAGGGGATTCAGACATCCCTTCATGTTGTGAGATGAAAGAAGAGCCTGTATTCAAGCCACTGCAAGGAAATCCGGCCTCCTTTCAAGTTAGGGCTTCTCGCTGTATATTCCCCTTGAGGCACAAACTCGGGGTCACTCCCACATACTTATTGCTGAGAGAAGCCTCCTCCTGAGGTGCTTCTGGAAAGTTGGCATACGTCTTGAGCCTAAGCCAGGGAATCAGCTCTCATCTCGAGATGATTTGGGTTACACGGAGCATTCCTCGAGTTGCTGTGCTGAAGTTGGTGTTCCTCTAGACTTGGGACAGTGTTCTCGGGGCATCTCTGGAGTTGCCTGAAGGAAGTCGAGCCACCGGTCGTGTTGAATGGGGAACGGGGAATGGCTCTGGAGTCAATGCAGGGGAATCGGGCCTCATCTCGAGTTGATTTGGGGCACATGGAGCTGCTTTGCGTTGCTGGGGTGACCTCAGGGTCCGTCTAGACTGGTGACAGTGTTCTTGGGGACTGTCTCGAGATCCATTAAGCAAGTCGAAGCTCCTGACTTGTTTGAATGGGATCACGGAATAGCTCTGCATGCACTGCAGGGGAATGGGGCCTCATCTCGCCTCTAGGGGGAAGTCTCATGGTTTTTCTCGAGTTGCGACGGAGACCTGGGGTATGTTCTCGACTTACGGCGGGGATGGCCCTTCAAAACACGAGTTTCTTCAGTGACGTCAGGACTCCTGTCTTGTAACGAGGGACACCTCAGGAATCTCTACGATGCTTGGCAGGGCAAAAGGGACGCTTCTCGAGGTGAGGCAGGGTACCCAAGGACCCTTTCCAGTAGCCACAGCGATTTTGGGATTCCTATCAGTATTCAAGAGGAGTCAGGCATCGTCACCTTTTGAAGCAATGAACTCCGCGTGCCTCTCGAGGTGTCAGTGGGATGTGAGGCATTCCGTCAAAATGAGGCAGGGACCTAGGGCTTTCTCTAAGGTCTCCACAGGGGATTCAGACATCCCTTCATGTTGTGAGATGAAAGACGAGCCTGTATTCAAGCCACTGCAAGGAAATGCGGACTCCTTTCAAGTTAGGGATTCTTGCTGTATATTCCCCTTGAGGCAGCAAACTCGGGGTCCCTTCCACATACCTATTGCTGACAGAAGCCTCCTCCTGAGGTGCTTCTGGAAAGTTGGCATACGTCTTGAGCCTAAGCCAGGGAATCAGCTCTCATCTCGAGACAATTTGGGGTACACGGAGCATTCCTCGAGTTGCTGTGCTGAAGTTGGTGTTCCTCTAGACTTGGGACAGTGTTCTCGGGGCATCTCTGGAGTTGCCTGAAGGAAGTCGAGCCACCGGTCGTGTTGAATGGGGATCGGGGAATGGCTCTGGAGTCAATGCAGGGGAATCGGGCCTCATCTCGAGTTGATTTGGGGCACATGGAGCTGCTTTGCGTTGCTGGGGTGACTTCAGGGTCCGTCTAGACTGGTGACAGTGTTCTTGGGGACTGTCTCGAGATCCATTAAGCAAGTCGAAACTCCTGACTTGTTTGAATGGGATCACAGAATAGCTCTGCATGCACTGCAGGGGAATGGGGCCTCATCTCGCCTCTAGGGGGAAGTCTCATGGTTTTTCTCGAGTTGCGGCGGGGACCTGGGGTATGTTCTCGACTTACGGCGGGGATGGCCCTTCAAAACACGAGTTTCTTCAGTGACGTCAGGACTCCTGTCTAGTAACGACGGACACCTCAGGAATCTCTAAGAGGCTTGGCAGGGCAAAAGGGACGCTTCTCGAGGTGAGGCAGGGCACCCAAGGACGCTTTCCCCTAGCCACAGGGATTTTGGGATTCCTATCAGTATTCAAGAGGAGTCAGGCATCGTCACCTTTTGAAGCAATGAACTCCGCGTGCTTCTCGAGGTGTCAGCGGGAAGTGAGGCATTCCGTCAAAATGAGGCAGGGACCTAGGGCTTTCTCTAAGGTCTCCACAGGGGATTCAGACATCCCTTCATGTTGTGAGATGAAAGACGAGCCTGTATTCAAGCCACTGCAAGGAAATGCGGCCTCCTTTCAAGTTAGGGCTTCTCGCTGTATATTCCCATTGAGGTAGCAAACTCGGGGTCCCTTCCACATACCTATTGCTGAGAGAAGCCTCCTCCTGAGGTGCTTCTGGAAAGTTGGCATACGTCTTGAGCATAATCCAGGGAATCAGCTCTCTTCTCGAGACAATTTGGGGTACACGGAGCATTCCTCGAGTTGCTGTGCTGAAGTTGGTGTTCCTCTAGACTTGGGACAGTGTTCTCGGGGCATCTCTGGAGTTGCCTGAAGGAAGTCGAGCCACCGGTCGTGCTGAATGGGGAACGGGGAATGGCTCTGGGGTCAATGCAGGGGAATCGGGCCTCATCTCGAGTTGATTTGGGGCACATGGAGCTGCTTTGCGTTGCTGGGGTGACCTCAGGGTCCGTCTAGACTGGTGACAGTGTTCTTGGGGACTGTCTCGAGATCCATTAAGCAAGTCGAAGCTCCTGACTTGTTTGAATGGGATCATGGGATAGCTCTGCATGCACTGCAAGGGAATGGGGCCTCATCTCGCCTCTAGGGGGAAGTCTCATGGTTTTTCTCGAGTTGAGGCGGGGACCTGGGGTATGTTCTCGACTTACGGCGGGGATGGCCCTTCAAAACACGAGCTTCTTCAGTGACGTCAGGACTCCTGTCTAGTAACGACGGACACCTCAGGAATCTCTAAGAGGCTTGGCAGGGCAAAAGGGACGCTTCTCGAGGTGAGGCAGGGCTCCCAAGGACGCTTTCCCCTAGCCACAGCGATTTTGGGATTCCTATCAGTATTCAAGAGGAGTCAGGCATCGTCACCTTTTGAAGCAATGAACTCCGCGTGCCTCTCGAGGTGTCAGCGGGATGTGAGGCATTCCGTCAAAATGAGGCAGGGACCTAGGGCTTTCTCTAATGTCTCCACAGGGGATTCAGACATCCCTTCATGTTTTGAGATGAAAGACGAGCCTGTATTCAAGCCACTGCAAGGAAATCCGGCCTCCTTTCAAGTTAGGGCTTCTCGCTGTATATTCCCCTTGAGGCACAAACTCAGGGTCCCTCCCACATTCTTATTGCTGAGAGAAGCCTCCTCCTGACTTGCTTCTGGAAAGTTGGCATACGTCTTGAGCGTTGGCCAGGGAATCAGCTCTCATCTCGAGACGATTTGGGGTACAGAGAGCATTCCTCGAGTTGCTCGGCTGAAGTTGGTGTTCCTCTAGACTTGGGACAGTGTTCTCGGGGCATCTCTGGAGTTACCTGAAGGAAGTCGAGCCACCGGTTGTGTTGAATGGGGAACGGGGAATGTCTCTGGAGTCAATGCAGGGGAATCGGGCCTCATCTCGAGTTGATTTGGGGCACATGGAGCTGCTTTGTGTTGCTGGGGTGACGTCAGGGTCCGTCTAGACTGGTGACAGTGTTCTTGGGGACTGTCTCGAGATCCATTAAGCAAGTCGAAGCTCCTGACTTGTTTGAATGGGATCACGGAATAGCTCTGCATGCACTGCAGGGGAATGGGGCCTCATCTCGCCTCTAGGGGGAAGTCTCATGGTTTTTCTCGATTTGCGGCGGGGACCTGGGGTATGTTCTCGACTTACGGCGGGGATGGCCCTTCAAAACACGAGTTTCTTCAGTGACGTCAGGACTCCTGTCTTGTAACGAGGGACACCTCAGGAATCTCTACGAGGCTTGGCAGGGCAAAAGGGACGCTTCTCGAGGTGAGGCAGGGTACCCAAGGACCCTTTCCAGTAGCCACAGCGATTTTGGGATTCCTATCAGTATTCAAGAGGAGTCAGGCATCGTCACCTTTTGAAGCAATGAACTCCGCGTGCCTTTCGAGGTGTCAGTGGGATGTGAGGCATTCCGTCAAAATGAGGCAGGGACCTAGGGCTTTCTCTAAGGTCTCCACAGGGGATTCAGACATCCCTTCATGTTGTGAGATGAAAGACGAGCCTGTATTCAAGCCACTGCAAGGAAATGCGGCCTCCTTTCAAGTTAGGGCTTCTCGCTGTATATTCCCCTTGAGGCAACAAACTCGGGGTCCCTTCCACACACCTATTGCTGAGAGAAGCCTCCTCCTCAGGTGCTTCTGGAAAGTTGGCATACGTCTTGAGCCTAATCCAGGGAATCAGCTCTCATCTCGAGACAATTTGGGGTACATGGAGCATTCCTCGAGTTGCTGTGCTGAAGTTGTTGTTCCTCTAGCCTTGGGACAGTGTTCTCGGGGCATCTCTGGAGTTGCCTGAAGGAAGTCGAGCCACCGGTCGTGTTGAATGGGGAACGGGGAATGGCTCTGGAGTCAATGCATGGGAATCGGGCCTCATCTCGAGTTGATTTGGGGCACATGGAGCTGCTTTGCGTTGCTGGGGTGACTTCAGGGTCCGTCTAGACTGGTGACAGTGTTCTTGGGGACTGTCTCGAGATCCATTAAGCAAGTCGAAGCTCCTGACTTGTTTGAATGGGATCATGGGATAGCTCTGCATGCACTGCAAGGGAATGGGGCCTCATCTCGCCTCTAGGGGGAAGTCTCATGGTTTTTCTCGAGTTGAGGCGGGGACCTGGGGTATGTTCTCGACTTACGGCGGGGATGGCCCTTCAAAACACGAGCTTCTTCAGTGACGTCAGGACTCCTGTCTAGTAACGACGGACACCTCAGGAATCTCTAAGAGGCTTGGCAGGGCAAAAGGGACGCTTCTCGAGGTGAGGCAGGGCTCCCAAGGACGCTTTCCCCTAGCCACAGCGATTTTGGGATTCCTATCAGTATTCAAGAGGAGTCAGGCATCGTCACCTTTTGAAGCAATGAACTCCGCGTGCCTCTCGAGGTGTCAGCGGGATGTGAGGCATTCCGTCAAAATGAGGCAGGGACCTAGGGCTTTCTCTAAGGTCTCCACAGGGGATTCAGACATCCCTTCATGTTGTGAGATGAAAGAAGAGCCTGTATTCAAGCCACTGCAAGGAAATCCGGCCTCCTTTCAAGTTAGGGCTTCTCGCTGTATATTCCCCTTGAGGCACAAACTCGGCGTCCCTCCCACATACTTATTGCTGAGAGAAGCCTCCTCCTGAGGTGCTTCTGGAAAGTTGGCATACGTCTTGAGCGTTGGCCAGGGAATCAGCTCTCATCTCGAGACGATTTGGGGTACAGAGAGCATTCCTCGAGTTGCTCGGCTGAAGTTGGTGTTCCTCTCGACTTGGGACAGTGTTCTCGGGGCATCTCTGGAGTTACCTGAAGGAAGTCGAGCCACCGGTTGTGTTGAATGGGGAACGGGGAATGTCTCTGGAGTCAATGCAGGGGAATCGGGCCTCATCTCGAGTTGATTTGGGGCACATGGAGCTGCTTTGTGTTGCTGGGGTGACGTCAGGGTCCGTCTAGACTGGTGACAGTGTTCTTGGGGACTGTCTCGAGATCCATTAAGCAAGTCGAAGCTCCTGACTTGTTTGAATGGGATCACGGAATAGCTCTGCATGCACTGCAGGGGAATGGGGCCTCATCTCGCCTCTAGGGGGAAGTCTCATGGTTTTTCTCGAGTTGCGGCGGGGACCTGGGGTATGTTCTCGACTTACGGCGGGGATGGCCCTTCAAAACACGAGTTTCTTCAGTGACGTCAGGACTCCTGTCTTGTAACGAGGGACACCTCAGGAATCTCTACGAGGCTTGGCAGGGCAAAAGGGACGCTTCTCGAGGTGAGGCAGGGTACCCAAGGACCCTTTCCAGTAGCCACAGCGATTTTGGGATTCCTATCAGTATTCAAGAGGAGTCAGGCATCGTCACCTTTTGAAGCAATGAACTCCGCGTGCCTTTCGAGGTGTCAGTGGGATGTGAGGCATTCCGTCAAAATGAGGCAGGGACCTAGGGCTTTCTCTAAGGTCTCCACAGGGGATTCAGACATCCCTTCATGTTGTGAGATGAAAGACGAGCCTGTATTCAAGCCACTGCAAGGAAATGCGGCCTCCTTTCAAGTTAGGGCTTCTCGCTGTATATTCCCCTTGAGGCAACAAACTCGGGGTCCCTTCCACATACCTATTGCTGAGAGAAGCCTCCTCCTCAGGTGCTTCTGGAAAGTTGGCATACGTCTTGAGCCTAATCCAGGGAATCAGCTCTCATCTCGAGACAATTTGGGGTACATGGAGCATTCCTCGAGTTGCTGTGCTGAAGTTGTTGTTCCTCTAGCCTTGGGACAGTGTTCTCGGGGCATCTCTGGAGTTGCCTGAAGGAAGTCGAGCCACCGGTCGTGTTGAATGGGGAACGGGGAATGGCTCTGGAGTCAATGCATGGGAATCGGGCCTCATCTCGAGTTGATTTGGGGCACATGGAGCTGCTTTGCGTTGCTGGGGTGACTTCAGGGTCCGTCTAGACTGGTGACAGTGTTCTTGGGGACTGTCTCGAGATCCATTAAGCAAGTCGAAACTCCTGACTTGTTTGAATGGGATCACGGGATAGCTCTGCATGCACTGCAGGGGAATGTGGCCTCATCTCGCCTCAAGGGGGAAGTCTCATGGTTTTTCTCGTGTTGAGGCGGGGACCTGGGCTATGTTCTCGACTTACGGCGGGGATGGCCCTTCAAAACACGAGTTTCTTCAGTGACGTCAGGACTCCTGTCTAGTAACGAGGGACACCTCAGGAATCTCTTCGAGGCTTGGCAGGGCAAAAGGGACGCTTCTCGAGGTAAGGCAGGGCACCCAAGGACCCTTTCCCGTAGCCACAGGGATTTTGGGATTCCTATCAGTATTCAAGAGGAGTCAGGCATCGTCACCTTTTGAAGCAATGAACTCCGCGTGCCTCTCGAGGTGCCAGTGGGATGTGAGGCATTCCGTCAAAATGAGGCAGGGACCTAGGGCTTTCTCTAAGGTCTCCACAGGGGATTCAGACATCCCTTCATGTTGTGAGATGAAAGACGAGCCTGTATTCAAGCCACTGCAAGGAAATCCGGCCTCCTTTCAAGTTAGGGCTTCTCGCTGTATATTCCCCTTGAGGCAGCAAACTCGGGTCCCTCCCACATACCTATTGCTGAGAGAAGCCTCCTCCTGAGGTGCTTCTGGAAAGTTGGCATACGTCTTGAGCCTAATCCAGGGAATCAGCTCTCATCTCGAGACGATTTGGGGTACACGGAGCATTCCTCAAGTTGCTGTGCTGAAGTTGGTGTTCCTCTAGACTTGGGACAGTGTTCTCGGGGCATCTCTGGAGTTGCCTGAAGGAAGTCGAGCCACCGGTCTTGTTGAATGGGGAACGGGGAATGGCTCTGGAGTCAATGCAGGGGAATCGGGCCTCATCTCGAGTTGATTTGGGGCACATGGAGCTGCTTTGCGTTGCTGGGGTGACCTCACGGTCCGTCTAGACTGGTGACAGTGTTCTTGGGGACTGTCTCGAGATCCACTAAGCAAGTCGAAGCTCCTGACTTGTTTGAATGGGATCACGGAATAGCTCTGCATGCACTGCAGGGGAATGGGGCCTCATCTCGCCTCAAGGGGGAAGTCTCATGGTTTTTCTCGAGTTGCGGCGGGGACCTGGGGTATGTTCTCGACTTACGGCGGGGATGGCCCTTCAAAACACGAGTTTCTTCAGTGACCTCAGGACTCCTGTCTTGTAACGAGGGACACCTCAGGAATCTCTTCGAGGCTTGGCAGGGCAAAAGGGACGCTTCTCGAGGTGAGGCAGGGCACCCAAGGACACTTTCCAGTAGCCACAGGGATTTTGGGAGTCCTATCATTATTCAAGAGGAGTCAGGCATCGTCACCTTTTGAAGCAATTTACTCCGCGTGCCTCTCGAGGTGTCAGCGGGATGTGAGGCATTCCGTCAAAATGAGGCAGGGACCTAGGGCCTTCTCTAAGGTCTCCACAGGGGATTCAGACATCCCTTCATGTTGTGAGATGAAAGACGAGCCTGTATTCAAGCCACTGCAAGGAAATCCGGCCTCCTTTCAAGTTAGGGCTTCTTGCTGTATATTCCCCTTGAGGCAGCAAACTCGGGGTCCCTTCCACATACCTATTGCTGAGAGAAGCCTCCTCCTGAGGTGCTTCTGGAAAGTTGGCATATGTCTTGAGCCTAAGCCAAGGAATCAGCTCTCATCTCGAGACGATTGGGGGTACACGGAGCATTCCTCGAGTTGCTGTGCTGAAGTTGTTGTTCCTCTAGCCTTTGGACAGTTTTCTCGGGGCATCTCTGGAGTTGCCTGAAGGAAGTCGAGCCACCGGTCGTGTTGAATGGGGAACGGGGAATGGCTCTGGAGTGAATGCAGGGGAATCGGGCCTCATCTCGAGTTGATTTGGGGCACATGGAGCTGCTTTGCGTTGCTGGGGTGACCTCAGGGTCCGTCTAGACTGCTGACAGTGTTCTTCGGGACTGTCTCGAGATCCATTAAGGAAGTCGAAGCTCCTGACTTGTTTGAATGGGATCACGGAATAGCTCTGCATGCACTGCAGGGGAATGGGGCCTCATCTCGCCTCTAGGGGGAAGTCACATGGTTTTTCTCGAGTTGCGGCGGGGACCTGGGGTATGTTCTCGACTTACGGCGGGGATGGCCGTTCAAAACACGAGTTTCTTCAGTGACGTCAGGACTCCTGTCTAGTAACGAGGGACACCTCAGGAATCTCTAAGAGGCTTGTCAGGGCAAAAGGGACGCTTCTCGAGGTGAGGCAGGGCACCCAAGGACGCTTTCCCCTAGCCACAGGGATTTTGGGATTCCTATCAGTATTCAAGAGGAGTCAGGCATCGTCACCTTTTGAAGCAATGAACTCCGCGTGCCTCTCGAGGTGTCAGCGGGATGTGAGGCATTCCGTCAAAATGAGGCAGGGACCTAGGGCTTTCTCTAAGGTCTCCACAGGGGATTCAGACATCCCTTCATGTTGTGAGATGAAAGACAAGCCTGTATTCAAGCCACTGCAAGGAAATGCGGCCTCCGTTCAAGTTAGGGCTTCTCGCTGTATATTCCCCTTGAGGCAGCAAACTCGGGGTCCCTTCCACATACCTATTGCTGAGAGAAGCCTCCTCCTGAGGTGCTTCTGGAAAGTTGGCATACGTCTTGAGCCTAATCCAGGGAATCAGCTCTCATCTCGAGACAATTTGTGGTACACGGAGCATTAGTCGAGTTGCTGTGCTGAAGTTGGTGTTCCTCTAGACTTGGGACAGTGTTCTCGGGGCATCTCTGGAGTTGCCTGAAGGAAGTCGAGCCACCGGTCGTGTTGAATGGGGAACGGGGAATGTCTCTGGAGTCAATGCAGGGGAATCGGGCCTCATCTCGAGTTGATTTGGGGCACATGGAGCTGCTTTGCGTTGCTGGGGTGACCTCAGGGTCCGTCTAGACTGGTGACAGTGTTCTTGGGGACTGTCTCGAGATCCATTAAGCAAGTCGAAGCTCCTGACTTGTTTGAATGGGATCATGGGATAGCTCTGCATGCACTGCAAGGGAATGGGGCCTCATCTCGCCTCTAGGGGGAAGTCTCATGGTTTTTCTCGAGTTGAGGCGGGGACCTGGGGTATGTTCTCGACTTACGGCGGGGATGGCCCTTCAAAACACGAGCTTCTTCAGTGACGTCAGGACTCCTGTCTAGTAACGACGGACACCTCAGGAATCTCTAAGAGGCTTGGCAGGGCAAAAGGGACGCTTCTCGAGGTGAGGCAGGGCTCCCAAGGACGCTTTCCCCTAGCCACAGCGATTTTGGGATTCCTATCAGTATTCAAGAGGAGTCAGGCATCGTCACCTTTTGAAGCAATGAACTCCGCGTGCCTCTCGAGGTGTCAGCGGGATGTGAGGCATTCCGTCAAAATGAGGCAGGGACCTAGGGCTTTCTCTAAGGTCTCCACAGGGGATTCAGACATCCCTTCATGTTGTGAGATGAAAGAAGAGCCTGTATTCAAGCCACTGCAAGGAAATCCGGCCTCCTTTCAAGTTAGGGCTTCTCGCTGTATATTCCCCTTGAGGCACAAACTCGGCGTCCCTCCCACATACTTATTGCTGAGAGAAGCCTCCTCCTGAGGTGCTTCTGGAAAGTTGGCATACGTCTTGAGCGTTGGCCAGGGAATCAGCTCTCATCTCGAGACGATTTGGGGTACAGAGAGCATTCCTCGAGTTGCTCGGCTGAAGTTGGTGTTCCTCTCGACTTGGGACAGTGTTCTCGGGGCATCTCTGGAGTTACCTGAAGGAAGTCGAGCCACCGGTTGTGTTGAATGGGGAACGGGGAATGTCTCTGGAGTCAATGCAGGGGAATCGGGCCTCATCTCGAGTTGATTTGGGGCACATGGAGCTGCTTTGTGTTGCTGGGGTGACGTCAGGGTCCGTCTAGACTGGTGACAGTGTTCTTGGGGACTGTCTCGAGATCCATTAAGCAAGTCGAAGCTCCTGACTTGTTTGAATGGGATCACGGAATAGCTCTGCATGCACTGCAGGGGAATGGGGCCTCATCTCGCCTCTAGGGGGAAGTCTCATGGTTTTTCTCGAGTTGCGGCGGGGACCTGGGGTATGTTCTCGACTTACGGCGGGGATGGCCCTTCAAAACACGAGTTTCTTCAGTGACGTCAGGACTCCTGTCTTGTAACGAGGGACACCTCAGGAATCTCTACGAGGCTTGGCAGGGCAAAAGGGACGCTTCTCGAGGTGAGGCAGGGTACCCAAGGACCCTTTCCAGTAGCCACAGCGATTTTGGGATTCCTATCAGTATTCAAGAGGAGTCAGGCATCGTCACCTTTTGAAGCAATGAACTCCGCGTGCCTTTCGAGGTGTCAGTGGGATGTGAGGCATTCCGTCAAAATGAGGCAGGGACCTAGGGCTTTCTCTAAGGTCTCCACAGGGGATTCAGACATCCCTTCATGTTGTGAGATGAAAGACGAGCCTGTATTCAAGCCACTGCAAGGAAATGCGGCCTCCTTTCAAGTTAGGGCTTCTCGCTGTATATTCCCCTTGAGGCAACAAACTCGGGGTCCCTTCCACATACCTATTGCTGAGAGAAGCCTCCTCCTCAGGTGCTTCTGGAAAGTTGGCATACGTCTTGAGCCTAATCCAGGGAATCAGCTCTCATCTCGAGACAATTTGGGGTACATGGAGCATTCCTCGAGTTGCTGTGCTGAAGTTGTTGTTCCTCTAGCCTTGGGACAGTGTTCTCGGGGCATCTCTGGAGTTGCCTGAAGGAAGTCGAGCCACCGGTCGTGTTGAATGGGGAACGGGGAATGGCTCTGGAGTCAATGCATGGGAATCGGGCCTCATCTCGAGTTGATTTGGGGCACATGGAGCTGCTTTGCGTTGCTGGGGTGACTTCAGGGTCCGTCTAGACTGGTGACAGTGTTCTTGGGGACTGTCTCGAGATCCATTAAGCAAGTCGAAACTCCTGACTTGTTTGAATGGGATCACGGGATAGCTCTGCATGCACTGCAGGGGAATGTGGCCTCATCTCGCCTCAAGGGGGAAGTCTCATGGTTTTTCTCGTGTTGAGGCGGGGACCTGGGCTATGTTCTCGACTTACGGCGGGGATGGCCCTTCAAAACACGAGTTTCTTCAGTGACGTCAGGACTCCTGTCTAGTAACGAGGGACACCTCAGGAATCTCTTCGAGGCTTGGCAGGGCAAAAGGGACGCTTCTCGAGGTAAGGCAGGGCACCCAAGGACCCTTTCCCGTAGCCACAGGGATTTTGGGATTCCTATCAGTATTCAAGAGGAGTCAGGCATCGTCACCTTTTGAAGCAATGAACTCCGCGTGCCTCTCGAGGTGCCAGTGGGATGTGAGGCATTCCGTCAAAATGAGGCAGGGACCTAGGGCTTTCTCTAAGGTCTCCACAGGGGATTCAGACATCCCTTCATGTTGTGAGATGAAAGACGAGCCTGTATTCAAGCCACTGCAAGGAAATCCGGCCTCCTTTCAAGTTAGGGCTTCTCGCTGTATATTCCCCTTGAGGCAGCAAACTCGGGTCCCTCCCACATACCTATTGCTGAGAGAAGCCTCCTCCTGAGGTGCTTCTGGAAAGTTGGCATACGTCTTGAGCCTAATCCAGGGAATCAGCTCTCATCTCGAGACGATTTGGGGTACACGGAGCATTCCTCAAGTTGCTGTGCTGAAGTTGGTGTTCCTCTAGACTTGGGACAGTGTTCTCGGGGCATCTCTGGAGTTGCCTGAAGGAAGTCGAGCCACCGGTCTTGTTGAATGGGGAACGGGGAATGGCTCTGGAGTCAATGCAGGGGAATCGGGCCTCATCTCGAGTTGATTTGGGGCACATGGAGCTGCTTTGCGTTGCTGGGGTGACCTCACGGTCCGTCTAGACTGGTGACAGTGTTCTTGGGGACTGTCTCGAGATCCACTAAGCAAGTCGAAGCTCCTGACTTGTTTGAATGGGATCACGGAATAGCTCTGCATGCACTGCAGGGGAATGGGGCCTCATCTCGCCTCAAGGGGGAAGTCTCATGGTTTTTCTCGAGTTGCGGCGGGGACCTGGGGTATGTTCTCGACTTACGGCGGGGATGGCCCTTCAAAACACGAGTTTCTTCAGTGACCTCAGGACTCCTGTCTTGTAACGAGGGACACCTCAGGAATCTCTTCGAGGCTTGGCAGGGCAAAAGGGACGCTTCTCGAGGTGAGGCAGGGCACCCAAGGACACTTTCCAGTAGCCACAGGGATTTTGGGAGTCCTATCATTATTCAAGAGGAGTCAGGCATCGTCACCTTTTGAAGCAATTTACTCCGCGTGCCTCTCGAGGTGTCAGCGGGATGTGAGGCATTCCGTCAAAATGAGGCAGGGACCTAGGGCCTTCTCTAAGGTCTCCACAGGGGATTCAGACATCCCTTCATGTTGTGAGATGAAAGACGAGCCTGTATTCAAGCCACTGCAAGGAAATCCGGCCTCCTTTCAAGTTAGGGCTTCTTGCTGTATATTCCCCTTGAGGCAGCAAACTCGGGGTCCCTTCCACATACCTATTGCTGAGAGAAGCCTCCTCCTGAGGTGCTTCTGGAAAGTTGGCATATGTCTTGAGCCTAAGCCAAGGAATCAGCTCTCATCTCGAGACGATTGGGGGTACACGGAGCATTCCTCGAGTTGCTGTGCTGAAGTTGTTGTTCCTCTAGCCTTTGGACAGTTTTCTCGGGGCATCTCTGGAGTTGCCTGAAGGAAGTCGAGCCACCGGTCGTGTTGAATGGGGAACGGGGAATGGCTCTGGAGTGAATGCAGGGGAATCGGGCCTCATCTCGAGTTGATTTGGGGCACATGGAGCTGCTTTGCGTTGCTGGGGTGACCTCAGGGTCCGTCTAGACTGCTGACAGTGTTCTTCGGGACTGTCTCGAGATCCATTAAGGAAGTCGAAGCTCCTGACTTGTTTGAATGGGATCACGGAATAGCTCTGCATGCACTGCAGGGGAATGGGGCCTCATCTCGCCTCTAGGGGGAAGTCACATGGTTTTTCTCGAGTTGCGGCGGGGACCTGGGGTATGTTCTCGACTTACGGCGGGGATGGCCGTTCAAAACACGAGTTTCTTCAGTGACGTCAGGACTCCTGTCTAGTAACGAGGGACACCTCAGGAATCTCTAAGAGGCTTGTCAGGGCAAAAGGGACGCTTCTCGAGGTGAGGCAGGGCACCCAAGGACGCTTTCCCCTAGCCACAGGGATTTTGGGATTCCTATCAGTATTCAAGAGGAGTCAGGCATCGTCACCTTTTGAAGCAATGAACTCCGCGTGCCTCTCGAGGTGTCAGCGGGATGTGAGGCATTCCGTCAAAATGAGGCAGGGACCTAGGGCTTTCTCTAAGGTCTCCACAGGGGATTCAGACATCCCTTCATGTTGTGAGATGAAAGACAAGCCTGTATTCAAGCCACTGCAAGGAAATGCGGCCTCCGTTCAAGTTAGGGCTTCTCGCTGTATATTCCCCTTGAGGCAGCAAACTCGGGGTCCCTTCCACATACCTATTGCTGAGAGAAGCCTCCTCCTGAGGTGCTTCTGGAAAGTTGGCATACGTCTTGAGCCTAATCCAGGGAATCAGCTCTCATCTCGAGACAATTTGTGGTACACGGAGCATTAGTCGAGTTGCTGTGCTGAAGTTGGTGTTCCTCTAGACTTGGGACAGTGTTCTCGGGGCATCTCTGGAGTTGCCTGAAGGAAGTCGAGCCACCGGTCGTGTTGAATGGGGAACGGGGAATGTCTCTGGAGTCAATGCAGGGGAATCGGGCCTCATCTCGAGTTGATTTGGGGCACATGGAGCTGCTTTGCGTTGCTGGGGTGACCTCAGGGTCCGTCTAGACTGGTGACAGTGTTCTTGGGGACTGTCTCGAGATCCATTAAGCAAGTCGAAGCTCCTGACTTGTTTGAATGGGATCACGGAATAGCTCTGCATGCACTGCAGGGGAATGGGGCCTCATCTCGCCTCTAGGGGGAAGTCTCATGGTTTTTCTCGAGTTGCGGCGGGGACCTGGGGTATGTTCTCGACTTACGGCGGGGATGGCCCTTCAAAACACGAGTTTCTTCAGTGACGTCAGGACTCCTGTCTAGTAACGAGGGACACCTCAGGAATCTCTAAGAGGCTTGTCAGGGCAAAAGGGACGCTTCTCGAGGTGAGGCAGGGCACCCAAGGACGCTTTCCCCTAGCCACAGGGATTTTGGGATTCCTATCAGTATTCAAGAGGAGTCAGGCATCGTCACCTTTTGAAGCAATGAACTCCGCGTGCCTCTCGAGGTGTCAGCGGGATGTGAGGCATTCCGTCAAAATGAGGCAGGGACCTAGGGCTTTCTCTAAGGTCTCCACAGGGGATTCAGACATCCCTTCATGTTGTGAGATGAAAGAAGAGCCTGTATTCAAGCCACTGCAAGGAAATCCGGCCTCCTTTCAAGTTAGGGCTTCTCGCTGTATATTCCCCTTGAGGCACAAACTCGGGGTCACTCCCACATACTTATTGCTGAGAGAAGCCTCCTCCTGAGGTGCTTCTGGAAAGTTGGCATACGTCTTGAGCCTAAGCCAGGGAATCAGCTCTCATCTCGAGATGATTTGGGTTACACGGAGCATTCCTCGAGTTGCTGTGCTGAAGTTGGTGTTCCTCTAGACTTGGGACAGTGTTCTCGGGGCATCTCTGGAGTTGCCTGAAGGAAGTCGAGCCACCGGTCGTGTTGAATGGGGAACGGGGAATGGCTCTGGAGTCAATGCAGGGGAATCGGGCCTCATCTCGAGTTGATTTGGGGCACATGGAGCTGCTTTGCGTTGCTGGAGTGACCTCAGGGTCCGTCTAGACTGGTGACAGTGTTCTTGGGGACTGTCTCGAGATCCATTAAGCAAGTCGAAGCTCCTGACTTGTTTGAATGGGATCACGGAATAGCTCTCCATGCACTGCAGGGGAATGGGGCCTCATCTCGCCTCTACGGGGAAGTCTCATGGTTTTTCTCAAGTTGCGGCGGAGACCTGGGGTATGTTCTCGACTTACGGCGGGGATGGCCCTTCAAAACACGAGTTTCTTCAGTGACGTCAGGACTCCTGTCTTGTAACGAGGGACACCTCAGGAATCTCTTCGAGGCTTGGCAGGGCAAAAGGGACGCTTCTCGAGGTGAGGCAGGGTACCCAAGGACCCTTTCCAGTAGCCACAGGGATTTTGGGATTCCTATCAGTATTCAAGAGGAGTCAGTCATCATCACCTTTTGAAGCAATGAACTCCGCGTGCCTCTCGAGGTGTCAGTGGGATGTGAGGTATTCCGTCAAAATGAGGCAGGGACCTAGGGCTTTCTCTAACGTCTCCACAGGGGATTCAGACATCCCTTCATGTTGTGAGATGAAAGACGAGCCTGTATTCAAGCCACTGCAAGGAAATGCGGACTCCTTTCAAGTTAGGGATTCTTGCTGTATATTCCCCTTGAGGCAGCAAACTCGGGGTCCCTTCCACATACCTATTGCTGACAGAAGCCTCCTCCTGAGGTGCTTCTGGAAAGTTGGCATACGTCTTGAGCCTAAGCCAGGGAATCAGCTCTCATCTCGAGACAATTTGGGGTACACGGAGCATTCCTCGAGTTGCTGTGCTGAAGTTGGTGTTCCTCTAGACTTGGGACAGTGTTCTCGGGGCATCTCTGGAGTTGCCTGAAGGAAGTCGAGCCACCGGTCGTGTTGAATGGGGATCGGGGAATGGCTCTGGAGTCAATGCAGGGGAATCGGGCCTCATCTCGAGTTGATTTGGGGCACATGGAGCTGCTTTGCGTTGCTGGGGTGACTTCAGGGTCCGTCTAGACTGGTGACAGTGTTCTTGGGGACTGTCTCGAGATCCATTAAGCAAGTCGAAACTCCTGACTTGTTTGAATGGGATCACAGAATAGCTCTGCATGCACTGCAGGGGAATGGGGCCTCATCTCGCCTCTAGGGGGAAGTCTCATGGTTTTTCTCGAGTTGCGGCGGGGACCTGGTGTATGTTCTCGACTTACGGCGGGGATGGCCCTTCAAAACACGAGTTTCTTCAGTGACGTCAGGACTCCTGTCTAGTAACGACGGACACCTCAGGAATCTCTAAGAGGCTTGGCAGGGCAAAAGCGACGCTTCTCGAGGTGAGGCAGGGCACCCAAGGACGCTTTCCCCTAGCCACAGGGATTTTGGGATTCCTATCAGTATTCAAGAGGAGTCAGGCATCGTCACCTTTTGAAGCAATGAACTCCGCGTGCTTCTCGAGGTGTCAGCGGGATGTGAGGCATTCCGTCAAAATGAGGCAGGGACCTACGTCTTTCTCTAAGGTCTCCACAGGGGATTCAGACATCCCTTCATGTTGTGAGATGAAAGACGAGCCTGTATTCAAGCCACTGCAAGGAAATCCGGCCTCCTTTCAAGTTAGGGCTTCTCGCTGTATATTCTCCTTGAGGCAGCAAACTCGGGTCCCTCCCACATACCTATTGCTGAGAGAAGCCTCCTCCTGAGGTGCTTCTGGAAAGTTGGCATACGTCTTGAGCCTAATCCAGGGAATCAGCTCTCATCTCGAGACGATTTGGGGTACACGGAGCATTCCTCAAGTTGCTGTGCTGAAGTTGGTGTTCCTCTAGACTTGGGACAGTGTTCTCGGGGCATCTCTGGAGTTGCCTGAAGGAAGTCGAGCCACCGGTCTTGTTGAATGGGGAACGGGGAATGGCTCTGGAGTCAATGCAGGGGAATCGGGCCTCATCTCGTGTTGATTTGGGGCACATGGAGCTGCTTTGCGTTGCTGGGGTGACCTCAGGGTCCGTCTAGACTGGTGACAGTGTTCTTGGGGACTGTCTCGAGATCCACTAAGCAAGTCGAAGCTCCTGACTTGTTTGAATGGGATCACGGAATAGCTCTGCATGCACTGCAGGGGAATGGGGCCTCATCTCGCCTCAAGGGGGAAGTCTCATGGTTTTTCTCGAGTTGCGGCGGGGACCTGGGGTATGTTCTCGACTTACGGCGGGGATGGCCCTTCAAAACACGAGTTTCTTCAGTGACCTCAGGACTCCTGTCTTGTAACGAGGGACACCTCAGGAATCTCTTCGAGGCTTGGCAGGGCAAAAGGGACGCTTCTCGAGGTGAGGCAGGGCACCCAAGGACCCTTTCCAGTAGCCACAGGGATTTTGGGATTCCTATCAGTATTCAAGAGGAGTCAGGCATCGTCACCTTTTGAAGCAATGAACTCCGCGTGCCTCTCAAGGTGTCAGCGGGATGTGAGGCATTCCGTCAAAATGAGGCAGGGACCTAGGGCTTTCTCTAAGGTCTCCACAGGGGATTCAGACATCCCTTCATGTTGTGAGATGAAAGACGAGCCTGTATTCAAGCCACTGCAAGGAAATGCGGCCTCCTTTCAAGTTAGGGCTTCTCGCTGTATATTCCCATTGACGTAGCAAACTCGGGGTCCCTTCCACATACCTATTGCTGAGAGAAGCCTTCTCCTGAGGTGCTTCTGGAAAGTTGGCATACGTCTTGAGCATAATCCAGGGAATCAGCTCTCATCTCGAGACAATTTGGGGTACACGGAGCATTCCTCGAGTTGCTGTGCTGAATTTGGTGTTCCTCTAGACTTGGGACAGTGTTCTCGGGGCATCTCTGGCGTTGCCTGAAGGAAGTCGAGCCACCGGTCGTGTTGAATGGGGAACGGGGAATGGCTCTGGGGTCAATGCAGGGGAATCGGGCCTCATCTCGAGTTGATTTGGGGCACATGGAGCTGCTTTGCGTTGCTGGGTTGACCTCAGGGTCCGTCTAGACTGGTGACAGTGTTCTTGGGGACTGTCTCGAGATCCATTAAGCAAGTCGAAGCTCCTGACTTGTTTGAATGGGATCATGGGATAGCTCTGCATGCACTGCAAGGGAATGGGGCCTCATCTCGCCTCTAGGGGGAAGTCTCATGGTTTTTCTCGAGTTGCGGCGGGGACCTGGGGTATGTTCTCGTCTTACGGCGGGGATGGCCCTTCAAAACACGAGTTTCTTCAGTGACGTCAGGACTCCTGTCTAGTAATGAGGGACACCTCAGGAATCTCTTCGAGGCTTGGCAGGGCAAAAGGGACGCTTCTCGAGGTGAGGCAGGGCACCCAAGGACCCTTTCCCGTAGCCACAGGGATTTTGGGATTCCTATCAGTATTCAAGAGGAGTCAGGCATCGTCACCTTTTGAAGCAATGAACTCCGCGTGCCTCTCGAGGTGTCAGCGGGATGTGAGGCATTCCGTCAAAATGAGGCAGGGACCTAGGGCTTTCTCTAAGGTCTCCACAGGGGATTCAGACATCCCTTCATGTTGTGAGATCAAAGACGAGCCTGTATTCAAGCCACTGCAAGGAAATGCGGCCTCCTTTCAATTTAGGGCTTCTCGCTGTATATTCCCCTTGAGGCAGCAAACTCGGGGTCCCTTCCACATACCTATTGCTGAGAGAAGCCTCCTTCTGAGGTGCTTCTGGAAAGTTGGCATAAGTCTTGAGCCTAAGCCAGGGAATCAGCTCTCATCTCGAGACGATTTGGGGTACACGAAGCATTCCTCGAGTTGCTGTGCTGAAGTTGGTGTTCCTCTAGACTTGGGACCGTGTTCTCAGGGCATCTCTGGAGTTGCCTGAAGGAAGTCGAGCCACCGGTCGTGTTGAATGGGGAACGGGGAATGGCTCTGGAGTCAATGCAGGGGAATCGGGCCTCATCTCGAGTTGATTTGGGGCACATGGAGCTGCTTTGCGTTGCTGGGGTGACCTCAGGGTCCGTCTAGACTGGTGACAGTGTTCTTGGGGACTGTCTCGAGATCCATTAAGCAAGTCGAAGCTCCTGACTTGTTTGAATGGGATCACGGAATAGCTCTGCATGCACTGCAGGGGAATGGGTCCTCATCTCGCCTCTAGGGGGAAGTCTCATGGTTTTACTCTAGTTGCGGCGGGGACCTGGGGTATGTTCTCGACTTACGGCGGGGATGGCCGTTCAAAACACGAGTTTCTTCAGTGACCTCAGGACTCCTGTCTAGTAACGAGGGACACCTCAGGAATCTCTTCGAGGCTTGGCAGGGCAAAAGGGACGCTTCTCGAGGTGAGGCAGGGCCCCCAAGGACCCTTTCCCGTAGCCACAGGGATTTTGGGATTCCTATCAGTATTCAAGAGGAGTCAGGCATCGTCACCTTTTGAAGCAATGAACTCCGCGTGCCTCTCGAGGTGTCAGCGGGATGTGAGGCATTCCGTCAAAATGAGGCAGGGACCTAGGGCTTTCTCTAAGGTCTCCACAGGGGATTCAGACATCCCTTCATGTTGTGAGATGAAAGACGAGCCTGTATTCAAGCCACTGCAAGGAAATCCGGCCTCCTTTCAAGTTATGGCTTCTCGCTGTATATTCCCCTTGAGGCAGCAAACTCGGGGTCCCTCCCACATACCTATTGCTGGGAGAAGCCTCCTCCTGAGGTGCTTCTGGAAAGTTGGCATACGTCTTGAGCCTAAGCCAGGGAATCAGCTCTCATCTCTAGACGATTTGGGGTACACGGAGCATTCCTCAAGTGCTGTGCTGAGGTTGGTGTTCCTCTAGACTTGGGACACTGTTGTCGGGGCATCTCTGGAGTTGCCTGAAGGAAGTCGAGCCACCGGTCGTGTTGAATGGGGAACGGGGAATGGCTCTGGCCTCAATGCAGGCGAATGGGACCTCATCTCGAGTTGATTTGGGGCACATGGAGCTGCTTTGCTTTGCTGGGTTGACCTCAGGGTCCGTCTAGACTGGTGACAGTGTTCTTGGGGACTCTCTCAAGATCCATTAAGCAAGTCGAAGCTCCTGACTTGTTGGAATGGGATCACGGAATAGCTCTGCATGCACTGCAGCGGAATGGGACCTCATCTCGCCTCTAGGGGGAAGTCTCATGGTTTTTCTCGAGTTGCGGCGGGGACCTGGGGTATGTTCTCGACTTACGGCGGGGATGGCCCTTCAAAACACGAGTTTCTTCAGTGACGTCAGGACTCCTGTCTAGTAACGAGGGACACTTCAGGAATCTCTATGAGGCTTGGCAGGGCAAAAGGGACGCTTCTCGAGGTGAGGCAGGGTACCCAAGGACGCTTTCCCCTAGCCACAGCGATTTTGGGATTCCTATCAGTATTCAAGAGGAGTCAGGCATCGTCACCTTTTGAAGCAATGAACTCCGCGTGCCTCTCGAGGTGTCAGCGGGATGTGAGGCATTCCGTCAAAATGAGGCAGGGACCTAGGTCTTTCTCTAAGGTCTCCACAGGGGATTCAGACATCCCTTCATGTTGTGAGATGAAAGACGAGCCTGTATTCAAGCCACTGCAAGGAAATCCGGCCTCCTTTCAAGTTAGGGCTTCTCGCTGTATATTCCCCTTGAGGCAGCAAACTCGGGTCCCTCCCACATACCTATTGCTGAGAGAAGCCTCCTCCTGAGGTGCTTCTGGAAAGTTGGCATAAGTCTTGAGCCTAAGCCAGGGAATCAGCTCTCATCTCGAGACGATTTGGGGTACACGGAGCATTCCTCAAGTTGCTGTGCTGTAGTTGGTGTTCCTCTAGACTTGGGACAGTGTTCTCGGGGCATCTCTGGAGTTGCCTGAAGGAAGTCGAGCCACCGGTCGTGTTGAATGGGGAACGGGGAATGGCTCTGGAGTGAATGCAGGGGAATCGGGCCTCATCTCGAGTTGATTTGGGACACATGGAGCTGCTTTGCGTTGCTGGGGTGACCTCAGGGTCCGTCTAGACTGGTGACAGTGTTCTTGGGGACTGTCTCGAGATCCACTAAGCAAGTCGAAGCTCCTGACTTGTTTGAATGGGATCACGGGATAGCTCTGCATGCACTGCAGGGGAATCGGGCCTCATCTCGCCTCAAGGGGGAAGTCTCATGGTTTTTCTCGAGTTGCGGCGGGGACTTGGGGTATGTTCTCGATTTACGGCGGGGATGGCCCTTCAAAACACGTGTTTCTTCAGTGACGTCAGGACTCCTGTCTAGTAACGAGGGACACCTCAGGAATCTCTTCGAGGCTTGGCAGGGCAAAAGGGACGCTTCTCGAGGTGAGGCAGGGCACCCAAGGACCCTTTCCCGTAGCCACAGGGATTTTGGGATTCCTATCAGTATTCAAGAGGAGTCAGGCATCGTCACCTTTTGAAGCAATGAACTCAGCGTGCCTCTCGAGGTGTCAGCGGGACGTGAGGCATTCCGTCAAAATGAGGCAGGGACCTAGGGCTTTCTCTAAGGTCTCCACAGGGGATTCAGACATCCCTTCATGTTGTGAGATGAAAGACGAGCCTGTATTCAAGCCACTGCAAGGAAATCCGGCCTCCTTTCATGTTAGGGCTTCTCGCGGTATATTCCCCTTGAGGCGGCAAACTCGGGGTCCCTCCCACATACCTATTGCTGAGAGAAGCCTCCTCCTGAGGTGCTTCTGGAAAGTTGGCATACGTCTTGAACCTAAGCCAGGGAATCAGCTCTCATCTCGAGACGATTTGGGGTACACGAAGCATTCCTCGAGTTGCTGTGCTGAAGTTGGTGTTCCTCTAGACTTGGGACAGTGTTCTCGGGGCATCTCTGGAGTTGCCTGAAGGAAGTCGAGCCACCGGTCGTGTTGAATGGGGAACGGGGAATGGCTCTGGAGTCAATGCAGGGGAATCGGGCCTCATCTCGAGTTGATTTGGGGCACATGGAGCTGCTTTGCGTTGCTGGGGTGACCTCAGGGTCCGTCTAGACTGGTGACAGTGTTCTTGGGGACTCTCTGGAGATCCATTAAGCAAGTCGAAACTCCTGACTGGTTTGAATGGGATCACGGAATAGCTCTGCATGCACTGCAGGGGAATGGGGCCTCATCTCGCCTCTAGGGGGAAGTCTCATGGTTTTTCTCGAGTTGCAGCGGGGATCTGGTGTATGTTCTCGACTTACGGCGGGGATGGCCCTTCAAAACACGAGTTTCTTCAGTGACGTCAGGACTCCTGTCTAGTAACGACGGACACCTCAGTAATCTCTACGAGGCTTGGCAGGGCAAAAGGGACGCTTCTCGAGGTGAGGCAGGGCACCCAAGGACGCTTTCCCCTAGCCACAGGGATTTTGGGATTCCTATCAGTATTCAAGAGGAGTCAGGCATCGTCACCTTTTGAAGCAATGAACTCCGCGTGCTTCTCGAGGTGTCAGCGGGATGTGAGGCATTCCGTCAAAATGAGGCAGGGACCTAGGTCTTTCTCTAAGGTCTCCACAGGGGATTCAGACATCCCTTCATGTTGTGAGATGAAAGACGAGCCTGTATTCAAGCCACTGCAAGGAAATCCGGCCTCCTTTCAAGTTAGGGCTTCTCGCTGTATATTCCCCTTGAGGCAGCAAACTCGGGTCCCTCCCACATACCTATTGCTGAGAGAAGCCTCCTCCTGAGGTGCTTCTGGAAAGTTGGCATACGTCTTGAGCCTAAGCCAGGGAATCAGCTCTCATCTCTAGACGATTTGGGGTACACGGAGCATTCCTCAAGTGCTGTTCTGAGGTTGGTGTTCCTCTAGACTTGGGACACTGTTGTCGGGGCATCTCTGGAGTTGCCTGAAGGAAGTCGAGCCACCGGTCGTGTTGAATGGGGAACGGGGAATGGCTCTGGCCTCAATGCAGGCGAATGGGACCTCATCTCGAGTTGATTTGGGGCACATGGAGCTGCTTTGCTTTGCTGGGTTGACCTCAGGGTCCGTCTAGACTGGTGACAGTGTTCTTGGGGACTGTCTCAAGATCCATTAAGCAAGTCGAAGCTCCTGACTTGTTGGAATGGGATCACGGAATAGCTCTGCATGCACTGCAGCGGAATGGGACCTCATCTCGCCTCTAGGGGGAAGTCTCATGGTTTTTCTCGAGTATCGGCGGGGACCTGGGGTATGTTCTCGACTTACGGCGGGGATGGCCCTTCAAAACACGAGTTTCTTCAGTGACGTCAGGACTCCTGTCTAGTAACGAGGGACACTTCAGGAATCTCTATGAGGCTTGGCAGGGCAAAAGGGACGCTTCTCGAAGTGAGGCAGGGTACCCAAGGACGCTTTCCCCTAGCCACAGCGATTTTGGGATTCCTATCAGTATTCAAGAGGAGTCAGGCATCGTCACCTTTTGAAGCAATGAACTCCGCGTGCCTCTCGAGGTGTCAGCGGGATGTGAGGCATTCCGTCAAAATGAGGCAGGGACCTAGGTCTTTCTCTAAGGTCTCCACAGGGGATTCAGACATCCCTTCATGTTGTGAGATGAAAGACGAGCCTGTATTCAAGCCACTGCAAGGAAATCTGGCCTCCTTTCAAGTTAGGGCTTCTCGCTGTATATTCCCCTTGAGGCAGCAAACTCGGGTCCCTCCCACATACCTATTGCTGAGAGAAGCCTCCTCCTGAGGTGCTTCTGGAAAGTTGGCATAAGTCTTGAGCCTAAGCCAGGGAATCAGCTCTCATCTCGAGACGATTTGGGGTACACGGAGCATTCCTCAAGTTGCTGTGCTGTAGTTGGTGTTCCTCTAGACTTGGGACAGTGTTCTCGGGGCATCTCTGGAGTTGCCTGAAGGAAGTCGAGCCACCGGTCGTGTTGAATGGGGAACGGGGAATGGCTCTGGAGTGAATGCAGGGGAATCGGGCCTCATCTCGAGTTGATTTGGGACACATGGAGCTGCTTTGCGTTGCTGGGGTGACCTCAGGGTCCGTCTAGACTGTTGACAGTGTTCTTGGGGACTGTCTCGAGATCCACTAAGCAAGTCGAAGCTCCTGACTTGTTTGAATGGGATCACGGGATAGCTCTGCATGCACTGCAGGGGAATCGGGCCTCATCTCGCCTCAAGGGGGAAGTCTCATGGTTTTTCTCGAGTTGCGGCGGGGACTTGGGGTATGTTCTCGATTTACGGCGGGGATGGCCCTTCAAAACACGAGTTTCTTCAGTGACGTCAGGACTCGTGTCTAGTAACGAGGGACACCTCAGGAATCTCTTCGAGGCTTGGCAGGGCAAAAGGGACGCTTCTCGAGGTGAGGCAGGGCACCCAAGGACCCTTTCCCGTAGCCACAGGGATTTTGGGATTCCTATCAGTATTCAAGAGGAGTCAGGCATCGTCACCTTTTGAAGCAATGAACTCAGCGTGCCTCTCGAGGTGTCAGCGGGACGTGAGGCATTCCGTCAAAATGAGGCAGGGACCTAGGGCTTTCTCTAAGGTCTCCACAGGGGATTCAGACATCCCTTCATGTTGTGAGATGAAAGACGAGCCTGTATTCAAGCCACTGCAAGGAAATCCGGCCTCCTTTCATGTTAGGGCTTCTCGCGGTATATTCCCCTTGAGGCAGCAAACTCGGGGTCCCTCCCACATACCTATTGCTGAGAGAAGCCTCCTCCTGAGGTGCTTCTGGAAAGTTGGCATACGTCTTGAACCTAAGCCAGGGAATCAGCTCTCATCTCGAGACGATTTGGGGTACACGAAGCATTCCTCGAGTTGCTGTGCTGAAGTTGGTGTTCCTCTAGACTTGGGACAGTGTTCTCGGGGCATCTCTGGAGTTGCCTGAAGGAAGTCGAGCCACCGGTCGTGTTGAATGGGGAACGGGGAATGGCTCTGGAGTCAATGCAGGGGAATCGGGCCTCATCTCGAGTTGATTTGGGGCACATGGAGCTGCTTTGCGTTGCTGGGGTGACCTCAGGGTCCGTCTAGACTGGTGACAGTGTTCTTGGGGACTGTCTCGAGATCCATTAAGCAAGTCGAAACTCCTGACTGGTTTGAATGGGATCACGGAATAGCTCTGCATGCACTGCAGGGGAATGGGGCCTCATCTCGCCTCTAGGGGGAAGTCTCATGGTTTTTCTCGAGTTGCAGCGGGGATCTGGTGTATGTTCTCGACTTACGGCGGGGATGGCCCTTCAAAACACGAGTTTCTTCAGTGACGTCAGGACTCCTGTCTAGTAACGACGGACACCTCAGTAATCTCTACGAGGCTTGGCAGGGCAAAAGGGACGCTTCTCGAGGTGAGGCAGGGCACCCAAGGACGCTTTCCCCTAGCCACAGGGATTTTGGGATTCCTATCAGTATTCAAGAGGAGTCAGGCATCGTCACCTTTTGAAGCAATGAACTCCGCGTGCTTCTCGAGGTGTCAGCGGGATGTGAGGCATTCCGTCAAAATGAGGCAGGGACCTAGGTCTTTCTCTAAGGTCTCCACAGGGGATTCAGACATCCCTTCATGTTGTGAGATGAAAGACGAGCCTGTATTCAAGCCACTGCAAGGAAATCCGGCCTCCTTTCAAGTTAGGGCTTCTCGCTGTATATTCCCCTTGAGGCAGCAAACTCGGGTCCCTCCCACATACCTATTGCTGAGAGAAGCCTCCTCCTGAGGTGCTTCTGGAAAGTTGGCATAAGTCTTGAGCCTAAGCCAGGGAATCAGCTCTCATCTCGAGACGATTTGGGGTACACGGACCATTCCTCAAGATGCTGTGCTGAAGTTGGTGTTCCTCTAGACTTGGGACAGTGTTCTCGGGGCATCTCTGGAGTTGCCTGAAAGAAGTCGAGCCACCGGTCGTGTTGAATGGGGAACGGGGAATGGCTCTGGAGTAAATGCAGGGGAATCGGGCTCATCTCGAGTTGATTTGGGGCACATGGAGCTGCTTTGCGTTGCTGGGGTGACATCAGGGTCCGTCTAGACTGGTGACAGTGTTCTTAGGGACTGTCTCGAGATCCACTAAGCAAGTCGAAGCTCCTGACTTGTTTGAATGGGATCACGGGATAGCTCTGCATGCACTGCAGGGGAATGGGGCCTCATCTCGCCTCTAGGGGGAAGTCTCATGGTTTTTCTCGAGTTGCGGCGGGGACCTGGGGTATGTTCTCGACTTACGGCGGGGATGGCCCTTCAAAACACGAGTTTCTTCAGTGACGTCAGGACTCCTGTCTTGTAACGAGGGACACCTCAGGAATCTCTACGAGGCTTGGCAGGGCAAAAGGGACGCTTCTCGAGGTGAGGCAGGGTACCCAAGACCCTTTCCAGTAGCCACAGCGATTTTGGGATTCCTATCAGTATTCAAGAGGAGTCAGGCATCGTCACCTTTTGAAGCAATGAACTCCGCGTGCCTCTCGAGGTGTCAGTGGGATGTGAGGCATTCCGTCAAAATGAGGCAGGGACCTAGGGCTTTCTCTAAGGTCTCCACAGGGGATTCAGACATCCCTTCATGTTGTGAGATGAAAGACGAGCCGGTATTCAAGCCACTGCAAGGAAATCCGGCCTCCTTTCAAGTTAGGGCTTCTCGCTGTATATTCCCCTTGAGGCAGCAAACTCGGGGTCCCTTCCACATACCTATTGCTGAGAGAAGCCTACTCCTGAGGTGCTTCTGGAAAGTTGGCATACGTCTTGAGCCTAATCCAGGGAATCAGCTCTCATCTCGAGAGAATTTGGGGTACACAGAGCATTCCTCGAGTTGCTGTGCTGAAGTTGGTGTTCCTCTAGACTTGGGACAGTGTTCTCGGGGCATCTCTGGAGTTGCCTGAAGGAAGTCGAGCCACCGGTCGTGTTGAATGGGGAACGGGGAATGTCTCTGGAGTCAATGCAGGGGAATCGGGCCTCATCTCGAGTTGATTTGGGGCACATGGAGCTGCTTTGTGTTGCTGCGGTGACCTCAGGGTCCGTCTAGACTGGTGACAGTGTTCTTGGGGACTGTCTCGAGATCCATTAAGCAAGTCGAAGCTCCTGACTTGTTTGAATGGGATCACGGGATAGCTCTGCATGCACTGCAGGGGAATGGGGCCTCATCTCGCCTCAAGGGGGAAGTCTCATGGTTTTTCTCGAGTTGAGGCGGGGACCTGGGGTATGTTCTCGACTTACGGCGGGGATGGCCCTTCAAAACACGAGTTTCTTCAGTGACGTCAGGACTCCTGTCTAGTAATGAGGAACACCTCAGGAATCTCTTCGAGGCTTGGCAGGGCAAAAGGGACGCTTCTCGAGGTGAGGCAGGGCACCCAAGGACCCTTTCCAGAAGCCACAGGGATTTTGGGATTCCTATCAGTATTCAAGAGGAGTCAGGCATCGTCACCTTTTGAAGCAATGAACTCCGCGTGCCTCTCGAGGTGTCAACGGGACGTGAGGCATTCCGTCAAAATGAGGCAGGGACCTAGGGCTTTCTCTAAGGTCTCCACAGGGGATTAAGACATCCCTTCATGTTGTGAGATGAAAGACGAGCCTGTATTCAAGCCACTGCAAGGAAATCCGGCCTCCTTTCAAGTTAGGGCTTCTCGCTGTAAATTCCCCTTGAGGCAGCAAACTCGGGGTCCCTCCCACATAACTATTGGTGAGAGAAGCCTCCTCCTGAGGTGCTTCTGGAAAGTTGGCATACGTCTTGAGCCTAAGCCAGGGAATCAGCTCTCATCTCGAGACGATTTCGGTTACACGGAGCATTCCTCGAGTTGCTGTGCTGAAGTTGGTGTTCCTCTAGACTTGGGACAGTGTTCTCGGGGCATCTCTGGAGTTGCCTGAATGAAGTCGAGCCACCGGTCGTGTTGAATGGGGAACGGGGAATGTCTCTGGAGTCAATGCAGGGGAATCGGGCCTCATCTCGAGTTGATTTGGGGCACATGGAGCTGCTTTGCGTTGCTGGGGTGACCTCAGGGTCCGTCTAGACTGGTGACAGTGTTCTTGGGGACTGTCTCGAGATCCATTAAGCAAGTCGAAGCTCCTGACTTGTTTGAATGGGATCACGGAATAGCTCTGCATGCACTGAAGGGGAATGGGGCCTCATCTCGCCTCTAGGGGGAAGTCTCATGGTTTTTCTCGAGTTGCGGTGTGGACTTGGGGTATGTTCTCGACTTACGGCCGGGATGGCCCTTCAAAACACGAGTTTCTTCAGTGACGTCAGGTCTCGTGTCTAGTAACGAGGGACACCTCAGGAATCTCTTCGAGGCTTGGCAGGGCAAAAGGGACGCTTCTCGAGGTGAGGCAGGGCACCCAAGGACCCTTTCCCGTAGCCACAGGGATTTTGGGATTCCTATCAGTATTCAAGAGGAGTCAGGCATCATCACCTTTTGAAGCAATGAACTCCGCGTGCCTCTCCAGGTGTCAGCGGGACGTGAGGCATTCCGTCAAAATGAGGCAGGGACCTAGGGCTTTCTCTAAGGTCTCCACAGGGGATTCAGACATCCCTTCATGTTGTGAGATGAAAGACGAGCCTGTATTCAAGCCACTGCAAGGAAATCCGGCCTCCTTTCAAGTTAGGGCTTCTCGCTGTATATTCCCCTTGAGGCAGCAAACTCGGGGTCCCTCCCACATAACTATTGCTGAGAGAAGCCTCCTCCTCAGGTGCTTCTGGAAAGTTGGCATACGTCTTGAGCCTAAGCCAGGGAATCAGCTCTCATCTCGAGACGATTTGGGTTACACGGAGCATTCCTCGAGTTGCTGTGCTGAAGTTGGTGTTCCTCTAGACTTGGGACAGTGTTCTCGGGACATCTCTGGAGTTGCCTGAAGGAAGTCGAGCCACCGGTCGTGTTGAATGGGGAACGGGGAATGGCTCTGGAGTCAATGCAAGGGAATCGGGCCTCATCTCGAGTTGATTTGGGGCACATGGAGCTGCTTTGCGTTGCTGGGGTGACCTCAGGGTCCGTCTAGACTGGTGACAGTGTTCTTGGGGACTGTCTCGAGATCCATTAAGCAAGTCGAAGCTCCTGACTTGTTTGAATGGGATCACGGAATAGCTCTGCATGCACTGCAGGGGAATGGGGCCTCATCTCGCCTCTAGGGGGAAGTCTCATGGTTTTTCTCGAGTTGCGGCGGGGACCTGGGGTATGTTCTCGACTTACGGCGGGGATGGCCCTTCAAAACACGAGTTTCTTCAGTGACGTCAGGACTCCTGTCTTGTAACGAGGGACACCTCAGGAATCTCTACGAGGCTTGGCAGGGCAAAAGGGACGCTTCTCGAGGTGAGGCAGGGTACCCAAGGACCCTTTCAAGTAGCCACAGCGATTTTGGGATTCCTATCAGTATTCAAGAGGAGTCAGGCATCGTCACCTTTTGAAGCAATGAACTCCGCGTGCCTCTCGAGGTGTCAGCGGGATGTGAGGCATTCCGTCAAAATGAGGCAGGGACCTAGGGCTTTCTCTAAGGTCTCCACAGGGGATTCAGACATCCCTTCATGTTGTGAGATGAAAGACGAGCCTGTATTCAAGCCACTGCAAGGAAATGCGGACTCCTTTCAAGTTAGGGATTCTCGCTGTATATTCCCCTTGAGGCAGCAAACTCGGGGTCCCTTCCACATACCTATTGCTGAGAGAAGCCTCCTCCTGAGGTGCTTCTGGAAAGTTGGCATACGTCTTGAGCCTAATCCAGGGATTCAGCTCTCATCTCGAGACAATTTGGGGTACACGGAGCATTCCTCGAGTTGCTGTGCTGAAGTTGGTGTTCCTCTAGACTTGGGACAGTGTTCTCGGGGCATCTCTGGAGTTGCCTGAAGGAAGTCGAGCCACCGGTCGTGTTGAATGGGGAACGGGGAATGGCTCTGGAGTGAATGCAGGGGAATCGGGCCTCATCTCGAGTTGATTTGGGGCAAATGGAGCTGCTTTGCGTTGCTGGGGTGACCTCAGGGTCCGTCTAGACTGGTGACAGTGTTCTTGGGGACTGTCTCGAGATCCATTAAGCAAGTCGAAGCTCCTGACTTGTTTGAATGGGATCACGGAATAGCTCTGCATGCACTGCAGGGGAATGGGGCCTCATCTCGTCTCTACGGGGAAGTCTCATGGTTTTTCTCGAGTTGAGGCGGGGACCTGGGGTATGTTCTCGACTTACGGCGGGGATGGCCCTTCAAAACACGAGTTTCTTCAGTGACGTCAGGACTCCTGTCTAGTAACGACGGACACCTCAGGAATCTCTAAGAGGCTTGGCAGGGCAAAAGGGACGCTTCTCGAGGTGAGGCAGGGCTCCCAAGGACGCTTTCCCCTAGCCACAGCGATTTTGGGATTCCTATCAGTATTCAAGAGGAGTCAGGCATCGTCACCTTTTGAAGCAATGAACTCCGCGTGCCTCTCGAGGTGTCAGCGGGATGTGAGGCATTCCGTCAAAATGAGGCAGGGACCTAGGGTTTCTCTAATGTCTCCACAGGGGATTCAGACATCCCTTCATGTTGTGAGATGAAAGACGAGCCTGTATTCAAGCCACTGCAAGGAAATCCGGCCTCCTTTCAAGTTAGGGCTTCTCGCTGTATATTCCCCTTGAGGCAGCAAACTCGGGTCCCTCCCACATACCTATTGCTGAGAGAAGCCTCCTCCTGAGGTGCTTCTGGAAAGTTGGCATACGTCTTGAGCCTAATCCAGGGAATCAGCTCTCATCTCGAGACGATTTGGGGTACACGGAGCATTCCTCAAGTTGCTGTGTTGAAGTTGGTGTTCCTCTAGACTTGGGACAGTGTTCTCGGGGCATCTCTGGAGTTGCCTGAAGGAAGTCGAGCCACCGGTCTTGTTGAATGGGGATCGGGGAATGGCTCTGGAGTCAATGCAGGGGAATCGGGCCTCATCTCGAGTTGATTTGGGGCACATGGAGCTGCTTTGCGTTGCTGGGGTGACCTCAAGGTCCGTCTAGACTGGTGACAGTGTTCTTGGGGACTGTCTCGAGATCCACTAAGCAAGTCGAAGCTCCTGACTTGTTTGAATGGGATCACGGAATAGCTCTGCATGCACTGCAGGGGAATGGGGCCTCATCTCGCCTCAAGGGGGAAGTCTCATGGTTTTTCTCGAGTTGAGGCGGGGACCTGGGGTATGTTCTCGACTTACGGCGGGGATGGCCCTTCAAAACACGAGTTTCTTCAGTGACCTCAGGACTCCTGTCTTGTAACGAGGGACACCTCAGGAATCTCTTCGAGGCTTGGCAGGGCAAAAGGGACGCTTCTCGAGGTGAGGCAGGGCACCCAAGGACCCTTTCCAGTAGCCACAGGGATTTTGGGAGTCCTATCATTATTCAAGAGGAGTCAGGCATCGTCACCTTTTGAAGCAATTTACTCCGCGTGCCTCTCGAGGTGTCAGCGGGATGTGAGGCATTCCGTCAAAATGAGGCAGGGACCTAGGGCCTTCTCTAAGGTCTCCACAGGGGATTCAGACATCCCTTCATGTTGTGAGATGAAAGACGAGCCTGTATTCAAGCCACTGCAAGGAAATCCGGCCTCCTTTCAAGTTAGGGCTTCTTGCTGTATATTCCCCTTGAGGCAGCAAACTCGGGGTCCCTTCCACATACCTATTGCTGAGAGAAGCCTCCTCCTGAGGTGCTTCTGGAAAGTTGGCATACGTCTTGAGCCTAAGCCAAGGAATCAGCTCTCATCTCGAGACGATTGGGGGTACACGGAGCATTCCTCTAGTTGCTGTGCTGAAGTTGTTGTTCCTCTAGCCTTGGGACAGTGTTCTCGGGGCATCTCTGGAGTTGCCTGAAGGAAGTCGAGCCACCGGTCGTGTTGAATGGGGAACGGGGAATGGCTCTGGAGTGAATGCAGGGGAATCGGGCCTCATCTCGAGTTGATTTGGGGCACATGGAGCTGCTTTGCGTTGCTGGGGTGACCTCAGGGTCCGTCTAGACTGGTGACAGTGTTCTTCGGGACTGTTTCGAGATCCATTAAGGAAGTCGAAGCTCCTGACTTGTTTGAATGGGATCACGGAATAGCTCTGCATGCACTGCAGGGGAATGGGGCCTCATCTCGCCCCTAGTGGGAAGTCACATGGTTTTTCTCGAGTTGCGGCGGGGACCTGGGGTATGTTCTCGACTTACGGCGGGGATGGCCGTTCAAAACACGAGTTTCTTCAGTGACGTCAGGACTCCTGTCTAGTAACGAGGGACACCTCAGGAATCTCTAAGAGGCTTGGCAGGGCAAAAGGGACGCTTCTCGAGGTGAGGCAGGGCACCCAAGGACGCTTTCCCCAAGCCACAGGGATTTTGGGATTCCTATCAGTATTCAAGAGGAGTCAGGCATCGTCACCTTTTGAAGCAATGAACTCCGCGTGCCTCTCGAGGTATCAGCGGGATGTGAGGCATTCCGTCAAAATGAGGCAGGGACCTAGGGCTTTCTCTAAGGTCTCCACAGGGGATTCAGACATCCCTTCATGTTGTGAGATGAAAGACAAGCCTGTATTCAAGCCACTGCAAGGAAATGCGGCCTCCTTTCAAGTTAGGGCTTCTCGCTGTATATTCCCCTTGAGGCAGCAAACTCGGGGTCCCTTCCACATACCTATTGCTGAGAGAAGCCTCCTCCTGAGGTGCTTCTGGAAAGTTGGCATACGTCTTGAGCCTAATCCAGGGAATCAGCTCTCATCTCGAGACAATTTGGGGTACACGGAGCATTAGTCGAGTTGCTGTGCTGAAGTTGGTGTTCCTCTAGACTTGGGACAGTGTTCTCGGGGCATCTCTGGAGTTGCCTGAAGGAAGTCGAGCCACCGGTCGTGTTGAATGGGGAACAGGGAATGTCTCTGGAGTCAATGCACGGGAATCGGGCCTCATCTCGAGTTGATTTGGGGCACATGGAGCTGCTTTGCGTTGCTGGGGTGACCTCAGGGTCCGTCTAGACTGGTGACAGTGTTCTTGGGGACTGTCTCGAGATCCATTAAGCAAGTCGAAGCTCCAAACTTGTTTGAATGGGATCACGGAATAGCTCTGCATGCACTGCAGGGGAATGGGGCCTCATCTCGCCTCAAGGGGGAAGTCTCATGGTTTTTCTCGAGTTGCGGCGGGGACCTGGTGTATGTTCTCGACTTACGGCGGGGATGGCCCTTCAAAACACGAGTTTCTTCAGTGACGTCAGGACTCCTGTCTTGTAACGAGGGACACCTCAGGAATCTCTACGAGGCTTGGCAGGGCAAAACGGACGCTTCTCGAGGTGAGGCAGGGTACCCAAGGACCCTTTCCAGTAGCCACAGTGATTTTGGGATTCCTATCAGTATTCAAGAGGAGTCAGGCATCGTCACCTTTTGAAGCAATGAACTCCGCGTGCCTCTCGAGGTGTCAGTGGGATGTGAGGCATTCCGTCAAAATGAGGCAGGGACCTAGGGCTTTCTCTAAGGTCTCCACAGGGGATTCAGACATCCCTTCATGTTGTGAGATGAAAGACGAGCCTGTATTCAAGCCACTGCAAGGAAATGCGGACTCCTTTCAAGTTAGGGATTCTCGCTGTATATTCCCCTTGAGGCAGCAAACTCGGGGTCCCTTCCACATACCTATTGCTGAGAGAAGCCTCCTCCTGAGGTGCTTCTGGAAAGTTGGCATACGTCTTGAGCCTAATCCAGGGAATCAGCTCTCATCTCGAGACAATTTGGGGTACACGGAGCATTCCTCGAGTTGCTGTGCTGAAGTTGGTGTTCCTCTAGACTTGGGACAGTGTTCTCGGGGCATCTCTGGAGTTGCCTGAAGGAAGTCGAGCCACCGGTCGTGTTGAATGGGGAGCGGGGAATGGCTCTGGAGTGAATGCAGGGGAATCGGGCCTCATCTCGAGTTGATTTGGGGCACATGGAGCTGCTTTGCGTTGCTGGGGTGACCTCAGGGTCCGTCTAGACTGGTGACAGTGTTCTTGGGGACTGTCTCGAGATCCATTAAGCAAGTCGAAGCTCCTGACTTGTTTGAATGGGATCACGGAATAGCTCTGCATGCACTGCAGGGGAATGGGGCTTCATCTCGCCTCTAGGGGGAAGTCTCATGGTTTTTCTCGAGTTGCGGCGGGGACCTGGGGTATGTTCTCGACTTAAGGCGGGGATGGCCCTTCAAAACACGAGTTTCTTCTGTGACGTCAGGACTCCTGTCTAGTAACGAGGGACACCTCAGGAATCTCTAAGAGGCTTGGCAGTTCAAAAGGGACGCTTCTCGAGGTGAGGCAGGGCACCCAAGGACGCTTTCCCCTAGCCACAGGGATTTTGGGATTCCTATCAGTATTCAAGAGGAGTCAGGCATCGTCACCTTTTGAAGCAATGAACTCCGCGTGCCTCTCGAGGTGTCAGAGGGATGTGAGGCATTCCGTCAAAATGAGGCAGGGACCTAGGGCTTTCTCTAAGGTCTCCACAGGGGATTCAGACATCCCTTCATGTTGTGAGATGAAAGAAGAGCCTGTATTCAAGCCACTGCAAGGAAATCCGGCCTCCTTTCAAGTTAGGGCTTCTCGCTGTATATTCCCCTTGAGGCACAAACTCGGGGTCCCTCCCACATACTTATTGCTGAGAGAAGCCTCCTCCTGAGGTGCTTCTGGAAAGTTGGCATACGTCTTGAGCCTAAGCCAGGGAATCAGCTCTCATCTCGAGATGATTTGGGTTACACGGAGCATTCCTCGAGTTGCTGTGCTGAAGTTGGTGTTCCTCTAGACTTGGGACAGTGTTCTCGGGGCATCTCTGGAGTTGCCTGAAGGAAGTCGAGCCACCGGTCGTGTTGAATGGGGAACGGGGAATGGCTATGGAGTGAATGCAGGGGAATCGGGCCTCATCTCGAGTTGATTTGGGGCACATGGAGCTGCTTTGCGTTGCTGGGGTGACCTCAGGGTCCGTCTAGACTGGTGACAGTGTTCTTGGGGACTGTCTCGAGATCCATTAAGCAAGTCGAAGCTCCTGACTTGTTTGAATGGGATCACGGAATAGCTCTGCATGCACTGCAGGGGAATGGGGCCTCATCTCGCCTCTAGGGGGAAGTCTCATGGTTTTTCTCGAGTTGCGGCGGAGACCTGGGGTATGTTCTCGACTTACGGCAGGGATGGCCCTTCAAAACACGAGTTTCTTCAGTGACGTCAGGACCCCTGTCTTGTAACGAGGGACACCTCAGGAATCTCTACGAGGCTTGGAGGGCAAAAGGGACGCTTCTCGTGGTGAGGCAGGGTACCCAAGGACCCTTTCCAGTAGCCACAGCGATTTTGGGATTCCTATCAGTATTCAAGAGGAGTCAGGCATCGTCACCTTTTGAAGCAATGAACTCCGCGTGCCTCTCGAGGTGTCAGTGAGATGTGAGGCATTCCGTCAAAATGAGGCAGGGACCTAGGGCTTTCTCTAAGGTCTCCACAGGGGATTCAGACATCCCTTCATGTTGTGAGATGAAAGACGAGCCTGTATTCAAGCCACTGCAAGGAAATGCGGACTCCTTTCAAGTTAGGGATTCTTGCTGTATATTCCCCTTGAGGCAGCAAACTCGGGGTCCCTTCCACATACCTATTGCTGACAGAAGCCTCCTCCTGAGGTGCTTCTGGAAAGTTGGCATACGTCTTGAGCCTAAGCCAGGGAATCAGCTCTCATCTCGAGACAATTTGGGGTACACTGAGCATTAGTCGAGTTGCTGTGCTGAAGTTGGTGTTCCTCTAGACTTGGGACAGTGTTCTCGGGGCATCTCTGGAGTTGCCTGAAGGAAGTCGAGCCACCGGTCGTGTTGAATGGGGAACAGGGAATGTCTCTGGAGTCAATGCACGGGAATCGGGCCTCATCTCGAGTTGATTTGGGGCACATGGAGCTGCTTTGCGTTGCTGGGGTGACCTCAGGGTCCGTCTAGACTGGTGACAGTGTTCTTGGGGACTGTCTCGAGATCCATTAAGCAAGTCGAAGCTCCAAACTTGTTTGAATGGGATCACGGAATAGCTCTGCATGCACTGCAGGGGAATGGGGACTCATCTCGCCTCAAGGGGGAAGTCTCATGGTTTTTCTCGAGTTGCGGCGGGGACCTGGTGTATGTTCTCGACTTACGGCGGGGATGGCCCTTCAAAACACGAGTTTCTTCAGTGACGTCAGGACTCCTGTCTTGTAACGAGGGACACCTCAGGAATCTCTACGAGGCTTGGCAGGGCAAAACGGACGCTTCTCGAGGTGAGGCAGGGTACCCAAGGACCCTTTCCAGTAGCCACAGTGATTTTGGGATTCCTATCAGTATTCAAGAGGAGTCAGGCATCGTCACCTTTTGAAGCAATGAACTCCGCGTGCCTCTCGAGGTGTCAGTGGGATGTGAGGCATTCCGTCAAAATGAGGCAGGGACCTAGGGCTTTCTCTAAGGTCTCCACAGGGGATTCAGACATCCCTTCATGTTGTGAGATGAAAGACGAGCCTGTATTCAAGCCACTGAAAGGAAATGCGGACTCCTTTCAAGTTAGGGATTCTCGCTGTATATTCCCCTTGAGGCAGCAAACTCGGGGTCCCTTCCACATACCTATTGCTGAGAGAAGCCTCCTCCTGAGGTGCTTCTGGAAAGTTGGCATACGTCTTGAGCCTAAGCCAGGGAATCAGCTCTCATCTCGAGACAATTTGGGGTACACGGAGCATTCCTCGAGTTGCTGTGCTGAAGTTGGTGTTCCTCTAGACTTGGGACAGTGTTCTCGGGGCATCTCTGGAGTTGCCTGAAGGAAGTCGAGCCACCGGTCGTGTTGAATGGGGAGCGGGGAATGGCTCTGGAGTGAATGCAGGGGAATCGGGCCTCATCTCGAGTTGATTTGGGGCACATGGAGCTGCTTTGCGTTGCTGGGGTGACCTCAGGGTCCGTCTAGACTGGTGACAGTGTTCTTGGGGACTGTCTCGAGATCCATTAAGCAAGTCGAAGCTCCTGACTTGTTTGAATGGGATCACGGAATAGCTCTGCATGCACTGCAGGGGAATGGGGCTTCATCTCGCCTCTAGGGGGAAGTCTCATGGTTTTTCTCGAGTTGCGGCGGGGACCTGGGGTATGTTCTCGACTTACGGCGGGGATGGCCCTTCAAAACACGAGTTTCTTTAGTGACGTCAGGACTCCTGTCTAGTAACGAGGGACACCTCAGGAATCTCTAAGAGGCTTGGCAGTTCAAAAGGGACGCTTCTCGAGGTGAGGCAGGGCACCCAAGGACGCTTTCCCCTAGCCACAGGGATTTTGGGATTCCTATCAGTATTCAAGAGGAGTCAGGCATCGTCACCTTTTGAAGCAATGAACTCCGCGTGCCTCTCGAGGTGTCAGAGGGATGTGAGGCATTCCGTCAAAATGAGGCAGGGACCTAGGGCTTTCTCTAAGGTCTCCACAGGGGATTCAGACATCCCTTCATGTTGTGAGATGAAAGAAGAGCCTGTATTCAAGCCACTGCAAGGAAATCCGGCCTCCTTTCAAGTTAGGGCTTCTCGCTGTATATTCCCCTTGAGGCACAAACTCGGGGTCCCTCCCACATACTTATTGCTGAGAGAAGCCTCCTCCTGAGGTGCTTCTGGAAAGTTGGCATACGTCTTGAGCCTAAGCCAGGGAATCAGCTCTCATCTCGAGATGATTTGGGTTACACGGAGCATTCCTCGAGTTGCTGTGCTGAAGTTGGTGTTCCTCTAGACTTGGGACAGTGTTCTCGGGGCATCTCTGGAGTTGCCTGAAGGAAGTCGAGCCACCGGTCGTGTTGAATGGGGAACGGGGAATGGCTATGGAGTGAATGCAGGGGAATCGGGCCTCATTTCGAGTTGATTTGGGGCACATGGAGCTGCTTTGCGTTGCTGGGGTGACCTCAGGGTCCGTCTAGACTGGTGACAGTGTTCTTGGGGACTGTCTCGAGATCCATTAAGCAAGTCGAAGCTCCTGACTTGTTTGAATGGGATCACGGAATAGCTCTGCATGCACTGCAGGGGAATGGGGCCTCATCTCGCCTCTAGGGGGAAGTCTCATGGTTTTTCTCGAGTTGCGGCGGAGACCTGGGGTATGTTCTCGACTTACGGCGGGGATGGCCCTTCAAAACACGAGTTTCTTCAGTGACGTCAGGACCCCTGTCTTGTAACGAGGGACACCTCAGGAATCTCTACGAGGCTTGGAGGGCAAAAGGGACGCTTCTCGAGGTGAGGCAGGGTACCCAAGGACCCTTTCCAGTAGCCACAGCGATTTTGGGATTCCTATCAGTATTCAAGAGGAGTCAGGCATCGTCACCTTTTGAAGCAATGAACTCCGCGTGCCTCTCGAGGTGTCAGTGGGATGTGAGGCATTCCGTCAAAATGAGGCAGGGACCTAGGGCTTTCTCTAAGGTCTCCACAGGGGATTCAGACATCCCTTCATGTTGTGAGATGAAAGACGAGCCTGTATTCAAGCCACTGCAAGGAAATGCGGACTCCTTTCAAGTTAGGGATTCTTGCTGTATATTCCCCTTGAGGCAGCAAACTCGGGGTCCCTTCCACATACCTATTGCTGACAGAAGCCTCCTCCTGAGGTGCTTCTGGAAAGTTGGCATACGTCTTGAGCCTAAGCCAGGGAATCAGCTCTCATCTCGAGACAATTTGGGGTACACGGAGCATTCCTCGAGTTGCTGTGCTGAAGTTGGTGTTCCTCTAGACTTGGGACAGTGTTCTCGGGGCATCTCTGGAGTTGCCTGAAGGAAGTCGAGCCACCGGTCGTGTTGAATGGGGATCGGGGAATGGCTCTGGAGTCAATGCAGGGGAATCGGGCCTCATCTCGAGTTGACTTGGGGCACATGGAGCTGCTTTGCGTTGCTGGGGTGACCTCAGGGTCCGTCTAGACTGGTGACAGTGTTCTTGGGGACTGTCACGAGATCCATTAAGCAAGTCGAAACTCCTGACTTGTTTGAATGGGATCACAGAATAGCTCTGCATGCACTGCAGGGGAATGTGGCCTCATCTCGCCTCTAGGGGGAAGTCTCATGGTTTTTCTCGAGTTGCGGCGGGGACCTGGTATATGTTCTCGACTTACGGCGGCGATGGCCCTTCAAAACACGAGTTTCTTCAGTGACGTCAGGACTCCTGTCTAGTAACGATGGACACCTCAGGAATCTCTTCTAGGCTTGGCAGGGCAAAAGGGACGCTTCTCGAGGTGAGGCAGGGCACCCAAGGACGCTTTCCCCTAGCCACAGGGATTTTGGGATTCCTATCAGTATTCAAGAGGAGTCAGGCATCGTCACCTTTTGAAGCAATGAACTCCGCGTGCTTCTCGAGGTGTCAGCGGGATGTGAGGCATTCCGTCAAAATGAGGCAGGGACCTAGGTCTTTCTCTAAGGTCTCCACAGGGGATTCAGACATCCCTTCATGTTGTGAGATGAAAGACGAGCCTGTATTCAAGCCACTGCAAGGAAATCCGGCCTCCTTTCAAGTTAGGGCTTCTCGCTGTATATTCCCCTTGAGGCAGCAAACTCGGGTCCCTCCCACATACCTATTGCTGAGAGAAGCCTCCTCCTGAGGTGCTTCTGGAAAGTTGGCATACGTCTTGAGCCTAATCCAGGGAATCAGCTCTCATCTCGAGACGTTTTGGGGTACACGGAGCATTCCTCAAGTTGCTGTGCTGAAGTTGGTGTTCCTCTAGACTTGGGACAGTGTTCTCGGGGCATCTCTGGAGTTGCCTGAAGGAAGTCGAGCCACCGGTCTTGTTGAATGGGGAATGGGGAATGGCTCTGGAGTCAATGCAGGGGAATCGGGCCTCATCTCGAGTTGATTTGGGGCACATGGAGCTGCTTTGCGTTGCTGGGGTGACCTCAGGGTCCGTCTAGACTGGTGACAGTGTTCTTGGGGACTGTCTCGAGATCCACTAAGCAAGTCGAAGCTCCTGACTTGTTTGAATGGGATCACGGAATAGCTCTGCATGCACTGCAGGGGAATGGGGCCTCATCTCGCCTCAAGGGGGAAGTCTCATGGTTTTTCTCGAGTTGCGGCGGGGACCTGGGGTATGTTCTCGACTTACGGCGGGGATGGCCCTTCAAAACACGAGTTTCTTCAGTGACCTCAGGACTCCTGTCTTGTAACGAGGGACACCTCAGGAATCTCTTCGAGGCTTGGCAGGGCAAAAGGGACGCTTCTCGAGGTGAGGCAGGGCACCCAAGGACCCTTTCCAGTAGCCACAGGGATTTTGGGAGTCCTATCATTATTCAAGAGGAGTCAGGCATCGTCACCTTTTGAAGCAATTTACTCCGCGTGCCTCTCGAGGTGTCAGCGGAATGTGAGGCATTCCGTCAAAATGAGGCAGGGACCTAGGGCCTTCTCTAAGGTCTCCACAGGGGATTCAGACATCCCTTCATGTTGTGAGATGAAAGACGAGCCTGTATTCAAGCCACTGCAAGGAAATCCGGCCTCCTTTCAAGTTAGGGCTTCTTGCTGTATATTCCCCTTGAGGCAGCAAACTCGGGGTCCCTTCCACATACCTATTGCTGAGAGAAGCCTCCTCCTGAGGTGCTTCTGGAAAGTTGGCATACGTCTTGAGCCTAAGCCAAGGAATCAGCTCTCATCTCGAGACGATTGGGGGTACACGGAGCATTCCTCGAGTTGCTGTGCTGAAGTTGTTGTTCCTCTAGCCTTGGGACAGTGTTCTCGGGGCATCTCTGGAGTTGCCTGAAGGAAGTCGAGCCACCGGTCGTGTTGAATGGGGAACGGGGAATGGCTCTGGAGTGAATGCAGGGGAATCGGGCCTCATCTCGAGTTGATTTGGGGCACATGGAGCTGCTTTGCGTTGCTGGGGTGACCTCAGGGTCCGTCTAGACTGGTGACAGGGTTCTTCGGGACTGTTTCGAGATCCATTAAGGAAGTCGAAGCTCCTGACTTGTTTGAATGGGATCACGGAATAGCTCTGCATGCACTGCAGGGGAATGGGGCCTCATCTCGCCTCTAGGGGGAAGTCACATGGTTTTTCTCGAGTTGCGGTGGGGACCTGGGGTATGTTCTCGACTTACGGCGGGGATGGCCGTTCAAAACACGAGTTTCTTCAGTGACGTCAGGACTCCTGTCTAGTAACGAGGGACACCTCAGGAATCTCTAAGAGGCTTGGCAGGGCAAAAGGGACGCTTCTCGAGGTGAGGCAGGGCACCCAAGGACGCTTTCCCCTAGCCACAGGGATTTTGGGATTCCTATCAGTATTCAAGAGGAGTCAGGCATCGTCACCTTTTGAAGCAATGAACTCCGCGTGCCTCTCGAGGTGTCAGCGGGATGTGAGGCATTCCGTCAAAATGAGGCAGGGACCTAGGGCTTTCTCTAAGGTCTCCACAGGGGATTCAGACATCCCTTCATGTTGTGAGATGAAAGACAAGCCTGTATTCAAGCCACTGCAAGGAAATCCGGCCTCCTTTCAAGTTAGGGCTTCTCGCTGTATATTCCCCTTGAGGCAGCAAACTCGGGTCCCTCCCACATACCTATTGCTGAGAGAAGCCTCCTCCTGAGGTGCTTCTGGAAAGTTGGCATACGTCTTGAGCCTAATCCAGGGAATCAGCTCTCATCTCGAGACGATTTGGGGTACACGGAGCATTCCTCAAGTTGCTGTGCTGAAGTTGGTGTTCCTCTAGACTTGGGACAGTGTTCTCAGGGCATCTCTGGAGTTGCCTGAAGGAAGTCGAGCCACCGGTCGTGTTGAATGGGGAACGGGGAATGGCTCTGGAGTCAATGCAGGGGAATCGGGCCTCATCTCGAGTTGATTTGGGGCACATGGAGCTGCTTTGCGTTGCTGGGGTGACCTCAGGGTCCGTCTAGACTGGTGACAGTGTTCTTGGGGACTGTCTCGAGATCCACTAAGCAAGTCGAAGCTCCTGACTTGTTTGAATGGGATCACGGAATAGCTCTGCATGCACTGCAGTGGAATGGGGCCTCATCTCGCCTCAAGGGGGAAGTCTCATGGTTTTTCTCGAGTTGGGGCGGGGACCTGGGGTATGTTCTCGACTTACGGCGGGGATGGCCCTTCAAAACACGAGTTTCTTCAGTGACCTCAGGACTCCTGTCTTGTAACGAGGGACACCTCAGGAATCTCTTCGAGGCTTGGCAGGGCAAAAGGGACGCTTCTCGAGGTGAGGCAGGGCACCCAAGGACCCTTTCCAGTAGCCACAGGTATTTTGGGAGTCCTATCATTATTCAAGAGGAGTCAGGCATCGTCACCTTTTGAAGCAATTTACTCCGCGTGCCTCTCGAGGTGTCAGCGGGATGTGAGGCATTCCGTCAAAATGAGGCAGGGACCTAGGGCCTTCTCTAAGGTCTCCACAGGGGATTCAGACATCCCTTCATGTTGTGAGATGAAAGACGAGCCTGTATTCAAGCCACTGCAAGGAAATCCGGCCTCCTTTCAAGTTAGGGCTTCTTGCTGTATATTCCCCTTGAGGCAGCAAACTCGGGGTCCCTTCCACATACCTATTGCTGAGAGAAGCCTCCTCCTGAGGTGCTTCTGGAAAGTTGGCATACGTCTTGAGCCTAAGCCAAGGAATCAGCTCTCATCTCGAGACGATTGGGGGTACACGGAGCATTCCTCGAGTTGCTGTGCTGAAGTTGTTGTTCCTCTAGCCTTGGGACAGTGTTCTCGCGGCATCTCTGGAGTTGCCTGAAGGAAGTCGAGCCACCGGTCGTGTTGAATGGGGAACGGGGAATGGCTCTGGAGTGAATGCAGGGGAATCGGGCCTCATCTCGAGTTGATTTGGGGCACATGGAGCTGCTTTGCGTTGCTGGGGTGACCTCAGGGTCCGTCTAGACTGGTGACAGGGTTCTTCGGGACTGTTTCGAGATCCATTAAGGAAGTCGAAGCTCCTGACTTGTTTGAATGGGATCACGGAATAGCTCTGCATGCACTGCAGGGGAATGGGGCCTCATCTCGCCTCTAGGGGGAAGTCACATGGTTTTTCTCGAGTTGCGGTGGGGACCTGGGGTATGTTCTCGACTTACGGCGGGGATGGCCGTTCAAAACACGAGTTTCTTCAGTGACGTCAGGACTCCTGTCTAGTAACGAGGGACACCTCAGGAATCTCTAAGAGGCTTGGCAGGGCAAAAGGGACGCTTCTCGAGGTGAGGCAGGGCACCCAAGGACGCTTTCCCCTAGCCACAGGGATTTTGGGATTCCTATCAGTATTCAAGAGGAGTCAGGCATCGTCACCTTTTGAAGCAATGAACTCCGCGTGCCTCTCGAGGTGTCAGCGGGATGTGAGGCATTCCGTCAAAATGAGGCAGGGACCTAGGGCTTTCTCTAAGGTCTCCACAGGGGATTCAGACATCCCTTCATGTTGTGAGATGAAAGACAAGCCTGTATTCAAGCCACTGCAAGGAAATGCGGCCTCCTTTCAAGTTAGGGCTTCTCGCTGTATATTCCCCTTGAGGCACAAACTCGGGGTCCCTCCCACATACTTATTGCTGAGAGAAGCCTCCTCCTGAGGTGCTTCTGGAAAGTTGGCATACGTCTTGAGCCTAAGCCAGGGAATCAGCTCTCATCTCGAGATGATTTGGGTTACACGGAGCATTCCTCGAGTTGCTGTGCTGAAGTTGGTGTTCCTCTAGACTGGGGACAGTGTTCTCGGGGCATCTCTGGAGTTGCCTGAAGGAAGTCGAGCCACCGGTCGTGTTGAATGGGGAACGGGGAATGGCTCTGGAGTGAATGCAGGGGAATCGGGCCTCATCTCGAGTTGATTTGGGGCACATGGAGCTGCTTTGCGTTGCTGGGGTGACCTCAGGGTCCGTCTAGACTGGTGACAGTGTTCTTGGGGACTGTCTCGAGATCCATTAAGCAAGTCGAAGCTACTGACTTGTTTGAATGGGATCACGGAATAGCTCTGCATGCACTGCAGGGGAATGGGGCCTCATCTCGCCTCTAGGGGGAAGTCTCATCGTTTTTCTCGAGTTGCGGCGGAGACCTGGGGTATGTTCTCGACTTACGGCGGGGATGGCCCTTCAAAACACGAGTTTCTTCAGTGACGTCAGGACCCCTGTCTTGTAACGAGGGACACCTCAGGAATCTCTACGAGGCTTGGCAGGGCAAAAGGGACGCTTCTCGAGGTGAGGCAGGGTACCCAAGGACCCTTTCCAGTAGCCACAGCGATTTTGGGATTCCTATCAGTATTCAAGAGGAGTCAGGCATCGTCACCTTTTGAAGCAATGAACTCCGCGTGCCTCTCGAGGTGTCAGTGGGATGTGAGGCATTCCGTCAAAATGAGGCAGGGACCTAGGGCTTTCTCTAAGGTCTCCACAGGGGATTCAGACATCCCTTCATGTTGTGAGATGAAAGACGAGCCTGTATTCAAGCCACTGCAAGGAAATGCGGACTCCTTTCAAGTTAGGGATTCTTGCTGTATATTCCCCTTGAGGCAGCAAACTCGGGGTCCCTTCCACATACCTATTGCTGACAGAAGCCTCCTCCTGAGGTGCTTCTGGAAAGTTGGCATACGTCTTGAGCCTAAGCCAGGGAATCAGCTCTCATCTCGAGACAATTTGGGGTACACGGAGCATTCCTCGAGTTGCTGTGCTGAAGTTGGTGTTCCTCTAGACTTGGGACAGTGTTCTCGGGGCATCTCTGGAGTTGCCTGAAGGAAGTCGAGCCACCGGTCGTGTTGAATGGGGATCGGGGAATGGCTCTGGAGTCAATGCAGGGGAATCGGGCCTCATCTCGAGTTGATTTGGGGCACATGGAGCTGCTTTGCGTTGCTGGGGTGACCTCAGGGTCCGTCTAGACTGGTGACAGTGTTCTTGGGGACTGTCTCGAGATCCATTAAGCAAGTCGAAACTCCTGACTTGTTTGAATGGGATCACAGAATAGCTCTGCATGCACTGCAGGGGAATGGGGCCTCATCTCGCCTCAAGGGGGAAGTCTCATGGTTTTTCTCGAGTTGCGGCGGGGACCTGGGGTATGTTCTCGACTTACGGCGGGGATGGCCCTTCAAAACACGAGTTTCTTCAGTGACCTCAGGACTACTGTCTTGTAACGAGGGACACCTCAGGAATCTCCTCGAGGCTTGGCAGGGCAAAAGGGACGCTTCTCGAGGTGAGGCAGGGCACCCAAGGACGCTTTCCCCTAGCCACAGGGATTTTGGGATTCCTATCAGTATTCAAGAGGAGTCAGGCATCGTCACCTTTTGAAGCAATGAACTCCGCGTGCCTCTCGAGGTGTCAGCGGGATGTGAGGCATTCCGTCAAAATGAGGCAGGGAACTAGGGCTTTCTCTAAGGTCTCCACAGGGGATTCAGACATCCCTTCATGTTGTGAGATGAAAGACGAGCCTGTATTCAAGCCACTGCAAGGAAATCCGGCCTCCTTTCAAGTTAGGGCTTCTCGCTGTATATTCCCCTTGAGGCACAAACTCGGGGTCCCTCCCACATACTTATTGCTGAGAGAAGCCTCCTCCTGAGGTGCTTCTGGAAAGTTGGCATACGTCTTGAGCGTTGGCCAGGGAATCAGCTCTCATCTCGAGACGATTTGGGTTACACGAAGCATTCGTCGAGTTGCTGTGCTGAAGTTGGTGTTCCTCTAGACTTGGGACAGTGTTCTCGGGGCATCTCTGGAGTTGCCTGAAGGAAGTCGAGCCACCGGTCGTGTTGAATGGGGAACGGGGAATGGCTCTGGAGTCAATGCAGGGGAATCGGGCCTCATCTCGAGTTGATTTGGGGCACATGGAGCTGCTTTGCGTTGCTGGGGTGACCTCAGGGTCCGTCTAGACTGGTGACAGTGTTCTTGGGGACTGTCTCGAGATACATTAAGCAAGTCGAAACTCCTGACTTGTTTGAATGGGATCACAGAATAGCTCTGCATGCACTTCATTGGAATGGGGCCTCATCTCGCCTCTAGGGGGAAGTCTCATGGTTTTTCTCGAGTTGCGGCGGGGACCTGGTGTATGTTCTCGACTTACGGCGGGGATGGCCCTTCAAAACACGAGTTTCTTCAGTGACGTCAGGACTCCTGTCTAGTAACGACGGACACCTCAGGAATCTCTAAGAGGCTTGGCAGGGCAAAAGGGACGCTTCTCGAGGTGAGTCAGGGCACCCAAGGACGCTTTCCCCTAGCCACAGGGATTTTGGGATTCCTATCAGTATTCAAGAGGAGTCAGGCATCGTCACCTTTTGAAGCAATGAACTCCGCGTTCCTCTCGAGGTGTCAGCGGGATGTGAGGCATTCCGTCAAAATGAGGCAGGGACCTAGGTCTTTCTCTAAGGTCTCCACAGGGGATTCAGACATCCCTTCATGTTGTGAGATGAAAGACGAGCCTGTATTCAAGCCACTGCAAGGAAATCCGGCCTCCTTTCAAGTTAGGGCTTCTCGCTGTATATTCCCCTTGAGGCAGCAAACTCGGGTCCCTCCCACATACTTTTTGCTGAGAGAAGCCTCCTCCTGAGGTGCTTCTGGAAAGTTGGCATACGTCTTGAGCCTAAGCCAGGGAATCAGCTCTCATCTCGAGACGATTTGGGGTACACGGAGCATTCCTCAAGTTGCTGTGCTGAAGTTGGTGTTCCTCTAGACTTGGGACAGTGTTCTCGGGGCATCTCTGGAGTTTCCTGAAGGAAGTCGAGCCACCGGTCTTGTTGAATGGGGAACGGGGAATGGCTCTGGAGTCAATGCAGGGGAATCGGGCCTCATCTCGAGTTGATGCGGGGCACATGGAGCTGCTTTGCGTTGCTGGGGTGACCTCAGGGTCCGTCTAGACTCGTGACAGTGTTCTTGGGGACTGTCTCGAGATCCATTAAGCAAGTCGAAGCTCCTGACTTGTTTGAATGGGATCACGGGATAGCTCTGCATGCACTGCAGGGGAATGGGGCCTCATCTCGCCTCAAGGGGGAAGTCTCATGGTTTTTCTCGAGTTGGGGCGGGGACCTGGGGTATGTTCTCGACTTACGGCGGGGATGGCCCTTCAAAACACGAGTTTCTTAAGTGACCTCAGGACTCCTGTCTTGTAACGAGGGACACCTCAGGAATCTCTACGAGGCTTGGCAGGGCAAAAGGGACGCTTCTCGAGGTGAGGCAGGGTACCCAAGGACCCTTTCCAGTAGCCACAGGGATTTTGGGATTCCTATCAGTATTCAAGATGAGTCAGGCATCGTCACCTTTTGAAGCAATGAACTCCGCGTGCCTCTCGAGGTGTCAGTGGGATGTGAGGCATTCCGTCAAAATGAGGCAGGGACCTAGGGCTTTCTCTAAGGTCTCCACAGGGGATTCAGACATCCCTTCATGTTGTGAGATGAAAGACGAGCCTGTATTCAAGCCACTGCAAGGAAATGCGGCCTCCTTTCAAGTTAGGGCTTCTCGCTGTATATTCCCCTTGAGGCAGCAAACTCGGGGTCCCTTCCACATACCTAATGCTGAGAGAAGCCTCCTCCTGAGGTGCTTCTGGAAAGTTGGCATACGTCTTGAGCCTAATCCAGGGAATCAGCTCTCATCTCGAGACAATTTGGGGTACACGGAGCATTCCTCGAGTTGCTGTGCTGAAGTTGGTGTTCCTCTAGACTTGGGACAGTGTTCTCGGGGCATCTCTGGACTTGCCTGAAGGAAGTCGAGCCACCGGTCGTGTTGAATGGGGAACGGGGAATGGCTCTGGAGTGAATGCAGGGGAATCGGGCCTCATCTCGAGTTGATTTGGGGCACATGGAGCTGCTTTGCGTTGCTGGGGTAACCTCAGGGTCCGTCTAGACTGGTGACAGTGTTCTTGGGGACTGTCTCGAGATCCATTAAGCAAGTCGAAGCTCCTGACTTGTTTGAATGGGATCACGGAATAGCTCTGCATGCACTGCAGGGGAATGGGGCCTCATCTCGCCTCTAGGGGGAAGTCACATGGTTTTTCTCGAGTTGCGGTGGGGACCTGGGGTATGTTCTCGACTTACGGCGGGGATGGCCGTTCAAAACACGAGTTTCTTCAGTGACGTCAGGACTCCTGTCTAGTAACGAGGGACACCTCAGGAATCTCTAAGAGGCTTGGCAGGGCAAAAGGGACGCTTCTCGAGGTGAGGCAGGGCACCCAAGGACGCTTTCCCCTAGCCACAGGGATTTTGGGATTCCTATCAGTATTCAAGAGGAGTCAGGCATCGTCACCTTTTGAAGCAATGAACTCCGCGTGCCTCTCGAGGTGTCAGCGGGATGTGAGGCATTCCGTCAAAATGAGGCAGGGACCTAGGGCTTTCTCTAAGGTCTCCACAGGGGATTCAGACATCCCTTCATGTTGTGAGATGAAAGACAAGCCTGTATTCAAGCCACTGCAAGGAAATGCGGCCTCCTTTCAAGTTAGGGCTTCTCGCTGTATATTCCCCTTGAGGCACAAACTCGGGGTCCCTCCCACATACTTATTGCTGAGAGAAGCCTCCTCCTGAGGTGCTTCTGGAAAGTTGGCATACGTCTTGAGCCTAAACCAGGGAATCAGCTCTCATCTCGAGATGATTTGGGTTACACGGAGCATTCCTCGAGTTGCTGTGCTGAAGTTGGTGTTCCTCTAGACTGGGGACAGTGTTCTCGGGGCATCTCTGGAGTTGCCTGAAGGAAGTCGAGCCACCGGTCGTGTTGAATGGGGAACGGGGAATGGCTCTGGAGTGAATGCAGGGGAATCGGGCCTCATCTCGAGTTGATTTGGGGCACATGGAGCTGCTTTGCGTTGCTGGGGTGACCTCAGGGTCCGTCTAGACTGGTGACAGTGTTCTTGGGGACTGTCTCGAGATCCATTAAGCAAGTCGAAGCTCCTGACTTGTTTGAATGGGATCACGGAATAGCTCTGCATGCACTGCAGGGGAATGGGGCCTCATCTCGCCTCTAGGGGGAAGTCTCATGGTTTTTCTCGAGTTGCGGCGGAGACCTGGGGTATGTTCTCGACTTACGGCGGGGATGGCCCTTCAAAACACGAGTTTCTTCAGTGACGTCAGGACCCCTGTCTTGTAACGAGGGACACCTCAGGAATCTCTACGAGGCTTGGCAGGGCAAAAGGGACGCTTCTCGAGGTGAGGCAGGGTACCCAAGGACCCTTTCCAGTAGCCACAGCGATTTTGGGATTCCTATCAGTATTCAAGAGGAGTCAGGCATCGTCACCTTTTGAAGCAATGAACTCCGCGTGCCTCTCGAGGTGTCAGTGGGATGTGAGGCATTCCGTCAAAATGAGGCAGGGACCTAGGGCTTTCTCTAAGGTCTCCACAGGGGATTCAGACATCCCTTCATGTTGTGAGATGAAAGACGAGCCTGTATTCAAGCCACTGCAAGGAAATGCGGACTCCTTTCAAGTTAGGGATTCTTGCTGTATATTCCCCTTGAGGCAGCAAACTCGGGGTCCCTTCCACATACCTATTGCTGACAGAAGCCTCCTCCTGAGGTGCTTCTGGAAAGTTGGCATACGTCTTGAGCCTAAGCCAGGGAATCAGCTCTCATCTCGAGACAATTTGGGGTACACGGAGCATTCCTCGAGTTGCTGTGCTGAAGTTGGTGTTCCTCTAGACTTGGGACAGTGTTCTCGGGGCATCTCTGGAGTTGCCTGAAGGAAGTCGAGCCACCGGTCGTGTTGAATGGGGATCGGGGAATGGCTCTGGAGTCAATGCAGGGCAATCGGGCCTCATCTCGAGTTGATTTGGGGCACATGGAGCTGCTTTGCGTTGCTGGGGTGACCTCAGGGTCCGTCTAGACTGGTGACAGTGTTCTTGGGGACTGTCTCGAGATCCATTAAGCAAGTCGAAACTCCTGACTTGTTTGAATGGGATCACAGAATAGCTCTGCATGCACTGCAGGGGAATGGGGCCTCATCTCGCCTCAAGGGGGAAGTCTCATGGTTTTTCTCGAGTTGCGGCGGGGACCTGGGGTATGTTCTCGACTTACGGCGGGGATGGCCCTTCAAAACACGAGTTTCTTCAGTGACCTCAGGACTACTGTCTTGTAACGAGGGACACCTCAGGAATCTCTTCGAGGCTTGGCAGGGCAAAAGGGACGCTTCTCGAGGTGAGGCAGGGCACCCAAGGACGCTTTCCCCTAGCCACAGGGATTTTGGGATTCCTATCAGTATTCAAGAGGAGTCAGGCATCGTCACCTTTTGAAGCAATGAACTCCGCGTGCCTCTCGAGGTGTCAGCGGGATGTGAGGCATTCCGTCAAAATGAGGCAGGGAACTAGGGCTTTCTCTAAGGTCTCCACAGGGGATTCAGACATCCCTTCATGTTGTGAGATGAAAGACGAGCCTGTATTCAAGCCACTGCAAGGAAATCCGGCCTCCTTTCAAGTTAGGGCTTCTCGCTGTATATTCCCCTTGAGGCACAAACTCGGGGTCCCTCCCACATACTTATTGCTGAGAGAAGCCTCCTCCTGAGGTGCTTCTGGAAAGTTGGCATACGTCTTGAGCGTTGGCCAGGGAATCAGCTCTCATCTCGAGACGATTTGGGTTACACGAAGCATTCGTCGAGTTGCTGTGCTGAAGTTGGTGTTCCTCTAGACTTGGGACAGTGTTCTCGGGGCATCTCTGGAGTTGCCTGAAGGAAGTCGAGCCACCGGTCGTGTTGAATGGGGAACGGGGAATGGCTCTGGAGTCAATGCAGGGGAATCGGGCCTCATCTCGAGTTGATTTGGGGCACATGGAGCTGCTTTGCGTTGCTGGGGTGACCTCAGGGTCCGTCTAGACTGGTGACAGTGTTCTTGGGGACTGTCTCGAGATACATTAAGCAAGTCGAAACTCCTGACTTGTTTGAATGGGATCACAGAATAGCTCTGCATGCACTTCATTGGAATGGGGCCTCATCTCGCCTCTAGGGGGAAGTCTCATGGTTTTTCTCGAGTTGCGGCGGGGACCTGGTGTATGTTCTCGACTTACGGCGGGGATGGCCCTTCAAAACACGAGTTTCTTCAGTGACGTCAGGACTCCTGTCTAGTAACGACGGACACCTCAGGAATCTCTAAGAGGCTTGGCAGGGCAAAAGGGACGCTTCTCGAGGTGAGTCAGGGCACCCAAGGACGCTTTCCCCTAGCCACAGGGATTTTGGGATTCCTATCAGTATTCAAGAGGAGTCAGGCATCGTCACCTTTTGAAGCAATGAACTCCGCGTTCCTCTCGAGGTGTCAGCGGGATGTGAGGCATTCCGTCAAAATGAGGCAGGGACCTAGGTCTTTCTCTAAGGTCTCCACAGGGGATTCAGACATCCCTTCATGTTGTGAGATGAAAGACGAGCCTGTATTCAAGCCACTGCAAGGAAATCCGGCCTCCTTTCAAGTTAGGGCTTCTCGCTGTATATTCCGCTTGAGGCAGCAAACTCGGGTCCCTCCCACATACTTTTTGCTGAGAGAAGCCTCCTCCTGAGGTGCTTCTGGAAAGTTGGCATACGTCTTGAGCCTAAGCCAGGGAATCAGCTCTCATCTCGAGACGATTTGGGGTACACGGAGCATTCCTCAAGTTGCTGTGCTGAAGTTGGTGTTCCTCTAGACTTGGGACAGTGTTCTCGGGGCATCTCTGGAGTTTCCTGAAGGAAGTCGAGCCACCGGTCTTGTTGAATGGGGAACGGGGAATGGCTCTGGAGTCAATGCAGGGGAATCGGGCCTCATCTCGAGTTGATGCGGGGCACATGGAGCTGCTTTGCGTTGCTGGGGTGACCTCAGGGTCCGTCTAGACTCGTGACAGTGTTCTTGGGGACTGTCTCGAGATCCATTAAGCAAGTCGAAGCTCCTGACTTGTTTGAATGGGATCACGGGATAGCTCTGCATGCACTGCAGGGGAATGGGGCCTCATCTCGCCTCAAGGGGGAAGTCTCATGGTTTTTCTCGAGTTGGGGCGGGGACCTGGGGTATGTTCTCGACTTACGGCGGGGATGGCCCTTCAAAACACGAGTTTCTTAAGTGACCTCAGGACTCCTGTCTTGTAACGAGGGACACCTCAGGAATCTCTACGAGGCTTGGCAGGGCAAAAGGGACGCTTCTCGAGGTGAGGCAGGGTACCCAAGGACCCTTTCCAGTAGCCACAGGGATTTTGGGATTCCTATCAGTATTCAAGATGAGTCAGGCATCGTCACCTTTTGAAGCAATGAACTCCGCGTGCCTCTCGAGGTGTCAGTGGGATGTGAGGCATTCCGTCAAAATGAGGCAGGGACCTAGGGCTTTCTCTAAGGTCTCCACAGGGGATTCAGACATCCCTTCATGTTGTGAGATGAAAGACGAGCCTGTATTCAAGCCACTGCAAGGAAATGCGGCCTCCTTTCAAGTTAGGGCTTCTCGCTGTATATTCCCCTTGAGGCAGCAAACTCGGGGTCCCTTCCACATACCTAATGCTGAGAGAAGCCTCCTCCTGAGGTGCTTCTGGAAAGTTGGCATACGTCTTGAGCCTAATCCAGGGAATCAGCTCTCATCTCGAGACAATTTGGGGTACACGGAGCATTCCTCGAGTTGCTGTGCTGAAGTTGGTGTTCCTCTAGACTTGGGACAGTGTTCTCGGGGCATCTCTGGACTTGCCTGAAGGAAGTCGAGCCACCGGTCGTGTTGAATGGGGAACGGGGAATGGCTCTGGAGTGAATGCAGGGGAATCGGGCCTCATCTCGAGTTGATTTGGGGCACATGGAGCTGCTTTGCGTTGCTGGGGTAACCTCAGGGTCCGTCTAGACTGGTGACAGTGTTCTTGGGGACTGTCTCGAGATCCATTAAGCAAGTCGAAGCTCCTGACTTGTTTGAATGGGATCACGGAATAGCTCTGCATGCACTGCAGGGGAATGGGGCCTCATCTCGCCTCTAGGGGGAAGTCACATGGTTTTTCTCGAGTTGCGGTGGGGACCTGGGGTATGTTCTCGACTTACGGCGGGGATGGCCGTTCAAAACACGAGTTTCTTCAGTGACGTCAGGACTCCTGTCTAGTAACGAGGGACACCTCAGGAATCTCTTCGAGGCTTGGCAGGGCAAAAGGGACGCTTCTCGAGGTGAGGCAGGGCACCCAAGGACGCTTTCCCCTAGCCACAGGGATTTTGGGATTCCTATCAGTATTCAAGAGGAGTCAGGCATCGTCACCTTTTGAAGCAATGAACTCCGCGTGCCTCTCGAGGTGTCAGCGGGATGTGAGGCATTCCGTCAAAATGAGGCAGGGACCTAGGGCTTTCTCTAAGGTCTCCACAGGGGATTCAGACATCCCTTCATGTTGTGAGATGAAAGACAAGCCTGTATTCAAGCCACTGCAAGGAAATGCGGCCTCCTTTCAAGTTAGGGCTTCTCGCTGTATATTCCCCTTGAGGCACAAACTCGGGGTCCCTCCCACATACTTATTGCTGAGAGAAGCCTCCTCCTGAGGTGCTTCTGGAAAGTTGGCATACGTCTTGAGCCTAAGCCAGGGAATCAGCTCTCATCTCGAGATGATTTGGGTTACACGGAGCATTCCTCGAGTTGCTGTGCTGAAGTTGGTGTTCCTCTAGACTTGGGACAGTGTTCTCGGGGCATCTCTGGAGTTGCCTGAAGGAAGTCGAGCCACCGGTCGTGTTGAATGGGGAACGGGGAATGGCTCTGGAGTGAATGCAGGGGAATCGGGCCTCATCTCGAGTTGATTTGGGGCACATGGAGCTGCTTTGCGTTGCTGGGGTGACCTCAGGGTCCGTCTAGACTGGTGACAGTGTTCTTGGGGACTGTCTCGAGATCCATTAAGCAAGTCGAAGCTCCTGACTTGTTTGAATGGGATCACGGAATAGCTCTGCATGCACTGCAGGGGAATGGGGCCTCATCTCGCCTCTAGGGGGAAGTCTCATGGTTTTTCTCGAGTTGCGGCGGAGACCTGGGGTATGTTCTCGACTTACGGCGGGGATGGCCCTTCAAAACACGAGTTTCTTCAGTGACGTCAGGACCCCTGTCTTGTAACGAGGGACACCTCAGGAATCTCTACGAGGCTTGGCAGGGCAAAAGGGACGCTTCTCGAGGTGAGGCAGGGTACCCAAGGACCCTTTCCAGTAGCCACAGCGATTTTGGGATTCCTATCAGTATTCAAGAGGAGTCAGGCATCGTCACCTTTTGAAGCAATGAACTCCGCGTGCCTCTCGAGGTGTCAGTGGGATGTGAGGCATTCCGTCAAAATGAGGCAGGGACCTAGGGCTTTCTCTAAGGTCTCCACAGGGGATTCAGACATCCCTTCATGTTGTGAGATGAAAGACGAGCCTGTATTCAAGCCACTGCAAGGAAATGCGGACTCCTTTCAAGTTAGGGATTCTTGCTGTATATTCCCCTTGAGGCAGCAAACTCGGGGTCCCTTCCACATACCTATTGCTGACAGAAGCCTCCTCCTGAGGTGCTTCTGGAAAGTTGGCATACGTCTTGAGCCTAAGCCAGGGAATCAGCTCTCATCTCGAGACAATTTGGGGTACACGGAGCATTCCTCGAGTTGCTGTGCTGAAGTTGGTGTTCCTCTAGACTTGGGACAGTGTTCTCGGGGCATCTCTGGAGTTGCCTGAAGGAAGTCGAGCCACCGGTCGTGTTGAATGGGGATCGGGGAATGGCTCTGGAGTCAATGCAGGGGAATCGGGCCTCATCTCGAGTTGATTTGGGGCACATGGAGCTGCTTTGCGTTGCTGGGGTGACCTCAGGGTCCGTCTAGACTGGTGACAGTGTTCTTGGGGACTGTCTCGAGATCCATTAAGCAAGTCGAAACTCCTGACTTGTTTGAATGGGATCACAGAATAGCTCTGCATGCACTGCAGGGGAATGGGGCCTCATCTCACCTCAAGGGGGAAGTCTCATTGTTTTTCTCGAGTTCAGGCGGGGACCTGGGGTATGTTCTCGACTTACGGCGGGGATGGCCCTTCAAAACACGAGTTTCTTCAGTGACCTCAGGACTACTGTCTTGTAACGAGGGACACCTCAGGAATCTCTTCGAGGCTTGGCAGGGCAAAAGGGACGCTTCTCGAGGTGAGGCAGGGCACCCAAGGACCCTTTCCAGTAGCCACAGGGATTTTGGGAGTCCTATCATTATTCAAGAGGAGTCAGGCATCGTCACCTTTTGAAGCAATTTACTCCGCGTGCCTCTCGAGGTGTCAGCGGGATGTGAGGCATTCCGTCAAAATGAGGCAGGGACTTAGGGCCTTCTCTACGGTCTCCACAGGGGATTCAGACATCCCTTCATGTTGTGAGATGAAAGACGAGCCTGTATTCAAGCCACTGCAAGGTATTCCGGCCTCCTTTCAAGTTAGGGCTTCTCGCTGTATATTCCCCTTGAGGCAGCAAACTCGGGGTCCCTTCCACATACCTATTGCTGAGAGAAGCCTCCTCCTGAGGTGCTTCTGGAAAGTTGGCATACGTCTTGAGCCTAAGCCAGGGAATCAGCTCTCATCTCGAGACGATTTGGGGTACACGGAGCATTCCTCAAGTTGCTGTGCTGAAGTTGGTGTTCCTCTAGACTTGGGACAGTGTTCTCGGGGCATCTCTGGAGTTGCCTGAAGGAAGTCGAGCCACCGGTCGTGTTGAATGGGGAACGGGGAATGGCTCTGGAGTCAATGCATGGGAATCGGGCCTCATCTCGAGTTGATTTGGGGCACATGGAGCTGCTTTGCGTTGCTGGGGTGACCTCAGGGTCCGTCTAGACTGGTGACAGTGTTCTTGGGGATTGTCTCGAGATCCATTAAGCAAGTCGAAGCTCCTGACTTGTTTGAATGGGATCACGGAATAGCTCTGCATGCACTGCAGGGGAATGGGGCCTCATCTCGCCTCTAGGGGGAAGTCTCATGGTTTTTCTCGAGTTGCGGCGGGGACCTGGGGTATGTTCTCGACTTACGGCGGGGATGGCCCTTCAAAACACGAGTTTCTTCAGTGACGTCAGGACTCCTGTCTAGTAACGAGGGACACCTCAGGAATCTCTAAGAGGCTTGGCAGGGCAAAAGGGACGCTTCTCGAGGTGAGGCAGGGCACCCAAGGACGCTTTCCCCTAGCCACAGGGATTTTGGGATTCCTATCAGTATTCAAGAGGAGTCAGGCATCGTCACCTTTTGAAGCAATGAACTCCGCGTTCCTCTCGAGGTGTCAGCGGGATATGAGGCATTCCGTCAAAATGAGGCAGGGACCTAGGTCTTTCTCTAAGGTCTCCACAGGGGATTCAGACATCCCTTCATGTTGTGAGATGAAAGACGAGCCTGTATTCAAGCCACTGCAAGGAAATCCGGCCTCCTTTCAAGTTAGGGCTTCTCGCTGTATATTCCCCTTGAGGCAGCAAACTCGGGTCCCTCCCACATACTTTTTGCTGAGAGAAGCCTCCTCCTGAGGTGCTTCTGGAAAGTTGGCATACGTCTTGAGCCTAAGCCAGGGAATCAGCTCTCATCTCGAGACGATTTGGGGTACACGGAGCATTCCTCAAGTTGCTGTGCTGAAGTTGGTGTTCCTCTAGACTTGGGACAGTGTTCTCGGGGCATCTCTGGAGTTTCCTGAAGGAAGTCGAGCCACCGGTCTTGTTGAATGGGGAACGGGGAATGGCTCTGGAGTCAATGCAGGGGAATCGGGCCTCATCTCGAGTTGATGCGGGGCACATGGAGCTGCTTTGCGTTGCTGGGGTGACCTCAGGGTCCGTCTAGACTCGTGACAGTGTTCTTGGGGACTGTCTCGAGATCCATTAAGCAAGTCGAAGCTCCTGACTTGTTTGAATGGGATCACGGGATAGCTCTGCATGCACTGCAGGGGAATGGGGCCTCATCTCGCCTCAAGGGGGAAGTCTCATGGTTTTTCTCGAGTTGGGGCGGGGACCTGGGGTATGTTCTCGACTTACGGCGGGGATGGCCCTTCAAAACACGAGTTTCTTAAGTGACCTCAGGACTCCTGTCTTGCAACGAGGGACACCTCAGGAATCTCTACGAGGCTTGGCAGGGCAAAAGGGACGCTTCTCGAGGTGAGGCAGGGTACCCAAGGACCCTTTCCAGTAGCCACAGGGATTTTGGGATTCCTATCAGTATTCAAGATGAGTCAGGCATCGTCACCTTTTGAAGCAATGAACTCCGCGTGCCTCTCGAGGTGTCAGTGGGATGTGAGGCATTCCGTCAAAATGAGGCAGGGACCTAGGGCTTTCTCTAAGGTCTCCACAGGGGATTCAGACATCCCTTCATGTTGTGAGATGAAAGACGAGCCTGTATTCAAGCCACTGCAAGGAAATGCGGCCTCCTTTCAAGTTAGGGCTTCTCGCTGTATATTCCCCTTGAGGCAGCAAACTCGGGGTCCCTTCCACATACCTAATGCTGAGAGAAGCCTCCTCCTGAGGTGCTTCTGGAAAGTTGGCATACGTCTTGAGCCTAATCCAGGGAATCAGCTCTCATCTCGAGACAATTTGGGGTACACGGAGCATTCCTCGAGTTGCTGTGCTGAAGTTGGTGTTCCTCTAGACTTGGGACAGTGTTCTCGGGGCATCTCTGGACTTGCCTGAAGGAAGTCGAGCCACCGGTCGTGTTGAATGGGGAACGGGGAATGGCTCTGGAGTGAATGCAGGGGAATCGGGCCTCATCTCGAGTTGATTTGGGGCACATGGAGCTGCTTTGCGTTGCTGGGGTAACCTCAGGGTCCGTCTAGACTGGTGACAGTGTTCTTGGGGACTGTCTCGAGATCCATTAAGCAAGTCGAAGCTCCTGACTTGTTTGAATGGGATCACGGAATAGCTCTGCATGCACTGCAGGGGAATGGGGCCTCATCTCGCCTCTAGGGGGAAGTCACATGGTTTTTCTCGAGTTGCGGTGGGGACCTGGGGTATGTTCTCGACTTACGGCGGGGATGGCCGTTCAAAACACGAGTTTCTTCAGTGACGTCAGGACTCCTGTCTAGTAACGAGGGACACCTCAGGAATCTCTAAGAGGCTTGGCAGGGCAAAAGGGACGCTTCTCGAGGTGAGGCAGGGCACCCAAGGACGCTTTCCCCTAGCCACAGGGATTTTGGGATTCCTATCAGTATTCAAGAGGAGTCAGGCATCGTCACCTTTTGAAGCAATGAACTCCGCGTGCCTCTCGAGGTGTCAGCGGGATGTGAGGCATTCCGTCAAAATGAGGCAGGGACCTAGGGCTTTCTCTAAGGTCTCCACAGGGGATTCAGACATCCCTTCATGTTGTGAGATGAAAGACAAGCCTGTATTCAAGCCACTGCAAGGAAATGCGGCCTCCTTTCAAGTTAGGGCTTCTCGCTGTATATTCCCCTTGAGGCACAAACTCGGGGTCCCTCCCACATACTTATTGCTGAGAGAAGCCTCCTCCTGAGGTGCTTCTGGAAAGTTGGCATACGTCTTGAGCCTAAGCCAGGGAATCAGCTCTCATCTCGAGATGATTTGGGTTACACGGAGCATTCCTCGAGTTGCTGTGCTGAAGTTGGTGTTCCTCTAGACTTGGGACAGTGTTCTCGGGGCATCTCTGGAGTTGCCTGAAGGAAGTCGAGCCACCGGTCGTGTTGAATGGGGAACGGGGAATGGCTCTGGAGTGAATGCAGGGGAATCGGGCCTCATCTCGAGTTGATTTGGGGCACATGGAGCTGCTTTGCGTTGCTGGGGTGACCTCAGGGTCCGTCTAGACTGGTGACAGTGTTCTTGGGGACTGTCTCGAGATCCATTAAGCAAGTCGAAGCTCCTGACTTGTTTGAATGGGATCACGGAATAGCTCTGCATGCACTGCAGGGGAATGGGGCCTCATCTAGCCTCTAGGGGGAAGTCTCATGGTTTTTCTCGAGTTGCGGGGAGACCTGGGGTATGTTCTCGACTTACGGCGGGGATGGCCCTTCAAAACACGAGTTTCTTCAGTGACGTCAGGACCCCTGTCTTGTAACGAGGGACACCTCAGGAATCTCTACGAGGCTTGGCAGGGCAAAAGGGACGCTTCTCGAGGTGAGGCAGGGTACCCAAGGACCCTTTCCAGTAGCCACAGCGATTTTGGGATTCCTATCAGTATTCAAGAGGAGTCAGGCATCGTCACCTTTTGAAGCAATGAACTCCGCGTGCCTCTCGAGGTGTCAGTGGGATGTGAGGCATTCCGTCAAAATGAGGCAGGGACCTAGGGCTTTCTCTAAGGTCTCCACAGGGGATTCAGACATCCCTTCATGTTGTGAGATGAAAGACGAGCCTGTATTCAAGCCACTGCAAGGAAATGCGGACTCCTTTCAAGTTAGGGATTCTTGCTGTATATTCCCCTTGAGGCAGCAAACTCGGGGTCCCTTCCACATACCTATTGCTGACAGAAGCCTCCTCCTGAGGTGCTTCTGGAAAGTTGGCATACGTCTTGAGCCTAAGCCAGGGAATCAGCTCTCATCTCGAGACAATTTGGGGTACACGGAGCATTCCTCGAGTTGCTGTGCTGAAGTTGGTGTTCCTCTAGACTTGGGACAGTGTTCTCGGGGCATCTCTGGAGTTGCCTGAAGGAAGTCGAGCCACCGGTCGTGTTGAATGGGGATCGGGGAATGGCTCTGGAGTCAATGCAGGGGAATCGGGCCTCATCTCGAGTTGATTTGGGGCACATGGAGCTGCTTTGCGTTGCTGGGGTGACCTCAGGGTCCGTCTAGACTGGTGACAGTGTTCTTGGGGACTGTCTCGAGATCCATTAAGCAAGTCGAGACTCCTGACTTGTTTGAATGGGATCACAGAATAGCTCTGCATGCACTGCAGGGGAATGGGGCCTCATCTCGCCTCAAGGGGGAAGTCTCATTGTTTTTCTCGAGTTCAGGCGGGGACCTGGGGTATGTTCTCGACTTACGGCGGGGATGGCCCTTCAAAACACGAGTTTCTTCAGTGACCTCAGGACTACTGTCTTGTAACGAGGGACACCTCAGGAATCTCTTCGAGGCTTGGCAGGGCAAAAGGGACGCTTCTCGAGGTGAGGCAGGGCACCCAAGGACCCTTTCCAGTAGCCACAGGGATTTTGGGAGTCCTATCATTATTCAAGAGGAGTCAGGCATCGTCACCTTTTGAAGCAATTTACTCCGCGTGCCTCTCGAGGTGTCAGCGGGATGTGAGGCATTCCGTCAAAATGAGGCAGGGACTTAGGGCCTTCTCTACGGTCTCCACAGGGGATTCAGACATCCCTTCATGTTGTGAGATGAAAGACGAGCCTGTATTCAAGCCACTGCAAGGTATTCCGGCCTCCTTTCAAGTTAGGGCTTCTCGCTGTATATTCCCCTTGAGGCAGCAAACTCGGGGTCCCTTCCACATACCTATTGCTGAGAGAAGCCTCCTCCTGAGGTGCTTCTGGAAAGTTGGCATACGTCTTGAGCCTAAGCCAGGGAATCAGCTCTCATCTCGAGACGATTTGGGGTACACGGAGCATTCCTCAAGTTGCTGTGCTGAAGTTGGTGTTCCTCTAGACTTGGGACAGTGTTCTCGGGGCATCTCTGGAGTTGCCTGAAGGAAGTCGAGCCACCGGTCGTGTTGAATGGGGAACGGGGAATGGCTCTGGAGTCAATGCATGGGAATCGGGCCTCATCTCGAGTTGATTTGGGGCACATGGAGCTGCTTTGCGTTGCTGGGGTGACCTCAGGGTCCGTCTAGACTGGTGACAGTGTTCTTGGGGATTGTCTCGAGATCCATTAAGCAAGTCGAAGCTCCTGACTTGTTTGAATGGGATCACGGAATAGCTCTGCATGCACTGCAGGGGAATGGGGCCTCATCTCGCCTCTAGGGGGAAGTCTCATGGTTTTTCTCGAGTTGCGGCGGGGACCTGGGGTATGTTCTCGACTTACGGCGGGGATGGCCCTTCAAAACACGAGTTTCTTCAGTGACGTCAGGACTCCTGTCTAGTAACGAGGGACACCTCAGGAATCTCTAAGAGGCTTGGCAGGGCAAAAGGGACGCTTCTCGAGGTGAGGCAGGGCACCCAAGGACGCTTTCCCCTAGCCACAGGGATTTTGGGATTCCTATCAGTATTCAAGAGGAGTCAGGCATCGTCACCTTTTGAAGCAATGAACTCCGCGTTCCTCTCGAGGTGTCAGCGGGATGTGAGGCATTCCGTCAAAATGAGGCAGGGAACTAGGGCTTTCTCTAAGGTCTCCACAGGGGATTCAGACATCCCTTCATGTTGTGAGATGAAAGACGAGCCTGTATTCAAGCCACTGCAAGGAAATCCGGCCTCCTTTCAAGTTAGGGCTTCTCGCTGTATATTCCCCTTGAGGCACAAACTCGGGGTCCCTCCCACATACTTATTGCTGAGAGAAGCCTCCTCCTGAGGTGCTTCTGGAAAGTTGGCATACGTCTTGAGCGTTGGCCAGGGAATCAGCTCTCATCTCGAGACGATTTGGGTTACACGAAGCATTCGTCGAGTTGCTGTGCTGAAGTTGGTGTTCCTCTAGACTTGGGACAGTGTTCTCGGGGCATCTCTGGAGTTGCCTGAAGGAAGTCGAGCCACCGGTCGTGTTGAATGGGGAACGGGGAATGGCTCTGGAGTCAATGCAGGGGAATCGGGCCTCATCTCGAGTTGATTTGGGGCACATGGAGCTGCTTTGCGTTGCTGGGGTGACCTCAGGGTCCGTCTAGACTGGTGACAGTGTTCTTGGGGACTGTCTCGAGATACATTAAGCAAGTCGAAGCTCCTGACTTGTTTGAATGGGATCACGGAATAGCTCTGCATGCACTGCAGGGGAATGGGGCCTCATCTCGCCTCTAGGGGGAAGTCACATGGTTTTTCTCGAGTTGCGGTGGGGACCTGGGGTATGTTCTCGACTTACGGCGGGGATGGCCGTTCAAAACACGAGTTTCTTCAGTGACGTCAGGACTCCTGTCTAGTAACGAGGGACACCTCAGGAATCTCTAAGAGGCTTGGCAGGGCAAAAGGGACGCTTCTCGAGGTGAGGCAGGGCACCCAAGGACGCTTTCCCCTAGCCACAGGGATTTTGGGATTCCTATCAGTATTCAAGAGGAGTCAGGCATCGTCACCTTTTGAAGCAATGAACTCCGCGTGCCTCTCGAGGTGTCAGCGGGATGTGAGGCATTCCGTCAAAATGAGGCAGGGACCTAGGGCTTTCTCTAAGGTCTCCACAGGGGATTCAGACATCCCTTCATGTTGTGAGATGAAAGACAAGCCTGTATTCAAGCCACTGCAAGGAAATGCGGCCTCCTTTCAAGTTAGGGCTTCTCGCTGTATATTCCCCTTGAGGCACAAACTCGGGGTCCCTCCCACATACTTATTGCTGAGAGAAGCCTCCTCCTGAGGTGCTTCTGGAAAGTTGGCATACGTCTTGAGCCTAAACCAGGGAATCAGCTCTCATCTCGAGATGATTTGGGTTACACGGAGCATTCCTCGAGTTGCTGTGCTGAAGTTGGTGTTCCTCTAGACTGGGGACAGTGTTCTCGGGGCATCTCTGGAGTTGCCTGAAGGAAGTCGAGCCACCGGTCGTGTTGAATGGGGAACGGGGAATGGCTCTGGAGTGAATGCAGGGGAATCGGGCCTCATCTCGAGTTGATTTGGGGCACATGGAGCTGCTTTGCGTTGCTGGGGTGACCTCAGGGTCCGTCTAGACTGGTGACAGTGTTCTTGGGGACTGTCTCGAGATCCATTAAGCAAGTCGAAGCTCCTGACTTGTTTGAATGGGATCACGGAATAGCTCTGCATGCACTGCAGGGGAATGGGGCCTCATCTCGCCTCTAGGGGGAAGTCTCATGGTTTTTCTCGAGTTGCGGCGGAGACCTGGGGTATGTTCTCGACTTACGGCGGGGATGGCCCTTCAAAACACGAGTTTCTTCAGTGACGTCAGGACCCCTGTCTTGTGACGAGGGACACCTCAGGAATCTCTACGAGGCTTGGCAGGGCAAAAGGGACGCTTCTCGAGGTGAGGCAGGGTACCCAAGGACCCTTTCCAGTAGCCACAGCGATTTTGGGATTCCTATCAGTATTCAAGAGGAGTCAGGCATCGTCACCTTTTGAAGCAATGAACTCCGCGTGCCTCTCGAGGTGTCAGTGGGATGTGAGGCATTCCGTCAAAATGAGGCAGGGACCTAGGGCTTTCTCTAAGGTCTCCACAGGGGATTCAGACATCCCTTCATGTTGTGAGATGAAAGACGAGCCTGTATTCAAGCCACTGCAAGGAAATGCGGACTCCTTTCAAGTTAGGGATTCTTGCTGTATATTCCCCTTGAGGCAGCAAACTCGGGGTCCCTTCCACATACCTATTGCTGACAGAAGCCTCCTCCTGAGGTGCTTCTGGAAAGTTGGCATACGTCTTGAGCCTAAGCCAGGGAATCAGCTCTCATCTCGAGACAATTTGGGGTACACGGAGCATTCCTCGAGTTGCTGTGCTGAAGTTGGTGTTCCTCTAGACTTGGGACAGTGTTCTCGGGGCATCTCTGGAGTTGCCTGAAGGAAGTCGAGCCACCGGTCGTGTTGAATGGGGATCGGGGAATGGCTCTGGAGTCAATGCAGGGGAATCGGGCCTCATCTCGAGTTGATTTGGGGCACATGGAGCTGCTTTGCGTTGCTGGGGTGACCTCAGGGTCCGTCTAGACTGGTGACAGTGTTCTTGGGGACTGTCTCGAGATCCATTAAGCAAGTCGAAACTCCTGACTTGTTTGAATGGGATCACAGAATAGCTCTGCATGCACTGCAGGGGAATGGGGCCTCATCTCGCCTCAAGGGGGAAGTCTCATGGTTTTTCTCGAGTTGCGGCGGGGACCTGGGGTATGTTCTCGACTTACGGCGGGGATGGCCCTTCAAAACACGAGTTTCTTCAGTGACCTCAGGACTACTGTCTTGTAACGAGGGACACCTCAGGAATCTCTTCGAGGCTTGGCAGGGCAAAAGGGACGCTTCTCGAGGTGAGGCAGGGCACCCAAGGACGCTTTCCCCTAGCCACAGGGATTTTGGGATTCCTATCAGTATTCAAGAGGAGTCAGGCATCGTCACCTTTTGAAGCAATGAACTCCGCGTGCCTCTCGAGGTGTCAGCGGGATGTGAGGCATTCCGTCAAAATGAGGCAGGGAACTAGGGCTTTCTCTAAGGTCTCCACAGGGGATTCAGACATCCCTTCATGTTGTGAGATGAAAGACGAGCCTGTATTCAAGCCACTGCAAGGAAATCCGGCCTCCTTTCAAGTTAGGGCTTCTCGCTGTATATTCCCCTTGAGGCACAAACTCGGGGTCCCTCCCACATACTTATTGCTGAGAGAAGCCTCCTCCTGAGGTGCTTCTGGAAAGTTGGCATACGTCTTGAGCGTTGGCCAGGGAATCAGCTCTCATCTCGAGACGATTTGGGTTACACGAAGCATTCGTCGAGTTGCTGTGCTGAAGTTGGTGTTCCTCTAGACTTGGGACAGTGTTCTCGGGGCATCTCTGGAGTTGCCTGAAGGAAGTCGAGCCACCGGTCGTGTTGAATGGGGAACGGGGAATGGCTCTGGAGTCAATGCAGGGGAATCGGGCCTCATCTCGAGTTGATTTGGGGCACATGGAGCTGCTTTGCGTTGCTGGGGTGACCTCAGGGTCCGTCTAGACTGGTGACAGTGTTCTTGGGGACTGTCTCGAGATACATTAAGCAAGTCGAAACTCCTGACTTGTTTGAATGGGATCACAGAATAGCTCTGCATGCACTTCATTGGAATGGGGCCTCATCTCGCCTCTAGGGGGAAGTCTCATGGTTTTTCTCGAGTTGCGGCGGGGACCTGGTGTATGTTCTCGACTTACGGCGGGGATGGCCCTTCAAAACACGAGTTTCTTCAGTGACGTCAGGACTCCTGTCTAGTAACGACGGACACCTCAGGAATCTCTAAGAGGCTTGGCAGGGCAAAAGGGACGCTTCTCGAGGTGAGTCAGGGCACCCAAGGACGCTTTCCCCTAGCCACAGGGATTTTGGGATTCCTATCAGTATTCAAGAGGAGTCAGGCATCGTCACCTTTTGAAGCAATGAACTCCGCGTTCCTCTCGAGGTGTCAGCGGGATGTGAGGCATTCCGTCAAAATGAGGCAGGGACCTAGGTCTTTCTCTAAGGTCTCCACAGGGGATTCAGACATCCCTTCATGTTGTGAGATGAAAGACGAGCCTGTATTCAAGCCACTGCAAGGAAATCCGGCCTCCTTTCAAGTTAGGGCTTCTCGCTGTATATTCCCCTTGAGGCAGCAAACTCGGGTCCCTCCCACATACTTTTTGCTGAGAGAAGCCTCCTCCTGAGGTGCTTCTGGAAAGTTGGCATACGTCTTGAGCCTAAGCCAGGGAATCAGCTCTCATCTCGAGACGATTTGGGGTACACGGAGCATTCCTCAAGTTGCTGTGCTGAAGTTGGTGTTCCTCTAGACTTGGGACAGTGTTCTCGGGGCATCTCTGGAGTTTCCTGAAGGAAGTCGAGCCACCGGTCTTGTTGAATGGGGAACGGGGAATGGCTCTGGAGTCAATGCAGGGGAATCGGGCCTCATCTCGAGTTGATGCGGGGCACATGGAGCTGCTTTGCGTTGCTGGGGTGACCTCAGGGTCCGTCTAGACTCGTGACAGTGTTCTTGGGGACTGTCTCGAGATCCATTAAGCAAGTCGAAGCTCCTGACTTGTTTGAATGGGATCACGGGATAGCTCTGCATGCACTGCAGGGGAATGGGGCCTCATCTCGCCTCAAGGGGGAAGTCTCATGGTTTTTCTCGAGTTGGGGCGGGGACCTGGGGTATGTTCTCGACTTACGGCGGGGATGGCCCTTCAAAACACGAGTTTCTTAAGTGACCTCAGGACTCCTGTCTTGTAACGAGGGACACCTCAGGAATCTCTACGAGGCTTGGCAGGGCAAAAGGGACGCTTCTCGAGGTGAGGCAGGGTACCCAAGGACCCTTTCCAGTAGCCACAGGGATTTTGGGATTCCTATCAGTATTCAAGATGAGTCAGGCATCGTCACCTTTTGAAGCAATGAACTCCGCGTGCCTCTCGAGGTGTCAGTGGGATGTGAGGCATTCCGTCAAAATGAGGCAGGGACCTAGGGCTTTCTCTAAGGTCTCCACAGGGGATTCAGACATCCCTTCATGTTGTGAGATGAAAGACGAGCCTGTATTCAAGCCACTGCAAGGAAATGCGGCCTCCTTTCAAGTTAGGGCTTCTCGCTGTATATTCCCCTTGAGGCAGCAAACTCGGGGTCCCTTCCACATACCTAATGCTGAGAGAAGCCTCCTCCTGAGGTGCTTCTGGAAAGTTGGCATACGTCTTGAGCCTAATCCAGGGAATCAGCTCTCATCTCGAGACAATTTGGGGTACACGGAGCATTCCTCGAGTTGCTGTGCTGAAGTTGGTGTTCCTCTAGACTTGGGACAGTGTTCTCGGGGCATCTCTGGACTTGCCTGAAGGAAGTCGAGCCACCGGTCGTGTTGAATGGGGAACGGGGAATGGCTCTGGAGTGAATGCAGGGGAATCGGGCCTCATCTCGAGTTGATTTGGGGCACATGGAGCTGCTTTGCGTTGCTGGGGTAACCTCAGGGTCCGTCTAGACTGGTGACAGTGTTCTTGGGGACTGTCTCGAGATCCATTAAGCAAGTCGAAGCTCCTGACTTGTTTGAATGGGATCACGGAATAGCTCTGCATGCACTGCAGGGGAATGGGGCCTCATCTCGCCTCTAGGGGGAAGTCACATGGTTTTTCTCGAGTTGCGGTGGGGACCTGGGGTATGTTCTCGACTTACGGCGGGGATGGCCGTTCAAAACACGAGTTTCTTCAGTGACGTCAGGACTCCTGTCTAGTAACGAGGGACACCTCAGGAATCTCTTCGAGGCTTGGCAGGGCAAAAGGGACGCTTCTCGAGGTGAGGCAGGGCACCCAAGGACGCTTTCCCCTAGCCACAGGGATTTTGGGATTCCTATCAGTATTCAAGAGGAGTCAGGCATCGTCACCTTTTGAAGCAATGAACTCCGCGTGCCTCTCGAGGTGTCAGCGGGATGTGAGGCATTCCGTCAAAATGAGGCAGGGACCTAGGGCTTTCTCTAAGGTCTCCACAGGGGATTCAGACATCCCTTCATGTTGTGAGATGAAAGACAAGCCTGTATTCAAGCCACTGCAAGGAAATGCGGCCTCCTTTCAAGTTAGGGCTTCTCGCTGTATATTCCCCTTGAGGCACAAACTCGGGGTCCCTCCCACATACTTATTGCTGAGAGAAGCCTCCTCCTGAGGTGCTTCTGGAAAGTTGGCATACGTCTTGAGCCTAAGCCAGGGAATCAGCTCTCATCTCGAGATGATTTGGGTTACACGGAGCATTCCTCGAGTTGCTGTGCTGAAGTTGGTGTTCCTCTAGACTTGGGACAGTGTTCTCGGGGCATCTCTGGAGTTGCCTGAAGGAAGTCGAGCCACCGGTCGTGTTGAATGGGGAACGGGGAATGGCTCTGGAGTGAATGCAGGGGAATCGGGCCTCATCTCGAGTTGATTTGGGGCACATGGAGCTGCTTTGCGTTGCTGGGGTGACCTCAGGGTCCGTCTAGACTGGTGACAGTGTTCTTGGGGACTGTCTCGAGATCCATTAAGCAAGTCGAAGCTCCTGACTTGTTTGAATGGGATCACGGAATAGCTCTGCATGCACTGCAGGGGAATGGGGCCTCATCTAGCCTCTAGGGGGAAGTCTCATGGTTTTTCTCGAGTTGCGGCGGAGACCTGGGGTATGTTCTCGACTTACGGCGGGGATGGCCCTTCAAAACACGAGTTTCTTCAGTGACGTCAGGACCCCTGTCTTGTAACGAGGGACACCTCAGGAATCTCTACGAGGCTTGGCAGGGCAAAAGGGACGCTTCTCGAGGTGAGGCAGGGTACCCAAGGACCCTTTCCAGTAGCCACAGCGATTTTGGGATTCCTATCAGTATTCAAGAGGAGTCAGGCATCGTCACCTTTTGAAGCAATGAACTCCGCGTGCCTCTCGAGGTGTCAGTGGGATGTGAGGCATTCCGTCAAAATGAGGCAGGGACCTAGGGCTTTCTCTAAGGTCTCCACAGGGGATTCAGACATCCCTTCATGTTGTGAGATGAAAGACGAGCCTGTATTCAAGCCACTGCAAGGAAATGCGGACTCCTTTCAAGTTAGGGATTCTTGCTGTATATTCCCCTTGAGGCAGCAAACTCGGGGTCCCTTCCACATACCTATTGCTGACAGAAGCCTCCTCCTGAGGTGCTTCTGGAAAGTTGGCATACGTCTTGAGCCTAAGCCAGGGAATCAGCTCTCATCTCGAGACAATTTGGGGTACACGGAGCATTCCTCGAGTTGCTGTGCTGAAGTTGGTGTTCCTCTAGACTTGGGACAGTGTTCTCGGGGCATCTCTGGAGTTGCCTGAAGGAAGTCGAGCCACCGGTCGTGTTGAATGGGGATCGGGGAATGGCTCTGGAGTCAATGCAGGGGAATCGGGCCTCATCTCGAGTTGATTTGGGGCACATGGAGCTGCTTTGCGTTGCTGGGGTGACCTCAGGGTCCGTCTAGACTGGTGACAGTGTTCTTGGGGACTGTCTCGAGATCCATTAAGCAAGTCGAAACTCCTGACTTGTTTGAATGGGATCACAGAATAGCTCTGCATGCACTGCAGGGGAATGGGGCCTCATCTCACCTCAAGGGGGAAGTCTCATTGTTTTTCTCGAGTTCAGGCGGGGACCTGGGGTATGTTCTCGACTTACGGCGGGGATGGCCCTTCAAAACACGAGTTTCTTCAGTGACCTCAGGACTACTGTCTTGTAACGAGGGACACCTCAGGAATCTCTTCGAGGCTTGGCAGGGCAAAAGGGACGCTTCTCGAGGTGAGGCAGGGCACCCAAGGACCCTTTCCAGTAGCCACAGGGATTTTGGGAGTCCTATCATTATTCAAGAGGAGTCAGGCATCGTCACCTTTTGAAGCAATTTACTCCGCGTGCCTCTCGAGGTGTCAGCGGGATGTGAGGCATTCCGTCAAAATGAGGCAGGGACTTAGGGCCTTCTCTACGGTCTCCACAGGGGATTCAGACATCCCTTCATGTTGTGAGATGAAAGACGAGCCTGTATTCAAGCCACTGCAAGGTATTCCGGCCTCCTTTCAAGTTAGGGCTTCTCGCTGTATATTCCCCTTGAGGCAGCAAACTCGGGGTCCCTTCCACATACCTATTGCTGAGAGAAGCCTCCTCCTGAGGTGCTTCTGGAAAGTTGGCATACGTCTTGAGCCTAAGCCAGGGAATCAGCTCTCATCTCGAGACGATTTGGGGTACACGGAGCATTCCTCAAGTTGCTGTGCTGAAGTTGGTGTTCCTCTAGACTTGGGACAGTGTTCTCGGGGCATCTCTGGAGTTGCCTGAAGGAAGTCGAGCCACCGGTCGTGTTGAATGGGGAACGGGGAATGGCTCTGGAGTCAATGCATGGGAATCGGGCCTCATCTCGAGTTGATTTGGGGCACATGGAGCTGCTTTGCGTTGCTGGGGTGACCTCAGGGTCCGTCTAGACTGGTGACAGTGTTCTTGGGGATTGTCTCGAGATCCATTAAGCAAGTCGAAGCTCCTGACTTGTTTGAATGGGATCACGGAATAGCTCTGCATGCACTGCAGGGGAATGGGGCCTCATCTCGCCTCTAGGGGGAAGTCTCATGGTTTTTCTCGAGTTGCGGCGGGGACCTGGGGTATGTTCTCGACTTACGGCGGGGATGGCCCTTCAAAACACGAGTTTCTTCAGTGACGTCAGGACTCCTGTCTAGTAACGAGGGACACCTCAGGAATCTCTAAGAGGCTTGGCAGGGCAAAAGGGACGCTTCTCGAGGTGAGGCAGGGCACCCAAGGACGCTTTCCCCTAGCCACAGGGATTTTGGGATTCCTATCAGTATTCAAGAGGAGTCAGGCATCGTCACCTTTTGAAGCAATGAACTCCGCGTTCCTCTCGAGGTGTCAGCGGGATATGAGGCATTCCGTCAAAATGAGGCAGGGACCTAGGTCTTTCTCTAAGGTCTCCACAGGGGATTCAGACATCCCTTCATGTTGTGAGATGAAAGACGAGCCTGTATTCAAGCCACTGCAAGGAAATCCGGCCTCCTTTCAAGTTAGGGCTTCTCGCTGTATATTCCCCTTGAGGCAGCAAACTCGGGTCCCTCCCACATACTTTTTGCTGAGAGAAGCCTCCTCCTGAGGTGCTTCTGGAATGTTGGCATACGTCTTGAGCCTAAGCCAGGGAATCAGCTCTCATCTCGAGACGATTTGGGGTACACGGAGCATTCCTCAAGTTGCTGTGCTGAAGTTGGTGTTCCTCTAGACTTGGGACAGTGTTCTCGGGGCATCTCTGGAGTTTCCTGAAGGAAGTCGAGCCACCGGTCTTGTTGAATGGGGAACGGGGAATGGCTCTGGAGTCAATGCAGGGGAATCGGGCCTCATCTCGAGTTGATGCGGGGCACATGGAGCTGCTTTGCGTTGCTGGGGTGACCTCAGGGTCCGTCTAGACTCGTGACAGTGTTCTTGGGGACTGTCTCGAGATCCATTAAGCAAGTCGAAGCTCCTGACTTGTTTGAATGGGATCACGGGATAGCTCTGCATGCACTGCAGGGGAATGGGGCCTCATCTCGCCTCAAGGGGGAAGTCTCATGGTTTTTCTCGAGTTGGGGCGGGGACCTGGGGTATGTTCTCGACTTACGGCGGGGATGGCCCTTCAAAACACGAGTTTCTTAAGTGACCTCAGGACTCCTGTCTTGCAACGAGGGACACCTCAGGAATCTCTACGAGGCTTGGCAGGGCAAAAGGGACGCTTCTCGAGGTGAGGCAGGGTACCCAAGGACCCTTTCCAGTAGCCACAGGGATTTTGGGATTCCTATCAGTATTCAAGAGGAGTCAGGCATCGTCACCTTTTGAAGCAATGAACTCCGCGTGCCTCTCGAGGTGTCAGTGGGATGTGAGGCATTCCGTCAAAATGAGGCAGGGACCTAGGGCTTTCTCTAAGGTCTCCACAGGGGATTCAGACATCCCTTCATGTTGTGAGATGAAAGACGAGCCTGTATTCAAGCCACTGCAAGGAAATGCGGCCTCCTTTCAAGTTAGGGCTTCTCGCTGTATATTCCCCTTGAGGCAGCAAACTCGGGGTCCCTTCCACATACCTAATGCTGAGAGAAGCCTCCTCCTGAGGTGCTTCTGGAAAGTTGGCATACGTCTTGAGCCTAATCCAGGGAATCAGCTCTCATCTCGAGACAATTTGGGGTACACGGAGCATTCCTCGAGTTGCTGTGCTGAAGTTGGTGTTCCTCTAGACTTGGGACAGTGTTCTCGGGGCATCTCTGGACTTGCCTGAAGGAAGTCGAGCCACCGGTCGTGTTGAATGGGGAACGGGGAATGGCTCTGGAGTGAATGCAGGGGAATCGGGCCTCATCTCGAGTTGATTTGGGGCACATGGAGCTGCTTTGCGTTGCTGGGGTAACCTCAGGGTCCGTCTAGACTGGTGACAGTGTTCTTGGGGACTGTCTCGAGATCCATTAAGCAAGTCGAAGCTCCTGACTTGTTTGAATGGGATCACGGAATAGCTCTGCATGCACTGCAGGGGAATGGGGCCTCATCTCGCCTCTAGGGGGAAGTCACATGGTTTTTCTCGAGTTGCGGTGGGGACCTGGGGTATGTTCTCGACTTACGGCGGGGATGGCCGTTCAAAACACGAGTTTCTTCAGTGACGTCAGGACTCCTGTCTAGTAACGAGGGACACCTCAGGAATCTCTTCGAGGCTTGGCAGGGCAAAAGGGACGCTTCTCGAGGTGAGGCAGGGCACCCAAGGACGCTTTCCCCTAGCCACAGGGATTTTGGGATTCCTATCAGTATTCAAGAGGAGTCAGGCATCGTCACCTTTTGAAGCAATGAACTCCGCGTGCCTCTCGAGGTGTCAGCGGGATGTGAGGCATTCCGTCAAAATGAGGCAGGGACCTAGGGCTTTCTCTAAGGTCTCCACAGGGGATTCAGACATCCCTTCATGTTGTGAGATGAAAGACAAGCCTGTATTCAAGCCACTGCAAGGAAATGCGGCCTCCTTTCAAGTTAGGGCTTCTCGCTGTATATTCCCCTTGAGGCACAAACTCGGGGTCCCTCCCACATACTTATTGCTGAGAGAAGCCTCCTCCTGAGGTGCTTCTGGAAAGTTGGCATACGTCTTGAGCCTAAGCCAGGGAATCAGCTCTCATCTCGAGATGATTTGGGTTACACGGAGCATTCCTCGAGTTGCTGTGCTGAAGTTGGTGTTCCTCTAGACTTGGGACAGTGTTCTCGGGGCATCTCTGGAGTTGCCTGAAGGAAGTCGAGCCACCGGTCGTGTTGAATGGGGAACGGGGAATGGCTCTGGAGTGAATGCAGGGGAATCGGGCCTCATCTCGAGTTGATTTGGGGCACATGGAGCTGCTTTGCGTTGCTGGGGTGACCTCAGGGTCCGTCTAGACTGGTGACAGTGTTCTTGGGGACTGTCTCGAGATCCATTAAGCAAGTCGAAGCTCCTGACTTGTTTGAATGGGATCACGGAATAGCTCTGCATGCACTGCAGGGGAATGGGGCCTCATCTAGCCTCTAGGGGGAAGTCTCATGGTTTTTCTCGAGTTGCGGCGGAGACCTGGGGTATGTTCTCGACTTACGGCGGGGATGGCCCTTCAAAACACGAGTTTCTTCAGTGACGTCAGGACCCCTGTCTTGTAACGAGGGACACCTCAGGAATCTCTACGAGGCTTGGCAGGGCAAAAGGGACGCTTCTCGAGGTGAGGCAGGGTACCCAAGGACCCTTTCCAGTAGCCACAGCGATTTTGGGATTCCTATCAGTATTCAAGAGGAGTCAGGCATCGTCACCTTTTGAAGCAATGAACTCCGCGTGCCTCTCGAGGTGTCAGTGGGATGTGAGGCATTCCGTCAAAATGAGGCAGGGACCTAGGGCTTTCTCTAAGGTCTCCACAGGGGATTCAGACATCCCTTCATGTTGTGAGATGAAAGACGAGCCTGTATTCAAGCCACTGCAAGGAAATGCGGACTCCTTTCAAGTTAGGGATTCTTGCTGTATATTCCCCTTGAGGCAGCAAACTCGGGGTCCCTTCCACATACCTATTGCTGACAGAAGCCTCCTCCTGAGGTGCTTCTGGAAAGTTGGCATACGTCTTGAGCCTAAGCCAGGGAATCAGCTCTCATCTCGAGACAATTTGGGGTACACGGAGCATTCCTCGAGTTGCTGTGCTGAAGTTGGTGTTCCTCTAGACTTGGGACAGTGTTCTCGGGGCATCTCTGGAGTTGCCTGAAGGAAGTCGAGCCACCGGTCGTGTTGAATGGGGATCGGGGAATGGCTCTGGAGTCAATGCAGGGGAATCGGGCCTCATCTCGAGTTGATTTGGGGCACATGGAGCTGCTTTGCGTTGCTGGGGTGACCTCAGGGTCCGTCTAGACTGGTGACAGTGTTCTTGGGGACTGTCTCGAGATCCATTAAGCAAGTCGAGACTCCTGACTTGTTTGAATGGGATCACAGAATAGCTCTGCATGCACTGCAGGGGAATGGGGCCTCATCTCGCCTCAAGGGGGAAGTCTCATTGTTTTTCTCGAGTTCAGGCGGGGACCTGGGGTATGTTCTCGACTTACGGCGGGGATGGCCCTTCAAAACACGAGTTTCTTCAGTGACCTCAGGACTACTGTCTTGTAACGAGGGACACCTCAGGAATCTCTTCGAGGCTTGGCAGGGCAAAAGGGACGCTTCTCGAGGTGAGGCAGGGCACCCAAGGACCCTTTCCAGTAGCCACAGGGATTTTGGGAGTCCTATCATTATTCAAGAGGAGTCAGGCATCGTCACCTTTTGAAGCAATTTACTCCGCGTGCCTCTCGAGGTGTCAGCGGGATGTGAGGCATTCCGTCAAAATGAGGCAGGGACTTAGGGCCTTCTCTACGGTCTCCACAGGGGATTCAGACATCCCTTCATGTTGTGAGATGAAAGACGAGCCTGTATTCAAGCCACTGCAAGGTATTCCGGCCTCCTTTCAAGTTAGGGCTTCTCGCTGTATATTCCCCTTGAGGCAGCAAACTCGGGGTCCCTTCCACATACCTATTGCTGAGAGAAGCCTCCTCCTGAGGTGCTTCTGGAAAGTTGGCATACGTCTTGAGCCTAAGCCAGGGAATCAGCTCTCATCTCGAGACGATTTGGGGTACACGGAGCATTCCTCAAGTTGCTGTGCTGAAGTTGGTGTTCCTCTAGACTTGGGACAGTGTTCTCGGGGCATCTCTGGAGTTGCCTGAAGGAAGTCGAGCCACCGGTCGTGTTGAATGGGGAACGGGGAATGGCTCTGGAGTCAATGCATGGGAATCGGGCCTCATCTCGAGTTGATTTGGGGCACATGGAGCTGCTTTGCGTTGCTGGGGTGACCTCAGGGTCCGTCTAGACTGGTGACAGTGTTCTTGGGGATTGTCTCGAGATCCATTAAGCAATTCGAAGCTCCTGACTTGTTTGAATGGGATCACGGAATAGCTCTGCATGCACTGCAGGGGAATGGGGCCTCATCTCGCCTCTAGGGGGAAGTCTCATGGTTTTTCTCGAGTTGCGGCGGGGACCTGGGGTATGTTCTCGACTTACGGCGGGGATGGCCCTTCAAAACACGAGTTTCTTCAGTGACGTCAGGACTCCTGTCTAGTAACGAGGGACACCTCAGGAATCTCTAAGAGGCTTGGCAGGGCAAAAGGGACGCTTCTCGAGGTGAGGCAGGGCACCCAAGGACGCTTTCCCCTAGCCACAGGGATTTTGGGATTCCTATCAGTATTCAAGAGGAGTCAGGCATCGTCACCTTTTGAAGCAATGAACTCCGCGTTCCTCTCGAGGTGTCAGCGGGATGTGAGGCATTCCGTCAAAATGAGGCAGGGAACTAGGGCTTTCTCTAAGGTCTCCACAGGGGATTCAGACATCCCTTCATGTTGTGAGATGAAAGACGAGCCTGTATTCAAGCCACTGCAAGGAAATCCGGCCTCCTTTCAAGTTAGGGCTTCTCGCTGTATATTCCCCTTGAGGCACAAACTCGGGGTCCCTCCCACATACTTATTGCTGAGAGAAGCCTCCTCCTGAGGTGCTTCTGGAAAGTTGGCATACGTCTTGAGCGTTGGCCAGGGAATCAGCTCTCATCTCGAGACGATTTGGGTTACACGAAGCATTCGTCGAGTTGCTGTGCTGAAGTTGGTGTTCCTCTAGACTTGGGACAGTGTTCTCGGGGCATCTCTGGAGTTGCCTGAAGGAAGTCGAGCCACCGGTCGTGTTGAATGGGGAACGGGGAATGGCTCTGGAGTCAATGCAGGGGAATCGGGCCTCATCTCGAGTTGATTTGGGGCACATGGAGCTGCTTTGCGTTGCTGGGGTGACCTCAGGGTCCGTCTAGACTGGTGACAGTGTTCTTGGGGACTGTCTCGAGATACATTAAGCAAGTCGAAACTCCTGACTTGTTTGAATGGGATCACAGAATAGCTCTGCATGCACTGCATTGGAATGGGGCCTCATCTCGCCTCTAGGGGGAAGTCTCATGGTTTTTCTCGAGTTGCGGCGGGGACCTGGTGTATGTTCTCGACTTACGGCGGGGATGGCCCTTCAAAACACGAGTTTCTTCAGTGACGTCAGGACTCCTGTCTAGTAACGACGGACACCTCAGGAATCTCTAAGAGGCTTGGCAGGGCAAAAGGGACGCTTCTCGAGGTGAGTCAGGGCACCCAAGGACGCTTTCCCCTAGCCACAGGGATTTTGGGATTCCTATCAGTATTCAAGAGGAGTCAGGCATCGTCACCTTTTGAAGCAATGAACTCCGCGTGCCTCTCGAGGTGTCAGCGGGATGTGAGGCATTCCGTCAAAATGAGGCAGGGACCTAGGTCTTTCTCTAAGGTCTCCACAGGGGATTCAGACATCCCTTCATGTTGTGAGATGAAAGACGAGCCTGTATTCAAGCCACTGCAAGGAAATCCGGCCTCCTTTCAAGTTAGGGCTTCTCGCTGTATATTCCCCTTGAGGCAGCAAACTCGGGTCCCTCCCACATACTTTTTGCTGAGAGAAGCCTCCTCCTGAGGTGCTTCTGGAAAGTTGGCATACGTCTTGAGCCTAAGCCAGGGAATCAGCTCTCATCTCGAGACGATTTGGGGTACACGGAGCATTCCTCAAGTTGCTGTGCTGAAGTTGGTGTTCCTCTAGACTTGGGACAGTGTTCTCGGGGCATCTCTGGAGTTTCCTGAAGGAAGTCAAGCCACCGGTCTTGTTGAATGGGGAACGGGGAATGGCTCTGGAGTCAATGCAGGGGAATCGGGCCTCATCTCGAGTTGATTCGGGGCACATGGAGCTGCTTTGCGTTGCTGGGGTGACCTCAGGGTCCGTCTAGACTCGTGACAGTGTTCTTGGGGACTGTCTCGAGATCCATTAAGCAAGTCGAAGCTCCTGACTTGTTTGAATGGGATCACGGGATAGCTCTGCATGCACTGCAGGGGAATGGGGCCTCATCTCGCCTCAAGGGGGAAGTCTCATGGTTTTTCTCGAGTTGCGGCGGGGACCTGGGGTATGTTCTCGACTTACGGCGGGGATGGCCCTTCAAAACACGAGTTTCTTAAGTGACCTCAGGACTCCTGTCTTGTAACGAGGGACACCTCAGGAATCTCTACGAGGCTTGGCAGGGCAAAAGGGACGCTTCTCGAGGTGAGGCAGGGTACCCAAGGACCCTTTCCAGTAGCCACAGGGATTTTGGGATTCCTATCAGTATTCAAGATGAGTCAGGCATCGTCACCTTTTGAAGCAATGAACTCCGCGTGCCTCTCGAGGTGTCAGTGGGATGTGAGGCATTCCGTCAAAATGAGGCAGGGACCTAGGGCTTTCTCTAAGGTCTCCACAGGGGATTCAGACATCCCTTCATGTTGTGAGATGAAAGACGAGCCTGTATTCAAGCCACTGCAAGGAAATGCGGCCTCCTTTCAAGTTAGGGCTTCTCGCTGTATATTCCCCTTGAGGCAGCAAACTCGGGGTCCCTTCCACATACCTAATGCTGAGAGAAGCCTCCTCCTGAGGTGCTTCTGGAAAGTTGGCATACGTCTTGAGCCTAATCAAGGGAATCAGCTCTCATCTCCAGACAATTTGGGGTACACGGAGCATTCCTCGAGTTGCTGTGCTGAAGTTGGTGTTCCTCTAGACTTGGGACAGTGTTCTCGGGGCATCTCTGGACTTGCCTGAAGGAAGTCGAGCCACCGGTCGTGTTGAATGGGGAACGGGGAATGGCTCTGGAGTGAATGCAGGGGAATCGGGCCTCATCTCGAGTTGATTTGGGGCACATGGAGCTGCTTTGCGTTGCTGGGGTAACCTCAGGGTCCGTCTAGACTGGTGACAGTGTTCTTGGGGACTGTCTCGAGATCCATTAAGCAAGTCGAAGCTCCTGACTTGTTTGAATGGGATCACGGAATAGCTCTGCATGCACTGCAGGGGAATGGGGCCTCATCTCGCCTCTAGGGGGAAGTCACATGGTTTTTCTCGAGTTGCGGTGGGGACCTGGGGTATGTTCTCGACTTACGGCGGGGATGGCCGTTCAAAACACGAGTTTCTTCAGTGACGTCAGGACTCCTGTCTAGTAACGAGGGACACCTCAGGAATCTCTTCGAGGCTTGGCAGGGCAAAAGGGACGCTTCTCGAGGTGAGGCAGGGCACCCAAGGACGCTTTCCCCTAGCCACAGGGATTTTGGGATTCCTATCAGTATTCAAGAGGAGTCAGGCATCGTCACCTTTTGAAGCAATGAACTCCGCGTGCCTCTCGAGGTGTCAGCGGGATGTGAGGCATTCCGTCAAAATGAGGCAGGGACCTAGGGCTTTCTCTAAGGTCTCCACAGGGGATTCAGACATCCCTTCATGTTGTGAGATGAAAGACAAGCCTGTATTCAAGCCACTGCAAGGAAATGCGGCCTCCTTTCAAGTTAGGGCTTCTCGCTGTATATTCCCCTTGAGGCACAAACTCGGGGTCCCTCCCACATACTTATTGCTGAGAGAAGCCTCTTCCTGAGGTGCTTCTGGAAAGTTGGCATACGTCTTGAGCCTAAGCCAGGGAATCAGCTCTCATCTCGAGATGATTTGGGTTACACGGAGCATTCCTCGAGTTGCTGTGCTGAAGTTGGTGTTCCTCTAGACTTGGGACAGTGTTCTCGGGGCATCTCTGGAGTTGCCTGAAGGAAGTCGAGCCACCGGTCGTGTTGAATGGGGAACGGGGAATGGCTCTGGAGTGAATGCAGGGGAATCGGGCCTCATCTCGAGTTGATTTGGGGCACATGGAGCTGCTTTGCGTTGCTGGGGTGACCTCAGGGTCCGTCTAGACTGGTGACAGTGTTCTTGGGGACTGTCTCGAGATCCATTAAGCAAGTCGAAGCTCCTGACTTGTTTGAATGGGATCACGGAATAGCTCTGCATGCACTGCAGGGGAATGGGGCCTCATCTCGCCTCAAGGGGGAAGTCTCATTGTTTTTCTCGAGTTCAGGCGGGGACCTGGGGTATGTTCTCGACTTACGGCGGGGATGGCCCTTCAAAACACGAGTTTCTTCAGTGACCTCAGGACTACTGTCTTGTAACGAGGGACACCTCAGGAATCTCTTCGAGGCTTGGCAGGGCAAAAGGGACGCTTCTCGAGGTGAGGCAGGGCACCCAAGGACCCTTTCCAGTAGCCACAGGGATTTTGGGAGTCCTATCATTATTCAAGAGGAGTCAGGCATCGTCACCTTTTGAAGCAATTTACTCCGCGTGCCTCTCGAGGTGTCAGCGGGATGTGAGGCATTCCGTCAAAATGAGGCAGGGACTTAGGGCCTTCTCTACGGTCTCCACAGGGGATTCAGACATCCCTTCATGTTGTGAGATGAAAGACGAGCCTGTATTCAAGCCACTGCAACGTATTCCGGCCTCCTTTCAAGTTAGGGCTTCTCGCTGTATATTCCCCTTGAGGCAGCAAACTCGGGGTCCCTTCCACATACCTATTGCTGAGAGAAGCCTCCTCCTGAGGTGCTTCTGGAAAGTTGGCATACGTCTTGAGCCTAAGCCAGGGAATCAGCTCTCATCTCGAGACGATTTGGGGTACACGGAGCATTCCTCAAGTTGCTGTGCTGAAGTTGGTGTTCCTCTAGACTTGGGACAGTGTTCTCGGGGCATCTCTGGAGTTGCCTGAAGGAAGTCGAGCCACCGGTCGTGTTGAATGGGGAACGGGGAATGGCTCTGGAGTCAATGCATGGGAATCGGGCCTCATCTCGAGTTGATTTGGGGCACATGGAGCTGCTTTGCGTTGCTGGGGTGACCTCAGGGTCCGTCTAGACTGGTGACAGTGTTCTTGGGGATTGTCTCGAGATCCATTAAGCAAGTCGAAGCTCCTGACTTGTTTGAATGGGATCACGGAATAGCTCTGCATGCACTGCAGGGGAATGGGGCCTCATCTCGCCTCTAGGGGGAAGTCTCATGGTTTTTCTCGAGTTGCGGCGGGGACCTGGGGTATGTTCTCGACTTACGGCGGGGATGGCCCTTCAAAACACGAGTTTCTTCAGTGACGTCAGGACTCCTGTCTAGTAACGAGGGACACCTCAGGAATCTCTAAGAGGCTTGGCAGGGCAAAAGGGACGCTTCTCGAGGTGAGGCAGGGCACCCAAGGACGCTTTCCCCTAGCCACAGGGATTTTGGGATTCCTATCATTATTCAAGAGGAGTCAGGCATCGTCACCTTTTGAAGCAATGAACTCCGCGTGCCTCTCGAGGTGTCAGCGGGATGTGAGGCATTCCGTCAAAATGAGGCAGGGAACTAGGGCTTTCTCTAAGGTCTCCACAGGGGATTCAGACATCCCTTCATGTTGTGAGATGAAAGACGAGCCTGTATTCAAGCCACTGCAAGGAAATCCGGCCTCCTTTCAAGTTAGGGCTTCTCGCTGTATATTCCCCTTGAGGCACAAACTCGGGGTCGCTCCCACATACTTATTGCTGAGAGAAGCCTCCTCCTGAGGTGCTTCTGGAAAGTTGGCATACGTCTTGAGCGTTGGCCAGGGAATCAGCTCTCATCTCGAGACGATTTGGGTTACACGAAGCATTCGTCGAGTTGCTGTGCTGAAGTTGGTGTTCCTCTAGACTTGGGACAGTGTTCTCGGGGCATCTCTGGAGTTGCCTGAAGGAAGTCGAGCCACCGGTCGTGTTGAATGGGGAACGGGGAATGGCTCTGGAGTCAATGCAGGGGAATCGGGCCTCATCTCGAGTTGATTTGGGGCACATGGAGCTGCTTTGCGTTGCTGGGGTGACCTCAGGGTCCGTCTAGACTGGTGACAGTGTTCTTGGGGACTGTCTCGAGATACATTAAGCAAGTCGAAACTCCTGACTTGTTTGAATGGGATCACAGAATAGCTCTGCATGCACTGCATTGGAATGGGGCCTCATCTCGCCTCTAGGGGGAAGTCTCATGGTTTTTCTCGAGTTGCGGCGGGGACCTGGTGTATGTTCTCGACTTACGGCGGGGATGGCCCTTCAAAACACGAGTTTCTTCAGTGACGTCAGGACTCCTGTCTAGTAACGACGGACACCTCAGGAATCTCTAAGAGGCTTGGCAGGGCAAAAGGGACGCTTCTCGAGGTGAGTCAGGGCACCCAAGGACGCTTTCCCCTAGCCACAGGGATTTTGGGATTCCTATCAGTATTCAAGAGGAGTCAGGCATCGTCACCTTTTGAAGCAATGAACTCCGCGTGCCTCTCGAGGTGTCAGCGGGATGTGAGGCATTCCGTCAAAATGAGGCAGGGACCTAGGTCTTTCTCTAAGGTCTCCACAGGGGATTCAGACATCCCTTCATGTTGTGAGATGAAAGACGAGCCTGTATTCAAGCCACTGCAAGGAAATCCGGCCTCCTTTCAAGTTAGGGCTTCTCGCTGTATATTCCCCTTGAGGCAGCAAACTCGGGTCCCTCCCACATACTTTTTGCTGAGAGAAGCCTCCTCCTGAGGTGCTTCTGGAAAGTTGGCATACGTCTTGAGCCTAAGCCAGGGAATCAGCTCTCATCTCGAGACGATTTGGGGTACACGGAGCATTCCTCGAGTTGCTGTGCTGAAGTTGGTGTTCCTCTAGACTTGGGACAGTGTTCTCGGGGCATCTCTGGAGTTGCCTGAAGGAAGTCGAGCCACCGGTCGTGTTGAATGGGGAACGGGGAATGGCTCTGGAGTGAATGCAGGGGAATCGGGCCTCATCTCGAGTTGATTTGGGGCACATGGAGCTGCTTTGCGTTGCTGGGGTGACCTCAGGGTCCGTCTAGACTGGTGACAGTGTTCTTGGGGACTGTCTCGAGATCCATTAAGCAAGTCGAAGCTCCTGACTTGTTTGAATGGGATCACGGAATAGCTCTGCATGCACTGCAGGGGAATGGGGCCTCATCTCGCCTCTAGGGGGAAGTCTCATGGTTTTTCTCGAGTTGCGGCGGAGACCTGGGGTATGTTCTCGACTTACGGCGGGGATGGCCCTTCAAAACACGAGTTTCTTCAGTGACGTCAGGACCCCTGTCTTGTAACGAGGGACACCTCAGGAATCTCTACGAGGCTTGGCAGGGCAAAAGGGACGCTTCTCGAGGTGAGGCAGGGTACCCAAGGACCCTTTCCAGTAGCCACAGCGATTTTGGGATTCCTATCAGTATTCAAGAGGAGTCAGGCATCGTCACCTTTTGAAGCAATGAACTCCGCGTGCCTCTCGAGGTGTCAGTGGGATGTGAGGCATTCCGTCAAAATGAGGCAGGGACCTAGGGCTTTCTCTAAGGTCTCCACAGGGGATTCAGACATCCCTTCATGTTGTGAGATGAAAGACGAGCCTGTATTCAAGCCACTGCAAGGAAATGCGGACTCCTTTCAAGTTAGGGATTCTTGCTGTATATTCCCCTTGAGGCAGCAAACTCGGGGTCCCTTCCACATACCTATTGCTGACAGAAGCCTCCTCCTGAGGTGCTTCTGGAAAGTTGGCATACGTCTTGAGCCTAAGCCAGGGAATCAGCTCTCATCTCGAGACAATTTGGGGTACACGGAGCATTCCTCGAGTTGCTGTGCTGAAGTTGGTGTTCCTCTAGACTTGGGACAGTGTTCTCGGGGCATCTCTGGAGTTGCCTGAAGGAAGTCGAGCCACCGGTCGTGTTGAATGGGGAACGGGGAATGGCTCTGGAGTCAATGCAGGGGAATCGGGCCTCATCTCGAGTTGATTTGGGGCACATGGAGCTGCTTTGCGTTGCTGGGGTGACCTCTGGGTCCGTCTAGACTGGTGACAGTGTTCTTGGGGACTGTCTCGAGATCCATTAAGCAAGTCGAAACTCCTGACTTGTTTGAATGGGATCACAGAATAGCTCTGCATGCACTGCAGGGGAATGGGGCCTCATCTCGCCTCAAGGGGGAAGTCTCATGGTTTTTCTCGAGTTGCGGCGGGGACCTGGGGTATGTTCTCGACTTACGGCGGGGATGGCCCTTCAAAACACGAGTTTCTTCAGTGACCTCAGGACTACTGTCTTGTAACGAGGGACACCTCAGGAATCTCTTCGAGGCTTGGCAGGGCAAAAGGGACGCTTCTCGAGGTGAGGCAGGGCACCCAAGGACCCTTTCCAGTAGCCACAGGGATTTTGGGAGTCCTATCATTATTCAAGAGGAGTCAGGCATCGTCACCTTTTGAAGCAATTTACTCCGCGTGCCTCTCGAGGTGTCAGCGGGATGTGAGGCATTCCGTCAAAATGAGGCAGGGACTTAGGGCCTTCTCTACGGTCTCCACAGGGGATTCAGACATCCCTTCATGTTGTGAGATGAAAGACGAGCCTGTATTCAAGCCACTGCAAGGTATTCCGGCCTCCTTTCAAGTTAGGGCTTCTCGCTGTATATTCCCCTTGAGGCAGCAAACTCGGGGTCCCTTCCACATACCTATTGCTGAGAGAAGCCTCCTCCTGAGGTGCTTCTGGAAAGTTGGCATACGTCTTGAGCCTAAGCCAGGGAATCAGCTCTCATCTCGAGACGATTTGGGGTACACGGAGCATTCCTCAAGTTGCTGTGCTGAAGTTGGTGTTCCTCTAGACTTGGGACAGTGTTCTCGGGGCATCTCTGGAGTTGCCTGAGGGAAGTCGAGCAACCGGTCGTGTTGAATGGGGAACGGGGAATGGCTCTGGAGTCAATGCATGGGAATCGGGCCTCATCTCGAGTTGATTTGGGGCACATGGAGCTGCTTTGCGTTGCTGGGTTGACCTTAGGGTCCGTCTAGACTGGTGACAGTGTTCTTGGGGATTGTCTCGAGATCCATTAAGCAAGTCGAAGCTCCTGACTTGTTTGAATGGGATCACGGAATAGCTCTGCATGCACTGCAGGGGAATGGGGCCTCATCTCGCCTCTAGGGGGAAGTCTCATGGTTTTTCTCGAGTTGCGGCGGGGACCTGGGGTATGTTCTCGACTTACGGCGGGGATGGCCCTTCAAAACACGAGTTTCTTCAGTGACGTCAGGACTCCTGTCTAGTAACGAGGGACACCTCAGGAATCTCTAAGAGGCTTGGCAGGGCAAAAGGGACGCTTCTCGAGGTGAGGCAGGGCACCCAAGGACGCTTTCCCCTAGCCACAGGGATTTTGGGATTCCTATCAGTATTCAAGAGGAGTCAGGCATCGTCACCTTTTGAAGCAATGAACTCCGCGTGCCTCTCGAGGTGTCAGCGGGATGTGAGGCATTCCGTCAAAATGAGGCAGGGAACTAGGGCTTTCTCTAAGGTCTCCACAGGGGATTCAGACATCCCTTCATGTTGTGAGATGAAAGACGAGCCTGTATTCAAGCCACTGCAAGGAAATCCGGCCTCCTTTCAAGTTAGGGCTTCTCGCTGTATATTCCCCTTGAGGCACAAACTCGGGGTCCCTCCCACATACTTATTGCTGAGAGAAGCCTCCTCCTGAGGTGCTTCTGGAAAGTTGGCATACGTCTTGAGCGTTGGCCAGGGAATCAGCTCTCATCTCGAGACGATTTGGGTTACACGAAGCATTCGTCGAGTTGCTGTGCTGAAGTTGGTGTTCCTCTAGACTTGGGACAGTGTTCTCGGGGCATCTCTGGAGTTGCCTGAAGGAAGTCGAGCCACCGGTCGTGTTGAATGGGGAACGGGGAATGGCTCTGGAGTCAATGCAGGGGAATCGGGCCTCATCTCGAGTTGATTTGGGGCACATGGAGCTGCTTTGCGTTGCTGGGGTGACCTCAGGGTCCGTCTAGACTGGTGACAGTGTTCTTGGGGACTGTCTCGAGATACATTAAGCAAGTCGAAACTCCTGACTTGTTTGAATGGGATCACAGAATAGCTCTGCATGCACTGCATTGGAATGGGGCCTCATCTCGCCTCTAGGGGGAAGTCTCATGGTTTTTCTCGAGTTGCGGCGGGGACCTGGTGTATGTTCTCGACTTACGGCGGGGATGGCCCTTCAAAACACGAGTTTCTTCAGTGACGTCAGGACTCCTGTCTAGTAACGACGGACACCTCAGGAATCTCTAAGAGGCTTGGCAGGGCAAAAGGGACGCTTCTCGAGGTGAGTCAGGGCACCCAAGGACGCTTTCCCCTAGCCACAGGGATTTTGGGATTCCTATCAGTATTCAAGAGGAGTCAGGCATCGTCACCTTTTGAAGCAATGAACTCCGCGTGCCTCTCGAGGTGTCAGCGGGATGTGAGGCATTCCGTCAAAATGAGGCAGGGACCTAGGTCTTTCTCTAAGGTCTCCACAGGGGATTCAGACATCCCTTCATGTTGTGAGATGAAAGACGAGCCTGTATTCAAGCCACTGCAAGGAAATCCGGCCTCCTTTCAAGTTAGGGCTTCTCGCTGTATATTCCCCTTGAGGCAGCAAACTCGGGTCCCTCCCACATACTTTTTGCTGAGAGAAGCCTCCTCCTGAGGTGCTTCTGGAAAGTTGGCATACGTCTTGAGCCTAAGCCAGGGAATCAGCTCTCATCTCGAGACGATTTGGGGTACACGGAGCATTCCTCAAGTTGCTGTGCTGAAGTTGGTGTTCCTCTAGACTTGGGACAGTGTTCTCGGGGCATCTCTGGAGTTTCCTGAAGGAAGTCGAGCCACCGGTCTTGTTGAATGGGGAACGGGGAATGGCTCTGGAGTCAATGCAGGGGAATCGGGCCTCATCTCGAGTTGATTCGGGGCACATGGAGCTGCTTTGCGTTGCTGGGGTGACCTCAGGGTCCGTCTAGACTCGTGACAGTGTTCTTGGGGACTGTCTCGAGATCCATTAAGCAAGTCGAAGCTCCTGACTTGTTTGAATGGGATCACGGGATAGCTCTGCATGCACTGCAGGGGAATGGGGCCTCATCTCGCCTCAAGGGGGAAGTCTCATGGTTTTTCTCGAGTTGCGGCGGGGACCTGGGGTATGTTCTCGACTTACGGCGGGGATGGCCCTTCAAAACACGAGTTTCTTAAATGACCTCAGGACTCCTGTCTTGTAACGAGGGACACCTCAGGAATCTCTACGAGGCTTGGCAGGGCAAAAGGGACGCTTCTCGAGGTGAGGCAGGGTACCCAAGGACCCTTTCCAGTAGCCACAGGGATTTTGGGATTCCTATCAGTATTCAAGATGAGTCAGGCATCGTCACCTTTTGAAGCAATGAACTCCGCGTGCCTCTCGAGGTGTCAGTGGGATGTGAGGCATTCCGTCAAAATGAGGCAGGGACCTAGGGCTTTCTCTAAGGTCTCCACAGGGGATTCAGACATCCCTTCATGTTGTGAGATGAAAGACGAGCCTGTATTCAAGCCACTGCAAGGAAATGCGGCCTCCTTTCAAGTTAGGGCTTCTCGCTGTATATTCCCCTTGAGGCAGCAAACTCGGGGTCCCTTCCACATACCTAATGCTGAGAGAAGCCTCCTCCTGAGGTGCTTCTGGAAAGTTGGCATACGTCTTGAGCCTAATCCAGGGAATCAGCTCTCATCTCGAGACAATTTGGGGTACACGGAGCATTCCTCGAGTTGCTGTGCTGAAGTTGGTGTTCCTCTAGACTTGGGACAGTGTTCTCGGGGCATCTCTGGACTTGCCTGAAGGAAGTCGAGCCACCGGTCGTGTTGAATGGGGAACGGGGAATGGCTCTGGAGTGAATGCAGGGGAATCGGGCCTCATCTCGAGTTGATTTGGGGCACATGGAGCTGCTTTGCGTTGCTGGGGTAACCTCAGGGTCCGTCTAGACTGGTGACAGTGTTCTTGGGGACTGTCTCGAGATCCATTAAGCAAGTCGAAGCTCCTGACTTGTTTGAATGGGATCACGGAATAGCTCTGCATGCACTGCAGGGGAATGGGGCCTCATCTCGCCTCTAGGGGGAAGTCACATGGTTTTTCTCGAGTTGCGGTGGGGACCTGGGGTATGTTCTCGACTTACGGCGGGGATGGCCGTTCAAAACACGAGTTTCTTCAGTGACGTCAGGACTCCTGTCTAGTAACGAGGGACACCTCAGGAATCTCTTCGAGGCTTGGCAGGGCAAAAGGGACGCTTCTCGAGGTGAGGCAGGGCACCCAAGGACGCTTTCCCCTAGCCACAGGGATTTTGGGATTCCTATCAGTATTCAAGAGGAGTCAGGCATCGTCACCTTTTGAAGCAATGAACTCCGCGTGCCTCTCGAGGTGTCAGCGGGATGTGAGGCATTCCGTCAAAATGAGGCAGGGACCTAGGGCTTTCTCTAAGGTCTCCACAGGGGATTCAGACATCCCTTCATGTTGTGAGATGAAAGAGAAGCCTGTATTCAAGCCACTGCAAGGAAATGCGGCCTCCTTTCAAGTTAGGGCTTCTCGCTGTATATTCCCCTTGAGGCACAAACTCGGGGTCCCTCCCACATACTTATTGCTGAGAGAAGCCTCCTCCTGAGGTGCTTCTGGAAAGTTGGCATACGTCTTGAGCCTAAGCCAGGGAATCAGCTCTCATCTCGAGATGATTTGGGTTACACGGAGCATTCCTCGAGTTGCTGTGCTGAAGTTGGTGTTCCTCTAGACTTGGGACAGTGTTCTCGGGGCATCTCTGGAGTTGCCTGAAGGAAGTCGAGCCACCGGTCGTGTTGAATGGGGAACGGGGAATGGCTCTGGAGTGAATGCAGGGGAATCGGGCCTCATCTCGAGTTGATTTGGGGCACATGGAGCTGCTTTGCGTTGCTGGGGTGACCTCAGGGTCCGTCTAGACTGGTGACAGTGTTCTTGGGGACTGTCTCGAGATCCATTAAGCAAGTCGAAGCTCCTGACTTGTTTGAATGGGATCACGGAATAGCTCTGCATGCACTGCAGGGGAATGGGGCCTCATCTCGCCTCTAGGGGGAAGTCTCATGGTTTTTCTCGAGTTGCGGCGGAGACCTGGGGTATGTTCTCGACTTACGGCGGGGATGGCCCTTCAAAACACGAGTTTCTTCAGTGACGTCAGGACCCCTGTCTTGTAACGAGGGACACCTCAGGAATCTCTACGAGGCTTGGCAGGGCAAAAGGGACGCTTCTCGAGGTGAGGCAGGGTACCCAAGGACCCTTTCCAGTAGCCACAGCGATTTTGGGATTCCTATCAGTATTCAAGAGGAGTCAGGCATCGTCACCTTTTGAAGCAATGAACTCCGCGTGCCTCTCGAGGTGTCAGTGGGATGTGAGGCATTCCGTCAAAATGAGGCAGGGACCTAGGGCTTTCTCTAAGGTCTCCACAGGGGATTCAGACATCCCTTCATGTTGTGAGATGAAAGACGAGCCTGTATTCAAGCCACTGCAAGGAAATGCGGACTCCTTTCAAGTTAGGGATTCTTGCTGTATATTCCCCTTGAGGCAGCAAACTCGGGGTCCCTTCCACATACCTATTGCTGACAGAAGCCTCCTCCTGAGGTGCTTCTGGAAAGTTGGCATACGTCTTGAGCCTAAGCCAGGGAATCAGCTCTCATCTCGAGACAATTTGGGGTACACGGAGCATTCCTCGAGTTGCTGTGCTGAAGTTGGTGTTCCTCTAGACTTGGGACAGTGTTCTCGGGGCATCTCTGGAGTTGCCTGAAGGAAGTCGAGCCACCGGTCGTGTTGAATGGGGAACGGGGATTGGCTCTGGAGTCAATGCAGGGGAATCGGGCCTCATCTCGAGTTGATTTGGGGCACATGGAGCTGCTTTGCGTTGCTGGGGTGACCTCAGGGTCCGTCTAGACTGGTGACAGTGTTCTTGGGGACTGTCTCGAGATCCATTAAGCAAGTCGAAACTCCTGACTTGTTTGAATGGGATCACAGAATAGCTCTGCATGCACTGCAGGGGAATGGGGCCTCATCTCGCCTCAAGGGGGAAGTCTCATGGTTTTTCTCGAGTTCAGGCGGGGACCTGGGGTATGTTCTCGACTTACGGCGGGGATGGCCCTTCAAAACACGAGTTTCTTCAGTGACCTCAGGACTACTGTCTTGTAACGAGGGACACCTCAGGAATCTCTTCGAGGCTTGGCAGGGCAAAAGGGACGCTTCTCGAGGTGAGGCAGGGCACCCAAAGACCCTTTCCAGTAGCCACAGGGATTTTGGGAGTCCTATCATTATTCAAGAGGAGTCAGGCATCGTCACCTTTTGAAGCAATTTACTCCGCGTGCCTCTCGAGGTGTCAGCGGGATGTGAGGCATTCCGTCAAAATGAGGCAGGGACTTAGGGCCTTCTCTACGGTCTCCACAGGGGATTCAGACATCCCTTCATGTTGTGAGATGAAAGACGAGCCTGTATTCAAGCCACTGCAAGGTATTCCGGCCTCCTTTCAAGTTAGGGCTTCTCGCTGTATATTCCCCTTGAGGCAGCAAACTCGGGGTCCCTTCCACATACCTATTGCTGAGAGAAGCCTCCTCCTGAGGTGCTTCTGGAAAGTTGGCATACGTCTTGAGCCTAAGCCAGGGAATCAGCTCTCATCTCGAGACGATTTGGGGTACACGGAGCATTCCTCAAGTTGCTGTGCTGAAGTTGGTGTTCCTCTAGACTTGGGACAGTGTTCTCGGGGCATCTCTGGAGTTGCCTGAGGGAAGTCGAGCCACCGGTCGTGTTGAATGGGGAACGGGGAATGGCTCTGGAGTCAATGCATGGGAATCGGGCCTCATCTCGAGTTGATTTGGGGCACATGGAGCTGCTTTGCGTTGCTGGGTTGACCTTACGGTCCGTCTAGACTGGTGACAGTGTTCTTGGGGATTGTCTCGAGATCCATTAAGCAAGTCGAAGCTCCTGACTTGTTTGAATGGGATCACGGAATAGCTCTGCATGCACTGCAGGGGAATGGGGCCTCATCTCGCCTCTAGGGGGAAGTCTCATGGTTTTTCTCGAGTTGCGGCGGGGACCTGGGGTATGTTCTCGACTTACGGCGGGGATGGCCCTTCAAAACACGAGTTTCTTCAGTGACGTCAGGACTCCTGTCTAGTAACGAGGGACACCTCAGGAATCTCTAAGAGGCTTGGCAGGGCAAAAGGGACGCTTCTCGAGGTGAGGCAGGGCACCCAAGGACGCTTTCCCCTAGCCACAGGGATTTTGGGATTCCTATCAGTATTCAAGAGGAGTCAGGCATCGTCACCTTTTGAAGCAATGAACTCCGCGTGCCTCTCGAGGTGTCAGCGGGATGTGAGGCATTCCGTCAAAATGAGGCAGGGAACTAGGGCTTTCTCTAAGGTCTCCACAGGGGATTCAGACATCCCTTCATGTTGTGAGATGAAAGACGAGCCTGTATTCAAGCCACTGCAAGGAAATCCGGCCTCCTTTCAAGTTAGGGCTTCTCGCTGTATATTCCCCTTGAGGCACAAACTCGGGGTCCCTCCCACATACTTATTGCTGAGAGAAGCCTCCTCCTGAGGTGCTTCTGGAAAGTTGGCATACGTCTTGAGCGTTGGCCAGGGAATCAGCTCTCATCTCGAGACGATTTGGGTTACACGAAGAATTCGTCGAGTTGCTGTGCTGAAGTTGGTGTTCCTCTAGACTTGGGACAGTGTTCTCGGGGCATCTCTGGAGTTGCCTGAAGGAAGTCGAGCCACCGGTCGTGTTGAATGGGGAACGGGGAATGGCTCTGGAGTCAATGCAGGGGAATCGGGCCTCATCTCGAGTTGATTTGGGGCACATGGAGCTGCTTTGCGTTGCTGGGGTGACTTCAGGGTCCGTCTAGACTGGTGACAGTGTTCTTGGGGACTGTCTCGAGATACATTAAGCAAGTCGAAACTCCTGACTTGTTTGAATGGGATCACAGAATAGCTCTGCATGCACTGCATTGGAATGGGGCCTCATCTCGCCTCTAGGGGGAAGTCTCATGGTTTTTCTCGAGTTGCGGCGGGGACCTGGTGTATGTTCTCGACTTACGGCGGGGATGGCCCTTCAAAACACGAGTTTCTTCAGTGACGTCAGGACTCCTGTCTAGTAACGACGGACACCTCAGGAATCTCTAAGAGGCTTGGCAGGGCAAAAGGGACGCTTCTCGAGGTGAGTCAGGGCACCCAAGGACGCTTTCCCCTAGCCACAGGGATTTTGGGATTCCTATCAGTATTCAAGAGGAGTCAGGCATCGTCACCTTTTGAAGCAATGAACTCCGCGTGCCTCTCGAGGTGTCAGCGGGATGTGAGGCATTCCGTCAAAATGAGGCAGGGACCTAGGTCTTTCTCTAAGGTCTCCACAGGGGATTCAGACATCCCTTCATGTTGTGAGATGAAAGACGAGCCTGTATTCAAGCCACTGCAAGGAAATCCGGCCTCCTTTCAAGTTAGGGCTTCTCGCTGTATATTCCCCTTGAGGCAGCAAACTCGGGTCCCTCCCACATACTTTTTGCTGAGAGAAGCCTCCTCCTGAGGTGCTTCTGGAAAGTTGGCATACGTCTTGAGCCTAAGCCAGGGAATCAGCTCTCATCTCGAGACGATTTGGGGTACACGGAGCATTCCTCAAGTTGCTGTGCTGAAGTTGGTGTTCCTCTAGACTTGGGACAGTGTTCTCGGGGCATCTCTGGAGTTGCCTGAAGGAAGTCGAGCCACCGGTCTTGTTGAATGGGGAACGGGGAATGGCTCTGGAGTCAATGCAGGGGAATCGGGCCTCATCTCGAGTTGATTCGGGGCACATGGAGCTGCTTTGCGTTGCTGGGGTGACCTCAGGGTCCGTCTAGACTCGTGACAGTGTTCTTGGGGACTGTCTCGAGATCCATTAAGCAAGTCGAAGCTCCTGACTTGTTTGAATGGGATCACGGGATAGCTCTGCATGCACTGCAGGGGAATGGGGCCTCATCTCGCCTCAAGGGGGAAGTCTCATGGTTTTTCTCGAGTTGCGGCGGGGACCTGGGGTATGTTCTCGACTTACGGCGGGGATGGCCCTTCAAAACACGAGTTTCTTAAGTGACCTCAGGACTCCTGTCTTGTAACGAGGGACACCTCAGGAATCTCTACGAGGCTTGGCAGGGCAAAAGGGACGCTTCTCGAGGTGAGGCAGGGTACCCAAGGACCCTTTCCAGTAGCCACAGGGATTTTGGGATTCCTATCAGTATTCAAGATGAGTCAGGCATCGTCACCTTTTGAAGCAATGAACTCCGCGTGCCTCTCGAGGTGTCAGTGGGATGTGAGGCATTCCGTCAAAATGAGGCAGGGACCTAGGGCTTTCTCTAAGGTCTCCACAGGGGATTCAGACATCCCTTCATGTTGTGAGATGAAAGACGAGCCTGTATTCAAGCCACTGCAAGGAAATGCGGCCTCCTTTCAAGTTAGGGCTTCTCGCTGTATATTCCCCTTGAGGCAGCAAACTCGGGGTCCCTTCCACATACCTAATGCTGAGAGAAGCCTCCTCCTGAGGTGCTTCTGGAAAGTTGGCATACGTCTTGAGCCTAATCCAGGGAATCAGCTCTCATCTCGAGACAATTTGGGGTACACGGAGCATTCCTCGAGTTGCTGTGCTGAAGTTGGTGTTCCTCTAGACTTGGGACAGTGTTCTCGGGGCATCTCTGGACTTGCCTGAAGGAAGTCGAGCCACCGGTCGTGTTGAATGGGGAACGGGGAATGGCTCTGGAGTGAATGCAGGGGAATCGGGCCTCATCTCGAGTTGATTTGGGGCACATGGAGCTGCTTTGCGTTGCTGGGGTAACCTCAGGGTCCGTCTAGACTGGTGACAGTGTTCTTGGGGACTGTCTCGAGATCCATTAAGCAAGTCGAAGCTCCTGACTTGTTTGAATGGGATCACGGAATAGCTCTGCATGCACTGCAGGGGAATGGGGCCTCATCTCGCCTCTAGGGGGAAGTCTCATGGTTTTTCTCGAGTTTCGTTGGGGACCTGGGGTATGTTCTCGACTTAGGGCGGGGATGGCCGTTCAAAACACGAGTTTCTTCAGTGACGTCAGGACTCCTGTCTAGTAACGAGGGACACTTCAGGAATCTCTACGAGGCTTGGCAGGGCAAAAGGGACGCTTCTCGAGGTGAGGCAGGGTACCCAAGGACGCTTTCCCCTAGCCACAGCGATTTTGGGATTCCTATCAGTATTCAAGAGGAGTCAGGCATCGTCACCTTTTGAAGCAATGAACTCCGCGTGCCTCTCGAGGTGTCAGCGGGATGTGAGGCATTCCGTCAAAATGAGGCAGGGACCTAGGTCTTTCTCTAAGGTCTCCACAGGGTATTCAGACATCCCTTCATGTTGTGAGATGAAAGACGAGCCTGTATTCAGCCACTGCAAGGAAATCCGGCCTCCTTTCAAGTTAGGGCTTCTCGCTGTATATTCCCCTTGAGGCAGCAACCTCGGGTCCCTCCCACATACCTATTGCTGAGAGAAGCCTCCTCCTGAGGTGCTTCTGGAAAGTTGGCATACGTCTTGAGCCTAAGCCAGGGAATCAGCTCTCATCTCGAGACGATTTGGGGTACACGGAGCATTCCTCAAGTTGCTGTGCTGAAGTTGGTGTTCCTCTAGACTTGGGACAGTGTTCTCGGGGCATCTCTGGAGTTGCCTGAAGGAAGTCGAGCCACCGGTCTTGTTGAATGGGGAACGGGGAATGGCTCTGGAGTCAATGCAGGGGAATCGGGCCTCATCTCGAGTTGATGCGGGGCACATGGAGCTGCTTTGCGTTGCTGGGGTGACCTCAGGGTCCGTCTAGACTCGTGACAGTGTTCTTGGGGACTGTCTCGAGATCCATTAAGCAAGTCGAAGCTCCTGACTTGTTTGAATGGGATCACGGGATAGCTCTGCATGCACTGCAGGGGAATGGGGCCTCATCTCGCCTCAAGGGGGAAGTCTCATGGTTTTTCTCGAGTTGCGGCGGGGACCTGGGGTATGTTCTCGACTTACGGCGGGGATGGCCCTTCAAAACACGAGTTTCTTAAGTGACCTCAGGACTCCTGTCTTGTAACGAGGGACACCTCAGGAATCTCTACGAGGCTTGGCAGGGCAAAAGGGACGCTTCTCGAGGTGAGGCAGGGTACCCAAGGACCCTTTCCAGTAGCCACAGGGATTTTGGGATTCCTATCAGTATTCAAGATGAGTCAGGCATCGTCACCTTTTGAAGCAATGAACTCCGCGTGCCTCTCGAGGTGTCAGTGGGATGTGAGGCATTCCGTCAAAATGAGGCAGGGACCTAGGGCTTTCTCTAAGGTCTCCACAGGGGATTCAGACATCCCTTCATGTTGTGAGATGAAAGACGAGCCTGTATTCAAGCCACTGCAAGGAAATGCGGCCTCCTTTCAAGTTAGGGCTTCTCGCTGTATATTCCCCTTGAGGCAGCAAACTCGGGGTCCCTTCCACATACCTATTGCTGAGAGAAGCCTCCTCCTGAGGTGCTTCTGGAAAGTTGGCATACGTCTTGAGCCTAATCCAGGGAATCAGCTCTCATCTCGAGACAATTTGGGGTACACGGAGCATTCCTCGAGTTGCTGTGCTGAAGTTGGTGTTCCTCTAGACTTGGGACAGTGTTCTCGGGGCATCTCTGGAGTTGCCTGAAGGAAGTCGAGCCACCGGTCGTGTTGAATGGGGAACGGGGAATGGCTCTGGAGTGAATGCAGGGGAATCGGGCCTCATCTCGAGTTGATTTGGGGCACATGGAGCTGCTTTGCGTTGCTGGGGTAACCTCAGGGTCCGTCTAGACTGGTGACAGTGTTCTTGGGGACTGTCTCGAGATCCATTAAGCAAGTCGAAGCTCCTGACTTGTTTGAATGGGATCACGGAATAGCTCTGCATGCACTGCAGGGGAATGGGGCCTCATCTCGCCTCTAGGGGGAAGTCTCATGGTTTTTCTCGAGTTTCGTTGGGGACCTGGGGTATGTTCTCGACTTAGGGCGGGGATGGCCCTTCAAAACACGAGTTTCTTCAGTGACGTCAGGACTCCTGTCTAGTAACGAGGGACACTTCAGGAATCTCTACGAGGCTTGGCAGGGCAAAAGGGACGCTTCTCGAGGTGAGGCAGGGTACCCAAGGACGCTTTCCCATAGCCACAGCGATTTTGGGATTCCTATCAGTATTCAAGAGGAGTCAGGCCTCGTCACCTTTTGAAGCAATGAACTCCGCGTGCCTTTCGTGGTGTCAGCGGGATGTGAGGCATTCCGTCAAAATGAGGCAGGGACCTAGGTCTTTCTCTAAGGTCTCCACAGGGGATTCAGACATCCCTTCATGTTGTGAGATGAAAGACGAGCCTGTATTCAAGCCACTGCAAGGAAATCCGGCCTCCTTTCAAGTTAGGGCTTCTCGCTGTATATTCCCCTTGAGGCAGCAACCTCGGGTCCCTCCCACATACATATTGCTGAGAGAAGCCTCCTCCTGAGGTGCTTCTGGAAAGTTGGCATAAGTCTTGAGCCTAAGCCAGGGAATCAGCTCTCATCTCGAGACGATTTGGGGTACACGGAGCATTCCTCAAGTTGCTGTGCTGAAGTTGGTGTTCCTCTAGACTTGGGACAGTGTTCTCGGGGCATCTCTGGAGTTGCCTGAAGGAAGTCGAGCCACCGGTCGTGTTGAATGGGGAACGGGGAATGGCTCTGGAGTGAAGGCAGGGGAATCGGGCCTCATCTCGAGTTGATTTGGGGCACATGGAGCTGCTTTGCGTTGCTGGGGTGACCTCAGGGTCCGTCTAGACTGGTGACAGTGTTCTTGGGGACTGTCTCGAGATCCACTAAGCAAGTCGAAGCTCCTGACTTGTTTGAATGGGATCACGGGATAGCTCTGCATGCACTGCAGGGGAATGGGGCCTCATCTTGCCTCAAGGGGGAAGTCTCATGGTTTTTCTCGAGTTGCGGCGGGGACCTGGCGTATGTTCTCGACTTACGGCGGGGATGGCCCTTCAAAACACGAGTTTCTTCAGTGACGTCAGGACTCCTGTCTAGTAACGAGGGACACCTCAGGAATCTCTTCGAGGCTTGGCAGGGCAAAAGGGACGCTTCTTGAAGTGAGGCAGGGCACCCAAGGACCCTTTCCCGTAGCCACAGGGATTTTGGGATTCCTATCAGTATTCAAGAGGAGTCAGGCATCGTCACCTTTTGAAGCAATGAACTCCGCGTGCCTCTCGAGGTGTCAGCGGGATGTGAGGCATTCCGTCAAAATGAGGCAGGGACCTAGGGCTTTCTCTAAGGTCTCCACAGGGGATTCAGACATCCCTTCATGTTGTGAGATGAAAGACGAGCCTGTATTCAAGCCACTGCAAGGAAATGCGGCCTCCTTTCAAGTTAGGGCTTCTCGCTGTATATTCCCCTTGAGGCAGCAAACTCGGGGTCCCTTCCACATACCTATTGCTGAGAGAAGCCTCCTCCTGAGGTGCTTCTGGAAAGTTGGCATACGTCTTGAGCCTAATCCAGGGAATCAGCTCTCATCTCGAGACAATTTGGGGTACACGGAGCATTCCTCGAGTTGCTGTGCTGAAGTTGGTGTTCCTCTAGACTTGGGACAGTGTTCTCGGGGCATCTCTGGAGTTGCCTGAAGGAAGTCGAGCCACCGGTCGTGTTGAATGGGGAACGGGGAATGGCTCTGGAGTCAATGCAGGGGAATCGGGCCTCATCTCGAGTTGATTTGGGGCACATGGAGCTGCTTTGCGTTGCTGGGGTAACCTCAGGGTCCGTCTAGACTGGTGACAGTGTTCTTGGGGACTGTCTCGAGATCCATTAAGCAAGTCGAAGCTCCTGACTTGTTTGAATGGGATCACGGAATAGCTCTGCATGCACTGCAGGGGAATGGGGCCTCATCTCGCCTCTAGGGGGAAGTCTCATGGTTTTTCTCGAGTTTCGTTGGGGACCTGGGGTATGTTCTCGACTTAGGGCGGGGATGGCCGTTCAAAACACGAGTTTCTTCAGTGACGTCAGGACTCCTGTCTAGTAACGAGGGACACTTCAGGAATCTCTACGAGGCTTGGCAGGGCAAAAGGGACGCTTCTCGAGGTGAGGCAGGGTACCCAAGGACGCTTTCCCCTAGCCACAGCGATTTTGGGATTCCTATCAGTATTCAAGAGGAGTCAGGCATCGTCACCTTTTGAAGCAATGAACTCCGCGTGCCTCTCGAGGTGTCAGCGGGATGTGAGGCATTCCGTCAAAATGAGGCAGGGACCTAGGTCTTTCTCTAAGGTCTCCACAGGGGATTCAGACATCCCTTCATGTTGTGAGATGAAAGACGAGCCTGTATTCAGCCACTGCAAGGAAATCCGGCCTCCTTTCAAGTTAGGGCTTCTCGCTGTATATTCCCCTTGAGGCAGCAACCTCGGGTCCCTCCCACATACCTATTGCTGAGAGAAGCCTCCTCCTGAGGTGCTTCTGGAAAGTTGGCATACGTCTTGAGCCTAAGCCAGGGAATCAGCTCTCATCTCGAGACGATTTGGGGTACACGGAGCATTCCTCAAGTTGCTGTGCTGAAGTTGGTGTTCCTCTAGACTTGGGACAGTGTTCTCGGGGCATCTCTGGAGTTGCCTGAAGGAAGTCGAGCCACCGGTCTTGTTGAATGGGGAACGGGGAATGGCTCTGGAGTCAATGCAGGGGAATCGGGCCTCATCTCGAGTTGATTCGGGGCACATGGAGCTGCTTTGCGTTGCTGGGGTGACCTCAGGGTCCGTCTAGACTCGTGACAGTGTTCTTGGGGACTGTCTCGAGATCCATTAAGCAAGTCGAAGCTCCTGACTTGTTTGAATGGGATCACGGGATAGCTCTGCATGCACTGCAGGGGAATGGGGCCTCATCTCGCCTCAAGGGGGAAGTCTCATGGTTTTTCTCGAGTTGCGGCGGGGACCTGGGGTATGTTCTCGACTTACGGCGGGGATGGCCCTTCAAAACACGAGTTTCTTCAGTGACGTCAGGACTCCTGTCTAGTAACGAGGGACACTTCAGGAATCTCTACGAGGCTTGGCAGGGCAAAAGGGACGCTTCTCGAGGTGAGGCAGGGTACCCAAGGACGCTTTCCCATAGCCACAGCGATTTTGGGATTCCTATCAGTATTCAAGAGGAGTCAGGCCTCGTCACCTTTTGAAGCAATGAACTCCGCGTGCCTCTCGTGGTGTCAGCGGGATGTGAGGCATTCCGTCAAAATGAGGCAGGGACCTAGGTCTTTCTCTAAGGTCTCCACAGGGGATTCAGACATCCCTTCATGTTGTGAGATGAAAGACGAGCCTGTATTCAAGCCACTGCAAGGAAATCCGGCCTCCTTTCAAGTTAGGGCTTCTCGCTGTATATTCCCCTTGAGGCAGCAACCTCGGGTCCCTCCCACATACCTATTGCTGAGAGAAGCCTCCTCCTGAGGTGCTTCTGGAAAGTTGGCATAAGTCTTGAGCCTAAGCCAGGGAATCAGCTCTCATCTCGAGACGATTTGGGGTACACGGAGCATTCCTCAAGTTGCTGTGCTGAAGTTGGTGTTCCTCTAGACTTGGGACAGTGTTCTCGGGGCATCTCTGGAGTTGCCTGAAGGAAGTCGAGCCACCGGTCGTGTTGAATGGGGAACGGGGAATGGCTCTGGAGTGAAGGCAGGGGAATCGGGCCTCATCTCGAGTTGATTTGGGGCACATGGAGCTGCTTTGCGTTGCTGGGGTGACCTCAGGGTCCGTCTAGACTGGTGACAGTGTTCTTGGGGACTGTCTCGAGATCCACTAAGCAAGTCGAAGCTCCTGACTTGTTTGAATGGGATCACGGGATAGCTCTGCATGCACTGCAGGGGAATGGGGCCTCATCTCGCCTCAAGGGGGAAGTCTCATGGTTTTTCTCGAGTTGCGGCGGGGACCTGGCATATGTTCTCGACTTATGGCGGGGATGGCCCTTCAAAACACGAGTTTCTTCAGTGACGTCAGGACTCCTGTCTAGTAACGAGGGACACCTCAGGAATCTCTTCGAGGCTTGGCAGGGCAAAAGGGACGCTTCTTCAAGTGAGGCAGGGCACCCAAGGACCCTTTCCCGTAGCCACAGGGATTTTGGGATTCCTATCAGTATTCAAGAGGAGTCAGGCATCGTCACCTTTTGAAGCAATGAACTCCGCGTGCCTCTCGAGGTGTCAGCGGGATGTGAGGCATTCCGTCAAAATGAGGCAGGGACCTAGGGCTTTCTCTAAGGTCTCCACAGGGGATTCAGACATCCCTTCATGTTGTGAGATGAAAGACGAGCCTGTATTCAAGCCACTGCAAGGAAATGCGGCCTCCTTTCAAGTTAGGGCTTCTCGCTGTATATTCCCCTTGAGGCAGCAAACTCGGGGTCCCTTCCACATACCTATTGCTGAGAGAAGCCTCCTCCTGAGGTGCTTCTGGAAAGTTGGCATACGTCTTGAGCCTAATCCAGGGAATCAGCTCTCATCTCGAGACAATTTGGGATACACGGAGCATTCCTCGAGTTGCTGTGCTGAAGTTGGTGTTCCTCTAGACTTGGGACAGTGTTCTCGGGGCATCTCTGGAGTTGCCTGAAGGAAGTCGAGCCACCGGTCGTGTTGAATGGGGAACGGGGAATGGCTCTGGAGTGAATGCAGGGGAATCGGGCCTCATCTCGAGTTGATTTGGGGCACATGGAGCTGCTTTGCGATGCTGGGGTGACCTCAGGGTCCGTCTAGACTGGTGACAGTGTTCTTGGGGACTGTCTCGAGATCCATTAAGCAAGTCGAAGCTCCTGACTTGTTTGAATGGGATCACGGAATAGCTCTGCATGCACTGCAGGGGAATGGGGCCTCATCTCGCCTCTAGGGGGAAGTCACATGGTTTTTCTCGAGTTGCGGCGGGGACGTGGGGTATGTTCTCGACTTACGGCGGGGATGGCCCTTCAAAACACGAGTTTCTTCAGTGACGTCAGGACTCCTGTCTAGTAACGAGGGACACCTCAGGAATCTCTAAGAGGCTTGGCAGGGCAAAAGGGACGCTTCTCGAGGTGAGGCAGGGCACCCAAGGACCCCTTCCCGTAGCCACAGGGATTTTGGGATTCCTATCAGTATTCAAGAGGAGCAGGCATCGTCACCTTTTGAAGCAATGAACTCCGCGTGCCTCTCGAGGTGTCAGCGGGATGTGAGGCATTCCGTCAAAATGAGGCAGGGACCTAGGGCTTTCTCTAAGGTCTCCACAGGGAATTCAGACATCCCTTCATGTTGTGAGATGAAAGACGAGCCTGTATTCAAGCCACTGAAAGGAAATCCAGCCTCCTTTCAAGTTAGGGCTTCTCGCTGTATATTCCCCTTGAGGCAGCAAACTCGGGTCCCACCCACATAACTATTGCTAAGAGAAGCCTCCTCCTGAGATGCTTCTGGAAAGTTGGCATAAGTCTTGAGCCTAAGCCAGGGAATCAGCTCTCATCTCGAGACGATTTGGGGTACACAGAGCATTCCTCGAGTTGCTGTGCTGAAGTTGGTGTTCCTCTAGACTTGGGACAGTGTTCTTGGGGCATCTCTGGCGTTGCCTGAAGGAAGTCGAGCCACCGGTCGTGTTGAATGGGGAACGGGGAATGGCTCTGGGGTCAATGCAGGGGAATCGGGCCTCATCTCGAGTTGATTTGGAGCACATGGAGCTGCTTTGCGTTGCTGGGGTGACCTCAGGGTCCGTCTAGACTGGTGACAGTGTTCTTGGGGACTGTCTCGAGATCCATTAAGCAAGTCGAAGCTCCTGACTTGTTTGAATGGGATCATGGGATAGCTCTGCATGCACTGCAAGGGAATGGGGCCTCATCTCGCCTCTAGGGGGAAGTCTCATGGTTTTTCTCGAGTTGCGGCGGGGACCTGGGGTATGTTCAAGACTTACGGCGGGGATGGCCCTTCAAAACACGAGTTTCTTCAGTGACGTCAGGACTTCTGTCTAGTAATGAGGGACACCTCAGGAATCTCTTCGAGGCTTGGCAGGGCAAAAGGGACGCTTCTCGAGGTGAGGCAGGGCACCCAAGGACCCTTTCCAGTAGCCACAGGGATTTTGGGATTCCTATCAGTATTCAAGAGGAGTCAGGCATCGTCACCTTTTGAAGCAATGAACTCCGCGTGCCTCTCGAGGTGTCAGCGGGATGTGAGGCATTCCGTCAAAAGGAGGCAGGGACCTAGGGCTTTCTCTAAGGTCTCCACAGGGGATTCAGACATCCCTTCATGTTGTGAGATGAAAGACGAGCCTGTATTCAAGCCACTGCAAGGAAATGCGGCCTCCTTTCAATTTAGGGCTTCTCGCTGTATATTCCCCTTGAGGCAGCAAACTCGGGGTCCCTTCCACATACCTATTGCTGAGAGAAGCCTCCTCCTGAGGTGCTTCTGGAAAGTTGGCATAAGTCTTGAGCCTAAGCCAGGGAATCAGCTCTCATCTCGAGACGATTTGGGGTACACGAAGCATTCCTCGAGTTGCTGTGCTGAAGTTGGTGTTCCTCTAGACTTGGGACCGTGTTCTCGGGGCATCTCTGGAGTTGCCTGAAGGAAGTCGAGCCACCGGTCGTGTTGAATGGGGAACGGGGAATGGCTCTGGAGTCAATGCAGGGGAATCGGGCCTCATCTCGAGTTGATTTGGGGCACATGCAGCTGCTTTGCGTTGCTGGGGTGACCTCAGGGTCCGTCTAGACTGGTGACAGTGTTCTTGGGGACTGTCTCGAGATCCATTAAGCAAGTCGAAGCTCCTGACTTGTTTGAATGGGATCACGGAATAGCTCTGCATGCACTGCAGGGGAATGGGGCCTCATCTCGCCTCTAGGGGGAAGTCTCATGGTTTTTCTCGAGTTGCGGCAGGGACCTGGGGTATGTTCTCGACTTACGGTGGGGATGGCCCTTCAAAACACGAGTTTCTTCAGTGACCTCAGGACTCCTGTCTAGTAACGAGGGACACCTCAGGAATCTCTTCGAGGCTTGGCAGGGCAAATGGGACGCTTCTCGAGGTGAGGCAGGGCCCCCAAGGACCCTTTCCCGTAGCCACAGGGATTTTGGGATTCCTATCAGTATTCAAGAGGAGTCAGGCATCGTCACCTTTTGAAGCAATGAACTCCGCGTGCCTCTCGAGGTGTCAGCGGGATGTGAGGCATTCCGTCAAAATGAGGCAGGGACCTAGGGCTTTCTCTAAGGTATACACAGGGGATTCAGACATCCCTTCATGTTGTGAGATGAAAGACGAGCCTGTATTCAAGCCACTGCAAGGAAATCCGGCCTCCTTTCAAGTTATGGCTTCTCGCTGTATATTCCCCTTGAGGCAGCAAACTCGGGGTCCCTTCCACATACCTATTGCTGGGAGAAGCCTCCTCCTGAGGTGCTTCTGGAAAGTTGGCATACGTCTTGAGCCTAAGCCAGGGAATCAGCTCTCATCTCTAGACGATTTGGGGTACACGGAGCATTCCTCAAGTGCTGTGCTGAGGTTGGTGTTCCTCTAGACTTGGGACACTGTTGTCTGGGCATCTCTGGAGTTGCCTGAAGGAAGTCGAGCCACCGGTCGTGTTGAATGGGGAACGGGGAATGGCTCTGGCGTCAATGCAGGCGAATGGGACCTCATCTCGAGTTGATTTGGGGCACATGGAGCTGCTTTGCTTTGCTGGGGTGACCTCAGGGTCCGTCTAGACTGGTGACAGTGTTCTTGGGGACTGTCTCGAGATCCATTAAGCAAGTCGAAGCTCCTGACTTGTTGGAATGGGATCACGGAATAGCTCTGCATGCACTGCAGGGGAATGGGGCCTCATCTCGCCTCTAGGGGGAAGTCTCATGGTTTTTCTCGAGTTGCGGCGGGGACCTGGGGTATGTTCTCGACTTACGGCGGGGATGGCCCTTCAAAACACGAGTTTCTTCAGTGACGTCAGGACTCCTGTCTAGTAACGACGGACACCTCAGGAATCTCTACGAGGCTTGGCAGAGCAAAAGGGACGCTTCTCGAGGTGAGGCAGGGCACCCAAGGACCCTTTCCAGTAGCCACAGCGATTTTGGGATTCCTATCAGTATTCAAGAGGAGTCAGGCATCGTCACCTTTTGAAGCAATGAACTCCGCGTGCCTCTCGAGGTGTCAGCGGGATGTGAGGCATTCCGTCAAAATGAGGCAGGGACCTGGGGCTTTCTCTAAGGTCTCCACAGGGGATTCAGACATCCCTTCATGTTGTGAGATGAAAGACGAGCCTGTATTCAAGCCACTGCAAGGAAATCCGGCCTCCTTTCAAGTTAGGGCTTTTCGCTGTATATTCCCCTTGAGGCAGCAATCTCGGGTCCCACCCACATACCTATTGATGAGAGAAGCCTCCTCCTGAGGTGCTTCTGGAAAGTTGGCATACGTCTTGAGCCTAATCCAGGGAATCAGCTCTCATCTCGAGACGATTTGGGGTACACGGAGCATTCCTCAAGTTGCTGTGCTGAAGTTGGTGTTCCTCTAGACTTGGGACAGTGTTCTCGGGGCATCTCTGGAGTTGCCTGAAGGAAGTCGAGCCACCGGTCTTGTTGAATGGGGAACGGGGCATGGCTCTGGAGTCAATGCAGGGGAATCGGGCCTCATCTCGAGTTGATTTGGGGCACATGGAGCTGCTTTGCGTTGCTGGGGTGACCTCAGGGTCCGTCTAGACTGGTGACAGTGTTCTTGGGGACTGTCTCGAGATCCACTAAGCAAGTCGAAGCTCCTGACTTGTTTGAATGGGATCACGGAATAGCTCTGCATGCACTGCAGGGGAATGGGGCCTCATCTCGCCTCAAGGGGGAAGTCTCATGGTTTTTCTCGAGTTGCGGCGGGGACCTGGGGTATGTTCTCGACTTACGGCGGGGATGGCCCTTCAAAACACGAGTTTCTTCAGTGACCTCAGGACTCCTGTCTTGTAACGAGGGACACCTCAGGAATCTCTTCGAGGCTTGGCAGGGCAAAAGGGACGCTTCTCGAGGTGAGGCAGGGCACCCAAGGACCCTTTCCAGTAGCCACAGGGATTTTGGGAGTCCTATCATTATTCAAGAGGAGTCAGGCATCGTCACCTTTTGAAGCAATTTACTCCGCGTGCCTCTCGAGGTGTCAGCGGGATGTGAGGCATTCCGTCAAAATGAGGCAGGGACCTAGGGCCTTCTCTAAGGTCTCCACAGGGGATTCAGACATCCCTTCATGTTGTGAGATGAAAGACGAGCCTGTATTCAAGCCACTGCAAGGAAATGCGGCCTCCTTTCAAGTTAGGGCTTCTCGCTGTATATTCCCCTTGAGGCACAAACTCGGGGTCCCTCCCACATACTTATTGCTGAGAGAAGCCTCCTCCTGAGGTGCTTCTGGAAAGTTGGCATACGTCTTGAGCCTAAGCCAGGGAATCAGCTCTCATCTCGAGATGATTTGGGTTACACGGAGCATTCCTCGAGTTGCTGTGCTGAAGTTGGTGTTCCTCTAGACTTGGGACAGTGTTCTCGGGGCATCTCTGGAGTTGCCTGAAGGAAGTCGAGCCACCGGTCGTGTTGAATGGGGAACGGGGAATGGCTCTGGAGTGAATGCAGGGGAATCGGGCCTCATCTCGAGTTGATTTGGGGCACATGGAGCTGCTTTGCCTTGCTGGGGTGACCTCAGGGTCCGTCTAGACTGGTGACAGTGTTCTTGGGGACTGTCTCGAGATCCATTAAGCAAGTCGAAACTCCTGACTTGTTTGAATGGGATCACAGAATAGCTCTGTAAGCACTGCAGGGGAATGGGGCCTCATCTCGCCTCAAGGGGGAAGTCTCATGGTTTTTCTCGAGTTCAGGCGGGGACCTGGGGTATGTTCTCGACTTACGGCGGGGATGGCCCTTCAAAACACGAGTTTCTTCAGTGACCTCAGGACTACTGTCTTGTAACGAGGGACACCTCAGGAATCTCTTCGAGGCTTGGCAGGGCAAAAGGGACGCTTCTCGAGGTGAGGCAGGGCACCCAAGGACCCTTTCCAGTAGCCACAGGGATTTTGGGAGTCCTATCATTATTCAAGAGGAGTCAGGCATCGTCACCTTTTGAAGCAATTTACTCCGCGTGCCTCTCGAGGTGTCAGCGGGATGTGAGGCATTCCGTCAAAATGAGGCAGGGACTTAGGGCCTTCTCTACGGTCTCCACAGGGGATTCAGACATCCCTTCATGTTGTGAGATGAAAGACGAGCCTGTATTCAAGCCACTGCAAGGTATTCCGGCCTCCTTTCAAGTTAGGGCTTCTCGCTGTATATTCCCCTTGAGGCAGCAAACTCGGGGTCCCTTCCACATACCTATTGCTGAGAGAAGCCTCCTCCTGAGGTGCTTCTGGAAAGTTGGCATACGTCTTGAGCCTAAGCCAGGGAATCAGCTCTCATCTCGAGACGATTTGGGGTACACGGAGCATTCCTCAAGTTGCTGTGCTGAAGTTGGTGTTCCTCTAGACTTGGGACAGTGTTCTCGGGGCATCTCTGGAGTTGCCTGAAGGAAGTCGAGCCACCGGTCGTGTTGAATGGGGAACGGGGAATGGCTCTGGAGTCAATGCATGGGAATCGGGCCTCATCTCGAGTTGATTTGGGGCACATGGAGCTGCTTTGCTTTGCTGGGGTGACCTTAGGGTCCGTCTAGACTGGTGACAGTGTTCTTGGGGATTGTCTCGAGATCCATTAAGCAAGTCGAAGCTCCTGACTTGTTTGAATGGGATCACGGAATAGCTCTGCATGCACTGCAGGGGAATGGGGCCTCATCTCCCCTCTAGGGGGAAGTCTCATGGTTTTTCTCGAGTTGCGGCGGGGACCTGGGGTATGTTCTCGACTTACGGCGGGGATGGCCCTTCAAAACACGAGTTTCTTCAGTGACGTCAGGACTCCTGTCTAGTAACGAGGGACACCTCAGGAATCTCTAAGAGGCTTGGCAGGGCAAAAGGGACGCTTCTCGAGGTGAGGCAGGGCACCCAAGGACGCTTTCCCCTAGCCACAGGGATTTTGGGATTCCTATCAGTATTCAAGAGGAGTCAGGCATCGTCACCTTTTGAAGCAATGAACTCCGCGTGCCTCTCGAGGTGTCAGTGGGATGTGAGGCATTCCGTCAAAATGAGGCAGGGACCTAGGGCTTTCTCTAAGGTCTCCACAGGGGATTCAGACATCCCTTCATGTTGTGAGATGAAAGACGAGCCTGTATTCAAGCCACTGCAAGGAAATCCGGCCTCCTTTCAAGTTAGGGCTTCTCGCTGTATATTCCCCTTGAGGCACAAACTCGGGGTCCCTCCCACATACTTATTGCTGAGAGAAGCCTCCTGCTGAGGTGCTTCTGGAAAGTTGGCATACGTCTTGAGCGTTGGCCAGGGAATCAGCTCTCATCTCGAGACGATTTGGGTTACACGAAGCATTCGTCGAGTTGCTGTGCTGAAGTTGGTGTTCCTCTAGACTTGGGACAGTGTTCTCGGGGCATCTCTGGAGTTGCCTGAAGGAAGTCGAGCCACCGGTCGTGTTGAATGGGGAACGGGGAATGGCTCTGGAGTCAATGCAGGGGAATCGGGCCTCATCTCGAGTTGATTTGGGGCACATGGAGCTGCTTTGCGTTGCTGGGGTGACCTCAGGGTCCGTCTAGACTGGTGACAGTGTTCTTGGGGACTGTCTCGAGATACATTAAGCAAGTCGAAACTCCTGACTTGTTTGAATGGGATCACAGAATAGCTCTGCATGCACTGCAGGGGAATGGGGCCTCATCTCGCCTCTAGGGGGAAGTCTCATGGTTTTTCTCGAGTTGCGGCGGGGACCTGGTGTATGTTCTCGACTTACGGCGGGGATGGCCCTTCAAAACACGAGTTTCTTCAGTGACGTCAGGACTCCTGTCTAGTAACGACGGACACCTCAGGAATCTCTAAGAGGCTTGGCAGGGCAAAAGGGACGCTTCTCGAGGTGAGTCAGGGCACCCAAGGACGCTTTCCCCTAGCCACAGGGATTTTGGGATTCCTATCAGTATTCAAGAGGAGTCAGGCATCGTCACCTTTTGAAGCAATGAACTCCGCGTGCCTCTCGAGGTGTCAGCGGGATGTGAGGCATTCCGTCAAAATGAGGCAGGGACCTAGGTCTTTCTCTAAGGTCTCCACAGGGGATTCAGACATCCCTTCATGTTGTGAGATGAAAGACGAGCCTGTATTCAAGCCACTGCAAGGAAATCCGGCCTCCTTTCAAGTTAGGGCTTCTCGCTGTATATTCCCCTTGAGGCAGCAAACTCGGGTCCCTCCCACATACCTTTTGCTGAGAGAAGCCTCCTCCTGAGGTGCTTCTGGAAAGTTGGCATACGTCTTGAGCCTAAGCCAGGGAATCAGCTCTCATCTCGAGACGATTTGGGGTACACGGAGCATTCCTCAAGTTGCTGTGCTGAAGTTGGTGTTCCTCTAGACTTGGGACAGTGTTCTCGGGGCATCTCTGGAGTTTCCTGAAGGAAGTCGAGCCACCGGTCTTGTTGAATGGGGAACGGGGAATGGCTCTGAAGTCAATGCAGGGGAATCGGGCCTCATCTCGAGTTGATTCGGGGCACATGGAGCTGCTTTGCGTTGCTGGGGTGACCTCAGGGTCCGTCTAGACTCGTGACAGTGTTCTTGGGGACTGTCTCGAGATCCATTAAGCAAGTCGAAGCTCCTGACTTGTTTGAATGGGATCACGGGATAGCTCTGCATGCACTGCAGGGGAATGGGGCCTCATCTCGCCTAAAGGGGGAAGTCTCATGGTTTTTCTCGAGTTGCGGCGGGGACCTGGGGTATGTTCTCGACTTACGGCGGGGATGGCCCTTCAAAACACGAGTTTCTTAAGTGACATCAGGACTCCTGTCTTGTAACGAGGGACACCTCAGGAATCTCTACGAGGCTTGGCAGGGCAAAAGGGACGCTTCTCGAGGTGAGGCAGGGTACCCAAGGACCCTTTCCAGTAGCCACAGGGATTTTGGGATTCCTATCAGTATTCAAGATGAGTCAGGCATCGTCACCTTTTGAAGCAATGAACTCCGCGTGCCTCTCGAGGTGTCAGTGGGATGTGAGGCATTCCGTCAAAATGAGGCAGGGACCTAGGGCTTTCTCTAAGGTCTCCACAGGGGATTCAGACATCCCTTCATGTTGTGAGATGAAAGACCAGCCTGTATTCAAGCCACTGCAAGGAAATGCGGCCTCCTTTCAAGTTAGGGCTTCTCGCTGTATATTCCCCTTGAGGCAGCAAACTCGGGGTCCCTTCCACATACCTAATGCTGAGAGAAGCCTCCTCCTGAGGTGCTTCTGGAAAGTTGGCATACGTCTTGAGCCTAATCCAGGGAATCAGCTCTCATCTCGAAACAATTTGGGGTACACGGAGCATTCCTCGAGTTGCTGTGCTGAAGTTGGTGTTCCTCTAGACTTGGGACAGTGTTCTCGGGGCATCTCTGGACTTGCCTGAAGGAAGTCGAGCCACCGGTCGTGTTGAATGGGGAACGGGGAATGGCTCTGGAGTGAATGCAGGGGAATCGGGCCTCATCTCGAGTTGATTTGGGGCACATGGAGCTGCTTTGCGTTGCTGGGGTAACCTCAGGGTCCGTCTAGACTGGTGACAGTGTTCTTGGGGACTGTCTCGAGATCCATTAAGCAAGTCGAAGCTCCTGACTTGTTTGAATGGGATCACGGAATAGCTCTGCATGCACTGCAGGGGAATGGGGCCTCATCTCGCCTCTAGGGGGAAGTCTCATGGTTTTTCTCGAGTTTCGTTGGGGACCTGGGGTATGTTCTCGACTTAGGGCGGGGATGGCCCTTCAAAACACGAGTTTCTTCAGTGACGTCAGGACTCCTGTCTAGTAACGAGGGACACTTCAGGAATCTCTACGAGGCTTGGCAGGGCAAAAGGGACGCTTCTCGAGGTGAGGCAGGGTACCCAAGGACGCTTTCCCCTAGCCACGGCGATTTTGGGATTCCTATCAGTATTCAAGAGGAGTCAGGCATCGTCACCTTTTGAAGCAATGAACTCCGCGTGCCTCTCGTGGTGTCAGCGGGATGTGAGGCATTCCGTCAAAATGAGTCAGGGACCTAGGTCTTTCTCTAAGGTCTCCACAGGGGATTCAGACATCCCTTCATGTTGTGAGATGAAAGACGAGCCTGTATTCAAGCCACTGCAAGGAAATCCGGCCTCCTTTCAAGTTAGGGCTTCTCGCTGTATATTCCCCTTGAGGCAGCAACCTCGGGTCCCTCCCACATACCTATTGCTGAGAGAAGCCTCCTCCTGAGGTGCTTCTGGAAAGTTGGCATAAGTCTTGAGCCTAAGCCAGGGAATCAGCTCTCATCTCGAGACGATTTGGGGTACACGGAGCATTCCTCAAGTTGCTGTGCTGAAGTTGGTGTTCCTCTAGACTTGGGACAGTGTTCTCGGGGCATCTCTGGAGTTGCCTGAAGGAAGACGAGCCACCGGTCGTGTTGAATGGGGAACGGGGAATGGCTCTGGAGTGAAGGCAGGGGAATCGGGCCTCATCTCGAGTTGATTCGGGGCACATGGAGCTGCTTTGCGTTGCTGGGGTGACCTCAGGGTCCGTCTAGACTGGTGACAGTGTTCTTGGGGACTGTCTCGAGATCCACTAAGCAAGTCGAAGCTCCTGACTTGTTTGAATGGGATCACGGGATAGCTCTGCATGCACTGCAGGGGAATGGGGCCTCATCTCGCCTCAAGGGGGAAGTCTCATGTTTTTTCTCGAGTTGCGGCGGGGACCTGGCGTATGTTCTCGACTTACGGCGGGGATGGCCCTTCAAAACACGAGTTTCTTCAGTGACGTCAGGACTCCTGTCTAGTAACGAGGGACACCTCAGGAATCTCTTCGAGGCTTGGCAGGGCAAAAGGGACGCTTCTTCAAGTGAGGCAGGGCACCCAAGGACCCTTTCCCGTAGCCACAGGGATTTTGGGATTCCTATCAGTATTCAAGAGGAGTCAGGCATCGTCACCTTTTGAAGCAATGAACTCCGCGTGCCTCTCGAGGTGTCAGCGGGATGTGAGGCATTCCGTCAAAATGAGGCAGGGACCTAGGGCTTTCTCTAAGGTCTCCACAGGGGATTCAGACATCCCTTCATGTTGTGAGATGAAAGACGAGCCTGTATTCAAGCCACTGCAAGGAAATGCGGCCTCCTTTCAAGTTAGGGCTTCTCGCTGTATATTCCCCTTGAGGCAGCAAACTCGGGGTCCCTTCCACATACCTATTGCTGAGAGAAGCCTCCTCCTGAGGTGCTTCTGGAAAGTTGGCATACGTCTTGAGCCTAATCCAGGGAATCAGCTCTCATCTCGAGACAATTTGGGGTACACGGAGCATTCCTCGAGTTGCTGTGCTGAAGTTGGTGTTCCTCTAGACTTGGGACAGTGTTCTCGGGGCATCTCTGGACTTGCCTGAAGGAAGTCGAGCCACCGGTCGTGTTGAATGGGGAACGGGGAATATCTCTGGAGTGAATGCAGGGGAATCGGGCCTCATCTCGAGTTGATTTGGGGCACATGGAGCTGCTTTGCGTTGCTGGGGTAACCTCAGGGTCCGTCTAGACTGGTGACAGTGTTCTTGGGGACTGTCTCGAGATCCATTAAGCAAGTCGAAGCTCCTGACTTGTTTGAATGGGATCACGGAATAGCTCTGCATGCACTGCAGGGGAATGGGGCCTCATCTCGCCTCTAGGGGGAAGTCTCATGGTTTTTCTCGAGTTTCGTTGGGGACCTGGGGTATGTTCTCGACTTAGGGCGGGGATGGCCGTTCAAAACACGAGTTTCTTCAGTGACGTCAGGACTCCTGTCTAGTAACGAGGGACACTTCAGGAATCTCTACGAGGCTTGGCAGGGCAAAAGGGACGCTTCTCGAGGTGAGGTAGGGTACCCAAGGACGCTTTCCCCTAGCCACAGCGATTTTGGGATTCCTATCAGTATTCAAGAGGAGTCAGGCATCGTCACCTTTTGAAGCAATGAACTCCGCGTGCCTCTCGAGGTGTCAGCGGCATGTGAGGCATTCCGTCAAAATGAGGCAGGGACCTAGGTCTTTCTCTAAGGTCTCCACAGGGGATTCAGACATCCCTTCATGTTGTGAGATGAAAGACGAGCCTGTATTCAAGCCACTGCAAGGAAATCCGGCCTCCTTTCAAGTTAGGGCTTCTCGCTGTATATTCCCCTTGAGGCAGCAACCTCGGGTCCCTCCCACATACCTATTGCTGAGAGAAGCCTCCTCCTGAGGTGCTTCTGGAAAGTTGGCATACGTCTTGAGCCTAAGCCAGGGAATCAGCTCTCATCTCGAGACGATTTGGGGTACACGGAGCATTCCTCAAGTTGCTGTGCTCAAGTTGGTGTTCCTCTAGACTTGGGACAGTGTTCTCGGGGCATCTCTGGAGTTGCCTGAAGGAAGTCGAGCCACCGGTCTTGTTGAATGGGGAACGGGGAATGGCTCTGGAGTCAATGCAGGGGAATCGGGCCTCATCTCGAGTTGATTCGGGGCACATGGAGCTGCTTTGCGTTGCTGGGGTGACCTCAGGGTCCGTCTAGACTCGTGACAGTGTTCTTGGGGACTGTCTCGAGATCCATTAAGCAAGTCGAAGCTCCTGACTTGTTTGAATGGGATCACGGGATAGCTCTGCATGCACTGCAGGGGAATGGGGCCTCATCTCGCCTCAAGGGGGAAGTCTCATGGTTTTTCTCGAGTTGCGGCGGGGACCTGGGGTATGTTCTCGACTTACGGCGGGGATGGCCCTTCAAAACACGAGTTTCTTAAGTGACCTCAGGACTCCTGTCTTGTAACGCGGGACACCTCAGGAATCTCTACGAGGCTTGGCAGGGCAAAAGGGACGCTTCTCGAGGTGAGGCAGGGTACCCAAGGACCCTTTCCAGTAGCCACAGGGATTTTGGGATTCCTATCAGTATTCAAGATGAGTCAGGCATCGTCACCTTTTGAAGCAATGAACTCCGCGTGCCTCTCGAGGTGTCAGTGGGATGTGAGGCATTCCGTCAAAATGAGGCAGGGACCTAGGGCTTTCTCTAAGGTCTCCACAGGGGATTCAGACATCCCTTCATGTTGTGAGATGAAAGACGAGCCTGTATTCAAGCCACTGCAAGGAAATGCGGCCTCCTTTCAAGTTAGGGCTTCTCGCTGTATATTCCCCTTGAGGCAGCAAACTCGGGGTCCCTTCCACACACCTATTGCTGAGAGAAGCCTCCTCCTGAGGTGCTTCTGGAAAGTTGGCATACGTCTTGAGCCTAATCCAGGGAATCAGCTCTCATCTCGAGACAATTTGGTGTACACGGAGCATTCCTCGAGTTGCTGTGCTGAAGTTGGTGTTCCTCTAGACTTGGGACAGTGTTCTCGGGGCATCTCTGGAGTTGCCTGAAGGAAGTCGAGCCACCGGTCGTGTTGAATGGGGAACGGGGAATGGCTCTGGAGTGAATGCAGGGGAATCGGGCCTCATCTCGAGTTGATTTGGGGCACATGGAGCTGCTTTGCGTTGCTGGGGTGACCTCAGGGTCCGTCTAGACTGGTGACAGTGTTCTTGGGGACTGTCTCGAGATCCATTAAGCAAGTCGAAGCTCCTGACTTGTTTGAATGGGATCACGGAATAGCTCTGCATGCACTGCAGGGGAATGGGGCCTCATCTAGCCTCTAGGGGGAAGTCTCATGGTTTTTCTCGAGTTTCGTTGGGGACCTGGGGTATGTTCTCGACTTAGGGCGGGGATGGTCCTTCAAAACACGAGTTTCTTCAGTGACGTCAGGACTCCTGTCTAGTAACGGGGGACACTTCAGGAATCTCTACGAGGCTTGGCAGGGCAAAAGGGACGCTTCTCGAGGTGAGGCAGGGTACCCAAGGACGCTTTCCCATAGCCACAGCGATTTTGGGATTCCTATCAGTATTCAAGAGGAGTCAGGCATCGTCACCTTTTGAAGCAATGAACTCCGCGTGCCTCTCGTGGTGTCAGCGGGATGTGAGGCATTCCGTCAAAATGAGGCAGGGACCTAGGTCTTTCTCTAAGGTCTCCACAGGGGATTCAGACATCCCTTCATGTTGTGAGATGAAAGACGAGCCTGTATTCAAGCCACTGCAAGGAAATCCGGCCTCCTTTCAAGTTAGGGCTTCTCGCTGTATATTCCCCTTGAGGCAGCAACCTCGGGTCCCTCCCACATACCTATTGCTGAGAGAAGCCTCCTCCTGAGGTGCTTCTGGAAAGTTGGCATAAGTCTTGAGCCTAAGCCAGGGAATCAGCTCTCATCTCGAGACGATTTGGGGTACACGGAGCATTCCTCAAGTTGCTGTGCTGAAGTTGGTGTTCCTCTAGACTTGGGACAGTGTTCTCGGGGCATCTCTGGAGTTGCCTGAAGGAAGTCGAGCCACCGGTCGTGTTGAATGGGGAACGGGGAATGGCTCTGGAGTGAAGGCAGGGGAATCGGGCCTCATCTCGAGTTGATTTGGGGCACATGGAGCTGCTTTGCGTTGCTGGGGTGACCTCAGGGTCCGTCTAGACTGGTGACAGTGTTCTTGGGGACTGTCTCGAGATCCACTAAGCAAGTCGAAGCTCCTGACTTGTTTGAATGGGATCACGGGATAGCTTTGCATGCACTGCAGGGGAATGGGGCCTCATCTCGCCTCAAGGGGGAAGTCTCATGGTTTTTCTCGAGTTGCGGCGGGGACCTGGCGTATGTTCTCGACTTACGGCGGGGATGGCCCTTCAAAACACGAGTTTCTTCAGTGACGTCAGGACTCCTGTCTAGTAACGAGGGACACCTCAGGAATCTCTTCGAGGCTTGGCAGGGCAAAAGGGACGCTTCTTCAAGTGAGGCAGGGCACCCAAGGACCCTTTCCCGTAGCCACAGGGATTTTGGGATTCCTACCAGTATTCAAGAGGAGTCAGGCATCGTCACCTTTTGAAGCAATGAACTCCGCGTGCCTCTCGAGGTGTCAGCGGGATGTGAGGCATTTCGTCAAAATGAGGCAGGGACCTAGGGCTTTCTCTAAGGTCTCCACAGGGGATTCAGACATCCCTTCATGTTGTGAGATGAAAGACGAGCCTGTATTCAAGCCACTGCAAGGAAATGCGGCCTCCTTTCAAGTTAGGGCTTCTCGCTGTATATTCCCCTTGAGGCAGCAAACTCGGGGTCCCTTCCACATACCTATTGCTGAGAGAAGCCTCCTCCTGAGGTGCTTCTGGAAAGTTGGCATACGTCTTGAGCCTAATCCAGGGAATCAGCTCTCATCTCGAGACAATTTGGGGTACACGGAGCATTCCTCGAGTTGCTGTGCTGAAGTTGGTGTTCCTCTAGACTTGGGACAGTGTTCTCGGGGCATCTCTGGACTTGCCTGAAGGAAGTCGAGCCACCGGTCGTGTTGAATGGGGAACGGGGAATGGCTCTGGAGTGAATGCAGGGGAATCGGGCCTCATCTCGAGTTGATTTGGGGCACATGGAGCTGCTTTGCGTTGCTGGGGTAACCTCAGGGTCCGTCTAGACTGGTGACAGTGTTCTTGGGGACTGTCTCGAGATCCATTAAGCAAGTCGAAGCTCCTGACTTGTTTGAATGGGATCACGGAATAGCTCTGCATGCACTGCAGGGGAATGGGGCCTCATCTCGCCTCTAGGGGGAAGTCTCATGGTTTTTCTCGAGTTTCGTTGGGGACCTGGGGTATGTTCTCGACTTAGGGCGGGGATGGCCGTTCAAAACACGAGTTTCTTCAGTGACGTCAGGACTCCTGTCTAGTAACGAGGGACACTTCAGGAATCTCTACGAGGCTTGGCAGGGCAAAAGGGACGCTTCTCGAGGTGAGGCAGGGTACCCAAGGACGCTTTCCCCTAGCCACAGCGATTTTGGGATTCCTATCAGTATTCAAGAGGAGTCAGGCATCGTCACCTTTTGAAGCAATGAACTCCGCGTGCCTCTCGAGGTGTCAGCGGCATGTGAGGCATTCCGTCAAAATGAGGCAGGGACCTAGGTCTTTCTCTAAGGTCTCCACAGGGGATTCAGACATCCCTTCATGTTGTGAGATGAAAGACGAGCCTGTATTCAAGCCACTGCAAGGAAATCCGGCCTCCTTTCAAGTTAGGGCTTCTCGCTGTATATTCCCCTTGAGGCAGCAACCTCGGGTCCCTCCCACATACCTATTGCTGAGAGAAGCCTCCTCCTGAGGTGCTTCTGGAAAGTTGGCATAAGTCTTGAGCCTAAGCCAGGGAATCAGCTCTCATCTCGAGACGATTTGGGGTACACGGAGCATTCCTCAAGTTGCTGTGCTGAAGTTGGTGTTCCTCTAGACTTGGGACAGTGTTCTCGGGGCATCTCTGGAGTTGCCTGAAGGAAGTCGAGCCACCGGTCTTGTTGAATGGGGAACGGGGAATGGCTCTGGAGTCAATGCAGGGGAATCGGGCCTCATCTCGAGTTGATTCGGGGCACATGGAGCTGCTTTGCGTTGCTGGGGTTACCTCAGGGTCCGTCTAGACTCGTGACAGTGTTCTTGGGGACTGTCTCGAGATCCATTAAGCAAGTCGAAGCTCCTGACTTGTTTGAATGGGATCACGGGATAGCTCTGCATGCACTGCAGGGGAATGGGGCCTCATCTCGCCTCAAGGGGGAAGTCTCATGGTTTTTCTCGAGTTGCGGCGGGGACCTGGGGTATGTTCTCGACTTACGGCGGGGATGGCCCTTCAAAACACGAGTTTCTTAAGTGACCTCAGGACTCCTGTCTTGTAACGAGGGACACCTCAGGAATCTCTACGAGGCTTGGCAGGGCAAAAGGGACGCTTCTCGAGGTGAGGCAGGGTACCCAAGGACCCTTTCCAGTAGCCACAGGGATTTTGGGATTCCTATCAGTATTCAAGATGAGTCAGGCATCGTCACCTTTTGAAGCAATGAACTCCGCGTGCCTCTCGAGGTGTCAGTGGGATGTGAGGCATTCCGTCAAAATGAGGCAGGGACCTAGGGCTTTCTCTAAGGTCTCCACAGGGGATTCAGACATCCCTTCATGTTGTGAGATGAAAGACGAGCCTGTATTCAAGCCACTGCAAGGAAATGCGGCCTCCTTTCAAGTTAGGGCTTCTCGCTGTATATTCCCCTTGAGGCAGCAAATTCGGGGTCCCTTCCACACACCTATTGCTGAGAGAAGCCTCCTCCTGAGGTGCTTCTGGAAAGTTGGCATACGTCTTGAGCCTAATCCAGGGAATCAGCTCTCATCTCGAGACAATTTGGTGTACACGGAGCATTCCTCGAGTTGCTGTGCTGAAGTTGGTGTTCCTCTAGACTTGGGACAGTGTTCTCGGGGCATCTCTGGAGTTGCCTGAAGGAAGTCGAGCCACCGGTCGTGTTGAATGGGGAACGGGGAATGGCTCTGGAGTGAATGCAGGGGAATCGGGCCTCATCTCGAGTTGATTTGGGGCACATGGAGCTGCTTTGCGTTGCTGGGGTAACCTCAGGGTCCGTCTAGACTGGTGACAGTGTTCTTGGGGACTGTCTCGAGATCCATTAAGCAAGTCGAAGCTCCTGACTTGTTTGAATGGGATCACGGAATAGCTCTGCATGCACTGCAGGGGAATGGGGCCTCATCTAGCCTCTAGGGGGAAGTCTCATGGTTTTTCTCGAGTTTCGTTGGGGACCTGGGGTATGTTCTCGACTTAGGGCGGGGATGGCCCTTCAAAACACGAGTTTCTTCAGTGACGTCAGGACTCCTGTCTAGTAACGAGGGACACTTCAGGAATCTCTACGAGGCTTGGCAGGGCAAAAGGGACGCTTCTCGAGGTGAGGCAGGGTACCCAAGGACGCTTTCCCATAGCCACAGCGATTTTGGGATTCCTATCAGTATTCAAGAGGAGTCAGGCATCGTCACCTTTTGAAGCAATGAACTCCGCGTGCCTCTCGTGGTGTCAGCGGGATGTGAGGCATTCCGTCAAAATGAGGCAGGGACCTAGGTCTTTCTCTAAGGTCTCCACAGGGGATTCAGACATCCCTTCATGTTGTGAGATGAAAGACGAGCCTGTATTCAAGCCACTGCAAGGAAATCCGGCCTCCTTTCAAGTTAGGGCTTCTCGCTGTATATTCCCCTTGAGGCAGCAACCTCGGGTCCCTCCCACATACCTATTGCTGAGAGAAGCCTCCTCCTGAGGTGCTTCTGGAAAGTTGGCATAAGTCTTGAGCCTAAGCCAGGGAATCAGCTCTCATCTCGAGACGATTTGGGGTACACGGAGCATTCCTCAAGTTGCTGTGCTGAAGTTGGTGTTCCTCTAGACTTGGGACAGTGTTCTCGGGGCATCTCTGGAGTTGCCTGAAGGAAGTCGAGCCACCGGTCGTGTTGAATGGGGAACGGGGAATGGCTCTGGAGTGAAGGCAGGGGAATCGGGCCTCATCTCGAGTTGATTTGGGGCACATGGAGCTGCTTTGCGTTGCTGGGGTGACCTCAGGGTCCGTCTAGACTGGTGACAGTGTTCTTGGGGACTGTCTCGAGATCCACTAAGCAAGTCGAAGCTCCTGACTTGTTTGAATGGGATCACGGGATAGCTCTGCATGCACTGCAGGGGAATGGGGCCTCATCTCGCCTCAAGGGGGAAGTCTCATGGTTTTTCTCGAGTTGCGGCGGGGACCTGGCGTATGTTCTCGACTTACAACGGGGATGGCCCTTCAAAACACGAGTTTCTTCAGTGACGTCAGGACTCCTGTCTAGTAACGAGGGACACCTCAGGAATCTCTTCGAGGCTTGGCAGGGCAAAAGGGACGCTTCTTCAAGTGAGGCAGGGCACCCAAGGACCCTTTCCCGTAGCCACAGGGATTTTGGGATTCCTATCAGTATTCAAGAGGAGTCAGGCATCGTCACCTTTTGAAGCAATGAACTCCGCGTGCCTCTCGAGGTGTCAGCGGGATGTGAGGCATTCCGTCAAAATGAGGCAGGGACCTAGGGCTTTCTCTAAGGTCTCCACAGGGGATTCAGACATCCCTTCATGTTGTGAGATGAAAGACCAGCCTGTATTCAAGCCACTGCAAGGAAATGCGGCCTCCTTTCAAGTTAGGGCTTCTCGCTGTATATTCCCCTTGAGGCAGCAAACTCGGGGTCCCTTCCACATACCTATTGCTGAGAGAAGCCTCCTCCTGAGGTGCTTCTGGAAAGTTGGCATACGTCTTGAGCCTAATCCAGGGAATCAGCTCTCATCTCGAGACAATTTGGGGTACACGGAGCATTCCTCGAGTTGCTGTGCTGAAGTTGGTGTTCCTCTAGACTTGGGACAGTGTTCTCGGGGCATCTCTGGACTTGCCTGAAGGAAGTCGAGCCACCGGTCGTGTTGAATGGGGAACGGGGAATGGTTCTGGAGTGAATGCAGGGGAATCGGGCCTCATCTCGAGTTGATTTGGGGCACATGGAGCTGCTTTGCGTTGCTGGGGTAACCTCAGGGTCCGTCTAGACTGGTGACAGTGTTCTTGGGGACTGTCTCGAGATCCATTAAGCAAGTCGAAGCTCCTGACTTGTTTGAATGGGATCACGGAATAGCTCTGCATGCACTGCAGGGGAATGGGGCCTCATCTCGCCTCTAGGGGGAAGTCTCATGGTTTTTCTCGAGTTTCGTTGGGGACCTGGGGTATGTTCTCGACTTAGGGCGGGGATGGCCCTTCAAAACACGAGTTTCTTCAGTGACGTCAGGACTCCTGTCTAGTAACGAGGGACACTTCAGGAATCTCTACGAGGCTTGGCAGGGCAAAAGGGACGCTTCTCGAGGTGAGGCAGGGTACCCAAGGACGCTTTCCCCTAGCCACAGCGATTTTGGGATTCCTATCAGTATTCAAGAGGAGTCAGGCATCGTCACCTTTTGAAGCAATGAACTCCGCGTGCCTCTCGAGGTGTCAGCGGGATGTGAGGCATTCCGTCAAAATGAGGCAGGGACCTAGGTCTTTCTCTAAGGTCTCCACAGGGGATTCAGACATCCCTTCATGTTGTGAGATGAAAGACGAGCCTGTATTCAAGCCACTGCAAGGAAATCCGGCCTCCTTTCAAGTTAGGGCTTCTCGCTGTATATTCCCCTTGAGGCAGCAACCTCGGGTCCCTCCCACATACCTATTGCTGAGAGAAGCCTCCTCCTGAGGTGCTTCTGGAAAGTTGGCATAAGTCTTGAGCCTAAGCCAGGGAATCAGCTCTCATCTCGAGACGATTTGGGGTACACGGAGCATTCCTCAAGTTGGTGTGCTGAAGTTGGTGTTCCTCTAGACTTGGGACAGTGTTCTCGGGGCATCTCTGGAGTTGCCTGAAGGAAGTCGAGCCACCGGTCGTGTTGAATGGGGAACGGGGAATGGCTCTGGAGTGAAGGCAGGGGAATCGGGCCTCATCTCGAGTTGATTTGGGGCACATGGAGCTGCTTTGCGTTGCTGGGGTGACCTCAGGGTCCGTCTAGACTGGTGACAGTGTTCTTGGGGACTGTCTCGAGATCCACTAAGGAAGTCGAAGCTCCTGACTTGTTTGAATGGGATCACGGGATAGCTCTGCATGCACTGCAGGGGAATGGGGCCTCATCTCGCCTCAAGGGGGAAGTCTCATGGTTTTTCTCGAGTTGCGGCGGGGACCTGGCGTATGTTCTCGACTTACGGCGGGGATGGCCCTTCAAAACACGAGTTTCTTCAGTGACGTGAGGACTCCTGTCTAGTAACGAGGGACACCTCAGGAATCTCTTCGAGGCTTGGCAGGGCAAAAGGGACGCTTCTTGAAGTGAGGCAGGGCACCCAAGGACCCTTTCCCGTAGCCACAGGGATTTTGGGATTCCTATCAGTATTCAAGAGGAGTCAGGCATCGTCACCTTTTGAAGCAATGAACTCCGCGTGCCTCTCGAGGTGTCAGCGGGATGTGAGGCATTCCGTCAAAATGAGGCAGGGACCTAGGGCTTTCTCTAAGGTCTCCACAGGGGATTCAGACATCCCTTCATGTTGTGAGATGAAAGACGAGCCTGTATTCAAGCCACTGCAAGGAAATGCGGCCTCCTTTCAAGTTAGGGCTTCTCACTGTATATTCCCCTTGAGGCAGCAAACTCGGGGTCCATTCCACATACCTATTGCTGAGAGAAGCCTCCTCCTGAGGTGCTTCTGGAAAGTGGGCATACGTCTTGAGCCTAATCCAGGGAATCAGCTCTCATCTCGAGACAATTTGGGGTACACGGAGCATTCCTCGAGTTGCTGTGCTGAAGTTGGTGTTCCTCTAGACTTGGGACCGTGTTCTCGGGGCATCTCTGGAGTTGCCTGAAGGAAGTCGAGCCACCGGTCGTGTTGAATGGGGAACGGGGAATGGCTCTGGAGTGAATGCAGGGGAATCGGGCCTCATCTCGAGTTGATTTGGGGCACATGGAGCTGCTTTGCGATGCTGGGGTGACCTCAGGGTCCGTCTAGACTGGTGACAGTGTTCTTGGGGACTGTCTCGAGATCCATTAAGCAAGTCGAAGCTCCTGACTTGTTTGAATGGGATCACGGAATAGCTCTGCATGCACTGCAGGGGAATGGGGCCTCATCTCGCCTCTAGGGGGAAGTCTCATGGTTTTTCTCGAGTTGCGGCGGGGACGTGGGGTATGTTCTCGACTTACGGCGGGGATGGCCCTTCAAAACACGAGTTTCTTCAGTGACGTCAGGACTCCTGTCTAGTAACGAGGGACACCTCAGGAATCTCTAAGAGGCTTGGCAGGGCAAAAGGGACGCTTCTCGAGGTGAGGCAGGGCACCCAAGGACCCCTTCCCGTAGCCACAGGGATTTTGGGATTCCTATCAGTATTCAAGAGGAGTCAGGCATCGTCACCTTTTGAAGCAATGAACTCCGCGTGCCTCTCGAGGTGTCAGCGGGATGTGAGGCATTCCGTCAAAATGAGGCAGGGACCTAGGGCTTTCTCTAAGGTCTCCACAGGGAATTCAGACATCCCTTCATGTTGTGAGATGAAAGACGAGCCTGTATTCAAGCCACTGAAAGGAAATCCAGCCTCCTTTCAAGTTAGGGCTTCTCGCTGTATATTCCCCTTGAGGCAGCAAACTCGGGTCCCACCCACATAACTATTGCTAAGAGAAGCCTCCTCCTGAGATGCTTCTGGAAAGTTGGCATAAGTCTTGAGCCTAAGCCAGGGAATCAGCTCTCATCTCGAGACGATTTGGGGTACACAGAGCATTCCTCGAGTTGCTGTGCTGAAGTTGGTGTTCCTCTAGACTTGGGACAGTGTTCTCGGGGCATCTCTGGCGTTGCCTGAAGGAAGTCGAGCCACCGGTCGTGTTGAATGGGGAACGGGGAATGGCTCTGGGGTCAATGCAGGGGAATCGGGCCTCATCTCGAGTTGATTTGGAGCACATGGAGCTGCTTTGCGTTGCTGGGGTGACCTCAGGGTCCGTCTAGACTGGTGACAGTGTTCTTGGGGACTGTCTCGAGATCCATTAAGCAAGTCGAAGCTCCTGACTTGTTTGAATGGGATCATGGGATAGCTCTGCATGCACTGCAAGGGAATGGGGCCTCATCTCGCCTCTAGGGGGAAGTCTCATGGTTTTTCTCGAGTTGCGGCGGGGACCTGGGGTATGTTCTCGACTTACGGCGGGGATGGCCCTTCAAAACACGAGTTTCTTCAGTGACGTCAGGACTTCTGTCTAGTAATGAGGGACACCTCAGGAATCTCTTCGAGGCTTGGCAGGGCAAAAGGGATGCTTCTCGAGGTGAGGCAGGGCACCCAAGGACCCTTTCCAGTAGCCACAGGGATTTTGGGATTCCTATCAGTATTCAAGAGGAGTCAGGCATCGTCACCTTTTGAAGCAATGAACTCCGCGTGCCTCTCGAGGTGTCAGCGGGATGTGAGGCATTCCGTCAAAATGAGGCAGGGACCTAGGGCTTTCTCTAAGGTCTCCACAGGGGATTCAGACATCCCTTCATGTTGTGAGATGAAAGACGAGCCTGTATTCAAGCCACTGCAAGGAAATGCGGCCTCCTTTCAATTTAGGGCTTCTCGCTGTATATTCCCCTTGAGGCAGCAAACTCGGGGTCCCTTCCACATACCTATTGCTGAGAGAAGCCTCCTCCTGAGGTGCTTCTGGAAAGTTGGCATAAGTCTTGAGCCTAAGCCAGGGAATCAGCTCTCATCTCGAGACGATTTGGGGTACACGAAGCATTCCTCGAGTTGCTGTGCTGAAGTTGGTGTTCCTCTAGACTTGGGACCGTGTTCTCGGGGCATCTCTGGAGTTGCCTGAAGGAAGTCGAGCCACCGGTCGTGTTGAATGGGGAACGGGGAATGGCTCTGGAGTCAATGCAGGGGAATCGGGCCTCATCTCGAGTTGATTTGGGGCACATGCAGCTGCTTTGCGTTGCTGGGGTGACCTCAGGGTCCGTCTAGACTGGTGACAGTGTTCTTGGGGACTGTCTCGAGATCCATTAAGCAAGTCGAAGCTCCTGACTTGTTTGAATGGGATCACGGAATAGCTCTGCATGCACTGCAGGGGAATGGGGCCTCATCTCGCCTCTAGGGGGAAGTCTCATGGTTTTTCTCGAGTTGCGGCAGGGACCTGGGGTATGTTCTCGACTTACGGCGGGGATGGCCCTTCAAAACACGAGTTTCTTCAGTGACCTCAGGACTCCTGTCTAGTAACGAGGGACACCTCAGGAATCTCTTCGAGGCTTGGCAGGGCAAAAGGGACGCTTCTCGAGGTGAGGCAGGGCCCCCAAGGACCCTTTCCCGTAGCCACAGGGATTTTGGGATTCCTATCAGTATTCAAGAGGAGTCAGGCATCGTCACCTTTTGAAGCAATGAACTCCGCGTGCCTCTCGAGGTGTCAGCGGGATGTGAGGCATTCCGTCAAAATGAGGCAGGGACCTAGGGCTTTCTCTAAGGTATCCACAGGGGATTCAGACATCCCTTCATGTTGTGAGATGAAAGACGAGCCTGTATTCAAGCCACTGCAAGGAAATCCGGCCTCCTTTCAAGTTATGGCTTCTCGCTGTATATTCCCCTTGAGGCAGCAAACTCGGGGTCCCTTCCACATACCTATTGCTGGGAGAAGCCTCCTCCTGAGGTGCTTCTGGAAAGTTGGCATACGTCTTGAGCCTAAGCCAGGGAATCAGCTCTCATCTCTAGACGATTTGGGGTACACGGAGCATTCCTCAAGTGCTGTGCTGAGGTTGGTGTTCCTCTAGACTTGGGACACTGTTGTCGGGGCATCTCTGGAGTTGCCTGAAGGAAGTCGAGCCACCGGTCGTGTTGAATGGGGAACGGGGAATGGCTCTGGCGTCAATGCAGGCGAATAGGACCTCATCTCGAGTTGATTTGGGGCACATGGAGCTGCTTTGCTTTGCTGGGGTGACCTCAGGGTCCGTCTAGACTGGTGACAGTGTTCTTGGGGACTGTCTCGAGATCCATTAAGCAAGTCGAAGCTCCTGATTGTTGGAATGGGATCACGGAATAGCTCTGCATGCACTGCAGCGGAATGGGACCTCATCTCGCCTCTAGGGGGAAGTCTCATGGTTTTTCTCGAGTTGCGGCGGGGACCTGGGGTATGTTCTCGACTTACGGCGGGGATGGCCCTTCAAAACACGAGTTTCTTCAGTGACGTCAGGACTCCTGTCTAGCAACGATGGACACCTCAGGAATCTCTTCAAGGCTTGGCAAGGCAAAAGGGACGCTTCTCGAGGTGAGGCAGGGCACCCAAGGACCCTTTCCCGTAGCCACAGGGATTTCGGGATTCCTATCAGTATTCAAGAGGAGTCAGGCATCGTCACCTTTTGAAGCAATGAACTCCGCGTGCCTCTCGAGGTGTCAGCGAGATGTGAGGCATTCCGTCAAAATGAGGCAGGGACCTAGGGCTTTCTCTAAGGTCTCCACAGGGGATTCAGACATCCCTTCATGTTGTGAGATGAAAGACGAGCCTGTATTCAAGCCACTGCAAGGAAATCCGGCCCCCTTTCAAGTTAGGGCTTCTCGCTGTAAATTCCCCTTGAGGCAGCAAACTCGGGGTCCCTCCCACATACCTATTGCTGAGAGAAGCCTCCTCCTGAGGTGCTTCAGGAAAGTTGGCATACGTCTTGAACCTAAGCCAGGGAATCAGCTCTCATCTCGAGACGATTTGGGGTACACGAAGCATTCCTCGAGTTGCTGTGCTGAAGTTGGTGTTCCTCTAGACTTGGGACAGTGTTCTCGGGGCATCTCTGGAGTTGCCTGAAGGAAGTCGAGCCACCGGTCGTGTTGAATGGGGAACGGGGAATGGCTCTGGAGTCAATGCAGGGGAATCGGGCCTCATCTCGAGTTGATTTCGGGCACATGGAGCTGCTTTCCGTTGCTGGGGTGACCTCAGGGTCCGTCTAGACTGGTGACAGTGTTCTTGGGGACTCTCTCGAGTTCCATTAAGCAAGTCGAAGCTCCTGACTTGTTTGAATGGGATCACGGAATAGCTCTGCATGCACTCCAGGGGAATGGGGCCTCATCTCGCCTCTAGGGGGAAGTCTCATGGTTTTTCTCGAGTTGCGGCGGGGACCTGGGGTATGTTCTCGACTTACGGCGGGGATGGCCCTTCAAAACACGAGTTTCTTCAGTGACGTCAGGACTCCTGTCTAGTAACGAGGGACACCTCAGGAATCTCTACGAGGCTTGGCAGAGCAAAAGGGACGCTTCTCGAGGTGAGGCAGGGCACCCAAGGACCCTTTCCAGTAGCCACAGCGATTTTGGGATTCCTATCAGTATTCAAGAGGAGTCAGGCATCGTCACCTTTTGAAGCAATGAACTCCGCGTGCCTCTCGAGGTGTCAGCGGGATGTGAGGCATTCCGTCAAAATGAGGCAGGGACCTGGGGCTTTCTCTAAGGTCTCCACAGGGGATTCAGACATCCCTTCATGTTGTGAGATGAAAGACGAGCCTGTATTCAAGCCACTGCAAGGAAATCCGGCCTCCTTTCAAGTTAGGGCTTCTCGCTGTATATTCCCCTTGAGGCAGCAATCTCGGGTCCCACCCACATACCTATTGATGAGAGAAGCCTCCTCCTGAGGTGCTTCTGGAAAGTTGGCATAAGTCTTGAGCCTAAGCCAGGGAATCAGCTCTCATCTCGAGACGATTTGGGGTACACAGAGCATTCCTCGAGTTGCTGTGCTGAAGTTGGTGTTCCTCTAGACTTGGGACAGTGTTCTCGGGGCATCTCTGGAGTTGCCTGAAGGAAGTCGAGTCACCGGTCGTGTTGAATAGGGAACGGGGAATGGCTCTGGGGTCAATGCAGGGGAATCGGGCCTCATCTCGAGTTGATTTGGGGCACATGGAGCTGCTTTGCGTTGCTGGGGTGACCTCAGGGTCCGTCTAGAGTGGTGACAGTGTTCTTCGGGACTGTCTCGAGATCCATTAAGCAAGTCGAAGCTCCTGACTTGTTTGAATGGGATCATGGGATAGCTCTGCATGCACTGCAAGGGAATGGGGCCTCATCTCGCCTCTAGGGGGTAGTCTCATGGTTTTTCTCGAGTTGCGGCGGGGACCTGGGGTATGTTCTCGACTTACGGCGGGGATGGCCCTTCAAAACACGAGTTTCTTCAGTGACGTCAGGACTCCTGTCTAGTAATGAGGGACACCTCAGGAATCTCTTCGAGGCTTGGCAGGGCAAAAGGGACGCTTCTCGAGGTGAGGCAGGGCACCCAAGGACCCTTTCCAGTAGCCACAGGGATTTTGGGATTCCTATCAGTATTCAAGAGGAGTCAGGCATCGTCACCTTTTGAAGCAATGAACTCCGCGTGCCTCTCGAGGTGTCAGCGGGATGTGAGGCATTCCGTCAAAATGAGGCAGGGACCTAGGGCTTTCTCTAAGGTCTCCACAGGGGATTCAGACATCCCTTCATGTTGTGAGATGAAAGACCAGCCTGTATTCAAGCCACTGCAAGGAAATGCGGCCTCCTTTCAAGTTAGGGCTTCTCGCTGTATATTCCCCTTGAGGCAGCAAACTCGGGGTCCCTTCCACATACCTATTGCTGAGAGAAGCCTCCTCCTGAGGTGCTTCTGGAAAGTTGGCATAAGTCTTGAGCCTAAGCCAGGGAATCAGCTCTCATCTCGAGACGATTTGGGGTACACGAAGCATTCCTCGAGTTGCTGTGCTGAAGTTGGTGTTCCTCTAGACTTGGGACCGTGTTCTCGGGGCATCTCTGGAGTTGCCTGAAGGAAGTCGAGCCACCGGTCGTGTTGAATGGGGAACGGGGAATGGCTCTGGAGTCAATGCAGGGGAATCGGGCCTCATCTCGAGTTGATTTGGGGCACATGGAGCTGCTTTGCGTTGCTGGGGTGACCTCAGGGTCCGTCTAGACTGGTGACAGTGTTCTTGGGGACTGTCTCGAGATCCATTAAGCAAGTCGAAGCTCCTGACTTGTTTGAATGGGATCACGGAATAGCTCTGCATGCACTGCAGGGGAATGGGGCCTCATCTCGCCTCTAGGGGGAAGTCTCATGGTTTTACTCTAGTTGCGTCGGGGACTTGGGGTATGTTCTCGACTTACGGCGGGGATGGCCCTTCAAAACACGAGTTTCTTCAGTGACCTCAGGACTCCTGTCTAGTAACGAGGGACACCTCAGGAATCTCTTCGAGGCTTGGCAGGGCAAAAGGGACGCTTCTCGAGGTGAGGCAGGGCCCCCAAGTACCCTTTCCCGTAGCCACAGGGATTTTGGGATTCCTATCAGTATTCAAGAGGAGTCAGGCATCGTCACCTTTTGAAGCAATGAACTCCGCGTGCCTCTCGAGGTGTCAGCGGGATGTGAGGCATTCCGTCAAAATGAGGCAGGGACCTAGGGCTTTCTCTAAGGTATCCACAGGGGATTCAGACATCCCTTCATGTTGTGAGATGAAAGACGAGCCTGTATTCAAGCCACTACAAGGAAATCCGGCCTCCTTTCAAGTTATGGCTTCTCACTGTATATTCCCCTTGAGGCAGCAAACTCGGGGTCCCTCCCACATACCTATTGCTGAGAGAAGCCTCCTCCTGAGGTGCTTCTGGAAAGTTGGCATACGTCTTCAGCCTAAGCCAGGGAATCAGCTCTCATCTCTAGACGATTTGGGGTACACGGAGCATTCCTCAAGTGCTGTGCTGAGGTTGGTGTTCCTCTAGACTTGGGACACTGTTGTCTGGGCATCTCTGGAGTTGCCTGAAGGAAGTCGAGCCACCGGTCGTGTTGAATGGGGAACGGGGATTGGCTCTGGCGTCAATGCATGCGAATGGGACCTCATCTCGAGTTGATTTGGGGCACATGGAGCTGCTTTGCTTTGCTGGGGTGACCTCAGGGTCCGTCGAGACTGGTGACAGTGTTCTTGGGGACTGTCTCGAGATCCATTAAGCAAGTCGAAGCTCCTGACTTGTTGGAATGGGATCACGGAATAGCTCTGCATGCACTGCAGGGGAATGGGACCTCATCTCGCCTCTAGGGGGAAGTCTCATGGTTTTTCTCGAGTTGCGGCGGGGACCTGGGGTATGTTCTCGACTTACGGCGGGGATGGCCCTTCAAAACACGAGTTTCTTCAGTGACGTCAGGACTCCTGTCTAGTAACGAGGGACACCTCAGGAATCTCTTCGAGGCTTGGCAGGGCAAAAGGGACGCTTCTCGAGGTGAGGCAGGGCACCCAAGGACCCTTTCCCGTAGCCACAGGGATTTTGGGATTCCTATCAGTATTCAAGAGGAGTCAGGCATCGTCACCTTTTGAAGCAATGAACTCCGCGAGCCTCTCGAGGTGTCAGCGGGACGTGAGGCATTCCGTCAAAATGAGGCAGGGACCTAAGGCTTTCTCTAAGGTCTCCACAGGGGATTCAGACATCCCTTCATGTTGTGAGATGAAAGACGAGCCTGTATTCAAGCCACTGCAAGGAAATCCGGCCTCCTTTCAAGTTAGGGCTTCTCGCTGTATATTCCCCTTGAGGCAGCAAACTCGGGGTCCCTCCCACATAACTATTGCTGAGAGAAGCCTCCTCCTGAGGTGCTTCTGGAAAGTTGGCATACGTCTTGAGCCTAAGCCAGGGAATCAGCTCTCATCTCGAGACGATTTGGGTTACACGGAGCATTCCTCGAGTTGCTATGCTGAAGTTGGTGTTCCTCTAGACTTGGGACAGTTTTCTCGGGGCATCTCTGGAGTTGCCTGAAGGAAGTCGAGCCACCGGTCGTGTTGAATGGGGAATGGGGAATGTCTCTGGAGTCAATGAAGGGGAATCGGGCCTCATCTCGAGTTGATTTGGTGCACATGGAGCTGCTTTGCGTTGCTTGGGTGACCTCATGGTCCGTCTAGACTGGTGACAGTGTTCTTGGGGACTGTCTCGCGATCCATTAAGCAAGTCGAAGCTCCTGACTTGTTTGAATGGGATCACGGAATAGCTCTGCATGCACTGCAGGGGAATGGGGCCTCATCTCGCCTCAAGGGGGAAGTCTCATGGTTTTTCTCGAGTTGCGGCGGGGACCTGGCGTATGTTCTCGACTTACGGCGGGGATGGCCCTTCAAAACACGAGTTTCTTCAGTGACGTCAGGACTCCTGTCTAGTAACGAGGGACACCTCAGGAATCTCTTCGAGGCTTGGCAGGGCAAAAGGGACGCTTCTCGAAGTGAGGCAGGGCACCCAAGGAGCCTTTCCAGTAGCCACAGGGATTTTGGGATTCCTATCAGTATTCAAGAGGAGTCAGGCATCGTCACCTTTTGAAGCAATGAACTCCGCGTGCCTCTCGAGGTGTCAGCGGGATGTGAGGCATTCCGTCAAAATGAGGCAGGGACCTAGGGCTTTCTCTAAGGTCTCCACAGGGGATTCAGACATCCCTTCATGTTGTGAGATGAAAGACCAGCCTGTATTCAAGCCACTGCAAGGAAATGCGGCCTCCTTTCAAGTTAGGGCTTCTCGCTGTATATTCCCCTTGAGGCAGCAAACTCGGGGTCCCTTCCACATACCTATTGCTGAGAGAAGCCTCCTCCTGAGGTGCTTCTGGAAAGTTGGCATACGTCTTGAGCCTAAGCCAGGGAATCAGCTCTCATCTCGAGACGATGTGGGGTACACGAAGCATTCCTCGAGTTGCTGTGCTGAAGTTGGTGTTCCTCTAGACTTGGGACCGTGTTCTCGGGGCATCTCTGGAGTTGCCTGAAGGAAGTCGAGCCACCGGTCGTGTTGAATGGGGAACGGGGAATGGCTCTGGGGTCAATGCAGGGGAATCGGGCCTCATCTCGAGTTGATTTGGGGCACATGGAGCTGCTTTGCGTTGCTGGGGTGACGTCAGGGTCCGTCTAGAGTGGTGACAGTGTTCTTGGGGACTGTCTCGAGATCCATTAAGCAAGTCGAAGCTCCTGACTTGTTTGAATGGGATCATGGGATAGCTCTGCATGCACTGCAAGGGAATGGGGCCTCATCTCGCCTCTAGGGGGAGGTCTCATGGTTTTTCTCGAGTTGCGGCGGGGACCTGGGGTATGTTCTCGACTTACGGCGGGGATGGCCCTTCAAAACACGAGTTTCTTCAGTGACCTCAGGACTCCTGTCTAGTAACGAGGGACACCTCAGGAATCTCTTCGAGGCTTGGCAGGGCAAAAGGGCCGCTTCTCGAGGTGAGGCAGGGCACCCAAGGACCCTTTCCAGTAGCCACAGGGATTTTGGGATTCCTATCAGTATTCAAGAGGAGTCAGGCATCGTCACCTTTTGAAGCGATGAACTCCGCGTGCCTCTCCAGGTGTCAGCGGGATGTGAGGCATTCCGTCAAAATGAGGCAGGGACCTAGGGCTTTCTCTAAGGTCTCCACAGGGGATTCAGACATCCCTTCATGTTGTGAGATGAAAGACGAGCCTGTATTCAAGCCACTGCAAGGAAATCCGGCCTCCTTTCAAGTTATGGCTTCTCGCTGTATATTCCCCTTGAGGCAGCAAACTCGGGGTCCCTCCCACATACCTATTGCTGGGAGAAGCCTCCTCCTGAGGTGCTTCTGGAAAGTTGGCATACGTCTTGAGCCTAAGCCAGGGAATCAGCTCTCATCTCTAGACGATTTGGGGTACACGGAGCATTCCTCAAGTGCTGTGCTGAGGTTGGTGTTCCTCTAGACTTGGGACACTGTTGTCGGGGCATCTCTGGAGTTGCCTGAAGGAAGTCGAGCCACCGGTCGTGTTGAATGGGGAACGGGGAATGGCTCTGGCGTGAATGCAGGCGAATGGGACCTCATCTCGAGTTGATTTGGGTCACATGGAGCTGCTTTGCTTTGCTGGGGTGACCTCAGGGTCCGTCTAGACTGGTGACAGTGTTCTTGGGGACTGTCTCGAGATCCATTAAGCAAGTCGAAGCTCCTGACTTGTTGGAATGGGATCACGGAATAGCTCTGCATGCACTGCAGGGGAATGGGACCTCATCTCGCCTCTAGGGGGAAGTCTCATGGTTTTTCTCGAATTGCGGCGGGGACCTGGGGTATGTTCTCGACTTACGGCGGGGATGGCCCTTCAAAACACGAGTTTCTTCAGTGACGTCAGGACTCCTGTCTAGTAACGAGGGACACCTCAGGAATCTCTTCGAGGCTTGGCAGGGCAAAAGGGACGCTTCTCGAGGTGAGGCAGGGCACCCAGGGCCCTTTCCCGTAGCCACAGGGATTTTGGGATTCCTATCAGTATTCAAGAGGAGTCAGGCATCGTCACCTTTTGAAGCAATGAACTCCGCGTGCCTCTCGAGGTGTCAGCGGGACGTGAGGCATTCCGTCAAAATGAGGCAGGGACCTAAGGCTTTCTCTAAGGTCTCCACAGGGGATTCAGACATCCCTTCATGTTGTGAGATGAAAGACGAGCCTGTATTCAAGCCACTGCAAGGAAATACGGCCTCCTTTCAAGTCAGGGCTTCTCGCTGTATATTCCCCTTGAGGCAGCAAACTCGGGTCCCACCCACATAACTATTGCTGAGAGAAGCCTCCTCCTGAGGTGCTTCTGGAAAGTTGGCATAAGTCTTGAGCCTAAGCCAGGGAATCAGCTCTCATCTCGAGACGATTTGGGGTACACGAAGCATTCCTCGAGTTGCTGTGCTGAAGTTGGTGTTCCTCTAGACTTGGGACAGTGTTCTCGGGGCATCTCTGGAGTTGCCTGAAGGAAGTCGAGCCACCGGTCGTGTTGAATGGGGAACGGGGAATGGCTCTGGAGTCAATGCAGGGGAATCGGGCCTCATCTCGAGTTGATTTGGGGCATATGGAGCTGCTTTGCGTTGCTGGGGTGACCTCAGGGTCCGTCTAGACTGGTGACAGTGTTCTTGGGGACTGTCTCGAGATCCACTAAGCAAGTCGAAGCTCCTGACTTGTTTGAATGGGATCACGGAATAGCTCTGCATGCACTGCAGGGGAATGGGGCCTCATCTCGCCTCTAGGGGGAAGTCTCATGGTTTTACTCTAGTTGCGGCGGGGACCTGGGGTATGTTCTCGACTTACGGCGGGGATGGCCCTTCAAAATACGAGTTTCTTCAGTGACCTCAGGACTCCTGTCTAGTAACGAGGGACACCTCAGGAATCTCTTCGAGGCTTGGCAGGGCAAAAGGGACGCTTCTCGAGGTGAGGCAGGGCACCCAAGGACCCTTTCCCGTAGCCACAGGGATTTTGGGATTCCTATCAGTATTCAAGAGGAGTCAGGCATCGTCACCTTTTGAAGCAATGAAATCCGCGTGACTCTCGAGGTGTCAGCGGGATGTGAGGCATTCCGTCAAAATGAGGCAGGGACCTAGGGCTTTCTCTAAGGTATCCACAGGGGATTCAGACATCCCTTCATGTTGTGAGATGAAAGACGAGCCTGTATTCAAGCCACTGCAAGGAAATCCGGCCTCCTTTCAAGTTATGGCTTCTCGCTGTATATTCCCCTTGAGTCAGCAAACTCGGGGTCCCTCCCACATACCTATTGCTGGGAGAAGCCTCCTCCTGAGGTGCTTCTGGAAAGTTGGCATACGTCTTGAGCCTAAGCCAGGGAATCAGCTCTCATCTCTAGACGATTTGGGGTACACGGAGCATTCCTCAAGTGCTGTGCTGAGGTTGGTGTTCCTCTAGACTTGGGACACAGTTGTCGGGGCATCTCTGGAGTTGCCTGAAGGAAGTCGAGCCACCGGTCGTGTTGAATGGGGAACGGGGAATGGCTCTGGCGTCAATGCAGGCGAATGGGACCTCATCTCGAGTTGATTTGGGGCACATGGAGCTGCTTTGCTTTGCTGGGGTGACCTCAGGGTCCGTCTAGACTGGTGACAGTGTTCTTGGGGACTGTCTCGAGATCCATTAAGCAAGTCGAAGCTCCTGACTTGTTGGAATGGGATCACGGAATAGCTCTGCATGCACTGCAGGGGAATGGGACCTCATCTCGCCTCTAGGGGGAAGTCTCATGGTTTTTCTCGAGTTGCGGCGGGGACCTGGGGTATGTTCTCGATTTACGGCGGGGATGGCCCTTCAAAACACGAGTTTCCTCAGTGACGTCAGGACTCCTGTCTGGTAACGAGGGACACCTCAGGAATCTCTTCGAGGCTTGGCAAGGCAAAAGGGACGCTTCTCAAGGTGAGGCAGGGCACCCAAGGACCCTTTCCCGTAGCCACAGGGATTTCGGGATTCCTATCAGTATTCAAGAGGAGTCAGGCATCGTCACCTTTTGAAGCAATGAACTCCGCGTGCCTCTCGAGGTGTCAGCGAGATGTGAGGCATTCCGTCAAAATGAGGCAGGGACCTAGGGCTTTCTCTAAGGTCTCCACAGGGGATTCAGACATCCCTTCATGTTGTGAGATGAAAGACGAGCCTGTATTCAAGCCACTGCAAGGAAATCCGCCCCCCTTTCAAGTTAGGGCTTCTTGCTGTAAATTCCCCTTGAGGCAGCAAACTCGGGGTCCCTCCCACATAACTATTGGTGAGAGAAACCTCCTCCTGAGGTGCTTCTGGAAAGTTGGCATACGTCTTGAGCCTAAGCCAGGGAATCAGCTCTCATCTCGAGATGATTTGGGTTACACGGAGCATTCCTCGAGTTGCTGTGCTGAAGTTGGTGTTCCTCTAGACTTGGGACAGTGTTCTCGGGGCATCTCTGGAGTTGCCTGAAGGAAGTCGAGCCACCGGTCGTGTTGAATGGGGAACGGGGAATGGCTCTGGAGTGAATGCAGGGGAATCGGGCCTCATCTCGAGTTGATTTGGGGCACATGGAGCTGCTTTGCGTTGCTGGGGTGACCTCAGGGTCCGTCTAGACTGGTGACAGTGTTCTTGGGGACTGTCTCGAGATCCATTAAGCAAGTCGAAGCTCCTGACTTGTTTGAATGGGATCACGGAATAGCTCTGCATTCACTGCAGGGGAATGGGGCCTCATCTCGCCTCTAGGGGGAAGTCTCATGGTTTTTCTCGAGTTGCGGTGTGGACTTGGGGTATGTTCTCGACTTATGGCGGGGATGGCCCTTCAAAACACGAGTTTCTTCAGTGACGTCAGGACTCGTGTCTAGTAACAAGGGACACCTCAGGAATCTCTGCGAGGCTTGGCAGGGCAAAAGGGACGCTTCTCGAGGTGAGGCAGGGCACCCAAGGACCCTTTCCCGTAGCCACAGGGATTTTGGGATTCCTATCAGTATTCAAGAGGAGTCAGGCATCGTCACCTTTTGAAGCAATGAACTCAGCGTGCCTCTCGAGGTGTCAGCGGGACGTGAGGCATTCCGTCAAAATGAGGCAGGGACCTAGGGCTTTCTCTAAGGTCTCCACAGGGGATTCAGACATCCCTTCATGTTGTGAGATGAAATACGAGCCTGTATTCAAGCCACTGCAAGGAAATCCGGCCTCCTTTCAAGTTAGGGCTTCTCGCTGTATATTCCCCTTGAGGCAGCAAACTCGGGGTCCCTCCCACATAACTATTTCTGAGAGAAGCCTCCTCCTGAGGTGCTTCTGGAAAGTTGGCATACGTCTTGAGCCTAAGCCAGGGAATCAGCTCTCATCTCGAGACGATTTGGGGTACACGGAGCATTCCTCAAGTTGCTGTGCTGAAGTTGGTGTTCCTCTAGACTTGGGTCAGTGTTCTCGGGGCATCTCTGGAGTTGCCTGAAGGAAGTCGAGCCACCGGTCTTGTTGAATGGGGAACGGGGAATGGCTCTGGAGTCAATGCAGGGGAATCGGGCCTCATCTCGAGTTGATTTGGGGCACATGGAGCTGCTTTGCGATGCTGGGGTGACCTCAGGGTCCGTCTAGACTGGTGACAGTGTTCTTGGGGACTGTCTCGAGATCCACTAAGCAAGTCGAAGCTCCTGACTTGTTTGAATGGGATCACGGAATAGCTCTGCATGCACTGCAGGGGAATGGGGCCTCATCTCGCCTCTAGGGGGAAGTCTCATGGTTTTTCTCGAGTTTCGTTGGGGACCTGGGGTATGTTCTCGACTTAGGGCGGGGATGGCCCTTCAAAACACGAGTTTCTTCAGTGACATCAGGACTCCTGTCTAGTAACGAGGGACACTTCAGGAATCTCTACTAGGCTTGGCAGGGCAAAAGGGACGCTTCTCGAGGTGAGGCAGGGTACCCAAGGACGCTTTCCCCTAGCCACAGCGATTTTGGGATTCCTATCAGTATTCAAGAGGAGTCAGGCATCGTCACCTTTTGAAGCAATGAACTCCGCGTGCCTCTCGAGGTGTCAGCGGGATGTGAGGCATTCCGTCAAAATGAGGCAGGGACCTAGGTCTTTCTCTAAGGTCTCCACAGGGGATTCAGACATCCCTTCATGTTGTGAGATGAAAGACGATCCTGTATTCAAGCCACTGCAAGGAAATCCGGCCTCCTTTCAAGTTAGGGCTTCTCGCTGTATATTCCCCTTGAGGCAGCAACCTCGGGTCCCTCCCACATACCTATTGCTGAGAGAAGCCTCCTCCTGAGGTGCTTCTGGAAAGTTGGCATAAGTCTTGAGCCTAAGCCAGGGAATCAGCTCTCATCTCGAGACGATTTGGGGTACACGGAGCATTCCTCAAGTTGCTGTGCTGAAGTTGGTGTTCCTCTAGACTTGGGACAGTGTTCTCGGGGCATCTCTGGAGTTGCCTGAAGGAAGTCGAGCCACCGGTCGTGTTGAATGGGGAACGGGGAATGGCTCTGGAGTGAAGGCAGGGGAATCGGGCCTCATCTCGAGTTGATTTGGGGCACATGGAGCTGCTTTGCGTTGCTGGGGTGACCTCAGGGTCCGTCTAGACTGGTGACAGTGTTCTTGGGGACTGTCTCGAGATCCACTAAGCAAGTCGAAGCTCCTGACTTGTTTGAATGGGATCACGGGATAGCTCTGCATGCACTGCAGGGGAATGGGGCCTCATCTCGCCTCAAGGGGGAAGTCTCATGGTTTTTCTCGAGTTGCAGCGGGGACCTGGCGTATGTTCTCGACTTACGGCGGGGATGGCCCTTCAAAACACGAGTTTCTTCAGTGACGTCAGGACTCCTGTCTAGTAACGAGAGACACCTCAGGAATCTCTTCGAGGCTTGGCAGGGCAAAAGGGACGCTTCTTGAAGTGAGGCAGGGCACCCAAGGACCCTTTCCCGTAGCCACAGGGATTTTGGGATTCCTATCAGTATTCAAGAGGAGTCAGGCATCGTCACCTTTTGAAGCAATGAACTCCGCGTGCCTCTCGAGGTGTCAGCGGGATGTGAGGCATTCCGTCAAAATGAGGCAGGGACCTAGGGCTTTCTCTAAGGTCTCCACAGGGGATTCAGACATCCCTTCATGTTGTGAGATGAAAGACGAGCCTGTATTCAAGCCACTGCAAGGAAATGCGGCCTCCTTTCAAGTTAGGGCTTCTCGCTGTATATTCCCCTTGAGGCAGCAAACTCGGGGTCCCTTTCACATACCTATTGCTGAGAGAAGCCTCCTCCTGAGGTGCTTCTGGAAAGTTGGCATAAGTCTTGAGCCTAAGCCAGGGAATCAGCTCTCATCTCGAGACGATTTGGGGTACACGAAGCATTCCTCGAGTTGCTGTGCTGAAGTTGGTGTTCCTCTAGACTTGGGACCGTGTTCTCGGGGCATCTCTGGAGTTGCCTGAAGGAAGTCGAGCCACTGGTCGTGTTGAATGGGGAACGGGGAATGGCTCTGGAGTCAATGCAGGGGAATCGGGCCTCATCTCGAGTTGATTTGGGGGACATGCAGCTGCTTTGCGTTGCTGGGGTGACCTCAGGGTCCGTCTAGACTGGTGACAGTGTTCTTGGGGACTGTCTCGAGATCCATTAAGCAAGTTGAAGCTCCTGACTTGTTTGAATGCGATCACGGAATAGCTCTGCATGCACTGCAGGGGAATGGGGCCTCATCTCGCCTCTAGGGGGAAGTCTCATGGTTTTTCTCGAGTTGCGGCAGGGACCTGGGGTATGTTCTCGACTTACGGCGGGGATGGCCCTTCAAAACACGAGTTTCCTCAGTGACCTCAGGACTCCTGTCTAGTAACGAGGGACACCTCAGGAATCTCTTCGAGGCTTGGCAGGGCAAAAGGGACGCTTCTCGAGGTGAGGCAGGGCCCCCAAGGACCCTTTCCCGTAGCCACAGGGATTTTGGGATTCCTATCAGTATTCAAGAGGAGTCAGGCATCGTCACCTTTTGAAGCAATGAACTCCGCGTGCCTCTCGAGGTGTCAGCGGGATGTGAGGCATTCCGTCAAAATGAGGCAGGGACCTAGGGCTTTCTCTAAGGTATCCACAGGGGATTCAGACATCCCTTCATGTTGTGAGATGAAAGACGAGCCTGTATTCAAGCCACTGCAAGGAAATCCGGCCTCCTTTCAAGTTATGGCTTCTCGCTGTATATTCCCCTTGAGGCAGCAAACTCGGGGTCCCTCCCACATACCTATTGCTGGGAGAAGCCTCCTCCTGAGGTGCTTCTGGAAAGTTGGCATACGTCTTGAGCCTAAGCCAGGGAATCAGCTCTCATCTCTAGACGATTTGGGGTACACGGAGCATTCCTCAAGTGCTGTGCTGAGGTTGGTGTTCCTCTAGACTTGGGACACTGTTGTCGGGGCATCTCTGGAGTTGCCTGAAGGAAGTCGAGCCACCGGTCGTGTTGAATGGGGAACGGGGAATGGCTCTGGCGTCAATGCAGGCGAATGGGACCTCATCTCGAGTTGATTTGGGGCACATGGAGCTGCTTTGCTTTTCTGGGGTGACCTCAGGGTCCGTCTAGACTGGTGACAGTGTTCTTGGGGACTGTCTCGAGATCCATTAAGCAAGTCGAAGCTCCTGACTTGTTGGAATGGGATCACGGAATAGCTCTGCATGCACTGCAGCGGAATGGGACCTCATCTCGCCTCTAGGGGGAAGTCTCATGGTTTTTCTCGAGTTGCGGCGGGGACCTGGGGTATGTTCTCGACTTACGGCGGGGATGGCCCTTCAAAACACGAGTTTCTTCAGTGACGTCAGGACTCCTGTCTAGCAACGATGGACACCTCAGGAATCTCTTCGAGGCTTGGCAAGGCAAAAGGGACGCTTCTCGAGGTGAGGGAGGGCACCCAAGGACCCTTTCCCGTAGCCACAGGGATTTCGGGATTCCTATCAGTATTCAAGAGGAGTCAGGCATCGTCACGTTTTGAAGCAATGAACTCCGCGTGCCTCTCGAGGTGTCAGCGAGATGTGAGGCATTCCGTCAAAATGAGGCAGGGACCTAGGGCTTTCTCTATGGTCTCCACAGGGGATTCAGACATCCCTTCATGTTGTGAGATGAAAGACGAGCCTTTATTCAAGCCACTGCAAGGAAATCCGGCCCCCTTTCAAGTTAGGGCTTCTCGCTGTAAATTCCCCTTGAGGCAGCAAACTCGGGGTCCCTCCCACATACCTATTGCTGAGAGAAGCCTCCTCCTGAGGTGCTTCTGGAAAGTTGGCATACGTCTTGAACCTAAGCCAGGGAATCAGCTCTCATCTCGAGACGATTTGGGGTACACGAAGCATTCCTCGAGTTGCTGTGCTGAAGTTGGTGTTCCTCTAGACTTGGGACAGTGTTCTCGGGGCATCTCTGGAGTTGCCTGAAGGAAGTCGAGCCACCGGTCGTGTTGAATGGGGAACGGGGAATGGCTCTGGAGTCAATGCAGGGGAATCGGGCCTCATCTCGAGTTGATTTGGGGCACATGGAGCTGCTTTCCGTTGCTGGGGTGACCTCAGGGTCCGTCTAGACTGGTGACAGTGTTCTTGGGGACTCTCTCGAGTTCCATTAAGCAAGTCGAAGCTCCTGACTTGTTTGAATGGGATCACGGAATAGCTCTGCATGCACTGCAGGGGAATGGGGCCTCATCTCGCCTCTAGGGGGAAGTCTCATGGTTTTTCTCGAGTTGCGGCGGGGACCTGGGGTATGTTCTCGACTTACGGCGGGGATGGCCCTTCAAAACACGAGTTTCTTCAGTGACGTCAGGACTCCTGTCTAGTAACGAGGGACACCTCAGGAATCTCTACGAGGCTTGGCAGAGCAAAAGGGACGCTTCTCGAGGTGAGGCAGGGCATCCAAGGACCCTTTCCAGTAGCCACAGCGATTTTGGGATTCCTATCAGTATTCAAGAGGAGTCAGGCATCGTCACCTTTTGAAGCAATGAACTCCGCGTGCCTCTCGAGGTGTCAGCGGGATGTGAGGCATTCCGTCAAAATGAGGCAGGGATCTGGGGCTTTCTCTAAGGTCTCCACAGGGGATTCAGACATCTCTTCATGTTGTGAGATGAAAGACGAGCCTGTATTCAAGCCACTGCAAGGAAATCCGGCCTCCTTTCAAGTTAGGGCTTCTCGCTGTATATTCCCCTTGAGGCAGCAATCTCGGGTCCCACCCACATACCTATTGATGAGAGAAGCCTCCTCCTGAGGTGCTTCTGGAAAGTTGGCATAAGTCTTGAGCCTAAGCCAGGGAATCAGCTCTCATCTCGAGACGATTTGGGGTACACAGAGCATTCCTCGAGTTGCTGTGCTGAAGTTGGTGTTCCTCTAGACTTGGGACAGTGTTCTCGGGGCATCTCTGGAGTTGCCTGAAGGAAGTCGAGTCACCGGTCGTGTTGAATGGGGAACAGGGAATGGCTCTGGGGTCAATGCAGGGGAATCGGGCCTCATCTCGAGTTGATTTGGGGCACATGGAGCTGCTTTGCGTTGCTGGGGTGACCTCAGGGTTCGTCTAGAGTGGTGACAGTGTTCTTCGGGACTGTCTCGAGATCCATTAAGCAAGTCGAAGCTCCTGACTTGTTTGAATGGGATCATGGGATAGCTCTGCATGCACTGCAAGGGAATGGGGCCTCATCTCGCCTCAAGGGGGAAGTCTCATGGTTTTTCTCGAGTTCAGGCGGGGACCTGGGGTATGTTCTCGACTTACGGCGGGGATGGCCCTTCAAAACACGAGTTTCTTCAGTGACCTCAGGACTACTGTCTTGTAACGAGGGACACCTCAGGAATCTCTTCGAGGCTTGGCAGGGCAAAAGGGACGCTTCTCGAGGTGAGGCAGGGCACCCAAAGACCCTTTCCAGTAGCCACAGGGATTTTGGGAGTCCTATCATTATTCAAGAGGAGTCAGGCATCGTCACCTTTTGAAGCAATTTACTCCGCGTGCCTCTCGAGGTGTCAGCGGGATGTGAGGCATTCCGTCAAAATGAGGCAGGGACTTAGGGCCTTCTCTACGGTCTCCACAGGGGATTCAGACATCCCTTCATGTTGTGAGATGAAAGACGAGCCTGTATTCAAGCCACTGCAAGGTATTCCGGCCTCCTTTCAAGTTAGGGCTTCTCGCTGTATATTCCCCTTGAGGCAGCAAACTCGGGGTCCCTTCCACATACCTATTGCTGAGAGAAGCCTCCTCCTGAGGTGCTTCTGGAAAGTTGGCATACGTCTTGAGCCTAAGCCAGGGAATCAGCTCTCATCTCGAGACGATTTGGGGTACACGGAGCATTCCTCAAGTTGCTGTGCTGAAGTTGGTGTTCCTCTAGACTTGGGACAGTGTTCTCGGGGCATCTCTGGAGTTGCCTGAGGGAAGTCGAGCCACCGGTCGTGTTGAATGGGGAACGGGGAATGGCTCTGGAGTCAATGCATGGGAATCGGGCCTCATCTCGAGTTGATTTGGGGCACATGGAGCTGCTTTGCGTTGCTGGGTTGACCTTACGGTCCGTCTAGACTGGTGACAGTGTTCTTGGGGATTGTCTCGAGATCCATTAAGCAAGTCGAAGCTCCTGACTTGTTTGAATGGGATCACGGAATAGCTCTGCATGCACTGCAGGGGAATGGGGCCTCATCTCGCCTCTAGGGGGAAGTCTCATGGTTTTTCTCGAGTTGCGGCGGGGACCTGGGGTATGTTCTCGACTTACGGCGGGGATGGCCCTTCAAAACACGAGTTTCTTCAGTGACGTCAGGACTCCTGTCTAGTAACGAGGGACACCTCAGGAATCTCTAAGAGGCTTGGCAGGGCAAAAGGGACGCTTCTCGAGGTGAGGCAGGGCACCCAAGGACGCTTTCCCCTAGCCACAGGGATTTTGGGATTCCTATCAGTATTCAAGAGGAGTCAGGCATCGTCACCTTTTGAAGCAATGAACTCCGCGTGCCTCTCGAGGTGTCAGCGGGATGTGAGGCATTCCGTCAAAATGAGGCAGGGAACTAGGGCTTTCTCTAAGGTCTCCACAGGGGATTCAGACATCCCTTCATGTTGTGAGATGAAAGACGAGCCTGTATTCAAGCCACTGCAAGGAAATCCGGCCTCCTTTCAAGTTAGGGCTTCTCGCTGTATATTCCCCTTGAGGCACAAACTCGGGGTCCCTCCCACATACTTATTGCTGAGAGAAGCCTCCTCCTGAGGTGCTTCTGGAAAGTTGGCATACGTCTTGAGCGTTGGCCAGGGAATCAGCTCTCATCTCGAGACGATTTGGGTTACACGAAGAATTCGTCGAGTTGCTGTGCTGAAGTTGGTGTTCCTCTAGACTTGGGACAGTGTTCTCGGGGCATCTCTGGAGTTGCCTGAAGGAAGTCGAGCCACCGGTCGTGTTGAATGGGGAACGGGGAATGGCTCTGGAGTCAATGCAGGGGAATCGGGCCTCATCTCGAGTTGATTTGGGGCACATGGAGCTGCTTTGCGTTGCTGGGGTGACTTCAGGGTCCGTCTAGACTGGTGACAGTGTTCTTGGGGACTGTCTCGAGATACATTAAGCAAGTCGAAACTCCTGACTTGTTTGAATGGGATCACAGAATAGCTCTGCATGCACTGCATTGGAATGGGGCCTCATCTCGCCTCTAGGGGGAAGTCTCATGGTTTTTCTCGAGTTGCGGCGGGGACCTGGTGTATGTTCTCGACTTACGGCGGGGATGGCCCTTCAAAACACGAGTTTCTTCAGTGACGTCAGGACTCCTGTCTAGTAACGACGGACACCTCAGGAATCTCTAAGAGGCTTGGCAGGGCAAAAGGGACGCTTCTCGAGGTGAGTCAGGGCACCCAAGGACGCTTTCCCCTAGCCACAGGGATTTTGGGATTCCTATCAGTATTCAAGAGGAGTCAGGCATCGTCACCTTTTGAAGCAATGAACTCCGCGTGCCTCTCGAGGTGTCAGCGGGATGTGAGGCATTCCGTCAAAATGAGGCAGGGACCTAGGTCTTTCTCTAAGGTCTCCACAGGGGATTCAGACATCCCTTCATGTTGTGAGATGAAAGACGAGCCTGTATTCAAGCCACTGCAAGGAAATCCGGCCTCCTTTCAAGTTAGGGCTTCTCGCTGTATATTCCCCTTGAGGCAGCAAACTCGGGTCCCTCCCACATACTTTTTGCTGAGAGAAGCCTCCTCCTGAGGTGCTTCTGGAAAGTTGGCATACGTCTTGAGCCTAAGCCAGGGAATCAGCTCTCATCTCGAGACGATTTGGGGTACACGGAGCATTCCTCAAGTTGCTGTGCTGAAGTTGGTGTTCCTCTAGACTTGGGACAGTGTTCTCGGGGCATCTCTGGAGTTGCCTGAAGGAAGTCGAGCCACCGGTCTTGTTGAATGGGGAACGGGGAATGGCTCTGGAGTCAATGCAGGGGAATCGGGCCTCATCTCGAGTTGATTCGGGGCACATGGAGCTGCTTTGCGTTGCTGGGGTGACCTCAGGGTCCGTCTAGACTCGTGACAGTGTTCTTGGGGACTGTCTCGAGATCCATTAAGCAAGTCGAAGCTCCTGACTTGTTTGAATGGGATCACGGGATAGCTCTGCATGCACTGCAGGGGAATGGGGCCTCATCTCGCCTCAAGGGGGAAGTCTCATGGTTTTTCTCGAGTTGCGGCGGGGACCTGGGGTATGTTCTCGACTTACGGCGGGGATGGCCCTTCAAAACACGAGTTTCTTAAGTGACCTCAGGACTCCTGTCTTGTAACGAGGGACACCTCAGGAATCTCTACGAGGCTTGGCAGGGCAAAAGGGACGCTTCTCGAGGTGAGGCAGGGTACCCAAGGACCCTTTCCAGTAGCCACAGGGATTTTGGGATTCCTATCAGTATTCAAGATGAGTCAGGCATCGTCACCTTTTGAAGCAATGAACTCCGCGTGCCTCTCGAGGTGTCAGTGGGATGTGAGGCATTCCGTCAAAATGAGGCAGGGACCTAGGGCTTTCTCTAAGGTCTCCACAGGGGATTCAGACATCCCTTCATGTTGTGAGATGAAAGACGAGCCTGTATTCAAGCCACTGCAAGGAAATGCGGCCTCCTTTCAAGTTAGGGCTTCTCGCTGTATATTCCCCTTGAGGCAGCAAACTCGGGGTCCCTTCCACATACCTAATGCTGAGAGAAGCCTCCTCCTGAGGTGCTTCTGGAAAGTTGGCATACGTCTTGAGCCTAATCCAGGGAATCAGCTCTCATCTCGAGACAATTTGGGGTACACGGAGCATTCCTCGAGTTGCTGTGCTGAAGTTGGTGTTCCTCTAGACTTGGGACAGTGTTCTCGGGGCATCTCTGGACTTGCCTGAAGGAAGTCGAGCCACCGGTCGTGTTGAATGGGGAACGGGGAATGGCTCTGGAGTGAATGCAGGGGAATCGGGCCTCATCTCGAGTTGATTTGGGGCACATGGAGCTGCTTTGCGTTGCTGGGGTAACCTCAGGGTCCGTCTAGACTGGTGACAGTGTTCTTGGGGACTGTCTCGAGATCCATTAAGCAAGTCGAAGCTCCTGACTTGTTTGAATGGGATCACGGAATAGCTCTGCATGCACTGCAGGGGAATGGGGCCTCATCTCGCCTCTAGGGGGAAGTCTCATGGTTTTTCTCGAGTTTCGTTGGGGACCTGGGGTATGTTCTCGACTTAGGGCGGGGATGGCCGTTCAAAACACGAGTTTCTTCAGTGACGTCAGGACTCCTGTCTAGTAACGAGGGACACTTCAGGAATCTCTACGAGGCTTGGCAGGGCAAAAGGGACGCTTCTCGAGGTGAGGCAGGGTACCCAAGGACGCTTTCCCCTAGCCACAGCGATTTTGGGATTCCTATCAGTATTCAAGAGGAGTCAGGCATCGTCACCTTTTGAAGCAATGAACTCCGCGTGCCTCTCGAGGTGTCAGCGGGATGTGAGGCATTCCGTCAAAATGAGGCAGGGACCTAGGTCTTTCTCTAAGGTCTCCACAGGGTATTCAGACATCCCTTCATGTTGTGAGATGAAAGACGAGCCTGTATTCAGCCACTGCAAGGAAATCCGGCCTCCTTTCAAGTTAGGGCTTCTCGCTGTATATTCCCCTTGAGGCAGCAACCTCGGGTCCCTCCCACATACCTATTGCTGAGAGAAGCCTCCTCCTGAGGTGCTTCTGGAAAGTTGGCATACGTCTTGAGCCTAAGCCAGGGAATCAGCTCTCATCTCGAGACGATTTGGGGTACACGGAGCATTCCTCAAGTTGCTGTGCTGAAGTTGGTGTTCCTCTAGACTTGGGACAGTGTTCTCGGGGCATCTCTGGAGTTGCCTGAAGGAAGTCGAGCCACCGGTCTTGTTGAATGGGGAACGGGGAATGGCTCTGGAGTCAATGCAGGGGAATCGGGCCTCATCTCGAGTTGATGCGGGGCACATGGAGCTGCTTTGCGTTGCTGGGGTGACCTCAGGGTCCGTCTAGACTCGTGACAGTGTTCTTGGGGACTGTCTCGAGATCCATTAAGCAAGTCGAAGCTCCTGACTTGTTTGAATGGGATCACGGGATAGCTCTGCATGCACTGCAGGGGAATGGGGCCTCATCTCGCCTCAAGGGGGAAGTCTCATGGTTTTTCTCGAGTTGCGGCGGGGACCTGGGGTATGTTCTCGACTTACGGCGGGGATGGCCCTTCAAAACACGAGTTTCTTAAGTGACCTCAGGACTCCTGTCTTGTAACGAGGGACACCTCAGGAATCTCTACGAGGCTTGGCAGGGCAAAAGGGACGCTTCTCGAGGTGAGGCAGGGTACCCAAGGACCCTTTCCAGTAGCCACAGGGATTTTGGGATTCCTATCAGTATTCAAGATGAGTCAGGCATCGTCACCTTTTGAAGCAATGAACTCCGCGTGCCTCTCGAGGTGTCAGTGGGATGTGAGGCATTCCGTCAAAATGAGGCAGGGACCTAGGGCTTTCTCTAAGGTCTCCACAGGGGATTCAGACATCCCTTCATGTTGTGAGATGAAAGACGAGCCTGTATTCAAGCCACTGCAAGGAAATGCGGCCTCCTTTCAAGTTAGGGCTTCTCGCTGTATATTCCCCTTGAGGCAGCAAACTCGGGGTCCCTTCCACATACCTATTGCTGAGAGAAGCCTCCTCCTGAGGTGCTTCTGGAAAGTTGGCATACGTCTTGAGCCTAATCCAGGGAATCAGCTCTCATCTCGAGACAATTTGGGGTACACGGAGCATTCCTCGAGTTGCTGTGCTGAAGTTGGTGTTCCTCTAGACTTGGGACAGTGTTCTCGGGGCATCTCTGGAGTTGCCTGAAGGAAGTCGAGCCACCGGTCGTGTTGAATGGGGAACGGGGAATGGCTCTGGAGTGAATGCAGGGGAATCGGGCCTCATCTCGAGTTGATTTGGGGCACATGGAGCTGCTTTGCGTTGCTGGGGTAACCTCAGGGTCCGTCTAGACTGGTGACAGTGTTCTTGGGGACTGTCTCGAGATCCATTAAGCAAGTCGAAGCTCCTGACTTGTTTGAATGGGATCACGGAATAGCTCTGCATGCACTGCAGGGGAATGGGGCCTCATCTCGCCTCTAGGGGGAAGTCTCATGGTTTTTCTCGAGTTTCGTTGGGGACCTGGGGTATGTTCTCGACTTAGGGCGGGGATGGCCCTTCAAAACACGAGTTTCTTCAGTGACGTCAGGACTCCTGTCTAGTAACGAGGGACACTTCAGGAATCTCTACGAGGCTTGGCAGGGCAAAAGGGACGCTTCTCGAGGTGAGGCAGGGTACCCAAGGACGCTTTCCCATAGCCACAGCGATTTTGGGATTCCTATCAGTATTCAAGAGGAGTCAGGCCTCGTCACCTTTTGAAGCAATGAACTCCGCGTGCCTTTCGTGGTGTCAGCGGGATGTGAGGCATTCCGTCAAAATGAGGCAGGGACCTAGGTCTTTCTCTAAGGTCTCCACAGGGGATTCAGACATCCCTTCATGTTGTGAGATGAAAGACGAGCCTGTATTCAAGCCACTGCAAGGAAATCCGGCCTCCTTTCAAGTTAGGGCTTCTCGCTGTATATTCCCCTTGAGGCAGCAACCTCGGGTCCCTCCCACATACATATTGCTGAGAGAAGCCTCCTCCTGAGGTGCTTCTGGAAAGTTGGCATAAGTCTTGAGCCTAAGCCAGGGAATCAGCTCTCATCTCGAGACGATTTGGGGTACACGGAGCATTCCTCAAGTTGCTGTGCTGAAGTTGGTGTTCCTCTAGACTTGGGACAGTGTTCTCGGGGCATCTCTGGAGTTGCCTGAAGGAAGTCGAGCCACCGGTCGTGTTGAATGGGGAACGGGGAATGGCTCTGGAGTGAAGGCAGGGGAATCGGGCCTCATCTCGAGTTGATTTGGGGCACATGGAGCTGCTTTGCGTTGCTGGGGTGACCTCAGGGTCCGTCTAGACTGGTGACAGTGTTCTTGGGGACTGTCTCGAGATCCACTAAGCAAGTCGAAGCTCCTGACTTGTTTGAATGGGATCACGGGATAGCTCTGCATGCACTGCAGGGGAATGGGGCCTCATCTTGCCTCAAGGGGGAAGTCTCATGGTTTTTCTCGAGTTGCGGCGGGGACCTGGCGTATGTTCTCGACTTACGGCGGGGATGGCCCTTCAAAACACGAGTTTCTTCAGTGACGTCAGGACTCCTGTCTAGTAACGAGGGACACCTCAGGAATCTCTTCGAGGCTTGGCAGGGCAAAAGGGACGCTTCTTGAAGTGAGGCAGGGCACCCAAGGACCCTTTCCCGTAGCCACAGGGATTTTGGGATTCCTATCAGTATTCAAGAGGAGTCAGGCATCGTCACCTTTTGAAGCAATGAACTCCGCGTGCCTCTCGAGGTGTCAGCGGGATGTGAGGCATTCCGTCAAAATGAGGCAGGGACCTAGGGCTTTCTCTAAGGTCTCCACAGGGGATTCAGACATCCCTTCATGTTGTGAGATGAAAGACGAGCCTGTATTCAAGCCACTGCAAGGAAATGCGGCCTCCTTTCAAGTTAGGGCTTCTCGCTGTATATTCCCCTTGAGGCAGCAAACTCGGGGTCCCTTCCACATACCTATTGCTGAGAGAAGCCTCCTCCTGAGGTGCTTCTGGAAAGTTGGCATACGTCTTGAGCCTAATCCAGGGAATCAGCTCTCATCTCGAGACAATTTGGGGTACACGGAGCATTCCTCGAGTTGCTGTGCTGAAGTTGGTGTTCCTCTAGACTTGGGACAGTGTTCTCGGGGCATCTCTGGAGTTGCCTGAAGGAAGTCGAGCCACCGGTCGTGTTGAATGGGGAACGGGGAATGGCTCTGGAGTCAATGCAGGGGAATCGGGCCTCATCTCGAGTTGATTTGGGGCACATGGAGCTGCTTTGCGTTGCTGGGGTAACCTCAGGGTCCGTCTAGACTGGTGACAGTGTTCTTGGGGACTGTCTCGAGATCCATTAAGCAAGTCGAAGCTCCTGACTTGTTTGAATGGGATCACGGAATAGCTCTGCATGCACTGCAGGGGAATGGGGCCTCATCTCGCCTCTAGGGGGAAGTCTCATGGTTTTTCTCGAGTTTCGTTGGGGACCTGGGGTATGTTCTCGACTTAGGGCGGGGATGGCCGTTCAAAACACGAGTTTCTTCAGTGACGTCAGGACTCCTGTCTAGTAACGAGGGACACTTCAGGAATCTCTACGAGGCTTGGCAGGGCAAAAGGGACGCTTCTCGAGGTGAGGCAGGGTACCCAAGGACGCTTTCCCCTAGCCACAGCGATTTTGGGATTCCTATCAGTATTCAAGAGGAGTCAGGCATCGTCACCTTTTGAAGCAATGAACTCCGCGTGCCTCTCGAGGTGTCAGCGGGATGTGAGGCATTCCGTCAAAATGAGGCAGGGACCTAGGTCTTTCTCTAAGGTCTCCACAGGGGATTCAGACATCCCTTCATGTTGTGAGATGAAAGACGAGCCTGTATTCAGCCACTGCAAGGAAATCCGGCCTCCTTTCAAGTTAGGGCTTCTCGCTGTATATTCCCCTTGAGGCAGCAACCTCGGGTCCCTCCCACATACCTATTGCTGAGAGAAGCCTCCTCCTGAGGTGCTTCTGGAAAGTTGGCATACGTCTTGAGCCTAAGCCAGGGAATCAGCTCTCATCTCGAGACGATTTGGGGTACACGGAGCATTCCTCAAGTTGCTGTGCTGAAGTTGGTGTTCCTCTAGACTTGGGACAGTGTTCTCGGGGCATCTCTGGAGTTGCCTGAAGGAAGTCGAGCCACCGGTCTTGTTGAATGGGGAACGGGGAATGGCTCTGGAGTCAATGCAGGGGAATCGGGCCTCATCTCGAGTTGATTCGGGGCACATGGAGCTGCTTTGCGTTGCTGGGGTGACCTCAGGGTCCGTCTAGACTCGTGACAGTGTTCTTGGGGACTGTCTCGAGATCCATTAAGCAAGTCGAAGCTCCTGACTTGTTTGAATGGGATCACGGGATAGCTCTGCATGCACTGCAGGGGAATGGGGCCTCATCTCGCCTCAAGGGGGAAGTCTCATGGTTTTTCTCGAGTTGCGGCGGGGACCTGGGGTATGTTCTCGACTTACGGCGGGGATGGCCCTTCAAAACACGAGTTTCTTCAGTGACGTCAGGACTCCTGTCTAGTAACGAGGGACACTTCAGGAATCTCTACGAGGCTTGGCAGGGCAAAAGGGACGCTTCTCGAGGTGAGGCAGGGTACCCAAGGACGCTTTCCCATAGCCACAGCGATTTTGGGATTCCTATCAGTATTCAAGAGGAGTCAGGCCTCGTCACCTTTTGAAGCAATGAACTCCGCGTGCCTCTCGTGGTGTCAGCGGGATGTGAGGCATTCCGTCAAAATGAGGCAGGGACCTAGGTCTTTCTCTAAGGTCTCCACAGGGGATTCAGACATCCCTTCATGTTGTGAGATGAAAGACGAGCCTGTATTCAAGCCACTGCAAGGAAATCCGGCCTCCTTTCAAGTTAGGGCTTCTCGCTGTATATTCCCCTTGAGGCAGCAACCTCGGGTCCCTCCCACATACCTATTGCTGAGAGAAGCCTCCTCCTGAGGTGCTTCTGGAAAGTTGGCATAAGTCTTGAGCCTAAGCCAGGGAATCAGCTCTCATCTCGAGACGATTTGGGGTACACGGAGCATTCCTCAAGTTGCTGTGCTGAAGTTGGTGTTCCTCTAGACTTGGGACAGTGTTCTCGGGGCATCTCTGGAGTTGCCTGAAGGAAGTCGAGCCACCGGTCGTGTTGAATGGGGAACGGGGAATGGCTCTGGAGTGAAGGCAGGGGAATCGGGCCTCATCTCGAGTTGATTTGGGGCACATGGAGCTGCTTTGCGTTGCTGGGGTGACCTCAGGGTCCGTCTAGACTGGTGACAGTGTTCTTGGGGACTGTCTCGAGATCCACTAAGCAAGTCGAAGCTCCTGACTTGTTTGAATGGGATCACGGGATAGCTCTGCATGCACTGCAGGGGAATGGGGCCTCATCTCGCCTCAAGGGGGAAGTCTCATGGTTTTTCTCGAGTTGCGGCGGGGACCTGGCATATGTTCTCGACTTATGGCGGGGATGGCCCTTCAAAACACGAGTTTCTTCAGTGACGTCAGGACTCCTGTCTAGTAACGAGGGACACCTCAGGAATCTCTTCGAGGCTTGGCAGGGCAAAAGGGACGCTTCTTCAAGTGAGGCAGGGCACCCAAGGACCCTTTCCCGTAGCCACAGGGATTTTGGGATTCCTATCAGTATTCAAGAGGAGTCAGGCATCGTCACCTTTTGAAGCAATGAACTCCGCGTGCCTCTCGAGGTGTCAGCGGGATGTGAGGCATTCCGTCAAAATGAGGCAGGGACCTAGGGCTTTCTCTAAGGTCTCCACAGGGGATTCAGACATCCCTTCATGTTGTGAGATGAAAGACGAGCCTGTATTCAAGCCACTGCAAGGAAATGCGGCCTCCTTTCAAGTTAGGGCTTCTCGCTGTATATTCCCCTTGAGGCAGCAAACTCGGGGTCCCTTCCACATACCTATTGCTGAGAGAAGCCTCCTCCTGAGGTGCTTCTGGAAAGTTGGCATACGTCTTGAGCCTAATCCAGGGAATCAGCTCTCATCTCGAGACAATTTGGGATACACGGAGCATTCCTCGAGTTGCTGTGCTGAAGTTGGTGTTCCTCTAGACTTGGGACAGTGTTCTCGGGGCATCTCTGGAGTTGCCTGAAGGAAGTCGAGCCACCGGTCGTGTTGAATGGGGAACGGGGAATGGCTCTGGAGTGAATGCAGGGGAATCGGGCCTCATCTCGAGTTGATTTGGGGCACATGGAGCTGCTTTGCGATGCTGGGGTGACCTCAGGGTCCGTCTAGACTGGTGACAGTGTTCTTGGGGACTGTCTCGAGATCCATTAAGCAAGTCGAAGCTCCTGACTTGTTTGAATGGGATCACGGAATAGCTCTGCATGCACTGCAGGGGAATGGGGCCTCATCTCGCCTCTAGGGGGAAGTCACATGGTTTTTCTCGAGTTGCGGCGGGGACGTGGGGTATGTTCTCGACTTACGGCGGGGATGGCCCTTCAAAACACGAGTTTCTTCAGTGACGTCAGGACTCCTGTCTAGTAACGAGGGACACCTCAGGAATCTCTAAGAGGCTTGGCAGGGCAAAAGGGACGCTTCTCGAGGTGAGGCAGGGCACCCAAGGACCCCTTCCCGTAGCCACAGGGATTTTGGGATTCCTATCAGTATTCAAGAGGAGCAGGCATCGTCACCTTTTGAAGCAATGAACTCCGCGTGCCTCTCGAGGTGTCAGCGGGATGTGAGGCATTCCGTCAAAATGAGGCAGGGACCTAGGGCTTTCTCTAAGGTCTCCACAGGGAATTCAGACATCCCTTCATGTTGTGAGATGAAAGACGAGCCTGTATTCAAGCCACTGAAAGGAAATCCAGCCTCCTTTCAAGTTAGGGCTTCTCGCTGTATATTCCCCTTGAGGCAGCAAACTCGGGTCCCACCCACATAACTATTGCTAAGAGAAGCCTCCTCCTGAGATGCTTCTGGAAAGTTGGCATAAGTCTTGAGCCTAAGCCAGGGAATCAGCTCTCATCTCGAGACGATTTGGGGTACACAGAGCATTCCTCGAGTTGCTGTGCTGAAGTTGGTGTTCCTCTAGACTTGGGACAGTGTTCTTGGGGCATCTCTGGCGTTGCCTGAAGGAAGTCGAGCCACCGGTCGTGTTGAATGGGGAACGGGGAATGGCTCTGGGGTCAATGCAGGGGAATCGGGCCTCATCTCGAGTTGATTTGGAGCACATGGAGCTGCTTTGCGTTGCTGGGGTGACCTCAGGGTCCGTCTAGACTGGTGACAGTGTTCTTGGGGACTGTCTCGAGATCCATTAAGCAAGTCGAAGCTCCTGACTTGTTTGAATGGGATCATGGGATAGCTCTGCATGCACTGCAAGGGAATGGGGCCTCATCTCGCCTCTAGGGGGAAGTCTCATGGTTTTTCTCGAGTTGCGGCGGGGACCTGGGGTATGTTCAAGACTTACGGCGGGGATGGCCCTTCAAAACACGAGTTTCTTCAGTGACGTCAGGACTTCTGTCTAGTAATGAGGGACACCTCAGGAATCTCTTCGAGGCTTGGCAGGGCAAAAGGGACGCTTCTCGAGGTGAGGCAGGGCACCCAAGGACCCTTTCCAGTAGCCACAGGGATTTTGGGATTCCTATCAGTATTCAAGAGGAGTCAGGCATCGTCACCTTTTGAAGCAATGAACTCCGCGTGCCTCTCGAGGTGTCAGCGGGATGTGAGGCATTCCGTCAAAAGGAGGCAGGGACCTAGGGCTTTCTCTAAGGTCTCCACAGGGGATTCAGACATCCCTTCATGTTGTGAGATGAAAGACGAGCCTGTATTCAAGCCACTGCAAGGAAATGCGGCCTCCTTTCAATTTAGGGCTTCTCGCTGTATATTCCCCTTGAGGCAGCAAACTCGGGGTCCCTTCCACATACCTATTGCTGAGAGAAGCCTCCTCCTGAGGTGCTTCTGGAAAGTTGGCATAAGTCTTGAGCCTAAGCCAGGGAATCAGCTCTCATCTCGAGACGATTTGGGGTACACGAAGCATTCCTCGAGTTGCTGTGCTGAAGTTGGTGTTCCTCTAGACTTGGGACCGTGTTCTCGGGGCATCTCTGGAGTTGCCTGAAGGAAGTCGAGCCACCGGTCGTGTTGAATGGGGAACGGGGAATGGCTCTGGAGTCAATGCAGGGGAATCGGGCCTCATCTCGAGTTGATTTGGGGCACATGCAGCTGCTTTGCGTTGCTGGGGTGACCTCAGGGTCCGTCTAGACTGGTGACAGTGTTCTTGGGGACTGTCTCGAGATCCATTAAGCAAGTCGAAGCTCCTGACTTGTTTGAATGGGATCACGGAATAGCTCTGCATGCACTGCAGGGGAATGGGGCCTCATCTCGCCTCTAGGGGGAAGTCTCATGGTTTTTCTCGAGTTGCGGCAGGGACCTGGGGTATGTTCTCGACTTACGGTGGGGATGGCCCTTCAAAACACGAGTTTCTTCAGTGACCTCAGGACTCCTGTCTAGTAACGAGGGACACCTCAGGAATCTCTTCGAGGCTTGGCAGGGCAAATGGGACGCTTCTCGAGGTGAGGCAGGGCCCCCAAGGACCCTTTCCCGTAGCCACAGGGATTTTGGGATTCCTATCAGTATTCAAGAGGAGTCAGGCATCGTCACCTTTTGAAGCAATGAACTCCGCGTGCCTCTCGAGGTGTCAGCGGGATGTGAGGCATTCCGTCAAAATGAGGCAGGGACCTAGGGCTTTCTCTAAGGTATACACAGGGGATTCAGACATCCCTTCATGTTGTGAGATGAAAGACGAGCCTGTATTCAAGCCACTGCAAGGAAATCCGGCCTCCTTTCAAGTTATGGCTTCTCGCTGTATATTCCCCTTGAGGCAGCAAACTCGGGGTCCCTTCCACATACCTATTGCTGGGAGAAGCCTCCTCCTGAGGTGCTTCTGGAAAGTTGGCATACGTCTTGAGCCTAAGCCAGGGAATCAGCTCTCATCTCTAGACGATTTGGGGTACACGGAGCATTCCTCAAGTGCTGTGCTGAGGTTGGTGTTCCTCTAGACTTGGGACACTGTTGTCTGGGCATCTCTGGAGTTGCCTGAAGGAAGTCGAGCCACCGGTCGTGTTGAATGGGGAACGGGGAATGGCTCTGGCGTCAATGCAGGCGAATGGGACCTCATCTCGAGTTGATTTGGGGCACATGGAGCTGCTTTGCTTTGCTGGGGTGACCTCAGGGTCCGTCTAGACTGGTGACAGTGTTCTTGGGGACTGTCTCGAGATCCATTAAGCAAGTCGAAGCTCCTGACTTGTTGGAATGGGATCACGGAATAGCTCTGCATGCACTGCAGGGGAATGGGGCCTCATCTCGCCTCTAGGGGGAAGTCTCATGGTTTTTCTCGAGTTGCGGCGGGGACCTGGGGTATGTTCTCGACTTACGGCGGGGATGGCCCTTCAAAACACGAGTTTCTTCAGTGACGTCAGGACTCCTGTCTAGTAACGACGGACACCTCAGGAATCTCTACGAGGCTTGGCAGAGCAAAAGGGACGCTTCTCGAGGTGAGGCAGGGCACCCAAGGACCCTTTCCAGTAGCCACAGCGATTTTGGGATTCCTATCAGTATTCAAGAGGAGTCAGGCATCGTCACCTTTTGAAGCAATGAACTCCGCGTGCCTCTCGAGGTGTCAGCGGGATGTGAGGCATTCCGTCAAAATGAGGCAGGGACCTGGGGCTTTCTCTAAGGTCTCCACAGGGGATTCAGACATCCCTTCATGTTGTGAGATGAAAGACGAGCCTGTATTCAAGCCACTGCAAGGAAATCCGGCCTCCTTTCAAGTTAGGGCTTTTCGCTGTATATTCCCCTTGAGGCAGCAATCTCGGGTCCCACCCACATACCTATTGATGAGAGAAGCCTCCTCCTGAGGTGCTTCTGGAAAGTTGGCATACGTCTTGAGCCTAATCCAGGGAATCAGCTCTCATCTCGAGACGATTTGGGGTACACGGAGCATTCCTCAAGTTGCTGTGCTGAAGTTGGTGTTCCTCTAGACTTGGGACAGTGTTCTCGGGGCATCTCTGGAGTTGCCTGAAGGAAGTCGAGCCACCGGTCTTGTTGAATGGGGAACGGGGCATGGCTCTGGAGTCAATGCAGGGGAATCGGGCCTCATCTCGAGTTGATTTGGGGCACATGGAGCTGCTTTGCGTTGCTGGGGTGACCTCAGGGTCCGTCTAGACTGGTGACAGTGTTCTTGGGGACTGTCTCGAGATCCACTAAGCAAGTCGAAGCTCCTGACTTGTTTGAATGGGATCACGGAATAGCTCTGCATGCACTGCAGGGGAATGGGGCCTCATCTCGCCTCAAGGGGGAAGTCTCATGGTTTTTCTCGAGTTGCGGCGGGGACCTGGGGTATGTTCTCGACTTACGGCGGGGATGGCCCTTCAAAACACGAGTTTCTTCAGTGACCTCAGGACTCCTGTCTTGTAACGAGGGACACCTCAGGAATCTCTTCGAGGCTTGGCAGGGCAAAAGGGACGCTTCTCGAGGTGAGGCAGGGCACCCAAGGACCCTTTCCAGTAGCCACAGGGATTTTGGGAGTCCTATCATTATTCAAGAGGAGTCAGGCATCGTCACCTTTTGAAGCAATTTACTCCGCGTGCCTCTCGAGGTGTCAGCGGGATGTGAGGCATTCCGTCAAAATGAGGCAGGGACCTAGGGCCTTCTCTAAGGTCTCCACAGGGGATTCAGACATCCCTTCATGTTGTGAGATGAAAGACGAGCCTGTATTCAAGCCACTGCAAGGAAATGCGGCCTCCTTTCAAGTTAGGGCTTCTCGCTGTATATTCCCCTTGAGGCACAAACTCGGGGTCCCTCCCACATACTTATTGCTGAGAGAAGCCTCCTCCTGAGGTGCTTCTGGAAAGTTGGCATACGTCTTGAGCCTAAGCCAGGGAATCAGCTCTCATCTCGAGATGATTTGGGTTACACGGAGCATTCCTCGAGTTGCTGTGCTGAAGTTGGTGTTCCTCTAGACTTGGGACAGTGTTCTCGGGGCATCTCTGGAGTTGCCTGAAGGAAGTCGAGCCACCGGTCGTGTTGAATGGGGAACGGGGAATGGCTCTGGAGTGAATGCAGGGGAATCGGGCCTCATCTCGAGTTGATTTGGGGCACATGGAGCTGCTTTGCCTTGCTGGGGTGACCTCAGGGTCCGTCTAGACTGGTGACAGTGTTCTTGGGGACTGTCTCGAGATCCATTAAGCAAGTCGAAACTCCTGACTTGTTTGAATGGGATCACAGAATAGCTCTGTAAGCACTGCAGGGGAATGGGGCCTCATCTCGCCTCAAGGGGGAAGTCTCATGGTTTTTCTCGAGTTCAGGCGGGGACCTGGGGTATGTTCTCGACTTACGGCGGGGATGGCCCTTCAAAACACGAGTTTCTTCAGTGACCTCAGGACTACTGTCTTGTAACGAGGGACACCTCAGGAATCTCTTCGAGGCTTGGCAGGGCAAAAGGGACGCTTCTCGAGGTGAGGCAGGGCACCCAAGGACCCTTTCCAGTAGCCACAGGGATTTTGGGAGTCCTATCATTATTCAAGAGGAGTCAGGCATCGTCACCTTTTGAAGCAATTTACTCCGCGTGCCTCTCGAGGTGTCAGCGGGATGTGAGGCATTCCGTCAAAATGAGGCAGGGACTTAGGGCCTTCTCTACGGTCTCCACAGGGGATTCAGACATCCCTTCATGTTGTGAGATGAAAGACGAGCCTGTATTCAAGCCACTGCAAGGTATTCCGGCCTCCTTTCAAGTTAGGGCTTCTCGCTGTATATTCCCCTTGAGGCAGCAAACTCGGGGTCCCTTCCACATACCTATTGCTGAGAGAAGCCTCCTCCTGAGGTGCTTCTGGAAAGTTGGCATACGTCTTGAGCCTAAGCCAGGGAATCAGCTCTCATCTCGAGACGATTTGGGGTACACGGAGCATTCCTCAAGTTGCTGTGCTGAAGTTGGTGTTCCTCTAGACTTGGGACAGTGTTCTCGGGGCATCTCTGGAGTTGCCTGAAGGAAGTCGAGCCACCGGTCGTGTTGAATGGGGAACGGGGAATGGCTCTGGAGTCAATGCATGGGAATCGGGCCTCATCTCGAGTTGATTTGGGGCACATGGAGCTGCTTTGCTTTGCTGGGGTGACCTTAGGGTCCGTCTAGACTGGTGACAGTGTTCTTGGGGATTGTCTCGAGATCCATTAAGCAAGTCGAAGCTCCTGACTTGTTTGAATGGGATCACGGAATAGCTCTGCATGCACTGCAGGGGAATGGGGCCTCATCTCCCCTCTAGGGGGAAGTCTCATGGTTTTTCTCGAGTTGCGGCGGGGACCTGGGGTATGTTCTCGACTTACGGCGGGGATGGCCCTTCAAAACACGAGTTTCTTCAGTGACGTCAGGACTCCTGTCTAGTAACGAGGGACACCTCAGGAATCTCTAAGAGGCTTGGCAGGGCAAAAGGGACGCTTCTCGAGGTGAGGCAGGGCACCCAAGGACGCTTTCCCCTAGCCACAGGGATTTTGGGATTCCTATCAGTATTCAAGAGGAGTCAGGCATCGTCACCTTTTGAAGCAATGAACTCCGCGTGCCTCTCGAGGTGTCAGTGGGATGTGAGGCATTCCGTCAAAATGAGGCAGGGACCTAGGGCTTTCTCTAAGGTCTCCACAGGGGATTCAGACATCCCTTCATGTTGTGAGATGAAAGACGAGCCTGTATTCAAGCCACTGCAAGGAAATCCGGCCTCCTTTCAAGTTAGGGCTTCTCGCTGTATATTCCCCTTGAGGCACAAACTCGGGGTCCCTCCCACATACTTATTGCTGAGAGAAGCCTCCTGCTGAGGTGCTTCTGGAAAGTTGGCATACGTCTTGAGCGTTGGCCAGGGAATCAGCTCTCATCTCGAGACGATTTGGGTTACACGAAGCATTCGTCGAGTTGCTGTGCTGAAGTTGGTGTTCCTCTAGACTTGGGACAGTGTTCTCGGGGCATCTCTGGAGTTGCCTGAAGGAAGTCGAGCCACCGGTCGTGTTGAATGGGGAACGGGGAATGGCTCTGGAGTCAATGCAGGGGAATCGGGCCTCATCTCGAGTTGATTTGGGGCACATGGAGCTGCTTTGCGTTGCTGGGGTGACCTCAGGGTCCGTCTAGACTGGTGACAGTGTTCTTGGGGACTGTCTCGAGATACATTAAGCAAGTCGAAACTCCTGACTTGTTTGAATGGGATCACAGAATAGCTCTGCATGCACTGCAGGGGAATGGGGCCTCATCTCGCCTCTAGGGGGAAGTCTCATGGTTTTTCTCGAGTTGCGGCGGGGACCTGGTGTATGTTCTCGACTTACGGCGGGGATGGCCCTTCAAAACACGAGTTTCTTCAGTGACGTCAGGACTCCTGTCTAGTAACGACGGACACCTCAGGAATCTCTAAGAGGCTTGGCAGGGCAAAAGGGACGCTTCTCGAGGTGAGTCAGGGCACCCAAGGACGCTTTCCCCTAGCCACAGGGATTTTGGGATTCCTATCAGTATTCAAGAGGAGTCAGGCATCGTCACCTTTTGAAGCAATGAACTCCGCGTGCCTCTCGAGGTGTCAGCGGGATGTGAGGCATTCCGTCAAAATGAGGCAGGGACCTAGGTCTTTCTCTAAGGTCTCCACAGGGGATTCAGACATCCCTTCATGTTGTGAGATGAAAGACGAGCCTGTATTCAAGCCACTGCAAGGAAATCCGGCCTCCTTTCAAGTTAGGGCTTCTCGCTGTATATTCCCCTTGAGGCAGCAAACTCGGGTCCCTCCCACATACCTTTTGCTGAGAGAAGCCTCCTCCTGAGGTGCTTCTGGAAAGTTGGCATACGTCTTGAGCCTAAGCCAGGGAATCAGCTCTCATCTCGAGACGATTTGGGGTACACGGAGCATTCCTCAAGTTGCTGTGCTGAAGTTGGTGTTCCTCTAGACTTGGGACAGTGTTCTCGGGGCATCTCTGGAGTTTCCTGAAGGAAGTCGAGCCACCGGTCTTGTTGAATGGGGAACGGGGAATGGCTCTGAAGTCAATGCAGGGGAATCGGGCCTCATCTCGAGTTGATTCGGGGCACATGGAGCTGCTTTGCGTTGCTGGGGTGACCTCAGGGTCCGTCTAGACTCGTGACAGTGTTCTTGGGGACTGTCTCGAGATCCATTAAGCAAGTCGAAGCTCCTGACTTGTTTGAATGGGATCACGGGATAGCTCTGCATGCACTGCAGGGGAATGGGGCCTCATCTCGCCTAAAGGGGGAAGTCTCATGGTTTTTCTCGAGTTGCGGCGGGGACCTGGGGTATGTTCTCGACTTACGGCGGGGATGGCCCTTCAAAACACGAGTTTCTTAAGTGACATCAGGACTCCTGTCTTGTAACGAGGGACACCTCAGGAATCTCTACGAGGCTTGGCAGGGCAAAAGGGACGCTTCTCGAGGTGAGGCAGGGTACCCAAGGACCCTTTCCAGTAGCCACAGGGATTTTGGGATTCCTATCAGTATTCAAGATGAGTCAGGCATCGTCACCTTTTGAAGCAATGAACTCCGCGTGCCTCTCGAGGTGTCAGTGGGATGTGAGGCATTCCGTCAAAATGAGGCAGGGACCTAGGGCTTTCTCTAAGGTCTCCACAGGGGATTCAGACATCCCTTCATGTTGTGAGATGAAAGACCAGCCTGTATTCAAGCCACTGCAAGGAAATGCGGCCTCCTTTCAAGTTAGGGCTTCTCGCTGTATATTCCCCTTGAGGCAGCAAACTCGGGGTCCCTTCCACATACCTAATGCTGAGAGAAGCCTCCTCCTGAGGTGCTTCTGGAAAGTTGGCATACGTCTTGAGCCTAATCCAGGGAATCAGCTCTCATCTCGAAACAATTTGGGGTACACGGAGCATTCCTCGAGTTGCTGTGCTGAAGTTGGTGTTCCTCTAGACTTGGGACAGTGTTCTCGGGGCATCTCTGGACTTGCCTGAAGGAAGTCGAGCCACCGGTCGTGTTGAATGGGGAACGGGGAATGGCTCTGGAGTGAATGCAGGGGAATCGGGCCTCATCTCGAGTTGATTTGGGGCACATGGAGCTGCTTTGCGTTGCTGGGGTAACCTCAGGGTCCGTCTAGACTGGTGACAGTGTTCTTGGGGACTGTCTCGAGATCCATTAAGCAAGTCGAAGCTCCTGACTTGTTTGAATGGGATCACGGAATAGCTCTGCATGCACTGCAGGGGAATGGGGCCTCATCTCGCCTCTAGGGGGAAGTCTCATGGTTTTTCTCGAGTTTCGTTGGGGACCTGGGGTATGTTCTCGACTTAGGGCGGGGATGGCCCTTCAAAACACGAGTTTCTTCAGTGACGTCAGGACTCCTGTCTAGTAACGAGGGACACTTCAGGAATCTCTACGAGGCTTGGCAGGGCAAAAGGGACGCTTCTCGAGGTGAGGCAGGGTACCCAAGGACGCTTTCCCCTAGCCACGGCGATTTTGGGATTCCTATCAGTATTCAAGAGGAGTCAGGCATCGTCACCTTTTGAAGCAATGAACTCCGCGTGCCTCTCGTGGTGTCAGCGGGATGTGAGGCATTCCGTCAAAATGAGTCAGGGACCTAGGTCTTTCTCTAAGGTCTCCACAGGGGATTCAGACATCCCTTCATGTTGTGAGATGAAAGACGAGCCTGTATTCAAGCCACTGCAAGGAAATCCGGCCTCCTTTCAAGTTAGGGCTTCTCGCTGTATATTCCCCTTGAGGCAGCAACCTCGGGTCCCTCCCACATACCTATTGCTGAGAGAAGCCTCCTCCTGAGGTGCTTCTGGAAAGTTGGCATAAGTCTTGAGCCTAAGCCAGGGAATCAGCTCTCATCTCGAGACGATTTGGGGTACACGGAGCATTCCTCAAGTTGCTGTGCTGAAGTTGGTGTTCCTCTAGACTTGGGACAGTGTTCTCGGGGCATCTCTGGAGTTGCCTGAAGGAAGACGAGCCACCGGTCGTGTTGAATGGGGAACGGGGAATGGCTCTGGAGTGAAGGCAGGGGAATCGGGCCTCATCTCGAGTTGATTCGGGGCACATGGAGCTGCTTTGCGTTGCTGGGGTGACCTCAGGGTCCGTCTAGACTGGTGACAGTGTTCTTGGGGACTGTCTCGAGATCCACTAAGCAAGTCGAAGCTCCTGACTTGTTTGAATGGGATCACGGGATAGCTCTGCATGCACTGCAGGGGAATGGGGCCTCATCTCGCCTCAAGGGGGAAGTCTCATGTTTTTTCTCGAGTTGCGGCGGGGACCTGGCGTATGTTCTCGACTTACGGCGGGGATGGCCCTTCAAAACACGAGTTTCTTCAGTGACGTCAGGACTCCTGTCTAGTAACGAGGGACACCTCAGGAATCTCTTCGAGGCTTGGCAGGGCAAAAGGGACGCTTCTTCAAGTGAGGCAGGGCACCCAAGGACCCTTTCCCGTAGCCACAGGGATTTTGGGATTCCTATCAGTATTCAAGAGGAGTCAGGCATCGTCACCTTTTGAAGCAATGAACTCCGCGTGCCTCTCGAGGTGTCAGCGGGATGTGAGGCATTCCGTCAAAATGAGGCAGGGACCTAGGGCTTTCTCTAAGGTCTCCACAGGGGATTCAGACATCCCTTCATGTTGTGAGATGAAAGACGAGCCTGTATTCAAGCCACTGCAAGGAAATGCGGCCTCCTTTCAAGTTAGGGCTTCTCGCTGTATATTCCCCTTGAGGCAGCAAACTCGGGGTCCCTTCCACATACCTATTGCTGAGAGAAGCCTCCTCCTGAGGTGCTTCTGGAAAGTTGGCATACGTCTTGAGCCTAATCCAGGGAATCAGCTCTCATCTCGAGACAATTTGGGGTACACGGAGCATTCCTCGAGTTGCTGTGCTGAAGTTGGTGTTCCTCTAGACTTGGGACAGTGTTCTCGGGGCATCTCTGGACTTGCCTGAAGGAAGTCGAGCCACCGGTCGTGTTGAATGGGGAACGGGGAATATCTCTGGAGTGAATGCAGGGGAATCGGGCCTCATCTCGAGTTGATTTGGGGCACATGGAGCTGCTTTGCGTTGCTGGGGTAACCTCAGGGTCCGTCTAGACTGGTGACAGTGTTCTTGGGGACTGTCTCGAGATCCATTAAGCAAGTCGAAGCTCCTGACTTGTTTGAATGGGATCACGGAATAGCTCTGCATGCACTGCAGGGGAATGGGGCCTCATCTCGCCTCTAGGGGGAAGTCTCATGGTTTTTCTCGAGTTTCGTTGGGGACCTGGGGTATGTTCTCGACTTAGGGCGGGGATGGCCGTTCAAAACACGAGTTTCTTCAGTGACGTCAGGACTCCTGTCTAGTAACGAGGGACACTTCAGGAATCTCTACGAGGCTTGGCAGGGCAAAAGGGACGCTTCTCGAGGTGAGGTAGGGTACCCAAGGACGCTTTCCCCTAGCCACAGCGATTTTGGGATTCCTATCAGTATTCAAGAGGAGTCAGGCATCGTCACCTTTTGAAGCAATGAACTCCGCGTGCCTCTCGAGGTGTCAGCGGCATGTGAGGCATTCCGTCAAAATGAGGCAGGGACCTAGGTCTTTCTCTAAGGTCTCCACAGGGGATTCAGACATCCCTTCATGTTGTGAGATGAAAGACGAGCCTGTATTCAAGCCACTGCAAGGAAATCCGGCCTCCTTTCAAGTTAGGGCTTCTCGCTGTATATTCCCCTTGAGGCAGCAACCTCGGGTCCCTCCCACATACCTATTGCTGAGAGAAGCCTCCTCCTGAGGTGCTTCTGGAAAGTTGGCATACGTCTTGAGCCTAAGCCAGGGAATCAGCTCTCATCTCGAGACGATTTGGGGTACACGGAGCATTCCTCAAGTTGCTGTGCTCAAGTTGGTGTTCCTCTAGACTTGGGACAGTGTTCTCGGGGCATCTCTGGAGTTGCCTGAAGGAAGTCGAGCCACCGGTCTTGTTGAATGGGGAACGGGGAATGGCTCTGGAGTCAATGCAGGGGAATCGGGCCTCATCTCGAGTTGATTCGGGGCACATGGAGCTGCTTTGCGTTGCTGGGGTGACCTCAGGGTCCGTCTAGACTCGTGACAGTGTTCTTGGGGACTGTCTCGAGATCCATTAAGCAAGTCGAAGCTCCTGACTTGTTTGAATGGGATCACGGGATAGCTCTGCATGCACTGCAGGGGAATGGGGCCTCATCTCGCCTCAAGGGGGAAGTCTCATGGTTTTTCTCGAGTTGCGGCGGGGACCTGGGGTATGTTCTCGACTTACGGCGGGGATGGCCCTTCAAAACACGAGTTTCTTAAGTGACCTCAGGACTCCTGTCTTGTAACGCGGGACACCTCAGGAATCTCTACGAGGCTTGGCAGGGCAAAAGGGACGCTTCTCGAGGTGAGGCAGGGTACCCAAGGACCCTTTCCAGTAGCCACAGGGATTTTGGGATTCCTATCAGTATTCAAGATGAGTCAGGCATCGTCACCTTTTGAAGCAATGAACTCCGCGTGCCTCTCGAGGTGTCAGTGGGATGTGAGGCATTCCGTCAAAATGAGGCAGGGACCTAGGGCTTTCTCTAAGGTCTCCACAGGGGATTCAGACATCCCTTCATGTTGTGAGATGAAAGACGAGCCTGTATTCAAGCCACTGCAAGGAAATGCGGCCTCCTTTCAAGTTAGGGCTTCTCGCTGTATATTCCCCTTGAGGCAGCAAACTCGGGGTCCCTTCCACACACCTATTGCTGAGAGAAGCCTCCTCCTGAGGTGCTTCTGGAAAGTTGGCATACGTCTTGAGCCTAATCCAGGGAATCAGCTCTCATCTCGAGACAATTTGGTGTACACGGAGCATTCCTCGAGTTGCTGTGCTGAAGTTGGTGTTCCTCTAGACTTGGGACAGTGTTCTCGGGGCATCTCTGGAGTTGCCTGAAGGAAGTCGAGCCACCGGTCGTGTTGAATGGGGAACGGGGAATGGCTCTGGAGTGAATGCAGGGGAATCGGGCCTCATCTCGAGTTGATTTGGGGCACATGGAGCTGCTTTGCGTTGCTGGGGTGACCTCAGGGTCCGTCTAGACTGGTGACAGTGTTCTTGGGGACTGTCTCGAGATCCATTAAGCAAGTCGAAGCTCCTGACTTGTTTGAATGGGATCACGGAATAGCTCTGCATGCACTGCAGGGGAATGGGGCCTCATCTAGCCTCTAGGGGGAAGTCTCATGGTTTTTCTCGAGTTTCGTTGGGGACCTGGGGTATGTTCTCGACTTAGGGCGGGGATGGTCCTTCAAAACACGAGTTTCTTCAGTGACGTCAGGACTCCTGTCTAGTAACGGGGGACACTTCAGGAATCTCTACGAGGCTTGGCAGGGCAAAAGGGACGCTTCTCGAGGTGAGGCAGGGTACCCAAGGACGCTTTCCCATAGCCACAGCGATTTTGGGATTCCTATCAGTATTCAAGAGGAGTCAGGCATCGTCACCTTTTGAAGCAATGAACTCCGCGTGCCTCTCGTGGTGTCAGCGGGATGTGAGGCATTCCGTCAAAATGAGGCAGGGACCTAGGTCTTTCTCTAAGGTCTCCACAGGGGATTCAGACATCCCTTCATGTTGTGAGATGAAAGACGAGCCTGTATTCAAGCCACTGCAAGGAAATCCGGCCTCCTTTCAAGTTAGGGCTTCTCGCTGTATATTCCCCTTGAGGCAGCAACCTCGGGTCCCTCCCACATACCTATTGCTGAGAGAAGCCTCCTCCTGAGGTGCTTCTGGAAAGTTGGCATAAGTCTTGAGCCTAAGCCAGGGAATCAGCTCTCATCTCGAGACGATTTGGGGTACACGGAGCATTCCTCAAGTTGCTGTGCTGAAGTTGGTGTTCCTCTAGACTTGGGACAGTGTTCTCGGGGCATCTCTGGAGTTGCCTGAAGGAAGTCGAGCCACCGGTCGTGTTGAATGGGGAACGGGGAATGGCTCTGGAGTGAAGGCAGGGGAATCGGGCCTCATCTCGAGTTGATTTGGGGCACATGGAGCTGCTTTGCGTTGCTGGGGTGACCTCAGGGTCCGTCTAGACTGGTGACAGTGTTCTTGGGGACTGTCTCGAGATCCACTAAGCAAGTCGAAGCTCCTGACTTGTTTGAATGGGATCACGGGATAGCTTTGCATGCACTGCAGGGGAATGGGGCCTCATCTCGCCTCAAGGGGGAAGTCTCATGGTTTTTCTCGAGTTGCGGCGGGGACCTGGCGTATGTTCTCGACTTACGGCGGGGATGGCCCTTCAAAACACGAGTTTCTTCAGTGACGTCAGGACTCCTGTCTAGTAACGAGGGACACCTCAGGAATCTCTTCGAGGCTTGGCAGGGCAAAAGGGACGCTTCTTCAAGTGAGGCAGGGCACCCAAGGACCCTTTCCCGTAGCCACAGGGATTTTGGGATTCCTACCAGTATTCAAGAGGAGTCAGGCATCGTCACCTTTTGAAGCAATGAACTCCGCGTGCCTCTCGAGGTGTCAGCGGGATGTGAGGCATTTCGTCAAAATGAGGCAGGGACCTAGGGCTTTCTCTAAGGTCTCCACAGGGGATTCAGACATCCCTTCATGTTGTGAGATGAAAGACGAGCCTGTATTCAAGCCACTGCAAGGAAATGCGGCCTCCTTTCAAGTTAGGGCTTCTCGCTGTATATTCCCCTTGAGGCAGCAAACTCGGGGTCCCTTCCACATACCTATTGCTGAGAGAAGCCTCCTCCTGAGGTGCTTCTGGAAAGTTGGCATACGTCTTGAGCCTAATCCAGGGAATCAGCTCTCATCTCGAGACAATTTGGGGTACACGGAGCATTCCTCGAGTTGCTGTGCTGAAGTTGGTGTTCCTCTAGACTTGGGACAGTGTTCTCGGGGCATCTCTGGACTTGCCTGAAGGAAGTCGAGCCACCGGTCGTGTTGAATGGGGAACGGGGAATGGCTCTGGAGTGAATGCAGGGGAATCGGGCCTCATCTCGAGTTGATTTGGGGCACATGGAGCTGCTTTGCGTTGCTGGGGTAACCTCAGGGTCCGTCTAGACTGGTGACAGTGTTCTTGGGGACTGTCTCGAGATCCATTAAGCAAGTCGAAGCTCCTGACTTGTTTGAATGGGATCACGGAATAGCTCTGCATGCACTGCAGGGGAATGGGGCCTCATCTCGCCTCTAGGGGGAAGTCTCATGGTTTTTCTCGAGTTTCGTTGGGGACCTGGGGTATGTTCTCGACTTAGGGCGGGGATGGCCGTTCAAAACACGAGTTTCTTCAGTGACGTCAGGACTCCTGTCTAGTAACGAGGGACACTTCAGGAATCTCTACGAGGCTTGGCAGGGCAAAAGGGACGCTTCTCGAGGTGAGGCAGGGTACCCAAGGACGCTTTCCCCTAGCCACAGCGATTTTGGGATTCCTATCAGTATTCAAGAGGAGTCAGGCATCGTCACCTTTTGAAGCAATGAACTCCGCGTGCCTCTCGAGGTGTCAGCGGCATGTGAGGCATTCCGTCAAAATGAGGCAGGGACCTAGGTCTTTCTCTAAGGTCTCCACAGGGGATTCAGACATCCCTTCATGTTGTGAGATGAAAGACGAGCCTGTATTCAAGCCACTGCAAGGAAATCCGGCCTCCTTTCAAGTTAGGGCTTCTCGCTGTATATTCCCCTTGAGGCAGCAACCTCGGGTCCCTCCCACATACCTATTGCTGAGAGAAGCCTCCTCCTGAGGTGCTTCTGGAAAGTTGGCATAAGTCTTGAGCCTAAGCCAGGGAATCAGCTCTCATCTCGAGACGATTTGGGGTACACGGAGCATTCCTCAAGTTGCTGTGCTGAAGTTGGTGTTCCTCTAGACTTGGGACAGTGTTCTCGGGGCATCTCTGGAGTTGCCTGAAGGAAGTCGAGCCACCGGTCTTGTTGAATGGGGAACGGGGAATGGCTCTGGAGTCAATGCAGGGGAATCGGGCCTCATCTCGAGTTGATTCGGGGCACATGGAGCTGCTTTGCGTTGCTGGGGTTACCTCAGGGTCCGTCTAGACTCGTGACAGTGTTCTTGGGGACTGTCTCGAGATCCATTAAGCAAGTCGAAGCTCCTGACTTGTTTGAATGGGATCACGGGATAGCTCTGCATGCACTGCAGGGGAATGGGGCCTCATCTCGCCTCAAGGGGGAAGTCTCATGGTTTTTCTCGAGTTGCGGCGGGGACCTGGGGTATGTTCTCGACTTACGGCGGGGATGGCCCTTCAAAACACGAGTTTCTTAAGTGACCTCAGGACTCCTGTCTTGTAACGAGGGACACCTCAGGAATCTCTACGAGGCTTGGCAGGGCAAAAGGGACGCTTCTCGAGGTGAGGCAGGGTACCCAAGGACCCTTTCCAGTAGCCACAGGGATTTTGGGATTCCTATCAGTATTCAAGATGAGTCAGGCATCGTCACCTTTTGAAGCAATGAACTCCGCGTGCCTCTCGAGGTGTCAGTGGGATGTGAGGCATTCCGTCAAAATGAGGCAGGGACCTAGGGCTTTCTCTAAGGTCTCCACAGGGGATTCAGACATCCCTTCATGTTGTGAGATGAAAGACGAGCCTGTATTCAAGCCACTGCAAGGAAATGCGGCCTCCTTTCAAGTTAGGGCTTCTCGCTGTATATTCCCCTTGAGGCAGCAAATTCGGGGTCCCTTCCACACACCTATTGCTGAGAGAAGCCTCCTCCTGAGGTGCTTCTGGAAAGTTGGCATACGTCTTGAGCCTAATCCAGGGAATCAGCTCTCATCTCGAGACAATTTGGTGTACACGGAGCATTCCTCGAGTTGCTGTGCTGAAGTTGGTGTTCCTCTAGACTTGGGACAGTGTTCTCGGGGCATCTCTGGAGTTGCCTGAAGGAAGTCGAGCCACCGGTCGTGTTGAATGGGGAACGGGGAATGGCTCTGGAGTGAATGCAGGGGAATCGGGCCTCATCTCGAGTTGATTTGGGGCACATGGAGCTGCTTTGCGTTGCTGGGGTAACCTCAGGGTCCGTCTAGACTGGTGACAGTGTTCTTGGGGACTGTCTCGAGATCCATTAAGCAAGTCGAAGCTCCTGACTTGTTTGAATGGGATCACGGAATAGCTCTGCATGCACTGCAGGGGAATGGGGCCTCATCTAGCCTCTAGGGGGAAGTCTCATGGTTTTTCTCGAGTTTCGTTGGGGACCTGGGGTATGTTCTCGACTTAGGGCGGGGATGGCCCTTCAAAACACGAGTTTCTTCAGTGACGTCAGGACTCCTGTCTAGTAACGAGGGACACTTCAGGAATCTCTACGAGGCTTGGCAGGGCAAAAGGGACGCTTCTCGAGGTGAGGCAGGGTACCCAAGGACGCTTTCCCATAGCCACAGCGATTTTGGGATTCCTATCAGTATTCAAGAGGAGTCAGGCATCGTCACCTTTTGAAGCAATGAACTCCGCGTGCCTCTCGTGGTGTCAGCGGGATGTGAGGCATTCCGTCAAAATGAGGCAGGGACCTAGGTCTTTCTCTAAGGTCTCCACAGGGGATTCAGACATCCCTTCATGTTGTGAGATGAAAGACGAGCCTGTATTCAAGCCACTGCAAGGAAATCCGGCCTCCTTTCAAGTTAGGGCTTCTCGCTGTATATTCCCCTTGAGGCAGCAACCTCGGGTCCCTCCCACATACCTATTGCTGAGAGAAGCCTCCTCCTGAGGTGCTTCTGGAAAGTTGGCATAAGTCTTGAGCCTAAGCCAGGGAATCAGCTCTCATCTCGAGACGATTTGGGGTACACGGAGCATTCCTCAAGTTGCTGTGCTGAAGTTGGTGTTCCTCTAGACTTGGGACAGTGTTCTCGGGGCATCTCTGGAGTTGCCTGAAGGAAGTCGAGCCACCGGTCGTGTTGAATGGGGAACGGGGAATGGCTCTGGAGTGAAGGCAGGGGAATCGGGCCTCATCTCGAGTTGATTTGGGGCACATGGAGCTGCTTTGCGTTGCTGGGGTGACCTCAGGGTCCGTCTAGACTGGTGACAGTGTTCTTGGGGACTGTCTCGAGATCCACTAAGCAAGTCGAAGCTCCTGACTTGTTTGAATGGGATCACGGGATAGCTCTGCATGCACTGCAGGGGAATGGGGCCTCATCTCGCCTCAAGGGGGAAGTCTCATGGTTTTTCTCGAGTTGCGGCGGGGACCTGGCGTATGTTCTCGACTTACAACGGGGATGGCCCTTCAAAACACGAGTTTCTTCAGTGACGTCAGGACTCCTGTCTAGTAACGAGGGACACCTCAGGAATCTCTTCGAGGCTTGGCAGGGCAAAAGGGACGCTTCTTCAAGTGAGGCAGGGCACCCAAGGACCCTTTCCCGTAGCCACAGGGATTTTGGGATTCCTATCAGTATTCAAGAGGAGTCAGGCATCGTCACCTTTTGAAGCAATGAACTCCGCGTGCCTCTCGAGGTGTCAGCGGGATGTGAGGCATTCCGTCAAAATGAGGCAGGGACCTAGGGCTTTCTCTAAGGTCTCCACAGGGGATTCAGACATCCCTTCATGTTGTGAGATGAAAGACCAGCCTGTATTCAAGCCACTGCAAGGAAATGCGGCCTCCTTTCAAGTTAGGGCTTCTCGCTGTATATTCCCCTTGAGGCAGCAAACTCGGGGTCCCTTCCACATACCTATTGCTGAGAGAAGCCTCCTCCTGAGGTGCTTCTGGAAAGTTGGCATACGTCTTGAGCCTAATCCAGGGAATCAGCTCTCATCTCGAGACAATTTGGGGTACACGGAGCATTCCTCGAGTTGCTGTGCTGAAGTTGGTGTTCCTCTAGACTTGGGACAGTGTTCTCGGGGCATCTCTGGACTTGCCTGAAGGAAGTCGAGCCACCGGTCGTGTTGAATGGGGAACGGGGAATGGTTCTGGAGTGAATGCAGGGGAATCGGGCCTCATCTCGAGTTGATTTGGGGCACATGGAGCTGCTTTGCGTTGCTGGGGTAACCTCAGGGTCCGTCTAGACTGGTGACAGTGTTCTTGGGGACTGTCTCGAGATCCATTAAGCAAGTCGAAGCTCCTGACTTGTTTGAATGGGATCACGGAATAGCTCTGCATGCACTGCAGGGGAATGGGGCCTCATCTCGCCTCTAGGGGGAAGTCTCATGGTTTTTCTCGAGTTTCGTTGGGGACCTGGGGTATGTTCTCGACTTAGGGCGGGGATGGCCCTTCAAAACACGAGTTTCTTCAGTGACGTCAGGACTCCTGTCTAGTAACGAGGGACACTTCAGGAATCTCTACGAGGCTTGGCAGGGCAAAAGGGACGCTTCTCGAGGTGAGGCAGGGTACCCAAGGACGCTTTCCCCTAGCCACAGCGATTTTGGGATTCCTATCAGTATTCAAGAGGAGTCAGGCATCGTCACCTTTTGAAGCAATGAACTCCGCGTGCCTCTCGAGGTGTCAGCGGGATGTGAGGCATTCCGTCAAAATGAGGCAGGGACCTAGGTCTTTCTCTAAGGTCTCCACAGGGGATTCAGACATCCCTTCATGTTGTGAGATGAAAGACGAGCCTGTATTCAAGCCACTGCAAGGAAATCCGGCCTCCTTTCAAGTTAGGGCTTCTCGCTGTATATTCCCCTTGAGGCAGCAACCTCGGGTCCCTCCCACATACCTATTGCTGAGAGAAGCCTCCTCCTGAGGTGCTTCTGGAAAGTTGGCATAAGTCTTGAGCCTAAGCCAGGGAATCAGCTCTCATCTCGAGACGATTTGGGGTACACGGAGCATTCCTCAAGTTGGTGTGCTGAAGTTGGTGTTCCTCTAGACTTGGGACAGTGTTCTCGGGGCATCTCTGGAGTTGCCTGAAGGAAGTCGAGCCACCGGTCGTGTTGAATGGGGAACGGGGAATGGCTCTGGAGTGAAGGCAGGGGAATCGGGCCTCATCTCGAGTTGATTTGGGGCACATGGAGCTGCTTTGCGTTGCTGGGGTGACCTCAGGGTCCGTCTAGACTGGTGACAGTGTTCTTGGGGACTGTCTCGAGATCCACTAAGGAAGTCGAAGCTCCTGACTTGTTTGAATGGGATCACGGGATAGCTCTGCATGCACTGCAGGGGAATGGGGCCTCATCTCGCCTCAAGGGGGAAGTCTCATGGTTTTTCTCGAGTTGCGGCGGGGACCTGGCGTATGTTCTCGACTTACGGCGGGGATGGCCCTTCAAAACACGAGTTTCTTCAGTGACGTGAGGACTCCTGTCTAGTAACGAGGGACACCTCAGGAATCTCTTCGAGGCTTGGCAGGGCAAAAGGGACGCTTCTTGAAGTGAGGCAGGGCACCCAAGGACCCTTTCCCGTAGCCACAGGGATTTTGGGATTCCTATCAGTATTCAAGAGGAGTCAGGCATCGTCACCTTTTGAAGCAATGAACTCCGCGTGCCTCTCGAGGTGTCAGCGGGATGTGAGGCATTCCGTCAAAATGAGGCAGGGACCTAGGGCTTTCTCTAAGGTCTCCACAGGGGATTCAGACATCCCTTCATGTTGTGAGATGAAAGACGAGCCTGTATTCAAGCCACTGCAAGGAAATGCGGCCTCCTTTCAAGTTAGGGCTTCTCACTGTATATTCCCCTTGAGGCAGCAAACTCGGGGTCCATTCCACATACCTATTGCTGAGAGAAGCCTCCTCCTGAGGTGCTTCTGGAAAGTGGGCATACGTCTTGAGCCTAATCCAGGGAATCAGCTCTCATCTCGAGACAATTTGGGGTACACGGAGCATTCCTCGAGTTGCTGTGCTGAAGTTGGTGTTCCTCTAGACTTGGGACCGTGTTCTCGGGGCATCTCTGGAGTTGCCTGAAGGAAGTCGAGCCACCGGTCGTGTTGAATGGGGAACGGGGAATGGCTCTGGAGTGAATGCAGGGGAATCGGGCCTCATCTCGAGTTGATTTGGGGCACATGGAGCTGCTTTGCGATGCTGGGGTGACCTCAGGGTCCGTCTAGACTGGTGACAGTGTTCTTGGGGACTGTCTCGAGATCCATTAAGCAAGTCGAAGCTCCTGACTTGTTTGAATGGGATCACGGAATAGCTCTGCATGCACTGCAGGGGAATGGGGCCTCATCTCGCCTCTAGGGGGAAGTCTCATGGTTTTTCTCGAGTTGCGGCGGGGACGTGGGGTATGTTCTCGACTTACGGCGGGGATGGCCCTTCAAAACACGAGTTTCTTCAGTGACGTCAGGACTCCTGTCTAGTAACGAGGGACACCTCAGGAATCTCTAAGAGGCTTGGCAGGGCAAAAGGGACGCTTCTCGAGGTGAGGCAGGGCACCCAAGGACCCCTTCCCGTAGCCACAGGGATTTTGGGATTCCTATCAGTATTCAAGAGGAGTCAGGCATCGTCACCTTTTGAAGCAATGAACTCCGCGTGCCTCTCGAGGTGTCAGCGGGATGTGAGGCATTCCGTCAAAATGAGGCAGGGACCTAGGGCTTTCTCTAAGGTCTCCACAGGGAATTCAGACATCCCTTCATGTTGTGAGATGAAAGACGAGCCTGTATTCAAGCCACTGAAAGGAAATCCAGCCTCCTTTCAAGTTAGGGCTTCTCGCTGTATATTCCCCTTGAGGCAGCAAACTCGGGTCCCACCCACATAACTATTGCTAAGAGAAGCCTCCTCCTGAGATGCTTCTGGAAAGTTGGCATAAGTCTTGAGCCTAAGCCAGGGAATCAGCTCTCATCTCGAGACGATTTGGGGTACACAGAGCATTCCTCGAGTTGCTGTGCTGAAGTTGGTGTTCCTCTAGACTTGGGACAGTGTTCTCGGGGCATCTCTGGCGTTGCCTGAAGGAAGTCGAGCCACCGGTCGTGTTGAATGGGGAACGGGGAATGGCTCTGGGGTCAATGCAGGGGAATCGGGCCTCATCTCGAGTTGATTTGGAGCACATGGAGCTGCTTTGCGTTGCTGGGGTGACCTCAGGGTCCGTCTAGACTGGTGACAGTGTTCTTGGGGACTGTCTCGAGATCCATTAAGCAAGTCGAAGCTCCTGACTTGTTTGAATGGGATCATGGGATAGCTCTGCATGCACTGCAAGGGAATGGGGCCTCATCTCGCCTCTAGGGGGAAGTCTCATGGTTTTTCTCGAGTTGCGGCGGGGACCTGGGGTATGTTCTCGACTTACGGCGGGGATGGCCCTTCAAAACACGAGTTTCTTCAGTGACGTCAGGACTTCTGTCTAGTAATGAGGGACACCTCAGGAATCTCTTCGAGGCTTGGCAGGGCAAAAGGGATGCTTCTCGAGGTGAGGCAGGGCACCCAAGGACCCTTTCCAGTAGCCACAGGGATTTTGGGATTCCTATCAGTATTCAAGAGGAGTCAGGCATCGTCACCTTTTGAAGCAATGAACTCCGCGTGCCTCTCGAGGTGTCAGCGGGATGTGAGGCATTCCGTCAAAATGAGGCAGGGACCTAGGGCTTTCTCTAAGGTCTCCACAGGGGATTCAGACATCCCTTCATGTTGTGAGATGAAAGACGAGCCTGTATTCAAGCCACTGCAAGGAAATGCGGCCTCCTTTCAATTTAGGGCTTCTCGCTGTATATTCCCCTTGAGGCAGCAAACTCGGGGTCCCTTCCACATACCTATTGCTGAGAGAAGCCTCCTCCTGAGGTGCTTCTGGAAAGTTGGCATAAGTCTTGAGCCTAAGCCAGGGAATCAGCTCTCATCTCGAGACGATTTGGGGTACACGAAGCATTCCTCGAGTTGCTGTGCTGAAGTTGGTGTTCCTCTAGACTTGGGACCGTGTTCTCGGGGCATCTCTGGAGTTGCCTGAAGGAAGTCGAGCCACCGGTCGTGTTGAATGGGGAACGGGGAATGGCTCTGGAGTCAATGCAGGGGAATCGGGCCTCATCTCGAGTTGATTTGGGGCACATGCAGCTGCTTTGCGTTGCTGGGGTGACCTCAGGGTCCGTCTAGACTGGTGACAGTGTTCTTGGGGACTGTCTCGAGATCCATTAAGCAAGTCGAAGCTCCTGACTTGTTTGAATGGGATCACGGAATAGCTCTGCATGCACTGCAGGGGAATGGGGCCTCATCTCGCCTCTAGGGGGAAGTCTCATGGTTTTTCTCGAGTTGCGGCAGGGACCTGGGGTATGTTCTCGACTTACGGCGGGGATGGCCCTTCAAAACACGAGTTTCTTCAGTGACCTCAGGACTCCTGTCTAGTAACGAGGGACACCTCAGGAATCTCTTCGAGGCTTGGCAGGGCAAAAGGGACGCTTCTCGAGGTGAGGCAGGGCCCCCAAGGACCCTTTCCCGTAGCCACAGGGATTTTGGGATTCCTATCAGTATTCAAGAGGAGTCAGGCATCGTCACCTTTTGAAGCAATGAACTCCGCGTGCCTCTCGAGGTGTCAGCGGGATGTGAGGCATTCCGTCAAAATGAGGCAGGGACCTAGGGCTTTCTCTAAGGTATCCACAGGGGATTCAGACATCCCTTCATGTTGTGAGATGAAAGACGAGCCTGTATTCAAGCCACTGCAAGGAAATCCGGCCTCCTTTCAAGTTATGGCTTCTCGCTGTATATTCCCCTTGAGGCAGCAAACTCGGGGTCCCTTCCACATACCTATTGCTGGGAGAAGCCTCCTCCTGAGGTGCTTCTGGAAAGTTGGCATACGTCTTGAGCCTAAGCCAGGGAATCAGCTCTCATCTCTAGACGATTTGGGGTACACGGAGCATTCCTCAAGTGCTGTGCTGAGGTTGGTGTTCCTCTAGACTTGGGACACTGTTGTCGGGGCATCTCTGGAGTTGCCTGAAGGAAGTCGAGCCACCGGTCGTGTTGAATGGGGAACGGGGAATGGCTCTGGCGTCAATGCAGGCGAATAGGACCTCATCTCGAGTTGATTTGGGGCACATGGAGCTGCTTTGCTTTGCTGGGGTGACCTCAGGGTCCGTCTAGACTGGTGACAGTGTTCTTGGGGACTGTCTCGAGATCCATTAAGCAAGTCGAAGCTCCTGATTGTTGGAATGGGATCACGGAATAGCTCTGCATGCACTGCAGCGGAATGGGACCTCATCTCGCCTCTAGGGGGAAGTCTCATGGTTTTTCTCGAGTTGCGGCGGGGACCTGGGGTATGTTCTCGACTTACGGCGGGGATGGCCCTTCAAAACACGAGTTTCTTCAGTGACGTCAGGACTCCTGTCTAGCAACGATGGACACCTCAGGAATCTCTTCAAGGCTTGGCAAGGCAAAAGGGACGCTTCTCGAGGTGAGGCAGGGCACCCAAGGACCCTTTCCCGTAGCCACAGGGATTTCGGGATTCCTATCAGTATTCAAGAGGAGTCAGGCATCGTCACCTTTTGAAGCAATGAACTCCGCGTGCCTCTCGAGGTGTCAGCGAGATGTGAGGCATTCCGTCAAAATGAGGCAGGGACCTAGGGCTTTCTCTAAGGTCTCCACAGGGGATTCAGACATCCCTTCATGTTGTGAGATGAAAGACGAGCCTGTATTCAAGCCACTGCAAGGAAATCCGGCCCCCTTTCAAGTTAGGGCTTCTCGCTGTAAATTCCCCTTGAGGCAGCAAACTCGGGGTCCCTCCCACATACCTATTGCTGAGAGAAGCCTCCTCCTGAGGTGCTTCAGGAAAGTTGGCATACGTCTTGAACCTAAGCCAGGGAATCAGCTCTCATCTCGAGACGATTTGGGGTACACGAAGCATTCCTCGAGTTGCTGTGCTGAAGTTGGTGTTCCTCTAGACTTGGGACAGTGTTCTCGGGGCATCTCTGGAGTTGCCTGAAGGAAGTCGAGCCACCGGTCGTGTTGAATGGGGAACGGGGAATGGCTCTGGAGTCAATGCAGGGGAATCGGGCCTCATCTCGAGTTGATTTCGGGCACATGGAGCTGCTTTCCGTTGCTGGGGTGACCTCAGGGTCCGTCTAGACTGGTGACAGTGTTCTTGGGGACTCTCTCGAGTTCCATTAAGCAAGTCGAAGCTCCTGACTTGTTTGAATGGGATCACGGAATAGCTCTGCATGCACTCCAGGGGAATGGGGCCTCATCTCGCCTCTAGGGGGAAGTCTCATGGTTTTTCTCGAGTTGCGGCGGGGACCTGGGGTATGTTCTCGACTTACGGCGGGGATGGCCCTTCAAAACACGAGTTTCTTCAGTGACGTCAGGACTCCTGTCTAGTAACGAGGGACACCTCAGGAATCTCTACGAGGCTTGGCAGAGCAAAAGGGACGCTTCTCGAGGTGAGGCAGGGCACCCAAGGACCCTTTCCAGTAGCCACAGCGATTTTGGGATTCCTATCAGTATTCAAGAGGAGTCAGGCATCGTCACCTTTTGAAGCAATGAACTCCGCGTGCCTCTCGAGGTGTCAGCGGGATGTGAGGCATTCCGTCAAAATGAGGCAGGGACCTGGGGCTTTCTCTAAGGTCTCCACAGGGGATTCAGACATCCCTTCATGTTGTGAGATGAAAGACGAGCCTGTATTCAAGCCACTGCAAGGAAATCCGGCCTCCTTTCAAGTTAGGGCTTCTCGCTGTATATTCCCCTTGAGGCAGCAATCTCGGGTCCCACCCACATACCTATTGATGAGAGAAGCCTCCTCCTGAGGTGCTTCTGGAAAGTTGGCATAAGTCTTGAGCCTAAGCCAGGGAATCAGCTCTCATCTCGAGACGATTTGGGGTACACAGAGCATTCCTCGAGTTGCTGTGCTGAAGTTGGTGTTCCTCTAGACTTGGGACAGTGTTCTCGGGGCATCTCTGGAGTTGCCTGAAGGAAGTCGAGTCACCGGTCGTGTTGAATAGGGAACGGGGAATGGCTCTGGGGTCAATGCAGGGGAATCGGGCCTCATCTCGAGTTGATTTGGGGCACATGGAGCTGCTTTGCGTTGCTGGGGTGACCTCAGGGTCCGTCTAGAGTGGTGACAGTGTTCTTCGGGACTGTCTCGAGATCCATTAAGCAAGTCGAAGCTCCTGACTTGTTTGAATGGGATCATGGGATAGCTCTGCATGCACTGCAAGGGAATGGGGCCTCATCTCGCCTCTAGGGGGTAGTCTCATGGTTTTTCTCGAGTTGCGGCGGGGACCTGGGGTATGTTCTCGACTTACGGCGGGGATGGCCCTTCAAAACACGAGTTTCTTCAGTGACGTCAGGACTCCTGTCTAGTAATGAGGGACACCTCAGGAATCTCTTCGAGGCTTGGCAGGGCAAAAGGGACGCTTCTCGAGGTGAGGCAGGGCACCCAAGGACCCTTTCCAGTAGCCACAGGGATTTTGGGATTCCTATCAGTATTCAAGAGGAGTCAGGCATCGTCACCTTTTGAAGCAATGAACTCCGCGTGCCTCTCGAGGTGTCAGCGGGATGTGAGGCATTCCGTCAAAATGAGGCAGGGACCTAGGGCTTTCTCTAAGGTCTCCACAGGGGATTCAGACATCCCTTCATGTTGTGAGATGAAAGACCAGCCTGTATTCAAGCCACTGCAAGGAAATGCGGCCTCCTTTCAAGTTAGGGCTTCTCGCTGTATATTCCCCTTGAGGCAGCAAACTCGGGGTCCCTTCCACATACCTATTGCTGAGAGAAGCCTCCTCCTGAGGTGCTTCTGGAAAGTTGGCATAAGTCTTGAGCCTAAGCCAGGGAATCAGCTCTCATCTCGAGACGATTTGGGGTACACGAAGCATTCCTCGAGTTGCTGTGCTGAAGTTGGTGTTCCTCTAGACTTGGGACCGTGTTCTCGGGGCATCTCTGGAGTTGCCTGAAGGAAGTCGAGCCACCGGTCGTGTTGAATGGGGAACGGGGAATGGCTCTGGAGTCAATGCAGGGGAATCGGGCCTCATCTCGAGTTGATTTGGGGCACATGGAGCTGCTTTGCGTTGCTGGGGTGACCTCAGGGTCCGTCTAGACTGGTGACAGTGTTCTTGGGGACTGTCTCGAGATCCATTAAGCAAGTCGAAGCTCCTGACTTGTTTGAATGGGATCACGGAATAGCTCTGCATGCACTGCAGGGGAATGGGGCCTCATCTCGCCTCTAGGGGGAAGTCTCATGGTTTTACTCTAGTTGCGTCGGGGACTTGGGGTATGTTCTCGACTTACGGCGGGGATGGCCCTTCAAAACACGAGTTTCTTCAGTGACCTCAGGACTCCTGTCTAGTAACGAGGGACACCTCAGGAATCTCTTCGAGGCTTGGCAGGGCAAAAGGGACGCTTCTCGAGGTGAGGCAGGGCCCCCAAGTACCCTTTCCCGTAGCCACAGGGATTTTGGGATTCCTATCAGTATTCAAGAGGAGTCAGGCATCGTCACCTTTTGAAGCAATGAACTCCGCGTGCCTCTCGAGGTGTCAGCGGGATGTGAGGCATTCCGTCAAAATGAGGCAGGGACCTAGGGCTTTCTCTAAGGTATCCACAGGGGATTCAGACATCCCTTCATGTTGTGAGATGAAAGACGAGCCTGTATTCAAGCCACTACAAGGAAATCCGGCCTCCTTTCAAGTTATGGCTTCTCACTGTATATTCCCCTTGAGGCAGCAAACTCGGGGTCCCTCCCACATACCTATTGCTGAGAGAAGCCTCCTCCTGAGGTGCTTCTGGAAAGTTGGCATACGTCTTCAGCCTAAGCCAGGGAATCAGCTCTCATCTCTAGACGATTTGGGGTACACGGAGCATTCCTCAAGTGCTGTGCTGAGGTTGGTGTTCCTCTAGACTTGGGACACTGTTGTCTGGGCATCTCTGGAGTTGCCTGAAGGAAGTCGAGCCACCGGTCGTGTTGAATGGGGAACGGGGATTGGCTCTGGCGTCAATGCATGCGAATGGGACCTCATCTCGAGTTGATTTGGGGCACATGGAGCTGCTTTGCTTTGCTGGGGTGACCTCAGGGTCCGTCGAGACTGGTGACAGTGTTCTTGGGGACTGTCTCGAGATCCATTAAGCAAGTCGAAGCTCCTGACTTGTTGGAATGGGATCACGGAATAGCTCTGCATGCACTGCAGGGGAATGGGACCTCATCTCGCCTCTAGGGGGAAGTCTCATGGTTTTTCTCGAGTTGCGGCGGGGACCTGGGGTATGTTCTCGACTTACGGCGGGGATGGCCCTTCAAAACACGAGTTTCTTCAGTGACGTCAGGACTCCTGTCTAGTAACGAGGGACACCTCAGGAATCTCTTCGAGGCTTGGCAGGGCAAAAGGGACGCTTCTCGAGGTGAGGCAGGGCACCCAAGGACCCTTTCCCGTAGCCACAGGGATTTTGGGATTCCTATCAGTATTCAAGAGGAGTCAGGCATCGTCACCTTTTGAAGCAATGAACTCCGCGAGCCTCTCGAGGTGTCAGCGGGACGTGAGGCATTCCGTCAAAATGAGGCAGGGACCTAAGGCTTTCTCTAAGGTCTCCACAGGGGATTCAGACATCCCTTCATGTTGTGAGATGAAAGACGAGCCTGTATTCAAGCCACTGCAAGGAAATCCGGCCTCCTTTCAAGTTAGGGCTTCTCGCTGTATATTCCCCTTGAGGCAGCAAACTCGGGGTCCCTCCCACATAACTATTGCTGAGAGAAGCCTCCTCCTGAGGTGCTTCTGGAAAGTTGGCATACGTCTTGAGCCTAAGCCAGGGAATCAGCTCTCATCTCGAGACGATTTGGGTTACACGGAGCATTCCTCGAGTTGCTATGCTGAAGTTGGTGTTCCTCTAGACTTGGGACAGTTTTCTCGGGGCATCTCTGGAGTTGCCTGAAGGAAGTCGAGCCACCGGTCGTGTTGAATGGGGAATGGGGAATGTCTCTGGAGTCAATGAAGGGGAATCGGGCCTCATCTCGAGTTGATTTGGTGCACATGGAGCTGCTTTGCGTTGCTTGGGTGACCTCATGGTCCGTCTAGACTGGTGACAGTGTTCTTGGGGACTGTCTCGCGATCCATTAAGCAAGTCGAAGCTCCTGACTTGTTTGAATGGGATCACGGAATAGCTCTGCATGCACTGCAGGGGAATGGGGCCTCATCTCGCCTCAAGGGGGAAGTCTCATGGTTTTTCTCGAGTTGCGGCGGGGACCTGGCGTATGTTCTCGACTTACGGCGGGGATGGCCCTTCAAAACACGAGTTTCTTCAGTGACGTCAGGACTCCTGTCTAGTAACGAGGGACACCTCAGGAATCTCTTCGAGGCTTGGCAGGGCAAAAGGGACGCTTCTCGAAGTGAGGCAGGGCACCCAAGGAGCCTTTCCAGTAGCCACAGGGATTTTGGGATTCCTATCAGTATTCAAGAGGAGTCAGGCATCGTCACCTTTTGAAGCAATGAACTCCGCGTGCCTCTCGAGGTGTCAGCGGGATGTGAGGCATTCCGTCAAAATGAGGCAGGGACCTAGGGCTTTCTCTAAGGTCTCCACAGGGGATTCAGACATCCCTTCATGTTGTGAGATGAAAGACCAGCCTGTATTCAAGCCACTGCAAGGAAATGCGGCCTCCTTTCAAGTTAGGGCTTCTCGCTGTATATTCCCCTTGAGGCAGCAAACTCGGGGTCCCTTCCACATACCTATTGCTGAGAGAAGCCTCCTCCTGAGGTGCTTCTGGAAAGTTGGCATACGTCTTGAGCCTAAGCCAGGGAATCAGCTCTCATCTCGAGACGATGTGGGGTACACGAAGCATTCCTCGAGTTGCTGTGCTGAAGTTGGTGTTCCTCTAGACTTGGGACCGTGTTCTCGGGGCATCTCTGGAGTTGCCTGAAGGAAGTCGAGCCACCGGTCGTGTTGAATGGGGAACGGGGAATGGCTCTGGGGTCAATGCAGGGGAATCGGGCCTCATCTCGAGTTGATTTGGGGCACATGGAGCTGCTTTGCGTTGCTGGGGTGACGTCAGGGTCCGTCTAGAGTGGTGACAGTGTTCTTGGGGACTGTCTCGAGATCCATTAAGCAAGTCGAAGCTCCTGACTTGTTTGAATGGGATCATGGGATAGCTCTGCATGCACTGCAAGGGAATGGGGCCTCATCTCGCCTCTAGGGGGAGGTCTCATGGTTTTTCTCGAGTTGCGGCGGGGACCTGGGGTATGTTCTCGACTTACGGCGGGGATGGCCCTTCAAAACACGAGTTTCTTCAGTGACCTCAGGACTCCTGTCTAGTAACGAGGGACACCTCAGGAATCTCTTCGAGGCTTGGCAGGGCAAAAGGGCCGCTTCTCGAGGTGAGGCAGGGCACCCAAGGACCCTTTCCAGTAGCCACAGGGATTTTGGGATTCCTATCAGTATTCAAGAGGAGTCAGGCATCGTCACCTTTTGAAGCGATGAACTCCGCGTGCCTCTCCAGGTGTCAGCGGGATGTGAGGCATTCCGTCAAAATGAGGCAGGGACCTAGGGCTTTCTCTAAGGTCTCCACAGGGGATTCAGACATCCCTTCATGTTGTGAGATGAAAGACGAGCCTGTATTCAAGCCACTGCAAGGAAATCCGGCCTCCTTTCAAGTTATGGCTTCTCGCTGTATATTCCCCTTGAGGCAGCAAACTCGGGGTCCCTCCCACATACCTATTGCTGGGAGAAGCCTCCTCCTGAGGTGCTTCTGGAAAGTTGGCATACGTCTTGAGCCTAAGCCAGGGAATCAGCTCTCATCTCTAGACGATTTGGGGTACACGGAGCATTCCTCAAGTGCTGTGCTGAGGTTGGTGTTCCTCTAGACTTGGGACACTGTTGTCGGGGCATCTCTGGAGTTGCCTGAAGGAAGTCGAGCCACCGGTCGTGTTGAATGGGGAACGGGGAATGGCTCTGGCGTGAATGCAGGCGAATGGGACCTCATCTCGAGTTGATTTGGGTCACATGGAGCTGCTTTGCTTTGCTGGGGTGACCTCAGGGTCCGTCTAGACTGGTGACAGTGTTCTTGGGGACTGTCTCGAGATCCATTAAGCAAGTCGAAGCTCCTGACTTGTTGGAATGGGATCACGGAATAGCTCTGCATGCACTGCAGGGGAATGGGACCTCATCTCGCCTCTAGGGGGAAGTCTCATGGTTTTTCTCGAATTGCGGCGGGGACCTGGGGTATGTTCTCGACTTACGGCGGGGATGGCCCTTCAAAACACGAGTTTCTTCAGTGACGTCAGGACTCCTGTCTAGTAACGAGGGACACCTCAGGAATCTCTTCGAGGCTTGGCAGGGCAAAAGGGACGCTTCTCGAGGTGAGGCAGGGCACCCAGGGCCCTTTCCCGTAGCCACAGGGATTTTGGGATTCCTATCAGTATTCAAGAGGAGTCAGGCATCGTCACCTTTTGAAGCAATGAACTCCGCGTGCCTCTCGAGGTGTCAGCGGGACGTGAGGCATTCCGTCAAAATGAGGCAGGGACCTAAGGCTTTCTCTAAGGTCTCCACAGGGGATTCAGACATCCCTTCATGTTGTGAGATGAAAGACGAGCCTGTATTCAAGCCACTGCAAGGAAATACGGCCTCCTTTCAAGTCAGGGCTTCTCGCTGTATATTCCCCTTGAGGCAGCAAACTCGGGTCCCACCCACATAACTATTGCTGAGAGAAGCCTCCTCCTGAGGTGCTTCTGGAAAGTTGGCATAAGTCTTGAGCCTAAGCCAGGGAATCAGCTCTCATCTCGAGACGATTTGGGGTACACGAAGCATTCCTCGAGTTGCTGTGCTGAAGTTGGTGTTCCTCTAGACTTGGGACAGTGTTCTCGGGGCATCTCTGGAGTTGCCTGAAGGAAGTCGAGCCACCGGTCGTGTTGAATGGGGAACGGGGAATGGCTCTGGAGTCAATGCAGGGGAATCGGGCCTCATCTCGAGTTGATTTGGGGCATATGGAGCTGCTTTGCGTTGCTGGGGTGACCTCAGGGTCCGTCTAGACTGGTGACAGTGTTCTTGGGGACTGTCTCGAGATCCACTAAGCAAGTCGAAGCTCCTGACTTGTTTGAATGGGATCACGGAATAGCTCTGCATGCACTGCAGGGGAATGGGGCCTCATCTCGCCTCTAGGGGGAAGTCTCATGGTTTTACTCTAGTTGCGGCGGGGACCTGGGGTATGTTCTCGACTTACGGCGGGGATGGCCCTTCAAAATACGAGTTTCTTCAGTGACCTCAGGACTCCTGTCTAGTAACGAGGGACACCTCAGGAATCTCTTCGAGGCTTGGCAGGGCAAAAGGGACGCTTCTCGAGGTGAGGCAGGGCACCCAAGGACCCTTTCCCGTAGCCACAGGGATTTTGGGATTCCTATCAGTATTCAAGAGGAGTCAGGCATCGTCACCTTTTGAAGCAATGAAATCCGCGTGACTCTCGAGGTGTCAGCGGGATGTGAGGCATTCCGTCAAAATGAGGCAGGGACCTAGGGCTTTCTCTAAGGTATCCACAGGGGATTCAGACATCCCTTCATGTTGTGAGATGAAAGACGAGCCTGTATTCAAGCCACTGCAAGGAAATCCGGCCTCCTTTCAAGTTATGGCTTCTCGCTGTATATTCCCCTTGAGTCAGCAAACTCGGGGTCCCTCCCACATACCTATTGCTGGGAGAAGCCTCCTCCTGAGGTGCTTCTGGAAAGTTGGCATACGTCTTGAGCCTAAGCCAGGGAATCAGCTCTCATCTCTAGACGATTTGGGGTACACGGAGCATTCCTCAAGTGCTGTGCTGAGGTTGGTGTTCCTCTAGACTTGGGACACAGTTGTCGGGGCATCTCTGGAGTTGCCTGAAGGAAGTCGAGCCACCGGTCGTGTTGAATGGGGAACGGGGAATGGCTCTGGCGTCAATGCAGGCGAATGGGACCTCATCTCGAGTTGATTTGGGGCACATGGAGCTGCTTTGCTTTGCTGGGGTGACCTCAGGGTCCGTCTAGACTGGTGACAGTGTTCTTGGGGACTGTCTCGAGATCCATTAAGCAAGTCGAAGCTCCTGACTTGTTGGAATGGGATCACGGAATAGCTCTGCATGCACTGCAGGGGAATGGGACCTCATCTCGCCTCTAGGGGGAAGTCTCATGGTTTTTCTCGAGTTGCGGCGGGGACCTGGGGTATGTTCTCGATTTACGGCGGGGATGGCCCTTCAAAACACGAGTTTCCTCAGTGACGTCAGGACTCCTGTCTGGTAACGAGGGACACCTCAGGAATCTCTTCGAGGCTTGGCAAGGCAAAAGGGACGCTTCTCAAGGTGAGGCAGGGCACCCAAGGACCCTTTCCCGTAGCCACAGGGATTTCGGGATTCCTATCAGTATTCAAGAGGAGTCAGGCATCGTCACCTTTTGAAGCAATGAACTCCGCGTGCCTCTCGAGGTGTCAGCGAGATGTGAGGCATTCCGTCAAAATGAGGCAGGGACCTAGGGCTTTCTCTAAGGTCTCCACAGGGGATTCAGACATCCCTTCATGTTGTGAGATGAAAGACGAGCCTGTATTCAAGCCACTGCAAGGAAATCCGCCCCCCTTTCAAGTTAGGGCTTCTTGCTGTAAATTCCCCTTGAGGCAGCAAACTCGGGGTCCCTCCCACATAACTATTGGTGAGAGAAACCTCCTCCTGAGGTGCTTCTGGAAAGTTGGCATACGTCTTGAGCCTAAGCCAGGGAATCAGCTCTCATCTCGAGATGATTTGGGTTACACGGAGCATTCCTCGAGTTGCTGTGCTGAAGTTGGTGTTCCTCTAGACTTGGGACAGTGTTCTCGGGGCATCTCTGGAGTTGCCTGAAGGAAGTCGAGCCACCGGTCGTGTTGAATGGGGAACGGGGAATGGCTCTGGAGTGAATGCAGGGGAATCGGGCCTCATCTCGAGTTGATTTGGGGCACATGGAGCTGCTTTGCGTTGCTGGGGTGACCTCAGGGTCCGTCTAGACTGGTGACAGTGTTCTTGGGGACTGTCTCGAGATCCATTAAGCAAGTCGAAGCTCCTGACTTGTTTGAATGGGATCACGGAATAGCTCTGCATTCACTGCAGGGGAATGGGGCCTCATCTCGCCTCTAGGGGGAAGTCTCATGGTTTTTCTCGAGTTGCGGTGTGGACTTGGGGTATGTTCTCGACTTATGGCGGGGATGGCCCTTCAAAACACGAGTTTCTTCAGTGACGTCAGGACTCGTGTCTAGTAACAAGGGACACCTCAGGAATCTCTGCGAGGCTTGGCAGGGCAAAAGGGACGCTTCTCGAGGTGAGGCAGGGCACCCAAGGACCCTTTCCCGTAGCCACAGGGATTTTGGGATTCCTATCAGTATTCAAGAGGAGTCAGGCATCGTCACCTTTTGAAGCAATGAACTCAGCGTGCCTCTCGAGGTGTCAGCGGGACGTGAGGCATTCCGTCAAAATGAGGCAGGGACCTAGGGCTTTCTCTAAGGTCTCCACAGGGGATTCAGACATCCCTTCATGTTGTGAGATGAAATACGAGCCTGTATTCAAGCCACTGCAAGGAAATCCGGCCTCCTTTCAAGTTAGGGCTTCTCGCTGTATATTCCCCTTGAGGCAGCAAACTCGGGGTCCCTCCCACATAACTATTTCTGAGAGAAGCCTCCTCCTGAGGTGCTTCTGGAAAGTTGGCATACGTCTTGAGCCTAAGCCAGGGAATCAGCTCTCATCTCGAGACGATTTGGGGTACACGGAGCATTCCTCAAGTTGCTGTGCTGAAGTTGGTGTTCCTCTAGACTTGGGTCAGTGTTCTCGGGGCATCTCTGGAGTTGCCTGAAGGAAGTCGAGCCACCGGTCTTGTTGAATGGGGAACGGGGAATGGCTCTGGAGTCAATGCAGGGGAATCGGGCCTCATCTCGAGTTGATTTGGGGCACATGGAGCTGCTTTGCGATGCTGGGGTGACCTCAGGGTCCGTCTAGACTGGTGACAGTGTTCTTGGGGACTGTCTCGAGATCCACTAAGCAAGTCGAAGCTCCTGACTTGTTTGAATGGGATCACGGAATAGCTCTGCATGCACTGCAGGGGAATGGGGCCTCATCTCGCCTCTAGGGGGAAGTCTCATGGTTTTTCTCGAGTTTCGTTGGGGACCTGGGGTATGTTCTCGACTTAGGGCGGGGATGGCCCTTCAAAACACGAGTTTCTTCAGTGACATCAGGACTCCTGTCTAGTAACGAGGGACACTTCAGGAATCTCTACTAGGCTTGGCAGGGCAAAAGGGACGCTTCTCGAGGTGAGGCAGGGTACCCAAGGACGCTTTCCCCTAGCCACAGCGATTTTGGGATTCCTATCAGTATTCAAGAGGAGTCAGGCATCGTCACCTTTTGAAGCAATGAACTCCGCGTGCCTCTCGAGGTGTCAGCGGGATGTGAGGCATTCCGTCAAAATGAGGCAGGGACCTAGGTCTTTCTCTAAGGTCTCCACAGGGGATTCAGACATCCCTTCATGTTGTGAGATGAAAGACGATCCTGTATTCAAGCCACTGCAAGGAAATCCGGCCTCCTTTCAAGTTAGGGCTTCTCGCTGTATATTCCCCTTGAGGCAGCAACCTCGGGTCCCTCCCACATACCTATTGCTGAGAGAAGCCTCCTCCTGAGGTGCTTCTGGAAAGTTGGCATAAGTCTTGAGCCTAAGCCAGGGAATCAGCTCTCATCTCGAGACGATTTGGGGTACACGGAGCATTCCTCAAGTTGCTGTGCTGAAGTTGGTGTTCCTCTAGACTTGGGACAGTGTTCTCGGGGCATCTCTGGAGTTGCCTGAAGGAAGTCGAGCCACCGGTCGTGTTGAATGGGGAACGGGGAATGGCTCTGGAGTGAAGGCAGGGGAATCGGGCCTCATCTCGAGTTGATTTGGGGCACATGGAGCTGCTTTGCGTTGCTGGGGTGACCTCAGGGTCCGTCTAGACTGGTGACAGTGTTCTTGGGGACTGTCTCGAGATCCACTAAGCAAGTCGAAGCTCCTGACTTGTTTGAATGGGATCACGGGATAGCTCTGCATGCACTGCAGGGGAATGGGGCCTCATCTCGCCTCAAGGGGGAAGTCTCATGGTTTTTCTCGAGTTGCAGCGGGGACCTGGCGTATGTTCTCGACTTACGGCGGGGATGGCCCTTCAAAACACGAGTTTCTTCAGTGACGTCAGGACTCCTGTCTAGTAACGAGAGACACCTCAGGAATCTCTTCGAGGCTTGGCAGGGCAAAAGGGACGCTTCTTGAAGTGAGGCAGGGCACCCAAGGACCCTTTCCCGTAGCCACAGGGATTTTGGGATTCCTATCAGTATTCAAGAGGAGTCAGGCATCGTCACCTTTTGAAGCAATGAACTCCGCGTGCCTCTCGAGGTGTCAGCGGGATGTGAGGCATTCCGTCAAAATGAGGCAGGGACCTAGGGCTTTCTCTAAGGTCTCCACAGGGGATTCAGACATCCCTTCATGTTGTGAGATGAAAGACGAGCCTGTATTCAAGCCACTGCAAGGAAATGCGGCCTCCTTTCAAGTTAGGGCTTCTCGCTGTATATTCCCCTTGAGGCAGCAAACTCGGGGTCCCTTTCACATACCTATTGCTGAGAGAAGCCTCCTCCTGAGGTGCTTCTGGAAAGTTGGCATAAGTCTTGAGCCTAAGCCAGGGAATCAGCTCTCATCTCGAGACGATTTGGGGTACACGAAGCATTCCTCGAGTTGCTGTGCTGAAGTTGGTGTTCCTCTAGACTTGGGACCGTGTTCTCGGGGCATCTCTGGAGTTGCCTGAAGGAAGTCGAGCCACTGGTCGTGTTGAATGGGGAACGGGGAATGGCTCTGGAGTCAATGCAGGGGAATCGGGCCTCATCTCGAGTTGATTTGGGGGACATGCAGCTGCTTTGCGTTGCTGGGGTGACCTCAGGGTCCGTCTAGACTGGTGACAGTGTTCTTGGGGACTGTCTCGAGATCCATTAAGCAAGTTGAAGCTCCTGACTTGTTTGAATGCGATCACGGAATAGCTCTGCATGCACTGCAGGGGAATGGGGCCTCATCTCGCCTCTAGGGGGAAGTCTCATGGTTTTTCTCGAGTTGCGGCAGGGACCTGGGGTATGTTCTCGACTTACGGCGGGGATGGCCCTTCAAAACACGAGTTTCCTCAGTGACCTCAGGACTCCTGTCTAGTAACGAGGGACACCTCAGGAATCTCTTCGAGGCTTGGCAGGGCAAAAGGGACGCTTCTCGAGGTGAGGCAGGGCCCCCAAGGACCCTTTCCCGTAGCCACAGGGATTTTGGGATTCCTATCAGTATTCAAGAGGAGTCAGGCATCGTCACCTTTTGAAGCAATGAACTCCGCGTGCCTCTCGAGGTGTCAGCGGGATGTGAGGCATTCCGTCAAAATGAGGCAGGGACCTAGGGCTTTCTCTAAGGTATCCACAGGGGATTCAGACATCCCTTCATGTTGTGAGATGAAAGACGAGCCTGTATTCAAGCCACTGCAAGGAAATCCGGCCTCCTTTCAAGTTATGGCTTCTCGCTGTATATTCCCCTTGAGGCAGCAAACTCGGGGTCCCTCCCACATACCTATTGCTGGGAGAAGCCTCCTCCTGAGGTGCTTCTGGAAAGTTGGCATACGTCTTGAGCCTAAGCCAGGGAATCAGCTCTCATCTCTAGACGATTTGGGGTACACGGAGCATTCCTCAAGTGCTGTGCTGAGGTTGGTGTTCCTCTAGACTTGGGACACTGTTGTCGGGGCATCTCTGGAGTTGCCTGAAGGAAGTCGAGCCACCGGTCGTGTTGAATGGGGAACGGGGAATGGCTCTGGCGTCAATGCAGGCGAATGGGACCTCATCTCGAGTTGATTTGGGGCACATGGAGCTGCTTTGCTTTTCTGGGGTGACCTCAGGGTCCGTCTAGACTGGTGACAGTGTTCTTGGGGACTGTCTCGAGATCCATTAAGCAAGTCGAAGCTCCTGACTTGTTGGAATGGGATCACGGAATAGCTCTGCATGCACTGCAGCGGAATGGGACCTCATCTCGCCTCTAGGGGGAAGTCTCATGGTTTTTCTCGAGTTGCGGCGGGGACCTGGGGTATGTTCTCGACTTACGGCGGGGATGGCCCTTCAAAACACGAGTTTCTTCAGTGACGTCAGGACTCCTGTCTAGCAACGATGGACACCTCAGGAATCTCTTCGAGGCTTGGCAAGGCAAAAGGGACGCTTCTCGAGGTGAGGGAGGGCACCCAAGGACCCTTTCCCGTAGCCACAGGGATTTCGGGATTCCTATCAGTATTCAAGAGGAGTCAGGCATCGTCACGTTTTGAAGCAATGAACTCCGCGTGCCTCTCGAGGTGTCAGCGAGATGTGAGGCATTCCGTCAAAATGAGGCAGGGACCTAGGGCTTTCTCTATGGTCTCCACAGGGGATTCAGACATCCCTTCATGTTGTGAGATGAAAGACGAGCCTTTATTCAAGCCACTGCAAGGAAATCCGGCCCCCTTTCAAGTTAGGGCTTCTCGCTGTAAATTCCCCTTGAGGCAGCAAACTCGGGGTCCCTCCCACATACCTATTGCTGAGAGAAGCCTCCTCCTGAGGTGCTTCTGGAAAGTTGGCATACGTCTTGAACCTAAGCCAGGGAATCAGCTCTCATCTCGAGACGATTTGGGGTACACGAAGCATTCCTCGAGTTGCTGTGCTGAAGTTGGTGTTCCTCTAGACTTGGGACAGTGTTCTCGGGGCATCTCTGGAGTTGCCTGAAGGAAGTCGAGCCACCGGTCGTGTTGAATGGGGAACGGGGAATGGCTCTGGAGTCAATGCAGGGGAATCGGGCCTCATCTCGAGTTGATTTGGGGCACATGGAGCTGCTTTCCGTTGCTGGGGTGACCTCAGGGTCCGTCTAGACTGGTGACAGTGTTCTTGGGGACTCTCTCGAGTTCCATTAAGCAAGTCGAAGCTCCTGACTTGTTTGAATGGGATCACGGAATAGCTCTGCATGCACTGCAGGGGAATGGGGCCTCATCTCGCCTCTAGGGGGAAGTCTCATGGTTTTTCTCGAGTTGCGGCGGGGACCTGGGGTATGTTCTCGACTTACGGCGGGGATGGCCCTTCAAAACACGAGTTTCTTCAGTGACGTCAGGACTCCTGTCTAGTAACGAGGGACACCTCAGGAATCTCTACGAGGCTTGGCAGAGCAAAAGGGACGCTTCTCGAGGTGAGGCAGGGCATCCAAGGACCCTTTCCAGTAGCCACAGCGATTTTGGGATTCCTATCAGTATTCAAGAGGAGTCAGGCATCGTCACCTTTTGAAGCAATGAACTCCGCGTGCCTCTCGAGGTGTCAGCGGGATGTGAGGCATTCCGTCAAAATGAGGCAGGGATCTGGGGCTTTCTCTAAGGTCTCCACAGGGGATTCAGACATCTCTTCATGTTGTGAGATGAAAGACGAGCCTGTATTCAAGCCACTGCAAGGAAATCCGGCCTCCTTTCAAGTTAGGGCTTCTCGCTGTATATTCCCCTTGAGGCAGCAATCTCGGGTCCCACCCACATACCTATTGATGAGAGAAGCCTCCTCCTGAGGTGCTTCTGGAAAGTTGGCATAAGTCTTGAGCCTAAGCCAGGGAATCAGCTCTCATCTCGAGACGATTTGGGGTACACAGAGCATTCCTCGAGTTGCTGTGCTGAAGTTGGTGTTCCTCTAGACTTGGGACAGTGTTCTCGGGGCATCTCTGGAGTTGCCTGAAGGAAGTCGAGTCACCGGTCGTGTTGAATGGGGAACAGGGAATGGCTCTGGGGTCAATGCAGGGGAATCGGGCCTCATCTCGAGTTGATTTGGGGCACATGGAGCTGCTTTGCGTTGCTGGGGTGACCTCAGGGTTCGTCTAGAGTGGTGACAGTGTTCTTCGGGACTGTCTCGAGATCCATTAAGCAAGTCGAAGCTCCTGACTTGTTTGAATGGGATCATGGGATAGCTCTGCATGCACTGCAAGGGAATGGGGCCTCATCTCGCCTCTAGGGGGAAGTCTCATGGTTTTTCCCGAGTTGCGGCGGGGACCTGGGGTATGTTCTCGACTTACGGCGGGGATGGCCCTTCAAAACACGAGTTTCTTCAGTGACGTCAGGACTCCTGTCTAGTAATGAGGGACACCTCAGGAATCTCTTCGAGGCTTGGCAGGGCAAAAGGGACGCTTCTCGAGGTGAGGCAGGGCACCCAAGGACCCTTTCCAGTAGCCACAGGGATTTTGGGATTCCTATCAGTATTCAAGAGGAGTCAGGCATCGTCACCTTTTGAAGCAATGAACTCCGCGTACCTCTCGAGGTGTCAGCGGGATGTGAGGCATTCCGTCAAAATGAGGCAGGGACCTAGGGCTTTCTCTAAGGTCTCCACAGGGGATTCAGACATCCCTTCATGTTGTGAGATGAAAGACCAGCCTGTATTCAAGCCACTGCAAGGAAATGCGGCCTCCTTTCAAGTTAGGGCTTCTCGCTGTATATTCCCCTTGAGGCAGCAAACTCGGGGTCCCTTCCACATACCTATTGCTGAGAGAAGCCTCCTCCTGAGGTGCTTCTGGAAAGTTGGCATAAGTCTTGAGCCTAAGCCAGGGAATCAGCTCTCATCTCGAGACGATTTGGGGTACACGAAGCATTCCTCGAGTTGCTGTGCTGAAGTTGGTGTTCCTCTAGACTTGGGACCGTGTTCTCGGGGCATCTCTGGAGTTGCCTGAAGGAAGTCGAGCCACCGGTCGTGTTGAATGGGGAACGAGGAATGGCTCTGGAGTCAATGCAGGGGAATCGGGCCTCATCTCGAGTTGATTTGGGGCACATGGAGCTGCTTTGCGTTGCTGGGGTGACCTCAGGGTCCGTCGAGACTGGTGACAGTGTTCTTGGGGACTGTCTCGAGATCCATTAAGCAAGTCGAAGCTCCTGACTTGTTTGAATGGGATCACGGGATAGCTCTGCATGCACTGCAGGGGAATGGGGCCTCATCTCGCCTCAAGGGGGAAGTCTCATGGTTTTTCTCGAGTTGCGGCGGGGACCTGGGGTATGTTCTCGACTTACGGCGGGGATGGCCCTTCAAAACACGAGTTTCTTAAGTGACGTCAGGACTCCTGTCTAGTAACGAGGGACACCTCAGGAATCTCTAAGAGGCTTGGCAGGGCAAAAGGGACGCTTCTCGAGGTGAGGCAGGGCACCCAAGGACCCTTTCACGTAGCCACAGGGATTTTGGGATTCCTATCAGTATTCAAGAGGAGTCAGGCATCGTCACCTTTTGAAGCAATGAACTCCGCGTGCCTCTCGAGGTGTCAGCGGGACGTGAGGCATTCCGTCAAAATGAGGCAGGGACCTAAGGCTTTCTCTAAGGTCTCCACAGGGGATTCAGACATCCCTTCATGTTGTGAGATGAAAGACGAGCCTGTATTCAAGCCACTGCAAGGAAATCCGGCCTCCTTTCAAGTTAGGGCTTTTCGCTGTATATTCCCCTTGAGGCAGCAAACTCGGGTCCCACCCACATAACTATTGCTGAGAGAAGCCTCCTCCTGAGGTGCTTCTGGAAAGTTGGCATAAGTCTTGAGCCTAAGCCAGGGAATCAGCTCTCATCTCGAGACGATTTGGGGTACACAGAGCATTCCTCGAGTTGCTGTGCTGAAGTTGGTGTTCCTCTAGACTTGGGACAGTGTTCTCGGGGCATCTCTGGAGTTGCCTGAAGGAAGTCGAGCCACCGGTCGTGTTGAATGGGGAACGGGGAATGGCTCTGGAGTGAATGCAGGGGAATCGGGCCTCATCTCGAGTTGATTTGGGACACATGGAGCTGCTTTGCGATGCTGGGGTGACCTCAGGGTCCGTCGAGACTGGTGACAGTGTTCTTGGGGACTGTCTCGAGATCCACTAAGCAAGTCGAAGCTCCTGACTTGTTTGAATGGGATCACGGAATAGCTCTGCATGCACTGCAGGGGAATGGGGCCTCATCTCGCCTCAAGGGGGAAGTCTCATGGTTTTTCTCGAGTTGCGGCGGGGACCTGGGGTATGTTCTCGACTTACGGCGGGGATGGCCCTTCAAAACACGAGTTTCTTCAGTGACGTCAGGACTCCTGTCTAGTAACGAGGGACACCTCAGGAATCTCTAAGAGGCTTGGCAGGGCAAAAGGGACGCTTCTCGAGGTGAGGCAGGGCACCCAAGGACCCTTTCACGTAGCCACAGGGATTTTGGGATTCCTATCAGTATTCAAGAGGAGTCAGGCATCGTCACCTTTTGAAGCAATGAACTCCGCGTGCCTCTCGAGGTGTCAGCGGGACGTGAGGCATTCCGTCAAAATGAGGCAGGGACCTAAGGCTTTCTCTAAGGTCTCCACAGGGGATTCAGACATCCCTTCATGTTGTGAGATGAAAGACGAGCCTGTATTCAAGCCACTGCAAGGAAATCCGGCCTCCTTTCAAGTTAGGGCTTTTCGCTGTATATTCCCCTTGAGGCAGCAAACTCGGGTCCCACCCACATAACTATTGCTGAGAGAAGCCTCCTCCTGAGGTGCTTCTGGAAAGTTGGCATAAGTCTTGAGCCTAAGCCAGGGAATCAGCTCTCATCTCGAGACGATTTGGGGTACACAGAGCATTCCTCGAGTTGCTGTGCTGAAGTTGGTGTTCCTCTAGACTTGGGACAGTGTTCTCGGGGCATCTCTGGAGTTGCCTGAAGGAAGTCGAGCCACCGGTCGTGTTGAATGGGGAACGGGGAATGGCTCTGGAGTGAATGCAGGGGAATCGGGCCTCATCTCGAGTTGATTTGGGGCACATGGAGCTGCTTTGCGATGCTGGGGTGACCTCAGGGTCCGTCGAGACTGGTGACAGTGTTCTTGGGGACTGTCTCGACATCCATTAAGCAAGTCGAAGCTCCTGACTTGTTTGAATGGGATCACGGAATAGCTCTGCATGCACTGCAGGGGAATGGGGCCTCATCTCGCCTCTAGGGGGAAGTCTCATGGTTTTTCTCGAGTTGCGGCGGGGACCTGGGGTATGTTCTCGACTTACGGCAGGGATGGCCCTTCAAAACACGAGTTTCTTCAGTGACGTCAGGACTCCTGTCTAGTAATGAGGGACACCTCAGGAATCTCTTCGAGGCTTGGCAGGGCAAAAGGGACGCTTCTCGAGGTGAGGCAGGGCACCCAAGGACCCTTTCCAGTAGCCACAGGGATTTTGGGATTCCTATCAGTATTCAAGAGGAGTCAGGCATCGTCACCTTTTGAAGCAATGAACTCCGCGTGCCTCTCGAGGTGTCAGCGGGATGTGAGGCATTCCGTCAAAATGAGGCAGGGACCTAGGGCTTTCACTAAGGTCTCCACAGGGGATTCAGATATCCCTTCATGTTGTGAGATGAAAGACGAGCCTGTATTCAAGCCACTGCAAGGAAATGCGGCCTCCTTTCAAGTTAGGGCTTCTCGCTGTATATTCCCCTTGAGGCAGCAAACTCGGGGTCCCTTCCACATACCTATTGCTGAGAGAAGCCTCCTCCTGAGGTGCTTCTGGAAAGTTGGCATAAGTCTTGAACCTAAGCCAGGGAATTAGCTCTCATCTCGAGACGATTTGGGGTACACGGAGCATTCCTCGAGTTGCTGTGCTGAAGTTGGTGTTCCTCTAGACTTGGGACCGTGTTCTCGGGGCATCTCTGGAGTTGCCTGAAGGAAGTCGAGCCACCGGTCGTGTTGAATGGGGAACGGGGAATGGCTCTGGAGTCAATGCATGGGAATCGGGCCTCATCTCGAGTTGATTTGGGGCACATGGAGCTGCTTTGCGTTGCTGGGGTGACCTCAGGGTCCGTCTAGACTGGTGACAGTGTTCTTGGGGACTCTCTCGAGATCCACTAAGCAAGTCGAAGCTCCTGACTTGTTTGAATGGGATCACGGAATAGCTCTGCATGCACTGCAGGGGAATGGGGCCTCATCTTGCCTCTACGGGGAAGTCTCATGGTTTTACTCTAGTTGCGGCGGGGACCTGGGGTATGTTCTCGACTTACGGCGGGGATGGCCCTTCAAAACACGAGTTTCTTCAGTGACCTCAGGACTCTTGTCTAGTAACGAGGGACACCTCAGGAATCTCTTCGAGGCTTGGCAGGGCAAAAGGGACGCTTCTCGAGGTGAGGCAGGGCACCCAAGGACCCTTTCCCGTAGCCACAGGGATTTTGGGATTCCTATCAGTATTCAAGATGAGTCAGGCATCGTCACCTTTTGAAGCAATGAACTCCGCGTGCCTCTCGAGGTGTCAGCGGGATGTGAGGCATTCCGTCAAAATGAGGCATGGACCTAGGGCTTTCTCTAAGGTCTCCACAGGGGATTCAGACATCCCTTCATGTTGTGAGATGAAAGACGAGCCTGTATTCAAGCCACTGCAAGGAAATCCGGCCTCCTTTCAAGTTATGGCTTCTCGCTGTATATTCCCCTTGAGGCAGCAAACTCGGGGTCCCTCCCACATACCTATTGCTGGGAGAAGCCTCCTCCTGAGGTGCTTCTGGAAAGATGGCATACGTCTTGAGCCTAAGCCAGGGAATCAGCTCTCATCTCTAGACGATTTGGGGTACACGGAGCATTCCTCAAGTGCTGTGCTGAGGTTGGTGTTCCTCTAGACTTGGGACACTGTTGTCGGGGCATCTCTGGAGTTGCCTGAAGGAAGTCGAGCCACCGGTCGTGTTGAATGGGGAACGGGGAATGGCTCTGGCGTCAATGCAGGCGAATGGGACCTCATCTCGAGTTGATTTGGGGCACATGGAGCTGCTTTGCTTTGCTGGGGTGACCTCAGGGTCCGTCTAGACTGGTGACAGTGTTCTTGGGGACTGTCTCGAGATCCATTAAGCAAGTCGAAGCTCCTGACTTGTTGGAATGGGATCACGGAATAGCTCTGCATGCACTGCAGGGGAATGGGGCCTCATCTCGCCTCAAGGGGGAAGTCTCATGGTTTTTCTCGAGTTGCGGCGGGGACCTGGGGTATGTTCTCGACTTACGGCGGGGATGGCCCTTCAAAACACGAGTTTCTTCAGTGACGTCAGGACTCCTGTCTAGTAACGAGGGACACCTCAGGAATCTCTAAGAGGCTTGGCAGGGCAAAAGGGACGCTTCTCGAGGTGAGGCAGGGCACCCAAGGACCCTTTCACGTAGCCACAGGGATTTTGGGATTCCTATCAGTATTCAAGAGGAGTCAGGCATCGTCACCTTTTGAAGCAATGAACTCCGCGTGCCTCTCGAGGTGTCAGCGGGACGTGAGGCATTCCGTCAAAATGAGGCAGGGACCTAAGGCTTTCTCTAAGGTCTCCACAGGGGATTCAGACATCCCTTCATGTTGTGAGATGAAAGACGAGCCTGTATTCAAGCCACTGCAAGGAAATCCGGCCTCCTTTCAAGTTAGGGCTTTTCGCTGTATATTCCCCTTGAGGCAGCAAACTCGGGTCCCACCCACATAACTATTGCTGAGAGAAGCCTCCTCCTGAGGTGCTTCTGGAAAGTTGGCATAAGTCTTGAGCCTAAGCCAGGGAATCAGCTCTCATCTCGAGACGATTTGGGGTACACAGAGCATTCCTCGAGTTGCTGTGCTGAAGTTGGTGTTCCTCTAGACTTGGGACAGTGTTCTCGGGGCATCTCTGGAGTTGCCTGAAGGAAGTCGAGCCACCGGTCGTGTTGAATGGGGAACGGGGAATGGCTCTGGAGTGAATGCAGGGGAATCGGGCCTCATCTCGAGTTGATTTGGGGCACATGGAGCTGCTTTGCGATGCTGGGGTGACCTCAGGGTCCGTCGAGACTGGTGACAGTGTTCTTGGGGACTGTCTCGAGATCCATTAAGCAAGTCGAAGCTCCTGACTTGTTTGAATGGGATCACGGAATAGCTCTGCATGCACTGCAGGGGAATGGGGCCTCATCTCGCCTCTAGGGGGAAGTCTCATGGTTTTTCTCGAGTTGCGGCGGGGACCTGGGGTATGTTCTCGACTTACGGCGGGGATGGCCCTTCAAAACACGAGTTTCTTCAGTGACGTCAGGACTCCTGTCTAGTAATGAGGGACACCTCAGGAATCTCTTCGAGGCTTGGCAGGGCAAAAGGGACGCTTCTCGAGGTGAGGCAGGGCACCCAAGGACCCTTTCCAGTAGCCACAGGGATTTTGGGATTCCTATCAGTATTCAAGAGGAGTCAGGCATCGTCACCTTTTGAAGAAATGAACTCCGCGTGCCTCTCGAGGTGTCAGCGGGATGTGAGGCATTCCGTCAAAATGAGGCAGGGACCTAGGGCTTTCACTAAGGTCTCCACAGGGGATTCAGATATCCCTTCATGTTGTGAGATGAAAGACGAGCCTGTATTCAAGCCACTGCAAGGAAATGCGGCCTCCTTTCAAGTTAGGGCTTCTCGCTGTATATTCCCCTTGAGGCAGCAAACTCGGGGTCCCTTCCACATACCTATTGCTGAGAGAAGCCTCCTCCTGAGGTGCTTCTGGAAAGTTGGCATAAGTCTTGAACCTAAGCCAGGGAATTAGCTCTCATCTCGAGACGATTTGGGGTACACGGAGCATTCCTCGAGTTGCTGTGCTGAAGTTGGTGTTCCTCTAGACTTGGGACCGTGTTCTCGGGGCATCTCTGGAGTTGCCTGAAGGAAGTCGAGCCACCGGTCGTGTTGAATGGGGAACGGGGAATGGCTCTGGAGTCAATGCATGGGAATCGGGCCTCATCTCGAGTTGATTTGGGGCACATGGAGCTGCTTTGCGTTGCTGGGGTGACCTCAGGGTCCGTCTAGACTGGTGACAGTGTTCTTGGGGACTCTCTCGAGATCCACTAAGCAAGTCGAAGCTCCTGACTTGTTTGAATGGGATCACGGAATAGCTCTGCATGCACTGCAGGGGAATGGGGCCTCATCTCGCCTCTACGGGGAAGTCTCATGGTTTTACTCTAGTTGCGGCGGGGACCTGGGGTATGTTCTCGACTTACGGCGGGGATGGCCCTTCAAAACACGAGTTTCTTCAGTGACCTCAGGACTCCTGTCTAGTAACGAGGGACACCTCAGGAATCTCTTCGAGGCTTGGCAGGGCAATAGGGACGCTTCTCGAGGTGAGGCAGGGCACCCAAGGACCCTTTCCCGTAGCCACAGGGATTTTGGGATTCCTATCAGTATTCAAGATGAGTCAGGCATCGTCACCTTTTGAAGCAATGAACTCCGCGTGCCTCTCGAGGTGTCAGCGGGATGTGAGGCATTCCGTCAAAATGAGGCATGGACCTAGGGCTTTCTCTAAGGTCTCCACAGGGGATTCAGACATCCCTTCATGTTGTGAGATGAAAGACGAGCCTGTATTCAAGCCACTGCAAGGAAATCCGGCCTCCTTTCAAGTTATGGCTTCTCGCTGTATATTCCCCTTGAGGCAGCAAACTCGGGGTCCCTCCCACATACCTATTGCTGGGAGAAGCCTCCTCCTGAGGTGCTTCTGGAAAGATGGCATACGTCTTGAGCCTAAGCCAGGGAATCAGCTCTCATCTCTAGACGATTTGGGGTACACGGAGCATTCCTCAAGTGCTGTGCTGAGGTTGGTGTTCCTCTAGACTTGGGACACTGTTGTCGGGGCATCTCTGGAGTTGCCTGAAGGAAGTCGAGCCACTGGTCGTGTTGAATGGGGAACGGGGAATGGCTCTGGAGTCAATGCAGGGGAATCGGGCCTCATCTCGAGTTGATTTGGGGGACATGCAGCTGCTTTGCGTTGCTGGGGTGACCTCAGGGTCCGTCTAGACTGGTGACAGTGTTCTTGGGGACTGTCTCGAGATCCATTAAGCAAGTTGAAGCTCCTGACTTGTTTGAATGCGATCACGGAATAGCTCTGCATGCACTGCAGGGGAATGGGGCCTCATCTCGCCTCTAGGGGGAAGTCTCATGGTTTTTCTCGAGTTGCGGCAGGGACCTGGGGTATGTTCTCGACTTACGGCGGGGATGGCCCTTCAAAACACGAGTTTCCTCAGTGACCTCAGGACTCCTGTCTAGTAACGAGGGACACCTCAGGAATCTCTTCGAGGCTTGGCAGGGCAAAAGGGACGCTTCTCGAGGTGAGGCAGGGCCCCCAAGGACCCTTTCCCGTAGCCACAGGGATTTTGGGATTCCTATCAGTATTCAAGAGGAGTCAGGCATCGTCACCTTTTGAAGCAATGAACTCCGCGTGCCTCTCGAGGTGTCAGCGGGATGTGAGGCATTCCGTCAAAATGAGGCAGGGACCTAGGGCTTTCTCTAAGGTATCCACAGGGGATTCAGACATCCCTTCATGTTGTGAGATGAAAGACGAGCCTGTATTCAAGCCACTGCAAGGAAATCCGGCCTCCTTTCAAGTTATGGCTTCTCGCTGTATATTCCCCTTGAGGCAGCAAACTCGGGGTCCCTCCCACATACCTATTGCTGGGAGAAGCCTCCTCCTGAGGTGCTTCTGGAAAGTTGGCATACGTCTTGAGCCTAAGCCAGGGAATCAGCTCTCATCTCTAGACGATTTGGGGTACACGGAGCATTCCTCAAGTGCTGTGCTGAGGTTGGTGTTCCTCTAGACTTGGGACACTGTTGTCGGGGCATCTCTGGAGTTGCCTGAAGGAAGTCGAGCCACCGGTCGTGTTGAATGGGGAACGGGGAATGGCTCTGGCGTCAATGCAGGCGAATGGGACCTCATCTCGAGTTGATTTGGGGCACATGGAGCTGCTTTGCTTTTCTGGGGTGACCTCAGGGTCCGTCTAGACTGGTGACAGTGTTCTTGGGGACTGTCTCGAGATCCATTAAGCAAGTCGAAGCTCCTGACTTGTTGGAATGGGATCACGGAATAGCTCTGCATGCACTGCAGCGGAATGGGACCTCATCTCGCCTCTAGGGGGAAGTCTCATGGTTTTTCTCGAGTTGCGGCGGGGACCTGGGGTATGTTCTCGACTTACGGCGGGGATGGCCCTTCAAAACACGAGTTTCTTCAGTGACGTCAGGACTCCTGTCTAGCAACGATGGACACCTCAGGAATCTCTTCGAGGCTTGGCAAGGCAAAAGGGACGCTTCTCGAGGTGAGGGAGGGCACCCAAGGACCCTTTCCCGTAGCCACAGGGATTTCGGGATTCCTATCAGTATTCAAGAGGAGTCAGGCATCGTCACGTTTTGAAGCAATGAACTCCGCGTGCCTCTCGAGGTGTCAGCGAGATGTGAGGCATTCCGTCAAAATGAGGCAGGGACCTAGGGCTTTCTCTATGGTCTCCACAGGGGATTCAGACATCCCTTCATGTTGTGAGATGAAAGACGAGCCTTTATTCAAGCCACTGCAAGGAAATCCGGCCCCCTTTCAAGTTAGGGCTTCTCGCTGTAAATTCCCCTTGAGGCAGCAAACTCGGGGTCCCTCCCACATACCTATTGCTGAGAGAAGCCTCCTCCTGAGGTGCTTCTGGAAAGTTGGCATACGTCTTGAACCTAAGCCAGGGAATCAGCTCTCATCTCGAGACGATTTGGGGTACACGAAGCATTCCTCGAGTTGCTGTGCTGAAGTTGGTGTTCCTCTAGACTTGGGACAGTGTTCTCGGGGCATCTCTGGAGTTGCCTGAAGGAAGTCGAGCCACCGGTCGTGTTGAATGGGGAACGGGGAATGGCTCTGGAGTCAATGCAGGGGAATCGGGCCTCATCTCGAGTTGATTTGGGGCACATGGAGCTGCTTTCCGTTGCTGGGGTGACCTCAGGGTCCGTCTAGACTGGCGACAGTGTTCTTGGGGACTCTCTCGAGTTCCATTAAGCAAGTCGAAGCTCCTGACTTGTTTGAATGGGATCACGGAATAGCTCTGCATGCACTGCAGGGGAATGGGGCCTCATCTCGCCTCTAGGGGGAAGTCTCATGGTTTTTCTCGAGTTGCGGCGGGGACCTGGGGTATGTTCTCGACTTACGGCGGGGATGGCCCTTCAAAACACGAGTTTCTTCAGTGACGTCAGGACTCCTGTCTAGTAACGAGGGACACCTCAGGAATCTCTACGAGGCTTGGCAGAGCAAAAGGGACGCTTCTCGAGGTGAGGCAGGGCATCCAAGGACCCTTTCCAGTAGCCACAGCGATTTTGGGATTCCTATCAGTATTCAAGAGGAGTCAGGCATCGTCACCTTTTGAAGCAATGAACTCCGCGTGCCTCTCGAGGTGTCAGCGGGATGTGAGGCATTCCGTCAAAATGAGGCAGGGATCTGGGGCTTTCTCTAAGGTCTCCACAGGGGATTCAGACATCTCTTCATGTTGTGAGATGAAAGACGAGCCTGTATTCAAGCCACTGCAAGGAAATCCGGCCTCCTTTCAAGTTAGGGCTTCTCGCTGTATATTCCCCTTGAGGCAGCAATCTCGGGTCCCACCCACATACCTATTGATGAGAGAAGCCTCCTCCTGAGGTGCTTCTGGAAAGTTGGCATAAGTCTTGAGCCTAAGCCAGGGAATCAGCTCTCATCTCGAGACGATTTGGGGTACACAGAGCATTCCTCGAGTTGCTGTGCTGAAGTTGGTGTTCCTCTAGACTTGGGACAGTGTTCTCGGGGCATCTCTGGAGTTGCCTGAAGGAAGTCGAGTCACCGGTCGTGTTGAATGGGGAACAGGGAATGGCTCTGGGGTCAATGCAGGGGAATCGGGCCTCATCTCGAGTTGATTTGGGGCACATGGAGCTGCTTTGCGTTGCTGGGGTGACCTCAGGGTCCGTCTAGAGTGGTGACAGTGTTCTTCGGGACTGTCTCGAGATCCATTAAGCAAGTCGAAGCTCCTGACTTGTTTGAATGGGATCATGGGATAGCTCTGCATGCACTGCAAGGGAATGGGGCCTCATCTCGCCTCTAGGGGGAAGTCTCATGGTTTTTCCCGAGTTGCGGCGGGGACCTGGGGTATGTTCTCGACTTACGGCGGGGATGGCCCTTCAAAACACGAGTTTCTTCAGTGACGTCAGGACTCCTGTCTAGTAATGAGGGACACCTCAGGAATCTCTTCGAGGCTTGGCAGGGCAAAAGGGACGCTTCTCGAGGTGAGGCAGGGCACCCAAGGACCCTTTCCAGTAGCCACAGGGATTTTGGGATTCCTATCAGTATTCAAGAGGAGTCAGGCATCGTCACCTTTTGAAGCAATGAACTCCGCGTACCTCTCGAGGTGTCAGCGGGATGTGAGGCATTCCGTCAAAATGAGGCAGGGACCTAGGGCTTTCTCTAAGGTCTCCACAGGGGATTCAGACATCCCTTCATGATGTGAGATGAAAGACCAGCCTGTATTCAAGCCACTGCAAGGAAATGCGGCCTCCTTTCAAGTTAGGGCTTCTCGCTGTATATTCCCCTTGAGGCAGCAAACTCGGGGTCCCTTCCACATACCTATTGCTGAGAGAAGCCTCCTCCTGAGGTGCTTCTGGAAAGTTGGCATAAGTCTTGAGCCTAAGCCAGGGAATCAGCTCTCATCTCGAGACGATTTGGGGTACACGAAGCATTCCTCGAGTTGCTGTGCTGAAGTTGGTGTTCCTCTAGACTTGGGACCGTGTTCTCGGGGCATCTCTGGAGTTGCCTGAAGGAAGTCGAGCCACCGGTCGTGTTGAATGGGGAACGAGGAATGGCTCTGGAGTCAATGCAGGGGAATCGGGCCTCATCTCGAGTTGATTTGGGGCACATGGAGCTGCTTTGCGTTGCTGGGGTGACCTCAGGGTCCGTCGAGACTGGTGACAGTGTTCTTGGGGACTGTCTCGAGATCCATTAAGCAAGTCGAAGCTCCTGACTTGTTTGAATGGGATCACGGGATAGCTCTGCATGCACTGCAGGGGAATGGGGCCTCATCTCGCCTCAAGGGGGAAGTCTCATGGTTTTTCTCGAGTTGCGGCGGGGACCTGGGGTATGTTCTCGACTTACGGCGGGGATGGCCCTTCAAAACACGAGTTTCTTAAGTGACGTCAGGACTCCTGTCTAGTAACGAGGGACACCTCAGGAATCTCTAAGAGGCTTGGCAGGGCAAAAGGGACGCTTCTCGAGGTGAGGCAGGGCACCCAAGGACCCTTTCACGTAGCCACAGGGATTTTGGGATTCCTATCAGTATTCAAGAGGAGTCAGGCATCGTCACCTTTTGAAGCAATGAACTCCGCGTGCCTCTCGAGGTGTCAGCGGGACGTGAGGCATTCCGTCAAAATGAGGCAGGGACCTAAGGCTTTCTCTAAGGTCTCCACAGGGGATTCAGACATCCCTTCATGTTGTGAGATGAAAGACGAGCCTGTATTCAAGCCACTGCAAGGAAATCCGGCCTCCTTTCAAGTTAGGGCTTTTCGCTGTATATTCCCCTTGAGGCAGCAAACTCGGGTCCCACCCACATAACTATTGCTGAGAGAAGCCTCCTCCTGAGGTGCTTCTGGAAAGTTGGCATAAGTCTTGAGCCTAAGCCAGGGAATCAGCTCTCATCTCGAGACGATTTGGGGTACACAGAGCATTCCTCGAGTTGCTGTGCTGAAGTTGGTGTTCCTCTAGACTTGGAACAGTGTTCTCGGGGCATCTCTGGAGTTGCCTGAAGGAAGTCGAGCCACCGGTCGTGTTGAATGGGGAACGGGGAATGGCTCTGGAGTGAATGCAGGGGAATCGGGCCTCATCTCGAGTTGATTTGGGGCACATGGAGCTGCTTTGCGATGCTGGGGTGACCTCAGGGTCCGTCGAGACTGGTGACAGTGTTCTTGGGGACTGTCTCGAGATCCACTAAGCAAGTCGAAGCTCCTGACTTGTTTGAATGGGATCACGGAATAGCTCTGCATGCACTGCAGGGGAATGGGGCCTCATCTCGCCTCAAGGGGGAAGTCTCATGGTTTTTCTCGAGTTGCGGCGGGGACCTGGGGTATGTTCTCGACTTACGGCGGGGATGGCCCTTCAAAACACGAGTTTCTTCAGTGACGTCAGGACTCCTGTCTAGTAACGAGGGACACCTCAGGAATCTCTAAGAGGCTTGGCAGGGCAAAAGGGACGCTTCTCGAGGTGAGGCAGGGCACCCAAGGACCCTTTCACGTAGCCACAGGGATTTTGGGATTCCTATCAGTATTCAAGAGGAGTCAGGCATCGTCACCTTTTGAAGCAATGAACTCCGCGTGCCTCTCGAGGTGTCAGCGGGACGTGAGGCATTCCGTCAAAATGAGGCAGGGACCTAAGGCTTTCTCTAAGGTCTCCACAGGGGATTCAGACATCCCTTCATGTTGTGAGATGAAAGACGAGCCTGTATTCAAGCCACTGCAAGGAAATCCGGCCTCCTTTCAAGTTAGGGCTTTTCGCTGTATATTCCCCTTGAGGCAGCAAACTCGGGTCCCACCCACATAACTATTGCTGAGAGAAGCCTCCTCCTGAGGTGCTTCTGGAAAGTTGGCATAAGTCTTGAGCCTAAGCCAGGGAATCAGCTCTCATCTCGAGACGATTTGGGGTACACAGAGCATTCCTCGAGTTGCTGTGCTGAAGTTGGTGTTCCTCTAGACTTGGGACAGTGTTCTCGGGGCATCTCTGGAGTTGCCTGAAGGAAGTCGAGCCACCGGTCGTGTTGAATGGGGAACGGGGAATGGCTCTGGAGTGAATGCAGGGGAATCGGGCCTCATCTCGAGTTGATTTGGGGCACATGGAGCTGCTTTGCGATGCTGGGGTGACCTCAGGGTCCGTCGAGACTGGTGACAGTGTTCTTGGGGACTGTCTCGAGATCCATTAAGCAAGTCGAAGCTCCTGACTTGTTTGAATGGGATCACGGAATAGCTCTGCATGCACTGCAGGGGAATGGGGCCTCATCTCGCCTCTAGGGGGAAGTCTCATGGTTTTTCTCGAGTTGCGGCGGGGACCTGGGGTATGTTCTCGACTTACGGCGGGGATGGCCCTTCAAAACACGAGTTTCTTCAGTGACGTCAGGACTCCTGTCTAGTAATGAGGGACACCTCAGGAATCTCTTCGAGGCTTGGCAGGGCAAAAGGGACGCTTCTCGAGGTGAGGCAGGGCACCCAAGGACCCTTTCCAGTAGCCACAGGGATTTTGGGATTCCTATCAGTATTCAAGAGGAGTCAGGCATCGTCACCTTTTGAAGCAATGAACTCCGCGTGCCTCTCGAGGTGTCAGCGGGATGTGAGGCATTCCGTCAAAATGAGGCAGGGACCTAGGGCTTTCACTAAGGTCTCCACAGGGGATTCAGATATCCCTTCATGTTGTGAGATGAAAGACGAGCCTGTATTCAAGCCACTGCAAGGAAATGCGGCCTCCTTTCAAGTTAGGGCTTCTCGCTGTATATTCCCCTTGAGGCAGCAAACTCGGGGTCCCTTCCACATACCTATTGCTGAGAGAAGCCTCCTCCTGAGGTGCTTCTGGAAAGTTGGCATAAGTCTTGAACCTAAGCCAGGGAATTAGCTCTCATCTCGAGACGATTTGGGGTACACGGAGCATTCCTCGAGTTGCTGTGCTGAAGTTGGTGTTCCTCTAGACTTGGGACCGTGTTCTCGGGGCATCTCTGGAGTTGCCTGAAGGAAGTCGAGCCACCGGTCGTGTTGAATGGGGAACGGGGAATGGCTCTGGAGTCAATGCATGGGAATCGGGCCTCATCTCGAGTTGATTTGGGGCACATGGAGCTGCTTTGCGTTGCTGGGGTGACCTCAGGGTCCGTCTAGACTGGTGACAGTGTTCTTGGGGACTCTCTCGAGATCCACTAAGCAAGTCGAAGCTCCTGACTTGTTTGAATGGGATCACGGAATAGCTCTGCATGCACTGCAGGGGAATGGGGCCTCATCTCGCCTCTACGGGGAAGTCTCATGGTTTTACTCTAGTTGCGGCGGGGACCTGGGGTATGTTCTCGACTTACGGCGGGGATGGCCCTTCAAAACACGAGTTTCTTCAGTGACCTCAGGACTCCTGTCTAGTAACGAGGGACACCTCAGGAATCTCTTCGAGGCTTGGCAGGGCAATAGGGACGCTTCTCGAGGTGAGGCAGGGCACCCAAGGACCCTTTCCCGTAGCCACAGGGATTTTGGGATTCCTATCAGTATTCAAGATGAGTCAGGCATCGTCACCTTTTGAAGCAATGAACTCCGCGTGCCTCTCGAGGTGTCAGCGGGATGTGAGGCATTCCGTCAAAATGAGGCATGGACCTAGGGCTTTCTCTAAGGTCTCCACAGGGGATTCAGACATCCCTTCATGTTGTGAGATGAAAGACGAGCCTGTATTCAAGCCACTGCAAGGAAATCCGGCCTCCTTTCAAGTTATGGCTTCTCGCTGTATATTCCCCTTGAGGCAGCAAACTCGGGGTCCCTCCCACATACCTATTGCTGGGAGAAGCCTCCTCCTGAGGTGCTTCTGGAAAGATGGCATACGTCTTGAGCCTAAGCCAGGGAATCAGCTCTCATCTCTAGACGATTTGGGGTACACGGAGCATTCCTCAAGTGCTGTGCTGAGGTTGGTGTTCCTCTAGACTTGGGACACTGTTGTCGGGGCATCTCTGGAGTTGCCTGAAGGAAGTCGAGCCACTGGTCGTGTTGAATGGGGAACGGGGAATGGCTCTGGAGTCAATGCAGGGGAATCGGGCCTCATCTCGAGTTGATTTGGGGGACATGCAGCTGCTTTGCGTTGCTGGGGTGACCTCAGGGTCCGTCTAGACTGGTGACAGTGTTCTTGGGGACTGTCTCGAGATCCATTAAGCAAGTTGAAGCTCCTGACTTGTTTGAATGCGATCACGGAATAGCTCTGCATGCACTGCAGGGGAATGGGGCCTCATCTCGCCTCTAGGGGGAAGTCTCATGGTTTTTCTCGAGTTGCGGCAGGGACCTGGGGTATGTTCTCGACTTACGGCGGGGATGGCCCTTCAAAACACGAGTTTCCTCAGTGACCTCAGGACTCCTGTCTAGTAACGAGGGACACCTCAGGAATCTCTTCGAGGCTTGGCAGGGCAAAAGGGACGCTTCTCGAGGTGAGGCAGGGCCCCCAAGGACCCTTTCCCGTAGCCACAGGGATTTTGGGATTCCTATCAGTATTCAAGAGGAGTCAGGCATCGTCACCTTTTGAAGCAATGAACTCCGCGTGCCTCTCGAGGTGTCAGCGGGATGTGAGGCATTCCGTCAAAATGAGGCAGGGACCTAGGGCTTTCTCTAAGGTATCCACAGGGGATTCAGACATCCCTTCATGTTGTGAGATGAAAGACGAGCCTGTATTCAAGCCACTGCAAGGAAATCCGGCCTCCTTTCAAGTTATGGCTTCTCGCTGTATATTCCCCTTGAGGCAGCAAACTCGGGGTCCCTCCCACATACCTATTGCTGGGAGAAGCCTCCTCCTGAGGTGCTTCTGGAAAGTTGGCATACGTCTTGAGCCTAAGCCAGGGAATCAGCTCTCATCTCTAGACGATTTGGGGTACACGGAGCATTCCTCAAGTGCTGTGCTGAGGTTGGTGTTCCTCTAGACTTGGGACACTGTTGTCGGGGCATCTCTGGAGTTGCCTGAAGGAAGTCGAGCCACCGGTCGTGTTGAATGGGGAACGGGGAATGGCTCTGGCGTCAATGCAGGCGAATGGGACCTCATCTCGAGTTGATTTGGGGCACATGGAGCTGCTTTGCTTTTCTGGGGTGACCTCAGGGTCCGTCTAGACTGGTGACAGTGTTCTTGGGGACTGTCTCGAGATCCATTAAGCAAGTCGAAGCTCCTGACTTGTTGGAATGGGATCACGGAATAGCTCTGCATGCACTGCAGCGGAATGGGACCTCATCTCGCCTCTAGGGGGAAGTCTCATGGTTTTTCTCGAGTTGCGGCGGGGACCTGGGGTATGTTCTCGACTTACGGCGGGGATGGCCCTTCAAAACACGAGTTTCTTCAGTGACGTCAGGACTCCTGTCTAGCAACGATGGACACCTCAGGAATCTCTTCGAGGCTTGGCAAGGCAAAAGGGACGCTTCTCGAGGTGAGGGAGGGCACCCAAGGACCCTTTCCCGTAGCCACAGGGATTTCGGGATTCCTATCAGTATTCAAGAGGAGTCAGGCATCGTCACGTTTTGAAGCAATGAACTCCGCGTGCCTCTCGAGGTGTCAGCGAGATGTGAGGCATTCCGTCAAAATGAGGCAGGGACCTAGGGCTTTCTCTATGGTCTCCACAGGGGATTCAGACATCCCTTCATGTTGTGAGATGAAAGACGAGCCTTTATTCAAGCCACTGCAAGGAAATCCGGCCCCCTTTCAAGTTAGGGCTTCTCGCTGTAAATTCCCCTTGAGGCAGCAAACTCGGGGTCCCTCCCACATACCTATTGCTGAGAGAAGCCTCCTCCTGAGGTGCTTCTGGAAAGTTGGCATACGTCTTGAACCTAAGCCAGGGAATCAGCTCTCATCTCGAGACGATTTGGGGTACACGAAGCATTCCTCGAGTTGCTGTGCTGAAGTTGGTGTTCCTCTAGACTTGGGACAGTGTTCTCGGGGCATCTCTGGAGTTGCCTGAAGGAAGTCGAGCCACCGGTCGTGTTGAATGGGGAACGGGGAATGGCTCTGGAGTCAATGCAGGGGAATCGGGCCTCATCTCGAGTTGATTTGGGGCACATGGAGCTGCTTTCCGTTGCTGGGGTGACCTCAGGGTCCGTCTAGACTGGTGACAGTGTTCTTGGGGACTCTCTCGAGTTCCATTAAGCAAGTCGAAGCTCCTGACTTGTTTGAATGGGATCACGGAATAGCTCTGCATGCACTGCAGGGGAATGGGGCCTCATCTCGCCTCTAGGGGGAAGTCTCATGGTTTTTCTCGAGTTGCGGCGGGGACCTGGGGTATGTTCTCGACTTACGGCGGGGATGGCCCTTCAAAACACGAGTTTCTTCAGTGACGTCAGGACTCCTGTCTAGTAACGAGGGACACCTCAGGAATCTCTACGAGGCTTGGCAGAGCAAAAGGGACGCTTCTCGAGGTGAGGCAGGGCATCCAAGGACCCTTTCCAGTAGCCACAGCGATTTTGGGATTCCTATCAGTATTCAAGAGGAGTCAGGCATCGTCACCTTTTGAAGCAATGAACTCCGCGTGCCTCTCGAGGTGTCAGCGGGATGTGAGGCATTCCGTCAAAATGAGGCAGGGATCTGGGGCTTTCTCTAAGGTCTCCACAGGGGATTCAGACATCTCTTCATGTTGTGAGATGAAAGACGAGCCTGTATTCAAGCCACTGCAAGGAAATCCGGCCTCCTTTCAAGTTAGGGCTTCTCGCTGTATATTCCCCTTGAGGCAGCAATCTCGGGTCCCACCCACATACCTATTGATGAGAGAAGCCTCCTCCTGAGGTGCTTCTGGAAAGTTGGCATAAGTCTTGAGCCTAAGCCAGGGAATCAGCTCTCATCTCGAGACGATTTGGGGTACACAGAGCATTCCTCGAGTTGCTGTGCTGAAGTTGGTGTTCCTCTAGACTTGGGACAGTGTTCTCGGGGCATCTCTGGAGTTGCCTGAAGGAAGTCGAGTCACCGGTCGTGTTGAATGGGGAACAGGGAATGGCTCTGGGGTCAATGCAGGGGAATCGGGCCTCATCTCGAGTTGATTTGGGGCACATGGAGCTGCTTTGCGTTGCTGGGGTGACCTCAGGGTCCGTCTAGAGTGGTGACAGTGTTCTTCGGGACTGTCTCGAGATCCATTAAGCAAGTCGAAGCTCCTGACTTGTTTGAATGGGATCATGGGATAGCTCTGCATGCACTGCAAGGGAATGGGGCCTCATCTCGCCTCTAGGGGGAAGTCTCATGGTTTTTCCCGAGTTGCGGCGGGGACCTGGGGTATGTTCTCGACTTACGGCGGGGATGGCCCTTCAAAACACGAGTTTCTTCAGTGACGTCAGGACTCCTGTCTAGTAATGAGGGACACCTCAGGAATCTCTTCGAGGCTTGGCAGGGCAAAAGGGACGCTTCTCGAGGTGAGGCAGGGCACCCAAGGACCCTTTCCCGTAGCCACAGGGATTTTGGGATTCCTATCAGTATTCAAGAGGAGTCAGGCATCGTCACCTTTTGAAGCAATGAACTCCGCGTACCTCTCGAGGTGTCAGCGGGATGTGAGGCATTCCGTCAAAATGAGGCAGGGACCTAGGGCTTTCTCTAAGGTCTCCACAGGGGATTCAGACATCCCTTCATGTTGTGAGATGAAAGACCAGCCTGTATTCAAGCCACTGCAAGGAAATGCGGCCTCCTTTCAAGTTAGGGCTTCTCGCTGTATATTCCCCTTGAGGCAGCAAACTCGGGGTCCCTTCCACATACCTATTGCTGAGAGAAGCCTCCTCCTGAGGTGCTTCTGGAAAGTTGGCATAAGTCTTGAGCCTAAGCCAGGGAATCAGCTCTCATCTCGAGACGATTTGGGGTACACGAAGCATTCCTCGAGTTGCTGTGCTGAAGTTGGTGTTCCTCTAGACTTGGGACCGTGTTCTCGGGGCATCTCTGGAGTTGCCTGAAGGAAGTCGAGCCACCGGTCGTGTTGAATGGGGAACGAGGAATGGCTCTGGAGTCAATGCAGGGGAATCGGGCCTCATCTCGAGTTGATTTGGGGCACATGGAGCTGCTTTGCGTTGCTGGGGTGACCTCAGGGTCCGTCGAGACTGGTGACAGTGTTCTTGGGGACTGTCTCGAGATCCATTAAGCAAGTCGAAGCTCCTGACTTGTTTGAATGGGATCACGGGATAGCTCTGCATGCACTGCAGGGGAATGGGGCCTCATCTCGCCTCAAGGGGGAAGTCTCATGGTTTTTCTCGAGTTGCGGCGGGGACCTGGGGTATGTTCTCGACTTACGGCGGGGATGGCCCTTCAAAACACGAGTTTCTTAAGTGACGTCAGGACTCCTGTCTAGTAACGAGGGACACCTCAGGAATCTCTAAGAGGCTTGGCAGGGCAAAAGGGACGCTTCTCGAGGTGAGGCAGGGCACCCAAGGACCCTTTCACGTAGCCACAGGGATTTTGGGATTCCTATCAGTATTCAAGAGGAGTCAGGCATCGTCACCTTTTGAAGCAATGAACTCCGCGTGCCTCTCGAGGTGTCAGCGGGACGTGAGGCATTCCGTCAAAATGAGGCAGGGACCTAAGGCTTTCTCTAAGGTCTCCACAGGGGATTCAGACATCCCTTCATGTTGTGAGATGAAAGACGAGCCTGTATTCAAGCCACTGCAAGGAAATCCGGCCTCCTTTCAAGTTAGGGCTTTTCGCTGTATATTCCCCTTGAGGCAGCAAACTCGGGTCCCACCCACATAACTATTGCTGAGAGAAGCCTCCTCCTGAGGTGCTTCTGGAAAGTTGGCATAAGTCTTGAGCCTAAGCCAGGGAATCAGCTCTCATCTCGAGACGATTTGGGGTACACAGAGCATTCCTCGAGTTGCTGTGCTGAAGTTGGTGTTCCTCTAGACTTGGGACAGTGTTCTCGGGGCATCTCTGGAGTTGCCTGAAGGAAGTCGAGCCACCGGTCGTGTTGAATGGGGAACGGGGAATGGCTCTGGAGTGAATGCAGGGGAATCGGGCCTCATCTCGAGTTGATTTGGGGCACATGGAGCTGCTTTGCGATGCTGGGGTGACCTCAGGGTCCGTCGAGACTGGTGACAGTGTTCTTGGGGACTGTCTCGAGATCCACTAAGCAAGTCGAAGCTCCTGACTTGTTTGAATGGGATCACGGAATAGCTCTGCATGCACTGCAGGGGAATGGGGCCTCATCTCGCCTCAAGGGGGAAGTCTCATGGTTTTTCTCGAGTTGCGGCGGGGACCTGGGGTATGTTCTCGACTTACGGCGGGGATGGCCCTTCAAAACACGAGTTTCTTCAGTGACGTCAGGACTCCTGTCTAGTAACGAGGGACACCTCAGGAATCTCTAAGAGGCTTGGCAGGGCAAAAGGGACGCTTCTCGAGGTGAGGCAGGGCACCCAAGGACCCTTTCACGTAGCCACAGGGATTTTGGGATTCCTATCAGTATTCAAGAGGAGTCAGGCATCGTCACCTTTTGAAGCAATGAACTCCGCGTGCCTCTCGAGGTGTCAGCGGGACGTGAGGCATTCCGTCAAAATGAGGCAGGGACCTAAGGCTTTCTCTAAGGTCTCCACAGGGGATTCAGACATCCCTTCATGTTGTGAGATGAAAGACCAGCCTGTATTCAAGCCACTGCAAGGAAATCCGGCCTCCTTTCAAGTTAGGGCTTTTCGCTGTATATTCCCCTTGAGGCAGCAAACTCGGGTCCCACCCACATAACTATTGCTGAGAGAAGCCTCCTCCTGAGGTGCTTCTGGAAAGTTGGCATAAGTCTTGAGCCTAAGCCAGGGAATCAGCTCTCATCTCGAGACGATTTGGGGTACACAGAGCATTCCTCGAGTTGCTGTGCTGAAGTTGGTGTTCCTCTAGACTTGGGACAGTGTTCTCGGGGCATCTCTGGAGTTGCCTGAAGGAAGTCGAGCCACCGGTCGTGTTGAATGGGGAACGGGGAATGGCTCTGGAGTGAATGCAGGGGAATCGGGCCTCATCTCGAGTTGATTTGGGGCACATGGAGCTGCTTTGCGATGCTGGGGTGACCTCAGGGTCCGTCGAGACTGGTGACAGTGTTCTTGGGGACTGTCTCGAGATCCATTAAGCAAGTCGAAGCTCCTGACTTGTTTGAATGGGATCACGGAATAGCTCTGCATGCACTGCAGGGGAATGGGGCCTCATCTCGCCTCTAGGGGGAAGTCTCATGGTTTTTCTCGAGTTGCGGCGGGGACCTGGGGTATGTTCTCGACTTACGGCGGGGATGGCCCTTCAAAACACGAGTTTCTTCAGTGACGTCAGGACTCCTGTCTAGTAATGAGGGACACCTCAGGAATCTCTTCGAGGCTTGGCAGGGCAAAAGGGACGCTTCTCGAGGTGAGGCAGGGCACCCAAGGACCCTTTCCAGTAGCCACAGGGATTTTGGGATTCCTATCAGTATTCAAGAGGAGTCAGGCATCGTCACCTTTTGAAGCAATGAACTCCGCGTGCCTCTCGAGGTGTCAGCGGGATGTGAGGCATTCCGTCAAAATGAGGCAGGGACCTAGGGCTTTCACTAAGGTCTCCACAGGGGATTCAGATATCCCTTCATGTTGTGAGATGAAAGACGAGCCTGTATTCAAGCCACTGCAAGGAAATGCGGCCTCCTTTCAAGTTAGGGCTTCTCGCTGTATATTCCCCTTGAGGCAGCAAACTCGGGGTCCCTTCCACATACCTATTGCTGAGAGAAGCCTCCTCCTGAGGTGCTTCTGGAAAGTTGGCATAAGTCTTGAACCTAAGCCAGGGAATTAGCTCTCATCTCGAGACGATTTGGGGTACACGGAGCATTCCTCGAGTTGCTGTGCTGAAGTTGGTGTTCCTCTAGACTTGGGACCGTGTTCTCGGGGCATCTCTGGAGTTGCCTGAAGGAAGTCGAGCCACCGGTCGTGTTGAATGGGGAACGGGGAATGGCTCTGGAGTCAATGCATGGGAATCGGGCCTCATCTCGAGTTGATTTGGGGCACATGGAGCTGCTTTGCGTTGCTGGGGTGACCTCAGGGTCCGTCTAGACTGGTGACAGTGTTCTTGGGGACTCTCTCGAGATCCACTAAGCAAGTCGAAGCTCCTGACTTGTTTGAATGGGATCACGGAATAGCTCTGCATGCACTGCAGGGGAATGGGGCCTCATCTCGCCTCTACGGGGAAGTCTCATGGTTTTACTCTAGTTGCGGCGGGGACCTGGGGTATGTTCTCGACTTACGGCGGGGATGGCCCTTCAAAACACGAGTTTCTTCAGTGACCTCAGGACTCCTGTCTAGTAACGAGGGACACCTCAGGAATCTCTTCGAGGCTTGGCAGGGCAAAAGGGACGCTTCTCGAGGTGAGGCAGGGCACCCAAGAACCCTTTCCCGTAGCCACAGGGATTTTGGGATTCCTATCAGTATTCAAGATGAGTCAGGCATCGTCACCTTTTGAAGCAATGAACTCCGCGTGCCTCTCGAGGTGTCAGCGGGATGTGAGGCATTCCGTCAAAATGAGGCATGGACCTAGGGCTTTCTCTAAGGTCTCCACAGGGGATTCAGACATCCCTTCATGTTGTGAGATGAAAGACGAGCCTGTATTCAAGCCACTGCAAGGAAATCCGGCCTCCTTTCAAGTTATGGCTTCTCGCTGTATATTCCCCTTGAGGCAGCAAACTCGGGGTCCCTCCCACATACCTATTGCTGGGAGAAGCCTCCTCCTGAGGTGCTTCTGGAAAGATGGCATACGTCTTGAGCCTAAGCCAGGGAATCAGCTCTCATCTCTAGACGATTTGGGGTACACGGAGCATTCCTCAAGTGCTGTGCTGAGGTTGGTGTTCCTCTAGACTTGGGACACTGTTGTCGGGGCATCTCTGGAGTTGCCTGAAGGAAGTCGAGCCACCGGTCGTGTTGAATGGGGAACGGGGAATGGCTCTGGCGTCAATGCAGGCGAATGGGACCTCATCTCGAGTTGATTTGGGGCACATGGAGCTGTTTGCTTTGCTGGGGTGACCTCAGGGTCCGTCTAGACTGGTGACAGTGTTCTTGGGGACTGTCTCGAGATCCATTAAGCAAGTCGAAGCTCCTGACTTGTTGGAATGGGATCACGGAATAGCTCTGCATGCACTGCAGGGGAATGGGGCCTCATCTCGCCTCAAGGGGGAAGTCTCATGGTTTTTCTCGAGTTGCGGCGGGGACCTGGGGTATGTTCTCGACTTACGGCGGGGATGGCCCTTCAAAACACGAGTTTCTTCAGTGACGTCAGGACTCCTGTCTAGTAACGAGGGACACCTCAGGAATCTCTAAGAGGCTTGGCAGGGCAAAAGGGACGCTTCTCGAGGTGAGGCAGGGCACCCAAGGACCCTTTCACGTAGCCACAGGGATTTTGGGATTCCTATCAGTATTCAAGAGGAGTCAGGCATCGTCACCTTTTGAAGCAATGAACTCCGCGTGCCTCTCGAGGTGTCAGCGGGACGTGAGGCATTCCGTCAAAATGAGGCAGGGACCTAAGGCTTTCTCTAAGGTCTCCACAGGGGATTCAGACATCCCTTCATGTTGTGAGATGAAAGACGAGCCTGTATTCAAGCCACTGCAAGGAAATCCGGCCTCCTTTCAAGTTAGGGCTTTTCGCTGTATATTCCCCTTGAGGCAGCAAACTCGGGTCCCACCCACATAACTATTGCTGAGAGAAGCCTCCTCCTGAGGTGCTTCTGGAAAGTTGGCATAAGTCTTGAGCCTAAGCCAGGGAATCAGCTCTCATCTCGAGACGATTTGGGGTACACAGAGCATTCCTCGAGTTGCTGTGCTGAAGTTGGTGTTCCTCTAGACTTGGGACAGTGTTCTCGGGGCATCTCTGGAGTTGCCTGAAGGAAGTCGAGCCACCGGTCGTGTTGAATGGGGAACGGGGAATGGCTCTGGAGTGAATGCAGGGGAATCGGGCCTCATCTCGAGTTGATTTGGGGCACATGGAGCTGCTTTGCGATGCTGGGGTGACCTCAGGGTCCGTCGAGACTGGTGACAGTGTTCTTGGGGACTGTCTCGAGATCCATTAAGCAAGTCGAAGCTCCTGACTTGTTTGAATGGGATCACGGAATAGCTCTGCATGCACTGCAGGGGAATGGGGCCTCATCTCGCCTCTAGGGGGAAGTCTCATGGTTTTTCTCGAGTTGCGGCGGGGACCTGGGGTATGTTCTCGACTTACGGCGGGGATGGCCCTTCAAAACACGAGTTTCTTCAGTGACGTCAGGACTCCTGTCTAGTAATGAGGGACACCTCAGGAATCTCTTCGAGGCTTGGCAGGGCAAAAGGGACGCTTCTCGAGGTGAGGCAGGGCACCCAAGGACCCTTTCCAGTAGCCACAGGGATTTTGGGATTCCTATCAGTATTCAAGAGGAGTCAGGCATCGTCACCTTTTGAAGCAATGAACTCCGCGTGCCTCTCGAGGTGTCAGCGGGATGTGAGGCATTCCGTCAAAATGAGGCAGGGACCTAGGGCTTTCACTAAGGTCTCCACAGGGGATTCAGATATCCCTTCATGTTGTGAGATGAAAGACGAGCCTGTATTCAAGCCACTGCAAGGAAATGCGGCCTCCTTTCAAGTTAGGGCTTCTCGCTGTATATTCCCCTTGAGGCAGCAAACTCGGGGTCCCTTCCACATACCTATTGCTGAGAGAAGCCTCCTCCTGAGGTGCTTCTGGAAAGTTGGCATAAGTCTTGAACCTAAGCCAGGGAATTAGCTCTCATCTCGAGACGATTTGGGGTACACGGAGCATTCCTCGAGTTGCTGTGCTGAAGTTGGTGTTCCTCTAGACTTGGGACCGTGTTCTCGGGGCATCTCTGGAGTTGCCTGAAGGAAGTCGAGCCACCGGTCGTGTTGAATGGGGAACGGGGAATGGCTCTGGAGTCAATGCATGGGAATCGGGCCTCATCTCGAGTTGATTTGGGGCACATGGAGCTGCTTTGCGTTGCTGGGGTGACCTCAGGGTCCGTCTAGACTGGTGACAGTGTTCTTGGGGACTCTCTCGAGATCCACTAAGCAAGTCGAAGCTCCTGACTTGTTTGAATGGGATCACGGAATAGCTCTGCATGCACTGCAGGGGAATGGGGCCTCATCTCGCCTCTACGGGGAAGTCTCATGGTTTTACTCTAGTTGCGGCGGGGACCTGGGGTATGTTCTCGACTTACGGCGGGGATGGCCCTTCAAAACACGAGTTTCTTCAGTGACCTCAGGACTCCTGTCTAGTAACGAGGGACACCTCAGGAATCTCTTCGAGGCTTGGCAGGGCAAAAGGGACGCTTCTCGAGGTGAGGCAGGGCACCCAAGAACCCTTTCCCGTAGCCACAGGGATTTTGGGATTCCTATCAGTATTCAAGATGAGTCAGGCATCGTCACCTTTTGAAGCAATGAACTCCGCGTGCCTCTCGAGGTGTCAGCGGGATGTGAGGCATTCCGTCAAAATGAGGCATGGACCTAGGGCTTTCTCTAAGGTCTCCACAGGGGATTCAGACATCCCTTCATGTTGTGAGATGAAAGACGAGCCTGTATTCAAGCCACTGCAAGGAAATCCGGCCTCCTTTCAAGTTATGGCTTCTCGCTGTATATTCCCCTTGAGGCAGCAAACTCGGGGTCCCTCCCACATACCTATTGCTGGGAGAAGCCTCCTCCTGAGGTGCTTCTGGAAAGATGGCATACGTCTTGAGCCTAAGCCAGGGAATCAGCTCTCATCTCTAGACGATTTGGGGTACACGGAGCATTCCTCAAGTGCTGTGCTGAGGTTGGTGTTCCTCTAGACTTGGGACACTGTTGTCGGGGCATCTCTGGAGTTGCCTGAAGGAAGTCGAGCCACCGGTCGTGTTGAATGGGGAACGGGGAATGGCTCTGGCGTCAATGCAGGCGAATGGGACCTCATCTCGAGTTGATTTGGGGCACATGGAGCTGCTTTGCTTTTCTGGGGTGACCTCAGGGTCCGTCTAGACTGGTGACAGTGTTCTTGGGGACTGTCTCGAGATCCATTAAGCAAGTCGAAGCTCCTGACTTGTTGGAATGGGATCACGGAATAGCTCTGCATGCACTGCAGGGGAATGGGGCCTCATCTCGCCTCAAGGGGGAAGTCTCATGGTTTTTCTCGAGTTGCGGCGGGGACCTGGGGTATGTTCTCGACTTACGGCGGGGATGGCCCTTCAAAACACGAGTTTCTTCAGTGACGTCAGGACTCCTGTCTAGTAACGAGGGACACCTCAGGAATCTCTAAGAGGCTTGGCAGGGCAAAAGGGACGCTTCTCGAGGTGAGGCAGGGCACCCAAGGACCCTTTCACGTAGCCACAGGGATTTTGGGATTCCTATCAGTATTCAAGAGGAGTCAGGCATCGTCACCTTTTGAAGCAATGAACTCCGCGTGCCTCTCGAGGTGTCAGCGGGACGTGAGGCATTCCGTCAAAATGAGGCAGGGACCTAAGGCTTTCTCTAAGGTCTCCACAGGGGATTCAGACATCCCTTCATGTTGTGAGATGAAAGACGAGCCTGTATTCAAGCCACTGCAAGGAAATCCGGCCTCCTTTCAAGTTAGGGCTTTTCGCTGTATATTCCCCTTGAGGCAGCAAACTCGGGTCCCACCCACATAACTATTGCTGAGAGAAGCCTCCTCCTGAGGTGCTTCTGGAAAGTTGGCATAAGTCTTGAGCCTAAGCCAGGGAATCAGCTCTCATCTCGAGACGATTTGGGGTACACAGAGCATTCCTCGAGTTGCTGTGCTGAAGTTGGTGTTCCTCTAGACTTGGGACAGTGTTCTCGGGGCATCTCTGGAGTTGCCTGAAGGAAGTCGAGCCACCGGTCGTGTTGAATGGGGAACGGGGAATGGCTCTGGAGTGAATGCAGGGGAATCGGGCCTCATCTCGAGTTGATTTGGGGCACATGGAGCTGCTTTGCGATGCTGGGGTGACCTCAGGGTCCGTCGAGACTGGTGACAGTGTTCTTGGGGACTGTCTCGAGATCCATTAAGCAAGTCGAAGCTCCTGACTTGTTTGAATGGGATCACGGAATAGCTCTGCATGCACTGCAGGGGAATGGGGCCTCATCTCGCCTCTAGGGGGAAGTCTCATGGTTTTTCTCGAGTTGCGGCGGGGACCTGGGGTATGTTCTCGACTTACGGCGGGGATGGCCCTTCAAAACACGAGTTTCTTCAGTGACGTCAGGACTCCTGTCTAGTAATGAGGGACACCTCAGGAATCTCTTCGAGGCTTGGCAGGGCAAAAGGGACACTTCTCGAGGTGAGGCAGGGCACCCAAGGACCCTTTCCAGTAGCCACAGGGATTTTGGGATTCCTATCAGTATTCAAGAGGAGTCAGGCATCGTCACCTTTTGAAGCAATGAACTCCGCGTGCCTCTCGAGGTGTCAGCGGGATGTGAGGCATTCCGTCAAAATGAGGCAGGGACCTAGGGCTTTCACTAAGGTCTCCACAGGGGATTCAGATATCCCTTCATGTTGTGAGATGAAAGACGAGCCTGTATTCAAGCCACTGCAAGGAAATGCGGCCTCCTTTCAAGTTAGGGCTTCTCGCTGTATATTCCCCTTGAGGCAGCAAACTCGGCGTCCCTTCCACATACCTATTGCTGAGAGAAGCCTCCTCCTGAGGTGCTTCTGGAAAGTTGGCATAAGTCTTGAACCTAAGCCAGGGAATTAGCTCTCATCTCGAGACGATTTGGGGTACACGGAGCATTCCTCGAGTTGCTGTGCTGAAGTTGGTGTTCCTCTAGACTTGGGACCGTGTTCTCGGGGCATCTCTGGAGTTGCCTGAAGGAAGTCGAGCCACCGGTCGTGTTGAATGGGGAACGGGGAATGGCTCTGGAGTCAATGCATGGGAATCGGGCCTCATCTCGAGTTGATTTGGGGCACATGGAGCTGCTTTGCGTTGCTGGGGTGACCTCAGGGTCCGTCTAGACTGGTGACAGTGTTCTTGGGGACTCTCTCGAGATCCACTAAGCAAGTCGAAGCTCCTGACTTGTTTGAATGGGATCACGGAATAGCTCTGCATGCACTGCAGGGGAATGGGGCCTCATCTCGCCTCTACGGGGAAGTCTCATGGTTTTACTCTAGTTGCGGCGGGGACCTGGGGTATGTTCTCGACTTACGGCGGGGATGGCCCTTCAAAACACGAGTTTCTTCAGTGACCTCAGGACTCCTGTCTAGTAACGAGGGACACCTCAGGAATCTCTTCGAGGCTTGGCAGGGCAATAGGGACGCTTCTCGAGGTGAGGCAGGGCACCCAAGGACCCTTTCCCGTAGCCACAGGGATTTTGGGATTCCTATCAGTATTCAAGATGAGTCAGGCATCGTCACCTTTTGAAGCAATGAACTCCGCGTGCCTCTCGAGGTGTCAGCGGGATGTGAGGCATTCCGTCAAAATGAGGCAAGGACCTAGGGCTTTCTCTAAGGTCTCCACAGGGGATTCAGACATCCCTTCATGTTGTGAGATGAAAGACGAGCCTGTATTCAAGCCACTGCAAGGAAATCCGGCCTCCTTTCAAGTTATGGCTTCTCGCTGTATATTCCCCTTGAGGCAGCAAACTCGGGGTCCCTCCCACATACCTATTGCTGGGAGAAGCCTTCTCCTGAGGTGCTTCTGGAAAGATGGCATACGTCTTGAGCCTAAGCCAGGGAATCAGCTCTCATCTCTAGACGATTTGGGGTACACGGAGCATTCCTCAAGTGCTGTGCTGAGGTTGGTGTTCCTCTAGACTTGGGACACTGTTGTCGGGGCATCTCTGGAGTTGCCTGAAGGAAGTCGAGCCACCGGTCGTGTTGAATGGGGAACGGGGAATGGCTCTGGCGTCAATGCAGGCGAATGGGACCTCATCTCGAGTTGATTTGGGGCACATGGAGCTGCTTTGCTTTGCTGGGGTGACCTCAGGGTCCGTCTAGACTGGTGACAGTGTTCTTGGGGACTGTCTCGAGATCCATTAAGCAAGTCGAAGCTCCTGACTTGTTGGAATGGGATCACGGAATAGCTCTGCATGCACTGCAGGGGAATGGGACCTCATCTCGCCTCTAGGTGGAAGTCTCATGGTTTTTCTCGAGTTGCGGCGGGGACCTGGGATATGTTCTCGACTTACGGTGGGGATGGCCCTTCAAAACACGAGTTTCTTCAGTGACGTCAGGACTCCTGTCTAGTAACGAGGGACACCTCAGGAATCTCTTCGAGGCTTGGCAGGGCAAAAGGGACGCTTCTCGAGGTGAGGCAGGGCACCCAGGGCCCTTTCCCGTAGCCACAGGGATTTTGGGATTCCTATCAGTATTCAAGAGGAGTCAGGCATCGTCACCTTTTGAAGCAATGAACTCCGCGTGCCTCTCGAGGTGTCAGCGGGACGTGAGGCATTCCGTCAAAATGAGGCAGGGACCTAAGGCTTTCTCTAAGGTCTCCACAGGGGATTCAGACATCCCTTCATGTTGTGAGATGAAAGACGAGCCTGTATTCAAGCCACTGCAAGGAAATACGGCCTCCTTTCAAGTCAGGGCTTCTCGCTGTATATTCCCCTTGAGGCAGCAAACTCGGGTCCCACCCACATATCTATTGCTGAGAGAAGCCTCCTCCTGAGGTGCTTCTGGAAAGTTGGCATAAGTCTTGAGCCTAAGCCAGGGAATCAGCTCTCATCTCGAGACGATTTGGGGTACACAGAGCATTCCTCGAGTTGCTGTGCTGAAGTTGGTGTTCCTCTAGACTTGGGACAGTGTTCTCGGGGCATCTCTGGAGTTGCCTGAAGGAAGTCGAGCCACCGGTCGTGTTGATTGGGGAACGGGGAATGGCTCTGGGGTCAATGCAGGGGAATCGGGCCTCATCTCGAGTTGATTTGGGGCACATGGAGCTGCTTTGCTTTGCTGGGGTGACCTCAGGGTCCGTCTAGAGTGGTGACAGTGTTCTTGGGTACTGTCTCGAGATCCATTAAGCAAGTCGAAGCTCCTGATTTGTTTGAATCTGATCATGGGATAGCTCTGCATGCACTGCAAGGGAATGGGGCCTCATCTCGCCTCTAGGGGGAAGTCTCATGGTTTTTCTCGAGTTGCGGCGGGGACCTGGGGTATGTTCTCGACTTACGGCGGGGATGGCCCTTCAAAACACGAGTTTCTTCAGTGACGTCAGGACTCCTGTCTAGTAATGAGGGACACCTCAGGAATCTCTTCGAGGCTTGGCAGGGCAAAAGGGACGCTTCTCGAGGTGAGGCAGGGCACCCAAGGACCCTTTCCAGTAGCCACAGGGATTTTGGGATTCCTATCAGTATTCAAGAGGAGTCAGGCATCGTCACCTTTTGAAGCAATGAACTCCGCGTGCCTCTCGAGGTGTCAGCGGGATGTGAGGCATTCCGTCAAAATGAGGCAGGGACCTAGGGCTTTCTCTAAGGTCTCCACAGGGGATTCAGATATCCCTTCATGTTGTGAGATGAAAGACGAGCCTGTATTCAAGCCACTGCAAGGAAATGCGGCCTCCTTTCAAGTTAGGGCTTCTCGCTGTATATTCCCCTTGAGGCAGCAAACTCGGGGTCCCTTCCACATACCTATTGCTGAGAGAATCCTCCTCCTGAGGTGCTTCTGGAAAGTTGGCATAAGTCTTGAGCCTAAGCCAGGGAATCAGCTCTCATCTCGAGACGATTTGGGGTACACGAAGCATTCCTCGAGTTGCTGTGCTGAAGTTGGTGTTCCTCTAGACTTGGGACAGTGTTCTCGGGGCATCTCTGGAGTTGCCTGAAGGAAGTCGAGCCACCGGTCGTGTTGAATGGGGAACGGGGAATGGCTCTGGAGTCAATGCAGGGGAATCGGGCCTCATCTCGAGTTGATTTGGGGCACATGGAGCTGCTTTGCGTTGCTGGGGTGACCTCAGGGTCCGTCTAGACTGGTGACAGTGTTCTTGGGGACTGTCTCGAGATCCACTAAGCAAGTCGAAGCTCCTGACTTGTTTGAATGGGATCACCGAATAGCTCTGCATGCACTGCAGGGGAATGGGGCCTCATTTCGCCTCTAGGGGGAAGTCTCATGGTTTTACTCTAGTTGCGGCGGGGACCTGGGGTATGTTCTCGACTTACGGCGGGGATGGCCCTTCAAAACACGAGTTTCTTCAGTGACCTCAGGACTCCTGTCTAGTAACGAGGGACACCTCAGGAATCTCTTCGAGGCTTGGCAGGGCAAAAGGGACGCTTCTCGAGGTGAGGCAGGGCACCCAAGGACCCTTTCCCGTAGCCACAGGGATTTTGGGATTCCTATCAGTATTCAAGAGGAGTCAGGCATCGTCACCTTTTGAAGCAATGAAATCCGCGTGCCTCTCGAGGTGTCAGCGGGATGTGAGGCATTCCGTCAAAATGAGGCAGGGACCTAGGGCTTTCTCTAAGGTCTCCACAGGGGATTCAGACATCCCTTCATGTTGTGAGATGAAAGACGAGCCTGTATTCAAGCCACTGCAAGGAAATCCGGCCTCCTTTCAAGTTATGGCTTCTCGCTGTATATTCCCCTTGAGTCAGCAAACTCGGGGTCCCTCCCACATACCTATTGCTGGGAGAAGCCTCCTCCTGAGGTGCTTCTGGAAAGTTGGCATACGTCTTGAGCCTAAGCCAGGGAATCAGCTCTCATCTCTAGACGATTTGGGGTACACGGAGCATTCCTCAAGTGCTGTGCTGAGGTTGGTGTTCCTCAAGACTTGGGACACAGTTGTCGGGGCATCTCTGGAGTTGCCTGAAGGAAGTCGAGCCACAGGTCGTGTTGAATGGGGAACGGGGAATGGCTCTGGCGTCAATGCAGGCGAATGGGACCTCATCTCGAGTTGATTTAGGGCACATGGAGCTGCTTTGCGTTGCTGGGGTGACCTCAGGGTCCGTCTAGACTGGTGACAGTGTTCTTGGGGACTGTCTCGAGATCCATTAAGCAAGTCGAAGCTCCTGACTTGTTTGAATGGGATCACGGAATAGCTCTGCATGCACTGCAGGGGAATGGGGCCTCATCTCGCCTCTAGGGGGAAGTCTCATGGTTTTTCTCGAGTTGCGGCGGGGACCTGGGATATGTTCTCGACTTACGGTGGGGATGGCCCTTCAAAACACGAGTTTCTTCAGTGACGTCAGGACTCCTGTCTAGTAACGAGGGACACCTCAGGAATCTCTTCGAGGCTTGGCAGGGCAAAAGGGACGCTTCTCGAGGTGAGGCAGGGCACCCAGGGCCCTTTCCCGTAGCCACAGGGATTTTGGGATTCCTATCAGTATTCAAGAGGAGTCAGGCATCGTCACCTTTTGAAGCAATGAACTCCGCGTGCCTCTCGAGGTGTCAGCGGGACGTGAGGCATTCCGTCAAAATGAGGCAGGGACCTAAGGCTTTCTCTAAGGTCTCCACAGGGGATTCAGACATCCCTTCATGTTGTGAGATGAAAGACGAGCCTGTATTCAAGCCACTGCAAGGAAATACGGCCTCCTTTCAAGTCAGGGCTTCTCGCTGTATATTCCCCTTGAGGCAGCAAACTCGGGTCCCACCCACATATCTATTGCTGAGAGAAGCCTCCTCCTGAGGTGCTTCTGGAAAGTTGGCATAAGTCTTGAGCCTAAGCCAGGGAATCAGCTCTCATCTCGAGACGATTTGGGGTACACAGAGCATTCCTCGAGTTGCTGTGCTGAAGTTGGTGTTCCTCTAGACTTGGGACAGTGTTCTCGGGGCATCTCTGGAGTTGCCTGAAGGAAGTCGAGCCACCGGTCGTGTTGATTGGGGAACGGGGAATGGCTCTGGGGTCAATGCAGGGGAATCGGGCCTCATCTCGAGTTGATTTGGGGCACATGGAGCTGCTTTGCTTTGCTGGGGTGACCTCAGGGTCCGTCTAGAGTGGTGACAGTGTTCTTGGGTACTGTCTCGAGATCCATTAAGCAAGTCGAAGCTCCTGATTTGTTTGAATCTGATCATGGGATAGCTCTGCATGCACTGCAAGGGAATGGGGCCTCATCTCGCCTCTAGGGGGAAGTCTCATGGTTTTTCTCGAGTTGCGGCGGGGACCTGGGGTATGTTCTCGACTTACGGCGGGGATGGCCCTTCAAAACACGAGTTTCTTCAGTGACGTCAGGACTCCTGTCTAGTAATGAGGGACACCTCAGGAATCTCTTCGAGGCTTGGCAGGGCAAAAGGGACGCTTCTCGAGGTGAGGCAGGGCACCCAAGGACCCTTTCCAGTAGCCACAGGGATTTTGGGATTCCTATCAGTATTCAAGAGGAGTCAGGCATCGTCACCTTTTGAAGCAATGAACTCCGCGTGCCTCTCGAGGTGTCAGCGGGATGTGAGGCATTCCGTCAAAATGAGGCAGGGACCTAGGGCTTTCTCTAAGGTCTCCACAGGGGATTCAGATATCCCTTCATGTTGTGAGATGAAAGACGAGCCTGTATTCAAGCCACTGCAAGGAAATGCGGCCTCCTTTCAAGTTAGGGCTTCTCGCTGTATATTCCCCTTGAGGCAGCAAACTCGGGGTCCCTTCCACATACCTATTGCTGAGAGAATCCTCCTCCTGAGGTGCTTCTGGAAAGTTGGCATAAGTCTTGAGCCTAAGCCAGGGAATCAGCTCTCATCTCGAGACGATTTGGGGTACACGAAGCATTCCTCGAGTTGCTGTGCTGAAGTTGGTGTTCCTCTAGACTTGGGACAGTGTTCTCCGTTCATCTCTGGAGTTGCCTGAAGGAAGTCGAGCCACCGGTCGTGTTGAATGGGGAACGGGGAATGGCTCTGGAGTCAATGCAGGGGAATCGGGCCTCATCTCGAGTTGATTTGGGGCACATGGAGCTGCTTTGCGTTGCTGGGGTGACCTCAGGGTCCGTCTAGACTGGTGACAGTGTTCTTGGGGACTGTCTCGAGATCCACTAAGCAAGTCGAAGCTCCTGACTTGTTTGAATGGGATCACCGAATAGCTCTGCATGCACTGCAGGGGAATGGGGCCTCATTTCGCCTCTAGGGGGAAGTCTCATGGTTTTACTCTAGTTGCGGCGGGGACCTGGGGTATGTTCTCGACTTACGGCGGGGATGGCCCTTCAAAACACGAGTTTCTTCAGTGACCTCAGGACTCCTGTCTAGTAACGAGGGACACCTCAGGAATCTCTTCGAGGCTTGGCAGGGCAAAAGGGACGCTTCTCGAGGTGAGGCAGGGCACCCAAGGACCCTTTCCCGTAGCCACAGGGATTTTGGGATTCCTATCAGTATTCAAGAGGAGTCAGGCATCGTCACCTTTTGAAGCAATGAAATCCGCGTGCCTCTCGAGGTGTCAGCGGGATGTGAGGCATTCCGTCAAAATGAGGCAGGGACCTAGGTCTTTCTCTAAGGTCTCCACAGGGGATTCAGACATCCCTTCATGTTGTGAGATGAAAGACGAGCCTGTATTCAAGCCACTGCAAGGAAATCCGGCCTCCTTTCAAGTTATGGCTTCTCGCTGTATATTCCCCTTGAGTCAGCAAACTCGGGGTCCCTCCCACATACCTATTGCTGGGAGAAGCCTCCTCCTGAGGTGCTTCTGGAAAGTTGGCATACGTCTTGAGCCTAAGCCAGGGAATCAGCTCTCATCTCTACACGATTTGGGGTACACGGAGCATTCCTCAAGTGCTGTGCTGAGGTTGGTGTTCCTCAAGACTTGGGACACAGTTGTCGGGGCATCTCTGGAGTTGCCTGAAGGAAGTCGAGCCACAGGTCGTGTTGAATGGGGAACGGGGAATGGCTCTGGCGTCAATGCAGGCGAATGGGACCTCATCTCGAGTTGATTTAGGGCACATGGAGCTGCTTTGCGTTGCTGGGGTGACCTCAGGGTCCGTCTAGACTGGTGACAGTGTTCTTGGGGACTGTCTCGAGATCCATTAAGCAAGTCGAAGCTCCTGACTTGTTTGAATGGGATCACGGAATAGCTCTGCATGCACTGCAGGGGAATGGGGCCTCATCTCGCCTCTAGGGGGAAGTCTCATGGTTTTTCTCGAGTTGCGGCGGGGACCTGGGGTATGTTCTCGACTTACGGCGGGGATGGCCCTTCAAAACACGAGTTTCTTCAGTGACGTCAGGACTCCTGTCTAGTAATGAGGGACAGCTCAGGAATCTCTAAGAGGCTTGGCAGGGCAAAAGGGACGCTTCACAAGGTGAGGCAGGGCACCCAAGGACCCTTTCCAGTAGCCACAGCGATTTAGGGATTCCTATCAGTATTCAAGAGGAGTCAGGCATCATCACCTTTTGAAGCAATGAACTCCGTGTGCCTCTCGAGGTGTCAGCGGGATGTGAGGCATTCCGTCAAAATGAGGCAGGGACCTAGGGCTTTCTCTAAGGTCTCCACAGGGGATTCAGACATCCCTTCATGTTGTGAGATGAAAGACGAGCCTGTATTCAAGCCACTGCAAGGAAATCCGGCCTCCTTTCAAGTTAGGGCTTCTCGCTGTATATTCCCCTTGAGTCAGCAAACTCGGGGTCCCTCCCACATACCTATTGCTGGGAGAAGCCTCCTCCTGAGGTGCTTCTGGAAAGTTGGCATACGTCTTGAGCCTAAGCCAGGGAATCAGCTCTCATCTCTAGACGATTTGGGGTACACGGAGCATTCCTCAAGTGCTGTGCTGAGGTTGGTGTTCCTCTAGACTTGGGACACAGTTGTCGGGGCATCTCTGGAGTTGCCTGAAGGAAGTCGAGCCACCGGTCGTGTTGAATGGGGAACGGGGAATGGCTCTGGCGTCAATGCAGGCGAATGGGACCTCATCTCGAGTTGATTTGGGGCACATGGAGCTGCTTTGCTTTGCTGGGGTGACCTCAGGGTCCGTCTAGACTGGTGACAGTGTTCTTGGGGACTGTCTCGAGATCCATTAAGCAAGTCGAAGCTCCTGACTTGTTGGAATGGGATCACGGAATAGCTCTGCATGCACTGCAGGGGAATGGGACCTCATCTCGCCTCTAGGGGGAAGTCTCATGGTTTTTCTCGAGTTGCGGCGGGGACCTGGGGTATGTTCTCGATTTACGGCGGGGATGGCCCTTCAAAACACGAGTTTCCTCAGTGACGTCAGGACTCCTGTCTAGTAACGAGGGACACCTCAGGAATCTCTTCGAGGCTTGGCAAGGCAAAAGGGACGCTTCTCAAGGTGAGGCAAGGCACCCAAGGACCCTTTCCCGTAGCCACAGGGATTTCGGGATTCCTATCAGTATTCAAGAGGAGTCAGGCATCGTCACCTTTTGAAGCAATGAACTCCGCGTGCCTCTCGAGGTGTCAGCGAGATGTGAGGCATTCCGTCAAAATGAGGCAGGGACCTAGGGCTTTCTCTAAGGTCTCCACAGGGGATTCAGACATCCCTTCATGTTGTGAGATGAAAGACGAGCCTGTATTCAAGCCACTGCAAGGAAATCCGGCCTCCTTTCAAGTTAGGGCTTCTTGCTGTAAATTCCCCTTGAGGCAGCAAACTCGGGGTCCCTCCACATAACTATTGGTGAGAGAAACCTCCTCCTGAGGTGCTTCTGGAAAGTTGGCATACGTCTTGAGCCTAAGCCAGGGAATCAGCTCTCATCGCGAGATGATTTGGGGTACACGGAGCATTCCTCGAGTTGCTGTGCTGAAGTTGGTGTTCCTCTAGACTTGGGACAGTGTTCTCGGGGCATCTCTGGAGTTGCCTGAAGGAAGTCGAGCCACCGGTCGTGTTGAATGGGGAACGGGGAATGGCACTGGAGTCAATGCAGGGGAATCGGGCCTCATCTCGAGTTGATTTGGGGCACATGGAGCTGCTTTGCGTTGCTGGGGTGACCTCAGGGTCCGTCTAGACTGGTGACAGTGTTCTTGGGGACTGTGTCGAGATCCATTAAGCAAGTCGAAACTCCTGACTTGTTTGAATGGGATCACAGAATAGCTCTGCATGCACTGCAGGGGAATGGGGCCTCATCTCGCCTCTAGGGGGAAGTCTTATGGTTTTTCTCGAGTTGTGGCGGGGACCTGGGGTATGTTCTCGACTTACGGCGGGGATGGCCCTTCAAAACACGAGTTTCTTCAGTGACGTCAGGACTCCTGTCTAGTAACGAGGGACACCTCAGGAATCTCTAAGAGGCTTGGCAGGGCAAAAGGGACGCTTCTCGAGGTGAGGCAGGGCACCCAAGGACCCTTTCCCCTAGCCACAGGGATTTTGGGATTCCTATCAGTATTCAAGAGGAGTCAGGCATCGTCACCTTTTGAAGCAATGAACTCCGCGTGCCTCTCGAGGTGTCAACGGGATGTGAGGCATTCCGTCAAAATGAGGCAGGGACCTAGGGCTTTCTCTAAGGTCTCCACAGGGGATTCAGACATCCCTTCATGTGGTGAGATGAAAGACGAACCTGTATTCAAGCCACTGCAAGGAAATCCGGCCTCCTTTCAAGTTAGGGCTTCTCGCTGTGTAATACCCTTGAGGCACAAACTAGGGTCCCTCCCACATACTTATTGCTGAGAGAAGCCTCCTCCTGAGGTGCTTCTGGAAAGTTGGCATACGTCTTGAGCCTAATCCAGGGAATCAGCTCTCATCTCGAGACGATTTGGGTTACACGGAGCATTCCTCGAGTTGCTGTGCTGAAGTTGGTGTTCCTCTAGACTTGGGACAGTGTTCTCGGGGCATCTCTGGAGTTGCCTGAAGGAAGTCGAGCCACCGGTCGTGTTGAATGGGGAACGGGGAATGTCTCTGGAGTCAATGAAGGGGAATCGGGCCTCATCTCGAGTTGATTTGGGGCACATGGAGCTGCTTTGCGTTGCTGGGGTGACCTCAGGGTCCGTCTAGACTGGTGACAGTGTTCTTATGGACTGTCTCGAGATCCATTAAGCAAGTCGAAGCTCCTGACTTGTTTGAATGGGATCACGGAATAGCTCTGCATGCACTGAAGGGGAATGGGGCCTCATCTCACCTCAAGGGGGAAATCTCATGGTTTTTCTCGAGTTGCGGCGGGGACCTGGGGTATGTTCTCGACTTACGGCGGGGATGGCCCTTCAAAACACGAGTTTCTTCAGTGACATCAGGACTCCTGTCTAGCAACGAGGGACACCTCAGGAATCTCTTCGAGGCTTGGCAGGGCAAAAGGGACGCTTCTCGAGGTGAGGCAGGGCACCCAAGGACCCTTTCCCGCAGCCACAGGGATTTCGGGATTCCTATCAGTATTCAAGAGGAGTCAGGCATCGTCACCTTTTGAAGCAATGAACTCCGCGTGCCTCTCGAGGTGTCAGCGAGATGAGAGGCATTCCGTCAAAATGAGGCAGGGACCTAGGGCTTTCTCTAAGGTCTCCACAGGGGATTCAGACATCCCTTCATGTTGTGAGATGAAAGACGAGCCTGTATTCAAGCCACTGCAAGGAAATCCGGCCTCCTTTCAAGTTAGGGCTTCTCGCTGTATATTCCCCTTGAGGCAGCAAACTCGGGGTCCCTCCCACATAACTATTGCTGAGAGAAGCCTCCTCCTGAGGTGCTTCTGGAAAGTTGGCATACGTCTTGAGCCTAAGCCAGGGAATCAGCTCTCATCTCGAGACGATTTGGGGTACACGAAGCATTCCTCGAGTTGCTGTGCTGAAGTTGGTGTTCCTCTAGACTTGGGACAGTGTTCTCGGGGCATCTCTGGAGTTGCCTGAAGGAAGTCGAGCCACCGGTCGTGTTGAATGGGGAACGGGGAATGTCTCTGGAGTCAATACAGGGGAATCGGGCCTCATCTGGAGTTGATTTGGGGCACATGGAGCTGCTTTGCGTTGCTGGGGTGACCTCAGGGTCCGTCTAGACTGGTGACAGTGTTCTTGGTGACTGTCTCGAAATCCATTAAGCAAGTCGAAGCTCCTGACTTGTTTGAATGGGATCATGGAATAGCTCTGCATGCACTGCAGGGGAATGGGGCCCCATCTCGCCTCTAGGGGGGAGTCTCATTGTTTTTCTCGAGTGGCTGCGGGGACCTGGGGTATGTTCTCGACTTACGGCGGGGATGGCCCTTCAAAACACGAGTTTCTTCAGTGACCTCAGGACTCCTGTCTTGTAACGAGGGACACCTCAGGAATCTCTACGAGGCTTGGCAGGGCAAAAGGGACGCTTCTCCAGGTGAGGCAGTGTACCCAAGGACCCTTTCCAGTAGCCACAGCGATTTTGGGATTCCTATCAGTATTCAAGAGGAGTCAGGCATCGTCACCTTTTGAAGCAATGAACTCCGCGTGCCTCTCGAGGTGTCAGTGGGATGTGAGGCATTCCGTCAAAATGAGGCAGGGACCTAGGGCTTTCTCTAAGGTCTCCACAGGGGATTCAGACATCCCTTTATGTTGTGAGATGAAAGACGAGCCTGTATTCAAGCCACTGCAAGGAAATGCGGCCTCCTTTCAAGTTAGGGCTTCTCGCTGTATATTCCCCTTGAGGCAGCAAACTCGGGGTCCCTTCCACATACCTATTGCTGAGAGAAGCCTCCTGCTGAGGTGCTTCTGGAAAGTTGGCATACGTCTTGAGCCTAATCCAGGGAATCATCTCTCATCTCGAGACAATTTGGGGTACACAGAGCATTCCTCGAGTTGCTGTGCTGAAGTTGGTGTTCCTCTAGACTTGGGACAGTGTTCTCGGGGCATCTCTGGAGTTGCCTGAAGGAAGTCGAGCCACCGGTCGTGTTGAATGGGGAACGGGGAATGGCACTGGAGTCAATGCAGGGGAATCGGGCCTCATCTCGAGTTGATTTGGGGCACATGGAGCTGCTTTGCGTTGCTGGGGTGACCTCAGGGTTCGTCTAGACTGGTGACAGTGTTCTTGGGGACTGTGTCGAGATCCATTAAGCAAGTCGAAACTCCTGACTTGTTTGAATGGGATCACAGAATAGCTCTGCATGCACTGCAGGGGAATGGGGCCTCATCTCGCCTCTAGGGGGAAGTCTTATGGTTTTTCTCGAGTTGTGGCGGGGACCTGGGGTATGTTCTCGACTTACGGCGGGGATGGCCCTTCAAAACACGAGTTTCTTCAGTGACGTCAGGACTCCTGTCTAGTAACGAGGGACACCTCAGGAATCTCTAAGAGGCTTGGCAGGGCAAAAGGGACGCTTCTCGAGGTGAGGCAGGGCACCCAAGGACCCTTTCCCCTAGCCACAGGGATTTTGGGATTCCTATCAGTATTCAAGAGGAGTCAGGCATCGTCACCTTTTGAAGCAATGAACTCCGCGTGCCTCTCGAGGTGTCAACGGGATGTGAGGCATTCCGTCAAAATGAGGCAGGGACCTAGGGCTTTCTCTAAGGTCTCCACAGGGGATTCAGACATCCCTTCATGTGGTGAGATGAAAGACGAACCTGTATTCAAGCCACTGCAAGGAAATCCGGCCTCCTTTCAAGTTAGGGCTTCTCGCTGTATAATACCCTTGAGGCACAAACTAGGGTCCCTCCCACATACTTATTGCTGAGAGAAGCCTCCTCCTGAGGTGCTTCTGGAAAGTTGGCATACGTCTTGAGCCTAATCCAGGGAATCAGCTCTCATCTCGAGACGATTTGGGTTACACGGAGCATTCCTCGAGTTGCTGTGCTGAAGTTGGTGTTCCTCTAGACTTGGGACAGTGTTCTCGGGGCATCTCTGGAGTTGCCTGAAGGAAGTCGAGCCACCGGTCGTGTTGAATGGGGAACGGGGAATGTCTCTGGAGTCAATGAAGGGGAATCGGGCCTCATCTCGAGTTGATTTGGGGCACATGGAGCTGCTTTGCGTTGCTGGGGTGACCTCAGGGTCCGTCTAGACTGGTGACAGTGTTCTTATGGACTGTCTCGAGATCCATTAAGCAAGTCGAAGCTCCTGACTTGTTTGAATGGGATCACGGAATAGCTCTGCATGCACTGAAGGGGAATGGGGCCTCATCTCACCTCTAGGGGGAAATCTCATGGTTTTTCTCGAGTTGCGGCGGGGACCTGGGGTATGTTCTCGACTTACGGCGGGGATGGCCCTTCAAAACACGAGTTTCTTCAGTGACGTCAGGACTCCTGTCTAGCAACGAGGGACACCTCAGGAATCTCTTCGAGGCTTGGCAGGGCAAAAGGGACGCTTCTCGAGGTGAGGAAGGGCACCCATGGACCCTTTCCCGCAGCCACAGGGATTTCGGGATTCCTATCAGTATTCAAGAGGAGTCAGGCATCGTCACCTTTTGAAGCAATGAACTCCGCGTGCCTCTCGAGGTGTCAGCGGGACGTGAGGAATTCCGTCAAAATGAGGCAGGGACCTAGGGCTTTCTCTAAGGTCTCCACAGGGGATTCAGACATCCCTTCATGTTGTGAGATGAAAGACGAGCCTGTATTCAAGCCACTGCAAGGAAATCCGGCCTCCTTTCAAGTTAGGGCTTCTCGCTGTAAATTCCCCTTGAGGCAGCAAACTCGGGGTCCCTCCCACATAACTATTGGTGAGAGAAGCCTCCTCCTGAGGTGCTTCTGGAAAGTTGGCATAGGTCTTGAGCCTAAGCCAGGGAATCAGCTCTCATCTCGAGATGATTTGGGTTACACGGAGCATTCCTCGAGTTGCTGTGCTGAAGTTGGTGTTCCTCTAGACTTGGGACAGTGTTCTCGGGGCATCTCTGGAGTTGCCTGAAGGAAGTCGAGCCACCGGTCGTGTTGAATGGGGAACGGGGAATGGCTCTGGAGTCAATGCAGGGGAATCGGGCCTCATCTCGAGTTGATTTGGGGCACATGGAGCTGCTTTGCGTTGCTGGGGTGACCTCAGGGTCCGTCTAGACTGGTGACAGTGTTCTTGGGGACTGTCTCGAGATCCATTAAGCAAGTCGAAGCTCCTGATTTGTTTGAATGGGATCACGGAATAGCTCTGCATTCACTGCAGGGGAATGGGGCCTCATCTCGCCTCTAGGGGGAAGTCTCATGGTTTTTCTCGAGTTGCGGTGTGGACTTGGGGTATGTTCTCGACTTACGGCGGGGATGGCCCTTCAAAACACGAGTTTCTTCAGTGACGTCAGGACTCGTGTCTAGTAACGAGAGACACCTCAGGAATCTCTTCGAGGCTTGGCAGGGCAAAAGGGACGCTTCTCGAGGTGAGGCAGGGCACCCAAGGACCCTTTCCCGTAGCCACAGGGATTTTGGGATTCCTATCAGTATTCAAGAGGAGTCAGGCATCGTCACCTTTTGAAGCAATGAACTCCGCGTGCCTCTCGAGGTGTCAGCGGGACGTGAGGAATTCCGTCAAAATGAGGCAGGGACCTAGGGCTTTCTCTAAGGTCTCCACAGGGGATTCAGACATCCCTTCATGTTGTGAGATGAAAGACGAGCCTGTATTCAAGGAACTGCAAGGAAATCCGGCCTCCTTTCAAGTTAGGGCTTCTCGCTGTAAATTCCCCTTGAGGCAGAAAACTCGGGGTCCCTCCCACATAACTATTGCTGAGAGAAGCCTCCTCCTGAGGTGCTTCTGGAAAGTTGGCATACGTCTTGAGCCTAAGCCAGGGAATCAGCTCTCATCTCGAGACGATTTGGGTTACACGGAGCATTCCTCGAGTTGCTGTGCTGAAGTTGGTGTTCCTCTAGACTTGGGACAGTGTTCTCGGGGCATCTCTGGAGTTGCCTGAAGGAAGTCGAGCCACCGGTCGTGTTGAATGGGGAACGGGGAATGTCTCTGGAGTCAATGAAGGGGAATCGGGCCTCATCTCGAGTTGATTTGGGGCACATGGAGCTGCTTTGCGTTGCTGGGGTGACCTCAGGGTCCGTCTAGACTGGTGACAGTGTTCTTATGGACTGTCTCGAGATCCATTAAGCAAGTCGAAGCTCCTGACTTGTTTGAATGGGATCACGGAATAGCTCTGCATGCACTGAAGGGGAATGGGGCCTCATCTCATCTCTAGGGGGAAATCTCATGGTTTTTCTCGAGTTGCGGCGGGGACCTGGGGTATGTTCTCGACTTACGGCGGGGATGGCCCTTCAAAACACGAGTTTCTTCAGTGACGTCAGGACTCCTGTCTAGCAACGAGGGACACCTCAGGAATCTTTTCGAGGCTTGGCAGGGCAAAAGGGACGCTTCTCGAGGTGAGGCAGGGCACCCAAGGACCCTTTCCCGCAGCCACAGGGATTTCGGGATTCCTATCAGTATTCAAGAGGAGTCAGGCATCGTCACCTTTTGAAGCAATGAACTCCGCGTGCCTCTCGAGGTGTCAGCGAGATGAGAGGCATTCCGTCAAAATGAGGCAGGGACCTAGGGCTTTCTCTAAGGTCTCCACAGGGGATTCAGACATCCCTTCATGTTGTGAGATGAAAGACGAGCCTGTATTCAAGCCACTGCAAGGAAATCCGGCCTCCTTTCAAGTTAGGGCTTCTCGCTGTAAATTCCCCTTGAGGCAGCAAACTCGGGGTCCCTCCCACATAACTATTGGTGAGAGAAGCCTCCTCCTGAGGTGCTTCTGGAAAGTTGGCATAGGTCTTGAGCCTAAGCCAGGGAATCAGCTCTCATCTCGAGATGATTTCGGTTACACGGAGCATTCCTCGAGTTGCTGTGCTGAAGTTGGTGTTCCTCTAGACTTGGGACAGTGTTCTCGGGGCATCTCTGGAGTTGCCTGAAGGAAGTCGAGCCACCGGTCGTGTTGAATGGGGAACGGGGAATGGCTCTGGAGTCAATGCAGGGGAATCGGGCCTCATCTCGAGTTGATTTGGGACACATGGAGCTGCTTTGCGTTGCTGGGGCGACCTCAGCGTCCGTCTAGACTGGTGACAGTGTTCTTATGGACTGTCTCGAGATCCATTAAGCAAGTCGAAGCTCCTGACTTGTTTGAATGGGATCACGGAATAGCTCTGCATGCACTGAAGGGGAATGGGGCCTCATCTCACCTCTAGGGGGAAATCTCATGGTTTTTCTCGAGTTGCGGCGGGGACCTGGGGTATGTTCTCGACTTACGGCGGGGATGGCCCTTCAAAACACGAGTTTCTTCAGTGACGTCAGGACTCCTGTCTAGCAACGAGGAACACCTCAGGAATCTCTTCGAGGCTTGGCAGGGCAAAAGGGACGCTTCTCGAGGTGAGGCAGGGCACCCAAGGACCCTTTCCCGCAGCCACAGGGATTTCGGGATTCCTATCAGTATTCAAGAGGAGTCAGGCATCGTCACCTTTTGAAGCAATGAACTCCGCGTGCCTCTCGAGGTGTCAGCGAGATGAGAGGCATTCCGTCAAAATGAGGCAGGGACCTAGGGCTTTCTCTAAGGTCTCCACAGGGGATTCAGACATCCCTTCATGTTGTGAGATGAAAGACGAGCCTGTATTCAAGCCACTGCAAGGAAATCCGGCCTCCTTTCAAGTTAGGGCTTCTCGCTGTATATTCCCCTTGAGTCAGCAAACTCGGGGTCCCTCCCACATACCTATTGCTGGGAGAAGCCTCCTCCTGAGGTGCTTCTGGAAAGTTGGCATACGTCTTGAGCCTAAGCCAGGGAATCAGCTCTCATCTCTAGACGATTTGGGGTACACGGAGCATTCCTCAAGTGCTGTGCTGAGGTTGGTGTTCCTCTAGACTTGGGACACAGTTGTCGGGGCATCTCTGGAGTTGCCTGAAGGAAGTCGAGCCACCGGTCGTGTTGAATGGGGAACGGGGAATGGCTCTGGCGTCAATGCAGGCGAATGGGACCTCATCTCGAGTTGATTTGGGGCACATGGAGCTGCTTTGCTTTGCTGGGGTGACCTCAGGGTCCGTCTAGACTGGTGACAGTGTTCTTGGGGACTGTCTCGAGATCCATTAAGCAAGTCGAAGCTCCTGACTTGTTGGAATGGGATCACGGAATAGCTCTGCATGCACTGCAGGGGAATGGGACCTCATCTCGCCTCTAGGGGGAAGTCTCATGGTTTTTCTCGAGTTGCGGCGGGGACCTGGGGTATGTTCTCGATTTACGGCGGGGATGGCCCTTCAAAACACGAGTTTCCTCAGTGACGTCAGGACTCCTGTCTAGTAACGAGGGACACCTCAGGAATCTCTTCGAGGCTTGGCAAGGCAAAAGGGACGCTTCTCAAGGTGAGGCAGGGCACCCAAGGACCCTTTCCCGTAGCCACAGGGATTTCGGGATTCCTATCAGTATTCAAGAGGAGTCAGGCATCGTCACCTTTTGAAGCAATGAACTCCGCGTGCCTCTCGAGGTGTCAGCGAGATGTGAGGCATTCCGTCAAAATGAGGCAGGGACCTAGGGCTTTCTCTAAGGTCTCCACAGGGGATTCAGACATCCCTTCATGTTGTGAGATGAAAGACGAGCCTGTATTCAAGCCACTGCAAGGAAATCCGGCCTCCTTTCAAGTTAGGGCTTCTTGCTGTAAATTCCCCTTGAGGCAGCAAACTCGGGGTCCCTCCCACATAACTATTGGTGAGAGAAACCTCCTCCTGAGGTGCTTCTGGAAAGTTGGCATACGTCTTGAGCCTAAGCCAGGGAATCAGCTCTCATCGCGAGATGATTTGGGTTACACGGAGCATTCCTCGAGTTGCTGTGCTGAAGTTGGTGTTCCTCTAGACTTGGGACAGTGTTCTCGGGGCATCTCTGGAGTTGCCTGAAGGAAGTCGAGCCACCGGTCGTGTTGAATGGGGAACGGGGAATGGCTCTGGAGTGAATGCAGGGGAATCGGGCCTCATCTCGAGTTGATTTGGGGCACATGGAGCTGCTTTGCGTTGCTGGGGTGACCTCAGGGTCCGTCTAGACTGGTGACAGTGTTCTTGGGGACTGTCTCGAGATCCACTAAGCAAGTCGAAGCTCCTGACTTGTTTGAAAGGGATCACGGAATAGCTCTGCATGCACTGCAGGGGAATGGGGCCTCATCTCGCCTCTAGGGGGAAGTCTCATGGTTTTTCTCGAGTTTCGTTGGGGACCTGGGGTATGTTCTCGACTTAGGGCGGGGATGGCCCTTCAAAACACGAGTTTCTTCAGTGACATCAGGACTCCTGTCTAGTAACGAGGGACACTTCAGGAATCTCTACTAGGCTTGGCAGGGCAAAAGGGACGCTTCTCGAGGTGAGGCAGGGTACCCAAGGACGCTTTCCCCTAGCCACAGCGATTTTGGGATTCCTATCAGTATTCAAGAGGAGTCAGGCATCGTCACCTTTTGAAGCAATGAACTCCGCGTGCCTCTCGAGGTGTCAGCGGGATGTGAGGCATTCCGTCAAAATGAGGCAGGGACCTAGGTCTTTCTCTAAGGTCTCCACAGGGGATTCAGACATCCCTTCATGTTGTGAGATGAAAGACGAGCCTGTATTCAAGCCACTGCAAGGAAATCCGGCCTCCTTTCAAGTTAGGGCTTCTCGCTGTATATTCCCCTTGAGGCAGCAACCTCGGGTCCCTCCCACATACCTATTGCTGAGAGAAGCCTCCTCCTGAGGTGCTTCTGGAAAGTTGGCATAAGTCTTGAGCCTAAGCCAGGGAATCAGCTCTCATCTCGAGACGATTTGGGGTACACGGAGCATTCCTCAAGTTGCTGTGCTGAAGTTGGTGTTCCTCTAGACTTGGGACAGTGTTCTCGGGGCATCTCTGGAGTTGCCTGAAGGAAGTCGAGCCACCGGTCGTGTTGAATGGGGAACGGGGAATGGCTCTGGAGTGAAGGCAGGGGAATCGGGCCTCATCTCGAGTTGATTTGGGGCACATGGAGCTGCTTTGCGTTGCTGGGGTGACCTCAGGGTCCGTCTAGACTGGTGACAGTGTTCTTGGGGACTGTCTCGAGATCCACTAAGCAAGTCGAAGCTCCTGACTTGTTTGAATGGGATCACGGGATAGCTCTGCATGCACTGCAGGGGAATGGGGCCTCATCTCGCCTCAAGGGGGAAGTCTCATGGTTTTTCTCGAGTTGCGGCGGGGACCTGGCGTATGTTCTCGACTTACGGCGGGGATGGCCCTTCAAAACACGAGTTTCTTCAGTGACGTCAGGACTCCTGTCTAGTAACGAGGGACACCTCAGGAATCTCTTCGAGGCTTGGCAGGGCAAAAGGGACGCTTCTTGAAGTGAGGCAGGGCACCCAAGGACCCTTTCCCGTAGCCACAGGGATTTTGGGATTCCTATCAGTATTCAAGAGGAGTCAGGCATCGTCACCTTTTGAAGCAATGAACTCCGCGTGCCTCTCGAGGTGTCAGCGGGATGTGAGGCATTCCGTCAAAATGAGGCAGGGACCTAGGGCTTTCTGTAAGGTCTCCACAGGGGATTCAGACATCCCTTCATGTTGTGAGATGAAAGACGAGCCTGTATTCAAGCCACTGCAAGGAAATGCGGCCTCCTTTCAAGTTAGGGCTTCTCGCTGTATATTCCCCTTGAGGCAGCAAACTCGGGGTCCCTTTCACATACCTATTGCTGAGAGAAGCCTCCTCCTGAGGTGCTTCTGGAAAGTTGGCATACGTCTTGAGCCTAATCCAGGGAATCAGCTCTCATCTCGAGACAATTTGGGGTACACGGAGCATTCCTCGAGTTGCTGTGCTGAAGTTGGTGTTCCTCTAGACTTGGGACCGTGTTCTCGGGGCATCTCTGGAGTTGCCTGAAGGAAGTCGAGCCACCGGTCGTGTTGAATGGGGAACGGGGAATGGCTCTGGAGTGAATGCAGGGGAATCGGGCCTCATCTCGAGTTGATTTGGGGCACATGGAGCTGCTTTGCGATGCTGGGGTGACCTCAGGGTCCGTCTAGACTGGTGACAGTGTTCTTGGGGACTGTCTCGAGATCCATTAAGCAAGTCGAAGCTCCTGACTTGTTTGAATGGGATCACGGAATAGCTCTGCATGCACTGCAGGGGAATGGGGCCTCATCTCGCCTCTAGGGGGAAGTCTCATGGTTTTTCTCGAGTTGCGGCGGGGACGTGGGGTATGTTCTCGACTTACGGCGGGGATGGCCCTTCAAAACACGAGTTTCTTCAGTGACGTCAGGACTCCTGTCTAGTAACGAGGGACACCTCAGGAATCTCTAAGAGGCTTGGCAGGGCAAAAGGGACGCTTCTCGAGGTGAGGCAGGGCACCCAAGGACCCTTTCCCGCAGCCACAGGGATTTCGGGATTCCTATCAGTATTCAAGAGGAGTCAGGCATCGTCACCTTTTGAAGCAATGAACTCCGCGTGCCTCTCGAGGTGTCAGCGAGATGTGAGGCATTCCGTCAAAATGAGGCAGGGACCTAGGGCTTTCTCTAAGGTCTCCACAGGGGATTCAGACATCCCTTCATGTTGTGAGATGAAAGACGAGCCTGTATTCAAGCCACTGCAAGGAAATCCGGCCTCCTTTCAAGTTAGGGCTTCTTGCTGTAAATTCCCCTTGAGGCAGCAAACTCGGGGTCCCTCCCACATAACTATTGGTGAGAGAAACCTCCTCCTGAGGTGCTTCTGGAAAGTTGGCATACGTCTTGAGCCTAAGCCAGGGAATCAGCTCTCATCGCGAGATGATTTGGGTTACACGGAGCATTCCTCGAGTTGCTGTGCTGAAGTTGGTGTTCCTCTAGACTTGGGACAGTGTTCTCGGGGCATCTCTGGAGTTGCCTGAAGGAAGTCGAGCCACCGGTCGTGTTGAATGGGGAACGGGGAATGGCTCTGGAGTGAATGCAGGGGAATCGGGCCTCATCTCGAGTTGATTTGGGGCACATGGAGCTGCTTTGCGTTGCTGGGGTGACCTCAGGGTCCGTCTAGACTGGTGACAGTGTTCTTGGGGACTGTCTCGAGATCCACTAAGCAAGTCGAAGCTCCTGACTTGTTTGAAAGGGATCACGGAATAGCTCTGCATGCACTGCAGGGGAATGGGGCCTCATGTCGCCTCTAGGGGGAAGTCTCATGGTTTTTCTCGAGTTTCGTTGGGGACCTGGGGTATGTTCTCGACTTAGGGCGGGGATGGCCCTTCAAAACACGAGTTTCTTCAGTGACATCAGGACTCCTGTCTAGTAACGAGGGACACTTCAGGAATCTCTACTAGGCTTGGCAGGGCAAAAGGGACGCTTCTCGAGGTGAGGCAGGGTACCCAAGGACGCTTTCCCCTAGCCACAGCGATTTTGGGATTCCTATCAGTATTCAAGAGGAGTCAGGCATCGTCACCTTTTGAAGCAATGAACTCCGCGTGCCTCTCGAGGTGTCAGCGGGATGTGAGGCATTCCGTCAAAATGAGGCAGGGACCTAGGTCTTTCTCTAAGGTCTCCACAGGGGATTCAGACATCCCTTCATGTTGTGAGATGAAAGACGAGCCTGTATTCAAGCCACTGCAAGGAAATCCGGCCTCCTTTCAAGTTAGGGCTTCTCGCTGTATATTCCCCTTGAGGCAGCAACCTCGGGTCCCTCCCACATACCTATGGCTGAGAGAAGCCTCCTCCTGAGGTGCTTCTGGAAAGTTGGCATAAGTCTTGAGCCTAAGCCAGGGAATCAGCTCTCATCTCGAGACGATTTGGGGTACACGGAGCATTCCTCAAGTTGCTGTGCTGAAGTTGGTGTTCCTCTAGACTTGGGACAGTGTTCTCGGGGCATCTCTGGAGTTGCCTGAAGGAAGTCGAGCCACCGGTCGTGTTGAATGGGGAACGGGGAATGGCTCTGGAGTGAAGGCAGGGGAATCGGGCCTCATCTCGAGTTGATTTGGGGCACATGGAGCTGCTTTGCGTTGCTGGGGTGACCTCAGGGTCCGTCTAGACTGGTGACAGTGTTCTTGGGGACTGTCTCGAGATCCACTAAGCAAGTCGAAGCTCCTGACTTGTTTGAATGGGATCACGGGATAGCTCTGCATGCACTGCAGGGGAATGGGGCCTCATCTCGCCTCAAGGGGGAAGTCTCATGGTTTTTCTCGAGTTGCGGCGGGGACCTGGCGTATGTTCTCGACTTACGGCGGGGATGGCCCTTCAAAACACGAGTTTCTTCAGTGACGTCAGGACTCCTGTCTAGTAACGAGGGACACCTCAGGAATCTCTTCGAGGCTTGGCAGGGCAAAAGGGACGCTTCTTGAAGTGAGGCAGGGCACCCAAGGACCCTTTCCCGTAGCCAAAGGGATTTTGGGATTCCTATCAGTATTCAAGAGGAGTCAGGCATCGTCACCTTTTGAAGCAATGAACTCCGCGTGCCTCTCGAGGTGTCAGCGGGATGTGAGGCATTCCGTCAAAATGAGGCAGGGACCTAGGGCTTTCTCTAAGGTCTCCACAGGGGATTCAGACATCCCTTCATGTTGTGAGATGAAAGACGAGCCTGTATTCAAGCCACTGCAAGGAAATGCGGCCTCCTTTCAAGTTAGGGCTTCTCGCTGTATATTCCCCTTGAGGCAGCAAACTCGGGGTCCCTTTCACATACCTATTGCTGAGAGAAGCCTCCTCCTGAGGTGCTTCTGGAAAGTTGGCATACGTCTTGAGCCTAATCCAGGGAATCAGCTCTCATCTCGAGACAATTTGGGGTACACGGAGCATTCCTCGAGTTGCTGTGCTGAAGTTGGTGTTCCTCTAGACTTGGGACCGTGTTCTCGGGGCATCTCTGCAGTTGCCTGAAGGAAGTCGAGCCACCGGTCGTGTTGAATGGGGAACGGGGAATGGCTCTGGAGTGAATGCAGGGGAATCGGGCCTCATCTCGAGTTGATTTGGGGCACATGGAGCTGCTTTGCGATGCTGGGGTGACCTCAGGGTCCGTCTAGACTGGTGACAGTGTTCTTGGGGACTGTCTCGAGATCCATTAAGCAAGTCGAAGCTCCTGACTTGTTTGAATGGGATCACGGAATAGCTCTGCATGCACTGCAGGGGAATGGGGCCTCATCTCGCCTCTAGGGGGAAGTCTCATGGTTTTTCTCGAGTTGCGGCGGGGACGTGGGGTATGTTCTCGACTTACGGCGGGGATGGCCCTTCAAAACACGAGTTTCTTCAGTGACGTCAGGACTCCTGTCTAGTAACGAGGGACACCTCAGGAATCTCTAAGAGGCTTGGCAGGGCAAAAGGGACGCTTCTCGAGGTGAGGCAGGGCACCCAAGGACCCTTTCCCGTAGCCACAGGGATTTTGGGATTCCTATCAGTATTCAAGAGGAGTCAGGCATCGTCACCTTTTGAAGCAATGAACTCCGCGTGCCTCTCGAGGTGTCAGCGGGATGTGAGGCATTCCGTCAAAATGAGGCAGGGACCTAGGGCTTTCTCTAAGGTCTCCACAGGGAATTCAGACATCCCTTCATGTTGTGAGATGAAAGACGAGCCTGTATTCAAGCCACTGAAAGGAAATCCAGCCTCCTTTCAAGTTAGGGCTTCTCGCTGTATATTCCCCTTGAGGCAGCAAACTCGGGTCCCACCCACATAACTATTGCTAAGAGAAGCCTCCTCCTGAGATGCTTCTGGAAAGTTGGCATAAGTCTTGAGCCTAAGCCAGGGAATCAGCTCTCATCTCGAGACGATTTGGGGTACACAGAGCATTCCTCGAGTTGCTGTGCTGAAGTTGGTGTTCCTCTAGACTTGGGACAGTGTTCTCGGGGAATCTCTGGCGTTGCCTGAAGGAAGTCGAGCCACCGGTCGTGTTGAATGGGGAACGGGGAATGGCTCTGGGGTCAATGCAGGGGAATCGGGCCTCATCTCGAGTTGATTTGGAGCACATGGAGCTGCTTTGCGTTGCTGGGGTGACCTCAGGGTCCGTCTAGACTGGTGACAGTGTTCTTGGGGACTGTCTCGAGATCCATTAAGCAAGTCGAAGCTCCTGACTTGTTTGAATGGGATCATGGGATAGCTCTGCATGCACTGCAAGGGAATGGGGCCTCATCTCGCCTCTAGGGGGAAGTCTCATGGTTTTTCTCGAGTTGCGGCGGGGACCTGGGGTATGTTCTCGACTTACGGCGGGGATGGCCCTTCAAAACACGAGTTTCTTCAGTGACGTCAGGACTTCTGTCTAGTAATGAGGGACACCTCAGGAATCTCTTCGAGGCTTGGCAGGGCAAAAGGGACGCTTCTCGAGGTGAGGCAGGGCACCCAAGGACCCTTTCCAGTAGCCACAGGGATTTTGGGATTCCTATCAGTATTCAAGAGGAGTCAGGCATCGTCACCTTTTGAAGCAATGAACTCCGCGTGCCTCTCGAGGTGTCAGCGGGATGGGAGGCATTCCGTCAAAATGAGGCAGGGACCTAGGGCTTTCTCTACGGTCCCCACAGGGGATTCAGACATCCCTTCATGTTGTGAGATGAAAGACGAGCCTGTATTCAAGCCACTGCAAGGAAATGCGGCCTCCTTTCAATTTAGGGCTTCTCGCTGTATATTCCCCTTGAGGCAGCAAACTCGGGGTCCCTTCCACATACCTATTGCTGAGAGAAGCCTCCTCCTGAGGTGCTTCTGGAAAGTTGGCATAAGTCTTGAGCCTAAGCCAGGGAATCAGCTCTCATCTCGAGACGATTTGGGGTACACGAAGCATTCCTCGAGTTGCTGTGCTGAAGTTGGTGTTCCTCTAGACTTGGGACCGTGTTCTCGGGGCATCTCTGGAGTTGCCTGAAGGAAGTCGAGCCACTGGTCGTGTTGAATGGGGAACGGGGAATGGCTCTGGAGTCAATGCAGGGGAATCGGGCCTCATCTCGAGTTGATTTGGGGCACATGCAGCTGCTTTGCGTTGCTGGGGTGACCTCAGGGTCCGTCTAGACTGGTGATAGTGTTCTTGGGGACTGTCTCGAGATCCATTAAGCAAGTCGAAGCTCCTGACTTGTTTGAATGCGATCACGGAATAGCTCTGCATGCACTGCAGGGGAATGGGGCCTCATCTCGCCTCTAGGGGGAAGTCTCATGGTTTTTCTCGAGTTGCGGCAGGGACCTGGGGTATGTTCTCGACTTACGGCGGGGATGGCCCTTCAAAACACGAGTTTCTTCAGTGACCTCAGGACTCCTGTCTAGTAACGAGGGACACCTCAGGAATCTCTTCGAAGCTTGGCAGGGCAAAAGGGACGCTTCTCGAGGTGAGGCAGGGACCCCAAGGACCCTTTCCCGTAGCCACAGGGATTTTGGGATTCCTATCAGTATTCAAGAGGAGTCAGGCATCGTCACCTTTTGAAGCAATGAACTCCGCGTGCCTCTCGAGGTGTCAGCGGGATGTGAGGCATTCCGTCAAAATGAGGCAGGGACCTAGGGCTTTCTCTAAGGTATCCACAGGGGATTCAGACATCCCTTCATGTTGTGAGATGAAAGACGAGCCTGTATTCAAGCCACTGCAAGGAAATCCGGCCTCCTTTCAAGTTATGGCTTCTCGCTGTATATTCCCCTTGAGGCAGCAAACTCGGGGTCCCTCCCACATACCTATTGCTGGGAGAAGCCTCCTCCTGAGGTGCTTCTGGAAAGTTGGCATACGTCTTGAGCCTAAGCCAGGGAATCAGCTCTCATCTCGAGACGATTTGGGGTACACGAAGCATTCCTCGAGTTGCTGTGCTGAAGTTGGTGTTCCTCTAGACTTGGGACCGTGTTCTCGGGGCATCTCTGGAGTTGCCTGAAGGAAGTCGAGCCACTGGTCGTGTTGAATGGGGAACGGGGAATGGCTCTGGAGTCAATGCAGGGGAATCGGGCCTCATCTCGAGTTGATTTGGGGCACATGCAGCTGCTTTGCGTTGCTGGGGTGACCTCAGGGTCCGTCTAGACTGGTGACAGTGTTCTTGGGGACTGTCTCGAGATCCATTAAGCAAGTCGAAGCTCCTGACTTGTTTGAATGCGATCACGGAATAGCTCTGCATGCACTGCAGGGGAATGGGGCCTCATCTCGCCTCTAGGGGGAAGTCTCATGGTTTTTCTCGAGTTGCGGCAGGGACCTGGGGTATGTTCTCGACTTACGGCGGGGATGGCCCTTCAAAACACGAGTTTCTTCAGTGACCTCAGGACTCCTGTCTAGTAACGAGGGACACCTCAGGAATCTCTTCGAGGCTTGGCAGGGCAAAAGGGACGCTTCTCGAGGTGAGGCAGGGCCCCCAAGGACCCTTTCCCGTAGCCACAGGGATTTTGGGATTCCTATCAGTATTCAAGAGGAGTCAGGCATCGTCACCTTTTGAAGCAATGAACTCCGCGTGCCTCTCGAGGTGTCAGCGGGATGTGAGGCATTCCGTCAAAATGAGGCAGGGACCTAGGGCTTTCTCTAAGGTATCCACAGGGGATTCAGACATCCCTTCATGTTGTGAGATGAAAGACGAGCCTGTATTCAAGCCACTGCAAGGAAATCCGGCTTCCTTTCAAGTTATGGCTTCTCGCTGTATATTCCCCTTGAGGCAGCAAACTCGGGGTCCCTCCCACATACCTATTGCTGGGAGAAGCCTCCTCCTGAGGTGCTTCTGGAAAGTTGGCATACGTCTTGATCCTAAGCCAGGGAATCAGCTCTCATCTCTAGACGATTTGGGGTACACGGAGCATTCCTCAAGTGCTGTGCTGAGGTTGGTGTTCCTCTAGACTTGGGACACTGTTGTCGGGGCATCTCTGGAGTTGCCTGAAGGAAGTCGAGCCACCGGTCGTGTTGAATGGGGAACGGGGAATGGCTCTGGCGTCAATGCAGGCGAATGGGACCTCATCTCGAGTTGATTTGGGGCACATGGAGCTGCTTTGCTTTTCTGGGGTGACCTCAGGGTCCGTCTAGACTGGTGACAGTGTTCTTGGGGACTGTCTCGAGATCCATTAAGCAAGTCGAAGCTCCTGACTTGTTGGAATGGGATCACGGAATAGCTCTGCATGCACTGCAGCGGAATGGGACCTCATCTCGCCTCTAGGGGGAAGTCTCATGGTTTTTCTCGAGTTGCGGCGGGGACCTGGGGTATGTTCTCGACTTACGGCGGGGATGGCCCTTCAAAACACGAGTTTCTTCAGTGACGTCAGGACTCCTGTCTAGTAACGAGGGACACCTCAGGAATCTCTTCGAGGCTTGGCAGGGCAAAAGGGACGCTTCTTGAAGTGAGGCAGGGCACCCAAGGACCCTTTCCCGTAGCCACAGGGATTTTGGGATTCCTATCAGTATTCAAGAGGAGTCAGGCATCGTCACCTTTTGAAGCAATGAACTCCGCGTGCCTCTCGAGGTGTCAGCGGGATGTGAGGCATTCCGTCAAAATGAGGCAGGGACCTAGGGCTTTCTCTAAGGTCTCCACAGGGGATTCAGACATCCCTTCATGTTGTGAGATGAAAGACGAGCCTGTATTCAAGCCACTGCAAGGAATTGCGGCCTCCTTTCAAGTTAGGGCTTCTCGCTGTATATTCCCCTTGAGGCAGCAAACTCGGGGTCCCTTTCACATACCTATTGCTGAGAGAAGCCTCCTCCTGAGGTGCTTCTGGAAAGTTGGCATACGTCTTGAGCCTAATCCAGGGAATCAGCTCTCATCTCGAGACAATTTGGGGTACACGGAGCATTCCTCGAGTTGCTGTGCTGAAGTTGGTGTTCCTCTAGACTTGGGACCGTGTTCTCGGGGCATCTCTGGAGTTGCCTGAAGGAAGTCGAGCCACCGGTCGTGTTGAATGGGGAACGGGGAATGGCTCTGGAGTGAATGCAGGGGAATCGGGCCTCATCTCGAGTTGATTTGGGGCACATGGAACTGCTTTGCGATGCTGGGGTGACCTCAGGGTCCGTCTAGACTGGTGACAGTGTTCTTGGGGACTGTCTCGAGATCCATTAAGCAAGTCGAAGCTCCTGACTTGTTGGAATGGGATCACGGAATAGCTCTGCATGCACTGCAGCGGAATGGGACCTCATCTCGCCTCTAGGGGGAAGTCTCATGGTTTTTCTCGAGTTGCGGCGGGGACCTGGGGTATGTTCTCGACTTACGGCGGGGATGGCCCTTCAAAACACGAGTTTCTTCAGTGACGTCAGGACTCCTGTCTAGTAACGAGGGACACCTCAGGAATCTCTTCGAGGCTTGGCAGGGCAAAAGGGACGCTTCTTGAAGTGAGGCAGGGCACCCAAGGACCCTTTCCCGTAGCCACAGGGATTTTGGGATTCCTATCAGTATTCAAGAGGAGTCAGGCATCGTCACCTTTTGAAGCAATGAACTCCGCGTGCCTCTCGAGGTGTCAGCGGGATGTGAGGCATTCCGTCAAAATGAGGCAGGGACCTAGGGCTTTCTCTAAGGTCTCCACAGGGGATTCAGACATCCCTTCATGTTGTGAGATGAAAGACGAGCCTGTATTCAAGCCACTGCAAGGAATTGCGGCCTCCTTTCAAGTTAGGGCTTCTCGCTGTATATTCCCCTTGAGGCAGCAAACTCGGGGTCCCTTTCACATACCTATTGCTGAGAGAAGCCTCCTCCTGAGGTGCTTCTGGAAAGTTGGCATACGTCTTGAGCCTAATCCAGGGAATCAGCTCTCATCTCGAGACAATTTGGGGTACACGGAGCATTCCTCGAGTTGCTGTGCTGAAGTTGGTGTTCCTCTAGACTTGGGACCGTGTTCTCGGGGCATCTCTGGAGTTGCCTGAAGGAAGTCGAGCCACCGGTCGTGTTGAATGGGGAACGGGGAATGGCTCTGGAGTGAATGCAGGGGAATCGGGCCTCATCTCGAGTTGATTTGGGGCACATGGAGCTGCTTTGCGATGCTGGGGTGACCTCAGGGTCCGTCTAGACTGGTGACAGTGTTCTTGGGGACTGTCTCGAGATCCATTAAGCAAGTCGAAGCTCCTGACTTGTTTGAATGGGATCACGGAATAGCTCTGCATGCACTGCAGGGGAATGGGGCCTCATCTCGCCTCTAGGGGGAAGTCTCATGGTTTTTCTCGAGTTGCGGCGGGGACGTGGGGTATGTTCTCGACTTACGGCGGGGATGGCCCTTCAAAACACGAGTTTATTCAGTGACGTCAGGACTCCTGTCTAGTAACGAGGGACACCTCAGGAATCTCTAAGAGGCTTGGCAGGGCAAAAGGGACGCTTCTCGAGGTGAGGCAGGGCACCCAAGGACCCTTTCCCGTAGCCACAGGGATTTTGGGATTCCTATCAGTATTCAAGAGGAGTCAGGCATCGTCACCTTTTGAAGCAATGAACTCCGCGTGCCTCTCGAGGTGTCAGCGGGATGTGAGGCATTCCGTCAAAATGAGGCAGGGACCTAGGGCTTTCTCTAAGGTCTCCACAGGGAATTCAGACATCCCTTCATGTTGTGAGATGAAAGACGAGCCTGTATTCAAGCCACTGAAAGGAAATCCAGCCTCCTTTCAAGTTAGGGCTTCTCGCTGTATATTCCCCTTGAGGCAGCAAACTCGGGTCCCACCCACATAACAATTGCTAAGAGAAGCCTCCTCCTGAGATGCTTCTGGAAAGTTGGCATAAGTCTTGAGCCTAAGCCAGGGAATCAGCTCTCATCTCGAGACGATTTGGGGTACACAGAGCATTCCTCGAGTTGCTGTGCTGAAGTTGGTGTTCCTCTAGACTTGGGACAGTGTTCTCGGGGAATCTCTGGCGTTGCCTGAAGGAAGTCGAGCCACCGGTCATGTTGAATGGGGAACGGGGAATGGCTCTGGGGTCAATGCAGGGGAATCGGGCCTCATCTCGAGTTGATTTGGAGCACATGGAGCTGCTTTGCGTTGCTGGGGTGACCTCAGGGTCCGTCTAGACTGGTGACAGTGTTCTTGGGGACTGTCTCGAGATCCATTAAGCAAGTCGAAGCTCCTGACTTGTTTGAATGGGATCATGGGATAGCTCTGCATGCACTGCAAGGGAATGGGGCCTCATCTCGCCTCTAGGGGGAAGTCTCATGGTTTTTCTCGAGTTGCGGCGGGGACCTGGGGTATGTTCTCGACTTACGGCGGGGATGGCCCTTCAAAACACGAGTTTCTTCAGTGACGTCAGGACTTCTGTCTAGTAATGAGGGACACCTCAGGAATCTCTTCGAGGCTTGGCAGGGCAAAAGGGACGCTTCTCGAGGTGAGGCAGGGCACCCAAGGACCCTTTCCAGTAGCCACAGGGATTTTGGGATTCCTATCAGTTTTCAAGAGGAGTCAGGCATCGTCACCTTTTGAAGCAATGAACTCCGCGTGCCTCTCGAGGTGTCAGCGGGATGTGAGGCATTCCGTCAAAATGAGGCAGGGACCTAGGGCTTTCTCTACGGTCTCCACAGGGGATTCAGACATCCCTTCATGTTGTGAGATGAAAGACGAGCCTGTATTCAAGCCACTGCAAGGAAATGCGGCCTCCTTTCAATTTAGGGCTTCTCGCTGTATATTCCCCTTGAGGCAGCAAACTCGGGGTCCCTTCCACATACCTATTGCTGAGAGAAGCCTCCTCCTGAGGTGCTTCTGGAAAGTTGGCATAAGTCTTGAGCCTAAGCCAGGGAGTCAGCTCTCATCTCGAGACGATTTGGGGTACACGAAGCATTCCTCGAGTTGCTGTGCTGAAGTTGGTGTTCCTCTAGACTTGGGACCGTGTTCTCGGGGCATCTCTGGAGTTGCCTGAAGGAAGTCGAGCCACTGGTCGTGTTGAATGGGGAACGGGGAATGGCTCTGGAGTCAATGCAGGGGAATCGGGCCTCATCTCGAGTTGATTTGGGGCACATGCAGCTGCTTTGCGTTGCTGGGGTGACCTCAGGGTCCGTCTAGACTGGTGACAGTGTTCTTGGGGACTGTCTCGAGATCCATTAAGCAAGTCGAAGCTCCTGACTTGTTTGAATGGGATCACGGAATAGCTCTGCATGCACTGCAGGGGAATGGGGCCTCATCTCGCCTCTAGGGGGAAGTCTCATGGTTTTTCTCGAGTTGCGGCAGGGACCTGGGGTATGTTCTCGACTTACGGCGGGGATGGCCCTTCAAAACACGAGTTTCTTCAGTGACCTCAGGACTCCTGTCTAGTAACGAGGGACACCTCAGGAATCTCTTCGAGGCTTGGCAGGGCAAAAGGGACGCTTCTCGAGGTGAGGCAGGGCCCCCAAGGACCCTTTCCCGTAGCCACAGGGATTTTGGGATTCCTATCAGTATTCAAGAGGAGTCAGGCATCGTCACCTTTTGAAGCAATGAACTCCGCGTGCCTCTCGAGGTGTCAGCGGGATGTGAGGCATTCCGTCAAAATGAGGCAGGGACCTAGGGCTTTCTCTACGGTATCCACAGGGGATTCAGACATCCCTTCATGTTGTGAGATGAAAGACGAGCCTGTATTCAAGCCACTGCAAGGAAATCCGGCCTCCTTTCAAGTTATGGCTTCTCGCTGTATATTCCCCTTGAGGCAGCAAACTCGGGGTCCCTCCCACATACCTATTGCTGGGAGAAGCCTCCTCCTGAGGTGCTTCTGGAAAGTTGGCATACGTCTTGAGCCTAAGCCAGGGAATCAGCTCTCATCTCGAGACGATTTGGGGTACACGAAGCATTCCTCGAGTTGCTGTGCTGAAGTTGGTGTTCCTCTAGACTTGGGACCGTGTTCTCGGGGCATCTCTGGAGTTGCCTGAAGGAAGTCGAGCCACTGGTCGTGTTGAATGGGGAACGGGGAATGGCTCTGGAGTCAATGCAGGGGAATCGGGCCTCATCTCGAGTTGATTTGGGGCACATGCAGCTGCTTTGCGTTGCTGGGGTGACCTCAGGGTCCGTCTAGACTGGTGACAGTGTTCTTGGGGACTGTCTCGAGATCCATTAAGCAAGTCGAAGCTCCTGACTTGTTTGAATGCGATCACGGAATAGCTCTGCATGCACTGCAGGGGAATGGGGCCTCATCTCGCCTCTAGGGGGAAGTCTCATGGTTTTTCTCGAGTTGCGGCAGGGACCTGGGGTATGTTCTCGACTTACGGCGGGGATGGCCCTTCAAAACACGAGTTTCTTCAGTGACCTCAGGACTCCTGTCTAGTAACGAGGGACACCTCAGGAATCTCTTCGAGGCTTGGCAGGGAAAAACGGACGCTTCTCGAGGTGAGGCAGGGCACCCAAGGACCCTTTCCTGTAGCCTCAGGGATTTTGGGATTCCTATCAGTATTCAAGAGGAGTCAGGCATCGTCACCTTTTGAAGCAATGAATTCCGCGTGCCTCTCGATGTGTCAGCGGGATGTGAGGCATTCCGTCAAAATGAGGCAGGGACCTAGGGCTTTCTCTAAGGTATCCACATGGGATTCAGACATCCCTTCATGTTGTGAGATGAAAGACGAGCCTGTATTCAAGCCACTACAATGAAATCCGGCCTCCTTTCAAGTTATGGCTTCTCACTGTATATTCCCCTTGAGGCAGCAAACTCGGGGTCCCTCCCACATACCTATTGCTGAGAGAAGCCTCCTCCTGAGGTGCTTCTGGAAAGTTGGCATACGTCTTGAGCCTAAGCCAGGGAATCAGCTCTCATCTCTAGACGATTTGGGGTACACGGAGCATTCCTCAAGTGCTGTGCTGAGGTTGGTGTTCCTCTAGACTTGGGACACTGTTGTCGGGGCATCTCTGGAGATGCCTGAAGGAAGTCGAGCCACCGGTCGTGTTGAATGGGGAACGTGGAATGGCTCTGGAGTCAATGCATGCGAATGGGACCTCATCTCGAGTTGATTTGGGGCACATGGAGCTGCTTTGCTTTGCTGGGGTGACCTCAGGGTCCGTCGAGACTGGTGACAGTGTTCTTGGGGACTGTCTCGAGATCCATTAAGCAAGTCGAAGCTCCTGACTTGTTGGAATGGGATCACGGAATAGCTCTGCATGCACTGCAGGGGAATGGGACCTCATCTCGCCTCTAGGGGGAAGTCTCATGGTTTTTCTCGAGTTGCGGCGGGGACCTGGGGTATGTTCTCGACTTACGGCGGGGATGGCCCTTCAAAACACGAGTTTCTTCAGTGACGTCAGGTCTCCAGTCTAGTAACGAGGGACACCTCAGGAATCTCTTCGAGGCTTGGCAGGGCAAAAGGGACGCTTCTCGAGGTGAGGCAGGGCACCCAAGGACCCTTTCCCGTAGCCACAGGGATTTTGGGATTCCTATCAGTATTCAAGAGGAGTCAGGCATCGTCACCTTTTGAAGCAATGAACTCCGCGTGCCTCTCGAGGTGTCAGCGGGACGTGAGGCATTCCGTCAAAATGAGGCAGGGACCTAGATCTTTCTCTAAGGTCTCCACAGGGGATTCAGACATCCCTTCATGTTGTGAGATGAAAGACGAGCCTGTATTCAAGCCACTTCAAGGAAATCCGGCCTCCTTTCAAGTTAGGGCTTCTCGCTGTATATTCCCCTTGAGGCAGCAAACTCGGGGTCCCTCCCACATAACTATTGCTGAGAGAAGCCTCCTCCTGAGGTGCTTCTGGAAAGTTGGCATACGTCTTGAGCCTAAGCCAGGGAATCAGCTCTCATCTCGAGACGATTTGGGTTACACGGAGCATTCCTCGAGTTGCTATGCTGAAGTTGGTGTTCCTCTAGACTTGGGACAGTGTTCTCGGGGCATCTCTGGAGTTGCCTGAAGGAAGTCGAGCCACCGGTCCTGTTGAATGGGGAACGGGGAATGTCTCTGGAGTCAATGAAGGGGAATCGGGCCTCATCTGGAGTTGTTTTGGGGCACATGGAGCTGCTTTGCGTTGCTGGGGTGACCTCAGGGTCCGTCTAGACTGGTGACAGTGTTCTTGGGGAATGTCTCGAGATCCATTAAGCAAGTCGAAGCTCCTGACTTGTTTGAATGGGATCACGGAATAGCTCTGCATGCACTGCAGGGGAATGGGGCCTCATCTCGCCTCAAGGGGGAAGTCTCATGGTTTTTCTCGAGTTGCGGCGGGGACCTGGAGTATGTTCTCGACTTACGGCGGGGATGGCCCTTCAAAACACGAGTTTCTTCAGTGACGTCAGGACTCCTGTCTTGTAACGAGGGACACCTCAGGAATCTCTTCGAGGCTTGGCAGGGCAAAAGGGACGCTTCTCGAGGTGAGGCAGGGCACCCAAGGACCCTTTCACGTAGCCACAGGGATTTTGGGATTCCTATCAGTATTCAAGAGGAGTCAGGCATCGTCACCTTTTGAAGCAATGAACTCCGCGTGCCTCTCGAGGTGTCAGCGGGACGTGAGGCATTCCGTCAAAATGAGGCAGGGACCTAAGGCTTTCTCTAAGGTCTCCACAGGGGATTCAGACATCCCTTCATGTTGTGAGATGAAAGACGAGCCTGTATTCAAGCCACTGCAAGGAAATCCGGCCTCCTTTCAAGTTAGGGCTTTTCGCTGTATATTCCCCTTGAGGCAGCAAACTCGGGTCCCACCCACATAACTATTGCTGAGAGAAGCCTCCTCCTGAGGTGCTTCTGGAAAGTTGGCATAAGTCTTGATCCTAAGCCAGGTAATCAGCTCTCATCTCGAGACGATTTGGGGTACACAGAGCATTCCTCGAGTTGCTGTGCTGAAGTTGGTGTTCCTCTAGACTTGGGACAGTGTTCTCGGGGCATCTCTGGAGTTGCCTGAAGGAAGTCGAGCCACCGGTCGTGTTGAATGGGGAACGGGGAATGGCTCTGGGGTCAATGCAGGGGAATCGGGCCTCATCTCGAGTTGATTTGGGGCACATGGAGCTGCTTTGCGTTGCTGGGGTGACGTCAGGGTCCGTCTAGAGTGGTGACAGTGTCCTTGGGGACTGTCTCGAGATCCATTAAGCAAGTCGAAGCTCCTGACTTGTTTGAATGGGATCATGGGATAGCTCTGCATGCACTGCAAGGGAATGGGGCCTCATCTCGCCTCTAGGGGGAAGTCTCATGGTTTTTCTCGAGTTGCGGCGGGGACCTGGGGTATGTTCTCGACTTACGGCGGGGATGGCCCTTCAAAACACGAGTTTCTTCAGTGACGTCAGGACTCCTGTCTAGTAATGAGGGACACCTCAGGAATCTCTTCGAGGCTTGGCAGGGCAAAAGGGACGCTTCTCGAGGTGAGGCAGGGCACCCAAGGACCCTTTCCAGTAGCCACAGGGATTTTGGGATTCCTATCAGTATTCAAGAGGAGTCAGGCATCGTCACCTTTTGAAGCAATGAACTCCGCGTGCCTCTCGAGGTGTTAGCGGGATGTGAGGCATTCCGTCAAAATGAGGCAGGGACCTAGGGCTTTCACTAAGGTCTCCACAGGGGATTCAGATATCCCTTCATGTTGTGAGATGAAAGACGAGCCTGTATTCAAGCCACTGCAAGGAAATGCGGCCTCCTTTCAAGTTAGGGCTTCTCGCTGTATATTCCCCTTGAGGCAGCAAACTCGGGTCCCACCCACATACCTATTGCTTAGAGAAGCCTCCTCCTGAGGTGCTTCTGGAAAGTTGGCATAAGTCTTGAACCTAAGCCAGGGAATTAGCTCTCATCTCGAGACGATTTGGGGTACACGAAGCATTCCTCGAGTTGCTGTGCTGAAGTTGGTGTTCCTCTAGACATGGGACCGTGTTCTCGGGGCATCTCTGGAGTTGCCTGAAGGAAGTCGAGCCACCGGTCGTGTTGAATGGGGAACGGGGAATGGCTCTGGAGTCAATGCATGGGAATTGGGCCTCATCTCGAGTTGATTTGGGGCACATGGAGCTGCTTTGCGTTGCTGGGGTGACCTCAGGGTCCGTCTAGACTGGTGACAGTGTTCTTGGGGACTCTCTCGAGATCCACTAAGCAAGTCGAAGCTCCTGACTTGTTTGAATGGGATCACGGAATAGCTCTGCATGCACTGCAGGGGAATGGGGCCTCATCTCGCCTCTACGGTGAAGTCTCATGGTTTTACTCTAGTTGCGGCGGGGACCTGGGGTATGTTCTCGACTTACGGCGGGGATGGCCCTTCAAAACACGAGTTTCTTCAGTGACCTCAGGACTCCTGTCTAGTAACGAGGGACACCTCAGGAATCTCTTCGAGGCTTGGCAGGGCAAAAGGGACGCTTCTCGAGGTGAGGCAGGGCACCCAAGGACCCTTTCCAGTAGCCACAGGGATTTTGGGATTCCTATCAGTATTCAAGAGGAGTCAGGCATCGTCACCTTTTGAAGCAATGAACTCCGCGTGCCTCTCGAGGTGTCAGCGGGATGTGAGGCATTCCGTCAAAATGAGGCAGGGACCTAGGGCTTTCTCTAAGGTATCCACAGGGGATTCAGACATCCCTTCATGTTGTGAGATGAAAGACGAACCTGTATTCAAGCCACTGCAAGGAAATCCGGCCTCCTTTCAAGTTATGGCTTCTCGCTGTATATTCCCCTTGAGGCAGCAAACTCGGGGTCCCTCCCACATACCTATTGCTGGGAGAAGCCTCCTCCTGAGGTGCTTCTGGAAAGATGGCATACGTCTTGAGCCTAAGCCAGGGAATCAGCTCTCATCTCTAGACGATTTGGGGTACACGGAGCATTCCTCAAGTGCTGTGCTGAGGTTGGTGTTCCTCTCGACTTGGGACACTGTTGTCGGGGCATCTCTGGAGTTGCCTGAAGGAAGTCGAGCCACCGGTCGTGTTGAATGGGGAACGGGGAATGGCTCTGGCGTCAATGCAGGCGAATGGGACCTCATCTCGAGTTGATTTGGGGCACATGGAACTGCTTTGCTTTGCTGGGGTGACTTCAGGGTCCGTCTAGACTGGTGACAGTGTTCTTGGGGACTGTCTCGAGATCCATTAAGCAAGTCGAAGCTTCTGACTTGTTGGAATGGGATCACGGAATAGCTCTGCATGCACTGCAGGGGAATGGGACCTCATCTCGCCTCTAGGTGGAAGTCTCATGGTTTTTCTCGAGTTGCGGCGGGGACCTGGGGTATGTTCTCGACTTACGGCGGGGATGGCCCTTCAAAACACGAGTTTCTTCAGTGACGTCAGGACTCCTGTCTAGTAACGAGGGACACCTCAGGAATCTCTTCGAGGCTTGGCAGGGCAAAAGGGACGCTTCTCGAGGTGAGGCAGGGCACCCAGGGCCCTTTCCCGTAGCCACAGGGATTTTGGGATTCCTATCAGTATTCAAGAGGAGTCAGGCATCGTCACGTTTTGAAGCAATGAACTCCGCGTGCCTCTCGAGGTGTCAGCGGGACGTGAGGCATTCCGTCAAAATGAGGCAGGGACATAAGGCTTTCTCTAAGGTTTCCACAGGGGATTCAGACATCCCTTCATGTTGTGAGATGAAAGACGAGCCTGTATTCAAGCCACTGCAAGGAAATACGGCCTCCTTTCAAGTCAGGGCTTCTCGCTGTATATTCCCCTTGAGGCAGCAAACTCGGGTCCCACCCACATAACTATTGCTGAGAGAAGCCTCCTCCTGAGGTGCTTCTGGAAAGTTGGCATAAGTCTTGAGCCTAAGCCAGGGAATCAGCTCTCATCTCGAGACGATTTGGGGTACACAGAGCATTCCTCGAGTTGCTGTGCTGAAGTTGGTGTTCCTCTAGACTTGGGACAGTGTTCTCGGGGCATCTCTGGAGTTGCCTGAAGGAAGTCGAGCCACCGGTCGTGTTGATTGGGGAACGGGGAATGGCTCTGGGGTCAATGCAGGGGAATCGGGCCTCATCTCGAGTTGATTTGGGGCACATGGAGCTGCTTTGCGTTGCTGGGGTGACCTCAGGGTCCGTCTAGAGTGGTGACAGTGTTCTTGGGTACTGTCTCGAGATCCATTAAGCAAGTCGAAGCTCCTGACTTGTTTGAATGGGATCATGGGATAGCTCTGCATGCACTGCAAGGGAATGGGGCCTCATCTCGCCTCTAGGGGGAAGTCTCATGGTTTTTCTCGAGTTGCGGCGGGGACCTGGGGTATGTTCTCGACTTACGGCGGGGATGGCCCTTCAAAACACGAGTTTCTTCAGTGACGTCAGGACTCCTGTCTAGTAATGAGGGACACCTCAGGAATCTCTTCGAGGCTTGGCAGGGCAAAAGGGACGCTTCTCGAGGTGAGGCAGGGCACCCAAGGACCCTTTCCAGTAGCCACAGGGGTTTTGGGATTCCTATCAGTATTCAAGAGGAGTCAGGCATCGTCACCTTTTGAAGCAATGAACTCCGTGTGCCTCTCGAGGTGTCAGCGGGATGTGAGGCATTCCGTCAAAATGAGGCAGGGACCTAGGGCTTTCTCTAAGGTCTCCACAGGGGATTCAGATATCCCTTCATGTTGTGAGATGAAAGACGAGCCTGTATTCAAGCCACTGCAAGGAAATGCGGCCTCCTTTCAAGTTAGGGCTTCTCGCTGTATATTCCCCTTGAGGCAGCAAACTCGGGGTCCCTTCCACATACCTATTGCTGAGAGAATCCTCCTCCTGAGGTGCTTCTGGAAAGTTGGCATAAGTCTTGAGCCTAAGCCAGGGAATCAGCTCTCATCTCGAGACGATTTGGGGTACACGAAGCATTCCTCGAGTTGCTGTGCTGAAGTTGGTGTTCCTCTAGACTTGGGACAGTGTTCTCGGGGCATCTCTGGAGTTGCCTGAAGGAAGTCGAGCCACCGGTCGTGTTGAATGGGGAACGGGGAATGGCTCTGGAGTCAATGAAGGGGAATCGGGCCTCATCTCGAGTTGATTTGGGGCACATGGAGCTGCTTTGCGTTGCTGGGGTGACCTCAGGGTCCGTCTAGACTGGTGACAGTGTTCTTGGGGACTGTCTCGAGATCCACTAAGCAAGTCGAAGCTCCTGACTTGTTTGAATGGGATCACGGAATAGCTCTGCATGCACTGCAGGGGAATGGGGCCTCATCTCGCCTCTAGGGGGAAGTCTCATGGTTTTACTCTAGTTGCGGCGGGGACCTGGGGTATGTTCTCGACTTACGGCGGGGATGGCCCTTCAAAACACGAGTTTCTTCAGTGACCTCAGGACTCCTGTCTAGTAACGAGGGACACCTCAGGAATCTCTTCGAGGCTTGGCAGGGCAAAAGGGACGCTTCTCGAGGTGAGGCAGGGCACCCAAGGACCCTTTCCCGTAGCCACAGGGATTTTGGGATTCCTATCAGTATTCAAGAGGAGTCAGGCATCGTCACCTTTTGAAGCAATGAAATCCGCGTGCCTCTCGAGGTGTCAGCGGGATGTGAGGCATTCCGTCAAAATGAGGCAGGGACCTAGGGCTTTCTCTAAGGTCTCCACAGGGGATTCAGACATCCCTTCATGTTGTGAGATGAAAGACGAGCCTGTATTCAAGCCACTGCAAGGAAATCCGTCCTCCTTTCAAGTTATGGCTTCTCGCTGTATATTCCCCTTGAGTCAGCAAACTCGGGGTCCCTCCCACATACCTATTGCTGGGAGAAGCCTCCTCCTGAGGTGCTTCTGGAAAGTTGGCATACGTCTTGAGCCTAAGCCAGGGAATCAGCTCTCATCTCTAGACGATTTGGGGTACACGGAGCATTCCTCAAGTGCTGTGCTGAGGTTGGTGTTCCTCTAGACTTGGGACACAGTTGTCGGGGCATCTCTGGAGTTGCCTGAAGGAAGTCGAGCCACCGGTCGTGTTGAATGGGGAACGGGGAATGGCTCTGGCGTCAATGCAGGGGAATCGGGCCTCATCTCGAGTTGATTTGGGGCACATGAAGCTGCTTTGCGTTGCTGGGGTGACCTCAGGGTCCGTCGAGACTGGTGACAGTGTTCTTGGGGACTGTCTCGAGATCCATTAAGCAAGTCGAAGCTCCTGATTTGTTTGAATGGGATCACGGAATAGCTCTGCATGCACTGCAGGGGAATGGGGCCTCATCTCGCCTCTAGGGGGAAGTCTCATGGTTTTTCTCGAGTTGCGGCGGGGACCTGGGGTATGTTCTCGACTTACGGCGGGGATGGCCCTTCAAAACACGAGTTTCTTCAGTGACGTCAGGACTCCTGTCTAGTAATGAGGGACAGCTCAGGAATCTCTAAGAGGCTTGGCAGGGCAAAAGGGACGCTTCACAAGGTGAGGCAGGGCACCCAAGGACCCTTTCCAGTAGCCACAGCGATTTTGGGATTCCTATCAGTATTCAAGAGGAGTCAGGCATCATCATCTTTTGAAGCAATGAACTCCGTGTGCCTCTCGAGGTGTCAGCGGGATGTGAGGCATTCCGTCAAAATGAGGCAGGGACCTAGGGCTTTCTCTAAGGTCTCCACAGGGGATTCAGACATCCCTTCATGTTGTGAGATGAAAGACGAGCCTGTATTCAAGCCACTGCAAGGAAATGCGGCCTCCTTTCAAGTTAGGGCTTCTCGCTGTATATTCCCCTGGAGGCAGCAAACTCGGGGTCCCTTCCACATACCTATTGCTGAGAGAAGCCTCCTCCTGAGGTGCTTCTGGAAAGTTGGCATAAGTCTTGAGCCTAAGCCAGGGAATCAGCTCTCATCTCGAGACGATTTGGGGTACACGAAGCATTCCTCGAGTTGCTGTGCTGAAGTTGGTGTTCCTCTAGACTTGGGACCATGTTCTCGGGGCATCTCTGGAGTTGCCTGAAGGAAGTCGAGCCACCGGTCGTGTTGAATGGGGAACGGGGAATGGCTCTGGAGTCAATGCAGGGGAATCGGGCCTCATCTCGATTTGATTTGGGGCACATGGAGCTGCTTTGCGTTGCTGGGGTGACCTCAGGGTCCGTCTAGACTGGTGACAGTGTTCTTGGGGACTGTCTCGAGATCCATTAAGCAAGTCGAAGCTCCTGACTTGTTTGAATGGGATCACGGAATAGCTCTGCATGCACTCCAGGGGAATGGGGCCTCATCTCGCCTCTAGGGGGAAGTCTCATGGTTTTACTCTAGTTGCGGCGGGGACCTGGGGTATGTTCTCGACTTACGGCGGGGATGGCCCTTCAAAACACGAGTTTCTTCAGTGACGTCAGGACTCCTGTCTAGTAACGAGGGACACATCAGGAATCTCTTCGAGGCTTGGCAGTGCAAAAGGGACGCTTCTCGAGGTGAGGCAGGGCACCCAAGGACCCTTTCCCGTAGCCACAGGGATTTTGGGATTCCTATCAGTATTCAAGAGGAGTCAGGCATCGTCACCTTTTGAAGCAATGAACTCCGCGTGCCTCTCGAGGTGTCAGCGGGATGTGAGGCATTCCGTCAAAATGAGGCAGGGACCTAGGGCTTTCTCTAAGGTATCCACAGGGGATTCAGACATCCCTTCATGTTGTGAGATGAAAGACGAGCCTGTATTCAAGCCACTGCAAGGAAATCCGGCCTCCTTTCAAGTTAGGTCTTCTCGCTGTAAATTCCCCTTGAGGCAGCAAACTCGGGGTCCCTCCCACATAACTATTGCTGAGAGAAGCCTCCTCCTGAGGTGCTTCTGGAAAGTTGGCATAGGTCTTGAGCCTAAGCCACGGAATCAGCTCTCATCTCGAGATGATTTGGGTTACACGGAGCATTCCTCGAGTTGCTGTGCTGAAGTTGGTGTTCCTCTAGACTTGGGACAGTGTTCTCGGGGCATCTCTGGAGTTGCCTGAAGAAAGTCGAGCCACCGGTCGTGTTGAATGGGGAACGGGGAATGGCTCTGGAGTCAATGCAGGGGAATCGGGCCTCATCTCGAGTTGATTTGGGGCACATGGAGCTGCTTTGCATTGCTGGGGTGACCTCAGGGTCCGTCGAGACTGGTGACAGTGTTTTTGGGGACTGTCTCGAGATCCACTAAGCAAGTCGAAGCTCCTGATTTGTTTGAATGGGATCACGGAATAGCTCTGCATTCACTGCAGGGGAATGGGGCCTCATCTCGCCTCTAGGGGGAAGTCTCATGGTTTTTCTCGAGTTGCGGTGTGGACTTGGGGTATGTTCTCGACTTACGGCGGGGATGGCCCTTCAAAACACGAGTTTCTTCAGTGACGTCAGGACTCGTGTCTAGTAACGAGAGACACCTCAGGAATCTCTTCGAGGCTTGGCAGGGCAAAAGGGACGCTTCTCGAGGTGAGGCAGGGCACCCAAGGACCCTTTCCCGTAGCCACAGGGATTTTGGTATTCCTATCAGTATTCAAGAGGAGTCAGGCATCGTCACCTTTTGAAGCAATGAACTCCGCGTGCCTCTCGAGGTGTCAGCGGGACGTGAGGCATTCCGTCAAAATGAGGCAGGGACCTAGGGCTTTCTCTAAGGTCTCCACAGGGGATTCAGACATCCCTTCATGTTGTGAGATGAAAGACGAGCCTGTATTCAAGCCACTGCAAGGAAATCCGGCCTCCTTTCAAGTTAGGGCTTCTCGCTGTATATTCCCCTTGAGGCAGCAAACTCGGGGTCCCTCCCACATAACTATTGCTGAGAGAAGCCTCCTCCTGAGGTGCTTCTGGAAAGTTGGCATACGTCTTGAGCCTAAGCCAGGGAATCAGCTCTCATCTCGAGACGATTTGGGTTACACGGAGCATTCCTCGAGTTGCTGTGCTGAAGTTGGTGTTCCTCTAGACTTGGGACAGTGTTCTCGGGGCATCTCTGGAGTTGCCTGAAGGAAGTCGAGCCACCGGTCGTGTTGAATGGGGAACGGGGAATGTCTCTGGAGTCAATGAAGGGGAATCGGGCCTCATCTCGAGTTGATTTGGGGCACATGGAGCTGCTTTGCGTTGCTGGGGTGACCTCAGGGTCCGTCTAGACTGGTGACAGTGTTCTTGGGGACTGTCTCGAGATCCATTAAGCAAGTCGAAGCTCCTGACTTGTTTGAATGGGATCACGGAATAGCTCTGCATGCACTGAAGGGGAATGGGGCCTCATCTCACCTCTAGGGGGAAATCTCATGGTTTTTCTCGAGTTGCGGCGGGGACCTGGGGTATGATCTCGACTTACGGCGGGGATGGCCCTTCAAAACACGAGTTTCTTCAGTGACGTCAGGACTCCTGTCTAGCAACGAGGAACACCTCAGGAATCTCTTCGAGGCTTGGCAGGGCAAAAGGGACGCTTCTCGAGGTGAGGCAGGGCACCCAAGGACCCTTTCCCGCAGCCACAGGGATTTCGGGATTCCTATCAGTATTCAAGAGGATTCAGGCATCGTCACCTTTTGAAGCAATGAACTCCGCGTGCCTCTCGAGGTGTCAGCGAGATGAGAGGCATTCCGTCAAAATGAGGCAGGGACCTAGGGCTTTCTCTAAGGTCTCCACAGGGGATTCAGACATCCCTTCATGTTGTGAGATGAAAGACGAGCCTGTATTCAAGCCACTGCAAGGAAATCCGGCCTCCTTTCAAGTTAGGGCTTCTCTCTGTATATTCCCCTTGAGGCAGCAAACTCGGGGTCCCTCCAACATAACTATTGCTGAGAGAAGCCTCCTCCTGAGGTGCTTCTGGAAAGTTGGCATACGTCTTGAGCCTAAGCCAGGGAATCAGCTCTCATCTCGAGACGATTTGGGGTACACGAAGCATTCCTCAAGTTGCTGTGCTGAAGTTGGTGTTCCTCTAGACATGGGACAGTGTTCTCGGGGCATCTCTGGAGTTGCCTGAAGGAAGTCGAGCCCCCGGTCGTGTTGAATGGGGAATGGGGAATGGCTCTGGAGTCAATACAGGGGAATCGGGCCTCATCTGGAGTTGATTTGGGGCACATGGAGCTGCTTTGCGTTGCTGGGGTGACCTCAGGGTCCGTCTAGACTGGTGACAGTGTTCTTGGTGACTGTCTCGAAATCCATTAAGCAAGTCGAAGCTCCTGACTTGTTTGAATGGGATCATGGAATAGCTCTGCATGCACTGCAGGGGAATGGGGCCCCATCTCGCCTCTAGGGGGGAGTCTCATTGTTTTTCTCGAGTGGCTGCGGGGACCTGGGGTATGTTCTCGACTTACGGCGGGGATGGCCCTTCAAAACACGAGTTTCTTCAGTGACCTCAGGACTCCTGTCTTGTAACGAGGGACACCTCAGGAATCTCTACGAGGCTTGGCAGGGCAAAAGGGACGCTTCTCGAGGTGAGGCAGTGTACCCAAGGACCCTTTCCAGTAGCCACAGCGATTTTGGGATTCCTATCAGTATTCAAGAGGAGTCAGGCATCGTCACCTTTTGAAGCAATGAACTCCGCGTGCCTCTCGAGGTGTCAGTGGGATGTGAGGCATTCCGTCAAAATGAGGCAGGGACCTAGGGCTTTCTCTAAGGTCTCCACAGGGGATTCAGACATCCCTTTATGTTGTGAGATGAAAGACGAGCCTGTATTCAAGCCACTGCAAGGAAATGCGGCCTCCTTTCAAGTTAGGGCTTCTCGCTGTATATTCCCCTTGAGGCAGCAAACTCGGGGTCCCTTCCACATACCTATTGCTGAGAGAAGCCTCCTGCTGAGGTGCTTCTGGAAAGTTGGCATACGTCTTGAGCCTAATCCAGGGAATCATCTCTCATCTCGAGACAATTTGGGGTACACGGAGCATTCCTCGAGTTGCTGTGCTGAAGTTGGTGTTCCTCTAGACTTGGGACAGTGTTCTCGGGGCATCTCTGGAGTTGCCTGAAGGAAGTCGAGCCACCGGTCGTGTTGAATGGGGAACGGGGAATGGCACTGGAGTCAATGCAGGGGAATCGGGCCTCATCTCGAGTTGATTTGGGGCACATGGAGCTGCTTTGCGTTGCTGGGGTGACCTCAGGGTCCGTCTAGACTGGTGACAGTGTTCTTGGGGACTGTGTCGAGATCCATTAAGCAAGTCGAAACTCCTGACTTGTTTGAATGGGATCACAGAATAGCTCTGCATGCACTGCAGGGGAATGGGGCCTCATCTCGCCTCTAGGGGGAAGTCTTATGGTTTTTCTCGAGTTGTGGCGGGGACCTGGGGTATGTTCTCGACTTACGGCGGGGATGGCCCTTCAAAACACGAGTTTCTTCAGTGACGTCAGGACTCCTGTCTAGTAACGAGGGACACCTCAGGAATCTCTAAGAGGCTTGGCAGGGCAAAAGGGACGCTTCTCGAGGTGAGGCAGGGCACCCAAGGACCCTTTCCCCTAGCCACAGGGATTTTGGGATTCCTATCAGTATTCAAGAGGAGTCAGGCATCGTCACCTTTTGAAGCAATGAACTCCGCGTGCCTCTCGAGGTGTCAACGGGATGTGAGGCATTCCGTCAAAATGAGGCAGGGACCTAGGGCTTTCTCTAAGGTCTCCACAGGGGATTCAGACATCCCTTCATGTGGTGAGATGAAAGACGAACCTGTATTCAAGCCACTGCAAGGAAATCCGGCCTCCTTTCAAGTTAGGGCTTCTCGCTGTATATTGCCCTTGAGGCACAAACTAGGGTCCCTCCCACATTCTTATTGCTGAGAGAAGCCTCCTCCTGAGGTGCTTCTGGAAAGTTGGCATACGTCTTGAGCCTAATCCAGGGAATCAGCTCTCATCTCGAGACGATTTGGGTTACACGGAGCATTCCTCGAGTTGCTGTGCTGAAGTTGGTGTTCCTCTAGACTTGGGACAGTGTTCTCGGGGCATCTCTGGAGTTGCCTGAAGGAAGTCGAGCCACCGGTCGTGTTGAATGGGGAACGGGGAATGTCTCTGGAGTCAATGAAGGGGAATCGGGCCTCATCTCGAGTTGATTTGGGGCACATGGAGCTGCTTTGCGTTGCTGGGGTGACCTCAGGGTCCGTCTAGACTGGTGACAGTGTTCTTATGGACTGTCTCGAGATCCATTAAGCAAGTCGAAGCTCCTGACTTGTTTGAATGGGATCACGGAATAGCTCTGCATGCACTGAAGGGGAATGGGGCCTCATCTCACCTCTAGGGGGAAATCTCATGGTTTTTCTCGAGTTGCGGCGGGGACCTGGGGTATGTTCTCGACTTACGGCGGGGATGGCCCTTCAAAACACGAGTTTCTTCAGTGACGTCAGGACTCCTGTCTAGCAACGAGGGACACCTCAGGAATCTCTTCGAGGCTTGGCAGGGCAAAAGGGACGCTTCTCGAGGTGAGGCAGGGCACCCAAGGACCCTTTCCCGCAGCCACAGGGATTTCGGGATTCCTATCAGTATTCAAGAGGAGTCAGGCATCGTCACCTTTTGAAGCAATGAACTCCGCGTGCCTCTCGAGGTGTCAGCGAGATGAGAGGCATTCCGTCAAAATGAGGCAGGGACCTAGGGCTTTCTCTAAGGTCTCCACAGGGGATTCAGACATCCCTTCATGTTGTGAGATGAAAGACGAGCCTGTATTCAAGCCACTGCAAGGAAATCCGGCCTCCTTTCAAGTTAGGGCTTCTCGCTGTAAATTCCCCTTGAGGCAGCAAACTCGGGGTCCCTCCCACATAACTATTGGTGAGAGAAGCCTCCTCCTGAGGTGCTTCTGGAAAGTTGGCATAGGTCTTGAGCCTAAGCCAGGGAATCAGCTCTCATCTCGAGATGATTTGGGTTACACGGAGCATTCCTCGAGTTGCTGTGCTGAAGTTGGTGTTCCTCTAGACTTGGGACAGTGTTCTCGGGGCATCTCTGGAGTTGCCTGAAGGAAGTCGAGCCACCGGTCGTGTTGAATGGGGAACGGGGAATGGCTCTGGAGTCAATGCAGGGGAATCGGGCCTCATCTCGAGTTGATTTGGGGCACATGGAGCTGCTTTGCGTTGCTGGGGTGACCTCAGGGTCCGTCGAGACTGGTGACAGTGTTCTTGGGGACTGTCTCGAGATCCATTAAGCAAGTCGAAGCTCCTGATTTGTTTGAATGGGATCACGGAATAGCTCTGCATTCACTGCAGGGGAATGGGGCCTCATCTCGCCTCTAGGGGGAAGTCTCATGGTTTTTCTCGAGTTGCGGTGTGGACTTGGGGTATGTTCTCGACTTACGGCGGGGATGGCCCTTCAAAACACGAGTTTCTTCAGTGACGTCAAGACTCGTGTCTAGTAACGAGAGACACCTCAGGAATCTCTTCGAGGCTTGGCAGGGCAAAAGGGACGCTTCTCGAGGTGAGGCAGGGCACCCAAGGACCCTTTCCCGTAGCCACAGGGATTTTGGGATTCCTATCAGTATTCAAGAGGAGTCAGGCATCGTCACCTTTTGAAGCAATGAACTCCGCGTGCCTCTCGAGGTGTCAGCGGGACGTGAGGCATTCCGTCAAAATGAGGCAGGGACCTAGGGCTTTCTCTAAGGTCTCCACAGGGGATTCAGACATCCCTTCATGTTGTGAGATGAAAGACGAGCCTGTATTCAAGCCACTGCAAGGAAATCCGGCCTCCTTTCAAGTTAGGGCTTCTCGCTGTATATTCCCCTTGAGGCAGCAAACTCGGGGTCCCTCCCACATAACTATTGCTGAGAGAAGCCTCCTCCTGAGGTGCTTCTGGAAAGTTGGCATACGTCTTGAGCCTAAGCCAGGGAATCAGCTCTCATCTCGAGACGATTTGGGTTACACGGAGCATTCCTCGAGTTGCTGTGCTGAAGTTGGTGTTCCTCTAGACTTGGGACAGTGTTCTCGGGGCATCTCTGGAGTTGCCTGAAGGAAGTCGAGCCACCGGTCGTGTTGAATGGGGAACGGGGAATGTCTCTGGAGTCAATGAAGGGGAATCGGGCCTCATCTCGAGTTGATTTGGGGCACATGGAGCTGCTTTGCGTTGCTGGGGTGACCTCAGGGTCCGTCTAGACTGGTGACAGTGTTCTTATGGACTGTCTCGAGATCCATTAAGCAAGTCGAAGCTCCTGACTTGTTTGAATGGGATCACGGAATAGCTCTGCATGCACTGAAGGGGAATGGGGCCTCATCTCACCTCTAGGGGGAAATCTCATGGTTTTTCTCGAGTTGCGGCGGGGACCTGGGGTATGTTCTCGACTTACGGCGGGGATGGCCCTTCAAAACACGAGTTTCTTCAGTGACGTCAGGACTCCTGTCTAGCAACGAGGAACACCTCAGGAATCTCTTCGAGGCTTGGCAGGGCAAAAGGGACGCTTCTCGAGGTGAGGCAGGGCACCCAAGGACCCTTTCCCGCAGCCACAGGGATTTCGGGATTCCTATCAGTATTCAAGAGGAGTCAGGCATCGTCACCTTTTGAAGCAATGAACTCCGCGTGCCTCTCGAGGTGTCAGCGAGATGAGAGGCATTCCGTCAAAATGAGGCAGGGACCTAGGGCTTTCTCTAAGGTCTCCACAGGGGATTCAGACATCCCTTCATGTTGTGAGATGAAAGACGAGCCTGTATTCAAGCCACTGCAAGGAAATCCGGCCTCCTTTCAAGTTAGGGCTTCTCGCTGTATATTCCCCTTGAGGCAGCAAACTCGGGGTCCCTCCCACATAACTATTGCTGAGAGAAGCCTCCTCCTGAGGTGCTTCTGGAAAGTTGGCATACGTCTTGAGCCTAAGCCAGGGAATCAGCTCTCATCTCGAGACGATTTGGGGTACACGAAGCATTCCTCAAGTTGCTGTGCTGAAGTTGGTGTTCCTCTAGACTTGGGACAGTGTTCTCGGGGCATCTCTGGAGTTGCCTGAAGGAAGTCGAGCCACCGGTCGTGTTGAATGGGGAACGGGGAATGGCTCTGGAGTCAATGCAGGGGAATCGGGCCTCATCTCGAGTTGATTTGGGGCACATGGAGCTGCTTTGCGTTGCTGGGGTGACCTCAGGGTCCGTCTAGACTGGTGACAGTGTTCTTGGGGACTGTCTCGAGATCCATTAAGCAAGTCGAAACTCCTGACTTGTTTGAATGGGATCACAGAATAGCTCTGCATGCACTGCAGGGGAATGGGGCCTCATCTCGCCTCTAGGGGGAAGTCTTATGGTTTTTCTCGAGTTGTGGCGGGGACCTGGGGTATGTTCTCGACTTACGGCGGGGATGGCCCTTCAAAACACGAGTTTCTTCAGTGACGTCAGGACTCCTGTCTAGTAACGATGGACACCTCAGGAATCTCTAAGAGGCTTGGCAGGGCAAAAGGGACGCTTCTCGAGGTGAGGCAGGGCACCCAAGGACCCTTTCCCCTAGCCACAGGGATTTTGGGATTCCTATCAGTATTCAAGAGGAGTCAGGCATCGTCACCTTTTGAAGCAATGAACTCCGCGTGCCTCTCGAGGTGTCAACGGGATGTGAGGCATTCCGTCAAAATGAGGCAGGGACCTAGGGCTTTCTCTAAGGTCTCCACAGGGGATTCAGACATCCCTTCATGTGGTGAGATGAAAGACGAACCTGTATTCAAGCCACTGCAAGGAAATCCGGCCTCCTTTCAAGTTAGGGCTTCTCGCTGTATATTGCCCTTGAGGCACAAACTAGCGTCCCTCCCACATACTTATTGCTGAGAGAAGCCTCCTCCTGAGGTGCTTCTGGAAAGTTGGCATAAGTCTTGAGCCTAAGCCAGGGAATCAGATCTCATCTCGAGACGATTTGGGGTACACGGAGCATTCCTCAAGTTGCTGTGCTGAAGTTGGTGTTCCTCTAGACTT